TACCAGAAGAGTGCACATTAGAAACCACACACACCAACTCACATCCTGAAACAAGACAGGCCATCATCTTTGTTACCAGAAGTGTGCATATTAGAAACCAGGCCAACTCACTCTCTGAAACAAGACAGGCCACAGTCTCTGTCAGCAGAACAATGCACATTAAAAACCAGGCCAACTTACTCTCTGTAAAATGGCCAGAGGATGTATCCTCAGAAGAGTGCATAGTAGAAGGAATGCTGACTTACCATCTAAAAAAACAATGGCCAAAATTTGTGTTTTAGAAGTGTGCAAAATAAAATGCAAGAAAGCATACTAACCTCCTGGATTAAGTCAAAGCACCAGAAGAGTGTACAATGAAAGGAAAGGCCAGAGAATGAGTCACCAGAAGAGATGATAGTTAATAGGGGAACAACTTACAATCTAAGAAAGGGTAGGTTCAGAAGAGAATTGAGTCAGAACAAAGTTATCTTCAGAAATTTTATAATCACTTACCCACTAAAAAAATCTCTTATAGGCATTCAGAGACACTGTATAAACTATATATTACCTTCTAAATTTATAAACAAGAACATATTAGCTGTATAAGTAGCAGGCTTAACAGTTAATACTTACTTCCTAAACGAAATTAAGATGTGACATATTATACAAGATAATTGCCCACAAACTATGGCAACTATTAGAATATATAAAAACTTGAACAATTGTAAACATGCATTCTGAAAGAAAAATCAACAATAAGAATAAAACTCTGGTTTCTTTGGTAGTTGTCTTATTCTTACTTTCTGTGCTTCATTAATGGCAATAAAATATGACTATGTTCCAGCTTACTTGCTGTAAAACAGGTCAATATTTTATTTTGATACCTTTTAGTTTCTGTTTTTTACCACATACCTCCTGTTAATCTCACAGATTAACTTTTGATCAGAGTTATTCTTCCATTACATACTATCTGTTGGAAGATCTTGATATATCAGTGAAGATATCCTAATTATAAACTCTTACTTCATAGAATTCAACTGCTTGTACAAATAGCTTAATCAACTTCTTTGCAACAATTGACCCCTGTAATGTCTTATAGATGTTAAGAGTGTGATAACCATCTGAGATTTCCAATAACTGACTTGAGCCAAATTCTTTCCATCTCTCACATAGCTTAACATCCTTGTCACCTTAGGAGCTTCAAAAGTCAGTGCTGTATTACACCATGTCTTACCCTGCAAAGTCACAAGACCTTCAATGAGAGTTTCCAAAGGGCTCATCATTGTTTCATCCATATCTAATTCCTGCATTTGTAAGCCTAAAAGGATATGGTGTGGCCAATTCATGCAAGCATAGTTGCCTACATCACCCTCAAAAAAGTCTTTTGGAGGGTATTCTGCCAGATGCTTCAAACAGTATACAGCTAGATGAAGGTGTTGCAGAGGCAGATCAATAAAATATTGCTCTGATCGTGATTTGAAGGTCAGGAAATCCCGAAGAGATGTGTGATAGAGCATAATGGGCTGATGATCATCTCCAGGAATTTTGATAATTGACTGTACCCCCAATAGCTCATGAATAATCTCCTCATGCTGAAGATTGAGGAGGGAGCTGAAAAAAGATATAGATTGGTTGTCCTCCAGAATCATGATTGTTGCAAGAATCTGATGAAGAGCTGCTGTCCAGGAAGTGGAGGAAAGAACTTGTTTATAAAGTGGATCCAGACCATTAGCTTCAGATTCCAGAAGTTGTTGCAATGCTTTGTGTGGCATGGAATCTCCTCCAACAAAATGGACTAATGTTGAAGCAAATGCAAATGAACTGCTGGCCTTGTCATGGAGTCTAGTAAGATCTACAGCTGATGGCCAGGGCTTTGGTACTCTCTGCATCATTCGACAATTCTGGCGAAAGATACAAGCAAACTCCCTTTCAAAGTATACTTGAATGTCTGAACAAGCATCAAAATTCTCCAAGTCCAGATGGCACAAAAATTGAGCCTCCAAATAGTCAAATTTCCTCCGAATGTGCTCCTCCACCCTGCTGGTAAGGAGCATTCGAAAAGGAAGATAACCCCTTCCTGGAAATCCATGAAGCACATCAATGAAGGCTGCCATTTCAGCCTTATCATTACATTCATCAAGAGCATCAATAACAAATATCTTTTGTTTTGCAAGAGAGAAGACTCCAAAACTGGAGAGGACTGTGGAAGTGGTGGAATGGATAGGTTCTATGATCAGCTTCTGAAATTGGTGAGCTAGAGAGGCAGAAGGTCCAAGTATGGTTGGCTCATCTCGAAGAGCCTTCTCAAGCAAAGGCTTAACAGCAGGAACAGAGAGGGAGATCTGATGTGCAAGAGTATGAATCAAGCGAGATATGTGACTCCGTTCTCCAGCACCTCGAAGAAAGAAGAAGCACCCCAGAAGGCGACCCTCAGCGGCATAGTGCTCAGCAATAGTTTGAGCCACTGCTGACTTCCCATAGCCAGCTGGTCCACTGAGCCAGCAGATAGCAGCTCGCTTGTCAAAGCCGTTAAGCCACCGCTTGATTTGAGCGATGACCTTTATGCGGGTTCCGGGATCACATCGAGCAACATGACCAGCGCGAGTATGGCTGGCGTTGCTGACAGGCCTAAGCAAGTTCAGAAGACCTAGATGCCATAAACCATTTAATAGTATTGTCGAATTCATATAAAACCTGACATACTTGCCGGAGGAGCCGGAGAGCCATGGAAAACGACGTCGCGGCCGGCGTTTATGACCTGTGCACCTCCAGAGATGGTGGTTCCGACAGCGTTTTGCAGGAGCGAGGTTGATGACGAAGATTCCATGGAAGGGAAGAAATGACGTGTTGTAATATGAAGACTAGGAGAATTTGAAGGGCTGAAGACGTCGGTAGGTTGGGTTGTCGTCGTCAAGAAGATCGGAGATCATTGCAGTTGTGATCGGAATCCTAATCGGAACTCCACAGTTCTCCTCTAAAACGCTGCCCTCATACCCACTCAGGCCAATACCAACTCACGCTGCCGAGCCAACTCTTTCGACCAGGCCCCGCGAGATTGCACTTTCCTGCTGGTTCACCTGAAAAATGATTCTAAAATCTACACCTCTTGGCTGCGGCGAGCGTTGCGACGAACTACAACACTAGTAGGCCCCTTGACGTTGGAAGTATGGAAATCGACCAGTTCATCCGAACAGGATCAAAATCACCTCCGAAAGCTTTCGCTGTAAGGCTTCCTACTCCCTCACCACTATAATTCTCTGACTCGCATCGAACAGTTGGAATAGCACACCAATTCTCCGACAGAAAATAATAACTATACCTCGATGTCAACCCTCCGGCGACCAAAGCAAATCTTATTGAAGGCATAATCTGACACGAAACGAAACGATGGGCAAGAAGCCTGCTCTGAACAAAGCTCTTAAGCAAAATCTCGGTCTCTTCGAATCGATACCCGCCCCTTGCCCTATTAGCAGCCGTCCAACCCCATCCCCCTCACGCCTGCCTCCTCCAAATTTATCTACTTCTCTTACGCGAAAATAATGCGAGCAGAAGGCGCAGTACCGTCCAGAACTACCACCCACCCCCATCCCTTGGTTCATTCGCCCCTCAACCTCCAGCTCTTCCTCCGTCACCGCACCCCCAGCAATGGTTCCCCCTTCCCTAACCAAACCTTGGCCCTACCTCGCCTCTCGTACATCCCGACATCCTCATGCAGACGCTCATCACGCTGTAGCATTTTCACGGTCTGCGTTTCTCAGACTGACAGGCAGCTCCCTTTGTTAGCCATCTTTTCACGGAATGGGATCGACGAGCCTTGGACTCTTGGTTGGGAATGACGAGGATGGAATAGAGAGTAATCATCGCGTAGCGGACGAAATTACCGCCTCTCAATTCTCTTCGAGCTGGAGTGGATTCGCATGACCTCAGACTGGAGAAGCTCTGATTCAAACACTGCGAGACGACGTCCGGCTTCTCACTCTCTTCAAGCCAGAGCTCGAAGTCGAATTGGAGCTCCTTGACGATCACCACAATTTGTGAGGAACGTGAATGAAGCGGCGCGGCGAGTTTTTGGTGGTGGGACTGGGTACTGTCAGAATTCAATTGTCCCGCGGACATCTAGTCCCCATGGACGGATATTGTTCCTTCTAACTCAGCTGATCGTGCCGGCCAAGTCTCTCCTACCACTAAACACGCCAACACATCTTTCCTCTCCCCACTGGCACTGCGACCTCACCCGCAATGCTCTACCAGCTCAATCTGTCAGTCATTCCGGATCTCGATCACCGCATTGTCGACTCGTTACCCTTGTCTCCGAGTACCTTTGCCCTGGTCATACCCACATCCTGCCAGTTCTTCATCTTAAAGACGCTGGGACGCACGCTCACAAGGACGTCGACTCCATCTCTACATACCCTCTGACTAATATTTGACGTTCGTATGCTCTCTCGCTGTCCAAGGAAGCTTCCCTCCCTATACTCACGGAAACGGTCCGTCCCTACCTTTTCAATACCTTTTATGACCCAATTGACGGTGTAGCAGGTCGCATCGCACGCTTCGCAAAAGTTTTCACAAGTTCGAGCAACTCTTATACCCGGTTTCGTCAAAGTTTGAATATATGTGCAACATTTTGCCAGTGCTTTGACGGAGGCATCTGTCTAACAAAATCCAGAATTTTTGAGAGACTCGCATAACAGACAGAATAGTGACGCATCATTTACGACGCACCATTGTTAGCATTCAACTCAAATGAATGAATGAAGCGTTTTATTTCCATGTCTGTCAAATCTGAAAGCCCCTTTGAGCGTCTGTGCCAAGTCTGCAGTGTGCACCTTGCGGTGCACCGTCCATTGGCCCCGCCGCCGTCTCATCACGTGACGACGCCCTAATTCTAACGACAAGAATGGGCTTGTCCGGCTTGGAAGGGGTCAACTGACTATGGTTTCCTCTGGGCACAGTCCATCCCAATTACCGTCGACTCTCACGTTGTGGACCGAACTCAAGTTCAAATCCTCTCAGCACGAATGACTTTCATCATTGAGTATATTCGCAGTTTTTTCACCTCGAACGACAAGCATACGTTGTTGTTCAGCGTTCCAGAAGATCGACCCCTTCCCGCCATCCCTGCCAGTATTACAGAACGTCGATTCTTCCAAACGCCCAGCGGCCCACTTGAGTTGCACGTAGCGCTTCCCTCGGAACGAACCAGCAAACCTCCCCTGCTATTTGTTCATGGCGGATTTGGTTCTGCAGAATGCTATCAAAACTTCCTCCCATTTTTCGCGGCGCAGGGATATTCTTGCTATGCAGTTTCCCTGCGAGGTCATGGGCACAGCTTTAATCCGGGATATTGGGCGCTATATTTCACCCCGCGACAAGCATTCCTTACAGACCTCGCTGCGGCTGTTCGGTATGTGCGTGAAGATAGCGGCGGTGCGGCCAATCCTATCGTTCTTGGCCACTCCTCAGGCGGGGGTTTGACACAGGATCTATGCCACCAAGGGCTTCCAGGACAAATTCCGGGGGTTGTGTTGCTTGCTGCGATTCCGGGAAATGGGAGGTACGCACCTGCATTTTTTTCGTGGCCACATTACACTGATAGATCAATTCAAGTTTCGGTGTGAACGCCAATTGGTTGCAGCTTGACCGTTGGTTCCTTCCACGGTTTTTTTGGCATTGGTTCCATCCCCGATCGCCGTTATCGTCAACTGCGCTGGTGCATCGTGCTTTCTTCTCTTCAGGTTGTTCGGTGGATGTCGTCAAGAGAACGGAAAAGTCCATGAGTGAATTCGAGAGTATGTCCTGGCCAATGCTGATGCAATGGCAATTTGTGGACCCGGCGAAAGTTATCAATGGAATTTCGGGGGAAGGATTGAAAGGTGGCAGGAAGATGTTGATCGTTGCAGCGGATGAAGATAAATTGATGGGGGTCAAAATTGAAGCTGATCTAGCAGCATGGTACCGTGAAGCTAACCCAGAGTCAGGTGAGGAGGCTGTCAAGGAGGCGGTTGTCCGTGATGCAGGGCATCATTAATCATTTCTTGTTGGACACGAATTGGAGAGAAGGGGCTGAGAAAGTGTTGGATTGGCTCGAAGGGAAGTAAGCAGTCGCTCCGCGTTCACGATATTTCAAACCCAGTGAATCTATGTATGATACTTGCTCTTGACCTTTTGATAATAAAATAACCCCTGCTTTTCTGGAAATTCGTCCTTGGTCCACAAAAGTTCTGAGAGGAGTCTTATTGCGCCAGGTTGCGCCACGGAGAGAAACACTTGCTCCGGCAAAAGAGTGAGCACAAGTGGCGAATTGATCATGGTCCGTCCGCTTATATTTCGTGGGCAACGGAACGGCTTGCCGGACACCTTCATAAAAGTAAACGCCTGGCATCGCCCCCTACTGTACCACTACAACCACCACCACGACCCATGTCTCCTCAAATCCTCGATAATGCGCTGGGAGCGGTGGGCCACACACCCCTTATTCGCCTAGATAAGATAGCTGCATCGAAGGGTCTCAAATGCAATCTCTGTAAGCTTTCTTTTTCGCTGGGCGTTTGACAAGGTACCGAACCCTTTTTTACCATAGTGGGAAAGGTAGAATTTATGTCTGCTGGAGGGTCAGTAAAGGATAGGATTGCGAAAGCGATGGTTGAGGCTGCTGAGCGGGATGGGAAGCTTATCCCCGGGAAGAGTGTCGTCATCGAGCCAACCTCGGGCAATACGGGTATGTCCTTCTCCCGCACGGTTACTCCTGAACCTCTCTGAAGGCGTTCTTTCCTACCAGGAATTGGCCTGGCGATGGCTTGTGCTATCAAGGTAATATATTGAATGAACCATCTTTGGGGTAGACAGGTACTGAATACTACAGATAAGGGTTATTCCGTTATTATAACCCTGCCAAACAAGATGTCCTTAGTTCGTCTTACTCTTACCTTTCTTCTTCGTGTTTCTCATCGCTCCGTAGGAGAAAGAAGCGCTACTTCGTGCACTTGGCGCAGAAGTCGTCCGCACACCCACGGAAGCTGCCTGGGACTCGCCCGAAAGTCATATAGGTAGAGCCCAGACTTTGTCTCTGGTAGTCTCGTGGCTGAATTCCTTAACGATCACAGGAGTGGCCAAGAGGTTACGTCGAGAAATACCGCATAGCATCATTTTGGACCAGTACTGCAACGTTAGTTTTGCCTTTCCGTCTTGTTTTGGGTTTCTTGCTTAGCTATATTTGCCAGGTGAACAACCCTCTTGCGCATGAATATACAACCGGCCCAGAAATTATTGAAGCTGTCGTCTCGACGCCATCGACGTCTTCGCGACCCTCGACTGAGAAGGTCGATGTCATGGTAGCAGGTGCTGGAACTGGCGGCACAATCACTGGTATCTCAAGAGCTATCAAGAGAACACATAACAAAGATTGCATAGTTGTCGGTGTCGATCCTGTAAGCCTACATTCGCGCATCTCTTCTTTTTGACCCACCGTTTCCTGCTTAAAGAAAGGAAGCATTCTTGCTTTCCCAGACACTTTGAACGCTGCAGACGAAGGTGCTCAGTATATCGTTGAGGGAATCGGCTACGACTTCATCCCGGATGTGCTCTCTCGTGATCCTACGCATGTCGATGTATGGGTCAAGTCCTCGGATGAAGAATCTTTCGCTGCTGTGCAAACGCTGATGAGATCCGAGGGGCTGTTGGTCGGGGGAAGCAGTGGAAGCTCCCTCAGCGGGGCATTGAGGTGGCTGGTCACTGCGGAAGGGCAGAAAGTTGCCAATACGCCAGGAAAGAACGTCGTTGTCCTGCTTCCCGACGGGTAAATACTCTTCAACTTTTCCGTCGAACGGTGAATGACCTTTTGTGTTTTCACAGCATCAGGAATTACATGAGTAAGCCGTGGTTTCTTCAGATTGCAATGGAAGGGGAGCCCTCCCATTTGGCAGGCATTATAGCGCAGGCGTTGCAGAAACCTGCTGAGATTCCAAGAGACGAGGCGACGTTGTCAGTCAAGCCCGCGGAAGCGCAAGCACGGGTGCCTAGTCCTGCTCCTGCTTCTCACCAACTTATTTAGTAATCGGTTGCTTCGTGTCACTATTCCTTCCATATATTAGATGAGATTCAAGTCTGTATTCGCCAAGGACGCCTTCTGCTGTGTTATATATTACTGGTATGATAGGGTATTACTCAACATAACCCTAAGTTTTCCACGTCTAAGTAAGAGGAGTATGGTGTGGGGCGACCAGAAGAGCAATGAGAATTTCGTCATCACGAAATTCTCGCGTCTTTGAGACGGCCATCCGACTGTTGATTAGACAGACAGAATTCGTTCATATTGGCACTGCAACAGAACCGATAACAGTATGGATGCATATTGCACTGCTCGGGCAGAATGAGGCCATAGAAGAGAGTGAGAAAATGATAGAGAACATGCAGGACGCAACAGAATGGAGTTTGGATTCTTCACGGTCATATTTCATTCCACAGTAAGACCTTCAAATACAAGCGGCGTAGCTGTGAATATCCAGGGATAATCTTGACGACAAGGACCCAAACTTTCAAACGAGCTGGCAGGCCGGAAACGTTCCTTATCAACCAACAAACAAAGCCGCCACGTGAGAAGCATGAATGTCATACACTTCATTGCGTACCTTTTATCCGATGGGATGAGGAAGATCGAGGATCGGAGAGCTAGGCTATGTTCTTTTATGGTGGACCATAAATCAGAAAGGAATTTAGATTTCAGCAATGAGGGTGAGGTGCTCTATGGGACCACCACTGGCGGCACGAAGAATCAAATGTCGAGTTTATCTCGCTGAAAGTTCGTTCATAGGAGGCATGTTGTGGTTGAGCTTGGGTTGAGCGCAACTTCGGGATGAGGAAAATTTGAAGATGCCGTCACCTTTCAGATGCAACAAAGACAAACGTACAGGGTCTCGAGCCCGAGGCTCAATTCAGGCTCAAGTTGCCGACGAGGTGGCTTGTTTCCTTGTCCTTCCTTTGTACTCTAACAGGGCATGCCAACCCTTTCTCGATTCCTTTAAGTTTCTTAGGGAAATTTTCTTCGCGACGTTTTCGAATGAAATTTGTGGGTCCTAATTGGGTCCTAATTCTACAGCATCCAAATCTCAACTATTGTTTTTAACGCGTCACAGGAACACTGCCTTTCAAAGATTGACTTAGAATCCTTTCAAGGCTGGCTTAGAATTGTCTGGATACCTCTATGAGCACCCTCCTGGACGTTACTCACAACCTCAAGAGTGAGAAGATCAAAGAGCGTCAGGAAGGCCTTGCTTCCATTCGCTCAGTTTTTGGCCGGGATGATGTTGTCACCAACTTCCACATGCGCAGCAAGGAGGGCAATCCGTGGCTTCCCATCTTCCAGGCTCTATTTCACGCTATCGCGCGGGAGAAGGAGGCCTTTACGAAGAAAGCTACCAACACTAAATCAGCAGCATCAGCTGCAACGGCCCATCGAAGACTCGCGGACACCGCAAGTGTCGTCCGATGGCTTACAGAAAGAACTGTTCATCTTATGAATAGGAAGGTTGTCGCGGCTCTTTTCAAGCATCTGACGCAGACCTTGGTTCACCGCGGGGAAATACTTGTCCCCGTGGCTCTGGATTACATCAAAGCGCTTAAATGCATTGTGGGCTATTCTAGCCATCTTGAGCACGCGGGGGAGGACATATGGCTAAAGATCGTAACCATGGGATTTAACATTGTCCTGGGTGATACAATTGAGGCTGAGCTTGACAACAAAGAAGATATAGTCAAGGGGGACGACGATTCGGGGATGGACGACATGGATAACGCAAATGATACTGACGATCTTGACTTACCTGCAGCAGCGTCGACAAGTAAAAAACGCCGCCGGGTAGACACCCAGCCGACCCCAGGACCATCGAAGCCCTCACATAGGAACACGTCACAACGGTCAAACAGGGTTCCCGTTTCCCTGGAACAGGTAGAATTTGCCTCTGTCATCTCCATCTTACTTCGCTCCTCCACGGCCCCCATCCTTGATAATGCTCCTGCAATTCTTTTGCGTCTGGAACGATTCCTCGAGCTTTATCCAGCGGACTCTTCCATGCTCCAGGACTACTTGATCACGCTTTCTTCCACGCTGGAAAATTTGTCCTTGAACAAGAAATCTGATGTTGAATCCTTCGCACGCGCAACCTGGAATGGACTCGTGGGCTTGTGGGGCACTAAAGACAAACGAATGAAGGAGGGACTTATCGTGGTTCTACGCATTTTGTTTCCATTCATTACCTCTGCAGATGAACCAAATCGCAATCACAAGAGAATTGATTTTGATCCTGCGGATGGAATAGGTCGTCTGTGGAAAACATTGAATGGAGATGCTGACAGCAGGCGAGGTGTTGATAGCCTTTCACTGGATGCATTGAGACTTGAACTCTTGAGTCCCTATGAAGAGAGTCGGTCCGATTCGAACGAAGGAACTTTCGTGGCGAACACGTTTCGTTCAGGATGGAATTTCGACTCTGGTCAAGCCTTGTCGTGGGCCGTTCTTGAACTACAGGCTGACTGTGCCGCCAAGGTAAACTTACAAACTAGGATCTGACAAAGATCTGACTACCTGTCGCAAGTTGTATTACTTTTCAGAATCTATGCACTCTACTTCGACACCCAATGCCACCCGACCCGAAAGCAAACGTACTAAATTGGAAAATCCACTTACATCCCTGTTAGATTCAATACAGATCCAGCGTGCGTCGCATATTCGGACTTATCGCCTCCAAATCCTTCTCTTTTTTATTGATCGCCATTGGTTGATCGTGCATGACGCCCTCAAGAATGACATTCTCAACACACTTCTTCAATTTGTCACGTTTGATGATGGTGTCATTCAGTCATGGGTATTTCTGAACCTTGCAGCAATCGCCTTTGCAGAAGGCTCGCACACATCCCCAAACCTTGCCAAATCAACATCATCCGCAAATTCCTTTGGCGTAAAGGCATTGGATTCATCCACATGGGACCCGTTATGGACCCATGCTATCCGCCGAGCAAATGTTCCTACTATATGCAGGGCGGCATGTCATGCCGCGCAGAGTCTCCTGAATGCTTTTCATCCTCAGTTCAGCTCCAACCACATTACTCTCACCTCACAACGCGTTCTTCTTGAAATTGAGACTCTGGCCAAGGACATGGACGTTCAGGGACCCTCGTATCCGTTTGATTCCGTTTGCATCTTTTTATCACGGTGTTTAAAGATTGCGAGTCAGGACGTACGACTGTATCGCATGCAGTTGGAGGAGAAGGTATTAAGTTGGCTTGTGGACAGCTGGAAGATAATTGGCAACGATAAAGGCAAGATGTCTCTGCACGTCGTTAAAGATGTGATGCTTTTGCTCGAGAACATCTGCGGAGTACCCAAACGAACCTCTTTGATATCCAGGCCACTTCTTCCGCAATGCCAGATTGTCGAAAGCATGCTGACAGAAGGAAGGGTCAAAGTTATTAAAGACTTTTTGCTTTTTGCGAAGTTGCCCCCTTTTCGAAAGTGCTCAGAGCGATTCAAAGCAATAGGGAAATCAACGTCGGGTGATAGCATTGGCTCGCAGACTGTCAGCACCTTGTTCAACAACGACTCTCAACGTGTCGCACCAAGAGGACGGGAGCGCAAAATTTCTGCCTTTTTAACGAAGACGCTGGAATTTCTGATTGCCGAATGGGAAAGCACAAGGGAGAACGGCAACCATCCGACGGCGGAATATGCTCGCCAGTCCTTGGACACGGCTATGGTTTCTATTGCATTCGAGTCCCTTTTACTCTTCAACGGAACATCATCAAACAGGCGCGTTCTACAGACCGCTGGAAAAACGATTTCCCTTGTTATCCCGTTTCTGAAGGGGTCACGTTGGACTATGAAAGAAAAAACATTTCTTTTGAATGGCTTAGAACCCTTGCTTTATCGTGAGGGGCAATCTCGAAGTGCAAACGATTGGCAACCTATGCTGGAGCCTGACGCTGGAACTGGGATCCAGAGGCAAGTATTGAGAGAATTGTCAGATGATCAACTCGCAAAACAACAAGCAATAGAGTTGGAGCGGACTGATTTCTTGCGAGTAATCTGGCAGAACCCTGATGTCTGTACTCTTTTTCGCGTCTGGTTTCCGACATCTGACTATCTTTGTTGCAGACCCAAGACATGCTGGCAGGTATTGCCAATACGCTCCGGGTCGTACTCGGAACTATGATTCGGAAAGAAATCAATACGTTCAAGGATAATGACATGGATGTTGATGATAAGGATGGGTTTGGGCCAATCCGAACGGGCGCGCCTTCAACTTCGTCAAATTCCCCTCAACAAGTAGAAAACGATCGGCCTTTTTTGGGTCTTCTGCGAATATGCATTGAATTTCTTACTCGTGGGCCTCGTCTACAATCACCTTCGATGGATGCTACTCGCGATAAAGAGTTGACACAACTCATCCTTGACTGCGCCAACACTGAGCCACAGAAGTTTGTCCTCGTTTGTCCCATCCTCCTCAATGAAATCCGTCTTGGCATGTTCAGCTTCTCACTAAAAGACCTCGACAATTTTATGAATTCGATTCAGGACTTACTACAAAACTACGCATTTTCTCGTAGCGAACGTACGCAGTCACTCGTCATACAATTATTGGATTCAACCTTGGCCACATGGACGCTTCCGTCAGTCGCTTCTAGCGAGGTCGGTGGCAGAGTTCAGGAATTATGCGAGTGGTTGTCAGGGCTATTAGGTTCTGAGGAGAAGCCGCCATCTGTGGCATGGACGATACGTGACCAGCTCGCGCAATTTCTCGACCGATATCTTGTCAGAGATCCAACCCAGGCTTCCTGGTCGGCTGAGAGGGACAATCAGGGTTGCGAACCAATAGCTTTACTCCCACGAATGAGTAAAGATGATGATATCAGAGTCCGCTTTCGCGTTGCTGTTATCAACGCCCGTCTGTTCACTGTTGCTCCTCATTTAGGAGTATCCCCTCTCGATCTATACGACACCATGAAGAGGTATTACACCTTAGACCTGGATAAGTGAGCTAGAACCCTTCGCAATGTCCTGCTTGAGCTGATTGGACTTAAAGTTATGAGCACATGCTCACACGAACGCTAGCGCTCGGGAATCTCATGGTTGTCAGCTCAGCCGTAAGGCGTGGGCCGTATTGGCATCTACTGGAGACTTGCATGCACTCCACCGCCTATTCCAACCATACCGAGGCTGTTCTTATTGAAGTCGCCGCAAGATTAGGGTTGAAGTCTCTGTCGGTCTTATTTGAAGCCTATGCTTCACAGCTTGCATTCTCCATCCTGAAAGCAAGAATTGATTTCCTTCGGTTGCCTCCGCACCTTCTTGGTTACCGAGATAGAAGACAGTGCGCGGAAGCTGCTTTTAGAGCGTTCACTCCTACCAACATCCTTACCACAGGTCGAAAGCAATTTGAGGGACACTGCAAAGTTATACAAAAGAGCGTCTCCGATGGACTTCGAGTTTGTTTTGGAGACATAGTTGGCATCCAGATAGTCATGTGGTTTGACGAACACCCAGATGGATCAGAGGATGCCTTGGAACAGCGTCTCAAGGAAAAGACTCAGGACGAAAGCACATTCAACACCTTGATGAAAGATAATCTTGATGGAACTGTTGCTTCAATTCTAAGGACATTGGGGGAACAGGACTTTGATAAACATGGGCCAATTTTTCTTGCCCTCCAGAGTTACGATGGCACTGGGAGGGCTACTCATACCTTCCAAGCCCTATCCCGATATCGCAGTCTTGACAACTTCGAAACTCACACGCCGAACCTCCCAGCATTTCCTGCCACAAGTCTTTTGCGGGGTTTAACTTGGCTCTTATCGCGAGTTCCAGCAGATCCGCAAGATACAATTCCTCAGGCAACGACATATCACGTCATACACAATCTTCTGGCCGATTTGCACAGGACGCCTTTTCTCAACGAGCAGCTTCGTATCATCAATGCCCTCTCCTTGTGGATATCGATTCGAAGCACTGACTTTGAAGAAGCAACAATCTTGCATGCCCTAGTGCACGGGGCAACACTGCTACTAGCCCAGTCGGATTTAGCGAGATCGGCTCAGTCAGTTCTAGAATGGGCTTTCAACTACTATCGAAAGATGAAGATTAAAGATTTACGCCTTCCCAATGCACTGATACGTATCGCCTCCCTTGCGAATGATTACTCGCTAAACAGCCATGATAAATTCGTGGCTGACATGGGAACTGAGCTTCTGACATGGATTAACGAACAAATGCTCTTATTCTCAAAAGGGAAAACTTTTACCAGTGTAATGCTGAAGGCTCTGTCGGCCTGGCCAAATCAACCTTGTTCAGAGCTTTCACAACTTTATAATTCTGTTTCCGCTGAGAATGTTTCGGCCGTCCTCAGTGAACCTGGTGCAACTTCCAACAGATTCCGTCTGGTTCGTCGATTGCGTGACCATGCCATCTCTGGGAAGTATAAACAGATATCCTTCGCCAAGACGGACTTCTGGTGGCTGAAGGAGTTTATTCCATCTTTGGATCGACTGCAAGAGGAAGACGTAAAGGCTTTTGCGGAACTTTTGGTATTGAACCATGGTCAGATTGTTACGCTGGGCACGGAGCAGCCCGTCGTGCATTCCATCCGGCATGAACATATCACGAAAATTGTCAAGAGGAGGTTGACTGAAGATCCCGCCATTATAGCGCGAAAGTCCATCATCCTCGGTCTCTTGATGATGCTTCAAGGCGAATCTCCCTCTCATGTCCATACCGCCTATACAACTTTGCGCTTGTTTGTGGCTGCGTTACCGGAAGGGATCCTTTCAATCTTGCCGCCCGAGTATCAGACAGAACTGAAATTTCTTCAGGAGTATCGTCACACTCCCACAACTCGACCAACCCGCGACTTCGAAGAACTGACAAAGTCAGAATTATACATGACTGCGACCAAGGATTTTGCTCAATGGATAGGGATGTTTACGGTCCTCCTCAGTGACATTCTGTCCGTAGAGGATGCTACATTTGCTCAGTTAACTTCAATCCTCAAGGCCGATGTATCCTTCGCTGACCAACTTTTGCCAATCTTGGTCCATCGTCTCTTACAAGTCGAGATCAGAGACGGAAACGGCGTTTCTCAGGTTTCGTATCGCACTGTTCTGTCGGAGTATTTCACATCAATACTGTCATACGATGAAGCCCATACACGATGTCTATGTTCTGTCATCGATGTCGTCCTCTATCTTCGCTACTTTTTCCCGAGGCCCCAGGAAGCTCTATCTAATAACAAGTGGCTCGAAGTCGACTTTATTTTGCTTTCACGCAAGGCGATACTCTGCGGCTTATTCACGACAGCATTGTTATTTCTGGAACTGGCCTCGGAGGACGCACTTGTGGAAGCCGCGACTGCTGAACAAATTTTATATGAAATTTACGCTCATATCGACGAACCAGATGGTTTTTATGGCATTAAGACTCAAAATCTTCACCAATTTTTAATCAAAAGGTTTCACCATGAACAACAATGGGAGAAGGCGTTCCGGTTTCACGGTGCTGCACTGGAAGCCAATAATCGGCGTTTAGGAGAAGGGGAAGGGCTAATACAATCATTCCATTCCTTCGGGTTCAACCACCTTGCAATTGACACCATGCAGAACTTACACTCCAGCACGGAAGCTTCTTCTACCAGTACGACTTATCGGTTGGGCTGGCGTACAGAGACTTGGGATTTGCCATACCATGAGGAACACGTTGCCGGGGGTCCTTTGTACAGTTCGCTACGAGCCATTTATCGTGAACGTGATCCCAATGTTGTCGATGGTACTGTTCGCTCTTCCCTCAACCAAGACCTGAGTCGCTTGCGTGCCCTTGGATCCGAAAATGTTGCTGAGATACGTGAGGTCGCCCGGGATTTGATGTGCTTGAGTCAAGTCGCCAGGTGGAGGAGCAACGTGATTCAAAGTCAACTTGAATCCAGGAGCATTGATCTTGGCCAGTGGACAGAGCTCACGCATATTGGCGAAGGTTTCGAGTGAGCGAATAGTTTTCTCTTTAGATTATTTACTGAGATCCTTCTCCCTCGGTGGCATAGATTTTCTGACTTAGAGAGCCTCATGGCCACTCGTATGTGCCTTGTGCGATCTGCGAGGGTCCGAGAGCAGCGCCAGCAAATAGGCTCGCTGATGACTCCGTTCGCTCTTTGTCTAGCTGAAATCGAGAAGACCTGTCTTCTCCGCCTTTCCGAGGCAGCACGGGAAGCAGGCCAACCTCAAATCGCCTTAAACTCAATCATTCGGGCGCAAGGAATGGATGAGAATCCATCTTTTACTGTATCCCAAGAATTCGCCAACGTTCTTTGGCTTCAAAAAGAGGAGAAGCTCGCAGTTCAATATTTGCAAAACCTTCTTTTTGCAAGTGGGCCTAATGGCAGCCATGATATTACTGATTGTCGAAGAGCTCTATTGCTGGCCCGTCTGGTGAGCTTCGAGCAACGGTCAAAAATCAAACTAACTCCATTTAGGGCGCTTGGACCTCTGAAGCTTGTCTGGAAAAACCCACGGAAATCTGGTCACGGTTTTTCGACCCAGCGATCTCGCTGTTAGATGGGAAACTTTTGGAAGGCAACGAAGGGGATCGTGCTACTGTATACCATGAATGCGCAATATTTGCCGAGCGACAGTACCATGCTAGCCTCAAATCCCCTGATGCCATTAGGTGGAAGGTCTATGTTGATCGCAAAAAAGAAGAAATCCATCACAGAAGCATGGAACTTGCAAGGTTAACTGATACAACAAGGCACCAAAGACTGAAACATGATCAAGAGACGGCGCAAAAGCTCTTACATGCGGATAGCGAGTTATTCAAGAAGCATAACACCGTACGGGATACCTTTCTCAAACAGGCGATCGACATGTATTCTCGATGTTTAGAAGCCTCTGACACTTTCGATACTGATTCCGCTATTCGGTTCTGCTCCCTCTGGTTTGCGAACTTCGACGACGACGTGGTACTAGAAGCCACTCTTCGAAAGGCCCTTGAACGCATACCATCTCGCAAACTGGTGTTCCTTGCTGTGCGTAATATCATACCCATTTCGACTTAGCTGACAATGAACCAGCATCAATTAACCGCTCGGCTTGCGAAGTCTCCTCAACAGTCGAATAACCAAGAAAGCTTGCAACAACTGGTTTTGCGGATGTGTCGAGAACACCCTTTCCACAGCCTTTATCAGGTATATTGCCTGCGGCCTGAGCGGTCCGCTGCACCGGAAGGGAGACGCCAATCTGGGCGGCATGCTACGCCGTCCACTCAAACTGAACGGGCTACCGCAGCGAGCGACATCCTTGACCAGTTGCGGGGAACAGGCATAATTGGAGATCGGGTCCGCGACGTAGAAAAACTCTGCAATGCCTGCCTAGAGTGGGCCAAATTCCCTATCGCAAAAAATCCCGCATATAAAAGCGAAGCGAAACCGAAAGGCGGTTTCAAGGTTCCTGACAACCTCTTGATACGTCAAATTTCGAAATTGCAAGTCCCGGTCACAACTTGCCATACCCCACTCGACTTAACGATGCTTTACAATGACTGCATTTGGATTGACCGATACGAAACAAAATTCGATACAGCTGGCGGTGTCAATTTGCCGAAGATCACTGAGTGCTATGGAACGAACGGCAAGAAGTACAAACAACTGGTATGTTGAATAGAGGGACTGTGACTGATGTCTAAACATGATCTACAGTTCAAAGGAAATGATGACTTGCGTCAAGACGCTGTCATGGAGCAAGTCTTTGAACTTGTCAACAGCGTACTTCAACGGGATAGAGAAACACGGCGGCGTGAACTTAGCGTCCGAGGGTATAAGGTGGTCCCGTTGAGTACCCAAGCTGGCTTGTTGGAATTCGTTGGGAATACGTCACCTCTCCGCGAGTGGCTTAACAGGGCACATCAAAGGTACTTTATATTGCTCAGCACTGATTCACCTTGACGCGTGCTTTAGTTACCGACCACAAGATACAAAGCAAAATGAGATATTATCGCAAATGAAGGCAGCTCAAGCAACAAAACAGGCTGAACGGCAACTGGAAACATTCCTCAAAATTCGAGAAAATTTCAAGCCTGTCATGCGCCATTACTTTACAGAGAAACATAGGAACCCTGTGACGTGGTTTGCCATGCGTTTAAAGTATACTCGTAGCGTGGCGACCACATCTATTGTGGGTCACATCCTTGGCCTTGGGGACAGGCATACTTCCAACATTCTCATGGACAACAGCACGGGAGAAGTTGTCCACATCGATCTTGGTATCGCATTCGAGCAGGTGAAGGTCTTCGTTATGCATTCTTATGTGTCCGTCGTAACTCACAACTAAACAGGGTAAACTCTTGCCTGTTCCAGAACGTGTACCTTTCCGGATGACGGCGGACATGGTCGACGGCATGGGGACATCTGGAACACAAGGCGTTTTCCAAAGATGCGCGGAGGAGACGTTGCGGGTCTTGAGAGACGGGTCAGAAGTTATTATGACCGTCTTAGAAGTATTCAAGCATGACCCTCTTCATTCATGGTTTGTGACTTCTTTCTTTATCCACGTCATCCTATCCGAGTTCATTTCGCGTTCAGGACCGCGAGTGAATTGAAAGTCAAGCATGCACAACGGGACGTCCCTACGATGACCGCATACGACACTAGCCGTTTCAACCTCGGGATAGGAATTGACATGAGCAGTGGAACGGCACAAGAGTCTGCAGATCGCGCATTAAGCTCTGTCGCTCGGAAACTGGACAAGGGACTAAGTGTCGAGTCTACGGTTAATGAACTCATCGCTGAAGCTACTGACCCACTTAACCTGGCTACTATCTTTTATGGTTCGTCCTCCTACGCCATATCTATTCAGCTTGGTTTGATACTTAAATCCTCTCTTGTGTAGGATGGTGCCCTCACCTATAGTTATCCTGTTCATCTACGACCTCCAATCACGACATCATGACCATCAGCATTTAGCATTTGCATATTCATTTACTCTCCACAACGTACAAACACTTCACGAAGGGCCTTTTTTACTTCAGAGATACAATAATAGAGATTTTCAGCCGTCCGTGCCAGGTGTGATATCTGGCAAAGAGATAATTACACCGCAAAACTGTTGACAAACTCCTCTTGGTATGCTAAACGAACGAACGAAGGCGAAAAAAAAAATGTTGGGGATAAATCTAAGATATCAAGGGCTGGGAGAACTGGTACACATCGATGTAGTTTTTGGTTGGCTGGGGGAAGGCAGAGGGTACATGAAGTAGGTTCAAAACGACTGTACTGTTTGCGCACATGCATAGCAAAGACGTGGGGAAAGGGGAGATGCCGAATATTTGGTGTGAACAAATTTAGGTTGTTTGAAAAAAAGAAAAAAAGGACACAAGATGGAGAGGGATCATGCCTGTATGACCGACACAACGAGGGAAATAACTAGATGTATGATATGAAGGAGCGAAACCCGGACTATTTGTTCTTGGCGATTTCCCTGGCGGCTTTGATCAGCGGAGCCAATGTACGCAGGGGCTCTGAAAGTTTGAAGAATGGATGCTGGAAAACAACATAAGAAAGAAAGATGAAAATATAGTATGCGATGCGTACCTGCAAAAGCTCCGTAGCATTTGGCCGCTTCTCAGCGTCAACTTCAAGCGTCTTGGCTAGATAATCGCTGAACACCGATGACAAGTTTTCAGGATTCGCAATGGTGGGTGTCCCGTTTGTCGCAATAAGGTATAATGCCTTCAAAGGGTTCTGATTTAGATATGGAGGCTCTCCTTCGATCATTTCTACAAGAAGTGAGGTTTTTTTAATTATCAAGTCGAGAAAGTATGAGAAAAATTTACCTATTGCCATAATGCCCAAACTCCAAATATCAACCTTGGGTCCATACTCTTTCCGAGTCACTACCTCCGGTGCCATCCAATACGGCGTGCCCACCATAGTAGTTCGTTTCGCATGCGCAGGATCCGAAATTTGAGCGCAGAAACCAAAGTCAGCTAGAGTTTCAAATGGAATAAAATCAATAACCAAACAAAATAGGGGCAAATAAAAAGACCACTGACTGAGTTTGATGTCCCCCACCATGCTAAGAAGGACATTATCACTCTTAATATCACGATGAATAACGCCATGTCTATGCAGATGCTCCAAACCCTGGCACGTCTCCCTCGACACAGCCGCAATTTGGCCCTCCGTCATCAAGTTGGCGGTTACGACGTCCGTGAGCGAGCCGCCCTCCATGTACTCCATGACCACCCACAGGTCATTCTTATGAAGGAAGGAGTCGATGTAGTTGACGATATTCGGATGCCGCGACGACCGCATTACCAGAATCTCATTGATGATCAGATCTTTCTTGGGCTGCTTCTCCAAATCCATCTGTTTGATAGCCACTGACAGATTCGTGCCCACTTGATATGCCGTGTACACACCACCAGATGCACTAAATCGCCAGTTGAAGAAAGTCCTTGAAAGTAAGATAGAAACTCACCCTTGTCCGATCTTGACAAGATTACGGTACAACCTCGTCGGGTCAGCGTCTGTACAAATTTGCTGCAGCCGTTTGACGATATCCTCCTCTTTCCCTTTGTCGACCTTCTTCTCTCTCCTTCGTGGCGTCGCAACGCCAGAAACTTTGGCCAAACTAGAAGCAGCCGCACTCGGGGGTTGATTTTGAGCCTGCGCACGTGGATCACCACGCTCTCTTGCATTGGGTGCTGTCGGGCTTACTTGCTGTTTCAGCGGCAAGTCGGAAGACGATGATCCTGGAGATGGCTTCGCATATTGCTTCTGTTGTCCAAGAGCGTTCACACTAGGAAGTTGAGCGGGGCCCTGGCCGCTTGGAGATCGCCTATCCCGAGTTGTATTAGAACGGCCAATGTCCGCAGATTTGACTGGTTTAGCGGGAGTACGTTGAGAGGTGGAACGATCAAGAGCTGGAGTAGCGGTGGAAGGTGGCGTAGGTGCAGGACGAAATGAACTTGGCGCAGAAGTTCCAGATTGGACAGGTTGAGAATACACCGATGGTTGCGATTGTTGCTTTTTGGGAGGCGGAGGAGGTGACCGCTGAACAAAGGTGAATATCAAGCAAACATTCAACGGACAACTAACTGCTCACCGGATTTGTGAAACCATCTTCCCCAATCTTGGCAATAAAAGCTGTATCTATTGCTCCTCCCACATTTCCCAACTTGTCCCATACCTCACCATGACCTTCCTGGTAAAACTTGACAATCTCCATCACGGCCTGAGGATTCTTCTCTTGCTCCGATCTCGAGATCCCACTTTCCTGCAGCAACTGTTGCCATTCCTTGGGCAAGCCAGTGAACTCTCCTGTGGACGAGTTGAAACCGACATGGGTGAGGTGAACTGGGTCATATGGTGTGCTAATCTCCGGGCGTTTCGTGGGATTGAATACTTCCGACATGAAACCTAAAACTCCCTTCTTGGACTTTGTCGTTGTCGTTCCACTACGCGATCTACTGCCGCCTCCAGCGCTAAGCGGGGGCGGTCCGGAATAGTCGCTGGACGGGCCTGATGGCAGTGCTTCATGTGGATCAGCGTAAAAGTGGCTGTCTTCTGGCATAGGGGGTACTGGCTGGGATAGACGACGAGAAGCAAACGGGGACTGGGTGGGGAAAAGGTCGTTCAAGGTAGCCGTGTTGGCGCGAGAAGGACGCGGTGGAGGTGATGTTCCAGCCATTCCGTTGGACGCAAAGGGATCGTGTTCAGTAAGTCGCGGTGAGGGACCAGCAGATGACAAGCTGTGCTTGCGAGGGTTTGGCTTCTGTAGAGAGTTGCGAACTTTGGGAGAGGTCGGGGTAGGAGGCGAGGTTGGGGGGTGGGATTCGGTAGGCGTCTTTGATCTGAAAGATGCCGAGTTTGGAGGGGGTGGGGGTGGTCTGGAAGGGATATAGGGAGTGAACTTGGCAGCTTCCGCAGCGTGCAGGTTAGCGTCGGCAAGAAGAGCGTTGTACTCTTGGATTGATTCTCTGGACGGCCTGTGGTACTCCACGGTGATTTTCGATTGACGACGAGCTTGATTTGGGAAGGCGCGTTGATTAATGGCGCTTTGGGGTGAGGACATGTCCCACTTGGACAAACAGATGAAAGTCAAGTCCTGTGAGTCTCCGACCAAAAGTTCAGCAGTGGGCGGTGTGTAACACGGCTGCCGTTCACCACTTTGCTAGGTACAAAATGTCTCCGATTACAGCGATTGGAAGCAGTTTCGCGGCAACTCGGAGAATTACGAGATGATCCTTGAGCGGCAACAAAAGGCAGCGAGGTTGAAGGAACAATCGGAAACCTGTGAAGATGATTGTGGTCGTTACGGCTCTCTATCAATGATGATGAGCTGAAAGTGGCAGGGCTGAACAATGCTCACGGTCACGAACAGGGGTGGTGATAGAGGGCGGTTGTTTGACACGACAACGAAAAGGTTGTAGACGACGAAGGAGTGGTTGTTGTGGGAGTAGAAAAGCAAGGAGGGAGGCTAGCGCCAGAACAAAAGGCAGGAAGCTGCAATAAGCTCAACGTCGAAACCTGCTACTATGCAGAAAATCCTAAACAAAGTCACACACGTAACATCCTTGTCACAACGTGTCACACCTTTCACTTAATAACAGCACAAGGACCCAGGAGCAGGAGTCGAGGCAACGTCGAGGACATGTTCAGACATCGGATTCTTCCTCGATCGTTTATTATTCACAACGTTTTCTTGTTTTAATACAAATTGCCCAACTACATTTTTTCTTTTTCAGTAACATTTCACGGAATACCCACCGCCGGAATTGAAAAAGACAACAGCTGCATCCTCCCGACGACGCCGTACCGAGTGCTTCACCGGAACCGGCACTCCTACGACATCAAAGATCATTTTTTTCACCACGCGGAGGTCGGCCGTGACGTCGCCATTCACAGGCAACCATGAATGGGACACATTTGGCCAGCACTGCGGCCAAGAATGACATTGTGGGTGCTTTGCTCGCTCTTTGGGCAGCAGTGACGCATCCGAAGAGTACAATAATGAACAAAACCTTTCTTTCATGTACGAAACGAGGTCGCTTCCATACCAACAGGTCTGTCTATCTTGGTCTATGGATCAGCTTTAGGTACCTCATCAACCACGTTAACCGGCGTTGTCCATTGTTTCAACCATCTGAAATATTTATATCTGCTCCAAATGTGTGGTGCGTCCACCGTCCCTTTCACGCGATGTCAAGTTCCAAACTAGACAATGGGTATCTACAAACTACCCTGGCGATGTTGACTACGAGCAACCGAAACGAAGGGATCGCTTCTATCAAGCCATCTCATAATAGATGCCTCAGTACCCGACGGGAAAACCGGAGGTGGAGCTTTCGCAAGTTCAATGGCTTTACGCGCAGCCACGCAGATCATAACAGCTGCAACGATCACTGGAAGCATCATTACAATCACAGCGCTACTCCAAAGAACAATAAAAACGTACTGCACACAAAGGCCAGGCATGACGAGACCCCCATCGCCGTGATCGTGCCACAAATGTTTTTTCCCAGCTCCTTTAAATCTTCGTTTGGTCCAGAATAGCATCGTTTCGGGAGCTCGTGAATCAGTGCTAAAGCAGAAACTAAAGCGGGATTAGTACAAATGTTATAGATGGTTGTAAATGCGAAACGCGTACTTGCGAACAGAACAGCGATCCCCGCAGAGTATCCTACATCTGCATAGGAGGGATCAGCAGCGTATTGATAACTTTTGGACCTCTGGAAGCTATAATACAGCATTAGTTAGTCTTTGAATACGAAGAGGAGACAGGGACGCCACGCACAGGAAACAAACTGAGGCAAAATGGCCCAACGCCAATAGGATAGCCAAGCAAATGAGACCGAAAACGAGAGCTAAAATACCAATCAATCTAGTATCCCTGTACGGATATAGAACAAGCACTCACGTTCCTTCTTCGGATGCAGGAACGACAGCGTAACGATCCCAAATATCAGGTTGAACACTGCGAAGAACAAAGCAAAGCCTGACGAAATCAAACACCAGATCAAGAGCGGTTTCAAAGCAGCCACATACCCAGATACGGCCTCCATTCACACAGCGATTTAAGGACGTTCTTGAGAGCAATCGAAACAGTGGACCGGCCACCAGATGTCATGTTCAAAGATTCGTGAAAGAGGAAGGGAAAGATAGTAAGTAGGTCGTTACTGTCATTTCCCAGATAATTATCATCAACGTCGACGAAAGGAGGAGGAGGAGCTCACCAAACGGGCCTTGAGGAAATGGAAACCTGCTCAAGAGCGCCATCATGATGGATGCTGCGTTTTGTAGTCTTCTCGCGATGATGGCTGTGCAAGGTTTGAAGGGGACCGCGGTGACCGGGCCGCTTCTGACAACGACACGCTATAACGACAAACTTCGTGTACGATATAACAGAACCCCCGGGTTTGAATTCCCCAGATGCGCGAGCTACTTACACGACTAGGTCATTATCATTCTGGGTAAAGTCAATGCTCAGAGCTTACAGAGATCCGGTTGACAAGTGATTATTTTCATCCTAATAATTACATTGCCGGGTATACAAGAAATATAAAGAGCTCACAAAGATTTGGACTCAACGGACAAAAGTCACAACCTGATTTGACCCTCCGGCTCTACCGAGTCATCTTCAATCCCATCTGCCACGTTGGCTGCCGCCCACGCAAAGGTCGCTTCGTCCTCTATATCGATCGGCGGCGGAAACTCGGCAAGCAGTGGGTCTTTTATTGGATTGTGCGCCACATAACACACCACACAGATGGATGCAACCACTTGTAGACGGATATGAGCTAACAGAACAAGAGGTCGGGCATGACCTCACATATTGCAAGAGCCAACCGAAGGAGTAGATTGATGTTTCTTTTGATTTCATCATCGCATCGGCCCCAGTGAGGGTTGAGGCATTCAGAAGGCGAGAAAAACGCGACGACTTGGCAGACTGCGATCGATGATCAGCCACTGCCGGCGATTTCTGAATGTGTCAGGGAGCACACCAAGTATTGTCACTGTCAATGACGCAAGAATGAGGAGATGGCTTCTGGCTTTTGTCAAAGCGTGATTTGAGTTCCGTTGGTTGCTGTACCAATGTCTGGAGCCAATGTGGAAAAGGTTAAGCAGCCCGGTCAAAAGACTGGAGAGAAACAACACACATGGGCATAATGCCTAGAAGAAGCAACAAAGGCTCGACAAATCTTTGCATGGCCAAATCTAAACACTCGCGTCAGGAACTCCGTCTCATGATCTGAAAACATAAAAGGGCTCACTACTCTCCTGATAGAAGTCCTAAAATCAAAACAAGTACAGCGTAAATTCTAGTGAGACTATACAGCGAACGGACCAAGTCAAACAGGGCGGAAGGGCGATCGGCAAATGCGTACCATAGTATGTCCTATGGTCCCCCAAGACCGTTGAGCAGAAGTTGGACATGCCCGTCCAAACGCTTCGGATAGTCGACTCTGATCCAAGAGCCATTGGGAACACTGGAAAGAGAGGGTCTTGAAAGACCGTTGGGCAGAAGTTAGACATGCTCGTCCAAACGCTTCGGATAGTCGACTCTGATCCAGAAGCGTCTCTTGATCCAAGAGCAAATGGAAACACTGGAAAGAGAGGGTCTTGACCCTTGAGGTTGTGAGTTGGTGGCCCAGTCTGAGAGCGGCAGACGAAGAGGAAAAGAAGGACCATGTACGTGAGAAGTGAGGTTATCAATCCGTTCATCCGCGGATTTTCACCCTACCATCATCAAGGCGCGCCCAAAGGAAAGTGCTTTATGAGGGAAGAGTTGGCAATACCACCGTTACAACAGCCATCAGCGCCAAAATGGTCAACTTGATTTAGAGTCAGAATGCTGGACAAGTAAAGATAAGGTTAGAAGGGAACGCACACTTCGGGATTCATCTGCCTTTCCACTTTAATCTGCCTACTAGGGGTCCCTCCAGAATTCAAAACAATCTTGGTGCCCAACCGCAATGTGAACAGCACAAAGCTGCGCGTGGAAAACTACGACGCCGACAGAGTGGACTGGCCGCGCACTTAGCAAGATGATTCCAGGACTCCTAAGATTCTGGTAGGCTTATGGACGGATACTGTCAATTATCGCGGCATCAAAGAAGTCGGAAATGGCCCCGGGGCCATGTCTAATCTTCAACTTACCCCTTATCTCAACGTAGACCGCCCTCAACTTCAGCACTCTTCCGTCACTGTAAGTACACTTCTTACCTTCATCCTCAGCCAAGCGCTACATCTAAAGAACAGTTTTTTTGCAGGAGTTACCAGTCGATGCTTTGGGGTCTGACCTGTCCTCGCAGCTAAGGGCCTCACTCACAGTTGACTCCTCCAATGGTGTTGCATGCGCTGCATCTGCGAGGCTATGGGAATGTCTTCTTGAGAATCACCGCTTACCCTACCTTTTGCTGAGAGTGGCGGACATGCGAATGACGCTGGGTAGCAAAGTGACTGCCCTTACCTTGTATGAAGAGGTTAGTTCACCCGATATACATGGACAAGATGCGTTGTTACTCAATTTTTGTAGTTGCAAACGATGTTGGGGGCTCCACAGCTCGCCCGTTGGATTGCGCATTCTCGGTCATCTATTCTGGCCGAGGCAGAGCGGCAAAGTAAGCCGCCATTTGCTTTTGCCATCGTAACCTCATGGTTGATGAATTTCTGTAGTGTTCAACTACAAGAACGATTTGTCGCTGGGCCTCTCGCCGAGCCAACGTTGGCGATCGACAGCAGAAAAGGATACTTTCCCTTACTGCAAACTCCAAAGCGCTCACATTGATGTTATACGCCAATGGCAGAATATGCATCCTCCGAAGGACATTATGGCCAAATGCCTGAATCTGCACTGTCTCGAGACCAATGTCATTGAAGGAACAGTTCAGTTCGATCCATCTGTCAGTTTCTCGTTCATTCTACACCGCGTGCAGGTCCTTACTTTCGTCGCAGGATACAGCTAGACTGGTTGAAGTCGGCTTCTACAATCAAGCAGAGCTCGTCGACCTAGGGAATCCCATAGGCGGTGCAGTGCGAAACCGCGCCGATGCGCTATCTATCCTCCAAGATACACATGAGGTCACAAATCCTTGTTGTTTTTGCCTCCTTGAATACTGCTGATGATCCTGTGCGTATAGGCCTTGAGTGAAATATTTACTTCCCTCGAGTCTGACCCTCTGAATCTCACTGTGGAGACAATATGCCGTCTTCATGCAGAGTTCATGCAAACCAGCCGGGTCTTATACATTGACACGGTTTCCGGAAGTCGATTGTCTTACCTTAACATAGGAATAACTCGACAAGTCTCCCGCTGCAACGTCACAGCGACTTCTCGCGAGCAAGGCGTGAAGATACAGTTTTGTCCGTATGATGAAGTCGAAGCGGACCTTATTACATTTTGCAAACGCTTCAATGTCAGTATGGAAGTGGCATCACCTCAAAATCGACCATATAAATAAATGTACTTACGAGCTTTTAGGAACTTGTTCGACAAGCCGATATGGACCCTTTCGCCTCTGCCGCATGGATCAGTCATGTTTTTCTCACTATTCATCCCTTTGAGGCAAGTTTCTCGTTGTATTAATCACCTTCCACTTATACTTTTGCTCGACTGCGTAGGATGGTAATGGACGATTATCCAGAATCTTAGCGTCAATACCATTATTGAAGAATGGACTCCCACCTCTATGTATCCCGGCTTTCTACAAACTTGCATACAATCTGCTCCTCAACAACGCATGTTCCATTGTCCCTACTTCCTCGTTTCCATGACTGACTGTTACGCAGATGAGAGCGAACCGAGACGGAGACTACCAGAAATTGATGCAAATGCTATATGATGCAACAAAGGCATCCCTGGACACGCTGAAGGCAATAATTTGACTTGAGACAATGAGAGGGAGTTGCAGTAGGGCAACAAGGCTATGATAACTTGAGATGTGGAAAGAGCAATGTGATAATGGTTCGCTTGAAAATTTTTGCTAGAAGACAAATTACTTACGTGGGCATCAAAAATCAGCAGCTGCTATCGAGGATAGACGAGTTGCCATCATGATGAACACTGCGTTTTGTGGTCTTCTCGCGATGATGGCTGTCCAAGGTTTGAAGGGGACCGTGACCGGGCCGCCTTCCAGTTATACGACAAACTTCGTCCATAGTTTACTTGTAACAGAACCCCATGTATAGTCGGGTTTGAAGATGCGCGAGCCATTTACACGACCAGGTCATCATAATTTTGAGTGAAGTCAGTGCGAATCAGAATTGACGTCAACTTCCACCCAGAGCACTTGTCCAGCGACAGGGTCATCGAGGCTCATAGCTTACAGGGATCTAAGCCGTTGGAATGTGTGTCATCCTAATATTTACATCGATGGGTATACAAGCGATAGAAAGCTCACAAATGTCTGTACTCGGCTGAGAGGGTCATAACCTGACCTGACCCTCCGGCTCTATCGAATCATCTTCAATCCCATCTGCCACATTGATCCCCGCCCACGCAAAGGTCGCTTCATCCTCTATATCGATCGGCGACGGAAGCTCGGCAAGCAGTGGGTCTTTTATTGGATTGCGCGCCACATTGTACACCACATACAAGGATGCAACCACTTGTAGACAGATATGAGCAACAGAACAAGAGGTCGGGCAGGCCCTCACATATTGCAACAGCCAACCAAAGGAGTAAGTTGATATTTGTTTTAACTTCATCTTCGCAACGGCCCCAGCGTCGGTTGGTGCATTCAGAAGGTGAGAAAAACGCGACGACTTGGCAGACTACGATCGATGATCAGCCACTGCCGGCAATTTCTGAAGAAAGGTCGTGGGGGCACACCAAATATTGTCATTGTTAAAGACGCAAGGATGAGGAGGTGGCTTCTGGCTTTTGTCAAAGCGTGATTTGAGTTCCGTTGGTTGCTATACCAATGTCTAGAGCCGACGTGAAAAAAAGGTTAAGCAGCCCGGTCAAAGGGCTGGAGAGAGACACACATGGGTACAATGCCCAGAAGAACCAACAAAGGCTCAACGAGTCTTTGCATGATGTTCAAACCTAAACACTCTCCTTAGGAACTCCGTTTCATGATCTGAAAATATAGGAGGGCTCACCATTGTCCTGATAGAAGGGCGGATATTGAGTCAGTCCTAGAATCAAAACAAGTCCAGCGATAAATTCCAGTAATGCTATATAGCGAACGGGCCAAGTCAAACAGGGCGGAAGAGCGATCAGCAAACGCGTACCATAATATGTCCTATGGTCCCACAAGACCCTCTCTTTCCAGTGTTTCCAAATTGCTCTTGGATTAAGAGACGCTTCTGGATCAGAGTCAACTATCCGAAGCGTTTGAACGGGCATGTTCGACGTCTGTTCAACGATGTTTCCGGGACACCTAAGATTTGGTAGGGTCGTCACCAGCCGTTATGGACGGATACTGATTTGAGACCAATTACATACCGCGACATCAAAGAAAGTCGAAAATGCAAATCCCATAGAGACTAGAAATACAGGTTTACATGTCCGACTGACTATATAAAACTGAAGAGTTCAACTCGTGGCAACGGCCTGGTAACACGGCAACAAAGAATGGTTGAAGAAACGATCAAATCAAGTCCTTAGAAAGTTAGAAGCTTAGATCGATAGTCTATAACAAGTGCTTGTCCCAAAAGTTCAGCGCTCAACCCGAATCGACTCTCAAAAAGACTCTTTCAACGTACTCTTCTAACGTCTAGTAAACTGTAAGACCAGTAAGTATAGGGCTTCAGATATAGTAGTCGTGGTCTGAATAGTAATCATACATGTCATCACCAATATCATCCCATGCCACATAATCATCTTCCGAATCGGCAAAACCTGTCCCCCTCCGGCTCCCATCCCAAATCACATCGACAACGATTTCTCTAAGTTCGTCAACATGCTTTGCCGTCAGGCAATAACATTGAGAAAGCGTCAGCTCGCGCACTTCGGCCCCCCGCTCGTAACGTTGCACTAGGCAGTCCTTCAAATCATCCAGCTTGGCAGATTGTCCATTACCAAAATTCGCGGTTTCAATTGTAAGGTGGAGCAGGGAGGGAAAGTAGACTGCAGGGGGGATCTCTCTCCAATTGCTTGATTGTTTCCGCGTCGATGAATTCGCGGACACATCTGTGCGAGTGGGACTACTAGGCTCAGCAATCATGGCTGACAGAAGCGTGTGTACGCCCAGCCTCGGTGCACGTATGGATCTTAGATGTGTAAGCTTTCCAAACCTCCTCAAGAACGTTTGTTCCGTGATTTGGCATGCGCTCAAAACATCCAATGACGCGAGTTGCTCCAAAGGTAAAGCAGCACAGGTCTCTCCGATTACCTTATCCCAATATTCGGACGTAACGGTTGAAAGCCATCGGAACTCCAAATTTATGGAAGGCTGCAGATTCTGACCTCCATCGGACAACGTTTGAAACGACAACACGGTGGGCCAGGCTTGCAGACTGAAGCCCACTGAATCAAAACCCACGATTTTGAGACTGCGGATGGGGCACTTATGTAGTTTTTCAGCACTGGATATGATAGCTGTTGGATCCCATAAGCCACTGACAAAGGTCATGATACTGGAGAAATTGGCGTCAGAGACCATTGTGCTTCGGCAATACAGCTGAAGGGTGGCAACAGATGACGCAGATAGATGCCTTAACGCATTAGAACAGTCGGTATCAGAGCTCGAGAGATATAAAATTGTCAACGAGTGCAGTTTAACATTGCGTTTGTATGACACCGTCGAAGAGCCATCAGCAACATGGGGAAGCGCGTCCTTTAAATCGAGCACTGTGAGGGTTGGAAGTTGCTCTAGAACATCCAAAAAAAGGGGTATAGATGGTCTAGTTCCTGGAGCGGTATCATGAATTTTTAGGTGTGTAAGACCTCTGAGAAGGTGGGATGTCCAATCAAGATTGCAATGTATTAATTCGAGGTGTCGGAGCTGAGAAGAGTCATCACTGAAGAGCTCTGGAGGAATGGAGTAGTTGTCAAGAGACAGCTCCGAATATTGGTAATCGTTTGTTGAAGTAGTCAGCACGAGGGTCTGAAGTATGGGCGCCGCTCTCGGGACACTCGAGAAAAGTTTTCCGAATGATGCACTCGAGGAAGTTATGTTCAACACCCGTACACGGGAAGTGTGGTTCATGGCCAGTTGAACGCCCTCGATTGATTTTGGGGCCCCCATGTAAGCAGACCAGACATCAATTACAAGAGGAACCATTTTGGACCTCTTCAACATCTCTTCCACCCACCTCGGTCGCGCGAAAACAAGTGTTGTCCAGAATTGAGGGCAACCGATAGCCACTGTTCGCCAATGGCGTGAGACGTGGGTGACTCTAACCCAATCCATGTTTAGCTGCGGGCGCCGATATGTGGCTGCGCAATACAGGAATATTTTGGAGAGTATTTCAGGGGGGAGGCGCGAAATGGCAGCTAAGCTATTGCGGCGAGACTTGAGCGCTCGGATGGCCCCTTCCATTTTCTCAATGTCCTGATCAATACGGCGACGAGCAACATCAGCGGTATTATGAATCTCGTAAAAGTCTTGAATTTGTGGCTCGGAGGATGATATGCCAGGGATATCTTAGATTGAGTACTAAGTATCCTGACTTCAAATCTAATTGACCTTGAAGGTGGAAGCATACCTGTGGAAAAGGGGTCATCAAGTTTAATGGATTGAGAATGTAGACCAGCGACAAAACCCGACATATCGAGGTGTCCGGGTGTGGTATGGCTTGGGTATGGCAATGGTATGGAGTTCATTCATTATTACATAATCCGTCGTCAATAGCGTTCAACGTTCAACGTTCAACATTCAACATTCAGCCTGAATTGACTCTCCAAAAAACTATTTAACCTCTAAGAACAATGCAGGGCTTCAGAAATGGAAATGATACTGGTCGTCATCCGAATCATCCATGTCATCATCGATATCATCCCCATGATCATCTTCCGAGTCATGGACATCGACAAAACCTGTCACCAACCCATCCCAAGTCACATCGACAACGATTTCTCTAAGTTCCTCAACATGTTTTCTCGTCAGGCGATGACATCGAGAAAGCACCAGGTCGCGCACTGCAGGCTTCCTCCAGCAACGTTCCATCAGGCAGTCCTTCAAATCCTCCAATTTGGCATATTTGTTATCGTAACCTGGATCAAAACTTATGTCTTCGATTGTAAGATGGAGCAAGGAGGGAAAGTAGATGCTTGAGTGTTTCCCCGTCGATGAATTCGTGGTCCCAGTGACGGTCCTAGGCTCAGCCATCATGGCTGACAGAAGCGTGTCCACGGCCCGCCCTTGTGTGCATATGAATTGCAGATGTTTGAGCTTCCCAAACCTCGCCAACCATGTTTGTTCTGTAATTTGGCGTGCGTTCAAAATATCCAACGAGACGAGCTGCTCCAAAGGTAAGGCAGCACAGGCCTCACTGATTATCTTATCCCCAATTCCAGGTGCAACGGTTGAAGACCATTGGAAAAACAAATCTATGGAAGGCAGCGGATATCCAGACAATGCTTGGAACGATGGTCTTGGCCAGGCTTCAATACTTAATTGAGTTAAACCGACAGCATGGATTTCTAGCCAATGGATGGGGCGCTTATGTGGTTTTGCAGCACTGGATATGGTAGCTGTTGGCCCCCATAAGCCACTGACAAAAGTCAGGATACTGGAGAAATCGGGATGAGACACCGCTGTGCTTCGGCAAGATAGTCCAAGGGTGGCACTAGATGGCACAGATAGATGCCTCAATGCATTAGAACAGTCGGAATCAGAGCCCGAGAGATGTAAATATGTCAACGAGTGCAGTTCAACAATGCGTCGGCATGACACTCTCGAAAAGCCATCAGCAACGTGGGGAAGAGCTTCCTTTAGATCGAGCACTGTGAGGGTTGGAAGTTGCTCTAGAACATCGAGAAAAAGGGGTGTAGATGGTCTGGTTTCAGGAGCAGTATTGTGAATTTTTAGGTGTGTAAGACCTCTGAGAATGTGGGATGTCCAATCAAGGTTGCAATGTATCAGTTCGAGGCGTCGGAGCTGAGAGGAGTCATCACTGAAGAGTTCTGGAGGAATAAAGTAATTAATATGAAAAGGCTCCGTAGAAAGCTTTGTTGAAGTAGACAGCACGAGGGCCTGAAGCATGGGCGCTGCTCTGGGGACAATCGAGAGAAGGTTTCCAAACCATGCACTCGTGGAAACCAAGTTCAACTCCCGTACACGGGAAATGTGGTTCATGGCTAGTTGAACGCCTTCAGTCAATTTTGGTTTTACGATGTACATGGATCCAAACCGGCCATCAATGACAAGAGGAGCCATTTTAGACCTTTTCAACATCTCTTCCACCCACCTCGGTCGCGCGAAAACAAGCGTTGTCCATAAGTGAGGGCAACCGATAGCCACCGTTCGCCAATGGCGTGAAACGTGGGTGATTTTGACCCAATCCATGTTGAGCTCGTAAGTGGCTGCGTGACAAACGAATATCCTGGAGAGTACTTCAGGTGGGAGGCGCGATATGGCAGCTAAGCTATTGCGGCGAGACCTGAGCGCTCGGATGGCCCCTTCCATTTTCCAAATCTCCTGATCAATACGGTGACGGGCAGCATCAACGGTATTCATCTCGTAGAAGTCTTGAATTTGTAGCTCGGAGGATAATATGGGGGTACTATCTGTAAATATTCTGGCTTCATTGAATCAAATCTAGCTTGAAGATAAAAGCTCACCTATGGAAAGAGAGTCGTCAAGTTTATGAAATGGAGGATTCGGACCAACGACAAATGCTGACATGTTGGGTTGAACGTTGAACGTTGAACGTCGACGTTGACGTTGAATATTGTTGAATGGGTGTATTCATTATATTGGCTTATGTAAGCACTTTGCCTGCGTGTCATGTCATGTTCCCCCTGATCTGACAGAACTTTCACTAGCGCTTGACTAGCGCGACGGTACCGTGGTTGGGGATGGGCAGCGACGCATCTTCTAGTATGGCACCTACGAAATGGTTCCTGTTTACCGACTGGCCGATGGAGGAACCCATAACTGCCATGTGGAAGTTGGAGAAACACCCCAACGACGACGAGGTCGGCTCGGTACCCTGCCAGCTTTGTGTCTTTCATGCCACCACTTGACCGTTTTGCCCAAAAAACCGCCACAGGTGCCTCGACAACATCGTTCGCCACGGCGTGTAAGGCCATGATAGCGCCATCCTTCGTGTCGTCCAGGATACGGAATCTCCACGGACTTGCCGTCCTCCACTACACAATACCCTTTCACACGTATAGCGTCGATTCCTCCCGGACACTTCTCGATCCCCGGTTTCCGCAAAGCTGTGACGCCCCCGGGCTGTAGGAACTCGCCGACAATCTGGCTCAGAGAGCGAGCGTTCGAGTAGACATATTCGGAGTGGTTTTGAGCGAAGGATGGTGGATAGTCCATGGGCGAGAGAACAATCATCTATGCCGGCACCGACGATGAGCACGTCGTACGCGTTTGAGGATGACATAGGATGGCGGCGTCGTCGGTGAGGAGGTTTTGTGTGATGGTCATGTTATATGATCATGAGATATGGCAGTTTGGCTATTGCGGCGAGACTTGACCGGGACTGCTGAGCGCTCGAGTGGCGCCTTCCATTTTCTCAATGTCCTGATCCATACGGCGACGAGCAACATCACCGGTATTTTGAATCTCGTAAAAAGTCTTGAATTTGTGGATCGGAGGTTGATATGGTATGTTAGATCGAGTACTAAATATCGTGACTTTGAATCTAATTGAGCTTGAGCTTCAACGTTTGAACTTTGAAGCGTACCTGTAGAAAAGTGGTTTTGAATTGAGGATTCAGACCAACGACAAATCCTGACATGACATATATGCTGAGGTGGGCGTTGGTGGACGCTCATTCAGTATTACGTAATCCGTTCATCAAAACATCCATTGAACTTGCATTGAACGCGCACAACGTTCAGCCTGAATTGACTCTTTGAAAGACCATTTTAAATTCTTAAACCAGTACAGCGCTTCAGAAAGGGAAAGATGCGTAGTAGTCATCCGAATCAAAGCCATAAATGTGATCATCCATATCCGAGTCCCCCATGAATCCAAAATGATCACCATAATCACTGTCTTCCGAGTCTGTAAAACCTATCTCCAACCCATCCCAAATCACATCGACAACAATGTCTTTAAGTTCGTCGACATGCTCTGCCGTCAGGCGGTGACATTGAGAAAGCGTCAGTTTGCGCACTTCGGCCTTCCTCTCGTAACGTTCCATCAGGCAGTCCTTCAAACCCTCTAATTCGGCAGATTCGTGATCGTAATCTGAATCAAAACTTGTGTCTTCGATTGTAAGATGGCGCAGGGAGGGAAAGTAGACTGTGGGTGGCATCTTTCTCGGATTGCGTGAGTGATTCCGTGTCGATGAATTCGTAGGCACACTTGCGCCGGTGGTCGTACCAGGCTCAGCAATCATGGCTAAGAGAAGCATGTGTACGGCCATCCCTTGTGCACGTATGGATCGTAGATGTGCAAGCTTCCCAAACCTCCTCAACCACGTTTGTTCTGTCATCTGGCTTGAGGAAACGTCCAACGAGGCGAGCTGCGCCAAAGGTAAAGCAGCACAGGTCTCTCCGACTACCTCATTCCAAATTCCGGGCGGAATGGTTGAAGACCAGTGGAAACTCAAATCTATGGAAGCCAGATCTCCAGATAACCTTTCAAACGACAATGTGGTAGGCCAGGCTTGTAAACTGAAACCCGTTGAACCATCGCTCACGAGTTTGAGACTGCGCATGGGTGGTTTTGCAGCACTCAATGTGATAGCTGTTGGTTCCCATAAGCCACTGACAAAGGTCAGGATGGCGGAGAAATCAGAGACCGCTGTGCTTCGGCAATATAGCTTAAGTGTGGAGATGGATGACACAGATAGATGCGTCAATGCATCAGAGCAGTCGTAATCAGAGCCTGAGAGATATAGATTTGTCAACGAGCGCAGTTCAACCTTGCGTTTGTATGACACCGTCGAAGAGCCATCAGCAACATGGGGAAGCGCGTCCTTTAAGTCGAGTACTGTAAGGGTTGGAAGTTGCTCTAGAACATCGAGAAACAGGGGTGTGGATGGTCTAGTTCCTATAGCAGTATCGTGGATTTTTAGGTGTGTAAGACCTCTGAGAAGGTGGGATGTCCAATCGATATTGCAATGTATCAGTTCGAGGCGTCGGAGTTGAGAGGAGTCATCACTGAAGAGTTCTGGAGGAATGGAGTAATTGTCATGAAAAGAATGCTTTGTTGAAGTTGACAGCACAAGGATTTGAAGGATGGGTGCTGCTTTTGGGACACTTGAGAAAAGTTTCCCAAACCATGCACCCGGCGAAACTATGTTTAACTCCCGTACACGGGAAATATGGTTCATGGCCAATCGAACGGCTTCAGTCGATTTTGGGCCCATGTACCCAAACCGGGCATCAATGACTAGTGGAGCCATTTTGGACCTCTTCAACATCTCTTCGACCCACTTCGGTCGCGCGAAAACAAGCGTTGACCATAATTGAGGGCAACCGATAGCCACCGTTCGCCAATGGCGTGAGACATGGGTGACTTTAACCCAATCCATGTTGAGCTGCTGGGGCTCGTGTGTGGCTGCGCAACAAACGAATATCTTGGAGAGCATTTCAGGGGGGAGCCGCGATATGGCAGCTAAGCTATTGCGGCGAGACTTGAGCTCTCGGATGGCCCCTTCCATTTTCTCAATGTCTTCATCAATACGGCGAAGGGCAACATCAACTGTATTCTGAATTTCTGGCTCGGAAGATAATATGGCGGCACTATCTTGGATTAAGTAAATATCCTGACTTGAGATCAAATTGAGCTTGATGGTAAAAACTCACCTATGGAAAGCGGGTCATCAAGTTTATCGAATTGAGGACTTGGCCCAACGACAAATCCTGACATGTTGAGGCTGAACGTTGAACGTCGAGTACTGAGTCAATACTGAGTATAGGAGTCGTGCTTGAGTCGTGCAGTCGTGTACAGATCGCGTCGATAATTGCAGAGGCTTGCATAAGCAAGACAAGAGCAGTCACTAGCACTCTCATCGAACACGCCGACGATGGACTCCTCCGAGTTGTATCATGTCAAGCAGCAATTCGTGCTCGGTAATCGCGCTACTCACCGCTTGAAACACATTCTGACACACTCTTTTTGAAAGGCGCTTACAAGACACTTACCCAGCTCACCTTGCCAGATTCTTCATCGCCCGATTATGCGTCTACACTCCTCTACAAAGCTCGTGCATATATCGCTCTTCACGACGCGAAATCAGCGCTTCAACTGATACCAGAAGACACTGAGGATGTTTCGCTTAAATCCGCTGCCTCGCTCGCGCGATACGTGGCTGCTGCCGATGCCGTGGAGAAGGAGGCGGCTTTAGAGGAGTTGAGAGATTTGTCTGTTGAGATAGAAGGAGATGAATCGGAAGGGAGTGAGAGAGAGAAGGCAGTTGTCAGAGTGCTGGCGGGTACAGCATTTGCGCAAGCCGGCGAAATCGAGGAAGCTTTAGAGACCCTTGGAACCGACACTGAAGATCTAGAAGCGTATGTACTTATCTTCATCCCACTTTTTGTCGAACAGCTCAATGTTTGTTTTCCAGAGTCGCGTTAATCGTTCAAATTTATCTCTCAATCAATCGACCTGACCTTGCGAAGAAACAATTTGACCGTTCGAAGCGGTGGGCTGAGGATGACCTTCTCTTGCAACTCATCGAATCCACCATTGGTCTTGTCACCGGAAAAGATGGTTATTCAAATACCAGCTCCTTCTACACCGAACAATTGGGCAATCCGTCGCTGTCGTCCCCTCACCTCTTGACTGCACGCGGCGTTACACGCATCTTCCGAAACGAAATTCCGGAAGCGAGATCAGATCTAGAGGAGTCTTTACAGCAGCAAAAGGGGAACCCGGAGGCAGAGGCTGCATATGTGGTTGCTGCTGGATTGGGTGCTACAAAGCCGTCGGAGGCTGAGGAGCTCTGGACGTGCGTATCTTTCACGAATTATGAGTCGCTTTGTGTTCTAACAAATTCACCCATTTATCTTCTTCTCGCAACAGCCGATTCGCAGCAGAGCATCCCACACACCCGCTGGTTGAAAACGTGAACAAAAAGGCCGCTGCATTCGATGAGTTTGCAGCCAAGTTCACTGTCCCACCCTTGGCAACGGCTTCTGCGTAGTGATTTTTGTGGCATGTATTATTATTATTGTGGATAATGAGGTTTGCATTATATTCCACAGGCGTCTACCTGTTAGGCAATCCTCAACAGTGTAGATGGGTGCTGTGTCCTTATGGTTTCGAAGTTCCCCCAACATCTTATCAAAATTAGGGACCTTACATTGCTCTAGGCGGATTGCGCGCAAAAAAACATTCTTCTATTCGAATAGTTGTGACATGCAGGTATACAAGGGTAAAGTACAGGTATCGATGAAGGATAAATACAACGAGAGCAATGGAGTCAGTATCTTCAAGCATTCGCAAAGCGTAATTTTGATCCACCAGCAACGCGAGCCCAAATATCGATATCTTCGTACTGCGTGATCAAGTTTCAGCGACACTGCCAAAATAAAAATAAACCAGGTAAATACCTGTGAAATGGTGTCCATAAGCTGCACTTCCGTGAATCCAGCACCAATCACACGAGCACGGATATCAACCATGGACAATTCTTGGTCGTCGTCTTCCGCGTCGGAATCCACGTCCATGTCCCGTTCTCTCCCAGGGCCCCTCCCGAATCGTTTTTGACGAGTCCTTTTACTAGGCTTCCCACCGGAACCAACCATCCCTTTGATCAAGCGGAATATTTGACTGACGGCAGATTTATCGGGTTCATAATCCTTCTCGTTGTCGTCTTGTAGACTTGCTTTGCTGCATTCCATAAGACGCAGCGCCTCGTCTACGTCAGGACGTTCAACGGTGTCAGCCAAGCGGAGACGGGCTAGGGCTTGCGCTAGGCGCAGAACGCCGAGCAACGTTCGTGCAGAGGTATAAGTGTGAGATTTAGCTTGTTGTTCTTCGTCTTTAGATTGCTTGCGGAGTCGAACATATGAGTCAACGACGTAAGCTGAAACGTGAGGTGGGACGGTAGGGCGTTTTTGCCTCGCAAGAGCGATATAGTGTCTGGTGTACCAGTCAACGATACATACACTATCGAGAGAAGAAACGCGTACCTCATGACGTTTGGGTCAACGACGTCATTATCAAGCGCAGGATGTCGGTTATGCATGTGCACGTAGGTAACGTGTTGCGCAAGACGTTCGTCGTCATCCCGTGAAGGTTTGTCAAGAATGAGGAAAAGGAGGTCAAATCTTGACAGCAGCGCCGCGGGAAGATTGATGTTCTCAACCGGGGAGACTTTGGGATTGTACCGTCCATAAAGAGGATTGGCGGCGGCAAGTATTGATGTCCTTGCGTTGAGTGTTGTTGATATGCCTGCTTTTGAGATAGAGATTGTTTGTTGCTCCATTACTTCGTGAATTGAGGTCCTGTCTGCTTCCTCCATCTTGTCGAATTCATCAATGCAGCAAATTCCGTTATCGGCAAGGACCAATGCTCCACCCTCTGAGGTTCAAAAGATATTAGATTGTTGGAATGATTGAAATAGATTCACGTACCTAGCACCATCTCGTCCGTGACGGGATCCCGCATAACGGCAGCGGTAAGACCGACTCCTGACGATCCCTTTCCGGTGGTATAAACACCTCGAGGAGCGATTTTGGATATATATTTCAGCAGTTGCGATTTCGCGACCCCTGGATCACCCATCAAGCACATGTTGATGTCGCCTCTAATCTTCATGCCATCCCCAGTAACCTTGGTCACCCCGCCGACAAGTAAGAGTAATAAAGCCTTCTTCACGTCTTCGTGGCCGTAAATTTCTGGAGCTATACTTTGGGCCAGAGTGATGTACAAAGCCGGGTCATTTCTAAGTTCGTTAGTAGCACGTAAAATTTCGGGCGTTATTTCCATTTCGCTGTATTGCTTCTTCAGTTGATGAATGTAGTGCGCTTCGAGATAAGTGTCGGTGAGAAGGCCCGCGCGAATCGCCTGGAAGCCAGTGTAAGGGGTGGGGAGGAAGACTCCGCCAAGGTGGACGACGTCGCCGGGATTCATCGTCCGAGTAAGGGTCCCATTTACGTGAACAGTCATTGATCGAGGGATGTGTCCAACGGGCACTTGGTCGGCCTACAAGACTATTAATCGCAGTCGAAAAGATTTGATTCTCGTGACACGTACCATCTCCTGAATCTTCACTTCTTGAAAGGGGCTGAAGCGACAGGCCCGAGTTTGCATGTGTAAAGAGTTATGGATCCCATTTGTCTTACATTCACTCTCATTTTGGCAATCAGAAATCGGCATGAAAGATTTGTTTGAGATATCTTGGAAAGTTTCAGAGCCACAGACATCACAAGTATAGGCGTTGACTTGCAGGAGTGGCTTGACTTCCGAAACTCGAGTTACAATCCCGCGAACAGTGATTAGGTGGCCAAGATAAGAGCCCTTGACGTCACGAACAGCGATGGCAACGTCGCTTTTGAGAGGTTTGAAGTAAAGATTGCTGTCCGATATCTCAAGACGTGACAAGCGAAACGATGGAATAAAGACGCACTATCGTCGGAGAAGATGATCTGGGAAACCATCCTGGATACCCTCGGTCTGCTCGTTACGTTCGCGCCGTTGATGTAGAATGACGTCGATGACTTCGTCGTGTTCACTGATGTCCTTGGTCGGTTGGGGCATCAGCTTGTCTACGACCTCGCTGAAAAGGCCAACATATCGACGTGCATTATTGCGGATACGGGTGACGAGTTCTGCGTCGTGCTAACAAAGGCGCGTTATGTGATGCAAATGCAAAGGGGGTAGCAACGTACTGCATGAATATCTTCCAAGTCAATCATAATCATTTGCTGGTCGCGGTTTGCGATTCTTTGCTTTAGGACTGATTAGACGCGCTATCGACGCGTCAAAGTGTGACGGGAACGCGTACCAACTGGTTCATATACTTTAGGGATGTTGTGTCTGGAGCTGCAACACGTTCATCATCGTCGATGTCGATGTTTGCAAAGTCCTTCGCGAGGTCGGTTTCTTGACTTTTGAATTTGGACAAGAAATCCTTTATCCTGTCTAAGGATAAAATGAATGTCAAAACCACAAAAGAGAGGCCAAACCCACCCTTCTCGTCTTCGTAATTTATGTTGAGAGTTATGATGGGCAGCGACATGATGGTGAGAGGCGTGAATGTCGGTGTTTGAAATTTGACAACATCCCACCAAGGCAACTTCCTGGCAACTTCCCTTCAATCACATAGCACGTTGATGACAGTCCCAAGCACACTTGTACTCAAAGGAAGCTCCGCTCCATCTACTGTATGTATAAATATCTTGACTGCCGCTTCACATAACACTTTACACAAGTTGGCGACTACATACTTCATCTGACTACGGCTATAGGTGAGAATAGAAGGAAACGAATGTTTACCCCCTCCTCTGTGAGATAGCATTGTGTGTGAACAGGTGTCTTGCTCATCGTTTGATAGATGATTGGTGGAACCCTTGGGAACCCCTTCGGCAGCCCTATATTAAAAAGGCACCTAATGGTCTCGTGCCTCTGATATGAGCTGATATGGTATCTTCCTGAGTAAATTACGGCACGCGTACCGCCAGCAAAGGTAATTAGTCTCTCAAAAGTATAGCCGCCGTTTATCCACCCTTTCTCGAATCCAGCATTCTCTCTGTCAAACAGTGTCACCCTCCATCAAACATGTCTTCTTCGGTTCCTTCTATGATTACCGTCCTATAAAAGAGTTCTGCACCATCCCTTGTCGTTGTTGACTCCCTCTCTACTCTATCATGTCCGTGAACAGGCTTTCGTCTTTCCTGGGCCGTCGCCCTAGTGCATCAGTAAGTGACCATTTGCAAAAGCCTTCATATCCTAACGCCAACTGTAGACAACTGGTGTCGCGAATGGTACAGCGACAGAGACCTCTCCCACCAACGGTGCCTCGGGCGATCCCAAAATCTTGAAAGACTTCCGCGAGCAGGTATAGTGTTACGACTGCATGGGGATACTTCGTCGAGGCCTGAACTTTTCTCTAGATCAAGAGAGGGGTGCCCTTCAGCCTAGAGACGTCTTCTCTGGTGACTATGACCCCCAGCAGTTTTCGTACCCATCTAATCACCATTTACCATTCAAAGGCCGCAATTCTCGATCTTATAAGGCATAAGGATGCGATTGATGACAGGAAATTGCTGGTCCGTATCCTTGGCAGTTAGCGACGACGCACTATCCAATGACGCCACTCTCTTAGCTTGAGCACGCCCTCACGTTCGTCTCTCGGTTGGAGGAGGGTGATCTCTCACGCAAACTGAAAAATGGGATCATTGAACTTTGTCAGTCATTCTATCTTCTTATTAGAAGCATTTTCTTACGTAGTTTTCGTGTAAAACAGTGTACAATGACCTTACGCACCCAGCTGCGACCAGCATCAGCAATAAATATGCCTGGCGAACTGCAGACGGATCCTACAACAACATTGACGTTCCTGATATGGGCAAGGTATGAGCATCATACTTGATGGTTGAGCACTTCTCATCTTCGTTTTTCAAGGCTGGGACACCTTACTCTCGGTCGGTGCAGCAATCCAACCCTTTGCCTAAGAATCAATTGCCGGACCCTGGTCTCGTGTTCGATACGTTCGTGTCGTATTTGCATCTTGATGTTTTCGTTCTAATTCAGACTTAACTAGGCTTCTGAAGCGTGAAGGAGTACGCCTGCAGTTTCTTTCCCATAGTTTTACACTTAACCTCCTTTTTAGTTTGTCAAGCACCCCGGCGGACTTTCCTCCCTCATGTTCTCGTTCGCTGCACTCGTCATTCACAGCGTTTTTCGGACTTCCCATCGTGACATCAATATCAATGAAACCTCTTCCTATGTTGACCTCGCTCCTCTTTACGGGAATAATGTTGAAGACCAGAATCGAATCCGGGTGCGCGATGGCCGTGGTCGTCTTCATCCTGATGTTTTCGCGGAGGACCGACTGCTCTTGCTCCCTCCTCAAGTTTGCGTCCTCTTGGTACTCTTCAGTCGCAATCACAACGTAAGCCCGTTTACTCCTTACGTACTCCCATCCACCTCAATCCGCTTCTTAGTACATTGTGGAACGTCTTCTGGAAATCAACGAACGAGGAACTTACGTTGATCCTGATCAACTTTCGCCCGATGATCCTGCTCAAAAAGCCCAGCTTCTGGCGCAGGAAGAAGAGCTTTTCCAGACTGGTCGGCTCATCAATTGTGGCTGGTTTGGTTCAGTCGTCTTCTCTGATTATTTCTCCTGCATCTTGGGACTTGTAAGGGACGGCAATAACTGGAGTTTGAGTCCCTTTGGAGTTGGTATCATCTTTGACTCAGCCTTTCCTTTGACTAACTCTTCCTTCAGGAAATCAGAAAAGACGATCATTCGCTTTTCGAGCGGGGTAAAGGTAACGTATGCAGTGTTGAGGTAATTCTTGAGCGTCTCCTACTCCAGTGTCATTTTGACTTTTGAAAATAGTTCAACTGCTTGTATCGCTGGCACGCGACCACTAGCTTAGAAGACGAGGCATGGGTCCACAAGGCTTTTTCCCAGATATTCGGAGGCAAGCCAATCGACCAGATCACACCGGAAGATTTCAGGAATGCAGCAAAGAGGTTGGAGCAGGTCCAACCTGATGTCACTCACTGGACTTTCGGAGGGTGATCTTATCTGTCTGTGTTGCATCCCATTTCACTGATTATATTCCTTAGCTTGCAGCGACAAGAAAATGGAAGGTTCAAGGACTCTGATCTCGCTGATGTTCTAAAAAACGCGTGAGTTTCCTTCTACCTTCACACTTGATACCTTTATGCTCATCCCTACCTAGTACTGAACACTCTGCAGGTGCATTCCGAGCCCGCGGAACGCCTGGTGCGGTTTCCAACTCATTTCTATCAAGCGCTTAGGCTCACTCTATGTTGACAGCTGCCATGCGTTTGAATGAAGTTATGGGTATTGAGCAAAACAGGCGATGGGGCGTGTGTTCTCTGAATGATTTCAGAAAGGTCAGTGCTGCCTCGCCTTTGCCTCATTACAATTCATCTAATAATCGTCTCATAGTACCTGGGCCTTAAGCGTAAGCATGCAACGCGTTTGTTGACTTGGAGTTAATTGAATGTTTCTGCCTCACAGCCTATGCCACATTCCTTGAATGGAACTCGGACCCCGAGATTGCAGACAGTGCTGAAAAGCTCTACGGAGACATCAACTTCCTCGAGCTCTACGTCGGTTTACAGGCAGAGGAGGCCAAGCCTTTGGTTGAAGGTGCTGGTCTGTGCCCTGGTAAGTTTCCCTTCTTTCCACTTTTGCCTCCGATTTGCTCATAAACTTTAAGGTTACACTATCAGTCGTGCCATCCTCAGTGACGCTATCGCCCTCACTCGTGGCGACAGGTACTTCACTCACGACTTTACGCCTTTCAATCTTACTGCCTGGGGATTCGCTGATTGTCAAAGAGATCCCAACGCTTTTGGATTTGGAAGCACACTCGGCAGGCTTTTCCTCCGCACTCTGCCAAATGACTACACTGAGAATAGTGTCTACACGTTCTTCCCCTTGATGACACCCGAATCAATGAAAACTAACTTGACGAAGTTGAACCTGCTCGACAAATATGATCTGTCGAGGCCGCAAACGCGAACCCCGCTCAAAATTGTCAGCGATCATACCGAGGTGGTGAAACTTTTGAAGGACAAAGAAAGTACTTCTAAACCATACGCTGCGAGGGTTGCCAGGGTAATTAAGGGTAAAGGGTATGGATAGATCTTTCATCATGTTGGCAAATTGCTCATCGTGAAACCAGATTTTTCCCTGCGGAGGGCGGTAAGGAACAAGAAGCGGTCACCACTGCCTTGAGTGGCTCACCGGAGTTGGTGGACGACATTGGCAAATACTTTTACGAGACAACAAAGAAGCTTATCGTCGACAACTCATTCACCCTCGTTGGCGGGAAGGTTGCTGGTGTCGATCTTGTGAAACACGTCCTCAGAGTTGTTCCCGTCCTATGGGTCGCCACCGATCTTGTGAGCCTTGACATAAAAATCAGGTCACCCACATTTTTTTAACTAGACCATCATCTGTAGGCGGGCATAGAACTGAAAACCAAGAGCCACCCCCATGGACCTTACACACCTAGCGAACTCTTCGATGTTCTTGGCGAAATTTATGCGTAAGCACAGTGGCATCTGTAGGTTTGCTAGAATGGCTCTGAACCCTCATCTAGATTTGTCTTCCTCGATGTAGAACTTGCGAAGGTTATGGTCTTACAAGAAAGTATCAAGTCCCATGTCAAGAAGTTGTTGCGCCTCATCAAGGGTGGCTTAGACGGGGGTGCTGGTAACAGGGTATCTTGCCAATTTTACTTTTGGTGTTATCAGTGGCTCATTGTTTTTTGAAGCTTTCAATTGCTGGCATCGTTGAGACCGTCTCGTCCCTATTCTCTAAACCCAAGAAGTCCGACCACTCCGTCTTGATGAAGCGACTTCACGAACTAGGGCAATCCCATGACCAGCTTGCCAACACTGTCCTCGCCCTAATGGTCGGAGCAAGTGTTGAGCTGTCCCTCAGTATGAAAACACCCCCGGCGATGTTGAACTGTTACTGAAGAGTCATGCAGGTTTGACAAACATGGTCAATTTGTACCTTGGGTCGGACAAGCAAGCACAGATTACTGCCCTCGCCAAGAACCCAGATTCTTCTTTGAAAGGTTACGTGTACGAAGCTCTTCGTGAGTTAACACACTAAATTTTCACGCCCGTTCGTTGGATGTTAACTTTGTTTCTAAGGAATTGACCCACCCTTCGAAGGTGTCTACCGTATGTTATGCTAAAGTTTTTACGCACAAAATAGCTATTTAACTCATTTCAATCAGGCATCTCAACCAAGGATCAAACCATCGCTGGGCAAACCGTGAACAAGAATGACCGCATTTTTGTGGACATTGGCACGGCTAACCTAAACGTATGTTTTTTGCTCCCGAGTTTCTATATATCTAATGTATCTCCCTACAAATAGGAGAAGGTGTTCCCCCACCCTGTAGCCGTGGACATCTCTCGTTCGACGAAAGAGGCTCTTTTCGCCGAGGGTGTGTTTGAGTATCTTGGGGAACATTTGACTGTCAAGGTAGGGAGTATTCCTCGGAAAAGTTCACAAAGCTAATCACAACCCCAAGGTAATGGGTGAGGTGTTACGCGCTGTCTTCGACCTCAACAACGTTTCGCGAGCCCCTGGTCAATCGGGAGTGCTGAAACGGTTCGTGGTCTTCCTGCTATTAGTGTCTCTTGCACTCACACTTGTCCTCTGCAGGTTTAAGGTGCACACCCGACCTGAATGTCGTTACGGATACCTCAACCACAGTCAAATTGCTTATGAATGGCCCACGTCGATGGCCATCCAATATTCAAAGTGACCATTTTGACTCAGCAGGCTCGAGGTTCCGTTGCTCGCCCACATGTACCACCAATATTTGATCTATCATAACTCTCACGAATATACCACTTGTTATGACTATTTACTGTTTCCAACGTTTTTTGCTATCTGTGAAAGTAAATCTTCAATCCGCGCTTGCCGTTGCTCAATTTGTGTCAACCGTTCCAACCATTGCGCCTCCCCTGGATTGTTAGTCCCGGATGCACCTTCTTGTTCCTTCACTTCCGTGACAGTCTCCGGCATACGCTCCAAGGATATATCCCGCTTGAAGGGCCCTTCACGATCTTTTGGAGAGCCTCTCCCAATAAGGGGAAACTTTTTTCCGGTATTCAATTGTAACTGAGTTTGCAATGGTTCATGTGCTCCGCGATGCATCGATTGTATCGAGGTTAACCGGCGGCGACTTGCAGGCCCGTAACTGATGCCAAGCGGGAAAAGTGATCCAGACGCGTTTGCCGCATTGTTCGCCGTGGCTTTGAATGGATCTTCATCGACCACCAGCGGCTGAAACACTTGAGCAAGAGGGCTAAATGCAGTAGCGTCAACGCCGCGATTCACGACCGAATTCAGTCGAAGTCGAGGAATAGCACGTGGAGGAGAGGAAGATTGGGGCTGCGGTGGTGGAGCGGGCGGAGAAATTGATACCCCTGAAAATCGCCGCTTGCTCTGGGTCTGTTGGTAGACGTCGTCGGCACCCTCTCCGGTGTCAAGAGCACTCTCAAAGTCTTCTTCGATTTCGAAGATCTGATGAGATATATTATCAAACACAAAGGCTGTTTTCTCGATCGTCAAAACTCACTGCATCAATGTCAGCCTCTGAACCTGCCAGACCTTCAAAAATCGCTGGAGAAATCCAGCTCAGACGGAGTTATTACGATTGATTACACGTTTACTCACTCATTCGCTTCAAAGAGCGAGGCAGGGTATCGAAGACCTTTTCTGCAACATGGGAAACAGTTTCATAGAAGCCTGTTGTCCCAGCCATCTTCGCTTGTCGCTCGTATAACGAAATCGACAACAATACTGGAAAGCTCGTTAGCCTGCGTACGGTGCATACTTTAAGTTAGCTTTCAAAAGAAGGGACAAAAAGCATACCTGATCATGAAGACGTTCACCTTACGACCATTAGCAACACTTCAACGTATAATGTAAACAGCAAGATACCTTATGGAACCACCGAGGGGAAAGGAGATAGCTCGCGGGCAGCATGATGCATAGCGCGATGAGGTTGACAGGTGGCAGATATGAGAAAAGTGAGTCCGCCTTCACTCTAAAGATACGTTGAGTATGGTCCCTATAACTTTGCAAAATCATACCCCTCGATCGTCGATACAGCTTTTCGAAACATAGCCTGATTATAGTGTTAGAATAATCAAAGAACCGCATACGAGGTTTAGTCAGCACCTCTGCGGCTGCGTCTTCGTTGATTGTTGCGAAGGTGTTGGACAGAATCTACCGACTCATCATCAGAGGTCAACAAGAATCCGAAGGTAGATGCCTGCATACAGATACAAGAACTGGTGGATAGACATGAGTCACAGGCAGTTACGGCTGAAAAGGTTGACACAAACCTGTTAACAGGAGGGTATTACTCAGGCAGGCATAAGTCACCATCAAGACTGGTCCGAAAATGGGGTGGAATTCAGCTTAATGAATGGTCAGCGGCGGCAGGATGTCAACAATCGAGCGACCGACTTGATCTATCGAAGCCACTCGCATCCAGACCAAACCACAGGTCAAGCATCCACCAGGCAATCGTCCTGTTAATCTGTTTATGTGGTTGCCAGCTACAACATTGGAAAGACTGACCCAGCTCCATAGCTACGCGAGGGAGGGGACTTTCAAAACGAGCCTCAAGTTTACGGAAAGAATTCTCACCCTGCCTGGTTCCGGCTCAAGCTAAGACATCAGAGTGGAATCAGCCAAAACAGACAACGCGGATAGATCACAAATGGCCTACATCCAAAGGGCATATAAAAACCCGCAGAAACAAAACGCAGCGATCAACATTAAGAACAAAAACTGCATCATCATTGCCCGGAGAGAAAGAACCATGAGATTGTCTTTAAACGTAACGAAAGCTAAGCTAATGGACATTGATAGTCAGATAGGTCAAATGAGGTGGCTGAGAAACCGACCGAGGAAACATCAAGCACGCAATAAGAGCAAGAAAATCAACGCCCAGTTTGCGAGCCCACGCTTCTACAGCAGTTTTCAGTCATAAGAGTATGACCTTTGAAGACTGACGAACTGTGATGATATACACCATAAATTCGGAGAGAAGCGTATATACAATATGTTGTCACTGATGCACGTCAGAAACGGGAGGTGCGAGGATATTGAAAACTGACCGAACGCCAAATCAAAGCCATTCTATTGCAGAAGAACGACATCAAATGCGACTGCAGTGGGGACTGAAAATTTCATACCCATGTTCCCTTAAAGTAAACTAACGTCCAAAATGAGTCGACTGGCACAACGGAATGGGAGATATTGAACCTTTAATTCCGTGTTCTTGCATCGCCGCAATCTTTTCCAACGTAAAGCCCAGCGCATAAATCATGAACAAGTTTTCGTATATGTTGATCTTGTTCACTTCGCTTGTCTCGATAGCGATGATGAATAAAACAAAAAGAATAAGGAAACTGATCTGACAATTAGCCTAATGAGGCGATTACCAGCTTCGCCAATACCTACTTAAAATATTCAAGAACCGAGCGAATGGCAGGGACTTTCAGTCTATGAGAGGTGGGTACAGTTGGTGATCGAATGATAACCCAGACTTCTTACCTGTAGTGATCGAGAAGTGGAGCCTTGTGGGGGTCGTAAAAGTGAACCGGCGTTCGTTTGTATGTCTAGCGTGTAATAAGTAAGAGGAACGTAAGGAAGCATAATAAGACAAACATCGGAAAGAATCGAATGGCTGCTTTCTGGTTGATATACACATTTCCCGCTTAACACGCAGACTTAGCCACACAAATCATAAGATGAAACATAAAGCCTCACGTCCAAATTCCATTGATAACCTTTTGACAAGAGGAGCTTTTTATAAATCTCTTAGCTTTACCGAGAATGGCAAGCTCGATCGCGTTTCCCACTCTGTCCTCCAAGTCATCGTCCCGTTCCTCGCGGGCCTGAGCTATGATGGCAGGATCTGCGCCGGAGTATACATGCCAGCAAGCGGTAAGCGCCACAGTGAGTTGAAGCATGCTATTTGCAAGCTCCCTGAAGGTGCGAATCGCCAGAATTTCACATAGATGAGCCCTTGAGCGAGATAGGGTAGCTGTGGCAACGTTTTCATCCCGTACAAAGTGGACGCGATTCAGCAGGCAACAGAAGACAATCGACATATTTCCGTCTTGCTGCATCGCTGAATACTTTTCAACCAGTGGGCGAACAAGGGTGTAAGTGAGGTCTGGAGCTAACAACTGGAAAAGTATAGGTCAGGATCTGAGTTATTATATGCGATAGTACTCACAGCATCGTATGATAATGGGGTATCTATATTTGTCAAGTCAGATGTGTTTTCAAATCAAGCAAACGAGACACACCTATAAAATGCTATTCACAGACAAAGTGGAGTTACAGATTGAACCTTTTATTCATTATCTAGCTCACCATAACATCCTATATTCCGAAATCAGACCAACTGAACTCAGATATTATTTGAAAACGAAACCTGTTTTATCATGTGTATTATAGGGTAGACCGGTGTTGCCTCAACATCTTCCCTGATTTATGCATTTGGATGAGTTCAGAGCATGAGAGTGATAGCCTACTCACGGGCGCAACAAAGGCTGCAGTTCGCATTGAGATTCCGACATAATCAATTTGAACAACGTTGGTGGAAGAAAAGGAGCATTCTTCAGGATCAACAACGCGACGTCAAAGTCAGTATGTCACCAGTTTGTTTTCAACATTTCTAGCTCCGATCGCAAAAGTATTGGGACAAAGACACTGGCGGAAATCGCGTTGCGTGGATTTTGCTTGAAGATCGAATGTGCACATTACACCAACGTTACGACCGTTAGTACCTTTTCCGTCCCACAAGAAACGAGGATGAAAACGAGGTAGACAGAATGGCCTCGGAGTTTAAACCTCACGAGCTCCGACAGACGCGCGTGTTGTCGCGTTGTGATATGCGCACCTGACCCACCGTGTCGGAATCGCGACTCTTGAGCTTCCTCGCCGCGTCTCTCAAAATGCAGTCGGGACCCAGAGCACCAGGCAGCAACCAACCCCCTGTGAAAATATATAATGCGGTCTACTCCTCGGTTCAGGTACGAAAGGAGGACATCTACCGCCCTTGTCATTCTTGACATTGTCGCGTCATTTCACAGGTCTACGAATGCATGGTACGAGGAATCGCAGTCATGCGCAGAAGAAACGATTCATACGTCAATGCGACTCAAATTCTTAAAGTCGCCGGAGTCGACAAGGGGCGTCGTACGAAGATACTGGAGAAGGAGATACTGCCTGGGAAACACGAAATTGTGCAGGGCGGGTATGGAAAATACCAAGGAACATGGTACGAACCAACCTTAGAATAATATAAGACGGGTTTTTGACGCTTCTTTGTTGGCAGGATACCACTTGACCGGGGTCGTGATATTGCATTGCAATATGGTGTAGCACCCTTACTGTCGCCTTTATTCGATTTCACGCCAAGTACAAACTCGCTCGGCACGATGCCTATTATACAACCCACAGGGACAGCTTCCCCCCGCCCTCTGTCCGCTTCATCGTCTTTTTCTAGCATCGGAACGAGTGGAAATTACGTACCAGCTGCACTACCGTCCACCTTGGCTCCGCCGCCCATCATGCCGGGTTCCGCACTTCGTCTGCTAAACCAGGGAAGGGCACAAGGTTTATTTACTCCATCAACGTCGATCCATGCGCCGGGCCGCCCTTCAGGTTTCCATTCCCCTGGTCCCTACCCCAGTGGCGCGTATGCCCAGTCACCCTTCCCTCAAGCATCCCAAACACCTCCCCCCAACTCCTCATTAAAGCGGAATCGCTCCGAGGCTGACGTAGACGCGCTGACGGCTCCACTACATGGTGAGATAGTTGATTGCCAAGGTTTGAAAGGCTAACTCATTCTTTACTGTAGATCGTACACCACTTGATAGTTCACGTCCGCCGTCAACTGGTCCCCAACCGACTGGCGAAGATAACCCTTCGCCTGCCAAGCGAGCTCGAACAGAACGCCCTCCACATGAAGTTTCTCAACAGTCTTCGTGGCAACCACGGAATCAAGGTCAACCTTTCAGTTATCAAGGAACGTCTCGTCCATCAAGTTCTATGTCAGTCAAAAATGGCGCCCCTAGGATACCACCTGTTGGTTCTCCGGAGCTTGACATTCATAAGGCGCGTTTGGCATCAAAGCCGGCTGTTTCCAGAATCATGGATCCGAGTCTGCCGCTCAAAGATGGAAGGCGAGCTGCCATAATAGCTGCAATCTGCCAACGCGATGATCCAATGCCTGTTTTGGACCTTATTCGCGAAATATCTACGGAACCCATCCATAAACAGCCTTCTCCCCCGCCTCTCGAAGTGGACGTAATTCTCGACGATCAAGGACACAGCGCCCTTCATTTGGCTGCCAGTCTTGGTCGCCAACAGATTGTCGATGCTTTGATAGTCAATGGCGCTGATATCCACAGAGGCAATCACCTCGGCGAGACCCCCCTCGTCCGTGCTTGCCTTGCGACACATAGCGCCGATCAGCAAACTTTCCACACCCTTGTGATTGCTCTCCATGCTTCAATCCGCACTCTCGATACCTCACGCAAGTCAGTAATTCATCACATTGTTTCGCTTGCAGGTGTCAAAGGTCGCGCAGTTGCTGCACGCTATTATCTTGATCAAATCTTTTATTGGGTCGCCCAACATCAGGGTGGAGATTTCCGGACACTGGTGGATCTTCAGGATGAACACGGAGATACTGCGCTCAACATTGCCGCTCGAGTGGGAAACCGAAGTTTAGTGCGAACCTTGCTGGATGTCGGCGCCAATCGGGTTCTGCCTAATAAATTGGGCCTCCGCCCTGGTGACTTTGGTGTCGAAACTGAGGTTTGTTTGAGTAGTTGTCTGATATTTGTGGCTCATGGGTTAGTGACCAGGAATTGAGCGGAGGCCTACGACCAGAAGATATTCTGTCAAATTTGCGCTCTGGACCACCTGAACCTGTCCAAAAGAGCAAAGACGTTATAGCTGGTTAGATCGTGTTTCCATCAGTGGTCCTTGGTGCTTCTGATTATGTTCTGGCTGTTTAGACATGACTGCGATGATTCAGGCTCTAAGTACTGAATTCCAGGGAGAGATCAAATCTAAACAAGATGCGTTGGACGTCACCCAGGCTCACCTACGAGCTGCCACTCGAGAACTCTCTGAGAAACGCAAACAGATACAGGCATGGCAAGCTCGTTGTGGGGAACTTGACCAGATAAACCAGAGAGTACGAAATGTCGAAAAGGCCCTTGCAGAAGAAGACCAGTTCGATTGGACCGGCCGAACGGATCTCAATGGTAACGACGCACGTGAATCAGCTGGCCCCGCCTTTGGGTGGCGTGGTGCTAATTCCACCATGGTTGGCATTGGCGGTTCTGTCGACGTCTCCTTCGCCGTCGATTCTGAACCAGCGTTGCCCACTACGGACACAGTAGCAAGCCTAATAAAGCTGAGAAGACTCAAGCTTTGGCACACACGAATAGAGGACCTTGTCAAAGCAAGATTAAAGGGTCTTCAAGGGGCAAGTGCTGAGAAGGAATACCAATGCAAGAAGATTGTCGCACTTTGTACTGGCATCCCGATTGACAAAGTTGAGGAGGTAGGTTTAAGTCATGCTCGCCTCCAACCTGAGCTTATCCCACTGTGCAGATGCTTGAAAATTTAGTAGTTGCAGTAGAGAGTGAGGCCCAGATCGTTGACATAGGTCGCGTTTCTGGGTTTATGCAGAAGGTGCGTACGTTTGAAAATCAAACATATTCTGAGCCGACATTCCAACTAGGTTCGAGATGGCATCATATGAACCTTCGAAGAGGTTGCTTGGATCGTTTATATCTGGGGACTTTTTTTTCTTTTTCAGTGGCACGGGTGTTTTATTATTGATTAAATTTGAACCATGACTATCTACGCATCCTCCGGTGCAAAGAGCTGGAAATTACGATTATATGTGCCAGAAGCAAGCAGGTTACCATCACTGGAAATGTCCACCGACATTACCTTACCAGCATCCGTCGACAATGTCCGGAGAAGAAGCCAATCATCGGCGCTCCAAAGTTTGACCAAGCCGTCGTAACCTGAGCTTGCGAAGAAGAGTCCAGAACGATACTTCCACTCTTCCTGAGCAGAAGTGAGCTCTTGCTCAGTGGTATCCCTTTTGGCTTCCTCTTCTCCATCGACATTATCAACACCATCCATGACAGCGTCTTTAGGAACTAGAGGCTTGAAATATAAGTCATTGGCGTGAAAGAATCGAACATCGGAGACATTTGAGGTGTGAGCTGGGATAGTATATAAAGATTTGATAGCCCGCATATCCCAAATTCGGATAGTGTCGTCGCCTGAGCCTGTCGCAACTTGGTATCTAAAAAAGAAAAAAGGTCGATTTAGACAGTATAAAACTTTGGATGAAGCACCCGAACCCATTTGGTGAAAATGCAAGAGCAAAAATCGCCTGAACATGACCATCAAGCACCATGGCAGTCCGTCCCGTTCTCACGTCCCATATACGCCCAATAGCATCAAGGCCCCTGTAAACCAAAAAAACCATTAACTTCTCGGCCTATCCCACGAGAATAGACACCTACCCTGAAGCGACCAGGGCACCATCGTTCTGAAATTCAACAGCATAAACTTCTTTTGAATGACCCTCTTGCAAAAGCAGCTCTTTGGCAGTGTTTACATCCCAGAGTCGCCAAGTTGTATCAAAGCTGGCACTCGCGACATAGTTTCCTGAAGGGTGAAACGCAACGCGACAAACACGGTCCTGGTGACCTTTCATTACTGAAAGCGGCGATTCACTAGTTACGAATTGAATACGTTGTGCAATGAGAAGAACCGCAAACTTACCTTTCTAGCGACCAGAGGTTCACACTGCCTTCGCCCCCACCGCTTACCAGATTGATAAGATCTGAGCCCTGTGATAACGTCGCATTTGGATGCCACGCTACTCCCCCAACACGATCACTGTGTCCTAATAGTTTGATGAGACGGTATGGAAAGATGTCAGAAGGTTAGACTCGCCTCTCAAAGCGCGAATCGGGGTGCAGGAAGGGACATTCCATAATTTTACCGTCCCTGACCAGCTACCAGCCGCCATGATTTTGTTGTTGGGTGCAAAACGCACTTGAGATATGGGTCGTTCATCACCAATTTGTGATCCGAGGTTCGCAAATTTCTACTCGCGGTGTCAAAAACATCCCTCCACAGAGTAAAGGAAACAATAAACTTACCTTCACCTCTGAGAAGACTTTCTTCCGAATATCAACAATCCGTCCCAAGTCCATTTTACTGTCTATTCGCTGTTGGGCGACACGCTGTTGAGCTCTGCCAAGTAAAGAAAGCAAAAGGAGCGTAGTAAGCACCTTAGCTGGCTTGCTTATCGGAAGCGTAAATCCAACCTGGGGAGAGAATACTCCGCTATTGCTCTACGTGCATCCAGCAGCTCCAGAGATCCAGGGGAGTAAAACTCCTCTTCCTGCAAATTGTTTTGAGTATTGTCCGAGCAGATTCGGGCGAAGGAACGGACCTCCTCTTCACTCTCTTCCGAAGACTCCCCATCTACATGCATGGCATCGTCACCTCGTGCGGCATTGATTTGGGACAGGACATAAATTAGACGGTCTCTGCGGTCTGCTGCCTAAAGGGAGCCTCAGTGGAGAAAATGAGAGATGACATTTTACGCACTCGTTCTCCAAAAAGTGTTATAGGCTCTCCGATCTCTCGTAGTCGAGCCTTGACACGGTTATCGTCGGTCGGTACGGCGATTGTTTTCGCCTTCCTCTTGCGCTCAAGTTCATCGAGTATGACTTTGTTCTCTAACCTGGCACGTTCTGAGCCAAGATAGTTACCGTCGTCGATCAGAATGTCGTATGTCAGTTCAGACATTATTGAATCAAGAGCGAAGTGACTTCAAGTTTTAGACGCCGTTTGCTTGGCTCATTTCCTTACTGTATGTAGCAATGAACAAACAATCCACCCATTGAATACTTACTCATGTCATGGGGGGATAATGGTTATTCTTTAATCGATAACAAGGACATCCTCCTCGAGCTTGAAATCCGAACCACTGAGTGAAAATAAAAGGTACGATCGAAATGGTGGGTGTTTTCCTCCAGCTGCTCAGGGTGCCAAGGCAACCATTGCGAAGATAGGGACATTCTGTATTTAAATATTCCCAACCGCACGCCAACCGCCTGTTCTTCCCCTTGCGCTGTAAGTATTGACAATGTACCAGCAACAATCGGGTCCGTCTAGTGCTGTTATCCCCCCCAACCACCACCAACGCCTTACTCCAGAACAGAGTTCCAGCAAACCTCGGCCAGACGATTGTGCGCTTTCTCAACATTCGATTTTGTAATCCTAATGCCCATCCCAATCCAGATGTTTACTTTGAACGATCAACTGCAGACTTCACGTCAGACGCCGTAGCCCGATCAACAGCCGCGAAGCTCAAGCTTGAATCGTACTATAAGGTCGCTGTCGACTCGGCGATCGAACGCAATGCTAGGTGCGGCACGCCTTGACCTGCAGGTCTTCTCTGGGCTGATGAATGGCTCGGTGAAGGCGGATCGAGGTGGAGACCAGGTTGACTCAGCTGCACACACAAGACGCGAAGGAACGAGAGATTCGGAAGTATAGCAAGACTGAATCCCAACATCTACGGCTTCGCAGAACTAAAATCAAGTTGTCTGATTTCCGAACGGTCAAGGTCATAGGAAAAGGCGCCTTTGGAGAGGTGAGCGGGCTCCCCTGTTTGACTACAAAGCTGACAAGTGAATCTACTTTTTAGGTGCGCTTAGTTCAGAAAGTCGATACAGGAAAGGTTTACGCGATGAAGAGTCTTCAGAAAGCGGAGATGTTGAAACGGGATCAAGTGCCGTCGCTTCATTTCTATTCCTGAAGTTATCTTGCTGATGTTGAATGTCCAGCTGGCCCACGTTCGAGCGGAACGCGACGTGCTCGCCGAATCAACATCACCTTGGGTTGTGCAACTATTTTACTCATTTCAAGATCCCTTGTACCTCTATCTTATCATGGAGTTTCTCCCTGGTGGCGATTTGATGACCATGTTGATGAAGTACGATGTGTTCTCGGAAGATGTTACCCGATTTTATATGGCAGAGTGTATTCTCGCCATTGAAGCTGTCCACAATCTCGGTTACATCCATAGGTTTGTCTTTTGAAAGCTCTTGTCGTCACAATCACTTACGCGCTACTTTCAAGGGACATTAAACCGGACAATGTTCTTATTGATAAGAATGGACATCTGAAGTTGTCTGATTTCGGTTTGTCGACCGGGTTACACAAGGTATCAGATGGAGAATACTATAAGCGATACCTGGAGCAAGAAAAGACGAGGGACACCGCACGGAATAGTGTCCAAGTCAACGCCATCAACCTCACAATGAGCAGGGAACAAATTGCGACCTGGAAAGCCAATCGTAGAAACCTCGTATGTGCATGACCTTTTGGTTGCAGATGAGTAACTCATCGCCTTGATAGGCGTTCTCAACTGTCGGGACACCAGACTACGTGCGCAAGCTACTATTATTCTATACGTGCACACCCACTAACCTTTTCCACCATAAGATTGCCCCTGAAGTGTTCATGATGAAAGGATACGGCAAAGAATGTGACTGGTGGTCTTTGGGTGCCATCTTCTTTGAATGTTTAGTCGGGTACGCTCCCTTCTGCTCTGACAATCCAGGCGACACCTACAAGAAGATCATTGATTGGCCCAACTATCTATACTTTCCTGAAGAGGTCTACATTTCCCGAGAGGGAGAGAACCTTATTCGCAGGTACGTTTTCATTGACCTTTCTCGAATGAATCTCCCCTCATTCGAACATATCTTAGCATGATGACTTGGGCGGATTCACGACTTACAGTCAACCAAATCAAAGCTCATCCCTTCTTCTATGGTGCTGACTGGAACTCCTTGCGCCATATCGAGCCCCCCTTCGTGCCACACTTGCAGTCGATCACCGATACGTCGTACTTCCCGACTGACGATCTCGGTAATCTACCAGATCAGTTGGAAAAGGTAGAAGGGATTGGAGCAGAGAAGGATCTGGCATTTTTTGGGTATGCGTATCTCGCTTTCAAAACTCCGTTTCAGTGTTAACCATTCGATAGTTTTACATTCAAACGTTTTACTGGAGGTCCTCAAGCATCTGGCTGAATCTTATTTTTTACTGTTTCTCAAGAGCAAGCTTCATGTCCTCGTTACGCATACTTGTTACACTAATGGCATTTTCTGGATTTTGGATCATTGTGACGGGGTTCGAAGACCTTGGTAGCTTTTGGAGGCAAGGCAATTTGCTTTTGAGTTCTCGCATTCGCAAAAATCAGGTCATTCGTGGCCATGGGCCCTCAAAATATTCTTGGGTGACATGGATTCTGTAACTGGAAACTGCACTAAGTAAGATTTATGTACCGTACAGAGCTGGCACGGAGGGTCGCAGGCGCGCTGGTCCTTTGGAAGCGTCACTTACGCCGTTTGAAAGCCTAAGGATCATCTGTTTACAATACTTAATGTATATTTTACTTGTCAAGCCATAAAGACTAAAATAAAAATAGAAACTCGAGCCAAAAGGGGAGTACAAGAGCTACCATCGACGTGGTGGGCTGTTCGAGGCAGGACCACCTCCTCTCCCTCGACGAGGCCACCCAGAATCGATAGGTCTCGGAGGGCTCTCCCACCCTTTTCCTCTGCCACGGCCTCCACCACGCCAACCACGGCTGCCTCCGCGGTCGTGTTGAGGACGGTCACCACGATCACCCCCTCCACGTTCGCGCTCATATACAACATCAGCACGTGGATCGCGTCCATAATCTGGACGATCATAAACAGAAGGTGGTGGCGGTTGCGGAGGACCTCGATAAGGTGGCATGTTTGGCTGCTGCATAGGTGGATAGTTGCTGGGGTAAGGAGCCGGTGGAGGAGGCCAAGTTGGTTGCTGATGTTGCGTCGTGGGTGGTGGTGGGGGGTAACGCTGTGGAACCTGTGGAGGTGGTAGTTGTGGTTGTGCGTGGGAGGGAGGCATCTGCAGCCTTGCATGTTGTACCGGTGGTGGAGGAGGGTTTTGTGGCGGCGGCCGAAACTGCTGTGGAACTTGAGCTGGTGGTGCTGTGGGTAGAAGAGGAGTGGCGCTGGCAAGTGCCTTTAGAACATTTTGGATTTGCTCTGGAGTGAGAGAAGCGACTTCGGCAGCAAGAGCAGCAGGCGCTATTGGTGGCAGGTTTGATAGAATGGGTGGAGGATGGGGGATTGGGGGTGTACTGGCAGTAGCAGGCGGAACAATTGCAGCGTTGAAGGATGGTATGCTCAGATGCGCTGGCAATGCAGGAACGGTGACAGGAGGAGGGGGAGGGGATGGCGGAGGAGGAGCAAGCTTGCCCTTGTTGAGAATCCAGATTCCTACCAGGTAATCCGCCTTTCGCACCGGAGGAAGTTTGAGGTTATCCAAAAGTTCGATGTAATCAGGCAGCGGCTGGGTGGCGGGCAATGGGATAATGTATAGTTCTCGTCCAGGATGATGCTCTTTTGGTCTACTACCCCAAGGAAAGATCAAACCATGGCGGCTGTAAGATAATAAAGTAGTCAGTAATTGACTGTTGAATGACGTATGGAGACAAATACCTCTTCGCTGTCAAAAAGTCACTCAATGCTTTGAAACCAGTTTCACTTGCATCCGAGCTAGGTGTGAATGCAACGCTGAACAACTCCTTTGCAGCGTTCATCCTCATTTGCAGTAGATATTTTGCAGAACCCTCGACGGGAACGCGACCATCTATTCTGAGGTTTGATGAAGGAAAGAGGGTCTTCCAAAGAGGAGAATTGGCGGCCAGGGGTTTGCCTCCTACCTGACGAGCAATGATAGCTGTTTCTTGAGGTATTGTTGAGTCGAGAGGCATTGAAATCTGAAAGAATGTCCGCGTTAGCAACCGATGGGAGAAGACAATCATTCAACATACCTGTCCTGTCCAAACATGGGGGAGAGCGTCAAAGGCCGCCTGGAGAACATCTGCGGCGTTTACGGGTTCAATCTTTTCAACTTCTCTGTCCTCCAAGAACATATCAAAGTCCTGATCTTTGGCTTCATCGTCCGCCTCGGATTCCAGCTCCATCGGAATGTCCTTCTGATCACCGTTTGTTATGGAAAGGGGAGGTGTTGTAGTAAGAGGTGGAGAGCGTGGCGTCGCCGTCTTCGACGCATCCTCGCTCTTCGGCGCATTCCAAAGCGCATTTAGGTCAAAAGACATCGCTCTTGACTTTTCAGCTCTGGCTGCGAACGGGGAGATGCCGGTAGGGAGAGGCAAGGATGGGGATGGAGGCTCCAACGCAACAGGTTCCGTGGACATCGGTTCGTCGACAACCATTGAAGGCAACGATGATGAAGATGAAGGAAGAAGAGACTCTTGTTCAGTTGGCTCATCGTCAATATTTATCAAATCCGCCAAGTTCAGCTCTGGCTCTGGAGCAGGCAGAGCAAGTTCCGACGCTGTGTGAATGAACAACGGGTTCACGGGTGGTCTCGAGATCGGCGACGCCATCTCACCGGCATTGGTAGAGACGGCATGCGGTGGTATGGGAGGAGGCGCACCCCAGGACTCGGACGGAGTCTGCGATACGGTAGGAGACTCAGGCGGAACGGAGACAGAGTCAGTACGCTGCCGCTGCACCTTCAAACGCGCCGTACGTTCTCGCTCCCTCCGTTCCTCCCCTTCCAGATCACGCTCTACCTGACGGTCAAGTTCACGCGTCGTTGTCGTCTGTCCGTTGATATCCTCGATATCCTGTAACCCTTTGTGAGTGATCTTTGCGCGAGGCGCTGTTGCTTTTTGCAGGATAGAATACGCCAAGGCTTCCTTTTCCGCAATCTTGATGGATTGCTTTGTTTCCTCGTCCGCTAGGTCAGTGGAGGACATCAGAGAAATCTCTTTGGGAGAAATATTGGCAGAAGTAATGCGTTGGTGAATAATGACACGGTCAGGTTTGCTAAGATTAAACTGCAGCATCCTGAAACGATCCCTGTTAGATAAGGAGATGAGTGAATCATTACACAAAAGCTCAGGAGAATCAGCATACTTGTAGTTTCCTCCAGCTTGAGAATTTCCATTCCTATCTGGTTCAGAGTAGATCTCAAAAACACATCGCTCAAGCCCTTCTGCAAACTGTTTCGACTCCTCAATCAAAGCATCTTTGTCTTCGTCGCTCAGTTCTTCTAACGGTTTCGGAATGATGACGCTCTTTTGCCCTTGGCCACCTTCTTCAATCTTAACGTGTACATGAGGATAGCGGAGGAAAATATCACGGAAAAGTTCCTCCAGCTTTCCAAGGCAATATTTCCTGATTGGATCATCAACTGCCTCCACCTCAGCTGCCTTCTTCCTCTTCGAAGCTGGGGTCACATCAGACGCATTAGTTGTCTTCCTCTTCCTCTGGACCTGGGGAGTAGGGCCAGGGGAAAGGGGCACATTGGAAATGCTATGGCGTTTAGTAGTTCCTTCATTGTCAGACGCGGCCACGTCCGAGTCCGAGTGCGAATCCTGATGTTTTCGACGCTTTAGAAGGGAGCAAATAAATTAGTCAAGGATTGTGGAGAGGAGACATCACGACATACCTTGTTCGCGTGCCCAAACCTTCCAGTTGTTTGCGAATCCTCGGCAACGTACTCGTCCTCGCTACCCTCCTCCTCCTCCGACTCTTCCGGCTCAAATTTAATATCTGGGCGTTGCATCCGCGCTCTGGCCGTCTTCCTCCTTTGCAACACCATCGCACCGTCGTAGACACATTCCTCGACCGCGTCTGGTCCCTCCCATTCAACTGTAAACCGAAAGAAAGCACCATTAGTATGTTGTTTCTGACAAACTCGTTGTCGAGGTGAAAGAAAGAGATAAACAAAAAAACCAGGCGCTTCCTTGTGTAACTTTCGCCAATTCTATATTGTTACTGAACTATCATTCAGGGTTGTCATTTTGACATGAGAGTGGACAACTCATAGAGCGCTCAGTCGTATTTGGGCAGAACGCATGTGGGCGCAGGACAGCCCCGGAACAACGACAACAAGCCCGAAGTACGCCAGTAATACGAAGGTTGACGACAGAGTTAGGCGAAAGTTACACAAAAGATGAATTTTTGCCCAACTACTGTCAAGAAAGGAATGTAATTAGACTCACATGTTGTACGGCGACCCGATGTTTCTGTGCAAGAAGGACATATGTAGATACCTAACAAAAATATGGATCAGTGATGCGCAATAGAAGAGAGGAGAGCCGAACATACCAATCTCCTCCGCCTCTGGCTCGGAGATATCTACGCACGTAAAATGATACCTAATGCCAATCAGTAAGTTCAAGCTCGTAGGGATGACAGTTAAACGCACCAAATTTTACACTCTGCACAAAGGATCATAGGCGATCCATCATCACCCATAGAACACATACAATGAACAGGTTTCAGCATAGTCGCCTTACTCCTGCCTTTCTTCGCCACACTCTGCACGGACTTTCCATTCACATTTTCCTTCTCTATTTGCTCCGCTGCCTTGGTGCCCTTGACCGACTTCCGGAATTGGCTGACGGGTTTCGATTGTTTCTGTGTTGACGTAGAGGATCCAGGCTTCGCTACGGACGCCGCTGCGGAGGCTGAAGCTGCTGCCCTTGTTCTTGCACGGGTACTCATAGCTAATCAGTGGAGAGATCAACAGCGAGCAGGCTTGATCTCGACGTTGTCGTGGAGCGCGGATAAAGTTATGAGATGACTACGATTATTTGCGCTTGCTTGAATTCCCATCACGTGATACTCAGGCATGGTTGTCACACGATCTACGGTTTGTTGAATGTCTACTTGATGTCTACCAAATGCTTACTAGCTTTGTAAACTGACTTCATTTCATTATTCTCAAGGGTTGTTTCGCAATGACATCATGTCTGACTGTATACTCCACCAATTTTACCGAAGTTCACACCGTCCCCGTTCTGTCAAAGTACGGGATAAGATGAACTATCTCCTGTGTTTGTGACTTCCCTTGGACTTCCCTGTCCTCATGTTTCTTATCATTGCTTCGTTGTTTCTCAATAGAATTGAGGTCTCACTAGATCTCACTCTTTGAGTCACCAACGGATCAGAGGACAAACGTGCAAGTCGTTTTCATACTGAATGTCATATACTTTCTACCATTCATAACGTCCTCAGGTCCTTTCCGGGTTCTACTCTTGTCAGTTCTCCCGATGTCCAGCTGGCGGGGCCATGCATTCCTTTTTTGGAATCCCTCCCTGAAAGACCTGTTATTGAAGAATTACTACACGAGTCTACCAATACGATTTAAGCAATCGTTCGTGAGGCTTCCTAATCCATCATCCTCGATGCGTACACCATGGCGAAAGACAAGACATCCACAAAACAAGTCGGGGTCTTTAAGAGACGTTCAAAGTGCCACCCCATTCCCGACGTCACTCAGCTCGGTGGCGTTAACTGTCGTTACAGGTCGTTACCTTCATCAAGAAACTATATCAAATCCGGACCAGGTGCTTCGGATCTGTGGGGTTATCTGATGCATGTTGCCGCGTCCTTGCGTCATGATTTCATGTTCAAGCTTGATATGAACGTGATGAGAGAGCGGAATACATACCTAGACTGTAGTATAAGGCTATACGGACGCGTTGTAGGCAAGTTGGGTTACCAGAGAATATGTATATGATTTGGATGACGAGTCGGGAAACAGTTGCCAGATGGGATCGCAGGGTTGAATGCCCTCTTCAAGGTCAGCTGTACTCCTTCCTTGGTACAGGCCAAGCAGCGCCAACTTCGTGGCGTTCTCAAATGGTACTAGCTCGTCGGGGCAGTCCATCAAGACAGGTCTCACCCCCGCTCTTGTACGACTTCTTTTCTGCCACATCTGTCATTGGGTTTGCCTCGCGGACGACCCTGCTTAGGCGTCTCTTTGACGCCTAACTGAAAGTCTCTCTTCGTTTGAGGAGATTAAACTTGACCCATCACCACCACTACTTGCCTCTTGTAAGAGAAAATCCGAGCTCTGGAAGCATATTTTATTAATAGAGCAAGCGAGGTATGTACGCATATTCAAGGTCTCTCCACGCGTTTCTTGACATGCCCATGCATGAACCATGATAAGCGATACCAGCTGATTGTTGCCTTTAGTTCGTTTCTGGCCTCCAAGCTCCCTTCGCTGGACCTCTCAATTCATAGCCCTGGATTACTGTTGCCCCTTCATGATCACGCATGGCAGCAGCTGTCTTGCAGAGTGCTAAAGTTCATATGCCCAACCCTTTCCAAAGGGTTACCTCTAATCCACCACCCGAACCCTCTTCATCTCGTTATCCACAACGCTCGTCCTCGCCAGACGTTTTTAGTTCCACCTCGACCACCTCCGAGGCACCTTCTAGGTCGTTCCATCGCCTTCGTTCAAGTTTAGAACAAGGCTTGCGAACCGCGACTCGGTCAAAGAAACTCCCTCCGCCACTGCCCGTTGATGTATCCGCGAATGTTTCTACCAAGGCGAACAAAGGCAAGGAGAAAGAGACAAACCCTAATGATATGCCAAAGATGTTGAACAAGGTGACGTTCCGCCGAGTTGGTCGGGATTCCCTTACGTCTTCATCTACGACTCCCGTGGTCGGTGCCGGCGAAAAAGTCAGGCAAGCAGGTTTGACGAGCTTTGTCACTCCATCTATGCGCCAGGCATCCAGGTCGTCACCTGCCTTACATTTGTCTTCCCAAGCATTGCCATCACCCAAGTCACAATCAGTGGTGCCTGCATCATCATCCTCTGGAGCCGAGGCACTTGCAACCCCAGCACGGCAACGCATACGGAGAACTACCTTGCAACCTCAGCCTCGAGAGATAGATAGCCCTTCGTCGTCGGCAATCGCGTCTCCTGGAGGATCCAGAGGGAATGCATCTCGGCATCGGTCTACGAAATCAAATCCGCCCCCAATACCAGCCTCGCCTTCAACCACCACGCTTCCTAGCCGTAAGCGAGATTCTCTGCCTGATATACCAACGGTGTCAAGAAAGAATATTCCGAGCCCCCCTAATACCCCCACACCATATTCTGCCTCTCGCACGTCGCTCGCATCCACTCCTTCCAGAACAAATACCACAAGTCCTGTGGCTGGTCGCGCTTCAACTCCTATTCGTGCGCGTTCTCCATCCAACCAGATATCTGCAGTCACTCCCTCAAAATACCCAGTTTCTATGTCTACCTCCCATCTCCCGTTGTCGTCAAGTCCACGAAATTCTCCACGGCGAGCGTCAATTGACTCAAAACGTAGAGCGTCAGGGGAGTCGGTTCGGAGGCCATCGATTGATAGGCCTCGTGATTCCTCCATTGACATCAGGGCGGAATCCCCATCTCCCATCCGGCGGCGACCCACATCACCTGCCCAAAGATCATATGCTCAAAATCGACATTACAATATTTCTTCGGGGTCACTGGTGCTTGCAAAATCAAATCCTGAGCATAGAGAACTCATCCGCACTGCCACATCTATGCTTTGTAAGGAGATTGTGAAGCCACCACTTCACATGAACAGGACTCAGTCGGGCATAAATGATTGGGAGGAGGTGGAAATCCGCACTCGGTCGCTTGCTCGACTTGAGAGAATCTGGACGAGTAACCTAGGTGGGGCAGGTTCCGGCGGTTCATCGAATAGCGGCTCAGCGTCCAACGGCTTAAGTGTTTCTGGGGAGGAGAGAGAAAGACGTCTGTTCTGCGAAGCGCTGAAAGATGGTTTTGTACTGTGCCAGTGAGTGCCCTTTCCCCTCGTTACGTCTACCGAAATCCATATTTTATCGTCTCAGGCTCATGAACAAATTGCGGTCAAGTTCCGTCGTACGCCCCGACCCAAAGGAGGATGGTTTTGCGCGAACATCCAACGTGACGAAGTTCCTGGCAGCCTGCGCTTCGCACGGGCTTCCCAGCGAAGATCTTTTTCAACGGGACGATCTCATCGAAGGGTCGAGCGAGTCACTGGCACGGGTTGCGAAAACAATCATCGCCCTCATTAAGTTTGTTGATTCGCCTGCCCCTTCACGTTCGAAGTATCTCGCTGGACAAGGCAAACCAGGCCCTTCGGGTCCTTACAGTCAGGGGACCATCTCCCGAGCTTCCGCTTCGACTCCGAACCTCATTACCGCTCCTCCTCCGACTTCTCCTACGCGAAAACGTTGGAGCCCTCCTACAGATCTCCCGACGGTGCGGTCCTACAGCCCAGAGGATGGGTCGATCAAAACACCCAAACCGAAGGTCGATTCACGCTCTGAAGCCAGTGTTGCTGATGGCAACGTGGTAGTAATGGAGAAGCCAGTGCCTGTTCCCAGAATACTGCAGCCACCGCCCAGATCCCCATTAAGGAAGCGCTCATCGAAGCAGCTTGACGCTGGCGGCCTCTTCTCGTGGGCTAGGGCAGCTGCGTCGCCGCCACGCTCTTCGGTAGCAGACTCTACTCGTGCGTCAGTGGGGGATGCGTCAATCCAAGGGTCAATCACAGACGAACCCAATGTTAGGCAATCAGTGGCTTCAACCGCTATCACAGAGTCTACTTTATCTACTGCGCTTTCAAGCGTCATGGACTTCGGACAAAGTAGCAGTGGTGGCAATAAATATAGCACAATCCGGACTGTCACAACTGATCTTACCTCAGAAGCTCCGTCCATAACACGCACCGAGGGAAGCGCCATTGCGGATGATTTAGCTTGGAAACACACGATGGAGAATGTTGGGAAATTCAGAGACAGGAAGTCGAGCGAGGTTCGCGCTGTTGATCTTTCGAGGGTGGCAGAAGAGACAGATGAGAGCGTATCCTCCAAGGGGCATGATAGAAATCGAAGAGATAAGGGAGAGAAGAGAGTTACGGAGCAGAGGAAACCAATTGAAAAGCCTGCTGTCCATCTTCGAAAGGGGAAGTGGCCTGATGACTTCATTGATGCCTTCCAGTCGCACAACCTTCGTCAGCCTATCTCACCTTCCTTGGCTGATGAAGATCTTCCGTCTAAGTCCACACCGATCTCCATACCCCCACCTAGGAAACTTGCCATTGTGGGAGCCAACCGACGTACTGAGGGTCTGGAAACGCTTCCTCAGCTTCCAAGGAGGCCAACACATCGCCCTCGGCACAGCATTGATACACCAATCCTTACGCCAAAGGAATCGTTACTACGCCAGGATGTCGATAGCGCTAGCTCTTCTTCTGGAAGGATCATGCTTCGACGTCACAGTACCAAGCTAGGTGTCACTCACCGTATTGGAACAAACACTCAGAGCAGCAGTGCTGAAGACCGGAGTTCCCCCGATGCTGCCCCTCTTGTACCATTCCCACGAACTGTGTCAGGCGAACGTGATAAACGTGCACACTCACCAGCTCTGTCCCCTTCAAGTGGTGAGACGGCGGGAATTCATGAACGACCCCGCTTTGTACGTGGACGCTTCCAGAGCGACGTCGAGGGTTCAAGCGCGCGCAGAAGCCCCCGCCCGAGTTCATATGATGAACTTGCCGTGCAACCTGTCCGATCTAGATTTGAGAGTATGATTAACCTTGGTGTAGCCTCAGGCACAGCCAGTGCGAGTGATCTGCTGTCTCGAGAATCTTTGGATGGACGTCCGATCCGCATGACCCTGGTTGTAAGGGAAGATGGGAAGTTGCCCACGCACTTTGTCAGTGGCATGCTTTTTTGTGATCGTTTCCCCTAGCTGACTGGTTCCACAGCAATTAGGTAACTGTATTGGTCGTGGTCAATTTGGCACTGTGTACCGTGCTCTTAATCTGAACACTGGACAAATGGTAGCCGTCAAGCGCATACGACTAGAAGGCCTGAAGGAGGAGGAAGTGATGACGTTGATGAGAGAGGTTGACCTGGTTAAGAGCTTGTCACATCCAAGCATTGTGAAATATGAAGGTATGGCCCGTGACGACGACACCCTCAATATAGTTCTGGAGTACGTCCACCAAATCAAAAATAAACTTCCTCTCTCACACTGATACTGAATGCTTGTTTAGATACGCCGAGAATGGCTCGCTTGGGCAAATCTTGAAGGCATTCGGTAAATTGAATGAGCGCCTTGTAGGAGGTTACGTCGTAAAAATCTTAGAAGGCCTGCATTATCTTCATACTAGTGATGTTGTCCACTGCGACCTCAAGGCTGCGAACATATTGACGACCAAGAATGGCAATGTTAAGCTTTCCGACTTCGGCGTTTCTCTCAATCTTCGGGCGATGGAGCGAGAAATCAAGGATGTCGCGGGGACTCCTAATTGGATGGCACCGGAAGTTATTGAACTTAAAGGCGCCTCCACAAAGTCCGATATCTGGTCGCTAGGCTGTACCGTCATTGAATTATTGACAGGCCGTCCTCCCTACGCTGAAATTTCGAACAGCATGTCCGGTAAGCTTGTTTTCTCCATGTAGTGATGAGGTTATCTGACACTTTCATTTAGTGATGTTCCGAATTGTGGAGGATGATATGCCTCCTGTTCCGGAGGGGTGCTCACCACTGCTTCAAGACTTCTTGACCAAATGCTTCCGGAAAGACCCCACTCAACGACCCAGCGCCGAAATGCTTTGCGAGCATCCATGGTTGAAGAATAATTGGGGGGCACTCAAGGTATTTGGGTCCTAAATCAAGGTGTACCGTATTCATGACAGAGCGATGTTCCTAGGAGTTGCGTCCGCAAGACAGCATACCATTTCTACGGCGAGTTAGCACTGATTTGCAAAAATCTGACGAACTTGCGCGGTATCTATCTCAAATTGAGATGCCAGACTCCTCACCATTGGAAGGTTTCGCCCGTAGTGATGTCGGCAAAATCTCGCCAATCGGACGTCGAACATCCAACGCATCAGTTAGGCCTCTTCCAGACAGCGACATATCATCACGGGACCATTCTTTTGTCAAAACGACATTCAGTAAACGTAGGTGCCTCATACAATATAATTGTCTTGCATAACTAATTATTGTTATTACACAGCTATGATCTGTCGTGTATGTCAACTAGCCATTAAGAAAAGCGCTGTAATATGCGCGCAATGTAGCCTCATTTCTCATGCGAAATGTGCCATCAATGCACCGCCGACTTGCGACTTACGCGCTCAGCTCCTTCTCTATGCTCAATATGCCGAGAAAGGCAATCAGGCGCATTCGAACCCTGCGGAATTGCTCCAGGACCTTCAAAACACCATGTCCGATGTTGCATATAGCCCTAGCATTGACACTCCTCCTCAGTCACCTACACATCCAGAATTTTCACCCCCTACGGCTTTCAGGTTCATGGCAGCTTTCAAGCGATCTCGTACCAATTTATCGCCTGAACCGGGAGCAGTTGGTGGATCGTCTTCTTTGCCATCACCCTCGACGATGGACGTGGAAGAGAAGACTCATCGAAGACGACCACTGCTACAGAAACGCGACGAGCGTCCCCTTTCAGTGACCAGTGACAGCACAGGCGTGAGCAGTCTACGAAGCGCCGCAACGGCGGCTGAAAGTTTTTCCAGCCGACATGACACAGGGACTACCTTGCCTGTCGGACGAGACAAAGAGGCCCGATCTTATGGAAGCAAGCTCTCTGCAGCGAGCTCGGATTTTAATAGATCTTCCCAGGCACCAGAGGCAGTCTCCGATCATGGACAAGAAGGCGTGCACGGTGCTCTTTCGTCACTAGAGCCTCGTCGGCACAAGAGAGGCTCCAAGTCAGCCAGCAACTGCGTCGTACAGTGAAAGTGGACGATTTTCCAACCACTCTTTGTATACATTATATATTGGGACACACATCATTCTTACAGCTTGCCTACTACAGCCAGACACTTTTCTCTTATTCAAAAACCGCATCTGTATCACCACATGTACCTCACATTCGCACTTACTGTACCCCTGTTACTAAGTATCTGAAAAGTAATTCTAGTGCAATTGAATTGAACCCTTTGACATACATACATTGCACATGCACGTGTCTACGCAATGTCAACTGATGGGCCGGCTTCAAGTCGCCTTCATTACGTCAATTACCGCGCCAGAGTGCGCAATGTCATACATAGCCCAGGGCGGCGCCTCGTTCCTCTACCGATCGATGACTATCAGTTATAATAATCAAGACTCATTCCAAAGTTGCCCAATTTGGAGCTTACCAGGGGACACGATTTGATATGACATGCCCCAGACCAATCAAATCGATTGTCTACGGGCATATAAAGGACGTGTACCCCTGCGAAATGAGGTTTCTCGTACCCCTCTCATTTTCCGCCATGATGGTCAAGGTCGCTGTATTTTTCTTGGTTGCCATGACCCTCGGCGTCGCAAGTGCGTTACCGATTCAAGAGACGAACGGTCAACGGCTAGCGCGAGGCCTCCCACCGAACCCACCCAAGTTTATGCGTTCCTGGGATGGAAGGGATCTACCAACTCCTGCGATGGGTACCCGCATTTTTACTAAACATCTGTAAGTTGCTAACGAGCCCCTTGTAACTTCAGTCGCAAAACGGACTCAGACATCCCCAACGCCTCCCAACGTGTGAATACCTGAGATCATCTACATCGTTTCACGGAGTGCTGTTCTGACCTTGTATCCCAAGGTACACGGGCCGACTTGACGTTCGGAATCTAGACGGGAGTAGTGTTGGGCATGTGCGCAACTGGCCTGGTGGAGGAACCATGTCCGTTACTAACCTCATCGACAACCCGTGGTGATCTTACTTTTTTTCAAGTGGAGGAACCAATTATCTTGGTCCTAATGGCGATCTGTTGGTCAAAGCGACTCCTTCCAATAACGATCTTTATGATATCTTGGCATCAGTGAGTGGGAAGCTGTTCTTTCCCCTGTAGTTGCCGATTTCGCGTTTTCAGAACCCCGCATTCCCTGCACCGTTTTATGTCGGAGCTGGTGGCAATTCTCTTCATAACAACCCGATTCTGGCTAAAGGAAGTCGCAAGTTGCATCTTTTTCTTGACTTTTTTGTTCAGCCTCTCAACCAATTTAAAGCACAATCGATTTCACAAACGTGGCACAGAGTAAGCGTTTTTTGGACCAACACGTTATTAATTTCCACACCTGACGCCGCCACAGCTCCCCCAGGATCTAAGCCAGTAGCAACAGGCTCAGGCGGTCTTTATGTTGAGTCGGCCATTTGGTCTTTGAACAAAAATACGAAGCAGGTATCACGTACGCTGCTCCCGAATAATCTTCTGTCTTCTGCTACATATAATCATACAGCGAAATGGATCAACCCCGACGGCTCCAGTCCTCCGACCACACTTGCTTATGATATCCGCGAAGTGCGTCACATTCCTGCAAGATAAGGAGTTTATTAACGCTTATTTTCGTCAGAACTATCTCTTTTTCGTTGGGGACCTCGCAGCTTACAATGAGGGCAACGATACTCCGGCTTCGGCTGTTGTAAGTCCGAAACATCTAATAATCTACAACGTGACCCACCCATTACTCTTCAGAACCTCTTCATTATCTGAGTCTCCTCGCCTCATCGTTCCATTACGCGTGATGACTTTGAAATGCTTCTTACATTGGCCTTCGCCTTGGACTTTCGCCCCCATCTTACGAGGACTCTCTATTGGACACTCTCGACCCATTTCACTTCGGACTCCAGCGTCACCCATCACTTGTTCTTCACGATGTAATGCACTTGGACATTTCTACGACTTGAAGATGTTTATGCTTCGAAACTTTTTTTTTTTTTGTAAAAAAATGCACATATATACTCTTACGGACCTCTTAGTGGCCTCTGTACATTCAGCCATCTGTAGTATCACGGACCTAGTTTTGCAATCGACGCTTTTGAAGTTGGCTTTTCACCACATGTCTTTAGAATTCCTTCTGAAAATTGGTAGACATATATATACGTTCCGGCAATATACTTTTCAACTAGTGCCATGAAATGCTTTGAAATGTAATGGGTCAATCAGTCTCAGAATTTGCCAAACCGATTTGATTTGGATAGTACTTACTCACAGGCTTTCAATTGCAATAGAGCATGTTGCTCCGATCCCACAACCTCTCAACCGGCCGCGAGGAATACGCCATATGTGGTGGTGACATCAAGTGACCAATTGTTTCTCCCGAAGACAACCAGAAGACCTGAGGAAGCTCAAGCCAGCATCAGCTGCCACTGAGTGTTCCGAAGCGGTGCGGAGAGATCGGGACGTAAATGAATGATCGGCCGAATGCACGTGAATTCGATCAGACTATTTCGAGCATGAGGCGCAGCCCTGCTCGTCAGATTTATGTAACCTCAGGTCTTCCGTCCAGTCTTTGTCTGGTTCTCTTTCAACCTATCAATGCCCTCGAGCAGGCTCTCAGAACTCGGGCAGTCGAGCTCAAGCAACGGCTGGAACTCGGAAGCTTCAGTTTCTGTCTCGACGAGGTGCGTAGTATGTGCTGCTTAACTGAAATTGCCAGTTGACGGTCGATGTGAACCCCTATAGCAGACTGGAAGCCGCGCTGAGGAAGTTCTCAAAGCAAGCTGTTTTGAATGAGTACAAAATGAAAGATTTGGAGGTGAGGAGGTCCTGTCTGCGATTATCTCTCGCTCACCCACCTTTGACAGTCCAGACTGTCAGAAAATATGAGCAATTTCCGAGCGATTGACAGCCTTTTACAGGAAGCCTTCACTGGCTTACAGGTATACTGCAGTCAATCTTTCATGTCCCATTGGCTCAGCTCATTCGTTCAACAGCGCAATTCCAAACGAGCTGACCGTGCCCTGCAGACTCAGGTACCTCATATCAACGCGGAGCTGGAGGAATCGATGGAATCATTAACGCAACTCTCTCAAACATTACCCAAGATTCAATCGCAAGTGGCTGACATACGTGTCGTTCATGATTCTGGTCGGGAAAAAGTATGCCTTCTCCCGACGTCGTGATGTCTTTGTGCTGAAAAGGTAAATTGTTTCCCAGGCTCAAGCTCTAGTGGAAGACCTCGTTTGGCTCAACACAGAATTCTATGAACGTTGGCGAAGTATCATCTTTACGTCGAGCAGTCCAGTTTCCTGGAGATGGAAAGCCGTCATGCGCACGCTCTTCGTCATATCGTTCATTCTCTGCTCATGGCTCTCATGGATTGCACTATCCGGTGCTTATCGAGCTCACCGACACCGACTTGTCTGGGGCGAAAAGTTGATGTCATGAACTCCCGAACGATATCTGGATGGTTGCCCTGCTGGCCGGGCCGACACGCCGCTTTCCTGGTCCACAGGCTACCATGTTCGCGTTCACCGTCTTTCAATTATTGTTCACTGGCTCCGTGCTATAGTTATCTTGAAGTTATTGTCTCATCTCACTGCTCTCGTTTTTTTCTATCGTCACATTATTCTGTACATGCATGATTTTCCTCGCCGGACAATCTTCTTTTCCCTAGATTTTTTTTCTTTTCGTTCTGCTGCTTTCTTGGGTTTATGACGTACAGGCCTGTACTAGTATTCCGTTAACAATCCGTGATTTTGACTTGATGACATTCTTGCAACATTCTTGAGAATGTGTTTACGTGTATTAGGATTGAAGGGTATGGGTATCAATCTCTATTGATTGAGCACTCCGTCCAATTTCGCCGTATGATGGACACCTTCGACGACCTCCTCGCTCCTTCGCGACAAGCGCTGGAAGACAACCCATTTGCAGACCCATTTTCTACGCGCTCTGGCTCACCGGATCCATGGGCAAACCCATTTGCATCCACACCTTTGCCCACAGAGACCTTTGGCCATTCCTCTTCAATTATTGAGCCTTCCTCGGGCGTTGAGGCAATAAAGCTGCGTAATGACGAGGTCCCTATTTGGGCGGAACACCATCTATCAGATCCTCTTGACTCTGCTGCTCATGATCAGGACGACGAAGAGGACAACAAACCGCTTGGCCGTCTGCGCTCTCCGGGCTTCCGGGAAAGTGTTCCGTCTGACTTTTCTGAAATTGCTACCATAAGACCTGTGGAACCAAAAGAATCAGAACAGGGTCCTTCCACCCCTCCCGCTTCCTCCAATGGACCATCTACCCCCACCCCTCGTGCAGAAACCCCGACTTGGTCTCCTCCACAGCGAACTAAAGAGCACACGAGGCAGCCTTCGAAGTCTGGTTCGAGCCTTATCTCCCCCTCCTCTTCAACTTCCGGTTCTAGTGTCGCTTCGCCTCTGGAGCAATCTTCTTCGATTACTGGCCTCGCCCATTCTGTGGCTGCATTGTCACTTGGTGGAGAGTCGCTCGGTGGATGGCAGAGCGAAGAGCAACAAACCTCGTGGCGCCAGGAACCTACATCCCCTATTGTTGTTGCTCCACAAGTCAATGATGATGATAGTGACGACGACAAGCCGATCCGACAGACGGTGAAGCTACCACAGGAGGCTAGCCCATCAGTTAGTGATATGTTGATACAAGAATTGATGATATTGACGATTGGTGTATGCAGGTTTCAGTAACCAAACCCACAAGAAACGACAATGGCATTCAACCGGTTTTCATTATTTCAGTGGAGGATCCACAAAAAGTCGGAGATCCCATTCGTTCCTTTACCATGTACACAGTCCATACCCGTGTAAGCTTACGCTATTTTATTTGTTCTTAACGAGCGGCTCATCCTGCATGCAACAGACTACATCACCTCTTTTTCAAAAGTCCGCCTTCTCTGTCCTCCGTCGCTACTCAGACTTCCTTTGGCTCTACGAGACGCTTTCAAACAATAACCCAGGTGTGGTTGTCCCCCCTGTCCCGGAGAAGAACTCTTTCGGTCGGTTTGATGACCAGTTCGTGCGGCAACGCCGACTGGCCTTGGAGAAGTGCATTCAGAAGATCGCCAACCATCCTGTCTTGGGTAAGGATGCAGATCTCCGAACTTTCTTGGAGAGTGACTCTTTCGCACTCGACGTGAGTTTGTATATGTCTTCAGTCGCTTTTATTGAAAATAAGTTTTTGTTCAGATCAAACACAGGAAGGCAGAAATCGCACATGAGAGAGGTGGACTGATTGCTTCGATCGGTCAGACCATTTCTGGGCCACGTTTCTATGAAACAGATGAGGTGAGTATCAGAGGTAATTGCGTTTTTTGCCCCTCTCTCATCTTGGTTCAGTGGTTCGATAGGCAAAAGGCCTATCTTGACAGTTTGGAATCCCAACTGCGCGGACTTGTTAAGGCCATCGAGTTGGTTGCAAAACAACGCTCAGGTTTGTTATCCGCTTTACTCAGTCGTGGCTCTTCAGCTCAATTCCCTTCCCTTAGACCTTGCCGTTGCGACAGGAGAATTTGCACAAACCATCAGTGATCTATCAGCATCGGATGTTGGGAAACAACTTTCACAGGTTCTTTCTGCGCTGGCGGACGTGGAGCGAAAAGCTCAGGATACACAAAGCACGCAGTCAGAGCAGGATATGGTGACTTTGATGGCGACTGGTAAGGAATACATATTGGCAGAAATTCATTTCTGATGATTCTCAGTTGACGAATATGCTCGTCTCATCAATTCCGTTCGCGTAAGATTTTTTCACATTCATAGTAGGGACGGGATGTTCACTCCTTCTGCAGCTTGCATTTAGCTCCCGAATACGAATGTACCACGCCTGGAAAAACTCGGAGAATGATCTCCTTCGCACAAAACAGAATCACGAGAAGAATAGAGCTCAAGGCCGAATACCTACGGATCGACTGGGATATTCTTTAAGCCAGATAGCTGAGGTGTGTAATTCAATGCTTGTTTGGAGTTGCAGACAATTTATGTTTGGTAATATCAGGCTGAGCGCCGAGCTTTGGAATCAAAGCATGAATATGACCACGTTTCTAAACTCGTCAAGTCCGAAGTTGCAAGGTTTGAACAGGAGCGCATTGAAGACTTCAAGGATTCCTTGCATGCCTTTCTGGAAGGAATGATTTCAAGACAAAAAGAGGTACTTGAAGTCTTATCTCTGAAATTGATTTGGTGTTTATGATCACCTATTTCGCAGTTGATTGCTGGTTGGGAGAATTACCAACAGATGCTGTTGAAGAGAGTTGGCGGGGGTGGCGATACACGGACAGCTTGAATCATGTTGTGCATACAATCTATATACCTTAATGTGGGCAAAAATGCGGATTGGTGGAACCGAATAAATATTCCGTAGCGGTTGTTCAATGCTTAACTTGAGTAAGACTACATGAATGATTAAATGTGTTTATTTATCTCGATGTCGCGGATAGATACTTCGTTACACGGCAATGTCTATTGAATATAATCCTACACTGCTGCGTTCCGTTACTCCCAATACCTCGGGACCTTGCTCTCATTCTCACCGGCAACGTCGAAGAAATCTGAAGGACGATCCCGTTTGAGATTCCTTCTGCGATTGTTCACAGGTAGCCTCTGGTACGCCGAATCCTGTCCAGCAGGCTGTTGGTTCGAGAACTGGTTGCCCCAATTCTGTTGGTATTGCATTCCATATCCCATTCCCCCAGTGACTAAATTCTGGGCTTGCTGTTGCTGTTGTTGTTGTTGCTGCTGCTGTTGGAATGTGGCAACTGCCAACGCCGCAGATATAGCTTGGGCTTGTTGTAGTTGGATCTGGAGTTGCTGGTACTGCATTTCTGTTTGGTGTCGTACTTGGTTTGGTAGAGAGGAGGTTTGGAGCATCACTGAAAGTTGGTTAATCTGTGCCTGGAGCTGAGGGATACTGTCGACCAGCATTTGCGACATTTCCATGCTTAGGTCTGGCTGTTGGTCAGAGTAGAGATCTTGTTCCTGATTGCTCTGTTCACCATTCTCTGCCTAAAGTAGAGATTATTTGACTGCGAAGATGTACCGTCCAACAAGGCCTACCTGTCCAGTGGCATCACCAGTTCGGTCGCCCCCCGCTGCGGGCGTCGAATCTTCACTGGCCTCCTTTTTACTATCCTCGACGGCCTTCTCAATATAATCTGTCACCTTTGTGCGCGCTGGTTTGTCCACGAGGAGTTTGTCGAGGGATGCAATCTTTTTCGAGCAGTGAGGACATACAAAATCTCGTTCAAGTAGATGCGTCTGTATGCATTCCTCGCAATACAGCGTACCACAACAGGGCGTCTTAACGGCATCGCGGAAAAGCTTATTGTCGATCGGACATGCCAATGAAGTGTCTGTTGGTGCGCGTTCTCGAACTTCAGCAACTGTCAGACCTTTCGGTCGTGATACCTGCTTCTGCCACGATGCACTAGAAAAATGAAAAAATTGATTCGGGGTTTGAAGAATAGCAATGTGCTCACAGATCTGGCTGGGCGACGACAAAGCCTCCTTCGGGAGTAACCATGACTCCTTGAGCAAGGTCGCCGCTGTTCGGATTCTCAACCGCCTTCAACATGCTTCGGGGTATCCCAGTTGTTCGTTTAATTCGCGGACGGTTGTCAAACTCGCGGTCGTTGTTTGTCGGGCAGTCCTGGATCCAATGACCTTGGATCAAGTGTGAGTCAATGAGCGAAAAAGGAAAAAAAATTGCGCTCGACGAACCTTTCTGTCCACATCGATAACAAACATAGCTTGGGGGCAATGGTCGGTCCTGCTGTTGAGCTTGGAGCTGCGGAATATGCGGTTTTCCACTACCCCGTCCAAATCCGGTGCCCCGAGGGTTGCTATATACACGCGTCGCGCTGTTCATTACCAAACGATATAGAGGGGAAAACAGACATGTTCATTAGATTTTGGTCTACTACATCAACGAAAGCCCGCGTGGGGTACACAAACTGAGACATCTTTTCTTGAGTTTCCTCCCAGTTTGCTGACGAGGCTTGGAACATGGCAGCCATTGCTGCTGCTTCGTCATCTTTTGTGACGGCAGACTTCATAAGTGTCGACTGGAAATAAAATGAGTCCAACCAACAAATTCATAATGAAAGACTTACGGGTTTTGGTATGGTGGACGCCGAAGGTTCTTCTTTGCCATCAAAACGTTTTGACATAGCACCCTTGTGCCAAGTTGTAGAAGATCCAGGCCGCTGCACAGATTCTGACACTGGGCCGGGGGCGGAGGCCGCACCAATGTACATTGAAGCCTTTCCCTTGCCAGGCCTTACAGCTGGCATCCGCTTCACGACGACTGAGGATGAACGTGGGATGATTTGCGAATCATCTTTGAGTTCTATGGCGATGTCAAAAAGCATTGCAGCAAGAATAAAGCAACACACCTTGCTTTGAGGTGGAGTCATATACGAAGAGATCAAAGTCGTTTGCCTTACCCATGTTATTGGCGAGTATAATTTCACGTTTCAGATCGAAGACAGAAATACCGGTGCCATCGAAGGTCACTCTCGACTCGTCCTTCCTAGAACTGAACTTGTAAAAAACAGAAGATGCCATATGTATTGAACGACAAGGCAGTTGCTAATTAACTAGAAAAGGGTGATTGGTGACAGGGTCAACGCTGTGCGAAGGCTGGTGAGATGCCAGTGGGATGCCGGGGGTGGGGCGAACGGGTCTTTGGTAGGGATGCGAAGGGGATGCTGGCTGTGAGATGGTGGTGGGACGAGCGAGATTCGGAGTGAAATTTGGATTGGTGACAATGGTGTGACAAATGTCACAGTCTCCAACTAGTAATGGTCACCTCACGTGGAATCACTCGTTTCTTCCACGTTTCCCAGGTGACCTCTCAAGATATAGAAGCGTTCAAGTTGAAAATTAAAAAATATTCAACCCCCGGCCCTACTATGCATACTACCGATTTTAAATTTAAAACGCGGAGAATAAGTTCCTCCCGATACACCGCTCGACGAGCACATTACTACAGACTCCGTACAGACACAACCAACCCGTACAACAGCAACAATAAATAGCAGCGGTTAACATGTTACCGTGGGTCCAGCTCGTCTTCCTCATCGTCCCCGACGATATAATTGGCTCCCCCGTGGTTTGCTTCAGCATTAGGCACACGCGCATACCATTTTGGCCTTATCCTACTAGACGTCATTTCGATATTATCGTTGGCAGGCTTGGTAGCCGCGTTGCGCCCCGTTGTAGAGTAAAGATGGATGAGGAAGACAATGAATGTGTACAGCGCAAAGGCGATGCTTTGGGAAAATGAGTCGATATCGGGAAGTGGGCGTAGGATCACACACCTAAACATAATAAGAATGTATGTGACGTGGTCCATCTCATTTTCATGCACGTATTCTAACTCTTCGTCCGTTGCAGATATGAACAATAGACTGGTAAGAGGATGTCAGTGATTTTACGGAGTCGCGTTGGAATATGGGTGCACCCAGCGGCCACTAGAAGCTAAGCACAAGGCGGGGCATGAGCATTAATTATGGAGAAGAATGGGGTCACGTACGAAGGGAGGAAGGTGGCGGAACGCTCGCGCAGCTGCTGCCTTTCCACTACTATCGCCGTTATTGTACGAAGATAAAAACCCTGGACTCGGTGCGCCATCGGCAAGAGTTTGTTCACTGTGATTGTCATCATCTACGCCTTCCGGAGAATACTTGGGTACGAAAAAACAGATTTCAATCACACGCGCGAAGCCAGCGAGCATGAGGGTACGGCCGAACGTAGCATGGACCTGGAAGATTAGATAAATGGTTGAAACTTGTGAGAATAACGGTTGGTTGACCTTGGTTGACAACATGAGAGCTTGGGCGTGTTCTGACATCCCCCACCCCGTTAGTATAATTCTGGTGAAGGCGTCAGAAAAATGGAAATTTGAAGATATATCCTACTGACATAACTCCTGGGATGACGTTGCGCTATGAAGCGTTTGAGCCAAGAAGTTGCAAGCACCGATGATCACAACCGACCTGGTTATTCCGTGACAGGAAAATTCCGAGAATGCCTCCTGTCCACCCTGTTGGGAATTCGTCCCGGTCAAAAACTCGCAGGATGGGAACGAAGGTTGAACCATACAGAGAACGCCAAGTATCCTGTCACCGTCATGAGTGAGATGCCAAAAAGCGACCAAGCAAAGCCGTACGTGTGCTGCATGTCTTTGACAGACCAATTTCCTCCATGGTGCTCAGTAAAGGTGTTGACTGCATTACTCATGTAAGTGGATGTCCATCTATCTCACCCAGTTACTTGCCGATTCCCTATTGACGAAGGCCAGTGAGCTAACATGGACCAGACTCGACGTTGGAGACATACCCAAAGCATAATGACCCTACGCAGCATGATGCTTCAGTTTCCGCTAGAGTAAAAATAATCCAAACCTACCAGGAATCCCACCACTCAGGGCTGCGACCACTTCGTCGCACCCAAGCCTCTCCGACTAGCAAAATGATAGCCATGATTGTAGCATAGGCGATGAAGCCACTTCCCATTATATAATGGGCCAGACACTGGCCTATATGACATCAATCGAAAATCAGGCAATGGACAAAATGCGATTGAAGAAAGTCCTCACCGAGATGTCCGCCCCGACAGTATCCACGAAATGTGGCAATGCCAAACAACATCTGTGTCCAGCCAAGTATTGGGTATACTTTTCCGATTATGCCATGAGCAACCACAGCATATGGTCTTATCGACTTTTCGTGTATGTGAAGTTTCAGGTAGATTCCGAGAACCAGTTGGCCAACGATTGGGATGAAAAGTATCGACGCGAACGTTCCATGCACAGACCTCGGGAACATGCGACCCTTATGAGTGTGGCCTAGGATGTAACCGCCGAAGGTTAGTGCAAATCCTGTTGCCTACCATCCAGTCGCTGGGTAAGTTCCAGCCAACATGAGGTATGTTGTCGCAGATACGCACCTGAAGTGGAACATGCCATCGACTTCGAGTAATTCCCAAGACCATTCCCGTCGGAAATAACACACCCCAAACCATAGCCTGCAGGGCCATATGTATCCACAGAATAGCGTCTACTGGTGCTTGAGCATCTTCATCGGAGACTTCGTCATGGTGAGGGTGGGCGAGCACGACGGTCGTTATTAAGGCTAGACACAGGATCGTCGGCAGAATTCGTGACAAGCGTGTCGGGTGTGCAGCCATCGCAAGTGTGGCTTCTATTCTCCTCTAAGTATCACGAACAGTGAGCAGGAGAAATGAAATGACGTTTGGTAAGCGTCGAAAAAGCATCCGGAGCGGACCGGTCCGAAATGGTTCGAGTTTAAATACTCTACTTGTTCGCTACGTGGCTTGCCACTCACCCATGGCCTCTACAGTCAGCGCCAATGGTGGCGACAATCTCCTTCGCTTCAGGCCCAATGCCACAGGAAATACCTCGAAAATTGTCATCTCAGAGAAGGGCAAGGAAATGGACAAACGTCTCGACAAGCACGAAACGTTCGTTGCAAAAATTTGTTTCTTCAACACTTGTTGACTGTGACGCGTCTTTTTTTATAGCTTTGAGTTTGGTGGACCATGGGGTGTTGTGGCTATTATGACCGGCTTCCCCATCCTCATGTACTACCTTTGGATTTGTCTTTGGTTTTATGACGGAAAACTCGTCTACCCTACTTCCGCGGACGACATTCAACCGTTCTTGCTGAGAATGTGGGAACACGTCCGAAAGGTGAGCGCAATGCAGCCTGAATGTACATCGTGGCTCAGAATTAATCAAGGACGCAAGCCCAAACGCCTACGCGTGGAAAGTCTACTCGGGCAACTTTTTCTTCCAACTATTCATCGCTTGGGTATTGCCTGGTTATCCGCAAGAGGGCCTTCCCGTTCCTTCGCTGGGGTACAAAACTCTCATGTACAACTGCAATGCACTTCAATGCTTGTACGCCACACTCATCACCTCGGGATTGCTGCACTACTATAATATCTTCCGCCTGACGGAAATAATCGACAACTATGGACATCTCATGACTGTTTCCATGATCTACGGCTTTGGTGTATCCCTTATTACATATCTCTATGCGGTCCTGACTAACACTCAAATCCGAATGTCGGGCAACTTCTTCTACGACTACTTCATGGGGGCTTGCCTAAACCCGCGTCTGGGACCTATCGATTTGAAGATGTGGGCTGAAGTCCGGATTCCATGGGTCATCGTATTCTTCTTGTCCGTTTCCGGTGCTTGCAAGCAGTACGAGACCTATGGTTATGTTACACCTGTAAGTTGTTTGGTACTTGTTCGAATGTATTACTAATGTCAGCTCATAGAACATGGCTTTTATGATCCTTGCTACTGGATTCTATATCAATGCATGGTATTCACGCCTTTGACTCTGATGTTACCGTTCCTCATCCATACATTAGTGCCAAGGGTGAGGAGTGCATCCCTCAGACGTGGGATATTTTCCACGAAAAGTGAAACATATATTATCCCATCCACTCCATTCGTTGATCCAAACTTTTCAGATGGGGTTTCATGGTTATCTTCTGGAATTTCTCTGGCGTTCCTTTCGTATGTATGCATTCGTATTCAAAGTACCCGTCCTAAACCTCCGACAAACAGTCTTACGTCTACTCTGTCGTCTACATGGCTTCGCACGATCCCTCATCATACCGATTCACCACTGGTGGATACATTTTCATATATACCGTTCTATGCACAGCTTACTACATGTAAGTCGTTCAACTCGTATCACCTACTTTGACTGACATCTATGGTTCCAGCTGGGACACCGCCATGGCACAGAAGAGTCACTTCAAGATGGAGACGCAGGGCATCACCACATTTCGCAAGACCTTCCCCCAGCTTCCCGGTTGCTTTGTCAAAAATCCTACCTTCATCCAAACCGAACATGGGTGCGTCACCATTCTATGATTATTTCTGCACCAAACCTAACGTTTTCATCTAGTAACCGTCTCCTGACCAGTGGTTGGTGGGCATACTCGCGCAAACCCAACTACGTTGCCGACTGGACCATGAGCTTGACTTGGGGGGCCATCATTGGCACAACGACCATCATTCCGTACTTCTACTCGATGTTCTTCATCGTCGTTCTCCTACACCGATGCACTCGCGATTTTGAACGGTGTGTTGTTTTTCTGCCTCGTTATTTCGAAATGTAACTCAGGTATTTTCTTTGTCTAGTTGCTCGATCAAGTACGGAAAAGACTGGGAACGTTATTGTGCTGTTGTAAAATACAAGTACATTCCTGGTATTTATTAACGTTATGGATCAGTAACATCATACCGGTATATATTGTTTTTTTCACCTGTTAGGTGTTCATTGGGTTAGAATGGTGGAGTGGCTGCTGGTGACCACTGGCCTTGCTTCCACCAGCTGAATTTTGCTGGTGGCTAAATCAATCACAATGAACAAATGAATGAGCTCAGAATTGAGCAGCCCTAGTGTCAAGCTGTATGAAAGCCACAGTAAAATTTTCAAATCTGGAATGCCTGAATTCTGCTGGAATCATAAGACACCAGAATGAAAAAAAAAAGCAGGCCTTCCTGCCAAATTTCATTCCACCGGAATGACTGGATTCCTGCAGGAATTAGGGGGGCACTGATAAGACCTCCCATGTGGGGATGCATGTCAAGGTCTGGAGTATGCATGACTGCTGCATGCACCATTGATTCAGTACAAAGAGTCATTATTATCATTACCTGGTTACATGACCAGGTTACATCACGTGAGCACTGGCAACCCTCCCTTTTGGCGTGCGCCGTCACCTCCGTCACGCAGCTGGTAACCTCTCTCCAGTGATCTGTGTTTGCAGAGTCCTTGATAGCATAGATAGCATCACACAAATGAATCCATTTTTTCCACTCTCTCCCCGTTCCCCTCTGGTCCCTGTCCCCCTCCTCCTCTTTGGGATCAACAGTCTGCTCTCACCCTCAGGCATCCCTGAACTCCCACCTGGTTGTTTGGACCTCAGTCCCCCCCTCTGTGCAGCTCCTGTGTGACCCCCGCATCTGTTTGAGAGAGGTGACCCCGATCAAGGAAACTGTGCATCCCAAAGGTGGAAACTGCTATTGTGGCTCCTGCTTTTCCCTCGAGAATGGAATCCTCGAATGCGACCCCAATGATAGCGGATTGTGAGGTCCCGATTGCGGCATCGAAAGGTGTTTCTGCAATCAAGGAAACCTTTTTAGATGTACCAAATTGACTAGATCTCAAGAATAAAAGACAAAAGTTTAAGAGCCACATCTGTAGTGAGGCTCATCAAAATTCAGATAATGCACGGTTAACATTTTAATGAGGTTCTTTGCTGAAATTTGGTCTCAAAGTGTTGCATGAGCTGCTCCTTTATTTGCTCAATCAAACTAGTTAGATTTAACTATATTAACCCCTTCAAAGTATGCTTTTGGAAGCTCAATAGCATTGTAAAAAGCAGAGGCTTGAGAACTGCTTTTTCAATGAGCCCTCCTAGAAAAATGGTAACCATTATTTTTGCAGGCAATAGTTCACAGCATGTTGTTGCAAAAATATCGATAATGGCTCTGAGAGCCACACATTCCATATTTGGCCAAACTTGCTAAAGGGACAATGTAAATACATGAAAGCTAATATAAAACAATGGTAGTATGTGGGGGACAATGGCAATATATGCCAAGGATTTAGGTATTCAGACTGGTAACGTTACCAGTGGGTAACATTTGTCTATGATATATCTTGTATACTGTACTATTTCAGCCAAGTGTTCATGTCACACATCACACTGACAATTTTTATTTATTTATTTATTCATCTTAAATCAAAAGAAATTTTTTTGGCCATCTTGGCATGAAAAATTTCCCAAAATTGTAAACACTTGGTCAAAATAGTACAGTATCAGTAGTAAGGTGTTTTAGAGGGTAATGAGAGTGTACTTACAGGCTTTACCACACCAGCTAGCCTTCAAGGACTTAAATCTTTGAGACTTGTATTTCTGTTCATTCCTGGGTGGTAACCTTGAAAAAATAATTTCTGAGGGCTTGGGCAAACTTCTCAAGCCATTATATTTTGTTTTTATGCAATCTAATCCGTCTGCACAGTTTGTGCATTGAGCTTTCTCACTTTTGGTGAGATTACAATTGGCCTTGAATGGCATGGGAAACCAATGAATTCAGACTTCGGTTCAAGAGTCATCTTCTGACAGTAGTAGTGCTTGAAAGTCCAGTCCCAAGACTGGAAAAAGACTGAGACTGGACTGGACCAAGACTGCCCAAGACCAGAAATTCCCAGGACCATCAAAGACCACAACTGCGGTCTGGTCTTCAGTCTCTCACGATCTTGGAAATTTAAAGACCGACAAAAGACTGGTAACCAGTCTTTTACTGGAACTCATAACCAAACAAAAGTTGTAACCAAATACAAACACAAACTCTCTCTTCCCACCATGACCATCCCCATGACCGTCACCACCCTTCGTCACCACTGCCTCACATTGTGAGTGCCTGCCATGGGCTAAATGACACTCACACCCACACATCAACTGCCACTAGTGTTTAAAGGTTCAGTCCATAGGACCACAAAAAACTGGTGGACCAAACTGAACTGGACCATGGTCTGGTCTTTTTTTCGGTTGCAGTTGCCCCAATTTGGGGTTGGTCCGGTTGCTGGTTGCCTCATTTTGAAAATCTTTTAAAAGTGTTCAAAGACCGGTTTTAATTGGTTGCAACCGGTTAAACGGTCACGTGCGTTACATAGCCTTGTAACCACATTTATTACCTTTTATTGGGTTTTTGTTTCATCAAAAACGGTTAAGAATTGAGAATGATATAACCAAATCCATATTTTACCCAAGTCTCTAGGAGATGTAATTCGGTTTCAGTCATAGCTATGTCAAATCTTCATTAAATCTCTTAAAAATTGGTAGAATGATGGGTATTTACATGCTTTACTATGGTATATAACCCATTTATTTTTCAGAGTAATAATAGTTGAGGTACAAATGGTTTATATTGGTATAATGAATTATATGCAAAAAAACCAGTCTGGATCAGTCTGAACCAGTTCCATAGACTGCAAAAGACTGGTCCTAGGTGGTTCGGTTCAGTTCCCTCAATATCTGGGTTGGTCCTAGACCGGTTGCGGTCCATGGTTGCGCGTTTTGGGGGCAAAAAACCGGACTGAACTGAACTTGCGAACACTAACTGCCACCTCACATGCTGGAGGCTCAACAACAACATCCACATGCCCACACCATGCCACATACTCCAGACAATCCCCCCCTGCTGCTGCCTCTCCACATTGCCCACAGCCCACAGCCCACTACTGTTGTCAAATGCCCAGGCCTACCTTGACACATACACACACCGACAACGACAGCAACAACAAGCACCTGCCATGTCGACGGGGCATGGAGGAAAGTATGTGGCACCCCAACAGTCACCTTCAGATGTGCCACATCACCCCCTTGACCTCTGCCACTTTTGGCGATAATGGTGCCACACAATGATAATGACAACTTGAAAACAGCCACAGGACAACAATGGAGAGGGGTGGATGATGACAACACGACATGGCAGCGACAATGGATGATGACAGCCACTCTCCCCTACCTCCCTCCCCCCTCCCTCGAAACTGAACACAGGTTATCCTTGTTGTAGTACCAGCTCAGTAGTATAGATACTCAATTATATACATTGTCAGTAGCCACAAAACCAGTCTCAACCAGTTGAGACTGAAACTGGTTGAGACTGGTCTTTCAACTGTAGAAAACTGATGAAAACCACACTGAACCAGTTGACATCAGTTCAGTCCAGTTTTTCGAGGTTTGGCAACTTGTGAGGACTAGTCCAGGTCTTGGTCTCATCAAATTTTGACAAAAGACTGGACTGGACTGGACTTCCAAGCACTAGACAGTAGAAACACAAAATTATCATAATACAGTGATATAGTAAGTGTGAGGGTTCAACTGTGTCTATCATCATGCAACCTGCAAGTCTGACAAGCTAAGGTGTGATGACCCACTCAAGGAGTCATATCTGAGTAGTTGGTCGAGAACACGTATCAATATCTACATCAACCATAGAATCAATAACTGTTCACCCTCATCAAGTCAACCTTTCTGAGGTGACTGAACACTCCAATAGCACTGATCACCTAGGACAGAAATGGAGGTCTGTTAGTACAGAGTCTCAGATCCTGAAGGATAGGTACAGAGGTGTGCATAAAGAATGAAGGTCATGGGATTTTTAGAAACTTACTCAATTTTGAAAGCAACTTGTAACTCACTGTAGGTCAGAATTAACCATTTTAAAGCCGACACTAAGACATTGCTTATTGAAAAGAAACATAAGAATTGGACCCATAATGCTTGTTAAATGCACCAAAGTTTGCGTGACCATCATTTGTGTGACCGATCATTATGTCTGACCTTCATCTTGCTCCTTCTGAGGCTCACATTGAACACGTCGTGGCCACATCATTATCCTCGGAAATCCTTCTTCTAATTGCCCTTGTGTATGGTAACCTGCACCCCTACCAAGAAGGCTCAGCTATTCATTCTGTGCAAGGCCAGGAACACCTACCATGATATCACACACACCCTTGGCCTCACCACCCAACCATCGCACGCAACTTCTACCAGCTCGAGAAACAAGGGCGCAGTCCCAATTTCTACCTTCACAAAGTGATCCCTGGCAGGCCGAAGCTCATCTCACCTCATGTGGAACATCGCGCTGTTTGACTAATCTATTCGGGCACGTGTGCTGATGCTACTGACGTCCAGCACAAGCTACTCCCACAGCTTCACCCCACCACAGTTCGCAGGATGTTTATTTGGAAGGTCTCTATGGAAGAGTGTGAAGGAGAAAGCCATGGTTACAAAAGAGGCATATATTAGGGTGGAAGATTTGGGCAAAAGCACATTTTCAATGAACCCTTCAGTTTTGGAGGAAGGTCTGGTATTCAGATGAGTCTAAATTCAATCTTTTTGGCTCTGATGGGAGGCAGTACTGCCATAGGAGGGCTGGGGAGGAGTTGTTGGAGATAAATGTGGTGAAAACGATGAAGCATGGAGGCGGTAGTCTTATGGTGTGGGGTTGCATTAGTGTTCGCAGGTCTGGTTCAGTCCGGTTTTTTGCCCCAAAAACAGGCAACTGCAGACCGCAACCGGTCTAGGACCAACTCAGATATTGAGGGAACTGAACTGGACCACCTAGGACCGGTCTTTTGCGGTCCATGGACTGCATTCAAACCGATTCAGACCAGTCTTTTTGTGTAAAATTTGTCATACCAATATAAACCATTTGTATCTCAATTATTATTACTCTAAAAAATAAACTGGTTATATATCATAGTATAACATATAAATACACATCATTCCACCAATTCTTAAGAAATTTAATGAAGGTTTGACATAGCTATGACTGAAACTGAATTACATCTCCTAAAGACTCAGGCAAAATGTAATGCGGCAACTGTAAATTATTTGATGCATACCATATATTGATAGATGGTGAGTATATTTTCATACTTAAAATGTCAATATCCAAAAATTGAATCAGGCAAAATGATGAAAGTTTGAGTGAGTTAGAATTAAAGTCATTCTGGTACAAGTTGCACAAACAAGTATTTGTGCCAAAATGGATTTAGTTATATCTTTCTCAGTTCTTAACTGTTTTTGATGAACTAAAAACCCAATTAAAGGTAATAGACGTGGTTACAAGGCTACGTAACGCACGTGACCGTTTAACCAGTTGCAACTGATTTAAACCGGTCTTTGAACAGTTTTAAAATATTTTTGAAATGAGGCAACTGGCAACCGGACCAACCCCAAATTTGGGCAACTGCAACCGAAAAAAAGACTGGACCATGGTCCGGTTCAGTTCGGTCCACTGGTTTTTTTTGGTCCTATAGACTGGACCTGTAAACACTAGGTTGCATTTCATAGAATGGTACTGGTCAGCTTCACTGCGTTGAGGGACATATGAATGCTGCCCAATACTGCTCTATCCTCTCACAGTCCTTCCTCAGCTCACTCAAGGACCACAAATGCCCACCTCAAAACATGATCTTCCAACAGGACAATGACCCGAAGCACACATCCTACCTCGCAAAGGCATGGTTCACTTCACATCACATCCGTGTACTGCCCTGGGCTCCATCATCTCCTGACCAGAACATCATTGAACATGCTTGGGATGAACTAGATGTTCATATACATGCTTGCAATCCATGACCACAAAATCTTGGCGAGTTGTGGGTTGCTCTGCAGGAGGAATGGGCAAAACTTGATGTTCTATATATACAGAAGTTATACACATCTATCCCAGCTCATGTTAGGGCCTTAAAGGAAGCCAAGGGCAAGTACACTAGATATTAATTCTGTTTCCACTCATTTCTGAAGATTGGGAGGGGTTTAATACAAGTCATATCTTGATATAGTAATAGCAAAATCTTTGTTTTTTATTCAATCCTCATCAACTCCTGTAGAACATGTCTGATTTGCCTCTAACTTGACATAAACACTCTTTATATACTATACTCCAAGCTCCCTTTGACCGACTGCTCCGGGCTTGGCGGTTACTGTTGAATATTGAGAATGATGTGAAATCCCATGACCTTCATTCTTTATGCACGCCTCTGTAGATGGTGGTAAGAAGATGATATTGATCAGTTGTTGAAGCATGTCAACTAAGTACAATGTGTGAATGTATCACTAAGTAAGTAAATAAGTTGCAAGTAGAAAGCACCACATAAACTAGATGGAATGAGGGAGCTGAGCAGATGCACTTCCATGGTATGTTACATAGCCCCCCTGCTGTTCACTTGCAATGTCAAAGAACACAATGTTCTGGAATTACAATCAACTTCAGGAACATCCGGTCCCACATCCTGGGTAAGCTTGTGCGCCATATGATGCATCTCGCGTTATCTATGTCTGTGTCTGTGAACTTGGGATTAATGGGCTTTGGCAGCCTGTTGTAGTTCCGTAGATGGCTGCTCCACCAACTCCATTTGTAGGGTTCGGCCTTTCCTCATTCTATGTTGTCTGCTATGCATGAAAAAATCTTGTCCATAACTTTGTTCCAATCCCCTGTCCAGAGGTTGCATAGTTCTCATAAGTAGTGGGGTGGAGAGAACAGGTAGCATTCCAGCAAAGTAGAGTCTTGACTAGGGATGAATCTGAAAAGAAAGGAGCCTTCTTGTGCTGAGGCCTGATCCCATTGGAGTCCTATGGGCCATTCTCCATGGGAATCCAACTTGCCCAATAGGTGTCTGGTGACCTGGATAGATGGTCCAGATAGGAAAGCCTTAACAATAGATGGCCATGCCCTACGCTGAGATATTCCTGAGATGAACCCTTTACCATGATGCCTTGTTTCTTCATCCCAACCCTTTATTGTCTTGTTACCTTGTGATTCTATGTTCCCTTGTCTCCTCCCATCCTTATTGTACTTATTGTTCTTCCTTGGTTGCCTTGGTATCCTTCCCTCAGGTATTTAGGTAGCTTGTCATGTACTCACTACCTCATCCTTGATATTACAAATGCACCTCTGAACTGTTTCTCTGTTCCTCGTCTCTCATCTCTGTCTCCTGGTTGAGCCCTGCTCTCAGTTATAGGCCCATGTGGTTGAGCCTCTATTCTCAAACATCTTCCAATGCACAATTTTGGGGGATGCAGATGAACAGGCAGATTACCCCAACTCACTTTGGAGGTGTTAGGAAAGACTTGAACACCAATCAGGTTGAGGGGGCATATGAGTACTGACTGTATCAACTGCCATGCATCAGGAAAATGATTTTGTCCTGTAGTTTGGCCATATTTACATAGTCTCTGTAGGCTCTGTAGGTCAACATAGGTATATCATTACCTCTGTAGACTGTAGTAGGTACAAAAGCTAAGTTGAGCCTACAGTAGACTATTAAAATAATCTTGCCTTGTCAAAAATTTGGAATGATAATGACATGATATCACAGTAAACAGAGATGTAAAGAAAGTTATGATCATAATGCGGTATATATCATACAAGCTGCCCTGGGCCCCAATATTTTAGACATATTACTCACTGTGGTGTTAATGTGCAGTGGGTGTTAACAATTTTTAAAAGGTTGCTTTCAGCACTGGTGGTATGTATGGTATAAACAGATGTTTGTTTCAAATGCTTGAATAGACTAGCTGCTATATTGCATACCCTGATCACGAATGTAAGCCTTTCCATGAGACTCTGAGTTCAACTCTGGTAAGATGCAATATTTATTTAGTAAGTTCCCAGCCTAAGTATGACTTAAAATTCTGAAATTCAAACAGTTCATTGTAAATATGTGGCAGAGCAAGCACCTCAGCAAGAGGTGAATTACATTTTTGGTAGAAGGGGGTTGAGATACAGTACCTATGGCAACCTACCACCAGCCTACATAGGGCACTCACTGACCTATGTGACCTATATATCAGGGGTCAACCTAAAAAGCTATAGTTCCTATATAGGCTACATAGACCTACATAGGTTTCAAATGTTTTCCTGATGTGAGTGCTTCTGGTTGAAATTGTTCTTGTTCTTCTTGCCATAACATAGTCTATTTTTGCTAGATCTAGAAAGAATAGAAGAAACCATTTATATGAATGACTCAGAGGATATAACCAAAATAAGGGAATGGGGTGAGGGTACATTGACTATTGCAATCACAGCCTGTGGTTGACTATAATATACATAAGCCAGTAGTGGGTCCTGCACCCAAAAGCATGCTATTTGTTTATGCTATGAGTGCCAGATGTTCTGTCTATATTCCTCCCACACAAAATGGTAACTGGCAGATCCTGGTGACATTAGTACTAGTATACCTGTGTATGAATTAAACATATACTAGATAAATGCCACTCTAATTGTCTGTTTTTCCACAGCACAGGTTGGTGTAGACATTGGTATAGAGCTTTCAGCTCATGTTCATTGTGTTCCATTTTGCATTCAACAAGAGTGAAGGAGTTGAATTCTTTATTTATATTATATTACAACATTGCAGAGGTAAAAAAGGACAATTGTTTGACAGAACTACTAACTACATAAGGAGAGAAATGGGAAATAGGAGGGAGTTGAATCTCTCTGATTGTGTAAAGAATTTGAAACCTATGATGAAGATAATTACAAGCCCATAGGATGATTAACATAAGGAAACATACATTATTCAAAGAAGCCATGACAAGAATGTGTTGTGGAATTTACTGGGCTAAAGTGGGTGTAAGAAAGGGAAATTACAAAATTTGTTTGAAAATATTGAAAACTTACAAAGACGGTTGTCTAGAGCAATTTTCACAATTGCAGCTGGAACATCTGTATGTCCTTCATCCAGTTCCTTGATGGCATCTTGTATGTTTTTGAAGGCAGCTGATGATTGGAATGTGTGAAAAGATTTTTTGAGGGGTTCAGACGATCTGGAAGGTTGTGTCTTCCAAAAGAAATATGAATGTTCTACAATGATGGCTGTGGCTGTGTTTGATGAAAGAGAAAATTACAGAGTATAGCAGACAGCATAAAGCATGCATACCAATACACAAAAAAGCACTTCTCTGGAAAGTTGTGTTATCACCAAGCTGAGTAAAAAGGATGGTAAGGAGACTGATTTGGATAACATACATGTTGTAAGAACTCACAGAAGACCAGTGTACACAATCTAAAGCAAGATGTGCCTGGATAGTAAAGGATCCATAAATATGAATAATTACAGGATCATAATTGAAGAAAGTAGAAGAAGACAAGTAACATAGGATATCACTTACAGGCTATACCGCAAAACAAAGCAGTATGAGAGTTGTCCAGATAAGGTCTCTTGATAGAAAACTCACAATCTGTATCATCTTGTCAATTTTGGGCACAAATGTGGAGTGGAAGCTAAAACATACCTAAGTATTGGTGGTAAAAGGTGAAATTAAATTCATGAAGGCCACACCAAGCTATCATAAGCATCCCATATAAAAAGCTACCTGAAACCTGACTTACACGCTGTTCAGAATGCAGAGCAATGGATTGTCAGCATGGTGCATAAAAGGCCTTGTGGACCCTGACTTACAGGCTGTTCAAAACCCAGACAATTCCATTGTCAGCATGCAGAAAAGGCCCCCTAGACCCTGACTTACAAGTCTGTTCAAAACCCAGACAATTCCATTGTCAGCATCAGGCAGAAAAGGCCCTGGACCCTGACTTACATCCTGTTCAAAACCCACACAATTCCATTGTCAGCATCAGGCAGAAAAGGCCCCCTGGACCCTGACTTACATCCTGTTCAAAACCCACACAATTCCATTGTCAGCATCATGCAGAAAAGGCATCCTGGACCCTGACTTACACCCTGTTCAAAACCCAGACAATTCCATTGTCAGCATCAGGCAGAAAAGGTCTCCTGGACCCTGACTTACATTCTGTTCAAAACCCACACAATTCCATTGTCAGCATCATACAGAAAAGGCCTCCTGGACCCTGACTTACAAGCTGTTCAAAACCCAAACAATTCCATTGTCAGCATCATGCAGAAAAGGCGCCCTGGACCCTAACTTACAACCTGTTCAAAACCCACACAATCCATTGTCAGCATCATGCAGAAAAGGCCTCCTGGACCCTGACTTACATCCTGTTCAAAACCCACACAATTTCATTGTCAGCATCATGCAGAAAAGGCACTCCTGGACCCTGACTTACACCCTGTTCAAAACCCAGACAATTCCATTGTCAGCATCAGGCAGAAAAGGTCTCCTGGACCCTGACTTACATCCTGTTCAAAACCCACACAATTCCATTGTCAGCATCATACAGAAAAGGCCTCCTGGACCCTGACTTACAAGCTGTCAAAACCCAGACAATTCCATTGTCAGCATCATGCAGAAAAGGCGCCCTGGACCCTAACTTACACCCTGTTCAAAACCCACACAATTCCATTGTCAGCATCATGCAGAAAAGGCCTCCTGGACCTGACTTACATCCTGTTCAAAACCCAGACAATTCCATTGTCAGCATCATGCAGAAAAGCCCCCCTGGACCCTGACTTACATCCTGCTCAAAACCCACACAATTCCATTGTCAGCATCATGCAGAAAGGCCTCCTGGTTCTGACTTACACTCTGTTTAACACCCAGAGCAGCCTATCAGCACCATGTAGTACAGAACTTGATTTCTAACTTACAATATGATGAAAGTGTAACAATATACCCTTTATTGTAATCATTTGCTTCTCCATGTATTTTGACCATTGCCCTTGAACACCAAACATAACTCTAAATATGACTGATCAGCATTATGTTTCACCATATGATGTTGAAAATAGCAACCTTTTAATGGCCCATTCTATTGACAGAGCCAAATAATTTTGCTGAACTGAAAGAAACAGCTGTAAGATAGTATCATCTGAGAGAACAGCTGCAGTCTCCTTGACAAGCAGGCTACAGTCACTTGTAATATTTTGCATATCTATTATATATTGTCAGTTTACTGCCTTTGTCAACAATGAAATTCCTTACCCCGAAAATATATGTGTGCCTTGGGAGGATATTTTTTTGCATACAGCAGATGGCCAAATTTTTCATAAAAGTTGTTAATTGATTCTTCTCCAGCTTTCCTCTCAGCATCTTCAATGCTCATCCCAGTTTCAACTAGTTGACCTATTGTTTGAGCATCAAGCAAATCTGCTTTTGTGAACAAGATAATGACAGGAACTGCAAAAATCATGAATGACTAAATCTTAGATTTCCCAGACAATTCTACCCACCTCTGCCAGTCCCACACTCATCAAAGAAATTAAGCTCTGCCCTTGTAATTGGCCTTGCTTCATCATTTATTGGGATGCAGTACCTAAGCAAACTGTGTTCAGGTACATCTGAGTGTCATTACCCAGCCACTCACCATATTGCATGTAACTGTTCCCTAATATCCCCTGCTGTTGACCGGTGCTGTATGAAGCTCTTGACAGCATCCAGCTCTAATGTTCTCCCTGCTTCAAAACCACGAGAGTCATGGAAGACATATCCTGGGTTACTGTCAAATATCATTTCATTCTCAATGTTGTGCTCTCCTCGCTACCAGATGTTGAGTAAGAAACAATAACAAAGAAGTTCTTAATTACTTTTGCAGTTGGATCCAACACAGACAAGTCAATCTGCCGATAGACTCAGTCAACGGCATAATGTTTGTATAGCACGAACCTTATGGCCCTTGGGATTGAAAAGTTTGGGCTGCTTTGTTGTGTTACAGACTCGCTGGAGGATGGTCGTCTTGCCTGCATTGGCCCGGCCAATGATAAGAACGCGGAAATGGTCGGTATTCTCTCGTAAATTGTGAGCTCGGATCCTTTGTCTTTCCAGGTCGACATATTCTGCTGGTTGGGTTCTTCTTTCTGACTGAACCATTTCTTGATGAGATGCTTCAAATGGCGTTAGACACAAAGGAAGTGGTGGAGATAATCGCATACCCCCCAGGTCCACATCCACTGGTAGGGTTCTCATATAGGGCGGGGCCATTTCTCGACGAGATGCTTCAAATGGCGTGAGACACAAAGGAAGTGGTGGCAATAATGGCGTGCCCCCCAGGTCCACGTCCACTGGTGGGGTTCTCATATAGGGCGGGGCCCTTTCTCGATGAGATGCTTCAGATCGCGTTACTAGTCGAGACAGAGGAATAAGTGGAGATAACTGCGTACATCCGGAGTCCACATCTTGTGCTGCCTGGGTTTTGGTCTTCCAGAAACGTAACTTGTTGAGCATCTCTCTTGACATTCTTCCTTCTTCTGATGGCGGTGGTAGTGGAGACGAAGACAAAGACGCAATCTATTGTTTGGCTTGTTCTTTGCCCCATTCTTTCCCTTGCTTTACCCAACTGATCATGAACCTCCTCGGCATGCTTCCGCCAATCAAAATCTAGCAGGTATCTGCGAAACGTCGAAATTGGACGAAGGGGGATGAGATACGTGGGCAAATGGTAAGTCATCGCAGTTGAGAAAACCGGCACTTCCACCACCTCTTCCCCCAGACTCTAGACCCCTCAGCAACCAACATTGCGAAGAAATGCTCCTCGAAATCGCCGTTAACGCACTTAACCCATGGATGCGTTGGCCCACCTTGTCGTGGCACCACACAGTTGTAGCCTTGAGGGACATGCACGAACGAGCCCAGCTGGATGGCAACGATGCCAAACGGAAATTAGCTCGCAGTCACAAATACCCCGCGCAAGACCTAAACGAAGACTCTGAAGTCTAGTTCTGCACATGGACGTATCGCGTGCCAAGAATCTGGATTCATCCGAACGGGTGCACGGGCAGGAGGTTGGGAAAGTTTGCGATGCAGAGCGTTTCATGATGCGAAGTCAAAAGCCCATGTCGTTTCAACACGAAAAAGTATGTTTAAGATCGGTGTCCTCTGGCCTCGTCGGATGAGTCCCAGGAATTCGGATGAGCACTAGCAACTTGGACACCCCAACTGTTGAGCCTCGTCATATGAAGTTCACCTAATTCCTTCTGTTTACTCCGCCGTATCTTCAGAAACCCACTTGGGACCTTGCGACTTCGTTTCAGCCTTCATAGCCGGAATGCCTTCGGTGACGTGAGGGACATGTGCAGGTTGTTCCAGCCCCGCACAAGCCTTTAATGGCCCACATCCAACGACGTCGACAGTGTTGACGCAGACAAGCCCCATTCAAAGGACGTTCAATGGCCAAGCCCTGCCGCATCGACATTGATGGCGACGGAAGTCGCAGCGAAATTGAGATCTCACTTCCCTAATCCCAACTCTCACCCTAGCCATCCAGTTGGCCGATCTGCAACGACCCTCAACTCATAAGGAATCACAGCTCGAGTCTACTGAGAACGAAGGAATGGAACGCACGGTCAGGTAGAGAAGATAAAAAGGGAAGCTGAAGCACGACGACCATAACACGTACAGTTAACCTATGAGGTCATTTACCCCACACCTAGGCAAGGACAATGAACCTCTCTACAAAATGAACATCTGCATAAACCATACTCGCTCGATCCACTGGCCTCCCCACTCCTACAGACTCATTCTTTGGCCTGACCCTGGCGGAGATATCTGCGAGGAACTGAACAGTCGGGTGGTTCAGGCTGAGCACCTCCCTTTGGCTGTTGTCACGCTTACGAACTTGCACTCGAACTCGAAAGAGGCGATGGATTCCCTTTGCGAGGTCGACGGGCTGATTTGACGGAGTACGTGCACTTAGACGGTCTCCACGTCGGCCCCATTGCAGGTTGTGATTGTGGATCAGTAACATTATACCAGTATATATACGACACTACCATTATTCTTGGAATCAAACCACGATTTTAAAGAAGATGGAGGTTGTTTGACGTCAAAAAAAGCTTCAGGATATGAATTCATTTCTTTCAGTTGGATGGCATTTTCAAGCAGGAAACCCTCAACCCATCTCCAGTCCACTTGGCAACTTCTATCAACAGCTCTCGCTTCTTCTCAAAACCCATCATGGATCGCAGTTCATAGAGAGTTGCTGTGAGTGTAGTAGGTAAAAAAAATGGTTTTACTCGAGCTCTATACTCACAAAGGTTGAACAAGAACGGCTCAGCGACAACCACGCTTGAAGGTGATGCTTTGAGCGCCCTTTCCAGTACTTCGATGCCCTATAAAAAAATGTTAAATATATTTATCAACAAAGCTTGTGATGCAAACGGACCTCTTTGACGTTTCCCTGGTTAAGCAACGCAACCGATAAATTATTAACCGCCTATGAACGCAAGAATCAGAAACAAAGTCACGCCACGCGTTAATCCTCAACATTACCGCATAATTCTCTGCATCCCTCTCCAAAATCGCCTTCAAAGTCGCACTCGCCTCCTCCCAATCTCCCACCGCACACGCCAACAGAGCAGCATTCATCTGCTTCAGCGTCTCTTCTGCCGTAGGATCCTCGGCGACCTGCTTGAAGTGCTTTGAGGCCATACCGACGTTGCCGCCTTGCAAATATATCCGCGCCACGGACGAACGGAGCGCCGGACTGGTGGTGCCGTCTCCTTGGTCGCAGAGGGGTTCGAGTAGTCGAGCGGCGGCGGTGAATTCCTGTCGGACAGAAATAATGAGTATCTATCCTTGGGTATATCCGAAACTAACCACACACAAACCTTTATCTCGACCATCTCCGACGCAATGATCAAACAAAGCCTCGCACCGCGTTCCTTCCACATCGGCATGACGTTGGGGTCCGAATTAGATTGTCTAGACTTGATCCTACATTTCTTCAATAACCCATTCAACGCGTCCAAATAACCCATATGGTCCCCTGCCCAATATTTCAATCGGGTCTGCATAACTTCCAGTTCGAAGGGTAAGATGCGTTCCATGACGTAGGCACGCGATTCCAAGGGTTCGATGGCATTGAGGACGGTGAAGAGGTTGGTGCATTCTGCGGAGGTTTGGTTGAACAGGCGTAGTCTGGCTAGGCACGAGAGGCGGATATGCCAGAGCTGTTTGAAATGGATATGATTATTGCCAACCAGAAGAAATTGGAACAAGATCTTACGCCGAGAATGAGTGTCAAGTCTGAGGGATCGGATGTTACGATTCGGTCTCGAGCCATTCTCGCCAGCGCTCGCCAGCTGTTCGTCATCTGGAACTTGATCATGACATCGTGTTCAATACTTGAGATCCTTTGAGGACTTACGACCAGTGTATGAAAATCGCTTTGCTGCCATTCGCCGGTGAGATCTCGAACGGGGCGCTTCTCAGGTTGATAAATATATTTGGTGAGGAGCGTAGTCAACGGGTCCGTCTAGTACAGGTATTATACATTAAAGATCTGGATAGCCACCAGGTCAACTGATTCGACAAGAAAAAGTGGCGTACGTTTGGTATGGGCAGGAACATAGTAGGTATGATGAGGCCAGGGAGGTGTACATCGGGGACTTCCTCTTCCTCCTCTTCGCTGTCCGAAGGGGGTGGGGGTACGTCCTTGTTGATGTTGGGCGAAAGAAGGAGGTTGGGCTGCGAAATGCTGCTAGGGGAAGGTGAAGCGGGAACGGAGAGGGAGACATCGTGTGGTGAGACGGTGCCCGAAACATCAGCGGACGATGCCTCTTCCTCTTCCCCTTCTCCTCCGGACAACGCATCTCCTTCATCGTCGATCAAAAACGGATCAGGGGCATCTGGCTCGACCAAGACAATAGGAGGTGGGCTAGCAAGCATGGGTTCAGAAGTAGGAGGGGTAGTTTGGAGAGGCGTGGGTAAATCGGAGGTATCAGCGCTCTCAAAAGGGGGCTGGGCGTCCATGGGAAATTCTACTGTAGATGATTGTTCCGGGGCCTGGAAGCTGCTGGAGACGGTGCTGGCTCTATCGATACTGTCAAGGTCTGGTTCTGAATGAGCGTACTTGTCACGATGAGCCCAGGCGTCGTCGTCGTTGAGTCCAGATTGCCTACGTGGGCGAGATGAAAGAGGGGGAAGGACTGTGCGGAGGATGTTGAGAGCAGGGAATGTGGCGGAAACTGAACGTTTCGAAGACGTGCTGGAGCTTGAAATGGTCCTTGCACGATGTTTAGGGAGCGTCACGTGGTGGATCATGTCGTCGAGACGGTGGAACTGACGCTTGACCTTTTTAACCAGCTTTCCTGGGAGCTCTTTAGCTCTCGAGGGCGACGATGAGGGCGATGAGGACGAAGAATCAGACGATGCACTCGATAGTCTGGGTTTGGTCATGGTTGGGTCTGTCAAGGTGTGGCTGAAGAGACAGGCCAAAGGCTCGAGTTAATTTATAGCGTCCCAGGGCCTCGGAATCCCGATCACCGCTTTGTTTAGTTTCCGTGCAACATCTAGACACGCCTTGTCCTCCGGTTAATTCATAGGCACATCGTTTGGTAACAATTCGGTGGTCTTATAATTCCGGGGAGTCATCGACAGCTACAATGTTCCTTGTGGGAGCATATCGTGAAGAGGCGCACAATCGCCCATATATTATTAGCATCGATAGGTATTGAGCTAAGCCTCCCAAGAGTACAGTCTTGTGTGTATATGCGCATGCATTGTGCGCATATACTTAGTAGCTCAAAGCCTCAGGCCTCAAATTTCAAATCTTGCCAATCGATGTCATGTACACGCGCGATATCGTCTTTGTCCTCTGAGATTTGGCGCCAGACAAGGCGGATGGCAGGTGTCCATCATTTCGTGCCTCAGGAATTATGTAGTCTCCGTTGGCCTTCATTATGGCACTCACTTCAAGTTTGCGTGGTCATCAACTTTCATCCTGCAAATATATCAGTGGGTTCGTCTGGTAATCCTGAAGCAATAGCATGCTGATTATTCAAAGCGACGAATCGGCCATGAGGGTGAATACATGTGGGTAATCGAGGGAGAAAGGTGAGCCTCATGAGGTATGATTGACGTATTACATATGAAGATGGGCCACCATCTGCTTCATAGTCCAGCCTGACGATTGAGTATATAGTGGCTCAGATCTTGCCAACCTGTCGTCAAAAAAAGTCAGTTGATCTGCAAGCGTCTAGATAACAAAACAAAACTCGCCTCCTCCAACACGACACATTACCTTCTTAGTTGTCGTGTCCCCGCCCGTCTTCCCAGACCTCGTAAGTGTTGTCAACCTACAAGTAACGATTTTCTTGCTGAGCGAATTGGAAACTGCATATTGGGCCTTGATCTCCTCGCCCTCCTTTGGTATCTTCTTGAGGGGAGGATCGACCCGCTCAATCAACAAACCGTGAGCAATCGAATTGACAATCATGGCAACCTCTGCGTCGAGAGGATCTTTGGGGTTCCCAGCAACATATTCATGGAAAGGAAGATTGTCCATCGATGGCGTATAAGCTCCAGCACGCGAACCAGGGCGTGACGGAGCGCGACTGGCGTTGCCGTCTTTAAAACTCGAAGGGGGAAGTTTGTTGATGGATGGACGTGCCGTGTTCCGCGTACTAACTGGTGCACGACTGCGCAACGCCGATTCAGGTGTCTGGGCTTGGATAGCAGAACCTTTGAGTGCCATTGGCGGGCTTTCTGAACGACTATAGCTTGACATCGAGGTCGAGGGTCGCGAAGGTGACGAGAGATGGACAGCCGGGACTGGGATCATAGATCGGCTGGGGGGTCGAGGTGGATGCCCTCTTGGAGAGGTAGAGCTCAACGCAGAAGTAGAAAAGGCGGGGGAGAAAGAGCGCTGAAAGGAGTCCTCATCATCCCAACCAGATTCTGACTGGGTTCCGGAAAATGAGCGCAGGGTCCGCGATGGAGCTGGTATATGGCTTGGGGTTTTCGGTCGACGCCGAGGGGTAGTACTTGGAGTTATCGCTCTAGATGGTGTTGGTGCACGGGATCCGAAATTGGGTATATGTAGCGGCACATGCTGAGAAGAAGACTGTGTGGTGGAAATTGATGAGGTAAGAGGGGACCATGGACGAGACGACGCCATTGACGTTCGGGACATACTCCTTCGGTAAGGGGTTCCAAGTGGCGGTACGGGAGGGATATCGTCAGAAAATCCGTAAGTTCCCGTCGACGATGGTGGCCTCCTTGGAGGTGTTGCCTTTATGGTATTTGAACGTTCCTCTGGCTCCACCTTGGTCGAACTGTTCCACCGCTGCTTGGAGGCCGAACGAGTTTGTTTCACGGTCGAAGAGTCGGACCTTCCAACTCGAGGGGACGAGTCTGAGGTGAAGCTTTGACTGTGCTTGTGCCCAGGACGATCTGGAGTGATGGGAGTAGATGGGTGACTACCCCTCACAGATCCAAACAAGGATGTCTTTTGCCGACGCATTTCACTGGCTGATAGCGGAGGTTCAGAGGACGGCGCTTTCCCTTTCTTGTTCACACTCAATGGGGTCACTGAAGACACCGACGAAGATGGGCTCGGACGGTTTGACCCTGTGATCCTACGAGCGAATTTTCTGAAGGGGGATATTGACCGTGAAAGGGTGCTCGCTGTGCTTGGTGCTCTTGATGATCTCGAGCCGCTTGGAGGAGTCGCAAGATAACCGTTCTTTCCAGATGTCGCGCCAGATGTGCTGGATCCGCCCTCACTGGAGGCTCCATCTGAGTGTACTAGAATCTTACGAACTGTCTCCATTTCCGCATCGGTTCTTGATATTCGTTCGCGGAGATTTTTCCATTTCTGTGCAGATTCTGCATGCCGTCTCAAGGTTTCGCCGTTCTTTGTGACCCGGTCCCGAACGCCTTTATCGATGATAGAGAGAACTTTCGACGTCGCAGGCATGTAATGTCTGATTATAAAGTAATGAGATACCGTAGACCCCATGATTCAACGATTCTTACTTCTTCTTGGCTTCGAAAGAATCCAAAAGCGACGTGAACACCTCAAGTGTAATGGGTGCCTTCTCCTTTGTCATCGAAGCGGGAGTAATGGGCTCATCAACACCTTTTCGATGGACTTGCCATATGAATTCCTGTACCAAAGAATGCTTTATCACCGACGCATTATGCGGATGAAGAAGAACAACGCACCTGACATCGATTTACTGCCTTCTCCAGACTAGACATCATGCCATCTGCTTGGTCTGTGACTGTCCTAAAGACTGTTAACCACTTGTCTTCCTTGAGCTCCTCCCTCAATACATCACTTTCATTCTGAATAGCCTCCCACTCCGCTAACAAAGTGGCCTGTTTGCGCAAAAGAGCGGCATTTTCACTTGAACCAACGGTCTCAGACACTGTTGGGGTCGCCGAAGTTTGCATGAGGGGCTCCAACGTTTCGTTTATGGTCTTGATCCCTTTCTCCACAGATTCTAAGCGTTCATCAAGACTCATGAGAGATTGGTCAATGATGTTCGTAGTTCCTGCGTTGTCTCCAGACGACTGTGATTTGTGGCGAAGTTCTTGTATTTCTGTTTGGAAGGATGTTAGGTGGCGTACCCGTTGTTGATGGCGTGAGATGGAATACCGAATATACGTGTTTGGATATCGGATATCGCGTACGAAAGTTCTGTCATATGCGTTGAAATTGCCAGGAGGCGCAGATCCCTGGAAATGAACGGCAATGGGTAATGGGTTAGAAAGAATGTCACGACCTACTCTTGGCTCTTCCGCTTCTCCGACGCCTTGGACAATGGACGATTGCTTGTGATTGTGAGGTTCTCTGGGGTAAAGGTTGCTTAAGAATGCGTCAAAGCGATGACCAGAAGATGTAACATGCCCTCATCGTCGCGGTCCAGTGAATACCATGAGGATGATGCAGAGCGACTTGAGGAGATGGATGCCGGGGATGGTGGAACGTAGTTCACGCTCGTTTGAGATGGGAGGCTGCAATTAGAGGAATTGGACGGGTAAAGGCCAAGAGAACTCATGTTGGGATAGGTATTGCGATAGAAAGAGTAATAAGAAAGCGAGAAAACAAGGACTGATTGGAGGAACTGCCGGAATCGACTGGCCGATTTCGTCACAAGGGTATATACGCAACTTTGGGCGAGGAATTGGACCCAACCTCGACGGTTCCTCAGCAACCTGGCGGAGAACAGACGAGACGGCGACAAGCAAGACCTAAGCTTGACGCTGGGCTTGACGTCGGAGACCAAGAGTGGCGGTGGTCACGCCCCTGTCACAAGTATAATTTACAACAAAAATATATACATGCCAGATACAAGACAGTGCACTTGCTCAATTATATTATATACATACTCAATCGTCTATGTCCATCCTTTCCGTGTCCGCCTCTTCTCGGGGTTCATATTCTTCCTCATACATCGCCACGTCCCCATTTGATATCCTTTGTTGTTTGTGTTCCTCCAACTCGGTGCCAGCTAGTTTGTCCGCATCCTGCACCATGTCCGTCCGGCTTTTCTTGTAAGACGTTGGATCAACAGCATTGTGGTATCCAGCAGACAATCCTTCTAGTGCCCAGAGGTTGTTACATTGCATGACCCCTCCGCTTTCCATCGCTTGTTGAACTAGTGGCCTCAAGTGAGGATGATCCAAAATTTCGGGATAATATCGTCCGCTGATGAGCCCCAAATTTACAACAGCTTCATGTCCCGGTGAAAGAATAGGACGGAACTTGTACCCCACAGGTGCTTTCGGTAGCAGGTATGCAGGAGGATCCCATTGCTGAGTATTGGGGCTAGGTAGATTGGGGGAAGATGTTGAAGGTAGAGAGGAATCTCCGTTTTGCGACGTCGTTCTCCAGGGCAACGACCCCGAAGAAGATGCTGAGTCGTTGGTATGCGGACCATTGACTTGCGGTGTTGGCTGACCAGGTTCCTCCCAGTCCAATTCCGCAAGTTCATAGAGCATTCCAGATGCCCTGCCCTCCTTCTTCAATAACCCGCCCTCCTTCGGAGTGTCCACAACAAAAAGCCCATCCAATTTCAAGAAAACCCCCCGACCTCCAGCACCATTAAATACATCGTCGGGCTCCTTCCCTTGCGCTATCCAGAGTTCACGAGTATCTTTGCCAGGACCTGCTGGGGGGAGAATGTTCTGCGCTCCTTTGGGCGCCAAACTGCGGCGTGGAGACTTCAAGCGAACGAAGTCATCCACCCATATTCTTTCAGCTCCCCACCAGAGGCCCTGGAATCGTATTTGAGTAAATGAGTCCGGCAACCCTGACGAGAGTGGCACTCCAAGGACCTGTGTTGCGGCAGCTTGCGCCTCGGAGGGTGTCATATTAGGATTTGTTGTAGTGATTTTTGTATAGAATGGAGGTGAGGAGTTGTTGGTAAGTGCATTAGTTTGGGCATTATGTCGCCCAGTTGCCTCAATGGCGGCCTGGATCGAATTTTGTAATGGCGTCGGTTGGATAGGTGTGGTGTATTTGAATTCCCATTCGTCGGTGAAGGACCAAAATCCGGAGAGAAGAGAGCCAATCTGGACAGCCATCGCATATGGAGCGACAGCGTCCTTGAAAGATGTTGAAGGAGCGCATGGATTGAATTTGGATAGTTGCTCTCGGTTGAATTCGAGATTCTCAGGAGGGAAGCGTTGCAGGGCTGCAATTAGTTGAGTTGAGGGCAGATGAGCTTGATATGGCAATACGTGTTCATCGGCAATGGTATACGAGTGCGAGACGGCAAGAAGTTGGACTTTGTAGGTTGTTGATTGCTTCACCGTCCAGGGCAATGGCGGGTCATCGTTCCTTTCCTCTATGACTATCCCCCTACCCGTCCCATCATCTTGGTGTCCTTCCGGTTGAGATGAGGACGACGAGGCGATTGGTTGTGTCAAAACATCGCCTTCACGGCGCACAGGTACGGTTTTCAACTTGACTTGCTCGACCAAAGCGGGCCAATATCGGATGTTGATCCCATCGACGTCGGGAAGTGTAATAGGAGTCTCCAGTGCACACCAAACCATTTCTCCCTCTCTAAACCACCGTCTGAGATTCATCGCGGTCTTGGAGCATATAGCTCTAAGATCTGAATTGCGTTCGGCAAGCATAGGCTGCTTCAAAACACCCGACCCTGGTTTCAAAGGTTTGAGCGCTTTTTGCACGGCGGCGTATACCTTTGGATCGCGAGCCCTCTGTTCTCGTATGTGTTTATGAAAGTCTTTCGCTTTTGGTAACTTGTCGCGTGAAGGTCTCATTCGAGAGGATGTTGGAGATGCAATGCCAGATGTCGAACGGGCTTGGAGAATATCGCTCATAGCAGCAGTGATCTCCTTTTGCGATTTCTTCGAACAGTACTTGCAAGCGCAATTACTCGGATTCATGGTTGGATCACGCATAAGCCAGATAGCGTGCGGAATGAACTCGTTGATGGAGCGAAATTTGTGTTTGGAACCTTACAGAACGAGGTCATTGAATTTTCACAAGCGGTATGAGTTGGATAAAAACACACCGTAGAGATAGATATCGTGCCTAATATTTCCGTTCGCGGGACCTTTGTTGTGATCGTACATGCAATATCCATGAGGCCACGTCCTCAAAACATAGTTAGAACCCTCTATTGAATATTGCGGTTCCGGCCAAGTGAGAATAGAATCAATACGACCGCCGTGATAGACATACCAGCCATTCCCATATCAATAGCGATTGCACTGGCAGCTTGAAGTCTCCATCTCACAGCCACAGACGCGTCCAAACCAACAGGTTGCATGAAATTTACATGACCTTCATGGTCAATAACGCGAGTGGTGTTCTGAGGCCAGACGGAGGGAGAACCGTCCGATCGTGGAAAGTCAAGATATTCAGGATTGGGAAGTAGGTCGACTTTGACTTCAGATATCCTTCGAGCAGACATTCTGCTCTCAGACTCCTCGAATCCCTCTGGTGGGACCGGTGAGGAGAGGTGTGAATTTGGCAAACCTAGCAATTCAAACTCCGTACACGCACGCACCGCTCTACGAAAAGCACCACCCAGTGCTCGATGCAAAGCAACGACGAGACAGAGGGAAAGGGAAAAAGAAGTGGAAAAAAAAGCAAATTGAGTGAAATCACGACTTCTGTAGTCGATCTTCCAAAGGGGTGGAAGGAGAAGCTTTTGGCACTTGGGCCTGACTCCCTTGCCAAGGTTCTTGCAGAACTTGCCAACGACGGGCAGATCACTGCCTCTCAAATAAAGAAAGCAAGACAAAACCTGCCATCCTTCTCGTCCGCAAAATGGACCGAGCTTGCGCCCCAATTCGATCTGAGCCCTGATCTTTCGCACATCATATTTGACTCATTCTCGATTCCTTCTGTTTTTCTCCCTCCTTCTTTTCATGAAACTACTGCCGAGGCGGCGTGGCGCATTCAAGACGTCTACCAAGAACGACCTCTTCAGGTGAGGGAACAAGTGCGAGTTAGAGCCCTTGACGCGGTATGTCCAACCGTCAAAGAATGTTTTCGCGTGCTCACTTTACACCAAGTACCTCATACCCATTGTTGCATTATTCCATGGTCGAATTATCAATCGACCGGAGGACCCAATAACGACGGCTTACTCTAGCGGAGGTGAGGTTGAGCATGAGGTGGGTCTATTGCTCAATTTATGCCACTGACTCTCTGACGGAGACTTGGTACAGCTAGTCATGATTGGGGGTATGCTTTTCTTTGTAATTTTGCGTTTCCGAGGGGAAGACGACATTGCGCAACTATTTCTTGAGCTCCTTTGTAAGCCTGAATCCTCATTCTTGAGTTATGCTGAGCTTGCCTACAGCCGCCGCCGAAATGAACAAGAATGTAGAATTTGAAGGCCTGCGTGTTTATGGTTTACTTACCGACATGGAGACTTTTCATTTCTACTCATATGATCAAACCCAAAAGAAGTTCGCTTTTGACGAGATGCTGCGAGTAAACTCCACAAGAGAAATGTTCATTGCAGATATGATAAGTGGCATGTGGTTTTCCCATTCGGGTTTCTGAGGGCTCATTTTCTTCCCTAGTGACAAATAAAGTATTCACCGTTATTCTGTTTGCCTATACTGAAGGCCTTGCTGCCATCGTCAAAAAGAGTCGTGAGAGGCGACCTGTGTCGCCTGTTAGTTTGTTGTTCTTTGACCTCATGGCAGGAATCTCTAATGTCTCCCCAGATCGGTTCCTCACCCACTGAGCAACTGTTTGGCATTCACACTGATGACAATGTAAGCCAGAAGGAAACACATTGTGCTCATGACAGTAAATCGACTGAACAATGGGAAATGGCCTTCGCCCTTGTCGCCCAATGCGTGAACAAGTTCAAGGAGCCCGTTCGTACTATTGAAGATGTTGAAAAAAAGTCTTGCGAGGCAGTTGCATTACTGACAAAAAGGCATGTTTCCAATGTTTTGCACCTTCTGCAAGGCCTAATGCTGCTCTAGTGTCCTTTCTATCCCACGTGTTTCTGACTATTCAGGGGAGGCAGACCTATCGAACGAAAACGAACTGAGGACACTGGCCCGCCGCGTTGTCCGAGAAAAATATATGAAAGAGGTTGAACGACACATCCGCGCAACAGATGCTGCTTAAAATGTTCCTATCGTCAGACTGTAATTGTAGTTATACTTGTTTTTGAGCTATTCCGCACAGCTGAATGAATGTAAGAGGCATTGGACTCTTACCTTCATATTCCATGGAGTTGATACTTTGAAGAGGACGAACATTGAATTGACATAGACAGTATCACAAAGGTCGACTGGCACGCTCTACGTATCTAAGCCCTACCGCTCAAGGTCGTCAAAGAAGCTGCGCGCTCTCATTACCGTCACCCCTCGCAAGTCCGTCTTCGACATCGGCAATGAGACGTCCATCACCAGCGAGTTCCGAGTACGTACGCTGTTATCCCAATGTCTCCACCTTCATTCATCGGACTCTACATGCCTTGTAAATGACTCAAGCACTGCCCTCTGTCACTGAACCAACGACGATTACTCTACCAGGCGGAGTCGTCCAGTGTATACGAATAATGACACACTCCCCAAATCGGGACAGCGACACATAGGGTCATAACGCGACGGCCCGGTTATCATGGTTGTGGGAGTATAAAAGGAAAGAGAGAAAAATTCCCAAAAAGGAAAGAGAAAAAGAGAAAAAGGAGGGATTTCCTGACTTCTTAGTACCCTTTCTATTGGTAAAAATTTCGAAAAATGACAACAAAATATATTGATTCTTCTACCACTTTTAATAATACTTCCGATGGTGAAAAATAGAACTATATAGATTTTTTTAGCATTCCGACCCCCTAAAAGAAGTCCAAGGGTTAAGAGGGATGTTTGTTATCCTTTCCTAAGTCCTTTACATTCCTTTGAACCACAAGAACTACAGGCATTTGTGCACTGATCCTTCCTAATTGTCCCTCCACATCCTTTTTTCACACTTTCAACATTTTCATGCTGCACATTTTAGACCAACGTTCCCATTAGAAAATGTACTTGGTCCTGCAACTGAAATATTGTCAGGTGGAAGATAAATATTATAGATCATTGCTTGATTTTGATAAGCAGAATGACTACTTTCCTGATATTGGGCACTGGGCAACAGATAAAGTTATCATATGAGATGTTCATGAAGCTGTATTTTTTTTTTTCAGGGTTATCAATTTGAGCTGCAACTCCTTTGCATTCAGAGTGAATCATGTCGCAAGATGTGCCACATTTGTCTGCCAGGTTGCATAGCTTGCAGATGTTCCTCAAGCTAAAATTACAATTGATAAATAATATTTTTGATTGGCACAGGAAATGATGCTGTACATGGTGTGGTGGGGGAGGAAGATGTCAAAAATGTTGAATATGCAAAAAGACAAGGGGCGTGTGAACTATATACCAAATCAAGGCAGCAGCCAAATATAGAAATCATAGCAGCTGCTATGATTTCCATTTTCGGAATTACTTTAGTAGCAGCTGCTACCACCCACAGGCATGGGAACTCTGCCAACGTGACACATACAGTGAATTGCTGACACATTGGTGTGTTCCCAATGTGTTCCTGCTCTTTAGTGTGTTGATTTTACATGTGTTCGACACATTGACATGTGTCCAACTTCAGTTCCTCTTTTCTTTTTTTTTTACAAGTCCTTCTGTGCTCGGGTAAATGGCAGGATAATATGGAAATAATATGTATTCCTCATGTACAAGAAAAACAATTATATGGGAAGGTATACATACTATGTAGAAGTAGGAAGGTAGGGACACCACCTGTCCCCTCCAATGATCCCTTGCTAATCTATAATTAGCGATTCCTGCACTACCCTATCAACGCTGCATGCCCTCTCCCCAATACAAAGTCCTTGACACCCGCACTTGTTGTCGGTGGATCTGGTTGTTGGCAGGCGTTGCGGGTGCTCGTGTTGTGGCTCGCTTCATGGATGTGAATGTGGTGGCGGTACTCACATTCGGGCTGGTGTTCGTGTTTGTTCACAGTTGCATTTGGGGGATGGGAATGGGCTGGGGATCATTGGTGGTGCTCTTGGCCATTCATTGGTCGTTGTCAGCTGCTTGCCGGGGTTGGTGGTGGGAGCATGGCCGTTCGTTGTGGTGGGCACTCGTCATCAGTTATGGTGATGGGCCATCGTAACCATTCATTGATCCTGGTGGTGGGCCCTCGTCAATCGTGGTGGAGCCCTCATGGCCGTTCATAGATCCTGGTGGTAGGCCCTGTGGAAGTTAGTGGAGCCTCGCCGTTGTCCGTCGATCCTGGTGGTTGGTCCTCGTGGCCAATCGTCGATGGTCATGGTCCGCGCTCATTGCGTTTTGTGGGGGTAGTGAGAAGAGAAGGGGTAGTGACATGTGACATCGGGTTCGTCACCAGCTTGCACAGGACACTTCACATGACCTAACACATGTAAGATACGGTCACATGTACACATTGATTGTAACTGAGCTCACAGGTGTTATATGAGGGAGTATAAAAGTAAGAAGAAGATTGAGCCTGGCTCTTGAGCTCTCCTTATATACTACAATCTACAATGTACTATTTAGTCCCAGATAGGTCGAGTGTGTGCGCACTTGCGCACAGCATTGGTGTGCCAGAGTTGCCAGTCCGCTATGGCTATCCAACACTCCCCCTCAACTCCGAGTCTATGCCGATGCGAGAAGTAAATTTCTTGTGTGCTGGCATTGCAACGCCTTAGTAAATACATCAGCTAAATTATCCTTGGATGCGCAGTGTTCTATGATTATGGAATTGTTGCCAAGATGTTCTTGTATGAAATGATGTTGGATATCAATGTGCTTTGACTTTGAGTGTGACCCTTGGTTCTTTGAAAAGTCAATCACAGATTGATTGTCAATGTTTAATTGTGTAGGTTTATTTTGCAATAAACCAATTTCTGTGAGTAAAGTTCGAAGCCATATTGCTTCACAGGTGGCTAGGCTGGCAGCCATATATTCTGCCTCCATCGTAGATACCACAATGGTGCACTGTTTGCATGATGCCCATGAAATGGGCACATTCCCGAATAAGAAAATGTATCCCGATATAGATTTGCGATCGAGATCACTATTTCCCCAGTCCGCATCAGAGTACCCTTCTAAAATTGGAACAATGTTCCCACTGCTGTAGGTTATTCCATAGTTGCGTGTTCCATTTAAATACCGGAAGACACGTTTAATTGCACTCCAATGTTCTGGGCTCGGATTACTTGTAAATTGACTAAGGTGCTGGACTGCATAAGCAATGTCTGGCCATGTGCCAATTGCTGCATACATTAGCAAGCCAATTGCCACTGCATACTGTGGAATTTCGTGATGTTCTCCTTTGGGAGTTTTAACATTCAGATCGAGTGGCATTTTGACAGGCATGGATTTGGACATTCCAAATCTGTCCAAGATTCTTCCCACATACTGATTTTGTGTTAAATGTATTGTGCCCTTCTTGAGATCCCTTTGAACTTCAAATCCCACTATTTGTTTGAGTTCTCCAAGATCCAAGATATCAAATTTTTGGCTGAATTCTCTTTTGAATTCTGCCATGGCTTCATCATCTGAAGCTAAAATTAACATGTCATCAATGTGAACTCCGATGATGACAAGGTGTTCCTGATGTGCCTAATATAGACACATTGATCTGAAAATAGCCATGTGAAACTGAGTTGAATGAAAGTTTTGTTTAACTTTTCATTCCACATGCATCTGGATTGTTGTAGTCTGTAGAGTGTACGCTGTAATAAAAGTACTGAGTTTGTGCCATCCTCGTATCCAGGGATTTGCTTCATGTAAATTTGTTCTTTGAGTTCTCCATTGAGATAAGCTCCCACGATGTCAACAATGTGGGTGACTAATCCATACATTGTGGCAATGGCTAATAATAGCTGCAAAGTATCGAGGCGCATCACTGGCATGAAAGTCTCAAAGAAATCTATCCTGGGGATCTGTGAAAAACCTTTGGCAACTAATCTTGCTTTGTGCCACACGATTTTGCCTTCTGCGTCACGCTTTATGTGGAATACCCATTTACAGTTGATGGCAACTCTATCTTTAGGAATTTTTGTTTTGATGTATGTCCCTAGATCTTGTAATTGAAGAACTTCTGCATCCATTGCCTTTTCCATTCAGGCCAATCTGGGCGGGATCTTGCTTCTTCAACATCTTTTGGGTCATCATCAACCTCTGGTGCTTTTTCTGCAAGCATGGCATAATCATATGTTATTTCCATTCTTGCAAGAAATTGCTTTCTTCTTGTGAGAGAACTGGTACCTGATGCCACCATTCCCGAGGACCTCTTGCTGCAGGATTATTTAAAAACCTATAATGGAATGGTGACTTTTCGGCAACACGTGTAGATTTTTCCCGAGTTGGAATTGGAATCTTTGACATTATCAGTGTGTCTGCAATCATGGTATTATTAGTACTGATGTTCTCATCAGGGTTATTGTCTGATGGGAGATTGTCCGATTGACTATTCTTCCCCTCAATTTTCATAGGATGATTGACTGTGACCTCAAATTCATCATAGTCCTGAATTTCTTGGTCATCCTTCGAGAAAATAACATTGCGCGAGGTTAATATTTGCTGGCCATTCCAATAACGGTACCCTTTTGTACTGTCATCAATGCCAACAAAATTAAATGGGCAAGATCTAGGATCCAATTTCCTATTTTTCTTGTGTTGCTGTAAAACCCAGCATTTGCGACCAAATTCTTGCAAATGCTAGATATTAGGTTTCTTGTTCCAGAATACTTTGTCGGGAGTTTTTCCATCTTTCAAGGCACGTGTGGGAGAACGATTTCGGAGATAAGTGGCATATTTGACCGCTTCTGGCCAAAGATAGTAAGCGAGATGTGGATCTTGCAAGTGTAACATAGTGCATGCCTCCGAAACTACAGTTCAGTTTCCGTGCTCTGCAATTCCATTCTGTGAGGATGAGTAGGCTGCTGTAACCTTGAGGAATATTCCATTTGTTAATAAATGTTCCTTGAATTCATCATTAATATATTCCCCACCACCATCAACTCTAAGTTTCTTCAGTTTCCGGCCTGTTTGTGTTTCCACAAATGCCTTGTACTGTTTAAACTTCTCTAGTGCCTCGGATTTCTTCTTCAGAAAATATCTCATTGAACGGCATGATTTTCCGTCTGTGAATGTAATGAAATATTTTTCTCCTTCTATGCCAGTAGTTTGTGCAGGTCCCCAAAGATCAGATACTGTTAAATCGCCGATCTTGGCAATTTCTGTCTTTGATTCTTGTGGATACGGTGTGATGTGCTGCTTTGCAAGAATGCATGCTGGACATTGTTCCATTGCTGGAACACTTTCATCGACTTCCATACCACTAACCATTCCCTTTGACTTCAATTGTTTTACTGAAGCCATATTCAAATGACCCAAAATTCTGTGCCATTCATCCCAAGTGTGTGCACTTACTTTTGCAGAGTAAGCTTGGTCTTGTTTGGCAGAGACCTTGACATCCATAAGGTACAGATTCGAGATCTTGGTACCTTGTGCCATAATTGTCTGATTCAGTGCTCTAAACTTCACATGTGTGTCTGTAAATAAAACTTGAATTTTTGCGCCAGTAACTCACCCAAGCGAGATAAGATTATGTGGTGCATTTGGAACATGAAGCACATTATTGAGAGTGATGGGATAGGCTTTTCCATCAATGCGGGAGGTTAATTTAACTGTTCCCATCCCTAATACTGGTTGATTTCCTAATCCCTTAACAAAATGACCTGAGGTAGGAGTATATTCTCTAAAATAACTCCTTTCTGGTGTAATATGTGAAGTACACGCTGAATCCGCTAACCAGGAATCAGCCATGAGTGAAGCAAATGCCATTTCAGGCGCGCCATCAATTCCTGCAAATGCAAAGTCATCAGTGACTTCATTTGCACGCGCTCCCCCAAACTTTGGCTCCTTGTCATTTGAGTGATCATTTGATTTAGATTGGCAATCTGCTTTGATCACAAGGGGCAAACGGCGTTCATCACCTGGTAAAAATGTGATAAAATGCAGATAACTATGTTAAATCTTTGATTTCACATTTATAACAAAAAATTGGAGTTAAAAAAGATTAATCATTACTGCAAGTTTTTTGCTGCAGGAAGGTGATATTGAAGATGTAAAATATTTATCAGTCTTTTGCAAACTGTATAAAATGAATTTCCTACAAAAAATGTCCTCCTGGTAAAGAGATAAAAAAAAATCATGAGCAATAATGGTGATAGGGAGAAATGCATAGCCTTCTAACAAGTTAAACTTGCAGTGATATCTGAATATCTGCAGCAGTGTGAATCCTTCCTTTGTGACATAGAATGATGCGCAAGGAGGGGGTGAGTGGTTGGCATACAAACATGCTACTGGGGTGGAGGTTGTTCGTTGTTGGGTTCATTGCTAGCTAGTTGCCATAGTAGTAGCCGAGTGCTCTGACTCTGAGTGGTCAGCGCTCACTATTTGGTGACGTAGCATGCTGTGCAAGAGACATAGGTGGATAAAGTTGATGGGCAGTATGTCAGTGAAGGGGGTGGAGGTCGTCATTGGAAAGTTCGTTGCTGACTAAGGAAGTGCAATTACAGCACCAGCAACCATCAGCCAGAGCTATTTTTGGAATGACAGTGTGCACAGTGGCAGGATCACCCCCCTCAGAGGCCAATTACTACCAGGCAAAGAATTGGCCTCTGAGGCACCCTAGTGCTTGTGAAGCGCCAGGCCCGAGGTGGGTCCAGAGGCAAATGGACAGGTAACTACAGTACAACATCCCATATATATACTTGTAGGCTACAAAATAAAAGGGGTAAAGATAAAACACCCCTAAGGATGCATGAAAACGATCAAATGAAGGATTGTACCTGAAATCCAATTGAAATACAGTCAAACCTCTCTTAACCCATACCCCTCGGTGGACAGCCCAGGCTATGGGTTATGAGGGGTTATGGGCTAATAGAGGTATGGTAAAAATAGATCCTAAAAATCAAGAAAAAATCGCAAAAAATCATTAGAAAAATGTAGGACATCAATTGAAGTAGTTATGAGGTATTAAAAGAGGTCATATCCCTGGCCTGTTTATGCCGCATATCTCAATTGACTGAGCTCAACAGAGCTTCAGTTTTACGTGCATTGGGATGATCATTGATGTTGCTGATGCACTTGCCAATTGTATATGTCACGTTGAGGCCATTGACATTGCCGGCAGGCTGAGTTTCAACATCCTTTAACTCAAGATTCTCACATGCACCTAACATCTATAAGTCATAAAATCCTGACATATCTCCATGTCTGTGGAATCAGTCATAATTTCTAAGGATGTCAAGCACTGGGTTCAAGGGAGGCAGAGGGGGAATATTTTTGGGGGATAAAAGTGTATTCTATTAAACTTTGAGCTACCTGAATAACTAGGAGGGGTGCACGCAAGTGTTCACCAGGTAAAGCTAAATTTTTGACAGCCAAATAAAGGGTCTGCCTGACATAAAACCTATGGGTTTTGGCCCACAAGGGGTATGGGGTATGTGGAATGGGAGGTTTATGGGTTATGCTATGCATTTCCCTGTGAACCAACTTGGTGGACACAAAATACTATGGGGTAAGAGAGGTTATGGGTTGTCAGAGGTATGGGATAAGAGAGGTTCAACTGTACAAAGATCAGGCGCATTGCACATGCTTGCACAGCTCCCGAAATTCCAACAATGGATCCTTTACGAGGGCCGTTTCCACCTCCTCCGTTATCACTGCTATCATCACCATCAGAATCGTCTGGGTGGATAAAACTATTGAGAAACCCCCTTTCTGTGGAAACCCTACCCTAAAAATATTTGCTTATTTAAGAACCCCATTTCTGGAGGAAACCCTTCTGGAAAGGTCACATGCTCTCCGGCCATCCATTGTTACATTAGCTGCTGGTGTCTTGATTCTTGATGCCAACATTGTTCCTTCTACTGTAACGACGAAAGATCCTACACTCTCAGTATTGCTTTGAGTCTACTGTGGGTCATAGACATGCATTCCGGCAAGGTTAAGACTCAACAGCCATGCCGATATCTAGGGATCAGACGAGTCTGCTCATACAAGAGGGGTGCTATGCTAAGGACATTGGCCCCTTCAAATTGGCTTGCTGAGCCTGGTTGGTGCATAAATATCTTATAATTCTGTAATGAGAATAACATATTTCCAAGCTAGTCAGCAAGCAATACCGGACTGTGATGTTGATTCATTCACAGTGAGGGAGATAATGGACGCAATGTGTAAGTACTTCACACTTAGTCCCTTGGGTCAACTTAACCTAACTTTATAATAATTAGGATCTAGATTTCCACAAGCCATGAACTACTTCAGGGTGGCTGCACCACTCACTTCATTGTGGCATATGTGAAGGCACATCAGCAAACCTGGGTGAGCTAGGCAGCACATCTGTGCAGCACCATAGCACCATAGAAAGGGGTATCACCTTTACAGTCACCTGCACATTCTATGCAGCCCTACATAGAAACACACAGCCACTACATAGCACTCCCTAGAATCACAGAGCAGATCTGCAGCTCTCCATAGAAACACAGAGCCACTACATAGTGCTCCCTAGAATTACAGAGCAGATCTGCAGCCCTCGGTAGCAACCCCTGGGGTCTGCAGATTGCTAGAGAGGGGGGATATGTTCTACTCATTTTAATACCATATTGCATGGTTTTTACCCAAAAGTGGTGTTATGAAAAAATAAGTTTATTATCTACACTACTGCATTATACAACCCTAGTACTGCATATCCTAATACTCAACATTATATAGGGAATGTCATGGGCTACCCTGGGGTTTTCCAGAGTAACCCATGCCTGTACCTGTCAAAACCTGTACCCATGTCCATGGGCACAGGTTTTTGTGGGTATGGGTAGAGGGTTTACAAAAATGCATGGGTACCCCAACCCGTGCGGCAATAAGGGAAGAGAGGGGAACACCATTCATTGAGATGCCAAGGGCTGTTCATTGAGACACCAAGGGAGGGTGGAGGCTGTTCATTGAGGGAGGGTGGAAACTGTTCGTCAAAGGAAAGAGGCTGTTGATTGAGGGAGGAGGCTGTTCATCACCATTCGTTGAGGGAGGAGGCCATTTGTCAAGATGCCATCCATCAAGAGAGGGAGGCCACCATCTGTCAAGGGAGGGAGGACGCTGTCGTCAAGGGAGGGAGGAAACTGTTTGTCGAGGGAGGGAGAACACTGTTTGTTGAGGGAGGACACCATTTGTTGAGGGAGGACACCATTCATCAAGGGAGGACACTGTTTGTCAAGGGAGGACACTGTTCATCGAGGGAGGACACCGTTCATTGAGGGATGACACCGTTTGTCAAGGGAGGACACCATTTGTCAAGGGAGAGGGGACCATTCATTGAGGGAGGTAGGATGCCATTTGTTGAGGGAGGGAGGACACTGTTTGTCAAGGGAGGGAGGATGCCGTTGTCAAGGGAGGGGACCGTTTGTCGAGGGAGGTAGGATGCCATTCATCAAGGGATGGAGGATGTCGTTGTCAAGGGAGGGAGGGAACCATTCGTCAAGGGAGGTAGGACAGGTTGTGGGTGGTGGTGGCGACGTTAGTGTGCTTATGAGGGTGGAAGGAAAGGAAGCATAGGCTTGAAAAGTTGCCGGTTTCGAAATATGAACAGGTCACATGTTGGTTTAGGGTGGGCTTGTTAGACTTGGAGACATTTGAGTTGAGTGCAGCATGTGACCTCCCGCAACCGTACCAACTTCTGCTTGTGCCTCTCAGGTTGGCCACCGTCAACTTTTCTGCCTGTTGGTACACAACATGGAACCTTTCGAGTTGACACTGCGACTGACAGCTTGAATGGTCAGAGTAGGCATTGCGAGGGTGAAGGTCATGAATATATAAGTTGGTTCTGCAAAAAGGTGTGTCAGGGTCGTTCACTGCTTGAGTGCAAATTTCACTGACCTATCCTTGTGTCCAAAAGCTTTTTGTCAGGTCTTCCGCACCACGATCGCCCTTGGAGACTCTAAAATGTTTGTTAGCATTGTTTGGCATCAAAAGCACTCACTGAACAGTTGCTTACAGTGTTAACTCGATTACAGTAATGCAATAACCTACAGAAAGTAAGTCATCGTAGATGGATTCTGATAGAAGCCCACTGACCTACGTGTTGCAGTTGAAGTTTGTTGACGAACGTTGTGGCCACCATGGGAAACGGTGAGCATGAAGTAACGAGTAACAAGTGTGACTGACCTTACCTTCCTTCCACCATCACGTCGACACCCAATTGACTGGGGCCGCCATACACAAAGCCATCAACGTCGGTGCTTCCAACACATCTTATGATGGCGGACGTGACTTGGATGTGACAACATTAGCTGGTAAGTCATTGATGATGGATGGAGCATTTCATGGGTGCTTACCGTGATTGTGCACCAGCAGTTTAGATGTCGACAACATCAAAACCTCGCAAATCTCGGTCGTTCTGGGCACATGGGTGGATGGTCGAGTGTGTGGTGTAGAGAGGCAGCAGGAGAACGTGTATGGTATGTGTATCCTTTCTCCTTCACCTTTTGTCCTGAACATCATGTAGACGCACTAGGTCATCCTCATCACTGAATACCCGTGGGTCTGATGATGCCATCTCGTTGGAGCAAAGTGTCCCTATGCCCATGTAAGTAACAACACGTCTTTTCGTCATACATTGACGGCTCACCTAGTCTATAGCAAATGACTACAACTACTACAACAAAAGAAGACAGCAGGCGCAACGTCAATATGGGTATCGACGCACACTATTTCCAGTGGATTGGGTAGGGTTGATGGGGGATACATGCTGTGGACGTGACAAGGTGTGGTTGACGTTGAGATGAATGTTGGAGAGGGCTAACTAGTTTCAGTTGAGAGCGCCAACTCCACAACTGACTTCCACAAGCCTCCTGATGTTGTCCCTTTGTAAACGACAATGCACACGTCAGCACTGTGTTCACCACTGAACATGATGTGGAATCAAGAGGCCCATTGCATTGTTTGTTGTCTGAGGAGTTGGAGGGGGAGTGTAGGGAAGAAGAAGAGGGCCCTGCATTGGGGGGGATTAGAAAGTGAGGGTGACAAGTGGAAGGAACGTCTTGTTGAGTTGATTTGGAATGGGTTTGGGGTGCAATCTTTGTAGGTCAATCGTATTTACAGCTGGTATTCTACCACATCTACCAACCTGTCAATGCTACTGAACACTGCATAAAAATTTGACTCCCTATCAGGGCTGGATAGAAAGTGGAGGCCCCTCTATAGTACCCCATAGTAACTGCCCAAGTCTCTGTAGAGCTGCATAGCATGAGGTTACACCCACACAGCACTGTGGGGTGCTGTGGGGTGCTAGGCCATCTAGCCAAACTTGGCGCGTAACTATGGGAAACTATGATGTCAGGGGAAGCACTGTGCCTGTCTACGTGTGAAAATCAGGTTTTGCTGATGCAAATTCTTGAGCAACATGTATGCAACTCAAGCACAACCCCAATCCACTCTGCCAGCGCCCCATGCAACTAATACAAAATGGAAGGGAGTGAACGATGTCGAGGAGCACAGGGGACTTGACGATGCCTGATTACCTGGGATGGCAGTCGTTTGGAGTCGTCATTCAAACAACATTCAAATTTCAATCCTCCTTACGGTGCATTTCAAACTCATTGAAGTTTCTGTCCTACATTACTCATACCCCACAATACCGTCCACAGCCAAACTAATCAATTGCAACTGATCACTATTATTCAACTGATCACGGTTTGCTGCATAGCGTTCTTGCGGCAACAAATAGTACAATAACACAAAGCAAGTTCTTCCAAGCTTCTGTGCAAATGCTCGCTGACGAGGTCCTGGACTCCCAAGGTGATTTCAAATATCTTCTGAATGTAATTGTACTTACCCGCTATGCAAAGCCTTTTGCACAATGATGGTGGTCGACATTCATGCAGTTACCTCATAGATGGGGCCTTGTGGCTGTTTTGACTTTTTGTTTGGGTCGCTGGGGTGACAGGCCATTCCCTTGTTCCTCTATTCATCTTGATGGTTCAAGTTGAATGTTGATTCACCCACACATTTTAGAAATGTCCTGGTGAAGCTGTGCAGCATAATATCCATGAACGACAATTTGGACTTCAAGCATGAATGAAATGTTTTGGTGTTCCCTGCATTAGATATATGTACTGTGGTATTTCGACCAACTGTTCAGCCAATGTGACGTGTGATGGCCCTGAACAGATGGGAGGGGTGTTCGGAATTTGGATGACTGTGTGACATAGCAACAAAAGTGTTTGGCCAGCAGAAACTGTTCATTGAGCAGTTGACATGGCATGTAGTAGCGACCTCCTTGCCTTCTTCACAGCCTCCCAGATTAGTGAATGGTATATAATTTTGTAATAAATGTACGCCACGCAGCGGAAAAATTGAGTTTTTGAGAGACTTTCCTTTTTGGGGTAAAATGTCACCCTATTCGACCTTCCAAGTGACCTGTGACAGGTGCCAAGATCTGTTCGGTTCACAGCTCGATGTAACGAGTGACCGAACAGTCGGTCGAAATACCACAGTATATTGAAAATGAGGGCTGCGAGTGAGGCTAGCTCTCAATATCTACACTTGTATCTACATAGCAAGTGTAGTGTCAAGAAAGAATTGGCTTGTAAGTCTTTCAATATTTATGTCAAAGACTCGACTATTGTGTAAGCTGCTGCACAACTGGATCAGCCGGATTATGGCCAGAAGTTAAAATTCACAAAAGCCAGGGATCTCTCCAAAGCCTCAGAAATCCTGGGGGTTTCCGCAGAAAGGGGGTTTCTCAATAGTTTTATCTGTCTGGGTCACCTCCTCCTCAGTGCTGTTGAGGTGGCTGAACGCCATCTCTGGAATGATAAGAAAAGGAATAGTTTGATCTATTACAGTGTTTTGCATGTGAGATTGGAATCCAAATCTCACGAAAACTTGTTTGTTCTTGTAATGTGTGATGTTGCCTTCCTCGGTGTCACAGCGTTGAACGTTGGACTTCCTCTGCCAAAGTGCTCTTAGTGAAGGTCACAGGTGGCCAATAAACGATCTAGTCAGAAGACTAGATCCTAATTTTCTTCAAGTGGAGGAGTCCCCTCCCTTGGAACCCACATTTACGTCGATGATTGAATGTTGACTTTGTGTTGACTCCCATCAGTCACGGACCACAAGAACAAACAAGTTTTCGTGAGATTTGGATTCCAATCTCACATGCAAAACACTGTATCAGTGTTATCCTCACCCTGAGTTTCTACAGGTCCTAATCCAAGATCTGTACCCTTAGATCTGTGGTCGTCGTGAAGAACACCGTTGAAGAACCCGTTGATTCTCTGAGTTATTTCTAACACGCCTTACAAGAAGTCGGTAATCAGTCCTCCAACTATCACTGCAGTATGGGATTATCAACCCACGTTCATAGAGGAGGAACCCGATAGTATTTCGGTTCATCTCAAAAGGTCGAGAGCATCTTTTAATCACCCAGTCGCTCGCCAACATGAACACCTCAGTATTCGGACATCCAGTCCAGAATAGTTCCTCTCATGCGCTAAAGGAATTATTTGGCGCGTAGTAGGGAACCCAGAACACCCTGGCTGTTAATCAAGTTTACGATTTTTCTTAGCTTTGGGTTCTGTATGTATGCCAAGAAAATTTCTACTTCTCGACGATAGTAGGCAAGGGGGTCCTAGGATTCCAAAGTCCGACCAGGGGTTGGGTAGGTAGGTCAGCCACAGGCTGAGAAAAAAAAAATATGGAACCCTCTACAAAATGATCTAAAAACAGTCCTGGAAGGCCATCCCCTGCGAATTAGTAGTGCTAGTGCACTCCAAAGCATGTAGATCAGTCCGAATTCAATGATATTGAAGCATTATATAATATTTCTTCAAGCTTATCTAATCTCCACCAAGTGTCAATGTCACAAAGCTCATCTTGAAGGTGGAGAAATGGAAGCTGGCACAACCAAAGAAATACAGTCACTAAACATCACTTACAAGTTACTGGCAAGTTGTTTAGAAAGTTGTTCTTGATACCAATTATGTAAAACACCACAGCCCAATTGCAAAACTCGGATAAGCCAGACTTGCCAACAGACTTAGATCTGCCAACATTAAAATATGTTCTATACAATAAAAATTACAAGTCACTCACCTATATTCCAGTATCATCTACATTGCATTTGGTAGGAAATAGATTCACAAAACTGGGTTTGCGAGGCATCTTGGACAAAGTGATGAAAATGATGATGTCATCTTACCATATATGGACACGTGCCTGATTACGTAGGTACATCAGCAACATGGCAAAATAGATTCCAGGACGGACAAGAAGAGACACCCAACACACCTAGGCACATGACGATGTGTCGTTGATCTCCCATCAAATTTGATATTTTTGACACTCCGAAGTACATGCCGAATAGCTGCCGTTAGTGTTAGGGCTTCGTGTTAGGGTTTGGTTAGGGTTAGTGTTTTTTCGCGCAGTAGCGCGCTCTTACTTCGGTCTCCCCGCGCGGTAGCGCGTTCTCGGTAGGGTTAGGAGGTTAGGGTAAGGTTAGGAGGTTAGGGTTAATGGTTAGGTTTAGGGATATATTCTCTCTGCGCGGTAGCGCGTTCTCGGTTAGATTAGAAGGTTAGGTGAGTGGTTAGGGGGATTAAAACTCCGGCTGCCCAAATCGGGAATGTGTCGTTGTTGCTACGTGTGTATGTGTCGTCTCTTGTATATCCTCAATAGATTCCGGGTTTTACTGGTTTTGGAAGTTGCCGGGGTGTCCGGAAACCCGAAAAGGAATAGTCTAAGGGTTTCTCCGGTCAGGGACTACATAGTGATCGTGTATTACTATATCTTACGCTATTTGGGCGGCGGGTTTCCACCAAAGGATACATAGGTTGCCAAGTTTCGATATTTTTCTAGTCTCGACACCAGCTGTTACGGTGATATTACTAGGGTAGAGATATATGTGGTTTGTAATAGTTACCGTAACGTCTGGAAAGACTTCACCGTGATTGAACACAGAAGATTTTCAAGCTCCGCTGACTTCTATAACGGGAACAATGTCCGACGCGATAAACGCGTCCTCGTTATCACCCTCAATGAGCACTCGAAAGCGACCTCGATCACACGAAAACGATGAGAATATCCCTCCCACGACTCCCGTAAATGCGAAACCTATGAAATTCATCGACTGCTCTGCTCCCAAGAAGCCTCGTTTGTCCGCCAAAAATGGGCGCCATTTCACCCCACAGGATATTCAAAACATGCGGGAATCGTATGCCCAGCAAGCTCCGACACGGGTTATGAAGGAAAAGGAACAGAAAGCTGCTGCTGCTGCGCGAGGGGCTGAAATAGAGGCTGGACAAGCGACAGACCGAGTTGAACAGGCCTGGAGTCTCCTACGCCCTCTCTTCCCCTCCATGCACGACTTCTTACGCGAACTACTCACTACACGTCATCCTGTCCGATCTTCTCAAGTATCCAATCTACTTACCTTTCATGGACACGACCTCTTGAATCTCATACGTGACCGACATCCTTCTGTTGCAAATGATTGGGCTCTCAGCACGGCAAGGCAGCTCGTGTCATCGGAGTGCGACTCTTTATCCCAGTGTTTCAAGCCTGCCCCAGGGACACCAGTCTCTGACATCTTACATCTCTTTGCGAGAGGTTCTCTCTGATGCTGAGATTCTTGCACCCACACTCTTCCAGATACTCCAACAGGCTTGTGGAATGCTATCCACATCACAAGATCAGCCTTCTCGCAAACACCCAGATCTTGTAAGTTCAATACTTCGCTTTTTACTTTCTTTCTCATAAACATATCCCCCAGGTTCTCGCCACCACGCTATGTATGCTTGCAAAAGCACGAAATGATCACGCGAGCGACTTTCCGACAACCATGTGCATGTATTTTCTTGCATGCGGCACGTCACACTCAGTTTTCGACGTTCTCAACCATGCAGGGGTCACGTTCTCATACACTCAGGCCGTCGCAAAGATCAAGCAGCTCGGAAGAGAACGTCTCACGATGATGCGAGAGATTGCTCGGTCACGAGCGTTCATGGTCATCTGGGACAATCTTAACATTGCCTTCAAGGTTAGCGAGCAGCGTCACGACGCCAAGGATCATTTTGATAACGGAACTACTGCGACTCTCCTTCCACTATACGACGTTGATTTCGGTGGACTTCCACTCGAACTTTTACCCTCCCGTGACTGTCGCATTCCCGTCCTCAAGTTTGGGGCCAAAGATCTTCTCCCAACTAGTGAAGAAGCTCAGCGCGTCAAGGCCGGACAACTTTCGCATATCCAAGACATTCTATATGAAGCTTTCCCATCTCTCCGTAAACGTTTGAAGGACAAGATCCCCCCAGCTCCCACAGTTCTCCAGATCCCCGTTCACAAGACGGAGCAATATCCCCTTCCTGCTATGCATATTGACGAGTCCAGCTTTCGTTAGTAACAAAGTCTTTGCTCTTTTCCTATTTGTATTTTTCGATACAAAAAGTCAATAGGAGGTACTTTACTGAAATTCGGCTGATTCTGGTGGATCTACAAAGCAAAATAGTAGAGTGCATAAGAAGGTGTGCGGGGAATGCTACCATATATAGGTAATGTCGGAGCTTAAAAAAGCCCTATGCTAAATCATGATAAAGTCCTACCAGTCGCCATAGGAGTAATTACCGCCTTCCTACTTACCCAAAAAAGAAACACCCTCTCCCTCAGATTTTACATCGCGATTACTCCGAGGCGACTGGTTTCGAGTCTAATATTTTTCCAGCAAGATGCAAAAACGTAGACACCTCTCCAAATTTCCCAGACTCCGCCTCGCTTTGTACAAACAACCGCTTTAGGAAATGAGCGGGTGTGAGTGATGCAAACATTCTGTTCTCGCTCCACCAACCTCCACTCCGTGCATTCGCTAGCATCTCATCTATGTCATTTCCTATCAACCCTCGTAACAATGAGATGCCGTTTTTGTTCGGCAGATATAAAGCGGTAGTTCCCTGACATATTTGAAGATGGGAAAAGAGAAATTATATAGAAGTACCATATTTGTAGGAGTATATAATAAAATGGCGCGCCATGAAGTATGACGCGTCGTGCGGCGGCACCAAATGCGGTTGTTTGTACAAAGCGAGGAGTCTGGGAAATTTGGAGAGGAGTCTACGTTTTTGCATCTTGCTGTCAATGTTTCGAGGTTTTTAGTGGTTTTCGGAGGTTGCCAGGGTTGAGAAACCCGTGGAAACTGATTTGCTCAATTACTGATGTAGGTAGGTCAAGCCAGTAAGGGCTTAATAAAAAAATCGACCCCAGGTCTATTTTTTTAATCCTAGGACCCCCTTGATAGCAGGCTCCAAGGATTTCAAAGTCGTTTGCTGACCAGAATTCGTCGGCCTTGTAAGAGAGGAATACTTACCTTCTCCACTGGTTATTAGATCTTCCTCTGCTTTGTTTCGACATTGTTTGAGGTGTTGATTCAAGTTTATAAGAATGATTTTTTGTAAAGCGAACCCGATATGATCAGCTCTGCTATTGGAATGGTATAGATTGGTCAATAATTCCTTTAGAATATCCATCTCCTCGAACAAATCCCTGCGCCCTTTCCGTGATACTACCTTTCCACAGGAAGTTATAAAAATGGAGAATTGAAAAAGTGAGAAAAACCCTGTAGAGTCGGATGAGTGAAGGTGGCGGAGAGATTGGGATAACGGCGTCCATACTCGGAACTCATTGGTGATGGACGTCTCATTGCCGATGTCGAAGACGGACTTGCGAGGGGTGAAGGTAATGAGAGCGCACAGCTTCTTTGACGACCTTGAGCGGTAGGGCTTGGACACGTAGAGCGTGCCAGTCGACGTTTGTAATACTCTCTAAGTATGTCAATTCAATATTTGTCCTCTTCAAAGTATCAATGGAATATGAAGGTAAGAGTCCAATGCAGCTTACATTTATTCAGCTGTGTGGAATACCTCAAAAACAAAGTATAATTACAATTACAGTCTTACGATAAGAACATTTTAACCAGCTTCTCTTGCGCGGACATGTCGTTCAACCTCTTTCGTATATTTTTGACGGACGATGTGGCAAGCCAGTTCCCTCAGTTCATTTTTGTTCGGCAGCTCTTTATCCCCTGTAAAATGGGATACTCGTGGGATAGCCAGGACACTAGAACAGCATTAGGCCTGGTAGAAGTGAAAAACATTGTGAACATGCCTTTTTGTCAGTAATGCAATTGCGTCGCAAGACTGTTTTTCAACCTCTTCAACAGTACTAACTGGCTCCTTGAACTTATCCATGCATTCATTGGCCAAGGCGAAGGCAGTGTCCCAGTTTGCAGTCGATCTACGAGCACCAAAACCGGTCCCTGAGCTAGAAGCCTTATGCAACCATCAGTGTCATGAGCACAATTTGTTTCCTTCTGGTTTACATTGTCACCAGTGCGAACGCCCCTCCGTTGCTGAATGACCGAGGAACCAATCTGGGGTGGCATTAGAGATTTCCGCCATAAGGTCAAAGAACAACAAACTAACATGTGACACAGGTGACCTCTCCTGACTCTTTTTGACGATGGCCTGAAGGCCTTCAGTGTATGCATGTAAGATAACGCTGAATACTTTATTCGTCACTAAGGAAGAAATTTAGCCTCAGAAACCTGAATGGGAAAACCACATGCCATTTATCATATCCTCAATGAAAAGCTCTCTTGTGGTGTTCGCCCGCAGCGTCTCATCAAAAGCGAACTTTTTTTCGGTTGGATCATATGAATAAAAGTGAAACGACTCCATGTCGGTAAGTAAACCATAAACACGCAGGCCTTCAAATTTTGCATCGTTATTCATTTGAGCTGCCTCTGTATGCAAGCTCAGCATAACTCAAGAACATGGATTCAGGCTTACAGAGGAGCTCAAGAAACAATTGCGCAACGTTGTCGCCCTTTTGTAATCGTAGCTTTAATTCGACTACGAAGAACAAAATACCCCCAATCATGAACAGCTGTATCAAGTCTCTGTCAGAGAGTCGGTGGCAAAGATTGAGCAATAGACCCACCTCGTGCTCAACCTCACCTCCGCTAGAGTAAGCTGTTGATGCCATTGGGTGTTCCGGTGTATTAACAACCCGACCATGGAATAAAGAGACGATGGGTATGAGATACTTGGTGTAAAGTGAGCACGAGAAAACATTCTTTGACAGTTGGACATACCGCGTCAAAGACTCTAACTCGCGCTTGTTCTCTCAACTGCTCAGGTCGTTCTTGGTACACATCTTGAATGCACCACGCCGTCTCGGCAGCAGGTTCATGAAAAGAAGGTGGGAGGAAAAAAGAAGGAATGTAGAATTTGTCAAAATTGATGTCTGAAAGATTAGGGCCAAGATTGAATTGGGGTGCAAGGTCACTCCATTTTGCGGACGAGAACGATGGCAGGTTGTGTCTTGCTTTCTTTATTTGAGAGGCAGTGATCTGCCCGTCGTTGGCAAGTTCTGCAAGAACCTTGGCAAGGGAGTCAGGCCCGAGTGCGACAAGCTTCTCCTTCCACCCCTCTGGAAGATCGACCAGTACACTGGCAGTCGTGATTTCACTCGATTTGCGTTTTTTTTCCACTTCTTTTCCCTTCTTCCGTTGTCTCGTCGTTGCTTTGCATCGAGCCCTAGAGCGGTGCGTCTTGGGTTGGTCTTGGGTGCGTGTATGGCCCAGGTTCCTCACCCCATCCGTAAGAGCGTATAAGCTGGACAGTATTAGTGACGTAATCGTGCACATGGACTGTTACGCCCGTGCTTGAAATCTCTGGATACGCACATCCCTATAAATGGCCTCAGCCTGTCTGAGAGAGGACCGTCCCCTTCCGCGGAGGGCCGACGAAGGATTTGAAACGTCGACTGGCACGCTCTACGTGTCCAAGCCCTACCGCTCAAAGTCGTCAAAGAAGCTGCGCGCCCTCATCACCTTCGCCCCCCGCAAGTCCGTCTTCGACATCGGCAATGAGACGTCCATCACCAATGAGTTCCGAGTACGTACGCCGTCATCCTAATGTCTCTGCCATCTTTACTCATCCGACTCCTTGCAGGGCTTTTTCTCACTTTTTTGGATCTCCATTTTTATCTTCACCATCCAAACTTATGTGCGAAGCATCGAAGCAAGTGGACGGCCATTGAATCTTCACTTTGCGACCATGTTCTCGCAAGACGCCATCACCCTTGCGCTGAGCGATGCTGTCCTTGTTTTGAGCACTGGGCTTTGCGTGCCATTTGCGATTATGCTCAAGAAAGGCCGGATACAATACTATTGGACGGGGCTGATTTTGCAACACGTTATCCAATCGGTAATTCTGTTTTCTGCTATTACATGGACTTTCAATCGGTAAATACGGCTGCCTTTCCATGCTCACTGCGGCTCATGCAAATTATAGGAAATGGCCATGGGTCCAATCGGGTTTCCTAACTTTACACTCTCTGGTGCGTTCATATTACGCTTCAGAGATTATAGAAGATGAATCTCATCTCAGTACAGGTTATGATCATGAAAATGCACTCTTATGCTACCATGAACGGCCACCTTCAAATAGTGCACAACCATTCCAAGTGCGTTTTCAGCCAACTCCAGGAAGCGACAAAGCCCGTGGGTGGCTGGGAAAAGGCCCTCGACGATGCAAAAACCAGACAAGCAGAACAGGACCTGGCGAACGCGATTCCCGCATCATATACTGACAGTACGCATAGCACTCCAGCCAACGGTACTCCGTCCCTTCCAGAAGGTTCGTCAAGTTCATATGTGGATGCTAGCACCGCCAACGCGCTGCGTAAGCGCCTTGCGGCCGTGGTTGCCCAATCCTATCGCAGCGGCGCTAGCGAGGGCATGGGGAATGCAGACGCAGAGGCGTCGCAAAACTCAGAACCCGCCACTTTTGTCGTCTCAAACGAACCCCCTCAAACGATTGCGCCCCATCCTCTCGTGAACCATCCTAATAACGAGATTGCAGCGCTTGCAAAGGAATACTCTGAGCTTCAGACAGAACTCACGAGTATGGGGCCTCAGTATGTGACTTGGCCGAATAACATCAGTTGGAAGAATTTCGCTGTTTACCAGCTGATCCCTACACTCGTTTATGAGCTGGAATATCCAAGAACGGAGCGGTGCGTTTGGCTCACTCCGGCTTTTCTGTGCTAAATCAGGCTGAACGACGACATCAGTATCCGGCCTTTATATGTTTTCGAAAAGACGGTGCGCGATGGACAACATTACCCGTTCAAATCTGTCTCACTGGTAGACTTTTTGCGTAGGTGGCCACCTTTGGGACTTTTGCCCTTCTGTACAGCGTGACGGAGAGTTTTATTCTCCCATACACGCCGACTGCGGACGAATCTTTCGCCCGTGCATTACTTGATCTTGCCCTCCCTTTTATGATTGCTTACCTGTTGCTCTTCTACATCATCTTTGGTAAGCCTTCTCTGTAGCCCCTCCGCTAGAAAATGAAGGCTGATTTACGCCTGTAACAGAATGCATATGTAATGGTTTTGCGGAACTTTCGTAGTGAGTGGATGATACTGGCTCCTTTGGAGATCGAAGAAATTGACTGATTTTGAAAAAGTTTCGCAGACAGACAATTTTATGAAGATTGGGTACGCTTATCCTCTGTTGTTTTTTGCGCAACTAACTCCGGTTATTTTATAGTATGTCTTCAATGATTAAGCCCTGCTCAGGTCTTTCTACATTTTTTGGACAACGTAACTGACCAGTTTCGATGGGCAATAGGTGGAACTCGACCTCTTGGGACGAGTTCTCCCGGAAGTGGAACAAGCCAGTACATGGCTTCTTGTTGCGTCACGTATACGCTCCTACAATCCTGAGCTACCGCCTCTCAAAGACCTCAGCCATGCTCGTAACATTCCTACTGAGTGCATGTGTCCACGAACTGGTGATGGTCGTGGTGACGCGGAAAATCAGGTAAATGCCCTCGCTCTTTCTTGACGTGTCGATACTCAAGTTTACGCCGATAGGATGTACCTTTTCCTGCTCCAGATTGTCCAAATTCCGATGATACTCATCAGTCGAATCCCCGCTATCAAACAGAACAAGCTCATGGGGAATGTAACCTTCTGGCTTGGGCTGTATGCTGGCTTCCCATTGCTCTGCGTCGCATATGTCGCATACTGAGCGACAATATTTTTGCATAATTTCGTTATTCCTATATTTGGTATTTAGAGCCCTCTATAACAACGATGAGATATGTATCTGAGATATAATCAACACTCCTGTATTCGCAGCCAACACGTACTTACGAATCTGATCTTACGGCGCGTAGGAGCGTACTTTTGAGAACCAAAATGGTCTCTCATGCTTCAACGCCACGGGTTCGTTGTCCCCCGTCTCCAAATTGACGGAAGCGTATGACTTCATGTCGAGGATGTTCCAACGCCCAAGGGGACGCGAACGGAGTTTCAGCGTCATGTCAAAAACATAGCGAGTGTTATCATTCTCGGAAGAACTTGAACTTGTCAATGGAATCAATGGAAGCTGGTCCCTGGAGATGGGTAGCGAGGAACGGCCGCTTGAATCCATGAGATCTGTGAGGTATACCGTGGTTCCTGAGAGGTACCAAGTTCCATGCAAGAGGCCCTGGGTGTAACATTCCACTATCCTGCGTCGGAAGACAAACGAGGCATACTTACTTTCATGCGGAGAGTTGGTTTGAGGATCGGTACTATATGCTTGGGACTGTGTTCTTCATTTGCCAATAAGGAGAGGACTTGGCCATTTGGGAAGAATCGCCTGAATGGAACTTTGGATGATTTTTCTCTGGAACCGGTAAAAGGTATTGCTTACAGGTAGCGGTGGTAGGTGATGAGGTGGCTTATCTACAAGGAGCCATCAGATTAGAGAACTTGACCAGATTTGAGTAGCCACTTGCGTTGACCCAATGATTTTCGCTCAACCCAGGGCGCCTGGTTTGTTGTCAACGGCGCAAAAAATGGTGCAAAGACGTGGATGCATACACATAATGGCAAATGGCAATGTAGACACCGTCAAGACGCACACGCGGATGTTCAATGTACACGCGTCGATAATCAGAGAGATGACGCTCGATGACAGGAATCATCGCATCTACGTCTGGCACTTGTGGCGGCTTGTAGACCGCTCTAATAAATTCCCTAAAAGCAAATTTAATTTGTGCGAACGATGGGAAAGATCTGCGTACCTCCAGATGACAGAATCCAGACTCAATATGCGTGCCTTGCGGTTTACAGCCGCGAAACGTTCCACAGATGTATGATCCAAGTTTCTGATGATGAGGACCAGAAGCTCATCAGGAAGCCTGTTTAACAAGACAGGTTCGTTCTCGTTTTCCGGTTCAAAACGCAAATTTTGGGGGAAAGATCTGATGACCGTCGACAAAGTCCCAGTGACGACGATTTCTTTGCCCTTGGTGACGGATTTCAGTGACAAGGATTTCTCAACGCGCGAGGCGAGCTCGTCGACTTGATTGGCTTTAGCAGACTGGCCTGCTTGTTTCTGGGCTGCCAACGTTTCCTCGCGATTATACGCCTGGTCTACATTGGGATCCTGTAATGGATGAGATTGGTGCATATGGAAAAGACGAGAATGTGAGCACCAGATGGAAAGCCTGGCGATAGGAGCGCAGAGCGTCATCGAGCTCGCCGCGTTGTTCGTGTTGAACAGCTCTGCGGTATAAGTCTAGAGCGGACGCAAGGGTAGCAGGGGCGCTGGTTGGTGGTCCTAGTTGAATTTGTTGAATTCGAGGGGCGTCGTGTTTTTGTAATTCTGCTAGCCATTCTGCTCTAAAACGAGCAAGCTCTTCTGGCTCTTCTTGTTCTGACATTGGAGTTACAAACAGACCCTAACCTATATTGTAATCATTATTTTTGGTACCTCCACGTCTTTACACATTAGCAGCATGGAGAGTAATAAGGACGAGGCTCTCCGCTGCCTCTCTATCGCTCAAAAGCACTACGACTCCGGTAATCTTCAATCAGCACGCAAGTTTTGCCAAAAATCAAAGGCTCTCTTCGAAACTTCCCAGGCCGACAAGTTACTAGCCGCCATCGACAGTGCTGCTGCTTCTTCTTCATCTTCTACTTCCACAGCCAAGTCACAGGCAGAGGAACATCCCTCTGCTGCCGGGATGAAGCACCGCAGTGCTCAGAGTGCAAACACTAATGGAACTGCTGGTGGGATGGGAGGCGAGAAGCGGGAATATACCCACGAGCAACATACGGTAGTCAAGAGGGTACGCGCTTGCAAGGTTACCGAGTACTATGAGATCCTGGCGGTATCGAAGGACTGTGACGAAGCTGATATTAAGAAGGCTTACAGGAAGGTAGGCATGGTTGCCATATCTATGTGCCAGACAGACCACTCAAAATCATTACAGCTGGCACTAGCTCTCCATCCTGATAAGAATGGGGCTCCTGGCGCAGACGAAGCTTTTAAATGTGCGTTAATATTCTTTTCTCCTCTGATGACCGAATATTTAGTGCAGATTTATTTCAGTGGTTTCAAAAGCTTTCCAAGTGCTGTCAGGTACTTCTTGGCGACTCCATTCTATTTATTAAGTCTCTCAGCAGCTTTGCAGATTCACAAAAACGTGCTATATATGACCGTAGTGGGTCTGATCCAGAGGATCGATCTGGTGGCATGCGCTCGAGGTCGTCAGGCTTCGCTACATCACCGTTTGGTAACGGTGATGGCGAATTGAGTCCGGAGGACTTGTTTAATATGTTCTTTGGCGGAGGAGGGGGTGGTGGATTTGGAGGTGGGCCGGCAGGTAGGTGCTTTGACTTTTACATACGACAGGAGCTGACTTGGGTTAGTCTTCACGACGTCATTCGGTAACGGTGGTTTCCGGACGCACACCTTCAGAACCACCCCACGGCAAGCGAACAATCGTGCCGACACAGAACCGCGATCAGTGCTTATCCAACTTCTGCCGTTGCTCCTTCTCTTTGGATTTTCCCTACTCTCCGCCCTTCCAAATCTGTTCTCAACACCGCCCGTGCCGGACCCACGGTTTTCGTTCACGGGTACTCCGAGATACAATGCTAAAATGGAGACGGGAGGTCTTGGGGTTCCGTACTATGTTAACCCTGGCGAATTCTCCTCTCATCCGATGATCGGAGCGGAATTGGCCAAGGACGGTGTGAAGATTGGCAAGGTGGCGGACGAGGGGAAGGGCGGTGACGGTAAGGTTGGTGAAAAAGTGGATGAGGGCAAGAAGAGAGGAAGGGGCAAGAAGAGAGGGTCTGCGCTCGCCAAATTCGAAGATGGTGTGGACCGGATATACACTCAAGACCTGTATGCTCAATGTCAACACGGTGTGAATCGGAAGGAGCGGCTGAAAGAGGCGGAGGTTGGTATCTTTGGTATAGGCACGGACTGGAAAAAAGTAGAAGAGATAGAGAAGGAGGTGGTACCAAGCTGCGAGGAGCTCAGGCGACTAGGTGTCCTTGGTAACTCATGACGTTATTTTATTTCAGCATGCATTGGATTTATCCTTATTATACTTCGCAAACGTGGTTGGAATCTAATTTTTAGAGCTCGGCAGTTGGGATTTTACAAATGCCCCATGGTCTCCTCCTTCTCCCTAAGAGCTCTGTGCCTTGACGCGGTCCCTCTCAAGTTTAATGTAAAAGTTCTCCTGGCGTTCGACTAAAAAAGCAATGATGAAGGACGATACTTGGACGACCTTGTCGATGGCAACTCACGAGCTTTGAGGTGGACTCCATACCTGCCACGGGGTGAGTTTATGAAGAAAGCGGCAAGTACAAAACACTGACCAGTACGCGTATCCTGCGGTGACTCCTAGGCCCATAGCACAGCCAACGTCGAGCCAGAAGCGTTTCCTGAGCTTTCCGGTAATGGGGGCAATCATGGTGTTGTATTGTTGAGGGAAATGTCGGACGTTGGTGGAAACTCACAATGTCACAATCTGTCACAGAGTCACGAGTATCTTCCTGTCGTCCTCGCATCATACACGCCATCCTCATCCCTGTCCACCACGTCCATTCAGTTCTCTGCAATCCGCTGCTGTCAGATAGCCACGAAAATCATCAGAATTCTCGGCTTTCAAATCGCTAAATCACTCAAGCACATAACCCAATCCATTATCTCAACGTGACCAACCACCCAGACTCAATGGAAGATCCTTCGGGCTCAGGAGGATGGCGATTTGCCCAGTGCTTCGGCGACAAGGGCGAAGTTGAAGACATTACAGAAGGTTCGTCCCCGATCTATGTCTCTCGCCACACCCTATCCGATGGTCCCTTTGCACCATCATCTCAGACTTTCAGACTAATTAGTTATTGTGCGATTGTAGCCGACATCATTTCCACCGTCGAATTCGACTCCACAGGCAATTACCTTGCGACTGGAGACAAGGGGGGGCGCGTCGTTCTCTTCGAGCGGAATGAAATGGTTCGTCTTTTTGTTTTCGTGTTGTTCACAATGCCACATCAATCCCATTGATCCATTTTTCGCCCCTTTTGTCTTCCACACACACGTCCTGACTTTCCATCGTGATTCCAGAAAAAGGGCTGCGAGTACAAGTTTTACACTGAATTCCAATCACATGAGCCAGAATTCGATTACCTGAAGTCTCTGGAAATCGAGGAGAAGATAAACAAGATCAAGTGGTGCAGACGGCAGAATGCTGCTCACTTTTTGCTATCAACAAATGGTATCTGTGTCGATATTGTTCTCTTGCGAAGCCGTCTGACCACCGCTTATAGACAAAACAATTAAGCTGTGGAAAGTGTTCGAGAAGTCCCTGCGGGTAGTAACTGAATCAAACCATTTCGATGGCCAGCGTCAATTACCACCACCTTCAGCGCCCAGTCATTTGAGGCTCCCCCGTATGACAGCACAGGACAACATCATAGCAGCTGTTCCCCGGAAAGTCTACTCCAATGCTCATGCATACCACATACACTCCATCTCCGTCAACTCCGACCAGGAAACATACATCTCAGCGGACGATCTGCGGATCAATCTTTGGAACCTCAATATTAGCGACCAGAGCTTTAGTAAGTCACGACCCCACGCCGTGCCGTTATATCAATTGTGTGCTGATGGCTTGCATTTTATCAGATATCGTCGACATTAAACCCGTGAATATGGAGGAATTGACAGAGGTCATCACCGCTACCGAATTCCACCCAACGCAATGCAATCTCTTTATGTATTCGAGCTCAAAAAGCAACATCAAACTCGCAGATATGCGTGACTCGGCGCTCTGTGACCGACATGCCAAATGTGCGTCATGATGATTTCCTATCTAATCCACCCCTTGAATCGATGGATTGCACAGGCTTTGAAGAGGAAGAAGATCCGACAACACGCTCATTCTTTTCAGAAATTATCTCCTCCATCTCGGATGTCAAGTTCAGCCATGACGGTCGCTATATCCTGGCGCGTGACTACCTGTCGTTGAAGATCTGGGATGTCAACATGGAATCACGACCAGTGAAGACGATCCCAATCCACGATCACTTACGCGGTAAGCTATGCGATCTCTACGAAAATGACTGCATTTTCGACAAATTCGAGTGTGTTTGGGGCGGTGACGATAAGTAAGTGGATTTTTTTGTTTCCTTTTTCGCTCTTCGCGGTCACTTCATTTATCTTATCTGAGATCTTGACCTGATTTTGGAACTTCCTTCTTTCAGACATGTGCTGACGGGCTCTTACCACAACTACTTCCGGATATACGATACCGACACTTTAAGTGATGTTGTGCTGCAAGCAGACAAATCCGCATTCAAGGCGAAAAAGATCGGAGGGCCATTACCCGGCGCCAAGGGAGGAGCGAAGAATGGCCCGAGGCCGGGTGGTTTGAGAGATGCGATGCAGCTGGATACCCTTGATTTTAACAAGAAGATCTTGCATGCAAGTTGGCATCCTCGGGAAAACACCATTGCCGTAAGTCTTTGTTTGTTCACAGGGTTATGACGTTGGTTCTCATGCTATTTTTGTTCCAGATTGCTGCTACGAACAATTTGTTCCTCTATAGCGCTGCATAATAGAGTGGATGACCCTGCTATTGTTCTCTTTCACCGTCGTTACCGCCCATTTTCCTTGAACTCACCCTCATCGTACGAACCACTACTCCTAAGAGTGCCTCACTTGAAGGACCGATGGACTGCGAAAGCAATGATCACACCTGCATGGACAGAACCGAGCAAGACAAGCTCGTCACCCTGGCCGCCCAGCCGTACACGTTCTCGTTTTCAGCTTTCTGTTTTTCTTTCTTTCAAGTACATCTACAATCATCAACTTACTCCATTGTTCATAAATCTATACAGCCGTCCCGGCCTCCGTTGTAATTCTTCCTGCGTACAACTTGCTTACGATACCACCTCCTTCCATCCCTCTGCGTCTGTCGTTGTTTGCTATGGTCGATACCATCCTTTCACGTTTCCGTCTTCTTACCTTCTTCTTCCCCCCCTTTTTAGAAATTAAATAAAGATGAGCAAAAGGTGTGTAATTATGTTGTTTGAAGAAAGTCATTTTCGCTGATTCGTCCATAGAAGTACAAGAAGTCTGGCAATATTGAAAGCAAGAAGTAATGTCAAGGTTGAAATAAATGGGTCCCCTACATGTATTATACTTCCCCTCACAAAATATCTTTTACTTCATGAAATGTCAGTCGAGTGAAGTGTTTGCTTCCCAAGTCAGTGTATGATGAAGGGCACCGCCACGCCCTTTCACTTCAACGAAGTACACCTCAAGATCACCAATTACACCAATGGATCAAGCAAGTCCAAATGTCATCATATTTATCAAATTCTCATCTCTTCTAGGATTCTTTTCGCCGTCTATTGGAAACACCTGGAGGGGCCTCAAGCAGCCTTAGTTCTCGAAGCTCACTTCTCGCTCAGGCAGCAGGTACCAAGCCGTGCGTTCATCACTCTCCAAGTCGTTTCTCGGCCTCATATTTGCTCAAGGAAGACTATAGACGCCTCTAAGCCCGCATTCAAACCTAGGAAGGTCAAGAAACAGTCAGACGCCAAATACCGTGACCGTGCCGCGGAACGTCGCGGTGGTGAAGGAAATGATTATGCACAGGCAAATTTTCTTTCGTTCCCCTTTACATGGTATAATACTTATTGATAATTTAGATTGAGGCAGTGTTGGAAGACTTTGAGAAGCGGGCGGCGGACGCTGAAGACAAGGATGAGGTGTGGACTTTATACTTATGACATATCGCCATCTCATCCCAGTTTACGTAGGTTGAGGCTCAGAGGCAGTACCTTGGGGGAGACGGGGACCACACAATTTTAGTGAAGGGTCTTGACTTCGCGCTTCTGGAACAGAACAAGGCAAGGTCGTTGAATTCAGCGGAGGATGACGAGACATTGGAAGAGGCCTTTTTGGCGGCATCCTCAGGAGCGCCTTCTACCGTTCCGAAGAAACGTACTAGGGAGGATATTATACGAGAGCTGAAGGAAAAGAGGGGATCAAAACCAACGGAAGACGCCAGTTCGTCAAAACCGGCCGAAGAGGAGAGTCGATTGTTGGAGGAGGCGAAGCAGAAGGGGAAGTTTAAACCCATTGGTTTTAAACCGATTGGTGATGGAGATCCCAAAAAGAAGAAGAAGAAGAAAGTGGAAACGGAGGGAAAAGATGGCGAACGGAAGAAGAAGAAACGGAAAGTGGAGGACGGGTCGAAAGCCGTCAATGGCACAGGTGTAGACGCGACCGAGAAAGGTTCTATGCTCCCCCCACCGGTGCCGTCGAAAGCACTCGAAACGTTGCCTCCCGCCGTACCCGAGCCTGAACCTCTTGAGGAAGATTTCAACATTTTTGCCGATGTCGGCGAATACGAGGGCATTGGTCTTGAGTCTGACGATGACGACGACGATGACAATCCAAAGAAATCGAACGACGTGGATACACCTCAAGAAGCTGAAGTTCCCAATATGCACCGTAGGTGGATAGGAACCGACGAGCCAGAACCTACGCCCTCCACGAATCCCCCGGAGTCACTACAACAGAACCCAACTGAACCGCCGACGTCTCATTCCTTGCCACCTGAGGGTGAAGAGGAAGAACAACAACCGACACGCCTCGTTCCGTTAGCAAGCTCCGCATTGCCGTCAATCAAGGAGTTCTTGGCTATGGAAAAGGCTGCTGGCTCATATGGTAAGAAGAAAAAGGGGAAGGATAAAAAGAAGTCTGGCGGAACGGATGAAGATGGGGGCAGTGACAAGTCTAAAAAGTTGAACGCAGAGGCAAAGGCAGAGCGCGATTACAAGCGGTCAGTGACATTTAGTTTACTTTCGGCGCTGACTTCTGACAGCTCAAGTAGATTGAAGTCATACACCGACAAAAAGGCAGGTGACTCTGCCGCCAAGTAACCTTCGTTCGAATGGTATTCAGCCTATTATCATCTCATCATGCCATTCCAATGGCTTCTGACAATCAAATATACCAAAAATATACCCTCTGAAGTATGATATACGGAATGCGATCCATCCCATCCAACCCGATGCTTAACCCGACGAGATTGGATGGCCACCGAGAAGCTTATTGATGGTGTTGCTTCGTAACGGAGTGTCAGCAAATAGTGCGCGGACGAGCCGGACTAATTCGTCGACCTCGAAGTCAACCAACGCGCCCTGCTCAAACAGGTATGTGATATCGGCCAGAGAAGCTTCCTATCCTAGCTGTCAGCCCGTGTCCAGTGAAAAAGAAAACGAGCATAAGCACCAGAAGCTCTGAGAGGTAGGAAAACTTGAGCCACGACGGGACGTATGCAACAACAAATGATGGCTGAAGGGGTGGTTCGTTAGCCACGTAAAGGCACTGAAACGATTTTAGCCACAAACCTGAGTGGGATCTTCACTGAAAATTCCCTCTAGGGAATTCAATATTCGGCACAGTTCGCTCAATCGGTGCGATTCCACTTCAGGAATATCTGGCAGTGCTATTATATCTCGAAGGACACGAGACAGGGCTGCATCCGTCACTAAACCCAAAGCAATGTAGAATTTGCTCTGAGGAAGGACGCGCTGTGAACGTCAATTAGTCGATGCATTATGTTTTTGAAACTAACAGGGAAAAACCTGTAGCTTTGACGCGAGTTGCTTGACATTTCTCAGGGTGTCATTAACAGCGGTTTCGCATTCATCGTATCGATCTTGTTCACCAGTATAGGCAAATGCCTGGGCGCCTTTCACCAAGACCTCATCAAGAGCCTGACAGTGCCGGTTCTCAGAGAACGTCGAGGTCAGAGGAAGTACTGCAGACCTAGGGAGGACAAAACTCACGATAGTGTCATAAAACCAGCTGTCGCTTATGACCTTCAGATGCCGACTACATTCGTTTAACCGCTCCATCAGCAAGGGTTGGCCAATTGCCTCCTTTTCAAGCTTCCCAATTTGCTCGCTCAGGTAAAAGCAGTCGTTCGAATACCGCATGCTACGCTCGGGGGACTCAACCTCTTTCCTGAACTTAACGGGATACAATGCTTGATACAGTTCCAATATTGATGATGCCGACTGGAAGAGTATCGTGCCTGGCGGCGAGGAACCCTGCGACGTGGAGAAGAGGCTCGAAGCAGCGAACTGTTTGCCCTCATTTATCACATCCTCTACCCTCCGAACAAGTCGCTTTAAACGGCCGGAAACGATGTATGTTTCTTTGGGTATTGGGGGTTTTGCATGGTTGGGTGTTTGATGTTTCGGTGCAACGTGTGGCGTAGGGGGTTTAACAGATTTTTGGAGTTCTGAGGTTGGAGGGACGGCGTGCTGGGGAGGAGGTAGTGTTGAAGATGGCATCGGTGGTGATTTTGTAAAGGAATTCCCGTTGAGAGGTTTCTTGTGCTTAGCGGCTTGCTTCTCCAAGCGCGTAGCAGCCTTAGGTGGGGCGGACACAGGTTTAGGTGGATCGGGGAGCGTACTAGATTCTGGGGGGTCAGACCATGGATCCCATACATACTCTTCTTCAGGAGGGAGAGATTCCTCGTCGTTCCAACCCCATGCATCTGCAGGATCTGACTCCTCGTCACCATTCATGTGTCCCGTTTCTGCTGGGAGTGCGTCGGGTATTGGCAGTAGCTCTGAGTTGGCTGACTCCTCTACATCTGGCTCAACGTCGTCGTCAAAACCCCAGCCATTTTCAACATCATTTGAAGCACCAGTTCCTTCCGGCCCCACCGACTCTTCATCCTCGAAACCCCACGCGTCCTGTTCAAAATCTCCGTCGGGTTGGTTTACGATTGGAGGAGGTGACTCTGGAACGAGAGCAATCTCTGCCTGAAACGTGTCAGTAAGATCTATAGGGTCAATAGCCATTGATCGGGCGCTCTCCAAAATTTCAACCCGTCGGTGTCGTTCGTAATGACCACACACCCCATCAGACCATGTTTTGATTGCTCGGTCATGTCTGTCGCCTTGAAGAAGGCCAACTATGAATTTGTCCTCAAACGCGACTGCATGTTTTAGAAGTTCCAGAAAAGAAGGTAGTAGTCCAAACGAAGAGGGGAGAGATGAGATGATTAGGTGGTCGAGGATGCTTCGTGTGACGGGTTTGCACAAGGAAAGTAGAAATTGCGGTGATTGTGAGATGGGGAGATGTGGTAGTACATGTGACGATAAAAAGTCAAAGACTGTGGATAGGTTTTCGAGACGTGTCGACCGCCGTTCAGGGGCAGGTATCAATGTGACCTTCTGTTCCGTGGGGCTGGAATGGAGAGAGATGCCACAAGGTTGTTGAAGAACGTGATCGACAAAATGCGTAATTAGATCGCGCCTCAAAGTCGTCAGATGGTTTGATAGCGAAGACGTCGATTGTGAGGCGAGGATGGAAGAAAGCGACAGCAATGTATCAGATTGGCGCACTAATTTCATGCATTGGTCGAATGGAGCAGCATAGAAACAATATAACCAAACCTTGTATCGGTGAAGTCACAGTTATTGACATAGGAAGAACAATCACACTCCTAGAGTACGCGTCGCTAAGCTGCTCCTCAATGCGAGACCTCGCAGCAGCAAATTTCCGCTGGAACACACCGACTAAGCCAAGGGCGAGAGATACAAGAAACGGGTCACGCACCTTTACATCTTCCATCACAGCAGCCTTCTTTAACGATCCAGGAGCTCCTTCAATTAACTTCTGCAACCCTTCGCAGCCTGCAACGGCATCGGGCAGCTTTCCTAAGTGGGTCAAAGACGTGACGGTGGTGTATCCATTTCGGCATTCAAGAGCGTGATAAAGGGCTTCGTAAGTCACTCCTGCATTGGCTGTTTCCTGCGCCAACGCAGAATGTTTTGTTAAGGTGGTCATTAGATTTGGTATGAGCCCGCTCTAAGAAAGAAATTAAAACGAGAGACATGTCTGCAATGGTACGAAGAACACCTCAGAATTTGTAAGGACATCATTGAGAGTATCAACGCTGTCCGTGAGGTGTTGCAACCGTGAAACGATGGACTGTGAGGATTGGAGCTGGTGTTTGAATTTTGGCAAGTCGGATTGTATCCTGTCATGAATACGCTCCTACAAGTTATTAAGAGCGACGGTGAGGTTCAAGTTTACTCTCTCTTCACAAGCCCACGGACCTTGGTAGAAGTAATAGTCTCGTCGAGTTCGGCCAGCCATGACGCCGCTAAGGTGGAATTCAAGGTCTTCGAGGTCGCCGCATCAATTTTTGACAGAATACTTGATGATATATCCTGTGGGATTGCCCTCCTTGGAAGATGGTCGGGTATAGGAAATGCCATTGCTGCCGCCTCCGTTGAGGGTGACTGCTCTGTCAAGGTATGTGCGCTAAGACGGTAGGATGACCACGTGGACGCGCGTGGTGACGTTTGTTGCAGTTCCTTGCTTGTTGCCTACCCCTTGAAGTTGCCTACCCATTGAAGTTGTTGGTCAGCTGAAATGCTAGGTCGCATTCTCCTGCTATTCTCCACGTTTGCCGTCTTTCACGGTGAGATACAATCAATATTTGCAGATGTCAAGCCGTCCATTTAACGCACTCTACCTGGCTAGCCGCATTTTCGACTTATGAACGTCCGTTTCTTACTACCTACTGCCAACGGAAGTCATAAACTAACGTTGTATCAATGCGTTAGACCTTTCACACCTGAAAGCCCTTGAACGGCCAGAAGGACCCATCCCCAGCGATGTATGTCCCATCTGACTCCACCATATTAGCAACTAAAATGGCTGCGCAGATCATCCTTGAGACCTTGTTGGCCGTGGTGTTGGGAATCATTGGAGCATCATTGAATGCACCAAAGTTAAAGGAAATAACTTGGGCGAGTGAAATGCGAAAACAGTGGGTTTCTTGATTAGCTCATATATCCAGCTCATGAGCCATTCAGTAAAATCGACGAGATGGACTCGAGGCTTGGTTTTGCAAACTATGTCTCCCGAGGAAAGATATTGTTCACGTCCTCCGTGGGCAACCGAAAACAAATAGAATGATTCGTTCGTATCGCCTCCCGCAAGTGACCTTCGTCATGTAAGCAAGACTTCGTATCTGAAGCCCTCTCCTGGCTTCTGGATAAAGTGACTGCGTCTTTCGTTCTGCTCTCAAATTCTTCTGCTTGCAAGACTATGCCAGACCTACCTGCCTTCACTGCTTAGCAGACAGCAGTCCGCCGCCGTCTCTTTCGCATATGATGATTCAAAAACGACTTCTCCAAGAGGCTCAAACTCCTGTGCATCCTAGATTTCCCCCGTCTCTACGAAGTGCTACAGCTCTCGTTATGAATCTGGACTCTCGGTGGATCATCATCCATCGCAAAAATATTTTTGCAGTATGTGAGCACTCATTCTACGACCGCAGAACTTGAGCAATTTAAATATATGTTGCCGCAAATTGCCCAAAGAGAGCTTTCCGTAAATACTTACTTTAAGGCACCAATGTGTCCAGTAGAGTTAGGACAACTCTAATAAGCTCTTTACCATAATTATATAAGCTCCTCTCAACCTGTCATGTTTATCAACCGCTTTTGGAGGATATGCTGTATCGATTCATCTCACCCTGGGCTAACATTGACAATTTTCCAAGCAGGGTGAGACCCCGAAACGTGTACTGTGGGTGTTGTTTGGATTTGGTGATTCTCGCCTCTGCTTCGCCCACCCGTTGGATCTGGATCAGGCCTCTGCATCCCTTCTGGCCTTCATCTCGTGCATCCGCATCATGAAGAACACAACGCGCATAGGAATTGTCCTGGGAATCAGCGTCCTTTTCTTTGCTGCGGAAATAGCAGGCAGGCAACCTTGCATCGAGTGGCTCTTCATACTTAACGAAGGTTTTATACAGTTGGCTTTCGCACGAAGAGTTTAGCATTAATTGCGGATGCGGTGCGTCGAGCTACGCCACGTTGATTCACCCCCACTTCACAACTTTACAGTTCCATTACCTTAATGTGAGCCACGATCATATGAAAGGTTGTTTTGTTATTTTCGGCCGTTGACGTCACCCTTCCGCAGGATATTGTCGCGTAGTGAGTCTTCATCTTTCGAAATGTAAACCAGAACTTAAGGTCGTGCTAGTGCAATTGCTTTTGTCGCTGCATATGTATGCACATTCTATCAGCCCTCTCATAAACTTTTTTGCTTAATGAATCTGTTCTGGTTTAGCTGCAGGAAAATCGTCAACATGTATGTTCGACTCTCCAATGACTTTGTTTCATTCCGAAAAAACTCCTGCGCAGACCCACAAGTTCACATACGCTTTCCATCGTGCCGAACTTGTGGGTAAGAACAAAATTCTACTGACATTGACAATGAGACTGACTGTTTTGGTGACGCAATAGGTGCCTTTTTCAATGGCGTCTTCCTTCTGGCACTGGCACTCTCAATATTTCTTCAATCTGTCGAGCGTTTCGTCCACGTAGAAAAGATCACCTCGCCAAAGCTGGTACTAGTGATCGGCTGCGTTGGTCTAGGCCTCAATATCTTGTCTGCAATTGTTGTCCACGGTGAATTTCACGATGCTACAATAGTTTCTCAAAGCTGATTGAGTATCGTCCATTCTAGATCATCATGGCCATAGCCATGGGCACACTTCGGAAGCCATCGAGTTGATAGAGGAGAATCCCTTACCTGATCATATCGTAGGACTTCTCCGCTTTGTTGGAAAAAACGAGTAAACTGACTTTTTTTCGCAGCATGCGACTCACAATCACACTATCGACCCACCAGGTAGTGCTCCACAACATAACCTAGGCTTGGTTGGTGTATTGGTCCATTTGATAGGTGACGCGGTCAATAGTACGTGTGCTGTCCAGCCCTATGTTTTTCTGAACACTCAAAAGGTTTACCTAGATATTGGCGTTATCATCGCATCTCTCATATTGTGGAAGCTCGACTCACCAAATCGCTTCTATGCCGATCCAGCCGCCTCTATTGCGATCAGCTTAATCATATTTGGGAGCGCCATTCCGATGAGTAGGTCAGAATATAACCTCCCCAAAATCTTATTCATAGTTCTCCCAAGCTCTTAAGTCAGGCCGAATTCTTCTAGAGGCAGCACCATTGCATCTCGATTTGGCAAAAGTAAAAGAGGATCTCATAGCTGCGAGTCTCACTTCCTTCCCATGCTCTCCTCCCCTCTCGCTAATTTGAAAATTCGACAGATTCCTGGCGTTCTTTCGGTTCATGATATTCACGTATGGCATCTTTCACAATCGTAAGCTCCGCAATATGTTGTATTCTGACCTTTCATGCTAATTTGTTTCCGACCAGGGTGATACTTGCGTCCCTTCACGTCTGTGTGCCTGTCGGAACATCGCTTGAACAATGGGAAAAAACGGAACAGATCCTGCAACATTGTTTCGCGGAGTACGGAATTCGCCATGTCACAATATCCCCCGAGATCCACAGGGATGCCCTATCTATTCATCCAAGCGAAGAGACAATTGGAGGATGTAGGTTACCTTCCCATGACGACTTTGGTTGTGCGGTTAGCGACTTGAAGAAACGGAAAACTGGTGTAGCGTGAGCGCGAATTTTACCCAGTGTGCATGTCCATAACAACGTTCATACATACTGAGGCGTTTTCGAAGTTTTTGAAAGTGACTGATTCGTCGGGGTCCGTGTTAAAACTCATACAGCACACTCAATTATGGTTACCGTAATTTAGGGTCATCTTCAAAAAAAGGGTGATTGCCAGAACCCAGAAACTGGACCATAACCAACAGGAAATTAAAGATCGAGTAGTAGTCAAGGGCATGGAATGGAAGGCGTCCTTGGATATCAATCATGTGGACTCCAACAACAACAAAAGCATCAGCGCTGGCCGCGCATTCACTCGGATGTTTAAACAAATTGAAAAGGTTTACAAGCGGCTATCGTGGGTAGCGAAAGCAGGGTTTTGTGTCCAGGAAACTTGCGGATTAAGAGTGAAAGTGAGAGAATTGGGTTCTGGCGTGCACAAAGAAACTCAACGCGACAGCAGTGAACACATGGCTCACTTCATAAATCTGGCCCAAGTTCGGGACAGGTGGAGTTGTCTGAATGGAAGTTCGTCGGGAAGCGTTCCGTTCCGAGGGCGACATGATAGGGTCCATGTATTTTCGTTCGGATTGTAGACAATAATATCGGGACGCACAAAAGCACAGGCTTGGAGCGAGCCGAACTGCGCAATATCTCCACATTGGAGCGCGCCTCGCTTGACAACGAGATCCAGGCAACATCACAAGAATGAAGCGGAGAGATGGGATTATTGGATGGGATGATTTAATGAAACGTCGAGTTGACGAGCCAAATGGTTCCATGTTCCTCGAGTGATTCCTCAGAATGGTAATGTAATAGGGTCTGTTGATTCGCCATCCTCCTGGTCCCATTTGCTTGTACACGGAAGCCATCTTCCTCCGTGTTTTTATCCACTCGGCTCGGATATATCTAGAGTAACCGGAAGACGCGCAGTGACCGAACTGGTTGACTTGAGCTAAAAACAAACAATCGGGTCGGATTAGGCGACGGAATCCCCGTAAATGCCTAACGAAGGGTAATCCACCATCGAGAGCCGTCGATTCGAGTCGATATGGATAATTTGGGAAGAAATCTTCCAAGATTTTGTTCAGTGGCTATGCTTGCCCCTGGCCAAAAAAAAAAAAGACTACGCCGCTAGCAGCAAATATGTTATTTTGTCGAAAGTGAACGCTCTGTATGTCCTCATTGCCAGGCGGATCGGTTACCAAAGATGAAAAATGGCTCTTCAAGCAGGAACACAGCCTGGAATTTGAAAGAGCCATGCCATGGACGAACATTGGAGCCCACGTGTCTAAGGAGAGCCATTTGTGGCATGGATACGACAAGCTGGGGAAGGTACCCAGGTAGGGAGAAAAGCTGTGAGGGCCATGGCGAAGCAGTACCATTGTATTCGACCTCGAGGCAGCTTGGTCAACGCAACGTGCTGCCTACGTCATACCAATATCTGGTGGACTACACGAGGCGTCGCGGACCCCAATGTGTTGCGAAGCAAAGGCGGTGGTCCATAGCATGAAATTTATGTCGTCTTGAAAACGTGTTGTACTGAATTTCAAAGAAGTGAGCGACAAATGGAGGAAATATACGCGTACTATTGCACAATCTCTATTTTATGAGGGTACTCGATCTCGGATGTTTTCCCTATCCACCACGGGCAGACTCGGTGGAGTCACAGCAATAGTTTTTGACTCTAGGGTTCTACAAGGTTCTTGGGGTTGCTGCGGTGGTGAGCGCTGCCCGCTTGAACCGGGAAAATACATTGCGAGCAAGGCTAGAAGGAGCAGAAACGGTCGCACGAGGAGCTGAGCAAGCAAATTGCGGCCATGAGCATATGGACGTTACGCGACGGGATGTCGTAAAACGACGGTAAACGACGGTAGGCCACCAAGGGGACCACAAATGAACGGCGGATGGAAACCTTTGGAAATGGCTGGAGTTCGGTTCGGATATTCGACTTGCGGAGCACAGCAGTAATTTTATAAAATACTTCCCTAATGCGGAAATACCTGTCCTAAAGTAGCCAAGATTGTGAGGAAAATGGAACCGGGCTGTGTGGCCGATCACTCAGGCAGCTCCGATCTTTCTTCCGTCGCTCATTCTACTTTCCGAGCTACTGTGGCATACTATATAATGCCCTCCTCTCCATTCTTCACCTTCCCCATTGATCCGCTTAAGCGCCTGAACCACTCCTTCTACCGGGTTTCCTCACCCAAGGTTGGCGATGATCGCCGAAAGTTCAAGAGGAAGCTCAAGTGGACCGTCGAGAACGACGAAGCCGTTGAAGAGGGGGAGGGCGTGCATGAACTGCAGGTACGTTTTGCTCATTGTCTACATTTCTCTTTCCGTAGCTGACGCGTCGCTCAAGGTTCCTTAAGATTGTGAGTCAGGTTCCTGCACGGTCATCTAAGTTTACAAACTCTTCTACTGTAGAAATGCGATGGAGTCAAGCCAATATGTGGCCCGTGCCGCAGACACCCCAAGGACGACGAGTGCGAGTACTCTGACGGCCCTGGACGCTCTAGAACCAAAGTCTTGGAGGACACGGTGACGCGTCTTGAGGCGCGACTTCAAGAGCTCGAGAACCCAGAGGCCACCACGCCGTCTGTCACCCTTCACGACCCATATAACCACTTTCGAGACCCGCAACGACCTTCCAAGTCACCGCCCTTGTTTATACCAGAAACTATTCCATTTGGTCCTCTATCACCATTTTCTCCGACGTCAACGTCGTCGAGTCTCCCTTCTGGTAGGCACTGGAACACATTCTCAGCTCTCGAGGCGATGACTGAATCAACAGGGTCGAGCGGGTCATCTACATCACCGGCTCGACGTTTTGCCTCCTCTCCATTCTTGGGTGCAGAAGTAAGTTGTCACCGCTGTTTTACTAGCAAACGTGTGCTAAGTCTCTTCCAAGGAACCTTCTTTCTTACTAATTCAGAACTTGTAAGTCAATTCAGCTTGTTATGCGACCTTTTTAATCCTCTTCCGCTATAGGCTCGACAAATTTTTACCTCATGCTGCTGAATTTGGTTTCTTCCTTCACGTCCCAACATTCCGTGCCTCCACTCTCCTTTCATTTCCCTTTGGTCATCCTTCTCGCCCTTCTCCTGCCCTCCTTAGTGTTGTCTATCTCTGGGGCGTGCACTTCTCTCAGTCAGAGGCTCTTCTGTTGCAAGAACATGCATTTCTCAGCCGTGCTGTTGGCCACATCGCGACAGACATGCTTGGGACACACCCCAAGAGGGTTATTCACACGTTACAGGCTGAAATTCTTTTGGCCTACTACTTCTTCCGCACTGGCAGATTCCTCGAGGCGAAATGGCGCACAGGTGCTGCCGTTTCCCTCGCCCTAGGCTCAGGGCTTCATAAAATTCGTTCCTCAAACCTTTCGGCGCCCTCTACGATAGGTCTCATACAGGAGGCGGCTGTTTCTCTTCATGAACCACAAGATAATTTGGAAGAAGGCGAAAGGATAAATGGCTTTTGGACCGTTTTCGTGCTCCACAAAGTAATAACGGTCTCCTTGGAGCTTCCTTCAAACGTGTGTGGCGCACTTGAAGCACCCGGTATGCAAATTGATACACCCTGGCCTCTGGATGTTTCAAATTACAGCGACGTTAGTGGTACTCAATTGATTTATATCTGACGCGTACTCATCGCCATCCAGGGTTTACTAAATCCCGAGCTGCGCGGAAGTTCTACTATTAGAAACTTTTTGGGTAACTTCCCCGTTGATCCGCGCGCCGGAGACTCGACAACAGCTATGGCAGTGAAAGCCTCAGTGCTATTCCACAGAGCCGCCCACTTGACTGGCCAATGGACGCCTAGTATGCTGTCCTCCCGCATTGCCTCCTCTCCTTCTGACGTTTCATGTATCAGATATGCAACAGCGCGAGTTTCAAGCTTTTGCTGCCGCTTTCCAATCCGTCAATCGCCTCATTGAGTCATTTCGAAGCCTGTTGCCTCCCCTCTCGCACGTCGAGGTCACCGACCCTACTATCCGCACCCTGCTGATGACGCATGCCCTTGCCAACGCGGCCACAATAAAGCTACATGGCATATTTTCATACGCTGATACATCCTCCAAGCAAAATTGCTTGATGGCGGCACGAAATATGGTCAGCCTTGGTGGTGTCAATCTTCAGGAAATCGGACACATGAACCCAATCATGGGGGTAGGTTCCACCGTTTTTAAAAATTCATTCGTGAACTGATTGTTGTTTTAGACTCTTTGGATGATTGCATGTCATGTGTTCATCGACGAGATCTCGCGCGTGCGGTTGATCAACTCTTCATGGCCCCCACCCCCGGGGTCTGAAACCAGCGAAGAGGAACTCATGGAGAGTTTACGAAGTGGTCTGACGGCTCTGAGTCTATATTCCGAGGACAGCGCTTTGATGCGTGAGTTTTATATTTGTGAAGTGTTATTTACCATCCCAACTCTGGTGAATTCAGGATATCAACTTACCAAGGTTCAAGAAGCCTTTTCGGCCATCTGAACTTTTTAATCGAACTTCTCTTTCATTCCTTTTTTTTTCTAATTCTGGACCACGTTCTCATGGATGAACTCGACGACCTACAATTCTCGCTCATTTTTCTCTCATACCATACCCTGCACAGCACGATATACCTCCCACAACATCTGTGACACCGTCAAAACTCCTTCACTGTACCACCCATCCTACCGTCATGTACCACGTCTCCTCCCGTCTTGTACCAACTCTCCATCCCACATTCGATCTTCCCCGTAATACCCTCTGTTGTAACCTGCTACTCATTCATTTTTCGACTTGTTTTCCCCGTAGCATCATAGACTCGCACCACACTCAATTTCTGTATTTATAGTCAAGACACTTGACCGCGACGTGCTCAGCACTCGTGCGTTTGTATTTATAACCTTGTACGCGTACTCTCCCATGTATCGATACCTCTGTTTCTCGAACTCTTGATCGACATTGAACTGTCAACCAACTAGCTAGTTGATACGTCGTTGAGTGTCGTGCGTATACACCTGCAATGCCTTGGTGCTCGCCTTCACATCTTAGTTTGGCCTCGGAAGATCAGGTGTTCACTAATGAACAACTTGTCAAAGAATGTATTTCTACTTCATCACATCGGGGCCTTCCGCTAACTTCGGACACCCAAAGGTAGCTTTCGCTTTCCAGAAGTTTATGAAAAACGTTATGTACCTGTCCAAGCTCGATCATGCATATGATCATGATCGATTCAAGTTCTGATGAAAAGCGATCATAAGTACTACACGAAGACAGACGCATCCACATTTGTCGAAAAGCAGATCTATATCCAAATCCGGTATGAAGGGAGGGGCCCAGGAAGTGGTTCCAATATTCCGGATGCGAGGAACAATGCTTCACGTTGCTTCACCAAGCTCCATACAACATCGGGGAAGTACCAGATACTCGCGAATGACCGACGCTGGGAATTCATTTGAGGGCTTTCACGGGAAGCATCGATTGCTGCCAGGATCGTAAATCGCAACCTGGTTAGAGATGATTCAGGCAGATTTTGTTGATAATTCGATGGCGATTTTGAAAGCGCCCAACAATGCTGTCAATTGCATTTTTTCGCTACCGCCCGTCGAAAGGCGGTGCCTACGATTCCGTGTCAAAAGATTCCTTTTTGTCTTTGAGGTAAAGTGGCACGTACTCTGTGGTGGCTAGATGATCAAGCAGGTATATTCTAGCGTGAGGTTTTATATCAATGGTTTCCAGGTATTCGTATGCGCCAGTCAGGAGATCTTGTAAAGCAAGCCCCCTTTCAGTTTTCATCTTGGATGTCACTTGTCACTATAATTAAACAAAAAAAAATCGATGAAAAGAATAGAAAAACGCACTCTGGTATGACGCAGTGAATTCATCCGCCAACATTGAATTGACGATGGCTTCAATATCTGAGGGGTGAGGATTACCAGTACAATTGTAAATCTCGGTTTCTCCAATGGTATCATACGCAGCATGACATGCTTGAAGAACGTTGAGTGCTCGTCTCATGTCACCGCGAGACAGTTTGAGTAAAGCCTTCTTCCCATCGTCGGTTAATGACACCCTGAGATGGGGTGAATACACTAATTAAGCCTAAGATCCAGAGTAGCACATACTGCTCAGCTTCCACAACAGTCTTTACCCGCTTCTCAACTTCAATGGCCGGAAGAGGCGAGAACCTGAAGCGCGTGCAGCGACTTTGAATAGCTGGTGTAATCTTGTTTACGTAGTTGCAAATTATGCAAAAGCGGACATTCTTGGTATATTGTTCAATGACGCGACGAAGAGCGGCCTGAGCTTGCTGCGTCATCATGTCGGCTTCGTCGAGAATGATGAGCTTGAAGCCTTTGGCGAATAATGTGCGTGTTTCTGCAAACTGTTTCACTTGTTCGCGGACAACATCAATTCCACGTTCATCAGACGCGTTCAACTGTCGCGGTACGAGAGTTTAGTGAGGAGCAACCCATGAAGAAGGAGACGTACCTCCAGAATCTGTTTACGGTACTGTGCCCCATAGATGCGCCTCGCCACCGCTAGGATCGTTGATGTTTTCCCTGTTCCCGGGGGTCCGTAAAACAGCAGATGCGGTAGCCTATTCTTCTCGATAAATCGTTCGACTAATTGTCAAGTGATGAGTTTCATGGTCAACGTGAAAAGACAAACTCGTCACTCGTGTTTGTGATGTCTTTATGCGATACGACATCGTCCAGTGTCACAGGCCTGTACTTCTCCACCCTAAAAGAGCGTTGAATATTACCATGACTGTAAGTGTGGGCACTCACCATGGGAGATTATCGTTGTCTGCTGGAAGGACCTGGTCCGTCATCTTTGCCTTCCCTTTGCCTTTGTCTGAGACCTGAAAGATCTCTGCATCTAACATCTCCTCATCACTGTCCATATTGAGCTTCGCGTCGAGTAAGTATCGCGTCAGATGGGAATTGCTTGGGATCAAGACCTATCAAGACGCGTCTGAATTGTTTGGTAGTGCTTGCCAATGCCTTCGATCAAACTCTAATCTACGAGCGCACGGGCCATACACAGATGACAAAGCAGGTGTTTTATAATTTGCATCTGTAACTTTTCTGCTCTTTTACCAGAACGGCTCTTGCTTTTGTCAAAGACTCCATCGTTTACATCGTTGGACAGACGGAAGCGTCCGCATCAAGATGCAAATTTTCGTAAAGACGTGAGATACTCCGTTGCTCCCTTTTTATTGCTGACTCTCATTGCGCCGACCAGCCTCACGGGCAAAACCATCACCCTCGAGGTTGAGTCTTCGGACACTATCGACAATGTCAAGGCCAAAATCCAAGACAAGGAGGGGTAAGATACACTTCGTCTTTTGCAGAATAAAGGCTGAACATCGCTCCAGCATTCCCCCCGACCAGCAACGCTTGATCTTTGCAGGAAAACAGCTCGAGGATGGTCGCACCCTCAGTGACTACAACATTCAGAAGGAGTCCACTCTCCATCTGGTGCTTCGTCTCCGTGGTGGTGCCAAGAAGCGCAAGAAGAAGACCTACAACGTTGGTCACTTTTCAAGTCCTGCTATTCTGTGTCTAACTTTGATCAACTTTATAGACCCCCAAGAAGATCAAGCACAAGCGCAAAAAGGTCAAGATGTCTATCTTGAAATATTACAAGGTGGACTCCGATGGCAAGATCAAGCGTCTCCGTCGTGAATGTCCCAGTGCTGAATGTGGCGCTGGAATCTTCGTAAGTTCTGACGATCAACCTGGTGAATAATCAATTCATGACTCGCTCTTAGATGGCCTTCCATAAGGATCGTCAGTATTGCGGCAAGTGTGGGTTGACGTACACTTTCACCCCCGGCACCAAGCCTCCCGTTGTGTAAGCCATAGTACGACAACAGGTGTTGGAGACTGGAAGTTGTGTACTTACTGTATATGATGTTGTATCTCTGCGACAATCCCAGTTGACTGCCATTTGAACGATTTCTCCAGTTTGCATGTCCATACTTGAACGATGGGTCACTTGCGAGTCAGATTCGAGGATAGAATATACCGACGACATTCTGTATTTATGATTCTATGAACGATGTATAAAGCTCCAATCTAAATGGCATCTAAAAGCTGTTCTAAATGCTTTTCTAAATCTAAAAATCTAAACGTGGTCAGGCCTCTATAGGTATGGAAGTGAACGTAAAGGGTCGTCTAAAAGTTATGAAGGAAATAAGATTGCGCATAAGTTAACACTCGATTGAAGGGGCTCGCAGCCTTTCTAGTGCTTCCCGAGTGTGGATCCATGCTTCGTCTTGCTCACAAGGCCCGACCACCTCTGTCAGCTGGGGAAACAACCGGTGGAAATAACTGGCCATCTCCACGGGATCTGGTAAGGAGGGGTGACCGATCCTCAAGGTTCGCAGGTTGTTAGTAGAGCAGAGGTTTGGGAGGTCGTCGGCGCTGTCCTCTGGTCCACTTTTGTGCGGGTCTAAAGGCAATGAAAGTGTTCTCAGTTTCTTGGAGTGGCGAGCAAAGCTGGCCAGAGATCTAATGGTCATCTGTGAGGTTGGCGGTGGGTGGACTGGTTGTACTTGCGGCGCGGAGCCTAGCTCAAGATGTTCGATGTTAGGCCACCAACAAACCAAGTCCTCAACGTCCTTGTCGGATATTGCGGGTGGCAGAGTCAGGTCGAGGGTGAATCGACGGACATGTCTAAGGTCGCGAAGTAAACGCAGAGTACTGAAAGGCAGGTTTTCCTTTTGACTCTCCGAGGCTGAAGTAGCGGGGTCTCCATTGGACTCTATATCTTGTTCTAGCATTTCGAAATGATGCTCTAAGGTTATTTCTTCTAGGGTGTTGGAAGCCTTGTGGGCTATGAGAGTGAAGCAGCCGTCCCAGGAAGGTCCTGGTTCAGGATCCTCGGCTTCTAAGCGAATATACTGAAGGGTATCTGGTGAAATGTTTTGCAATATGAACTCTATGATGGGTATATGGGCGTTGATGTCTAGTTTGCGCAACGCCGGGAAAGTGTCAACGGTTCCTGTGTGAAAAACATTATCTAGGTCGTCTCGTACGAGGTGTCGAGCGTGGATCTCAAGTCCTTGAAGATTCGGAAATGACATGACGGTTTTGATGGTTTCGGGCATCAAGGATTTGCCTAAGCGCAAAGAGAGAGCTTCCAATCTTGACATTGAAGAAACCAGGGCATGGAAGCGGCTTGAGGCCAAGCCTCGAACATGGAGTTTGCGAAGATCCACAGAGCGTCTGATAACATCATTGAGGCACTCGTAGATATGATCGTCCAAAAGGGGTGATTTTGTCTTGAAACCAAAGTCGAGATCTAATTCGCGAAGCTTTTCACAGTAGATAAGTGTTTCGACAAGAGCAGGAGAGGTCGTAGAAGACACTCGTGCTGTGCGAAGGTTGGGAAGAGCGCAAATGCGGAAGGGAATCTCATGTTTGCCATCCTTCAGCATCAGACTAGCGACATTCGGGTGAATCTTGACTCCATTTCGATGTACGATATGCACAACTCGACTGGCATACGAATTGAAAGTTTCCATCTCCGATAATGATATTGATCCTGAAAGAATCTGGTAGAGCTTCAGCGCTCTTTATATTTTACAGCGAAATGGTGCATACGTATTCGCCATTGACATAAGAAACGGCGGGTAGAAGGCGGAGGAGGGGCTCAGCTGAGGGAAGCCTAACCCAGATAAAGTCTAGAGCTGGATCTTTCCACGCTTTACAGCACCGGGCTGCACGCGAGAGGGTATATAAGCCCTGTTCAGAGCAAATGTCAAAGACGTTTCGAATGACTTCGTCAATAAGCAGCGCCGGGTGCATGGTTGTAGAGGCTGCAATTGGAGTCTGAACTGGAGGGTTTCTATCGGTGGTCAAGTAATTTAGATGAGTTTAGAAGAGGGAATGCAGAGGCATTAAGTGAACCAGTTGCACCGCGCCGCTGTGAAGCAGATCATGGACGAGCGCTGCTTTCAGCAAGAAATTTGCTTGTTTGACTGTGAGAACCGAACCAAATAGCAAGCGGATCATAACTTGGTGATCGGGCGCATCGGGATGGCGCAGATGATATTTCGCCCTCGACCTTGACTTACAGGAAGGTAAAGAAGCTGGTAAATGAGTGGGGAAGTGGTTGGAAATGAGAATCATCCTGTCTTGCTTATAACTGTTACTGCATCCAAGATTTAAAACCCGTTATTCATCCAGTCATTATAGATAGAAATTGGATATAGCGACCATTAAATCGACCGTTAAATTCTTGGGTATATCTGCCTGGTCGTAGTCGGAAACGATGGCCACCCGTTGCGAACCTCAGATTGGCCCTTCCGATGCCCTTTCCACTGTTTGGACACGCTCATACAGTTCACGTTTCCGTTGCGAGTTTGCAAAATCTTCCTCTCTCTGTCGCATCTTTTCTTGTCTTCGCTGATCATCCCGGAGAACACCTTTGTACATCGTCTAATTTCGGATTCAATATGGTTAGATTAGACTGACGGTGGGATTGGAGGTTACCTCTCGTTCTTGGTGTTGCTGGAAATGAACAGCCCATATGGTCAATGCCGAAAGGAACACCGCGCCAGTCAACGTTGCTATCGCTCGCTTTTCTGACATCGTCGACTGTCGACAAGCACATGCACGTGCACAGACCATGGTCGAAAATGGCCCAGCCCGACAAAACAACAAGCACAAACATCGTCCTCGAGAGTGTTTCGTTTTGATGATTTCTGCCAGTCTCTGCCTCTAATTCAACATCCCGCCTCACTGAGCCCTCTCCTTGGTCGAACGAAACCCCGCAAACAGACATGTCTCCTCTCGAGGTATTTGCCTTCCCGTTACCTCATGGTTTTGCATTCTCATCGAATCTCCAGGAGTTTGAGTCGATTCTCAAGGATGTTGTTCAAGCGAAGCGATTGTCTGCCTCGAAAATGCACAAACTTACCGAGATTGCGTTGAAATTGATGCAGGTACGCACCTGAGGCAACTTGCAGCCCTTCGCAGTTTAATTGCCCACACATTAGGACGACACCCAGCTAGTGTCAATCCTTTACCGCACTCACAAGTCACTACCTGCGACGTCAAAGGTCTCCAGTCTGTATGTTTTTGATGCTCTGGCGAGAGCAGCGAGGCACAAGGTCGAGAAGCAAGGTCTTGTGAACGACTCCCAGATTGGAAACTGCGCGACCTTTCTGCAGAAGATTGAAGGCGTTGTCGAAGGCCTGTTTCAAGATATGCTTTCCATCGGCAGCCCGGAAGCCAAGGTTAGTGAAACTTACCGCTCTTACAAAACACATTCCCAGCGAATGCTTTCTCGCTTGGCCCCTCCTATCCATGCCCTTTCTGGCAACATGGGCATATCCGCCGTGTTTCTCCCTTTCAAAAAAAAAAAAAAGAGCTTTCATTATGGATTATCATCGTTGTGTCTGGAGATCCCTCGCCCTGCTTGTCCAGTCACATGATGTCTACGTCTCGTTCTCTTTTGGCATGATTCATCACAATTTTGACTTATTGACCTCTCATCGCAGGATAAAACAAAGAAGATACTTGATATATGGGTGAAGGGAAATATTTTTCCGAAGGCGATCTTGTCCCGATTGTCCGATGTATTGAAGGAGACAGAAAAAGGTGCTTATCGCAGTCCCCATGTGTTCGCTAAGTATCTCTTTTACCCGTACAATTTTAACCAACCTTTTCGCGTCCTTCACCGACCTCCAAATGTGAGATCAATAACTGAATCATTATCTGGTTTGTTTTGTATCAGAGCCCGAATTGAATGTCCTGACGCCGACCGACCCGCGAATAATCCAACAAACTGGGTCAACGGCACCCGTATCCGTCCCCACGTTATCCACCACGCCTTCCACCTCAGATCCGCATGCAACGTTGCTGGCGTTGCTTGCCCAAGCCCAAGCTGCGAGCACGGCAATTTCGTCTAGCTCTTCGTGAGTCATCATGCCTCTTTGGATGAGTGGAAGCTTACCTGGTTTGATTATAGGCAAACAAATGTAAACACAGCCGCGCCAACAATCCCACTTGACGCCGTTCAGTTGGCTATAATACAGCAATTAGCACAGACAGCTGCTGTCCCTCCTTCTGCCTCGCTACCAGCACCGCCTGTCGCTGCTGGAAGCCAGGATTTTCAGGGTGTTAACGGTAGTTTGCGCTCTCCTGCGCCTCACCGAGATGAACGTAACCTGGTCAATAAAGAATCCAGGCATGACCGATATCGTAGTCCAGAGAACGGGAGAGCCCATTCTGATGATCCCCACCCGAGAGACCCAAGAGGTGGTATCGCGGGACGGGGGCGGGGGCTAAGGTGGGACGAACGTGACCGTGACCGTTACAGGGATAGAGAGAGAGATCGAAGTCCCCTGCGCAGAGGAGGGCGAAGTCGATCTAGAAGTCCACCCAGTAGATATGGTGCCTGTCAGGAGCCTTATAGCCCTCCTAGGAAACATGCATCATCGGTATCGTGGCAGCGTGGTCCTGCTCCTGAAAGCGTACATGACTCTGGGAAGGACGAATTTGGACGAGATATTCGACCATCATCCCCTGAAAGTAATTCAGCATCGCTCCCAGTCGAAAAAGCTAAATCTCCGCCCCTCGTGCCGCCTACGGCTGGCGAGAAACCACCGTTAACTTCCTCTCCTGCGTTTCGAAATAATCATGATCCAACTTTGTCACCCTCTGTAGCTGCGAATACATCTTCAAACAAACCTATTGAAGCGTTTGTCTCGAGTACAGTTTCACCGCACCAAGGAATGGAGAAATTTGATCTCGCAACCTTTGATTTTACTTCCCCATTGTCGTGGGAAGCACTAGGAAAGATGTGGCAGGTTACTCATGGATATGCACCTACAACTGAGCAGCTCATGCAGTTTGTTATGGGTATGGGCACTGGTCAACAAGCTCAAATTGAAGCTGAGGGTTGGGATACGAAGGATCCCCATTCATCAGGACAAGTATGGGGCGGAAGTAGAGGCGCAAGGGGAGGATTTTACAGAGGACGGGCTCGAGGCGGATTTACTCACGGCAAAGTCCGAAACGTCCACGAAGGATGGGGTTATGATGGTAATAGCCAACCCACAGATGCCATAGTCCTGGGTGGCGGCTCAGACGATATGGACGTCTCGACACCGGAAGAAAAGCATGTCGCATCGGAGAGCAATGGCGGAGGACTAGGTGGTCGCATGCAAAGAATAGGGGACAAGTGGGTTTTTGTGCGAGATCAAGGAGTAGCTGGTATATCATAAGGATCCGGTGGCGTCGTTATTCAATACCTTTCACATTTTTATTTCCTGATGTACTACACAACATTCGCATCGTCATCTTCTAGGTTGGTCAGTTCAAAATCCACGGTCCTTGTATATTGCCCATCAGTGTAGAGCGAACGTGGTTGTCCAAATGCTCGTTGATCGAAACTCGCTGCGGAGAACGGATTTGGCCAAAATATCAGGTAACAGATCCATGCTGAAGCGATGCCGATTAAACTACCAACGATAACATCCTCCTTGTGGTGTCTCTGAACAAAAGTAAGCGAAGCACTGGGAGGAGCAAATAAGTATCTCACGTAGTCCTCGACGCGCGAAATGGCAACGAATGTTGCCCAGGATATAGGCAGCAGTGTGAGGGTGAATCTTATCATTCGACTTGACGAAATAGTTCTGGCTGGTCTCGGAACATGGAAACACCAGGCGGCTGTTTGACCAGCCATCCAGAGAGATAAAAGAAACATCCCTGAAAAGGCCGTTGATGAATGGCCTGAAGGGAATGACTTGCGTCCGTTAACAATAGTCTGTACCTTCCTACAATCGAAATTTGGTTTATGCAAGTCGAAGATACGGGAAATGCACAGTACCCTGTGCAAGCCTCGATTACTTTATCCCATTTGCATCTCGCAAGAAAATCTGGACGCAGACGTCCTGAATATGGAGTTAGTACGTTAATTGCAACGGCAAAATAAACATCATGCCCTACCAACTTTGTGCTTCAGAAATTCAGTGGTAAGTCTCGCCAAACCTCTATTCCGAGTCAGAAAATGTCCTTGAGAAAGCTATCCTTCACCGTACTGAGCGGCGAGAACAGCAAGTATGCCATGATGGATTTCCAGGAGTGACCTTCGCAGACCACCAACAACCATGAAAACTATGATTGGGACGAAGAGTGTGACGATGTGATTCCAAAATGATGTGACCCTTATTTGTCCAAAAGGTGGGTAAGGGCTGGAGAGGACCTCAAAACACAAGCAGGACCTACTGATTGTGCTTATGGGGGAAGCTTATCGTGTCGTCATCGAGCAAAAATTGCCGTTCGAAGACAGGAGATTTGGACACAAATGAGGAGAGCAGCCACAATCCCAGAATGACGATCCTGCAGTTGTTTGTGAGGCACGTTAGGAGCACCGTATTACTCTTGATTATTAGATGTCATTTTACCAGTCTGCCGCATAAGCTCTATCAAACCATTCGAAATCTTGTCGGAAGCGGCGTTTCAAGGCGTCGCGAAAAGCCATGCGAGAGCTCCAGAAATGTTGTCAAGCGAATTGTCCTGTTCTTGCCTGAGGCAACATGACACATCAACGCGACTGTCACAGCTCCGTCACTTTGAATCAGCAGTCACGCAACACGCGTTGATTCAACCTCCTTCACACACTTGCAGCAAGATAATGGGGAAGGAAAAAACTTCAAAGTCGCGTCCAAAAGGACAAGCCACTATCAAGTCCTTCTTTGGAGGAGGAAAAAAGAAGGAATCTGTTCCACAAACTTCAGACGCAGAGGACACGGCCGCGACAGAGGCAGAGGAGCCTGCCAGTGACGCACAGATGGAAGAAAACGCTTCAGACTCGGAACCGGAAGAGCATTCTGGTCCTAGCAAGAAAGCTACGAAGTCTACAGCTCCTGACTCATCTGACCTTCCTCCCATTAACGAGATACCCGCCATATTCGACGACCTTGTCAGTCACATACCAAAGATCAAAGACGTTGCGGAACGTGTTAAAGGCCGAAAGCTCCGCGTAGCAACGATGTGTTCGGGAACAGAGTCTCCCCTACTAGCTTTGGAACTCATGCAGAAATCGATTTATAAACAGCACGGCGTCAATTTCGACATCGAACACGTTTTCTCATGCGAAATTGAACCCTTCAAGCAAGCATACATCGAACGCAATTTTCAGCCTCCTCTTCTGTTCCGTGATGTTTGTGAGCTGGGAGATGGGGAAGCGTATGCATTTCATTGAGCTTGAAATAATGCTGTTCATAACCTTTCGATGCAGACATACCGCGTATGGTGCTCTTGCCCCTGTACCAGGCGACGTTGATATTTTAATCGCGGGTACGTCTTGCGTCGATTATTCAAATCTCAACACCCAAAAGCAAGACATTGATGCAAATGGGGAGTCCGGACGTACGTTTCGCGGAATGATGTCCTGGGTTACGACGCATCGGCCTCCCCTCGTCATCTTGGAGAATGTTTGCTCCGCTCCTTGGGAGAAGGTCAAGGAGTATTTCGAGCAAAACGGATATAGTGCCTCATATTCACGAGTCGACACCAAACATTACTATATTCCGCATACTCGCACTCGCGTTTACCTTGTTGCTGTCAACAAGAAAAAGTCACCCATTCCTGAAGAATGGAAAGATTTGGTATCACACAAGCTGAAACGTCCTGCATCTTCAACCCTCGATGCTTTTCTATTACCGTCCGATGACCCCCGCATCCATCTCGCGCGACAGAAGCTAGTCCAAGAAAGCTACGGTGCTCTGGACAGGCGAACAGGGCGCACCGACTGGGGTCGTTGTGAATCACGCCATCAACGAGCAAGGTTGGAAGAATGGCTAGGGGCAAAGCGGCCTTTAACGAGTTGGGACGAAGGTCAGACCTAAATTTCCTGACTTAGTGATGAATAATCCAACGCTGGTCCAGGTGGTTTTTGCAAGCTTCCCGATTTTGCGTGGAACGACTGGGGAATTGGCCAAGTTGAGCGTGTCTGGGATTTGATGGACATCAGCCATCTTCGCTCTGCCACAAAGGGGGTTGATCCTTCTTATAAAACGTGAGGTTGTCGCTTATCCTTCTATATTTTGTTGTTGAATCTTTACTAGTCAGGTTTGGAACCTTTCTCAGAACGTCGATCGTACTATCGGATCGAACAAGGTGGGGATATGTCCCTGCCTTACACCATCCATGATTCCCTATATCACGAATCGAGGTGGCCCAATGGTGGGACTAGAAGCCTTGTCCATGCAAGGCTTGCCGGTGGACAAACTCCTTCTGACGCGAGAGAGTGAGGACCAGCTTGCGGATCTGGCTGGCAATGCCATGTCTACAACTGTGGTCGGGGCGTGCATCTTAGCAGCCCTCGTCACCGGCAGAAGCTTACTTAAAGCCGGAAACGACGAACAGTCGTATGAAATGAAGAATGGCGTTGAACTGGAGGAAGTTCAAGCCATGGATATCGATGGGGTTGAAAAATTCAAAGTCACTGCAAGTCAAATCGTAGGCGAGGAAAAGCTTGTTCAGAAACCACTCAACTTGTCAATTACTCAAACGTCTTCCTTCTCCGAACTTTTAGAAGAAGCGAACAACAGTGTGCGTCTTTGCGGGTGTGAAGGTCGCACAGGGATGACGACGAGAGAGTTACTCCGCTGCATTGACTGCAGAAATTCTTTCTGCAAGAAGTGTGGCGGACGTCCAGAGCATAACCCATCCCCCATCGATACTGCCGCGTGCCTCCGACTCCACCCCTCAGAATTTGCTAAGAAGCTAAAATCGACGCTACCGATGTGCATCTCCGTGTCGGGCGTTGACCGTGACCTACTGCAAAGCCTCAAAGAAAAAGATGGGAAGGATATTCCGGAATTGCGATGGTCTGAATGGTCAGCAGCTGTGCTTCGTGCTGTTGGTTCTGAGCTGCGATTTGTTGAGCTCAAGCGCCAGGAGATTTGGAGTGCAGTTTATCAGTCACCAACCGCGGCTCTAGAACTATCGCTGCATCCGCAGCAAAGCGAATGGCGTTTATACGCCTATCCCCAGGAACACGAGCCTGCCAAAGCTGAGATTCGACAGCTGCTCGCGTCTCCAGTTGGTAGATTTGTATGCAACGGTGGTTTGCTTTTGGGGTGTTGGGAGTTCGCGTTACCTCTGACCATCTCGATCGAGGTGAAGATAAAAGGAGTTGGGGATCTAGTCCCGTCTTGGGGGGCTCGTCTTGGGCTGATTGGAGAGAATGAAGAATTCAAGAATCAGCAAGTCTTCTCGAAGATTCAAGTCACCGTGCCTCAGAATCGGGTAGATGCATTTGATCGGGACATATCTGGGGTGTATGCCCTTCTTGACAAATGTGGGACCGCCAACGGGGCACTACACAAGAAGTCCGAGGCAACAGAGGGCCTCCCACCTCTATTCATGCTCTTCGACCCACATCGTACCAATGACTCTGAGGATTGTTTTGTTTTTTCGATCAGTACCCGGAGGCTTGAATATCAGGAATGTCGTCCGATTGTAGGCAAGCTTGATCCCACATGGCGACAGTCGAGTGACGCGAAGGAACAGACAGTTCTGTGTCATATTCCTGCCAAGTGGGTCAAGGCAATCGAGGTTGAATTAAAGGTTCGACATCTGCTTTTCACCGTTTCTCAATGCTTATTTTGCGTCAGCCTTACGTTGGGCAAGGTCCGTCCTTTGGTATTCCCAGCCAAACATTCGCTATCCCCATTTCCGATGACGCTTGTCGGGATGCATACGCCCTGCTAACTTGCACTGTTCCTCTACGTGGCCAAGCCGGTCCTGAGTGGCCTCGTGGAACATGGACTGAAATTGACAAAGTTCATGAACGCGGAACTTTCAGAGCTTTAGCGTGGCTTTTAGAACGCATCCGACATGTCGACGACAGCCTTCGCTCATGGCAGAAGGTTGAACTCCTCAGCGAATTGGACAATTGTGAGCGCTGCGCACCAACAGCACCACTACTCAGATGGACCCAGGTCAACAAGAAAACAGTACCTGTGGAGGATCCCGTTCAAGCCGGAGAATATGAAAGGCGTCTGAAGGGTCGCCCAAGTCCCTTCGTTACCCAATTGAAGCTTGACGACAGTGGCACAGGGACCGTCCGCGTTGGCATCAACATTCCATCTCTGATTCATCGAGCGATTTCTCGTCTTCCCTCCAAGAATCGCGGGGCACAGACATCACTGTCATGGCGTCTTGACACCAACTTTACCCCCGCTGCAAACTCTTCTCTGCCGAAGTTTGTAATATCGAGCAACAAACATGACAAACAACATGCTCAACCCCCCAATTTCAAAATTCCCCTAAGGGAAGAACAGCTTCGCTCTCTGGAGTGGATGCTTCTTCAAGAGGCTGCTGATGTAAAACCATTCGCAGAGGAGGAGATCTCTGAAGCTATTCTGGATCCCCTGGGATGGAGAGCTGAAGGACGAGCGGAGAGACCCGTTCGCGTCAGAGGAGGAGTTTTGGCTGATCAAGTTGGGTACGGGAAAACTGCAATCACCCTCGGCCTCATTGATTGTGCTTCTAAGAAGACTTCAAATGAATTCGACAAAATGGGTCGCATTCCGGGAAAAATTGCCGTCAAAGGCACTCTCATCATCGTCCCACCTCATCTAACTAGGCAGTGGAATTCAGAGGTGGGGAAATTCCTCAAAAAGAAGTTGAAAGTCGTTGTGGTCTCCACCGTCTCCAACCTCAACGGCGTGAAAATCGAGGACATTCAAGAGGCCGATATCATTATTGTCGCGTCAAACATTTTCAAAAGCAATGTTTATTTGGAAAATCTCCAAATCTTAGCTGGCGCTGGGGATCTTCCCACACGCGAAGGTCGCCATTTCAATGCACATCTTGAAAAGGCACTACAATCCCTCAAAGCTCAGGTTGATCGTCTCCAAGATGAAGATTCTTCTGCCGTTATGAATGAAATTAGAGCTGCCCAAAAACGAGGTGAGGTTTTCCACTCCATAACCACTCTCTCATACTTATATTGCGACGATTTAGTTCTTGAAGAAGAAGCTGCTGTGGCGGCATCAGCCGCCTCAAAGAGACTGAAGGGAAAATCATACCGTGAGGCGGCAGAGAGATCCCAGAAAGTCAAGAAACCTGCCACGAAGGAATCATCAAGTCTAAAAGCTGCAGCTACCAAATCAACTAAAAAAGATTCTCGCCTTATTGTGGAGGTGGTCATTGAGGTCCCCCCAGGCCACCCATTGGACGGGCAAGACTCAAAATCATTGCGATCAAAGGAAGACGACGGCTCTGATTCGGACAAGCAACCTCTACGAAAGCTTGGACACCGGGCGGCCACGAAGCGTGTTGTTGTCATTTCGGATGATGAGTCTGGGTCAGAAGATGAGGGTCAAAAGCCCAAGTCGTCGAAGATGGTTAAGTCGTCCAAGCAAGTCCCAAAAAAGCGCAAAAAAGGACTCTCCAAGGCTTCTTCCCCGTCCTCCGACTATGAAGAATCGCCTGCTGAACAATCTGACTCTGATGTTGAAATGGAACCTTCATCTTCCGACAACGACGACGAGGGCGAAGAAGAGGAATCTATACCTTCTAGGGGCAAATCCAAGGCCATATCGAAATCCAAGCTGAAGCCGAAAGCACAGCCGACTAAGGCTAAAAAGCCACGTAAAAGTGCAAGCCTTCCTCCAACTTCCGATTCCAACGATGAGACGGAGGGTGATAGGGATGACATGGATATCGATGAACCGCCTCCCCCCAAGAAGAAAGTGACGAAACGAAAAGCGGGCGACAACGACGAGCGACCGGCCAAGAAAGCCAAACGAGCTGACACTGACCCATGGAAGTTAGAATCCAAAGCTGTTAGGAAAGATTGGACGCAGATGCAAGCACCCCCATTTGAACTCTTTCACTTCGCACGCAAGGTCGTGGACGAATATACATATCTTGATGGCAAGGTCCATTCTTTGGTCACGAGTCTGACGGCTGAGAGGCACTGGGTCCTCTCGGGAACACCACCAATCCACGACTTCGCCGCGTTGAAAACCATTGCCGCCTTTCTAAATATCCATCTGGGAGTTGACGATGACGGAGAAGGTCAATCTGTGGAAGTGAAGAAACGACGTCGAGAACAAACAGGTGAGCATCATGCTCCAGTCCTCTAGTGATCGCTCACACAAGCCTGCAGCTGTTGAACGCTTCCACTCTTTCCGCGAAGTCCATAGTTTGGAATGGCACACGCACCGTCACACGGTTGGTCAAGCATTCCTTGACCAGTTTGTGCGCCAGGTAGGCACTTCTTGGCAAGATCAATTCAAATATCTAACTTGAATCCAAGAACATCGCCGAGATTGACGAAATTCCTTGGACGGAGAAGGTTGAACCCATCGTTCTGCCTGCTGCTGAACGAGCTATCTACCTCGAACTCGAGCATCACCTGCGTGCACTGGACATGACCATCAAACGTGGCAAAAAAACAGAGAGTGACCGAGAGAAGAGGTTGGCGAAATCTCTGGGCGAAAGCAAGTAAGTGTCATTCGTCCGTATGAGTCTCTACATCCTAACTCTTGCCGCAAAGGACGGCCGAGGAAGCACTGCTGAAGCGTTGTTCCCATTTCGACCTCGAAACGTCCAATGAGAATGCCATGAAAGCTTGTGACGTTATTGTCAAAGAACGTCAGAAGCAATTGGACGAATGCAAAGCGGAATTACTCAAGGCAATTAGTGACGGCGTCAAGCGAGAAAAAAGCCTCGGTTTTGTTGGCAGTGAATCAATGTTCAACGAGTATGTCCGCGTGTCGAGAACCGAAGGCGTAGATGATGATGAAGCGACCGTGATGGTCAACGAACTCCTCGACAAAGCTAACGCTGTCACTTCCAAAAACAAAGGAAAGTCTCAAGATACTCAAATTTCGGAAAAGGTCAAGGCCCAGGCCTGGGAACATCGAGAGAAGACGCATGAAATTCGGCGTCTGACAAAAGAACTCACCGGACGGATTCGCTCGCTTCGATATTTCACGGTTGTTCGTGACCTCCAAAAACAAAGAGAGAAACCTCTGGTCGTCGATTGCCCTGGATGCCACAAAAAGAATGTTCCGATTGACGACATTGCTGTGCTTTCGTCTTGTGGCCATACAGGCTGTTTATCGTGCGTCAAATCCTGTGCGGAGAAGGAGGAGTGTGTCCATGCAGCATCGGGTGCATGCAAGTCTGCAGCTCGGGTGCTTAATGTAGTGAGAGGCGACACGTTGGGTGTTGACGACGAGGCACGGGATGGTCATGGACGCCACTTTGGTTTGAAGCTTGAAAAGGTCATTGACCTTATAAGGTAAGGGTGGCAGACAACATCTTCTTACCCCTCTGCTCATCTACTCTCGCAGAAAGAAGATTCCTAAGGACGAACGAGTACTGCTCTTCGTGCAATTCCCAGACTTGATGAAAAAGGTGACGGAAGCGCTTGCAGTCAACAAAATCAAATACCTCGAAATCAAGGGCACCGCCCACCAAAAGAGCAAGAATCTGGAATTGTTCCAGAATGGAAGTGAGGAGAGGGTGTTGTTGCTGAATGTCATGGACGAGAGCGCAAGCGGAGCCAACTTAACATCTGCTAACCACGCCATCTTTTTATCCCCTCTCCTTGCGCCCTCACAGGAAATTTATAACGCTTGTGAGACACAAGCTATTGGTCGCTTGGTTCGTTATGGGCAGGAAAGACACGTCTACGTTTGGAGATTTTTGACCACGAATACCATTGACGAAGAAATCTACGAGCAGAGGAAAGCCGCCGTCGGACATGTTTGAATCTATATCTCGAACCTTGCATATTCTTCCAAGCCAGCATTCAAATCTATCTATTATGAAGCTGTGATCATCTATAATCTCGTCAAATATACATAGGAACACAATTTATCGTAGATTAGGCAGGGGAGGGATCAATGAGCACATACATTTTATCAATACAAGTCCAAGGGTCAGTACAAGTCCGTTGTCATTTACTCGACATTACGTAGCCAGTGGTGTCCAATATCTGCTTGCCGCATATTGAGCAAAGACCTTTCTTGTAAGCACAACCTGAGGAAGATCGAAATCAGAGAAGCCAAGATAAGACGAAACAATGGGCGCACCATGGCAGTATTTAGCCTTATTCTGCGTGGTAGGTTGCTTGCAATCTTTGCATTTCGCCTGATATGGCTGACGTAGGGGTGCGTTAGGATGAGTTATTGTGCGGTCAGAAGAAACAATTTACCTGGAAACGATTTTTTGAACTACCAGGGCGGCTGAGGAGTTTGTTCTCGCCGACTTTCCTGGAACCATCCTTGATGCTGCTGGAGCTAGCGGTAAAAGGATCAGGGGCTGCGACAGTTGATAGTTTCTATGGATATGATAGACTAATGAGCGTCTGTAAGGATAACGAAACGAAAAGACAAACCTTTTCACACTTCTTGCAGACCATGATGAGGGTCGGAGGCAACAAACGGAGCGCTGACGAAGTGATCGATCACTTGGTCAGCCCGATCGTGTCAATCTCTTTTGGATCTCTTTCTCGTATTGGATTCATTACCGCCCCTCTGAGCTCGTATACTCCGTAGAATCGACGCCGTCGCAACATCCTTGGACAATCAAACTATTATCCCTCTCGCTCCACCAGGTCGTTGATCCCGACACTTGGTTCCCTCTTGCCATATCCATCACTCCCAGACTGGAAGGTGAGTACCTGACATCAGGCTCTTATTGTTGATTTTTTTTTCAACTTCGCGCGCCAACCTTAGGTATACTTCGAGACTCAAACTTACATACTCAGATCTCAAATTCAAAGACTGTTGACATGGCACCCTTTACACGAAGCAAGGAGTCGCAGGGACCTCGTTCACAAAAGATAATTCCGGCAGACAATCACTCAATCACTCGCCTACCGACCAGCGCGACTATCCAATGCGTTTCACCCAGTTTTTTGACGCGATGAACATAATTCAAGTCTTTGTTAGCTGTTGTCTTGCAAAGAAATGGCCTAACCATCGGACGACCAAGCAACGCTTTTTTTATCTTCCTTTTCTTGGACGACGAGCGGCGACGATATAAATTCAGCAATCATGGATTCGTTGAGAGCATACCGAAATGCCTCATCGTCTTCCAACTCTACGTCGCTACAAGATTTCTAACGACGTTTTAATCCTAATTCTGGAGAAGTTGGACCCCCGTACCTTGGCCACCACATGCAAGGTAAAAGTCGCGCCTTCGACGCGCTCCTTGTCATTAACACCGCGCTCTAGGTATTCCGAAGGGTCTACGAGCTCGTTATGGGGTTCCAGCATCTCCGTTACAAGTTCGAGTTGGCAATGGCCGGAATGCAGGACGGCACTCCCTCTTACTATTCCAAGCCGCCGTCTCTTCGCCTACAGCTTCTCTTGGCGTACAGAGAGAACTGGCCAAAGCTCCGATGGACTTGCGAACAAAAGATTTTCATCTCTGCTGCCGCAACCGTCGTAAACGTCTGTGGAGGCTTTCTTTATCACGTCGAGGGCCAGACCCTGGACTTGAAAGAGCTCCCCTCTTACCGCACTGGTCGACTTCCTGCCCAGACCAAGCACATTAGGTTCGGTACCGCTCCTCGAGCCGATTGTGTCGCGATTGATCCCATGCAATCGCTCATCGTGACAAGCCATACCTTTAGGTACGTTTATATTGTACAAGGCTGAGAAGTTCATACGACTGAGGCGGTCTTGCAGTGGTCACGGCGGACAAGTTGCCCTCCGGTTGAAGATTCGCAATTTATGGACCTTCGAAAAACATCCTTATGCAGCTTCGCAATCTTATGAATGCCTTACTCAAGTCGCTCAACCTGTTGCGAAGACCTCGATGGTTGTTTGCGGATTTAAGATGACAGTTTCTCTCGAATTTTTAGGAGGGACAGTCAAGCACCTTCTGATTGATTGGCGCACATTACAGGCAATGGTAGGGATATAATTTGCTGAACGTAAAACCCACATGCTAATCATTTTTTACTAACAACAGTGGCTTGAGGAACAGGATGTCCATTTTTTAAACCCAGAGTCCCTCCTCACTGTCGGATACTCCCCTCGTGGATCTCCTGGTATGAAGCTTTTCAATATTCGTGACTTGAACAGAACCTTCATCGAGCGCGAGTATGAATTACCAAGCATTTGGGCTGGCTCCGAGTTACGATTCAGTCACAACGCTATCCCAACTCCCACAGTCCCACTCTCCAGAGACGCATTATTTCATCTGGACCCATTGACTCGCGTGCTCCATTTGACGGTCAAAGGTGGGCAGAAACGGGGCGCCTTGCATTGGCTCTTCATCAAAGAATCCTATTTCCGCCCAGCTTCACGCGCTGACCAGTCCTGCCATGTTCCATGGGCATCTTGGAGTAAAGCTTGCCTGATTAAAGATCTTGTGGCATCAGAAATTATTGGCGTTCCCCGAGTTATCGGCAGCCGCATTGTATATGTCGAATCCGATTCGGGATCTGGGAAGGATAGAATTTCTATCATTGACTTCGCTATACCCGCAAACCACCCTGGATCCAGCTCTCGTCCTTGGTCGTTGATTGGACCACTAGCAATGTTGACCCCGAATGAATCAAGCCGCAGTATTCCCTCCTCTGTTACAGGTCATCTCCGAGTCGAAGGAATTTGCGCTTCCGAAGACAATATTGTCGTCATGCTCGTAAGTTTTGCTTGTCTCGCCTTCAATGATAACTGGATGATCCGTTGAATATCAAGGAACCTCAACAAGGAGGGAAGGCCGTCAACATCTTGACGTTCGGGCCCAAGTGAAACCATGATATTTGATACCCCAAGATCACCTTGATCTCAATGTTTTGATTGTTACGGATATGTAGTGCACTGTTGTATCAGTTCCAGAGTCGAGCCAAGTTTAAGCGATCAATGTCTGTATTTAGCATGTATATTACCAGTTAGGGCACTGCCAAGGCTATCCATGTTTCACTCAAACTAAATATAGTTCTTGTTCTCAAGTCAGATCTACCGCCGTCTCTTTTTGATTACTTTGTTACAGTTCCCAACTTTAATTTTGCCCTGACAACCCAGCGCCTTCTTTCATTTTCGTCGTCGTCACCTGTAACACGCCACCTCCTCGTCGCTGAACCGGAAACCTCGTTTTCAACGACACTCTCGATCACAAACCCAGCAGTCTGCGCTGATGCAAGGAATGACTGAATAGTGTAACGTCCCGTATGTAGCCCTGCTACCAGATGGATACGGGACGAAACCGATTTTTTGAGGGCCATCTTTAGGGTATCGATGAAAATGGAATGCAGATCTGGGTTCCAAAGGGTATCTGCAGCTAGAATCACGTCAAATCCGCCGTCATCTGTGGAATGAAGACTCGACACGTCGGAGCCCCATGCATATGGGACCGCCCGGCATCGGGGACTGACGCCGTTGCGCTCGATGTTTCCTGCTAACGTTTTGATCAATTCCTCGTCAGGATAATCGCTCGCTGTAACAAGGACTCTTTCTGGAAACAACTTTGCAATCAAAATGCTAGGAAGACCAGCAGAAGCCCCCAATTCAAGCACCCTCAGGGTCTCGTTGATTGGTAGTTCCTTGATATGACTCTCGAGGCCGATTTCGTCCCAGTGATCTGCCAGATAAATCGACGATACCCAAATAGATGATGCGTGCAGAGCCCAGTTGGCGGCGTGGGTATCGGGGGTCTGGAGTGTAATCACGAAAGAGGAACCAGAACCAGAGTATTTGTACGTGAAGAGTGAACCAGGTGAAGATAGAGTTATCGGCTGGAGGTCGTAAAGCGTCTGGAGCGAATCGAGCAATATGTCTTCCGGATCGTCCCCGGCGTCCATAAATGGGCCCGACTCTGGCGAGCCCACGGTCAGCCGAGTCCTTTCTCAGGTATCAACGAAACAAACCTGAGCACCACTGAAGTTGGTAAAGGGTGTAAGTCCAACAGTGTTATCTGCCGTTATCGCCGATACTTCACTATTTGGTATCCACGGGTTGGGCTAACTTCGGGAAACATAATATCTCACTAACTTTACACTCGGAACACGTTCAATCTACTATCCCATCCACAACTTGCTAGAATGCCTTCTTCAAAGATGGACCAAGCACAGCCGACCACAAATTCCGTGTGAGGGTCATGGATATACAGGAGTTGGCCGCGCCCTGGCGCTGGGGTTGTTGTCCAACTGGAAGATTATTAATAAGGCAAAGCTCATGTGGAATCGTGGAAGACATACACTCGACAAGTCATGTCGTAACTTGCGGTTGCAAGAACATCTGCACGATGGGGGCTCCATTGCACCTTCCTGACGGCGTATTCATGGCCAGGCAGCTGCGTCTCGCAAATTCCCCCGACCTGAGGTGTTTCGCCGAGTTTGACCATACGACAGTCCCAGACTTTTACAAGTTTGTCAACACCTGCGCTGGCTAAAACCATTGGCCGATATTTGTTCCAGTCTAGGGAGAGGATTTCCGTGCCTGACGCAGGAATCGTAAGAGCCGCGGCGGAAAGTGGATTGACAAATGTGTTTGTATTTGGACCAGTAGTTAGGTATGAAGGAGTGCGAAGGTCAAACAACTTCAGAGTCCCGTCGGTGGAACACGAAGCTAGGATATCTGGCTGGTGAGGGGAGAAGAGGGCTTGATAAACGCATGAGTGATGCGCTTGCACAGTCGTAATGGAACGTGGACGGTCGGGCATCCACTGAGTTGCGGTCAAGGAGGGGAATTAATCACAAAAGGTAATCAACCCACAAGTTTTATCGTTCCATCCCAAGATGATGAAGCGAATGTGTCTTTTTTAATATTTGACCAATCGACAGAAAAAACCTCTTGTGTGTGCTCTTGCCATGCACGAATTGGCAAGTCCTAAGATCGTGGTAAGGTCGTCATAAATTGCCAATGTAACAACCAAGAACGTACATTGAGCATCACATCCCACAATCGTAATGAGCCATCTCCAGAAGCCGTTACTAGTTGGTTCTCGTGAACTTCAGACCAAGCGACGTCGTAAAGACCGTCCTGCGTTTCGTAACTGACGCCTTGGAGATTCAGCTGGACGACAGAAGTCACGGATGGAGCACCTCACTGTTTGTCCAGCGTCAAACTCGGCAAGCCACCAGGACCGGGATTGGCAGAAACAAGATGCAGTCGCCCATTCCCGACTAATCCGAAATTTGCTGACGATGCTAGAGCTAGCCGGGTCGTGTGGAATGGCGACCAGGCCAAGGCATAGTGGGCAAAGCCTGGTGTGTGTAGGACGGATGGGCTGTTCATGTCGAACTTCAGACTCGGTTCTCGGAGAAGCTTACCCAGAACGGTCACATGCGCGTCTCCATTCCTACTATCCCCCATACCGCTAAGCCCATTCCCAACGTTACTCTACCAGAGGCAATCAAGCGTCTCACCGATTTTCTAAGAGGAGGAGCGACCACGGTGCTCACAGGCGCTGGTGTGAGCGTAGATTCTGGAATCAAAGCCTATCGAGGTCAAGATGGCCGATACATGAACCCTAATTTCCAGTGGGTCGCGCAATCTTGCCGTCACATTGAACACGTCGACTGAGTGTCGGAAAGGCCGATATTTTACCACGAACTCATAGACGAGACCGATAAAGGCCACAGATTCAGGTACTGACTCTCAGGTCGTCATCAAGTTGATGGATAACGTTCAAGCTTTCTCCATCTTGCCAGGCAAAGATATTGGTCTATATGCATTCTCATACTCAATTTTGAAGCTCAATATGCTCAACTATGTCAAGGCTTCGCTCGTATCTTGGCTACCCCCCAGTCAAAAACGCAGTACCGAACGTATCACATATTTCCCTAGCAGCATTACAGCACGCCTCGGTCGTCCCGAATATTATCACTCAGGTGAAATTAAATGCTTTCTGGTTTTATCTTTGGTCTTCCTTTTTGAAAGTGTTTGAAAGAACGTCGACGGGTTACACCAGAAAGCCCTTCAACAAGTTGCCCCACATAAATGGAACCCAGCACACGCACGCGACGCAATCCTGGAATTGCATGGGACTCTACATGTATATACTCTCATCCGCTTTATATGACGTCGGACTCATTGCGTCAAAGCGAGTAAGCTGCAACAAGGGGCACACGATTCATCGAGACCTTTTTCAAGATTTCCTCTCTGCGGCGAACCCCCAATGGGACGCGTATGCACAAGAATTGATGATGTCAGGAACTCGACCAATATCGAATCCAGATGGCGATGTCTGGTTCTTTTTGCATGTATAAGTTTATCTATGTCTGAATGTCTGCTAGGTGGCGATTGAACATCTCGGGATCTCGTACAGCGACTTTCACGTTCCAGATTGTTCAACCTGCTTGCTCGAAAACCGCAGAAATGCTATCGTGAGCCGTTCCACTTTTTCCTCTCTTCTGTAATCTGACATGAAGCATTCCAAGCACAAACCAGAGGTTATATTTTTCGGGGAGTCAATACCACAAAATGTCAAAGAGCGCTCGTATGGCTTTCAAAATCACTGCTGTTTGGTCTTAAAATGTTTTCTTCCAGTTTTCGCGAAGTAGAAAGATGTGATCAATTGCTGTTAATCGGCACAACATTGGCGACCTACTCCGCTTTCAGGTAGGTAACCTCACTCATCGATTCTTTGGCTGAATCAAACAATCATCTGCAGGTTGGTTAAACATGCGTTAGAGTTGAAGAAGCCAGTAATGCTTTTGAACATTGGACCCACAAGGGCGGACGGTATACAGGAAATACAAAAACTCAATATCGCTAGTGGCGTCGTCCTCAGAGAAGTCGCCAAGGAGATCATGTTCGTATCCTTGTGACCTTATCTCCCTCATAATTGGGGAACCGATTCTAATCATCGATTTCCGTCTTCTATCAGCGGCGAAAAGGCGATGCACGAGCTCGTACTTGCCTCGATGCCTCACAGCAATTTTCCTCCTGATGGTGGTGACTCGGCTCCGAGAGCGGCAGGATAACCCAGTTAATGTACTAGCCGAAAAGCTTGTGGTTCATGCCCATTCAAGAAATCTGTAGTATGATACACTGCACATAGACCACAAACAAGGCGTAGAAACTTGAAATCTAAAAATACACAGGCCAAGAAACATTAGGGTGTGTAGGGTACCAAGACCGAGGTATGTATGAAGGTATACATGGGCAAAGCCAAAACACGGAAAACATGGGTGACGGAAAGGAATCAGAAACTTTACAGAGATCCTTGAACACCTTGTTTAAGGGGATCTTGATAGGAGAGAGAGGGAAAGCGCAGCCTCGCGGTGCATCTTCTCTTCCATCGTTTCGTTGGGATCAGGATTGAATAATTTATTTTCGAGTTCACGAGTGGTTGCCGAGTCGATGGTGGATCCCTTCAACTGTACGCATGTCGAAGCTTGCCAGCCTTGAGTGGGGGGTGTAGTAGGAGCTGGCTGTACTGGATTCGGACGCCACAAACAATCGCTGGTCACAACGTCGGGTTGATAAGGTGGAGGAAGCGTAGATGCAACAAATGATAGCGGGGATGAGGAGGGTTCAGTGCTTCCGTCTGAATCGTTATTATGACTGTGAACGAAAGGCCGTGCGCCCAGGGACGGGGATGGCAGGGGGAGGGTGGGCTATTTGAAATAAAGGCAGGTTCGCCAATGAAAATTTATCGCCAAGAAGTTGGGGGGATTCTTACCGCTTGTGCTTTGATTGCTGTATCAATCCTCATAGTCGTCTTTGTGTGGCGTGTCTTGAGACACCGCGCCCGATGAGTGCGCCAGTGAAGGGGGTCAAACGCGCTTTTCGCCGATAGTTTAATTTGCTTCCCGCAGCGTTTGCATTCGACGTAGGTGGGGCTGAGTACAATCGCTAATGGGTCTTCTCGGAGCTTAGTTTCCCTGGCCTTTTCTGCGGGACTTGGAGACATTCCTAATCGACTAAAGATCCAATTTTTTCAACAATCTCAAGCCACAGGATAGCGTTACAAGTGGAAACGAACCTTTGGACTTGTGAGGACAAGCTATCTGTGTCGGCCATTGGAATAGGTCAGTTCGGTCGCTGTTTTATAAAAAGATCATTGAGCCACTTACGGGGGGATCAGTGAGATGGGGGTGGAGTGATGGGCGCTGGGTAAAAGACAAAACGCGGGATCGACGTTACCTCTTACTTGACTCGATAAGAGAATTCCTGTGGAGATTGGTAGAATATTTGACAAAGACATCACGATGAGATCCGAGTTCTTTCAAAGCTGTACCTCTTTGTGCGTTCGCTGAAGTAAAATTTCATCGATAATCAGCGGCAACTGAATTTGTTCTCATTGGAAGGAATGCGCGGTATGTTTCAGGGTAGGCGTGGGGCTGCAGGGTATAAAGAGCAGCCTTTAAAGTCTATGTATTTTCGAAGCGCAGTTGTCGGCATCATCCGTTTTGAACGGTCACTAATCTCGTTCCCGTTTTAGCCCCATGATGCCGACGTCTTGGCTTCATATCATACACATGGAGCGCTGACTTGGATAAAACCCTTACAAAAGGGAGGCAGAGTGTCCGGTTGGATTATACAACTTGTCATCTATCTGAGGAACAAGGGAAAAATATGGAATAAATATACAGTCACGCAACAGCTTCTTTCAACTTAGCTTCACCCTTTGGCTCAAAGATATCAATCTTTCCTTGGGCGCAGTGCAGTAGCATAATGCGTAGCGTGGTTGTGCGATTTTTGACGATTTACTCATACCAGCCCGTAGAGCAGTGGGGATACGAATATTTCTTGCAAAACAGGTGGATGATCGATGAGGTTTAAGAGCCAATCCAACCATGTAATTCAAAATTTATTAGTTGGAGCTGTTGAAATTAGAGAAAACCGAGAACTCTGATAAAGAAGTGTACAACCAAGGAATATCGAAGACATCATGAAGAATCACCCTTCAAACTCTCCCGGAACCCGCGTATGAAGGCCTTTACAGGGAGCAAGAACCAACCCATGGCGGTAGGCGCCTCCTCCTGAGGAGGCGCGTAGGTGTCATGTCGCGGACGATTGTGGGGCCTCAAATCCTCGTCGGGAACAAGTGCCGGTTCTTCTCGTGGCCTTTTGACACCGTGTAAGTTTGACGGAGAACTTTCTCTACCTGTCGCACGAAATGCGGCGTCAACCAAAGTCGATGGTGATGGCTCTGTTGATTTAATAGGGAAAGGGATGACGTTTTCCGTTCCAGGTAACGGAGAACTTGCCAAAGTCAATATCAAACACAGCTGGAGGTGTGATCGAGGATCTGCTTACTATTTGCAGCGATCTTTATGCTCCTCCCAACTTGTCAGATTGTATTGCCCGTCGCCTTTCAGATTGACTCTGACGCCACAGACGGCGCATTCTACATCATGTGCTTGGTATGATTTCGCTTGTGGATCATTAACAAGGCGCAATTTCCGTTCTGCAGCGGCGACGCGGCTGCTGGGCCTGTGATACAGATCAGAATGGCGTTTTCCATTGGGAACGCAAAAGCATACACTTGTTCCACAGGGCTGCCTGTTGTTATCTCAGATAATGAGTCCGAGATTCCTCCTTTTGACGGTCCCGCCTCATTTGAGTTCCTGAGAAACGTCAATTATGATCTAACAAGCTTACGGGTTTTTAAATACCTGAGTGGTTTGAGATCGCAGGTAAGCCTGTGTTTTTCCCAGCGCTGGACATGGTAGGGTCTTCTACGGTCAAGCTTGAGAACTTTGTCGCATCTGGTACATGTAACCTCGTAGGGAGATATGTTCGCGCATTCCGGTTGATTCTCAAAATATTGGCGACGTTCCGCCTCAGTTCGCCGGATTCGAGTTGTGCCACGGATCGACTCCGCCACTGAATCTGCCAGTGAGTCCGTGACGGATATATTGTCTTCTGCAGCGAGGGAAGCCACCGACCTATGAGTAGAACAATGAGCTGATGAAACATGTTGAGAGTGTTCGATTTACATACGCCCTAGAAAGAGATTTCGCGTTTTCCGACCCAAGAGCGGATCGCTTCTTGTTGGTAGAAGGAGACGCTGCGACTTGCTGAATGACGCGGTTCAGTGAGGTGGTCGACGAGGAGGAACGTTTGTGTGTGTGATTGTTCGCCTGAACTGACTTGGGTCCCTCAGGCTCCTCAGAGTCGCGTCGAACGCGCTTAGGAGAGGGTCCAGGGAGTCTACGTACGTGCCAGCGTTAAGCTACTTGCCCAAACACAAATTTAAAAGGTACGCACTTGATATCCCTAAAGTCTATCTTTTTCATTTTGCCCTCCGGTGCCTAGGTAGGAAATGAGAAATATTTCATCTCAACAACCAAACGAACCTTGAAGAGGGGCTTATGGGATGCGCCTGCTTCACGCTGATTGCCAGTGAAATCAGTTTCTGGGTCGCTGGCAGGGGTAACTTGTAAGTCTGGGATGGTTGACAAGGTGACAAACTCGCATACCCTGTAGTATCGGGAACACTTCTCCTTCCCTATGTTCGTAAGAACAACACAAAGGCAAAGAGGAATAGTGGCTTACCTTTGGCCGTTCCAAATAGGTAACTTTTACCGGTGGCCTATAGTACATCGGTTACCGTGACGCGACAAAGCAAAGCAAGAAGTAGACCTTTCCGGAGATGAAGGAGAGCTGTCCATTGGATTGAGAGTCAGGTGGATAAGGAATTTAAGTGTATGGTAGGAAATAAAAAGGAGCGCGTGTTGAAGAACGTTGGGGGTATATCGAGGCCTCTGTCCACAGACGCGTCGGAGTCAGGAAAGCAAGAGGAAAGTGCCAACTTGTCACAAAAATCAATCACAAACACGTCTTGAACACATTTATCTCAAGAGCTCTCAAGTACAATTTATATTATAAGGTACGTATCAAAAAATTAACTAGTATAACGCTACGATAGGAATGGGAAAAATCATCATAATAGAGTCGTGGCAGTCATCATGCAGAATTTGTCATATGAAGTGTGGTTTGGAAACTATCGATTGCATTCGCGTCCATGGCAGGATAAAAGTTTGGACGGTGGTCAGGTATGTATGACATTCCGGAAAACGGCGGCCTAATTTCTTGCTGCTGCTGTGGGTAGTAATAATGTGACATGTAGTGATGAGACACAGGAGGCGAAGAGGCGGAATACATTGACATTGGAGGTGGCTGAAGGTGAAGTTGATGATGGGAGGGTGGAGGAGGGGCGAATGAACATGACGGTGCTACCTGCTTTACGGTAGACATATCAAGCACCATCTCTGTGTAAACACTTAGCAAAGAAATCGTCGAGGACCGTCGCCGATTCACGTACCTCCTGCGTCAGGTATCCCTGGTTTCCGATGAGTACATTCAGAGCCTTTGCCATCCCGTGAACATGTTTTACATGCACGCTCGATGCACTCGCACCCTTTCCTTACGCAGGAACTACAAGGTCTACGCTCTTTTTGTGAGAATTTGTTAAACAAGAACTAAATCATAACACACCTAACCCCATCGCAGCGTATCTTATCGTGCCTTTCAACGTCGCGATAAATTTAATATTCATTATGGTAGGAAGTGTCGACGTACCTGCAACTTATACATGCCTTGAAAAGTGGAGAATAAGCCAATCGAGACCATTGCACTTGCAAAAGCAGACCACTCACGGCTTTAACACGGGTTCCATGCCCCCTTCCCTTCCGAGGAACAGCAATACATTCCTTCTCGCCTTCCACGCAAAATTTACAAGGTCTGGAATCCTCGCACCGCTTGTTATCCGCTCTGCACCCCTCGCAACGTAGCTTAACGAGTTTCGGCCCTCGTGTGACGTGGATACATTCTTCGGAGCGGGCGATACATCTTGAGCACGGGCGTTGATCATCGCACTGATCGTTCATGTCGAGCTAAGCGAGCAAACAAGGTTCATACCAGGGAAAGGCATCACCTTTTTGTTGTCTCTCCGGCAGTTTGCACATGCGAGTTTCGCTCTGTCGGAGCCACCACGAACGATCCGAGATGAAATCGTTGATGTAGCCACTTCTTGCCGAGGAAGAGCGATGGTAGATTCCTCCGTACATTCGATATGAAGTTGTCTGCATCGCTGACAAGGCTTGCCGTCTTCACACCGAACGCGAGCGCGTCGACAGGGTTCGCAGCCGTCTTTGCACTGATCTGATCCGTATCCTCTCTTGATACAACCACTACATGGTCTAACGGAAGTATCAAAACGGCTGTAAGATTAAGAAATTCGCAACCGCACCTTGCACCATCGCACCTAATCTTATCACGCCTATGATGGGCTCAGTGGAGAAATGGAGACCATCGCTACAAGTAGCGCACCTGCAACTCGCACAAGCCTGTCATATTTTGTAGAATCAACGATGCTTGGACCATGAAGACCTTATCGACGTACTTTGGAAGCTCTTCTCGGCCACGCTGACGAGCCGTTGTCGGAAGCCGGGTTTTGTGGCTGAGAATTCATGGTGATAACGGAACCAGTGCGGTGCCCAAACTCAGAAGAGCTCGGCTAAGTCCGTCGTCGTAAAGGCGCTGCACCTCGCTGCAGATTAACGTTGCAGATATACGCTTCAATAGGTATGTATGTATGTAGTGTACAATGCACGAAAACATTTATAAATGTGCTATGATAAAAGAGTGGCTTCTCGCAAAAGCAAGGATATTGTAAGGGAATGCACTAAATCATCTAAAAAGCGAGTCATCAAGCATACTAATCCAACCTGCAATACTTCATTGATAAGTAGCGATGTAGTTTATCTTCCATTTAGCAACTATACGATCCGTTTAGTCATAAAATCTTAGGGTGAAAGAGACAACTCACAACGAAAGTTAGCGGGGTTCTGGACAGCACCTCCACACGTCCCAGGACATCCAGCGCTAGCGTAGGTAGCTCCAGCGAAATCTCCGCAAAGCGTCGTGTCGATTACTAACTGATGGTCATGGAAGCCGTTCATATTACATGACTTCGCTGACCAGAAGGCGGCGGGTGTTGGCCAGCTAGCAGGGTTGGGTTGTTTCGCGTTAATGTCCGCAGGAATTTCGCCTCGCGCAAAGTGCCACATCTTAATCCCTTCGCTGTTCCACAAATGCGCGTAAACTCCCCCTCCAATCATGTTGAATGGTTTCCCGTACGACCTAGTGTCGGTGTCGATGAAGGCGCAGCCATTGTTGTTGTCGCCGCTACTAGCGCATTGGGAGCTGATAGCGTTGGCAGAAACACGGTTGTTGTCGCTATTGAGTGTGCAGCCAGGTCCAGTGTGCAGAGTATATTGATTGGTTGGTTGGTTATGAACACCCTCCAAGACGTCGATTTCACCTTAGATTGCGTTCAAAAAAGGTTCTTAAAAATAGTCGTAAAATGTGAACTTACCTGCGCTCGGCCAGTTAGGCCCAACTGACCAATATGCCGGCCAGACGCTGCACCCGTGAGGCATTGCCCAGAAATCGGCAATGAAGAGACCACCGTTGTATGTTTTCTTCGAGGTTATCCGAATACTGATAACGGAATTAACACAAGAGATAAAACTCTGTTATGCCCACTCACGAGTCACGGTTGGAGTTCGGGGGCAGCGCGGAGGTATCGTCGACAGCCAAGACGGTAGTGCCGTCGGATTGAACGAAGGCCAGATTTTTCGCTATCGCCTGATCTTTCGTCTGGAAGTTGACGCTGCCATGAGTGGGGTCAGGATCGGAGAAGAAATCCCAATCACTAGAAGGCACAGATTAGTTATGATGTCAGACTGTCGGGATTGAGATACGCACTTCAGAAACGATTGTCCGGTATACATATCCTGCAGTACGAATGTCTTTGTATTGTTCCGCACATGAAGAGTACGAGCATGATTTGCGTGGCGGGATCGTAAAGATTTGTCTTGGTGCTTGCCTGCAAGCGCTCCGAGAGGAAGTAAGGCCAAGAACAAAGTTGATAAAAAAAGCATGGTGTTATCGGAGTGAGAAAGGGAGAAGAAAAATAGGGGACGGGAAAGAGAAGGGAGGTGGTTGACGTCTTGATCAACACGGTCCTTGTTTAAATATCGTCCAAGGTGGCCTGGGGTCATCGCGCTTCCGGTGGCCTGATGGCCACTCGTGGCCCGCTCTTCCGATTGGAGAAAGGTTCAGAAGACTCAAATGTTGTTGCCTTTGGTGTCCAGTGACGACCATTGTCCTTGAGTCCACAGAAAGCCACAATTCCCCGCCATGCGTTTCCTAGTTGACAAAGGGTGTGCCACCGCGTCTATATCGCTCAAGTGGCCTCCCTTTTGCGTCAAAGTGCCAATGGCCGCGTTCGATCATGCTGAAGATGGATTTTTTTTTTCTTTCCTTTGTCAGGAGCGGTCGTTGTGAGGGAGGGTTTTGTTTTTGCCCCAGTTTATTTTGGGACAATGATCGTCATGATTATGGGCACGTGAGTTAGGGTCTGAATTCTAAATTTATAATTGGAAGCCAAGTCACCGGTGAACTACTTCGTCACGGTCCTCAAAAAATGTCAGAATTGGAATGTTTGGCGGTGGGGAGATCCTCTGAAGCACAGTATGGCCTTCAAGCTGCTCAACTAGGTCAATAAGGAGCATGGTGAAACGCGACGCGACGCAGACTAATATTTGAACATCACGTGCCTAATGTCACGTTTCCGGCCATACAGATCGCCACACAGATCGCCATATGTACATGATCGCCGTACTTTCCAATGCTGACATGCCCTCACGGTCCTTATACTTAGTAGTATTTACTACTTGCTTACTACTTCTCATGCCTGTCTCTCGCATCATTTTGGATCAAATCAAGAGACTTATACCACCGCTTGACGGTACACTTCACAAGGGCCAGTCAGGTCGCGTCGCCGTCCTCGGTGGAGCACTCGAGTATTTGCGATCGTCTTTATCTTACAAGTCTCCATGCTAACTATCCCAGCTACACAGGTGCCCCCTTCTTCGCTGCGATCTCCGCCCTGCGATTTGTACTTTTCACGATATCCTTCGAGCCTTCCCACTCTTTAACTGAGTCAATAGGGTGCGGACCTCTCCCATGTCATATGCTCGCCCACGGCAGCAGGTGCAATAAAATCCTACTCCCCTGACCTTATCGTACATCCTATCCTGGATGAGCATTCGTAAATATAATTTTCTGAACTGTTACTGCCTCTGCTTGACCTTCCCACCCTCGAAGCTCTCCAAAGACAGTCAAACCGGCCCTTCAATCCCTTCTTGACCGCCTGCACGTTCTCATCGTGGGCCCGGGATTAGGCCGTGAAGCCTACATGCAAGATTACGCCAAATTGGCAGTATCCCTCGCCAGAGAGAAGGGCATGTTCATCGTTCTCGATGCCGACGCTCTCTACATGATCGGAAAAGATATTTCCATCATCAAAGGCTACAGGCGTGCCGTTGTCACGCCAAATATCGTCGAGTTCAAGCGCTTGAAAGAACAGGTGGGCGCGGACCCGAATACCCCAGCCGATCAGCTCGCAGGTTTAGTCTCTCGACTACTAGGCGGGGTGACAGTATTGGAGAAGGGAGCTAAGGACATCATCTCGATTGACACAACGGGAAGCGAGGCTGACTTGGAGGCAAGTCAGCTGTCGAGCGCCGATGCGAAGCGCGAGAGGGCAAAGGAAACAATCGAAGTGGATACCCCAGGTGGTCTCAAGAGGTGCGGTGGGCAGGGAGATATCTTAAGTGGGTGTGTGGGGACGTTTATGGCTTGGGGGAAATGTTATGAAGACGGTGCCTTTGGGTCAGTTTCATTCCGTGCACTCTTCATTTACTGAAGTCGACTTAATTTGCATCTTTGTCAAGTGATGGTGAAATTGCGGCATCTCGTGTCCCTCTTCTCGCAGCGGTAGGCGGAAGTATGGTGACACGCACCGCCAGTCGGCGCGCGTTTTTCAAAGAGGGCAGGGGAGTTGTCACTCAAGATTTGATTCCTGAAATCGGGAGGTCGTTCGTGGAAGTATTCGGTGCCTCCGCCGTGGACGGTTCACAACCTGCTCGCGATCTCAAGCTCTAACTCGTGTTCTATCATTGACGTTGACACGCTTGGACGCACAGGGGGGCCGCGGGTAGCGAGCGCTGTTTGTGACTGTTATAATTACATAGGTGCCCGCAGCTTTACATCTCTAATCCTCGCGTTTTATAGGTGTCATAGATTCTACGCCTAGTATTCAATTCTATCATAACTCAACAAAGATATTTGGCGCGAAATATCGTCACGAAACGACATGGCGTTGCTAATATTTCTGATTTTTTTTTTTTTGTTCCATTTTATAATTTTTATTCCATTTGGGCAGGCCCTATGATACCGGAATTTACATACGCTGATCGTGAGTCTGACCTATACATGGGGTCGGTTAGTCCGAAAGGGTGAGTTTGAAAATGCGACCCGCGAGAGAAAAATTGGCAGCGGCGGCCGTTAGCATAGTTTATGTGGGATTGTACATCAGGGAACATTATTTGCTCCATAGATCTAGTTAGATCAAGTAGTTGGGTGTTACTAGAAGACTTGTCGACCTGTTCGACTAGGAGCTACTGGCAGCTACAGAGACTGGGTAGCCCTCTGTAGACCAATAGACAAGTTCTAGATGTGTCCCTGATGTGATGTAATGTAGAGGGGATGGTAAATATGAGGGACGGAGGGAAAGGAAAGGAGGGTGAGGAGGAGGAGGGAGGAGGGGAAAGGAAGGGTAAAGAAGGGAAGAGGAGGGAAGGGAAGGAGAGAAGGAAAAGGAAAGGAAGGAAGAGGAAAAGGAAGGGGAGAGGATGGGAGGGAGGGAAAGGAAGGGGGCTGGGGAAAGGGAGGGCAGCAGGGCAAGGTGGAAGAAGCGGGGAAGGGGGTTGTTTTTGTCGGTGGGGTGGGATCTAAAAGTCGTCGGGGCACTTGTAAGTGAGGTCGTATTCATCTAGACCCAGGCAGTCGGAAGTGACCTCCAGTTGAACAGAAAAACACATCGAATCTGGGTGAGGAGTAGACAAGGGGAAAACTTGTAACATGGGGTATAAACTTTCCTCGACGCCTCCCTGTTGCACGTCGTCAGAAGGCTGCTTGGATACGTTTTTAACGCATGTCTTGAGATGTCGCTTCATCGCATGCCCAACGCCAAAGTCCTTCCCACATCCGAGAACACAGCCGTATGGCTTGATTCCTAGGTGAGCATTTTTATGGTCTGTGAACGACGTCGTTATTGTTCGCCATAAAGTGAGCTGCTACGCAATACTCACGCTTTTGGTTGGCCTTTGTCGTAAAGTCTCGCTTACAATTGTTGAAATTGCATTTATATATTGCAGGCTTTTTTCTGCGCTTTGTGGTGACCTTGACTAACGCCTCAGAGCCGACAACCCATTTTGAATTGGACGGCGAGCCAGTGGACTCACTTGGCGGCGAGTGAGGAGGTGGTGGTGGAGGGATTAAGGGGGCCTGTTTATCGGACGATCTGAACGATCTGACAGAAGGTGCGAAGTTTTTCCAGGCCACTCCACCGTCCAATTCTCCCTGCCAGACATCGTGATCTGGGCGACCGTGGGTCAATATGTCACCTTGGCTGCGTGAGACCGAATAAATGTTGTTTTGGGAATATCCGTCACTATGGCCCTTGCCTGCCATGCTTCTGGGTATGCTATTAGGGGCGGAGTAGCCATTGGCTGGAGGGTCTTGGGTAAAAGATTTATACTGGGTCTGATCTATTCCAAAATAAAACCTGAGTTAGTCGTGGGTGTTTACGAGATTGCTTGAGGTCGAGACTCGCCTTGACCATAATAACTTGGGGCAGGGAAGCCATAAGCTGTATAATTCACGAGAGGGTAAAAACGGTGGGGGATGTTGTCTGACATGTGAGAAAGCAGGCAGCCAACAGAAGGAGAAACTGGGATTTAAAAGGGTCCCAGGCTGCTGTACAACCAACCACGCATTTGCCATGCAACAGGATCGTTACATCGTGACTCGGGCGCGCACGGCCAATGGGGGTTCGGAAAGTATCCTCTTTAGACAGCACGTGTATCTGCGCGTCTAAAAAATGTAGTGTATTTAGTACCCCACAATCGACATCCGAATTCACCAGAAACCGCACGACACTTCAGAAAGCCTATGTGAATAATCACTGCTACACCAAATCCACTCTTTCCTAGTCATGCATCAGTACCACTCGATGATGGAGATGCTCAAACACGGAGACAAAGCCGAGGGATAAAAAAGCGGACCATTGATCGGACCGTTTTGAGTGGGAAAAAGTTGGGAAAAGGAAATCTGCAAAGGGGCCATAGAGAATATATTATTGCTGTGCGGCTTTTGGTGAAGGACTCCGGCTGAGAGGGTCCTATTACGATCGACAATGTCATTTTTCTCGCGACCGTCGAGCGAGCAAGGAGCGATCGCCTTGAAGGCGAGAATCTGATATCCAAATGTTGTCTAAAGGATTTTGTTCAACCAAGGTTTGCAAAAGTTTCGATAATCCTGGAGTCTGGGAAGTAATGCTTACTGACAGCTTCCGGGAGGTACCGGTGTCACCTGTACCGACTGCACACCCACAGTTCCCGTCATAATGGTGGCTTAAGTCCGCCGCGTCTTCAGTGAGAAGATGAAGGCACTAGACCAAGAGACCGGGGTGTGGCGTGGCGTGTTGATAACGAGAGGTCGGTGTCACCAGTTCCAGGGAACCGGATGGCATCAGACCAACGGTAAGTATTAGACCTTGAGTGAACAAAAGACTAGTCTCATAGCAACGGCGAGGTGCGGCCTCTGTGGGCGTTTGCACGTCCGAAGAAAGGTTCAAATCAATAGCTGACTTACTACATAGTTCGATTGTACAGGATTTATCTTCTCTTGCCCGTCTAAAAAAATCCACTCCTCGCGTCTGGTGTTGCTCTCAACGTAGTTTAATGAAAGAGAAGAGGGCACAAAATTACTGCGAGGGGAAACGGTCATTTTCGCAGCTGTCGACTGATAGTTGGTTCACTTACGGTAATGACGGTTGGCTCATCCCTGCCCAAAAACTCCTTCAGCTTGCTCAGTTCAAGCGCCACCTCGATTAAACTCTTCAAACCCTCAGCGGCGGGTCTTCCAAGCTCGGATGGACCGGCTTGTGGAGCAACGTAACGCTCGACATACAAACGGACCGTCGCGCCTTGACTTCCGGTGCCACTCAAGCGGAACACGACCCTGGAGCCGTCTGAGAAGGTGATAACCTGCCCTTGGTTCTTCGACACTGAATTGTCAATAGGGTCTTTGTATTCAAAATTGTAGAGTCCCGAGACCGTAAATTTAGTGTTTGTCGAAGCTGATACGTGAACAGTGTTGTTAAGAGAGCCGGACTCGAGGGCGTCGTTGAGATGCTTCACAAGAGCATTGGCGCCCTCAGAGGAAACCTCCTCATAATCGTATCGGCTAAAGAAGGAGCGACCATAGATCGCATAGAATTCGTTGAGAATATCGTTGATGCCAATAAGGTTATTAGGAGACTTCTTGTTGGCGGCGGCGATGATATTCAACCAAGCTACATTGAGGGTGAGTGTTGATTCCGGCGAGGACCGAAAACATTACCAATAACTGCCCACAAGCCGTCCTTCTCCCGGATGTGGTCGGATCCAGTCCCAAACGATTCCTCACCGCAAATCGATAGTCTTCCAGCGTCCATGAGGTTTCCAAAGAATTTCCAGCCTAATTTAGGGGGTGTTAACCTGGGTGGGAAGTACATGAATGTGCTTTACCGGTTGGGACTTCAAAGTACTCGAGACCTTTCTTTTTCGCGACGAGGTCAATAGCCTTGCTCGTCGGCATACTCCTAGCAAGCCCCTTAACACCTCCCTTCTTGAAGTAGGGGATAACCTCAGCCCAATGCGCAATAATAGCTACGGAGTCCGAAGGGGTAACGAACGCGCCCTTGCCATAAATCATGTTCCTGTCACCGTCTCCATCGCTAGCAGCGCCAAACTGGATGTTATCTTTCTCAACGGCGTCAACGAGGGTATGAGCATAAGTTAGGTTGGGGTCGGGATGTCCTCCACCAAAATCGGGCAAGGGTACGCAGTTCTGGATGGAAGACTCGGGCAGCCCGAGCGTGGAGACAAGGATTGCCTTGGCATATGGGCCAGTCACACCGTTCAAACCATCAAAGAGTACGCGGTAGTCAGATTTGTGAGAGTCAAGGAAAGACTTGATCAGAGGGAAATCGAAAATCGACTCAAGTAAGGTGAGGTAGTCGGCAACTGAGTCGATGACGGAGACTTTCGAGGGTCCGTAGGTAAATTCTCCGATTGAAGAAAGGTCAACCTAATTTATTCAGCGACGAAACTTGAACGAGAGATAGAGAACGTACAGGAGGTGCCTCGATGACTTTGTAACTTGTGATAGTTTTGGTCTTCTCGTATATCTGATTAGTAACGCCTTCAGGCGCTGGACCGCCGTTTGACACGTTATACTTGATGCCGAAATCGTTTTCTGGTCCTCCAGGATTGTGACTGGCAGTGAGTAAGATGCCCCCAGTAGCCTTGTATTTGCGGATGATGTTGGAGGCAGCAGGAGTCGACAAAATCGAGTCCTTTCCGACGATGAATTTGGAAACGCCGTTTGCAGAGCCAATTTTGAGAATGGTCTGTACAGTCTCGGGAGAGAAATAGCGGCCGTCGCCGCCAACGACAATCGTTGAACCATCGGCATCGATGGAATCAAAGATGGCTTGAACAAAATTCTCGGTGTAGTGCTGAGAGAGAATAAGTAAGCCGCATATAATCAAAGGCTCTTGCGGACCTCTTGTTGGAACACTTTCACTCTAAAAGTGTACGGTCAGTGCGGCTCTTAGGGGCCCGATAAGTACTGACCGTTTCCTGAGACCAGAAGTACCAGGTTTCTGGCCGTCGAACGGCTTTGAGGGGATTTCTTTGACAGGGAAAGTCATTGTAGATGATAGTTGGGAAGAAGAAATTGCGTTTACTTCTGTATCGATCTGCAATATATGATGTCAGATAAAATCATGTGATCGTTCCACTTTGGATCCCAAGTTGTGTTTTCTCGACAACAGTCAGATCGTCCAATCCTATACAGCAATACAATATATCACTGAGGCATCGTATCAACCCGTATCAGCGTTATAACCCCGGCACTACGAGATCGTACCTGTCTGGAGTCGGGACAGACGGCCCCCACGTCGCACAAACGTTTGTTAGTTCCATGACCATAACTGACGCATAGGATAATTGATGAGCGTGGACGGGTTGAACATGGGTGAACGCACAGTCTAAGTAGTGGCAAATTGCAACAGTCTAGGAGAGGATGCCAGTGAATAATTGGCATTCAGTTGCAATTGGTACGTAGCAGAAGTGTGTGAATCAAAGCCAGTCACGCGAGCCATCTTGTCAGTGTGAATTCTTGTCGGTGATTTACTATGACATGAACCGGATACCTCCAAACCTCCTCTACCTCGCCATCTACAATCCAGCCCTCCATTCCAGCGATTCATCTGCAGAACACAACGAAGATGCCGAAGAGCAAGCACATATATTGTTTTACACATCCAAGGAACGAGCTGTTTCTCGCGATCGTATGCTCCGGCAGATCGGGTTGGCGAAAGCTCTCGCAAACTTCACCGAGTGAATATCACTCACGTACTATGTGGTTCTGAAAGTAACTGTGTTCTGTTAGGTTGTTTAACACAGACGATCTGTGCAACAATATCCATTCGCAATCCAGACGGATGATCATGGTCTCGCCAGAACCCAATTTTTGGATACATGCAGTTAGTCCTCAACGCTGTCCGATGTCATATTGGGGACTTTGGTGATCATAGCCGTAAAGGGCATTGAGCTTGCCAAGGTACCTCAAGTTACCTCTTCGAAGAGCAAAGGCAAGTCCAAGGCGAAACCTTTGGAAAGGGGCACAGAAAAGGAGAAAGGTCCAGGTCCCACATACGATTATGATGATGGATCTGTGAATGATGTCGCAATCCGAGAACATGTCCTACGCGTGTATGAACGATTCAAAGTATGTACGGAGAAACTTATGCCTCAGGACGCGACCTTAGTTCCCTACGCTGCAGCTTACACATGGTTCTTTCACATCTATCATATCGACTCTCGGACAGCAAGCCTTGGAACTTCAACTTGACCGGTTTTTCACTGTATGGGCTTGGTCGTGGAATTTAGAGGATGGACCACAGATTTGCGAGCAACTCGGTACGCAAGTATTGTCATACATAGGCTCAAGCCGATTGCTAATATATCATAGGTTCACCCTTGCATCCTTCTTTTTCTGCCCTCATACCGATTCTTGATGATTTCTGTGCCCTACTGTCGGATGAGACAGTTGCTGCGGTGCTTTCGCCATCAACTCTAGTCCCCTCTACTCGATATACGAATGCAGGTTACCCACCGTCGCTGATAGACTATCTCATGTCGATTGTACCTCCCTCGACATCCACCGAAGACAGAACAAGCCCCCTCTCATCTTCAGTAGACACTATTAAAGGCAAAGTTCCAGCCATGTCCAATCCCAACCAAAGTGGGGATCCGAAAAAAGAAGCTGGAAATTTTCTGGGCATGCCCGCCATGAATGTCAACATGGACGTGCGCAAGTGGAATTGGCCGGGATATTTGACTTTTGGGAGAGGGTCTTCGTCAAAGCCCAACATCAGCCTCTCGCTAGAGACCAAGCAAATACCGCCATCCTATGATTCCGGAAATAAACCCAACGGCGAAGAGGTTCAAGTTGACACGACTGCGTTAGAGGATGCTATGTCATCTAGTACGAGATCTATCTTCACAACATCTGACGGTGGTGGCACAGACCTGACGCCATCCGATCCCTCCCCAAATGACACTAACAAGGACGTCTCGCCTCCCGAAGACGATGATCTGCCGGCTTCTCCTACCTCTTCGTCGTCGCCGTCCCTCGTTTCCGATACCTCCGAAGAACCAGCTGTTATGCCTTCGCCTCCCCCATTCTCTGATTTTTTAATTGTTGGGGTTCATCTGGCCCCTCCAAGTAATCCAACAGCCACGAAGCGTAGAAGAGTACATTATCATATCGCAAGTCACTTCACTCTGTGAAAGTCCCCACTCTCATGATTTTGCTTGTTTAGCGCAATAGACTTATGCTTGTCTTATTGGACATGACTGAAGATAACGAGACACGAGATTTGGAACTTGCAGCTAAGCATACAGCAAGGCTGCTTGATGATTTGGATTCCGCCACCGATGCCGCAGCCCACGGAAGGTTTGTTATCAGCGCGTAGTCCTTGTTTGGGTTCTGAACAGACAGTGACTTTTAGCTTATTCGAGTCGCTGCCATCAGCAAACAAGATTCTCCAACCATTGGACACTCACATAGTTTCAACAGGACAATATACACTATCAAGCCCTAAATTTGTGTCGAAATCAAGTCATCTATATAACGCAATGGCCATGCAGGAAATGTATGATCTTCCCATTCAATTCTTTTTTGCGAGCTCAGGTCTGTTGTGTGCAGTGATCCAGGCATAACCGAAGTCTTTTCTCGCGGACAGAACCCGCAGCATTGGCACGTCGCTAAGCGTGGATTGGGGTCAAACGATGGTGACGGTGGAGAAGTTTACTTGGAGGTTTTCCGGAAGGAGGCGAGCTTAACGGATGTGGATAATGTTCTTGCGGGAATTGTGCGTAGGTCAAGTCTAATGGATGGGTCTGTATAGTACTAGTCGGTCTCCGTAGCTCATGGATCATGGATGGCGGACGGATATATTTTGTTGATCATTTGCGTTGACACCGGCACTCGGCTGATCAACGCGTCATTCATGCACTGCAACACGACCAGCGCAGGTCATGATCAATATTCATCCTGATCCATTCGTTTCCGCTCTCGCCTCTTGACTCTTTCATATAGACTGCTGAGGATTGTATTGTACTATCAACCATGGCCCCAATCCACCTACTTGTTCTCATACACGGCATGTGGGGCAATCCCGGTCATCTCGCAGAACTTGCTCGCATCGCCCGCGAAACACATTCTACAGCCTCTGATGGCACGAAGCTGCACGTATTATTGGCAGAGGCAATTAGTGAAGACTCGACGTATGACGGTATTGACTGGGGAGGGGAAAGGGTCGCTGACGAGGTGCGGCAGCAATGTCTTGACGCCTCTCCTACATTTATCTTACCTCTTCTTTTTAGGTCGCAGATGAGATCAAACAACTTGAGGTGGATGACGAGGTCGTGCGATTCTCCGTTACGGGCTATAGCCTTGGTGGATTGGTCGCTCGTTATCTAGTTGGGTAAGCCAGGTCTGATGCAATATCGCAAGTTAAATAACACACTTGCAGTATCCTGCACCAGAGAGGCTTCTTCGAAAAAGTCACCCCGGTCAACTTCAATACCATTGCGACGCCCCACATAGGTCTTCTGCGATACCCTTCATTTATTTCATCGGTATTTTCGTCCCTTGGTCCCAAACTCCTTTCGCGTACTGGCGAGCAATTTTATTGCGTCGACGAGTGGTCCCCCAATGGTCAACCACTTATATTAACCATGGCTGATCCTGGTGAGTGACTCTCCTCCTACCATCGCTTCCTTTCTCTCAGCCTAGCATAGATAAAATATTCTACCAGGCACTCTCCTCTTTCAAACACATACGGATATACGCTAATGCGTAAAGTTACATCCTCTCCTTAGCCCGTCGTTCGCTGACATGGCTTACTGACAGCATCAATGATGTCACTGTACCATACGTTACTGCCGCAATAGAGACGGAGGATCCATTTGCCGAATATGATACAAACGGAATAGAGATGTATGTTGCTTTGCTTTTCCCTGATGTCATTCAGCGAGCTTATTCCTCTACAGAGATTTTGACGACAAGTACGAGAAGCTAGTGAGGCATTATTCTTTGCCAGCTGTCCCTCCACCCCTCCCGCCAAAACCTGCCGTATTGTCGGTTGACTGGTTTCGGAGCATGAAGCCCAGACGGCCACTTTTACCACCTGCATTGCAGCTTCGTTTCCCGCTTAACTTAGTGAGGACGATCTTTCTCGTTTCTTGCTCTTTCTAACGAACCGTACTTGTCAGATATTATACACTTTCCTTCCTCTCCTTGTCCCCGTATTTCTCTCGCTTGCCATCCTCAATTTTTCTCTGAAAACACGGTCGTCTCGCGCACGCATTAAACTATTGGAAGCGAGTAGCTCTAATCAAGCAAAACTAATTCACGTCTTTGCCGAACTCGAGAGTCAAGTAGAGGAGATGGTGGTCGATCTTGTCGACGACCCGAACCCGTCATCTCGAGGAGTTAATATTACACGTCCTCAAGCTCACCCCATCCTCTCACCATACCAGCGGAAGAGCGCGGCTTGGCTGAACCAGCTCCCTATCAAGAAAGAACTGGCATATTTTACCGATGTGCGAAATTCACATGCAATGATAGTTTGTAGAGACGTGAAGAGGTTTGAGCTACATAAACTTGGGGAGGGTGTTCTTCGGCACTGGGCCAATGCATTTATATTGTAACTTTTACCGTAGATTGACATTACATGACGTCATGTGACCTACTTCCTTTGTCCACCTGATCTTCGTCGTTCTTCACAAAGAAACCATAAGCTATAACATGGAAGGCGGAAGCCACTGGAATCACCACTTCCATTCTTACCACCCACCTTTTACTTTCAGCCCTGGAGGCATTCTATCAGTGACGACAAACCTATACACACTCCTTGCCATTAATCATTTACCGTTACCGCATCATATATCATGGGACGAAGCCGAAGCTCAAGACGCGCTATGCCCCCACCTTCAGCATCAAGGACTCGCAACATGCTCAAGAGGGTGAAGAATTTTAGGAAGCCAACAAATTGTCATCGTAAGTTGCTTGCGAACCTTCTAGCCTTCATTCTCACCTAGTTCCACAAATGGACAGGAGCACTAGTGGCCATTCGTAGCCTAGCTAATCTGGATGGCGCGTCATTTTATATCCATGAGGATGACATGAAGGCCAAAGGCAAGTACCTTCAATGGCTTTTTATCCCGGTGCTAGGTACTCAGCTCATTTCTGCAGTGAATAGTCACGCAACACGGTGTAACGAGGTGTTGGGTAAACAGACAAACCGTCTCCTCGACCATGCCCTATTGAAATGCGTACGTTCAGTCATTTGATCTTTCCTTTCAACTCTTTGATGCCGCAAAATATGACAGCGTAAACTCGGTTTGATCAAATATGAGCCCGGTGGCGACTGTTTCAAGTTGACTGCATTGGGGAAGGAACTGTCAGTCTTTCTCGCGTGATGACTTGCTAGTTCTGACAACGAAATAGCCTTCGGCAAGTGAATGAAGCTGTCAGGGACCTTGAATTTGCCACCGACAAAGACATTCATCATGCAACGTGCGAAGCTGTCTGTCGTTTGCTTCCCGATGGATGTCTTCCTACCGTGAAAGAGGTATTTTTCACCAAAGCAAACCTGAAATTGGATTTACGAGGAACGTCTCATAGATTGATGTCGAAAATCGTGGACTTTTACAAGAAAACGATGAATACAGAGCTCGTTATGGTGAATTGAGTTCTGAAGGCGTTCCCGTCGATTCCGACGTCTCGAGAGAGGCCGATGAGGGCGTTCTTCCTGACAATACGCCTTCGTACGTTGATCTCCGATTCCTTTAACATTGATACCCATTCCTTCCTTCGTTAAGAACACCAGTTAGACCTCGACCCTCGCAGAATCTTCTGACAGGCTATCCAACACCCGAGTCTATTCCCCGGCCCAATCTTTCCATGCGCTACGCTGTGACGCCTGCACCCACATCGACTGCAATACAGAATGTCGATGATACGATGATTGTCGATGAACCTCAAGGCCCTGCGAATGGTGAACTTGATTGGGATGAAAGGACCGACGATTTGACTCTCAGGGTGAGGGTTTCATTTTTTTTGTCATTCTGGAACTCATTGAATGGCTCCCAGAACCGTGAGCTTGAAAAAGATCGTTCGTCCCTCGCAGCCGAGTTCTCTTGTGTTGTTAGGAAGTACCGAATGGTCGGTAAAGTTTTATTCATTTTGTAAACCATTTCTGACCAGCGCCGTCGTTACATCTGACAGAAGGAGAAGGGGGTAAGGAAAACAATTTGGTCCTGATCTTTTAAATTCTCACTTCGGGTACCTTTCTTCGGCAGATTCAAGCCCTTTTGGAAGAAAAGGACAAAGAGGTAAGTCTTATGGACTTGCGACTGATGTTCATGCTGAGTTTAAGGACAGATTCAGGCATTGAAGGTTACCATTGGGGCGGAGCAGAGGAAATTCAAATTGTTCAACTTTTTCCACCGCCACCTTAGAGGGGTCACCAACAGGTTGCAAAGCCAAGTCGACGACAAAACCGCCATTATTCGCAAATTGGAGCAGGACTTCAAGGCCGCAACTGACAGCATCCTCGCTCTCAACGACGCTCACCAAGATCTCTTGCTCTTGTAAAGTTGAATCTTCTTTTTCTTTTTATCGTTGGGTCATCTGTATGCGTATTCCTCTGTACTTTAGTTTTGTACCATGCCGGAAATGGGACATCGAAATTCCAAACCCCGCCTGAACCTTATTCCAATCATACACCTGGACCCTGACTCCAAAAATCTCATATAAGCACCACCCATCAACACACTGGCCAACCCGCTCCTTTGTTCAACCCAACGACGACCGCGAGTCTTTACTTTAATGACTGCCACGATCAAGGCTAATGGAGGATACACGCGTCTTGACGTACGTCTTTCTTTCTTCAACTTGAGGGGGGGCGGGCTGTGATTGCAAGCCTACAAGCTCAGCGATGGTCATCTCCCCACCTCCCAACTTCCTTTACAATTACTAACCTGCCTCCCTTTTTCCTTCAACCAGCTTAAAGGCGCTCGACGAATTCGTAGCTGCCCAATCCGCCCTACTCGCCCAGACGCTGGGTGACATTGACCGTTTGAGGGAGCTCAAATCGGATTTAGTCGACGACGACCCGCCGTTTTCTAACGCCGACGAAGTAAGTCTGTCGTGCTCTCATATCTGCTGCAAGGGGTTGCGCTGTGTCATTCGCAGCGAGACGTTGCTCCAAGGCATCTATCTACCCTACGGCGAGGGGTTGTACTGCGCTACAACACTACGCTCGCAACACGTACCAATAAAAGAACCTCAACGCTGACTCTTTTTCTTTTGCATACACAGCTCGACGAATGGCTTATAAAACGCCTCGATGACCCCTCTTTCCGGCTGAGCGAACGCGCAGAGGAATGTAGGATGAAGATACCCCGTGACATTAGTTGTAATTGGGCTATATTTGAGGGGTGTGGTGGGTCTTTCCTTCTTTCTTTCGCCGTTCTTCTTCTCCCCTTCTCAAGTTCTCAAGCCACAAATCACTAACAACTACCCTTTAACAGACCCCGCCCCGCTACACGCCCTGACCCTTCAAGCGCAACATGCCTACGCACAGCGGAACATCCCTCCAACCACGCAAACGTCTCCGCTTTCCGACCTCCAGCTTCTCGTGAAGGGCGCGAGAAGGACCATCGTGGATCCTGTGTTGGCCCTTTTCGCCGATCTTTCTGACGGTGAAGATGAAGAGTTAACTGCGGAAGGGAAGAAAGAGCGAGAGGAGGCGCGCCAGAGGGAACGAGAGAGGGAGAAGATTAGGGAATTGAAGAGACGGAAGATTAGGGCGTGGGGTGGGTTGAGTTTGCCCTCTTCTTCGGGGGGGAAGGTTAAGGGGGAGGATGGAGGGGTGTTTATCAGGCGCGACGTGGATGATGAGAGTATGGATGTGGATATTGGGGACGGGGAGATGGATGGGTGCGAGCTGACGCGGTCGGTGGGGATGATGCCTCCGCCGCTGGGACCGGACGCGCCGCGGTCGAGGAAACCGAGTAGGAAGGCCAAGCCTCAGGTGTCTGAAGAAGAGAAGGAGGGTGAGGAGCAGGACGAGGAGGAGGAGAGACCGCGGAAGAAAGCCAGGCTTCCCAACCTCAAGTCAACTCCCAACGCCAACGGGAATGCTAACGCCAAAGAGAAGGCCAACGGAAAAGACAAAACCAAGACCAAGGGAAAAGAGAAGAAGCCCAAACCACAACCGGATACGTACAAACAAGCGTGGTCTGTCTCTGAGCAGCACTTGCTTGAACAGTTGTTGGAGCAAATACCTGAAGGAGAGAGGTTTAGGTGGCAGAAGATTTCGAGAGCCATGAATGGGACAAGGACTCCCAGGCAGGTTGCTAGTCGGGTACAAAAGTATTTCGAGAAGTTGAAGAAGTTTGGTGTTGAGGGGTATTAGTTTGCGACCTGGGGGTATTGTCCATTTGTTTGCTATCACCTCGAGGGCGACAATGTTGGTTCTAGAGTTGGGTTCCTGCTTTCATCGCCAACGTCCTCAGCGCTCTGGCCAAGAATTAGAGATATGGAAATCTGCGTCAATTTATGTTGGTTTTTTGGAGGAAGATGCGACTTACATAAATGTTTCGATCAGATACATGTTTTTCCCAAACCACCATTTTCCGTCGCTGGGGGGGCTCTTGATCTTACCAGCAGCCTAATAGAGCGCGGACGGTTGGCGGACGGATAGCGTTGGCGGGAACTATATGGCAGTATTATTTTTTTCCGACCAAAGAATTCTGCGCGACCACATGCAGGACGCGAGGCTCCACAACCGGCATTTGCCAGTTCACTACTCAGTACTCAACGTTCAACGTTCAACATTCCAACATGTCAGCATTTGTCGTTGGTCCGAACGATAAACTTGATGACTCTCTTTCCATAGGTGAGCTTTTTCCTTCAAGCTCGATTTGATTTGAAGTCAGAATATTTACTTAGTTCAAGATAGTAACCCTTTATTATCTTCCGAGCCACAAATTCAAGACCTTCACGAGATTCAGAATACCATTGATGTTACCCGTCTCCGTATTGATCAGGACATCGAGAAACTGGAAGGGGCCATCCGAGCGCTCAAGTCTCGCCGCAATAGCTTAGCTGCCATATCACGCCTCCCCCCTGAAATACTCTCCAAGATATTCGTATATTGCGCAGCCACTTACGAGCTCCCGCAGCTCACTTTGGATTGGGCTAAAATCACTCATGTCTCACGCCATTGGCGAAACGTGGCTATCGGTTGTCCTCACCTATGGACAACGCCTGTTTTCGCGCGACCGAGGTGGGTGGAAGAGATGTTGAAGAGGTCCAAAATGGCTCTTCTTTTCATTGATGCCCGGTTTACATACATGGCGGCCCCAAAATATGAAGCCATTCAACTGGCCATGAACCACATTTCTCGTACACGGGAGTTGAAGTTAGATTCCTCGTGTGCATGGTTTGGAAAAAAACTTTTTTCGAGTGTCCCCAGAGCAGCACCCATGCTTCAGACCCTCGTGCTGTCTACTTCAACAATGTATTCTGCAGAGCCGTTTCTTGACAACTACTCCATTCCTCCAGAACTCTTTAGCGACGACTCCTCTCAGCTCCGATGCCTCGAACTAACACATTGCGATATCGATTGGACATCCCACCTTCTCAGAGGTCTTACACACCTAAAAATCCACAATACTGCCCCAGGAACTAGACCATCTACACTCCTTTTTCTCGATGTTCTAGAGCAACTTCCAACCCTCACAGTACTCGATTTAAAGGACGCTCTTCCCCATGTCAGTGCTGATGGCTCTTCAACGGTGTCATACAAACGCAAGATTGAACTGCGCTCGTTGACAAATCTACATCTCTCGGGCTCCAATTACGACTGCTCTGATGCATTGAGGCATCTATCTGTGTCATCTATTGCTACCCTCAAGCTATATTGCCGAAGCACAGCGGTCTCTGAAGCTGATTTCTCCAGTATCCTGACCTTTGTCAGCGGCTTTTGGGAACCAGCAGCTAGCATTTCGAGTGCTGCAAAACCACCCATCCGCAGTCTCAAAATCGTGAGCGATGATTCAACGGGCTTCAGTTTACTAGCCTGGCCTGCCATGTTGTCGTTTGAAAGGTTATCTGGAGATCTGGATCTGGATCTGCCTTCCATAGAGTTGGGTTTCCAATGGTCTTCAACCATCATGCCCGGAATTTGGAATAAGGTATTCGGAGAGACCTGTGCTGCTTTACCTTTGGAGCAGCTCGCCTCGTTGGACGTTTCCGCAAGCCAGATGGCAGAACAAACGTGGTTGAGGATGTTTGGGAAGCTTACACATCTAAAATTCATACGTTTACTAGGGATGGCCGCACACACGCTTCTGTCAGCCATGATTGCTGAGCCTAGTAATACCACCGGCGCAAGTGCGCGCGCGAATTCATCGACGAGGAAACGCTCACGCAATCGGAGAAAGATCCCGCCCGCAGTCTACTTTCCCGCCCTGCGCCATCTTACAATTGAAGACACAAGTTTTGATTCAGGTTACGATGACGAATATGCCGAGCTGGAGGATTTGAAGGACTGCCTGATGGAACGTTACGAGAGGAAGGCCGAAGTGCACAAGCTGACACTTTGGCGATGTCATCGCCTGACGGCAGAGCATGTTGATGAGCTTGGAGAAATTGTCGTCGATGTGATTTGGGATGGGTTGGAGACAGGTTTTACCGAATCGGACTTCAGTACAGATTATTATGGCGATCATTTTGGGGACTCGGATATCGATGATCACATACATGGTGACTTTGATTCGGATGATGACTACTCATCTTTCCCTTTCTGAAGTTCTATAGGTACTGGTCTTAGGGTTTGAAATGGTCTTTTAGAGAGTCAATCCAGGCTGAACGTCCTTGTGTCGATCTAAATTCTCAATTTAATTAACTTGATGACCCCCTTGCAGTATACTTTCCCGTCTCCGTCTTACAATTGCAAGCGCGAATTTTCATTCAGGTCATAATGGAGAATCTGCCAAGCTGGATGATTTGAAGGACGGCCGATGGAACGTTACTGGAGGGAGGCCGAAGTGTGCCATGAGCTGACGCTTTCTCGATGTCATCGCCTGACGACAAGGCATGTGGACGAACTTAGAGAAATCGTTGTCGATGTGATTTAGGATGGGTTGGAGACTGGTTTTGATGACTCGTCTGATTCTTCGGATGACGACTACTATTTCTGAAGCCCTATACGTTAGAATAGTCTTTTGGAGAGTCGATTGGAATCGCACTTCTCATTTTGAATCGGAGACTCTACAAAGACTCTAAGCTTCTAAGTAAGGACTTGACTTGATCGTTTATTCATCCATTCTTTGTTGCCGTCTAACCAGGCCGTTGCCACGACTGAATGCTTCAATTGTATATAAGGTTAGTTATGCTACAAGGTAGTGAGTATTGCAGTGTTCCGACGCTTGAGTTAATAAGTATGCTGGAAATTAAAGGGTCCAGTCTATTGTTCTTGAATAATTGAAAGGGTTTTACTCCATGCCACGACTTTGGGGTGTGCTCGAACCTTTATAACATGGATAGGTCAGGGAAGTGCGTCGCAAAAAGTTAAGATTGCATACTTTGCTCGCATCGAAGTTGAGTACTTGAAGGCCATCGAGGCAAGTGGCACGCGAGAGAGCAACGTATGCTTGGCCTGAAGGTGAAAGTTACTGGATTCGTCAAGAGAAAAAGTAACATGGAAATTTACCTTTCTCAAACACCTTGCCAAGATCAACTTTGACGCGTTCGAGAGTCTGTCCTTGTGATTTGTGGATGCTCATCGCCCAAGCTGGGATAATGGGCAGCTGTGCGAGAGAGAAAATTTACGATCCAAGCGTAATGTAGTGAGTTGGAACTTACTTGCAACCTGCTCACTTGAACCTCCCCATTTGGCAGTTCCACCTTCCATGTTTCGGGTAATACTAGGACATCACGTTTCCCTCCATGGGGTAGACTGAATTCCACAACTGGATAGAGTTTGGTGTCAAGACCAGCACCCTTTTTGCTCATTCCACCTGCACCACCCAGGCCACCACCCACAACGCCTGCTGTGTTCCCAAGGCCTTCCTTATCGTCGGGGGTGCCATAAGCCGCTTGATCAACAAATCGTTTCACTCGCCCCATGCTCCCATTCACCAACATGTCATCCATATTTTTAATGAGCATGACTTGTGCCTCGGCGCGGAGTTTGAGCAGTTGTGGAGCCATGAAATTGGAAAGCATCTTTTGGCGTTGGTTCTCATCCTTGATTGTGCCGTTATCTATGGCTTCGAAAATTTCTTCTTTCGACCCAAGACGAGCCATACGGGTTGAGTTCGAACGTTCCACATCTTCGCGTCGAGGAAACCTATTGTAAAACACGATGAGAGATGCCCAAGGTCAGCTACGGGAGCTTACAGTTCAGTAGAGCCCATCCCGTCCTCGTAATGAATTTCTCTTGATAATTTTTTGAAGTTCTTGATGGAGTCCAGCGAGAGGTTACCAAAGCGCATTTCGTTCAACATATCCACGAATGCTGCGTCGAGAATTAGAGGACAAAGCATAGATTAAAACGACCACATACTCTGGTCGCGTTGACGGAAAACTTTGGTTAGGTTGAAAGTATGCTTGACAGTCTCATTCCACATCTCGGCTTCGAACGCAAACTTGACTTGGCCCATGCCTTTGGTGACAGGGGGAAGCTGGAAGAAATCACCCGTGACGATGATCTAAACAAAGTACGACGTCAAATATGTGAATTGATTGCATTGCGGAGAAGCAAACCTGAATTCCACCAAACGGCTCGACTGACTTTCGCAGAAGACTTCCGATCCTGGCCAGTTTATCAAAGAGATCACCATCTACCATGGATACTAGTCAAAGAAGTAAGTATATGCGCGCATAATTGCACGAGGATAACATACTTTCATCGATGATCAGAACTTTGGTTCTCAACCATCTTGCCATTGCCTTTTTGTTTTTGCGGATTTTTTTCGCAAGATCCTCGGCACTCTCAGTACCAAGACCTATACCGCCGAAAGAGTGTATCGTGACACCACCAATATTACACGCCGCAATGCCTGTTATTTTGAGGAGACACTCCAAGTAGCGAGGGTGGAGTATACTCACCAGTAGATGCAGTGATGGCCACGGCATCAGCAGTCTTGATATGCTTTTTGCGCAGAGTCTTAATGATCTCACGCAGCAGAACTGACTTTCCAGTTCCTTTAGGGGCAAATTTGGAATTTAGTGCCACCCTAAAGTAAAACAATGTTGTGTATTGACTGACCGGCACTCCCAGTGTAAAAAACGCTGTTACCCTCTTGGACGAGTTTTAGAATTTGAGTCTGCTCCTGGCTAAGAAACACAGACGGGAGTTTAGCTTTCTTGGTCGAAGCTAGGGATGAAGTCGAGCTTGCGGCTGTTGTTGAAGGAAAAGATGAAGAACTGGACGTAGTTCGGGAAGAGGATAGTTTTGGCAACGAAGATTCAGACCCAAAGGTCGTGGCTGAAAGAGGGTCATTTGTCCAGCCTGGTGGCAGTTGGCGGGGTCGCTTCCCAGCCGGTCCATCTGCGGGACCCGTCGGACTTGGTCGCTTGTTCTGCGCTTTGGAATCCGTCAAAGGAGTAGAGCAGCTGGCAAGAGCATCTTGAATGTCTTTGAGACGTTGTGCTGCACCCGAGAGCTTGGTTGGTGGGGGAGTTGGTGGCCAGTAGATCTCCTGAGACGATTTTGGCGGGTTGGATATGGAGGACGACGAGAAATCGCGCTTAACAGTCCCCAGTCCCGACTGTGCACGCGACTTTCCCGACATGTTCGAGAGAGAGAGAGCGGTTGAGCGAGCCAGGTGATCGCGTTGATCTCGTGGGAAAGTGTCAAAGTGGACGCGACTGTCACGCGACATTTGGCACGTGACAAAAATTTCAGTGATCGAAATCCTCCCCTCTCCAGTTGGCAAACTCTACCTTTCCATGCTACCCCGCAACCTGCAAAGTCTCGCTCTCAGGACAGCCATTCGCAAGCGGGCGCTCGCGTCCAGGCAAACTGCATTTCCTCCTCCTTTTCGGATATTACCCAGCGCCAGAGGCACTGTCGGCTTTCACTCGTCATCCCGTCAACAAAACGAGCTCCCGAAATCACCCTTTCAAACTTTCGTAGATGTTCTGCGGGATGAGCTACGCAAAAATCAAGAGCTTCAGGATAATGTCAAGCAGTTGCAGGGTGACGTTGACAAATTCCAGGACTCTGAAGCAATGAAGCGTGCGAGAGCGGCGTACGAGCGAGCTCGGGTATGCTCCTTTCTTTCGTTGAAATCGGTTCATTGGTTCCCAATAACTTATTCACCAGTTAACATCAAGCATTCAAGAGAACCCGCGCCTTAGAGCAGCTGCGGAGGAGCTCAAGAAAACTGGTGTTAAAGTCGGAGATGCTGTGACGGAGGCGTTGAAGACTATGGAAGAGAGCGAGGTCATGCGTGCTGTACGTTCTTATCTTTCAAACGTATTCATCATTTGAAGACGCAAAATTTAGATTTCACGCGCGACCTCTGCCGTGTCATCAACGATTGAGAAGTCGACTGAACCTATACGGAATACCGCCGCTTATAAGACGCTGTCAGAGACTGTGGTCGACGCTTTGGACGACAGTGGAAGTGCAAAACATGCTGGCTTCGAGGAGAAGGAGGCTCGTAGGCTTAGGAGGCAGAAACGCTTAGCCAAGGCTGGGAAAAATGCCTTTGGATCAAATCGTACCGCTGCTAACCCCGAGTTCGTGCTGACTTTGTGTTTTTTCTTCTTCTTCTGCTTACCTGAGGTTTCTGACAGAGCTGGTTCCTCGTTGGTTCTGCACAAGGATTCCCCACGACAAGAAGCCTGGAATAAGCTAAAGGAAACGAACCCGGTTCTTCGAAGTTTGAGTGAACTTCGTCAAGCTTATGACCAGTCCGAAAATCCCGTCGTTTCCTCTATGCGGTCTGTCACACAAACCGTAGGATCTTGGTTCGACGAGAATGAGACGGCACAGGTCATGAGAATGATGAAAGTCCTGGATCCGGCGTTTAACCGCGAGGGCTTCGAGAGGGAGCTCAGAGAGTATATTGTTCCCGAAGTGGTCGACGCCTATCTATCAGCGGACCAAGAGGCTTTGAAGGCTTGGTGTGGGGAAGCTGTAAGCATTCACCTTGATCTGCCTGACTGTCTCTCATTTCTATGCAGACATATAATGTCCTTTGGGCTACGATGGAACAATATCTTCGCCAAGGCCTCATCAGTGACAGCAAAGTTCTTGATATCCGCCAAGTAGACGTTCGTACCTTTTTATGACGTCCTAGTTCCCAAGATACTTATCCAAATGTTGGTCTTAGGTTTCGGATGGTAAAATTCTCGAGAACGACATCCCTGTGTTTGTAATTTCTTTCGCCACACAAGAGGTCTTGCTCTTCCGAAACGCCAAAACCGGGGAGATCATGGTTGGAGCTGATAACAAGGTCGAGCAATGTACTTACGTTGCCGTCGTTACGCGCGTTTTGGAGGAGCTTGATAATGAGCTTACCGGTGGATGGAAAGTCATTGAGGTGTGTTATTTCGCAAGGTTATTGAATGCGGTTCTCAAGAGTCGATTTTACCCAGATGGCAAGGAGAAGTGCTCGAGCATATCTTTAAAAGTATTTAGATTATTCTATTCGCATCTACACCATAATTCGTCACATCACCACTCATCCGCATTAATGGAAACAATGACTTTTTTCTCTGGCGCTCATCAGAAGTGAATACGGAATGTTGAAATGTGCCATTTAAGTATCACGAGTGGGACCGATCGGAGGTGAAAGGGAAGAACGACACAAGCTCGTTGATGGGTATTGATACGCCGTAAAGGATGGGACCGATCGTGCGTGGCGAGACGAATGCACAAACTAAAGACGGATCGAGAAACATTGGAAGGTCACGCTGACCTGACCAGAGAGTGGTGGGATATATTAATGCTGTCTAGTTATAATTTATAAACCGTGAATCATCAAGGTCAGAAATTTCGCCGCGGTGGTTCTGATCCAGTAGATCGCAATGAAGCCCAAACTTCTTCTGTAGCCATTGAGATACGTTGTTTGATACTACCGAAACTGTCAATGGCCGGGCGGACATCGAGGGAGAAGACGGGTGAACCGTCAGGCTCGGGCGGTGCGGAATAGTAGTCGATGACATAGCGGACTTCTTCGCCATTTTTTCGGCGAACTATCCAATCATGACGATCGAAAGGAGGCTCTGTGCTATAGATTCGGGATTCCCATTGAGCTCCACTAGGTGCACTCAGATGAAATATAACTCTCACCTGAAGCGAGACGGCAAAAGCCATCCTGCAAACATCCAGAACCGCGCCTTTGGTGACATTTCTCCCGGTCGACCCTTGAAGCGTGCAAGTTGGAGGTCTTGGTCACTGAAGCGGCAAACTCAAAAATCTGGCATGCAATTTTGGAAGATAAATACCCACGAGGATTCTCGGATCTCCCACTTTCTCACTTCATCCCATGCTTGCTCGTTCAAAAAGTTGTGGATTTCAACCATAGTTTCAACATGTTCCTCTGGCGTTTCCCAACCCTTCCTGACGAGGGCGTTATAAAATTGCTGCGGCGACGGATATTCCCACTTTGCAGATGAATCTCGCGGAATTGATGACTCCGTCCGTTCGGTTGGAAGAATAACGGATTGTTCAGGTGCAGGTGTTTGAGGGAGAGTTGGCATTTGGTTGAGAGGATTTAGAGCAGTATGATCTATGGGACATTGTGCTTGTTTCGGCGGGGAGTCATGGGGAATCGGACACTTGGAGGACGTAGCAGCAGGAGTCGGACAGCTTGCAGAAGACGCTGCAGGTGGCTGTTGGTATGTAGAAGTGGTTTGGCCCATGGTCGGTTTGAGAGGAACTAACTGTGACGCCCGTCGCCGAAATTTCACTGGTCAGTGTCACTTCACCTGACTCAATCACGTAAATTCGACCCGCTTCGAACTGCAACATTTTAACTCCATCAAAGCTTGACCATTCCTGAATCCTCTCTGTTCACTTCGCTTTGGCTCTTTGAAATCCTGGACGACCTATTCACCTATTGTGCTTTACGATAGGACAGGGCTGTGATGTGAAGCAGGCTATCTGCAGTCCGCAGAACACAGCAAAGGCAGCATGTCCTTTTGTAGATGACATTTAATGGATCCCACGTTAATCTCTGCGTCGACTCTGCTCTCTCTGCCCCATGCCGAGTTTATTCAAAGGAGCTCATAATTTTATCGTACAAGACGGCTGGTTCACGACAAACAAGGTGTATATCAACTTTTTCAAAATCAGGACACAGTTTCCTTATTGAAAGCTGAGCGCTGACCGGCGACCCGTCGCTGCACTATGTTCAGGTCACCAACTATACCTTCAGCCTCATTCTCTTTGCCGTGGTGGGCGGACCTCCGCCAGCCAGTATAGCTCAGGCAGAGCAAGCGGAACACAACGCACTCACGCCGGCTTTCGCAACAAATTCGCCCGAGCACCTCATTACTTGTCATCAGTCACTCATGATGCCAGCGGGCGCTGTATTTGTAGCTGTGGTCGTTAGGCTTGTAGTAACACCCACCGACCGCAAAATCCTCCTTTCCAGTCCTCCCCCGTCTCTACCACCTGCTCTCTTGATTTATGGTCGCAATGAATTCATCCAGACTGCTGTTGGCAAAGTCCTTCAAAGGTCCGAGGTCAAGAAACATATAGCTATCAGAGGTGGCCCTGGAATGGGCAAAACCGCAGCCGCAACTGGAATCGTTCACCATCCTCATATCGTTCAACATTTTGGGAATGCACGTCACTGGGTTGATTGCCGTGAAGCATCTGATGTCGCAGATGGCTTGAAGGCCCGAAAGCTCCTCGAATTCATTTCTGACAGCCTTGACCTAGATCTCACGGCCTCAAGTGACTGCCGCAAGAATATCAAATATTTTCTGGACAATAATGACGTCCCCCGTATCATTGTATTAGACAACTTCGAAACCATGTGGGAGCCTCCCAGCGCACAGGAAGAGAGTGAGGGTATCTTGACATTCTTGGCCCGGTTCCCTCGGCTCACAATTATCATTACAACTCGCAATGCTCATGATCCTGCCACCCATCGTGGTGTATTGTGGCACCAGTTTGGGTCCATCCAGCCGCTATCATTGGATGCATCGAGAATGCTGTTCACCAGCCTGTCTCCCAGCAGATCTATTGACGATCGCCTTGATGATATCCTTCATGCGGTTGATTACATCCCTCTACCTATCGTCCTGATGGCATCATCTGCACAAGAAAACTACACGACATCGATGATCTTGGGAATTTGGAACCGTGGCGTATCCAAATACAATGAGAGCCAGCCCCGTAACGATGACAGTGATCCCATGAACAGGCTCGACCACTCCATTGCCATGTCTCTCAAGGGTCCTCTGATAAAATCCAATCCAAAAGCTCCTGAGCTCCTCCGCATCATTGCAGGTCTACCTGCTGGAATTGGACGCAAGAATCTCCAGAGAATTGTTCCACTGATTCATGATGTTGAACGTGTGGCAGCAGTCCTTATCCGAACCTCCCTGTTAATGAATTCACCTGATGTTCTGCAAATGCACTCCACCATACGCTACCACATGCTTCGTAATTATGCCCTTGATGCCTCCTACAAGGAAAGCGTTCAGACATTCTACTTCCAGCTGATTCATAATGCGGGAGGCAATCCTGGAACTCAAGATTTCTTGGAACATATTCACAGTCTCTCTGATGAAGAAACCAATGCTGAAACACTTCTTCTAGATGCTTTGGAGCACAATTTTAGCACTGCAGTTTCGATCTCCCTGGATTACTCCAACTACCTTAGATGGAACGTACCGCGCCTGGATGTACCCAAGAGGGCTTTGGAACTGATAAGAAATCAGCCCCTGGGAGGTGCAGATTCATGGTTGCCCCTTGCCTTGCTACGTCTTGGAACGATATATCTCATACTCGATGATTTTCCCAAAGCAATCGAGGCTTTACAGGAAGCAGTGGACCTATACGAAAAGCTCAATCATTTGAGTTGGGCTGCCCAAGCTCAGCTTCTACTTGCGGATATTGCCCGCCTTCGAGGTGAACACTCCGGTGCTTTCCAATTGTATTCTGAGGCATACAACCGCTTTGAAGATGTCGATGATGCTCATCACATGGCTGCGTGCCTCCGCGGGACAGGAATCACTCACTTCCAGGTCAATCGTCTCTCGGAGGCACTGGAAATGAACTCGGCGGCGCAAAAGACATGTTCACCTGATGATTACGCCTGCATCACTGACTGTGAACGCGAACTGGGAAGGATATACAGAGCTCACAACCAGACAGAGTCAATCAGATTATCTGCAAAAGCAAGGGACTATTACCTGATTCATGGCCCTCAAAGGCATGCCTCGCTTGCTCTATATCAGAAATCAATTGCCCTATATCTGCAGGGAGACTACAATGAGGCAGATGTTGGACTCAATGACGCATTTCAAGAATTTAAGTTCTTGAGGAATGACGGGCAGATGGGTTATTGTATCTTCCACCTTGCTGAAATGAATAAGATGCGAGGAACCTATCGCAACGGACTGGAACTGTACCATCGTTCCGAAACCATGTTTGAACACATGCCAGGAAACAAGTACATGGTTGGCGTCTCCCTTCTAGGGCAAGCTAAACTATACGCTAAGCTTTGCCAGCCGGACAAGGGAAGGCAGGTATATAACAGTGCCCACACCCTTCTGAGAGAGCTCAATGCAATCGATGAAGCGACAGTTGCAAATGACATTCAGAACATAAATGACATGTGCGAGCCTGCCATATGGCGCCGTAATATGATTTTCAGGCATCTTCCCTTGATCCTCGCTTGCATGATACTCTGCTCGCTACTTGTCCGCTGGCGTTCGCGTCATCAGAAAGAAAAAAAGCAAGATAGGTCTCTGGAGCTAGGGCGACAAGGATAGTTGTCGGACTAAGGTGAACCCAAATCTGAACAATACTGATCTGTGCGTAGACCCCAGGAAGTCTTCGAAAGCCCAAAGAGCTGTCAAAGCGGCGGTTCCAAGCAAGAGGATAGGTTTACCCCCAACTGTGTCTGAGGCAACTCCAGTACGCCGTTACGAGGGATGTGGGATGTAATTTAGCCAACGGAGTCTTGTGCATTTTCGTTGGGATGGATCGTGGATAAGGGGGAAGGAAATTGGGGGGCATACCATGAGCCCAGCGTAGTACTTTCTCTATGTTACTCTTAAGTACTGAAGCGATAAGCCTGAAAACACACTAATCAACCACTTACTGTGGGAGCTTTAGCTTTCCAGCGATACGAGAAAGCTCAGCTCAACACATAAGGAACGGAAAATCGCAACGAACAACCGACGCGCTTTCACAGAATCGGAGTAACAACAGGGTGGCGATCTGCTTGGCTGGTGAGGCGGCGTCGGCTGACCCTGTATCCATCATCACTATCATTTTTTGCGTGTCTTCGAGTTCTGGCAAAGTTCTGGGCTGGTGTGCGTGGACAGCGGCCTGGGAATGGTGGATGGGATTGGCGCTTGACGATCGCGTCTGGCTGGCGACGAGCAATGTGTGCTTGACCTCGTTGCCAATAACAAAGCCAAGTTTTTGGACTCCACATAAACTCTTGAACGCTTTGTGGGAGCTTGCCTTCCCATCTCGTATGTGAGACTCGCATGCGAATTCATTCCAAGGCACCAACAAGGCACATCAGGTTTTTCCGACATTTAGAGCAGTGATGCCGGCACAGTGGGCCAGGCATTGAATTTCTGACTTCTTGACAACACGTGCTATCCGTCCCATCAGCCATCTCAACAATATCTCAAGTTGAAACGGCGACGAGTAGAGCACCGTCTAAACATCCCGTCCAACTTGGGTATGGAGCGTGGGCCAGCGTGGGCCTACCCGGCGCCCGACCTTCGCAACTTTGATGAATTTGTGATCTGCTTTGAAATTCGGCGTCTAAATGATTTGCGCTCTTCCAAGTTCCACCAGTCTCGACAAGTCCCAGCCGTTACGGTGGGTGATATTTGTGGTTTGTAGGCTTATGAATCTTCCTCCTTACCCACCTCAGATTTCACATTGCGATCACTCCGAGGCGACGGCTTCCACCCGCTTCCACCTTGTCTTGTTCTTCATCTGGCGTTTGCTCTCCAGAAATTGTGAATCTATAGCTCTGGAGGAGACCGTTACCATTTGTTGCGATAAGCTTAAGCTTTTCATCACAGTTTACTTCGCCACTGTTTTGGATTCCACCGCAGTGCTGACTTTCGGGGGCGTGGCCAAAAACAGCCAAAAACCGTACTCCGGAGACTAATTCAACTTCTTTTTCTGAGCGACGCATATGGGGCACAGATGTGGGGCTTGTCGCGTGGTTAGAACACGGGTGCTAAATTCTGGTTTCTTGGTACACGATCAATGATCGTGATTCTCCGTTTGTTCGTCCACATGGAGGTCGCAGGAAGCCAGGAGCTTGTGAATAAGTATAAGATACGACACTTCGCGCTTCCACGTCCCCTCACTCCTTGAGTTTACGTTCTTCACGCCCCATTTAATAACCAACCATGCCAGGAGGGCCGTCAGCTGTAGGCGAGGGCATTGGTGCCAATGCGTCCAAGGTATGTACGTTCTTTTGTGCGCATGCACTACTCTAACAATGTCTTCCAACACTGCAGAATAAATTGGCTGGTGTTGCGATGACGGGTGAGATTTCTTATTTCCGGTATAATTCATATTTCTAACGTTAAACCCCAGCATTCAGCGCGTTTGGGGGTATTCTCTTCGGTTATGATACTGGTGTTATCAGCGGCATCAAAGAGATGAAGTCATGGCTCAGGCAATTCGGTTATGCAACCGATGACCTTGTCAACCACAAATCGGGTTTCGCTATCTCATCGTCAACTGAGTCTCTTGTCGTCTCCATCCTCTCAGCTGGAACATTCTTTGGCGCTCTGTTGGCTGCCCCGACCGCTGATATCATTGGCAGAAAATGGGTATATTGTGTTACGCAAGTGTTTCGATGAGACAATAATTGACGGGCTATTTCCAGGGAATCGTTTTATCTTGCCTCATTTTCTCCGTTGGTGTTGCGATGCAAACCGCTTCAACTGCCATTCCCCTTTTTGTTGGTGTTATTTCGCAAGCAACTTGATTTTAGGCAATAACTCATTTCTAGGTGGTCGGTCGCGTGTTTGCTGGTCTTGGTGTGGGTCTCGTGTCTTGCCTCATCCCTATGTATCAATCAGAATGGTCTGTTTCCGCCATTTTCGTATTCTCATAATGCTGATGTTGACAAATGCCTTAACAGTTCCCCTAAATGGATCCGAGGAGCAGTCGTGTCCACTTACCAGTGGGCTATCACCATAGGCCTTCTTATTGCAGCTGTCGTCAACAATGCCACTCAAACCCGTGACGATGCCAGTGCGTATAGACTCCCCATCGCAATTCAATTTATTTGGGCTGCCGTGCTCGCTGGTGGTATGGCGCTTTTGCCTGAGGTAAATTTACGTTATATCTTCTCGAATTGAGATTAACTGAGAAAATTTGTAGTCACCTCGTTGGCTCGTCAAAAAAGGTCGTGACGCAGACGCTGCCCATGCTCTGAGCCGCCTCACTGGTTTGGAAGCCACCGACCCAGACCTTGAGGTCGAGCTCGACGAAATCCGCGCCAACCTCGAGGCCGAAATTGCCCTTGGGGAGAGCTCTTACGCTGACTGTTTCAAGTTCAACCAAAACAAAATCGCTCTCCGCACCCTTACTGGCATTTTCATCCAAGCGTGAGTCCAATTTTTGAAACCGGTGATGACATAGTTGACAATTATCCTAGGTGGCAACAAGTGCGAACTATTTTCACTGGCATCTCATTATTGTACTGACCCAAACGTCGTGGTGGTATTTATAGCTTACAGGAAGTAAGTGATTGATCCTGTGTTTTGGAACGAATTGCACTCAACTTGGCTTGTGTTTAGTTAACTTCATCTTCTACTACGGGACGACCTTCTTCCAGCGATCTGGAATTTCCAATCCATTCCTGATCACGATCGCTACCAACATCGTCAACGTGTTCACGACGTTGCCCGGAATGTGGGGTGTTGAGCGTTTCGGCCGCCGTCGCCTCCTTCTCGTGGGTGCAATTGGAATGTGTGTCTGTGAATTCATTGTCGCCATCGTCGGTGTCACCATCTCCGTCGAGAACATTGCCGGTCAAAAGGTTTTGATTGCATTCGTTTGTATCTACATCGTAAGTCCTGTCCCTTCACACTAGAACATCGCTATAACGTCGGCATTTAGGCTTTCTTTGCATCAACTTGGGGACCTATTGCTTGGGTCATCACTGGCGAAATCTTCCCACTGCAAATTCGTGCGAAGGCAATGTCACTTTCCACTGGTTAGTTCAACCTCCCCGACTTGGCTGTTATATTTCTAACGGGAATTACAGCGAGCAACTGGTTGTGGAACTTCGGTATTGGTTATGCTAGTGAGTATATCCCACCTCAAAATATGCGCGATACCATGCTCATTGAAAAAAAGCTCCTTACCTTGTCAACAAGGCTCCAGGGTCCGCTGGTCTTGAGGCCAAAGTCTTCTTTATCTGGGGTTCAACATGCTTCTGCTGCATCATTTTCACATATTTCTGTATTCCTGAGGTATGGTTATTGCGCCTCTCCCTACCATCGGCTGATCGCGAATCTTTCTCTAGACCAAGGGTTTGTCACTCGAACAGATTGATCTCATGTACCAGAACACAACCCCCGTCAAGTCGCTGGAATACCGCAGACGTCTCATTGCAGAAGGCCCACATCACTCCGAAAAATCTGAAGTAAAGGAGACGTCAAGTGATGAAAAGGCCTGATTTTTCGTTGGGCTGTATTACGCATTTCATGATTTTTTTCTATACCAATATGTTTCCTTCTGTCGAGGCCGACTTTCCTGACCAGTGGTCATCATAATTTATAATACATCTTTGCATACATTTACGCTTCTATCAAGAATCTGGGTCTATTTCACCTGACCGTAGCCTATGAATATCGTCAGCGCCGGGGCCAGCATCGCCGGAGGGACCGGTCAAGCCCAATTCCTCATTATCCTTGGCTTGGGCCTCATCCAGAAGCTTTTGATAACGTTCAAAACATTGAGTAGGAGTTCTGCCAACGATTGGTGCCATTGTGCGCCATTGTGTTGGCATCAACTTTGCTAGATGCAAAAGCTTCTCGTCTTGTGTCTGAAACGAGGTCAGATAGAGGAAAGAGATGCAAAAGAGGTAGATACAAACCTTGGACCATTTGATGGAGGGATCCAGCCACTCATCCCAAATTTGAAGGCTCTCCAAAATAGTTTTGATACCCCAAGCACCTGCGTCTGGAACCTGATCAGCTATCAGTCTTTCACTTTCCACGTAAGCGCTTCTGCCTGCTTTGGCTTCAATGTTCTTAGTTTCCTCAGCAGCGACTCCTGCTGCTTTGACAGCCTCGCTAAAGGATGTGAAGGATGTTTCCTGAAAGACGTCGATAAATGCTGCGAGGGGGTCAACGAGAGTACGGGATGGTGGGCGTGCTCGAGTGTATATATACAGGTGAGCGAGCGCCAAGACAAGCGCTTGTCCCCACACTTCAGCAGTTGCGAAGAAAGAATGTTGTGCTTGAAGCCCTTGGGCTAAGCCAGAGAAAAAGATCCTGCGAAGACAGATCGTTTGCCTAAGTATGTGAAGCGAAGCCGAACGACGTACGAGTAAAGAGCCCCACTTGTACCACCCATCGCTTCTTCTGCGACTGTAGCGATTGTTATCATGGACCGCACAACATCGTCACCGTTGATGGTGCCGTCATCAATCTTAGCCAGAACGCCTACCATACAATAAATGACAAATTTGGCAAACCAAAATGTTTTATCGTTTGAGCCACGTACCTTCAGCCCCAGCCTATTAGAGATGTCAAACATGATTCGACGTCAGCGAAGGGCGAGAATGGCACCTTCAATGTAATTCCGCAGTCACCATCTCCAGCAATGGAATCCATTCTCGTGATGTCAGGCTCAGCGGCGATGAGTCCACGAGCTGCGCGCTTGATGTTCCCCAGGAAGAGGTTAGGATCTAAGGATTTCAGAGTATCAACTGGTGCGGTATCAGGCTCTTGCTTGTAAGGAGGCGTGATTTGAGTCGGCAGCGGCAGAGGACTGCAACCAGAGGACCATTTCCAACCGGGAACATCAGGCTTCTCATCCAACAAGGATAATATGAGAGTTGCCGGTGGTGCTGATTTTTCCTTCTCCGTTGGAAGGCGAAGGAGGGTAATGGAAAAGCCGGGCATATTGAGACTTGTCTAAGTCACTGGTGAGCAAGTCAGATGCTTCCATCTGAGTTTAGGTACCATAAATGTGCCAGACAATAGCCTTAATGTCCCAAAACCACGAGCATCCAATGCCTTGCGGGTTGCAGCGACTACGCCGGACAGTTCAAGTTCACTGATCCCACCCAGGTTGTTGACAAGCACGACAACATCGTCTTTCCCTTGAAATGGGACGAACGAGCGGTCGGTATCCGTTGTTGATGTCAACAGTTCCAAAAGATCTGGAATGAGGTTGTGCAGCGGAGGGACAGGCGACACCCGCCGATTTCCGCTTTCGTTGTGTATGCCCATGCCAATCTCAAATTCAGAGTCTAAAAGATGCGAAGTCGGTGGAGCAGTTCCTGGAACCTGGACACAAGTCAACTTGAGTTTTTTGGAATGTTAATCACCCAGCCCACATGGACATGACCAAGGCTGACACCAATGGTGGCCACATTTGAAACAATCCATGCAGATATATTATAAACATCATTCAGACTGCCGCCTCGGTTTGCCAGCGCGCCAGCAATCTTGTATACAAGCACGGTGCCAGCTAGACCCCTGAGATGCGGTTAGTTTTGATCTGTTGCCAGTGCTGGTATTATTGCTCCTTACCGTCTGCCGACTATTGCTCCCTGAGACCTGCCAACGGCGACATCATCGCCGACCACAACGAATTTGATGCGGTCCGCCTTGTTGGGATGGAGAGAAGCGTAGTGTTCCTTTGCCAATCCAAAATTGAGAACATCTCCGGTATAATTCCTGATTCCGCAAACTTGATTAACGACCAAGAAGTGCTGCAGAAAGAAAGACCACCCCATACTTGACAATGATCACAGTGCTAATAAAAGCTGTGAGACAGGAGCTTATATCGTTTGTGGGAGAATGAACAAACCCCTTGTCGTTGTCAACTAGTTCGATGCCGCGTTTAACCTGGCTCGGGTTTGGTGAAGCAAAAACCAAACCGCAGACGGCGCCTGGAACATAAATGCCTGAACCGAGCCGCGCATCATATCTACACACCTGTCAACATTCCTTCACCTGGTGGTCGCCATTAGATTCGCATCTCATCATTGCTGGATGTCCAAACTAACCTACAAATGAAGCGTGTGCTGGTTCGTGCCCAGAGCCACCTCCACAGACAAGCGCGACTTTCGAGCGGTCATGGAGCTTTGTGTATATAACTGATCATGGTTCGATGTATACATATGGGCGACTGCCAAGATCGGAACGTACTCTTGTTCTGAGGGTCCAATGCAATGCGTGGATTTACTGCACACAGTCCCTCAAGAGAGTCGAGGACGAGGGTTTCAGGGGTATTAAACAGATGCTTGCCTTGGAGGAGGATTGGATCATATTAGGATTGTAAAGACGTACTTACTTTGAGCAGACATGGAGGTGAGGTGTGACATGTGACACAATGCTGTGACGAGTGGTGCATAATATTCATCGCATGCCTTAGCGCTGGGTCAACTACTTTCTTTGTTTTCAAGTTTCTTTGTCCTTTCTCTTATATCATCTCTTGACTTGAACGTTTGAACCCTCACACTATCTGAACATGGGCGTTCTCCCGTCACCAGAAAGCTCTCCGTCATTGGATCCAGAAGACTCCCCACAGCCTAGTCGCAAGCGGCAACGAAGTCAGTCATTGCAGTCAGACACATCCACCTCATCTTTAAAATGTTGTGTAGCAGATAGCCCATCTCATGATCCTGCAGTTCGAAGTCCTCGCTCCGATCAGATGTCCAGTCTGACTCTCGCTGATTCCAATCAAGATATTGACTCTTACATGGCTGAGCAAGGCGAGGCAGACATTCCACCTTTTATGGCCCTTACGCCGCCCCAAACAACCCAACCGATGTCTCCGTTAGACCGGGTTTCATTTGTTGAAAAGGAGTTGAAAAACAGGACGATGCAAGTGGGAGAAACATGGTATTTGGTGGCGATGGATTGGTGGAAGCGTTGGAAGGGAGCTTGCACTGGAGAGGTACGCAAAGATGGCCCAATCAGTGAGCAGGATCTCGGTCCAGTGGACAATGCTAGCCTTTTCTTCCCCGATGAGACACTTCTTTTTCCTCTTGGAGAAGGGGTTGAAGTTCAGTATGTACCAGAGATTGTTTGGACCTCTTTTGTTACCTGGTAAGTTTCGCCGCGCAATGTACACCTTGATACATACAGAGCTTAACCCCTCTTTTTTTTTTCCCCCGCAGGTATGGGCCACCCCAACAACCTGTTCCTCGTCGGGTTATCGCTAGAGGATCGGCCAAATTACCATCTTTAGAGCTGTATCCACTTCAACTCAAAGCATTCAGGCTAGTTCGTGAGGACCCTCAAGCGGGCTCGAACGAGTCACCATTCCCGAAACTTGTTATTTCAGCTGGTGAGACAGTTGGGAATCTCTGTAGCGAGCTTGTCAAAGCCGTCTCGCCTAACCTTGAAACCCACATTCCTTATCGTGTTTGGAAGTTGGAAAACGGTCATGGCGAATGGGAATATGGCGAATATCCTAGCTCGCAACTGACGATTTCGGGAGGCAAAATCATAGAAGAAAGCCACAAGACTTTGGAGGAGGAAGGTATTCAAGCTGACGACGCCTTTGTTGTTGAGTTTAAGCAGGATACTTGGATTGTGGAGCCGCCCAAGTCAGCAGCGAAGTCTCTCGGTCCTCCACCATTATTTTCCTCAAAGGATGGATTCTTCAACAAGCTGGGGAGGAAAACTCTTGCGTCTTCGACGACGTCATCGTATAAATCCGGCGGCGACTTTTATAGCGGCCTTTCTTCCAAGTCATCAGGTTTCCCTCTTTCAACGGGGAAGAGCATTACAAAAGCACTCGAACCTGGAACATTAGGACTTGGCAACATGTGGGCACATCTGCTCATCTGCCGTACGCATTGATTGGATCAATTTTTACAGGGGGAATACTTGTTTCATGAATTCCGCTCTCCAATGCCTAGCTCATACCAAGGAACTGTCGGATTATTTCTTAAGTAAGACATCATAACTTATTCAGCACCTTATTTTTCACGCAAAATTTCCATGAAGCTGGCGTTTTCCAAGACGAGCTGAATCCTGGAAATCCCCTTGGTATGGGTGGAGCTATTGCAGAAGTATTTGGGGCCCTTTTAGAGCGCATTTGGGCTACCGAGGGACCGTCCAACTCCTATTCACCTCGCGAATTTAAAACACAGTTACAACGGTTCGCACCACAATTCAGCGGATACCAGCAACATGATTCACAGGAGCTCGTCGCATTCCTTTTAGACGGGTTACACGAGGATCTGAACCGTGTTCTCAAGAAGCCCTATGTAGAAAAGCCCGATTGGGAAGGTGGAGATCATCTAGAACTTGTGCGACTCGCCCAGAAGTCATGGGAAGGTTATATGTTGCGTAACGACAGCGTGATTGTTGACCTTTTCCAAGGCCAATACCAGAGTACGCTCGTGTGCCCAGAGTGTCAAAAGGTGGGTGTTTCGAACTTGCCGATGATTTCGATTCCACTAATTTCCCTGTCAAGGTCTCAATAACCTTCGACCCATTCATGTACCTAACTTTGCCTCTTCCCGTACAAAAGAAATGGAAGCATACCATCTTCTACATACCTTGGGATTCAGACAAGGCTCATGTAAAGGTAAGGTTGTCAATGCAGAGACTCTAACAATGCTAATGCAAATCCCTAAGATTCCAGTTGAAATTAATCGAGACTCTTCCTTCAAGGACTTACGCAACCTTCTTGGGCGATGGATGGGCGTTCCCGCAGATAACGTTTGTGTGATGTCTCAACCCTGCGCTGCATTTTTAACTGATGTCCATCCATTAGTTGCTTACAATGGAGATATTTAATCACCGTTTTTACAAGAATCTCGATGACACCTTGCTCTGTGGAGACATGTCCGAATCCGATGTCATCGTCTGCTTCGAACTTCCCTGTCATGCCCAACAGAGCAGGACTTATAAGAAGGATCCCAAAGACCCGTTCATCGTCCCTGTTTTCCTGTGCGACGCTAAACCTGCTAGTTCAACATACATGACTTCGAGTCGAACTCCAACGTTGTTTGGCTACCCAACCGTCGTCGTCATCGACCGGGAACAAGCTACTAACATATTCACGATGTATGATGCTGTGGTTGCGCGGATGCAACGCTGGACAACCAATGCGCGAGATTTGTACAACTGGGAACCTGGCCCCGAATCCTACATGGAGGAAGTATCCATTACCCTGAACGGCTTTCCGCCTATAGACGCGCTCACGGAAATTACGGAAGATGGTGGCGTCCGTACTGTCGAGTCACTCCCTGAGGAAGGAGACATTGTGGACGAGAAGGATATGGTTGTGGATGATGTCTCTGAGATGGATGGGTCAGATGGCGTTCCCCACACAGTGGGAACAAAAAGGGACATCTTCACTTTTCGGTTGCAGTACAACCATAAAGAACTTGGAACCGCTTTTAGCACGTACGCGGCAACCACTCGCTGGGAAGCATGGGATCGACGCCTCGATGATGCTGAGATTGAACCAGTCCTGCTTCGCGAAGATGATGCGTTCTTTTGCGAGTTTGACCAAAATATCAAATCATACTTCTTCGGCGAAGAGCTCACTCGTTGGGAGCACGCCCGCTGGGATGAGTGGGAGGAATTCATTCATCCCGAGTATGAAGAATCAAAGAGAGCCTCCGCCGAAAAGCGCGATAAGGGTATCTCGTTGCAAGATTGCCTAGACGAATTTACCAAGGAAGAAAGACTTGGCGAGGATGATCTGTGGTATTGTCCACGCTGCAAGAAGCATCAACAGGCGACCAAGAAGTTTGACCTCTGGAAGGCACCCGACATTTTGGTTGTCCATTTAAAGCGCTTCAGCAATAGCCGCGCCCTTCGAGACAAGATTGACGCATTCATAGATTTCCCCATTGAAGGGCTAGACCTCAGTGAAATGGTTGGAGAGAGGGCCGTCGCGAAGAAACTGCTTGCTGCTGGCAATGGGGTTGACGAGCTAGGGCTGGGGAGTCTCGATGAGCCACTTGTGTATGACCTCTTTGCGGTTGACGAACATATGGGTGGATTGGGTGGTGGTCATTACCGAGCATATGCATCCAATCATTTGACTGGCAAGTGGTATCACTTTGATGATTCATATGTCTCGCCTGCTAGCGCTATTGATGCTGTGGTGCGTGCTATCTCCAATTTCTACCCTTATATTCCTCTAACATTACATCATCAAGAATGCCAATGCCTACCTTCTCTTCTATCGTAGGCGAACCGACTCCCCTCTTGGTGGCACCAGCCATAAACTGGTATCAGCGGCGCGCGAAAGGCCCAAGGCGGGGAGTAGCCAGGAACCTTCTGTCACAATTGACACACAACTTCCTACACCTCCCAATGAAAGCAGCTCGTACTTCGACGGACCCCTCAGGTCTTTGAATACCCATGATCGTTGGAAAATGCGGTCGGATGGTTCCAATCCAGGGTCATCTGTTCCATCGCCCCCAGCCGACGACCCTCCCGATTTTGACGAATCTCAATCCGACCCGCTCGTATCCGATCATTCAGATCCTACGTACCTCTCCACTCAACGTTTTGACTTTCCAGATCCTTCCCAGAAGGCGTCACCGACATCTTCGACCGAGGCAGACCCTGATCGCGACTCGCTTAGAGAGTTGGATGACGAAGCTTGGGATTCATCGAGGCCGTTCTCTTTCCGCGATAGATCTTCTGAGGAACGGGACGTTGTGAGTACCATGGCCTCGCCATCTTACTCTGAGTTATCGGACATCGACCCTTACAGTGACTCGAATGTGCAGAAACCCGATGAATTGAACATGGACGTGAACGTTTTACCAGATTAGACACATACTTGTAGTGTGCGTGAAGTTGTTGCAATACGGCATCGATCAAAATTAGCACTAAGTTAGGAACTTGGATGGTTTTACGATATAATTTTCAGTCCAGGCGGTTTCTAATCTTCTTGAACAATCGGCTTTGCAGTTGGGTGCACCTTCCATTCTTGGCGCACAATAGCAGTAACGTGACTCAACCATCTTGATTACTAATTCTGTCACAATCAACTCTTGTTTCCCCCCACAATCATGTCTACTTCAGAAACGCAAATCAAGAACGAAATAGCTCGACTTACAGGTACGCATCGACACCGTTTTGATCATGGCGGGTAGATCAAACAATTTTTTTAGCAACTATCAGCCAACACAAGCTTGGATATGTCTCCAAAGGACCGCCCCACACAGGAAGAAGCAACGTCTATATCAACCCGAACTACAAGACCGCACCGAATAAGTATGTTAGGCCTGGATTACAAACTACCACCTCTGTCTCTAGCACAAGCACTCGAGTGTCGACACCCGTACCAATGGCATCGGCATCAACATCTTCAACGCAAACCAAGGAAGTCGTCTTGGGAGGAGTGGCATTCGAAGCCTCGGCTCGTTCGTTAGTACGAAAGGACTGTGAGTCTGCTGCGTTTTTTGTTATTAGAGGAATCCTCGGGAGGGTAATCGACTCCAATCGCTGTAACCGCCCCCCTTTTTGTTTGTTTTATTTCTTTGGTTCGTCTTTTGGATTGTGGTTAGTGCCGAAGCCACCTTCGTCAAGTGGGCCACCCAAGGCTGCGTACCATCGACAACAACAACAACAAGAAGCTTATGTCCGGAAATCTGGCCACCTTATCCCTAGCGGGCGGACGTACAAGCCGAAATCTCGCCGTGGGGGAAGGAATATGACACTTACTAATACCCGAAGACCTTATCCGTGCGTGGGCGAGTTGTGTTTGGATGGCGTTGTTGAAAGCGTTGATTGTAGATCTGGCCGGAGAGCTTCGGCGAAACGACAGAAGTATTCTGACAAGCCTTGTCCACGGTTTACGACTACAGGTGCGCTTCGGTTTATTTGTTTTTTTTATTGTTCCCTCAGACCTGGTTTTTGATTCATTTGTTTCTTCTTGTTCATTTTTTCCAATCTATTTTGCATGGATGGATAATGCCCTCTAGGTTCCTGTGGCCGTGGTTTGACATGCATGTATCAGCATGATCCATCGAAAATTGCAATCTGCTGGAACTTTCTGCAAGGCAACTGCACAAAGACGGCGGAAACATGCGACCTGTCTCATGACCCTACGCCGGAAAGGACGCCACTTTGCCTGCACTTCCTGAACAAGGGCCGGTGTACAAGACAGCGATGCCCGTTCCCGCACGTCAACGTGGGTACTCGACAGGGGGTGTGCCGTGATTTTGCGGTGTTGGGGTATTGTGAACGAGGCTTGGACTGCGACAAGCAGCATGTTAGGGAATGCCCTGATTTTGCCGAAAAGGGGACTTGTTCGACTAAAGGGTGCAAGTTGCCTCATGTCATTCGGGCGAATCGGAACAGAAAGGTCGTGGAGCCTCCGACTGCGGTGACGACAATGACGGAGACACCTGCAAGTGGAGACGAGGAGAGAGTGACTGCTGAAGCAGGGCAGCTTGGGGATGAGTATATTTCACTAACATTTAACGAGAGCGATGATAGCGACAGTGAAGAAGAAGAGTCTGAGGAAGAGGATAGTAGTGAGGAGGGTAGCACGTGACGTTTGTTAGTTGAATGTGAATAAGATTGTGACTTTGTTTAGACTTGATTTAGACTTTCATGCTTAGATGGCTCACAGACGGTCGCAGTCGACGCCAACGCGTGTAAATGACCTTGGCTCAGAGTCATCGTCAAAACGGTCTTCACGAACAGCATCACGGCTCATGACTTCTGTAAGACGTTCATTCACTCCCACGAACAAGCAACACCAGAATATATCAGTCAGTCCTCTTCCTCGCCTTGTTACAATTACTGACTTTACCTTTAACAGATACTCGCAATGCGTTCAACTCCTGAAGAAACCCAACCACTGCCTCTTCCTCAATTTAGAGATCCATTATACATCTCCTCACCACCCACAATTGAGCAGATTGCCATGGGTCTGCATATTTCACGAACACCACATCTCAGGCCACCCCGTAATTCTCAATCAATGCCACCCAACATTCGCCGCTCATCTTCTATTCCAATCCCACCACCCCCTACGCGCTCTTCTCTCAAACAACCTGCCACCACGCTGACTTCTTCCATTTCCACCCCCCCTTTCTCCTCCGCCTCTGCATCATCTACGACCATCACTTCCATCAACCCACCAACACCTCAGTCGGGCTCGGGGCGCTCGTCTCCGTTCTCCTTTCCAAAATTCCGTATGTCACGGTTCTTGCCTGGCACGCGAGCTAGCTCCGCCCCCTCTTCTCCTGATACGTCGAGGAGAAATAGTTTGGCGGACCTACCGCAGAAAAAGGCTGTACGTTTCTCCCAGGTCGGCGGGGACGATGACGATCAGAGTGATGATGACTGACCCCCGCGTGTGTGTTGCCCCGAGCCCGAGATACATACTTCCTTGGTGATACCCTCTACCGCTATCATTATTCCTTTCTCCTCATGGTCATTAAAGCGGACCCATTGCGCGCATACATTTTTTATATTACATACAGCATGCACCTACATACTTGAAATAAAATGAATACTAGTACAGCAAAAGGGACCGAAACAGCCGATAGCTGGCGTCACCAGTCACACAGCAATAATCCACTCTTTTTCTTTGTACCGCATCATCGTCTCGCAGCGCTACACCACTGCGCCGCTGCTTGTATCTCATCCACAATCCTAGACCACTATCTTCACCGTCATCTCTTATTGCTTATAGATTTCTCTTCAATCGACTTTTGCGTTTAATCACCCCGATCATCCATCAATAATGGCTCCCGTTGAGACTGAATATTACGACTTGGTATGTGTCCTGCCCTCTCTACGCAACATTGGTTTTCTGAACCGTGCTTGGAGTGCAGCTTTGTGTCCCTGTAGATGCAGATGATACAGCATTGAAAAAGGCCTATCGGAAACAGGCTATGAAGGCCCGTTCATTCACTACCTAGCTTTCGATCCACGTAGGCTTACCCGCACATCAGTATCATCCAGACAAGAACCCTTCGGCGGATGCAGAAGAAAAATTCAAGGATATCAGGTGCGCTTTGAAACAATGTCTGTCTTCATGTTTCATTCTTGACACCAATGTCTTGCAGTAAAGCGTACCAGGTTTTATCTGACCCCGTATGCATCATCCAATCATTCCTTTGACTGTCTTTTTGAAATACATCCAGAATCTACGTGCAGTTTATGATAAGAATGGAAAGACGATGGTGCGCTACTTTGTCAATCAAAGAATACGATCGCTGAAACGGAATACAGGTGGACAAGGAAGGCGGCGTCAGTATGGACGACGCAGCCGGTTTTTTCGCCAACGTTTTTGGTGGAGAACGATTCAGAGATTACGTGCGTGCATTTCGCTTTTTGTTTTCTTCGATGGCCGTCAATGCGCAGCACTTCTAGATTGGCGAAATCTCAATTATGAAGGACATGACGTCCGTAGCTACGACCATGATGACCGAGGAGGAGAAAACCGAGATCGAGCGGCAAATGAATGGAGGCATCGAAACGGGGGACAGCAGTCCAAAGCCAGTAAAACACACGGCTAAGCCGGGTGAGGCTGCGACGAATACGGGATCACCCACGACGTCCGCGAATGCGCACCCCACTCCGTCTCCCGTCAAGACCTCCTCGCCTACCACTTTACCTTCAGGATCCCGTCCAACCAGCAGCAGCGGCGCCGAGCTCGTCACGCATGGTTCACCTATTGAATCAACCTCAGCCACGACTGTCAATTCTGGTTCTACGTCTGCTGCTGCTGCAGCGGCGGCGGAGAGGGAGCGTGAGAAGCGCGAGGCGGTAAGGAAACGCAACGAACAGCGGGAAAAGCTTCGTGAGCATGAGAAAGAGCGGAGAAAGGTTATGGAAGCCCGCGTGGCGATGTTGACGGAGAAGATGATTGAGCGGTTGAGGCCGTTCGTCGAGGCGAAGGACCCTGGAGGCAAAGATGACCCTGAGACTAAGATTTTTGAAGACAAGATGAAGCGAGAGGTGGAGGATTTGAAGTTGGAGAGCTTTGGTGTTGAGGTATGAATTTGTGTTCCTTGGTGTGTGTGGTTGCTGAGGTTTTTTTGATAGCTTTTGCATGCGATAGGTCATGTATATCTAATGAAGGCTTCGTCGTTCATGAAATCGCGCAAGTTTTTGGGCATGTATGTCGATTTCATTAGATCGTGGTTTCTTCTGGAGTCTGACTCTTTCACAGCCCCGGGTTCTTCTCCAGACTGAAGGAGAAAGGTGCCCTTGCAAAGGATGTTTGGGGTGTCATTGGTAGCGCGTACGTTTTCTTCTTATTTTTGTCGCTTTCGTCCTTCTGAAATGGATTGTTGGCAGACTAAGCGTGCGGGATCTTATGCTTGCAAGTGTCTCTGCACCTCCCAGAAACGTTCTACTCACGAGATATGTAGGAAATGGAAAAGGCTCAAGCAAAGGGAGAAATAGATGCAGAGGAGCTCAGGGCTTTGGAGATGGATGTTACAGGAAAGGTGCGGGTAAAATGTGCTGTTTAATTTGGGATCTGACTCATTTGGCTGGTCAGATCATGCTTGCCTCTTGGCGCGGCGCACGTCTGGAGGTTATACAAGTCCTTCGAGAGGTCGTTAACAACGTCCTGAAGGAGCCTGGTCAACCTGATACAGTTTTATACAATCGTGCAAAAGTCAGCATTGTTTTTTTTCTTTTTCTGAGCTCCCTTCTGAGTCGTGACCGACTTTCGTCTTCATTATACAGGGTCTTCTGATTAGTGGAGCTATCTTCAAATCTGCCGTACCGGATGAATCGGACGAGGAGCGTCGAGAGCTGGAAAGGTGTGCATGCAGCTTGACCGTGATTTATCCTGTCATCTTAATTTCTTTTATTTTAACCTTAAGAATGGTGGCGGACGCTGCGAAACCAAGGGCGAAGCAGAGTACTCTTCATCAAGCCAAAGCGAGGAGAGAGGAGATGATCAAGCGTGCAGAGGCTGAGGCGGTAAAGCACGCGGAGGCGGAGAAAGCGAAGCAGAAGCAAGCGCAAGATGGTTCTTCATGAGACGGTAGACCAATATGATTTTTCAAACGCCGTTGTCCTAACTAATCTACTCACTACTCATACATACATACCCTTTGCTTGATTGAGCACACATGCTACTATCATCTACCGCCTTCTTCTAAGTGTTTCTTTTTGCTAAACATGTAATGGACTACAAACTAATCCTTGTAATGAATGTCCCATCTCCGTTGTCTTTTCCTCGTAGATTGATAGAATTTTTACATATATTGCAAGATTGGCACCAGGATCTAATCAAGTACGGAGCGGCATCGTTCTGGCTGGCCAGGTTGTACATGGGCGTTGGTCAATACTACACAATACAAGTCCGAGGGTAGCCAGCTACCCTAAAAAGCTCAATCACTTTTGAGCTTCAAATGCGCGTTTGACCTGTGCATTGTCGATTTTAATCGACGAAAGAGATTTGGTTCCAAGCACTCACCTGGTCACAGAACGCGGCATCCGCGAGAATCCGATAACCAGTGAGCGCCAAGACTTTGGCTATACACATCATGGCCGCGTGGGCCTCGACGGTTGCGGCTGATTTCGCAAAGGCTGGTGTGTGATTGCCACCTTTCGCTTCCGTCGGTATGGCTGACCGAAAGAATGTGTGAACACCAGAAAAATTAGTAAAGGATGAATGGGCGAACCGAAGGAGGGGTGTAGGGACGGGAGTGCTTTCGTGGAGAGTGAGATTCTAGCTAGATAGATACTAAAAGATGTTTCTCACCGTAAGATACGTTTCCCTGGGAGGAATGGGTGAGTAAGAATGTACATAACCCGAATGAAGCGAACTGCTCACAAAATCCGTGGAGGCGGAAAAGTTGTTACCACTCGTTACTACGCCGTAACGATTCAAGGCGGTGTCGGAAAATGCGCGCGCTGCACAGAAGATGGAATGAGTGGGTCGCCTTGATAGGGGATAGACCGACGACTGACCAAGAACACTGTTCTGTCGTAATTCAAAGTAAGGGGCGTGAAATTTCAGAGTGGCCTTGCACGAAGTGGAGATCGCTGCTGCTCTGGAGAGGTTTGATTATTTTGTCGATGAAATACACCAAACAGCATTACTTACTCGAGACAGTTCGTGGCTCGTTTCACAAATGCGTGAAGTTCTGCCACAGTTGGTGCTCGGGCTATCCAGCGCATTTGTGCATAGTCGGGAATAACTGCTGAATTGTAAGACCCTAGGTCCTGTAGCCCAGAACAGATTGATTTATCACCGTTGGGGGACCAGTCCTTTCCTTGCACTATCCCGTGGATGCGATGGTCGGGCTTCATTTGCTGGCGTAAGAGGGAGATGCCAGAGTATGCTAAAAATGCCGCGTCAAGGGCGTTTGTTCCCTCCCTTGCGAAACAAGTTAAAAGTGTTGTGTTCGCTAAGTAACATGGCAGCTTACCAAGGCGCCGCTGCTGCGTGAGCACTAGATGGATAGTAATTATAAATTACATTGGGGCTTATGTCGCTCTGAAGAACCTACCTTTGCCCAAAGTACTCGACTTCTACGTCCTGCATAGCAATTGATGTCCCTACGCACGCAGAGTGCGGAATACCAGGAGAAGGATGACACCTAGAAACCAGGGGTCATTGCGAGTCTTCGCTGCGGTCGAGAAAAAGGGCACTTGCATGATGCATGCGTCCATATCTTTATAGCCTCCGCGATCGAGAAGGATGACTTTTCCTCCGCCAGCCTCCTCAGCTAAACATAATCGTCAGTCATGTTTGAAAACGACAGTGTACAATAGCGCTTACCAGGCGTACCAAGCAGGACAACTTTGCCGGACATCTTATGTGCCTGCATGGCGGATTTAATGGCAATGGCGATCCCGACCCCGCTTACGGCGATCAGGTTGTGACCACAAGCATGTCCGAGTCCTTTCAAAGCGTCCATTTCCGAGTTTACGCCTATAACTCTGCCCCCGGTTCCGTAGCTGAATTCAGCGCGCCAGGCGGTGTGAAGACCAAGGTAGTGTCTGCTGACATGAAATCCATGTGTTGCCATAAATTGCGTCAGGATATCGTGTGCGTATCTGCCCAAGGTTTTGTTTACTGTATTCGCATACCATAGAAAAAAGCGTGACGGACCTTTCTTGAAACTGGAGCTCTGGGCAACCTATCACGATGATAAGGTGAGATGGTCCATAGTGGATCAAAGGCGAGTAGAAGTACCGTGTATTTCCAAGCTTAGCTCTCGGAGCTGAGGGCTGAGGGAGTCCAGCGTCGCCTCAACCGTTTTTGCGACCTCGAGATCCGCAAACGGCAAATCACTAGGGGTATACGATGGCGGATGCTGCGGATCCAACCACCATTCTGACTCTTCGGAATAAGAATAGTTACACGAAGGGTTGAAGAAATGAATCTCCTGCTGTTGTTTGTGAGTACGCAAATACTTCTCGTTCTGAAGGGTTGGCGCTTACTTTTTCCTTCTCGGAGATCTTTAGCGCCTCTCGAATCTCGGTGCCGTAACCTTCAGGTCTAACCTGCACCTCATGATATTCAAGCTGGGGCTGGCGAGGCGGCTGCGGCTCGTCTCGCGATTGTTGGCTACGCCATGAAGAGGTTCGACGAGAGAAAAGGCGGCGGAAACAGCCCACTTGAGGTTCAGCTTGGTTCATTGGTCCTGGGGGGTTGGGTTGAGGAAACCTGGTTGAGAGGAAGAAAGCGCAGTAGCTAAAATACGTGTCCGCCGGGGATGAATGGAGTTGCTGATCGACGCGTTCGACATCGACCCATTTACCCGGTGAGATCGGGTTCACTGATCATCAAAAATTACGGTGCCAGAAAATTTTCGTGGACATGAATGAATTGAAGACAATGTCATGCCGCTGGGATGACGGAAAAGTCGCATGCGACGCCCCGATTATTTGGCAGCTGTCTGTCAGGGGTGGTGCGAGAATTTAGTAAAAGGTTGGGCCTGACCGGGAGTTGAACCCGGGACCTCCTCGATATTCGCCTGGCAAACGAGCAATTAAAGCCCGAACGAGGAATCATGCTACTAGACCATCAGGCCGGTATTTGCAGAGAACACCTTGACAATGAAGTTGAGGCTTTGGTTCAAGAATATTGTCCTGAAGGTTTTGGCTTTCGTATTCAACAGGGGCAAAGGAGTGCAAACTTAATCAACGCATTGCATCTGGATTCTGCAACTCAAGTTCAGTCTCTGCCCGGATCATGGCGTCCGTGGTACAGTCAATGCCTGTAGATGTCCTCACACAGATATTTACGGGACTCAAGAGCAGAAATGCAGATACGCGAATACAATCTGCTTTGGAACTGAAGCGTTTCGTAAGCGCATTACCTGCTCAAGGAAGCTAACAGTGTATATGTCCTTCGAAGGTTTCAACGGCGGTTGCGGAAATGACCTCGGACGCCGCAGCCAAACTTTGGGATGACAACATCAATCGCAGGCTCTTCGAGTTGACCCATAGTCAAAGCAGTGTTGAAGCGTTTGGAGGATTACTGGCCATCGGTATGGTTGCGCGTCTAGCGCTTCAGCTCTTTGTGGCGCTTATTGTTGTCATTTTAGAAAAGCTTTTGGAGATAGACCAGGAAGAAACGATAGAGTCTAAGAGGAATCTGTTTCGATTCTACAATTACGTCAAGCACCTCTTGCCAAATCATGATGTCAATCTCATGTTGGCAGCGTCAAAGATCCTTGGTGAAATTGCGCGGATTGGCGGCGCTGCGTTTGGGGAACGTTTCATGGACTTTGAGGTTCCGGCTGCTATTGAGTTGATGCAACCAGACAAACAGGAATCGCCGAGGTACGCGGGTGTCCTTATTCTCAAGGAACTCGCACGCAACAGCCAGACGTACTTTCATTCGCACATTGGCATCGTATTTGAAAATATTCTGGTGCCTTTGCGTGACCAACGCGTCATTGTCCGAGAGGGTGCTGCGGAACTGCTGGCAGCGTGTCTAGAAATTGTGACGATAAGGGAGCGACAGGCTCGGAGCCCTTACTTGTCAAAGATACTACAAGATGCGCAAACGGGTCTCAAGCAATCACAACCTGAAATCATTCATGGCTCGTTGCTTGCTTATCGCGAGTTGTTGCTCCACGCTGGAATGGTAAGCATGCCAGTGTAATTTTGAGGCCTATCACGCTCATCAAACTCTGTAAAGTTCATGAAGGAGAACTTTCTGGATACCGCTGAACAAATTCTCCGCTTCAAGGCACATCGAGATTTACTCGTTCGAAAGATGGTCATCACAATTATACCAACTCTCGCGGCCTACGACACACAGACGTTCACCGAACACTTCTTACACAAAGCCATGGCACATCTTCTTACACAACTTGACAAGCCAAACGAACGGTCCTGGGGTACGTCCCGAGGCGTTTTGTAGCTTTTACTCCCCTGACAAGCGTACACAGCATTTATCGCGATAGGACACACTGCGACTGCTGTTACCAGCGACATGAAACCCTTTTTGGACTCGATTATGGCGCACATTAGGCAAGGGCTACAAGGTCAAGGGTGCGTTTGACCTTGGACTACTGTTGTCATTTTACGCGAACATCTTCACAGACGTAAAAATGCGCCCTCTGAAGAACCCATCTTCCAATGTGTGGGAATGCTTGCATCGGCAGTTGGACCGAATCTAACCAAATTATTGCACGACCAACTTGATCTTATGTTGGCATGTGGTTTGAGTGAACCTCTCGTCCAAGCTCTCGTTGCTATAGCAAAATTCATCCCACCACTTCTCAAGACCATACAAGGTATATCCACCAATAGGATTCACTTTATCGCCCCTCATACGTCTTGCAATCTAGATCGCCTACTGGATGTTCTTTCCATGATTCTTAGTGGGCAGCCTTACAAACCACTAGGGGCTCCTCCGTCGCTCGCAAGGAACGATCTCGGTGTAATAACACGAGATTTAAATGCTACACAGGTAGTATCATCCCTGACGACCTAGCTGTAATATTGAGAACTTCTTCAGATTTCTCCCAATGACAAGAACCCAGAGATGATAACCCTGGCTCTGAAGACTTTGGGAGAGTTTGACTTCAGTGGTGCTGTCGATTATCTCCCCATCTCGGTTACACACAACTAATTCTTGTCTAGGCCACATTTTGAATGAATTTGTTCGAACATGTGCATTACCGTATCTGGAAGACGATAACCCGGAAGTCCGATGCACAGCGGCGCACACTTGTTGCATTCTGTTTGTTAGGGATCCTATCTGCTTCCAAGCAAGTAGCCATGCCATCGAGGTCATCAGCGACGTCTTGGACAAATTGCTTACCGTGGGGATTGCTGATCCAGGTAGTTTCCAAAGATATGTTGACGAAGTGAATGCTAAGCAATGTTCTTCGTTCGACAGATTCTCAGATACGGTATACGGTATTAACGAATCTGCACGAGCGCTTTGACAAGCACCTAGCTCAAGCGGAAAACGTTCGATCACTATTTATCGCCTTGAATGATGAAATGTTCGAGAATCGTATCGCGGCCGTCTCTCTTATCGGCCGTCTAGCAAAGCACAATCCAGCATATGTCATGCCTTCCCTTCGAAAAGCGCTGATTCAATTACTAACCGAGCTTGAATATTCAACTGTGATGTGGGCAAGATTTCTCTCTTTCGAAGTCTGACACTAACGCAGTTGGCAGGCGCAATCGCGAGGACTGTACCCGGCTCCTGACGCTCTTGGTTAGCGCCACCCAGCGACTTATCAAACCTTATGCCCTTCCGATGTTACGCGTACTCCTTCAGAAGGCCAATGACACGAATCCCACTGTTGCTGCCAACGTCTTGATGTGCCTTGGCGAACTGGCTTGTGTAGGAGGGGAGGATGCAATGCCTCACGTCCCAGAACTCATGCAAGTAATCATTGCGAGATTGTCTGACCCATCCTTGGTTAAACGAGATGCTGCCCTCCATACCCTTGGTCAAGTTTGCTCGAGCACCGGTTATGTCATAGCCCCGCTCGTGGATTACCCTCAATTGTTACCTCTCCTCGGAAGGATTCTAAGGACCGAAACGACACAGCTGATTCGACGAGAAGTGATAAAAGTTCTCGGAATACTCGGGGCACTTGACCCTTACAGGCGAAAGGTACGGATTAGTATGGTATTCGTTTCATTGGAGGTGACGAACTCCCTGCCAGAGCAAACCCGAAGAAGAAGCGGCATCAAGCGAAACTGCTGTGGCGGCTGTAAATCAAGTTCCAGTAACTCAGCATACGACTTCGTCAGGGGCGGACGACTACTTCCAGACCGTAGTTATCACCGCCTTGCTAGCTATCCTTAAGGATCAAGCCCTCAGTAGTCACCACCACACCGTCATCGAGGCTATCATGTCGATTTTCAAAACCCAGGGATTGAAATGTGTAACTTTTTTGCCGCAGGTATGCATCTATTGCTATTCCTTACTTCCAAATCTTGTGACGGAGTCTAGATTATCCCAGCATTTGCCGCCGTTACGCGCAGTTCTACTGCTCGACTACAGGAGTTTCATCTACAACAGCTTGCAATTCTGGTTAGCATCATCAAACAGCATGTTCGCAATTATATGCCCGAAGTGTTCAGCCTGATCACTGAGTTATGGGAAAATGTCACCCTACAACTTCCGATTGTCTCCTTGATCGAGGCGTTGGGGAAGGCTCTCGACGCTGAATTTAAACCATTTCTACCAACGATCTTGCCATTAATTCTCAAAGTCTTTGATGGCGAGCTCAACGAGAAGAGGATGAGCACACAAATCAAAATCTTCGACGCCTTTCTTACATTTGGAGCGAACATTGAAGAGTACCTCCACTTGGTCATTCCAATCATTGTCAAATCGTACGAAAGGACGGATTGCACCACAGCATTGCGGAAGAGAGCTATTCAAACAATAGAGGGGTTATCCAGGCGAGTAAACTTTTCCGATCATGCATCACGCATCATCCATCCATTGGTTCGCGTTCTGGAGGGATCAAATAATGAATTGCGCATGGCGGTGATGGATACTCTGTGTTCGTTGGTGGTCCAACTAGGATCAGATTTCGCTATCTTTGTTCCAACCATCAATAAGGTAGGGTTGGGGTTTAAGTTGACATTATGAAAGCTCTAACGGTCGCGTCAGTGCTTGTTACGCAACCGTATACCTCACCCAAAGTACGAAAATTTGATTTCCAAATTGCTCAATGGCGAACGCCTACCACAGGAGACAGGTGTACTTGAATTCCTGTGGGTGACCCAATCATATTTATCTTGTTTCCATCTAACCTTCTCACCAGGATGAGTGAGAGCTCCAAAGCACCAGAGTTTTCTGCCCCCGCAGAAGCGACCAAGATGACGGTCAACCAGCAACATCTCAAACAGGCATGGGATACTTCTCAGATTTCAACAAAGGAAGATTGGACCGAGTGGATGCATCGTCTCGGTGTCGAATTTATGAAGGAATCACCTTCTCATGCTCTAAGGGCGTGTATGAGTCTGGTGGACATACATCCGCCGCTTGCGAAAGAGCTTTTCAATGCAGCATTCTTGTCTTGTTGGGGGGAACTTTACGATCAATATCAGGTAATCCGTTCATTATATTCAACCCACTACATCAACTGACCTATTGATAGGAGGATCTTGTCCGTTCTATCGAATTCGCCATTACCTCTTCTACAGCACCTCAAGATCTCATCCATCGTCTGCTCAATTTGGCGGAATTTATGGAGCATGAAGAGAAACCTCTACCCATTGAACATCGAACGCTAGGAGAATACGCTATGAAATACATGGCTTACGCAAAGGCACTGCATTATAAGGAATTGGAATACTTCTCTGAATCATCACCAGCCGTGATTGAGGCGCTTATCTCTATTAATACCAGGCTTCAGCAGCATGACGCTGCGTGGGGAACTCTGCTTACCGCCCGTGAGCAATACGATGTGACCAAACATGAGGAATGGTACGAAAGACTGGGACGCTGGCAGGAAGCGCTTGTTGCCTACGACAAGAAGGCTGAAGTTGACCCGGGGGCTCCTGACATTCAGATTGGACGTATGAAGTGCTTACACGCTCTAGGAGAATGGGATATGTTGGCTCAACAGGTCGAGGAAAATTGGTCTAACGCCAATCATGAGGATCGTCGAGAGATTGCCCCAATGGCTGCTGCTGCTGCTTGGTCCTTGAACGAATGGGATTCCATGGATGACTACATTACGACAATGAAAATGGATTCTCCGGACCGTGCATTCTACCGTGCCATTCTTTCCGTGCATCAAAACCAGTTTCCAAAAGCCCTAAGCCATATCGCTAAAGCCAGGGACCTGCTAGACCCTGAACTAAGCTCATTTGTTGGAGAGGGTTATGGACGTTCATACAAGTAAGCGATCATGTTTGTATATCAGTGTGAAATTCGCTCATTTCTTTTAGCGTAATGGTTCGCGCGCAAATGCTTTCGGAGTTGGAAGAAATCATCGCGTTCAAACAGTATGCTGATCAACCCGAGCGACAACAATCCATGAGGAAGACTTGGATGAAGCGGTTTGTGGCGTGCTAAAAAATGCTTTGCTCGTGTCCTGACGTAAATGCATTTAGTCTTCAGGGCTGCCAACCCGATGTAGAGGTTTGGCAACGAATCCTTCAAGTTCGAACACTCGTTCTTAACCCAGAAGATGACCCAATAATGTGGATCAAATTCGCAAACTTGTGCCGAAAAAATGAACGAATGGCTTTAGCGGAAAAGACCATCAATTCCTTACTTAGTCCAGAAAGGGTGCGCACATTACTTGTTGAGCGGCCCCTGATGACTAAAAGCAGAATCCACACTTACACAACCATCACCGTACACAGGCACCTCCCAATGTGGTCTACGCGCAGTTGAAGTATATGTGGTCAACAGGAGCCAAAGAGGAGAGCCTTAGTTTTCTTCGCAAATTTTCAACGAAGATGGTGAGCGACCTGCAGCAAGAATCAAATGAAAATACGCATCGGTCTGGAGTTTCAAAACAAAAGCTAGCGGAGCTGTCGAAGTTAATCGCTCGATGTTACTTCAAACAAGGTCAATGGCAGGTTGAACTCAAAGAAGACTGGAACGCGGTGCGCAATTTGAGGTATCTCTATGTTTCGTTTACTGACCCAACTCCAGCGAAATGTTGATGATATCTTACATTCGTATTTCCTCGCAACACACTATGACCCACTTTGGTATAAAGCGTGGCACACTTGGGCACTGGAGAATTTCGAGGTCATTGGTCACATGGAAAGCCAGAGTGAAAATCGACCTAACGATTTGCCTGGAGACCATCTCGCAGCTCACGTTGTTCAGGCAGTCGAAGGTATGTGGATGGACGACCCCATGCAAGGTCTCTACTAAAGCGCCAATTTACCAGGTTTCTTCCGCTCTATATCTCTTCGAAATGAAGATGCACTACAAGATACTCTTCGATTGTTGACTTTGTGGTTTAAATTTGGAGCGCACGACGAAGTAAGCCATGCGATGGGCAACGGTTTCTCCTCTGTAGAGGTAGATACGTGGCTGGAAGTCATCCCTCAGGTACAAAGACTGCTTTAGATCAAAACATCAGCTAATCTCAGAGCTAGATCATTGCAAGAATTCAGACACCCCACGCAAATATCAGACGGAACATCAATAACCTTTTAACTGACGTCGGCAAGCATCACCCACAGGCGTTAATCTATCCCTTGACAGTCGCATCCAAGTCCTCCAGCGTGTCGCGCCGAAATGCAGCGGTTGCCATCATGGAGCGCATGAGAGAACACAGCCCGACCATCGTTTCCCAGGTATACACCTTCAAAAACTTTTCCATCCCTTGTTTTCAGATAGCTGATGTTCTGTACCCGACAGGCAATGGTCGTCAGTCGAGAATTGATTCGCGTAGCAATCCTTTGGCACGAACTTTGGCATGAAGGGCTAGAGGAAGCATCGAGGCTATACTTCACAGAAAAGAACCCCGAGGGCATGATATCAACATTAGAACCACTGCACGAGATGCTAGAAGCCGTGAGAATGCTCTTGATACCCATGCGAGCTCGTGGGCTTATAGCCTCTCATCTAGGGGCCAACGACAGCTCGGGAGACCTCTTTTGCCCAAGTATTTGGCCGAGAATTACACGAAGCACGTGAAGCCTGTCGACGATATCGCATCTATGCGGATACAAGCGAGCTTGACAAGGCATGGGATATTTATTATGGCGTAAGCTCCAGCTCTCCAAGATTTCCAAGCAAGTATCTCAACTTGCCCTACAGGTGTTTAAGAAGGTTGAAAAGCAATTACCGCAACTCACAACTTTAGACCTTCAATATGTTTCACCTAGTTTGCTGAAGGCCCGCAACCTTGACCTTGCTGTCCCTGGTACCTCTGGGTCCCTTTCTTTCCGAGCGTCGATGCTAACATTGAGGCAGGAACCTATCAAAGTGGCCGGCCAATCATCAGGATTACAAGCTTCGCCACCAAACTCACTGTCATTGCGTCAAAACAACGCCCTCGTCGCCTCTCGTTAAAGGGCAGTGATGGTAGAGACTACCAGTACGTATTGAAAGGTCAGCGTATTGTCCTCTCTGTACAGCACCGTTCTAGAATAATTTGTCGATAGGTCATGAGGATCTCCGCCAGGACGAGAGGGTAATGCAACTCTTCAGCCTTGTCAACACTTTGCTCTCCGTGGATACCAACAGCTTCAAACGCCGACTGCATATACAAAGATACCCCGTTATCCCGCTAGCCCCCAACGCCGGTCTATTAGGCTGGGTACAAGACAGTGATACCCTCCATGTTCTTATCAGAGATTATCGTGATTCTAGGAAGGTTCTCCTCAACATTGAGTACCGTTTGATGCTTCAGGCAAGAAGCCCTCCACTCAAGTATTAGCCCCCCGCTAAAATTGCAGTTGTAGATGGCGCCAGACTACGAGATTCTTACCCTTCTTCAAAAGGTAGAGGTCTTTGAATATGTACTGGAAAACACGACGGGACAAGACTTATACCGAGTATTGTGGCTGAAGAGCGTCAATTCCGAGCATTGGCTAGAGAGGCGGGCAACATACACACGGTCTCTTGCCGTGAACAGCATGGTGGGACATATACTTGGTTTGGGAGATCGCCATCCTTCAAATTTATTGCTCGAACGAAGCACCGGGAAGGTCGTCCACATCGACTTCGGAGATTGTTTCGAGGTTGCCATGCATCGCGAAAAGTTCCCCGAGAAAGTTCCTTTCCGACTGACGAGAATGCTGACACATGCTATGGAAGTAAGTACTGTCGTATTTGAATCGTCGAGATGCAAACTCAAATGCTCCTACCTAGGTTAGCGGGATAGAAGGTAGTTTTAGAAACACGTGCGAAATAACCATGCAAGTCCTTCGAGACAACAAAGAATCACTCATGGCGGTCTTGGAAGCCTTTGTGTATGATCCTCTCATCAACTGGAGGTTAATGCAAGCCGACGTAGAAGTCCGACGAAACGAAGGTGACCCCTACCCGTCTTGTTTGCTAGGAGCCTGCTAATACACCTCAACTTAGAAACTGAGACTGATCCAGAGCGTGCCGCTGAGTTGGCAAGAGTAGCCGCACACCCTCAAGCGCCGACACGAAAATTGAAGGCGGATGAGAACGACATTTTCAATGGTACATCGTCTTCCATTGGTGGTATGGGCCTGCTGACGTTTCCCCCCACCATAGAAAATGAGGGTCAGGCCGGCGCGCAGGAAGTCAGAAACGAACGAGCGCTATTTGTTTACAACCGAGTTCAACATAAGCTTACCGGTGAGATATGCAAGCGCGCCCCGCATTCATCGACTCAATGTGACTTTAGGGCGTGATTTCAATCCGGAGGTTTCCCTGAGCATACCCGCGCAGGTCGAAAAATTAATTGAGCAATCAACTGCCCTAGAAAACCTATGCCAATGTTTTTCTGGATGGTGCGCATTCTGGTAGCTTCATTTTTATCTATGGTGGTTTGTAAATTACTTGGGAAGTTGTAAAGTCTTGATTACGTAACTATGCAAATCCTTGCTTTCGAGTCAGTGTATTCGAGCTGCCTTCAGTCATGCCTCGAGGGATTCCCAATGCCAAACGAGACGAAACAGGCATGCGTTATACGACGTTCAGCGTCCCTTTAGCGTTGGTCTTGGCTTATCCACACTGCGTTCGATGTTGAATTATACCTTTGAAGCCCAAATCCGAAGCATGTCAGCTCCACCTACCTGAAATCAGAATCTCAGACTCTTTGGGCGAGGAACGCATTGCGTAAAAGCAACACTGTTGTGGTTGAAGAAGGAACGCAGGATCAACGGTTGGCGTGATCCTTCATAACATTGCAACATTCTGATTATGCGCAGACGAGGTTCTCAGGTCCTTGTAATTCACCCTGGGTCCTGCTACCTGCGGATAGGGAAAGCTTCTGATGTAAATCCAGTTACAATACCAGCCGTCGTGGCCCGTAAACATACCTCCGCACCGCCAGAAATAATCCGAGTGGAGAATGTCTGTCGCCCAAGGAACAATACCCCAGGATCTCAGAAGAGTGACACCCAGAACGGTGATGAATATGACGTGTCCACGGCCTCTAACGACCCGGTTTGTGAATTTTGTTCACATCTGTATAACATCTCAAATACATTTTTTAGTTTGATGCGAAACTGGCTGCAATTACTCTTTCTCTTCGTGATAGGATGCGTTTTTACAAATTGCGTGTAACGCCCAATGCTACGAAAATTGCGTCGACTTTCAACGAACAATTTAAACCTGAGGTCATCACTGACTATGAAGCTTTAGAGATGGAATGGATTGACGAAACGTGTTCTGAAGATGTCCTGGTTGGTGAAAAGGTATCCGTTGTACTTCTTAGGAATGATAAGGCCCTCAGTTTTGTTTAGGCCCTCCAAATCGCTGACCCTCGTCTGTCAAATTATGCGGTCAAATGGCCAATTCTGGCCTCAAATTTCAACACTAAGGACTACCAATCTATCCAAGCGAACTTGAGCGACCTTGAAGCCCTCATCCGACATACGCTGCGGGACAGAATGAATATAAGCTTTACTGACTACAAGGTGCGACATCAACGCACCCACTTGAGTTTTGGAATTAAACGACATCAGAGGTATTCAGTTGTTCTTGTGATACCTGACTTCTACGACAGAGCGTATATTCGAGAGATTGTCAATCTTTTAGTGGTTATGGGATTCAAGCAGTTTTGTGCTCAGCAGGTTGGTTGGACACACATTACGAACATTAGGAAATACGATCATTCAAGTGCAACAGGAGTCGCTGGCTGCAACATACGGAGCAGGTATATCGAATGCATGCGTCGTTGATATCGGCGCGAAGGTGACGAGCATAGCATGCGTCGATGAAGGCTTAGTCCTCTCAGAAACAAGGTTTGTCTCTTTTAGTTCCCTTTACCATAATGTTTACTTCTAGGATTAGGATGACGCTGAATATGGGTGGTGATGATATAACGGAATTTCTTTATGTTTTGTTGGGTCGCATCAACTTTCCTTACAAGAACCTTGACCTGAGTCGCTCGTACGACTGGAACGTTCTAGAGGACCTAAAATCTAGGTTATGCACTCTGGCTGAGGTATATCTCTCACACTTGGAGCCAGATGAGTTGACAAGCAAGTGTTAGGGTGACGTCGCCCTAAACTTGTATGATTTCATCGTCCGCAAACCCAATCGACCTACAGAAAAGTACGGTTTACGAGCGTATGATGAAATTATCTTGGCGCCTATGGTTTGCGATGTCGTGCTCATCTTAACCCTTACTGACTAAATATAAGTGTCTTTTCGAGCCCCGCGTTATCGAATTCAACAACAAACGGAAGGGAGCTCGACCGATCTCGCCAAACGTAACTGAAGAGATCATTGATCATCAAGCAGATTGTGTTGTACGTTTTGATTGTCTAACGTGCTATTCTGTCTCATCTGGTTTCGTAAGACAAACGCCATGGTCATTTCAACCCAGCATTTGATGCCCCCTCCACAGTTGACCGACTCTACAAAGCAAACCCCAACAACCACCACTCATACTTCAGGTTTGGCTGCAATATTCAATCATATTCCCTAGATTGATGTGAATCGCAAAGGTACCATCACCCCAGCGAAAGTCGACTCTACATCTGCGGACGTCTCATCCATGGTAGTTGATATACAGAGCATTCCTGCACCAACAGATGCACCGAGTGAATCGGTACCTGAGGTAATTGATGTTGATGACGATAGCAAGCTTGCCACCTTGCAAGACTCGCAACTTGCCTCTCAATCGCAAGTGAGCACATATCCAGGAGGTTACTCTATCGATGTCTGCTTCGAAGCAAGCAAATTGCCTCTAGATGTTGCCATTTTCAACAGTGCGCGAGCTGCTGGAGGTGATGATAAGATTCGAAAGTATCTGCAAGCAGTTCTTGTCATTGGGGGAACAGCCCTTATTCCAGGTATGGCACACGCTCTTGAAAGCAGGTAAGGACTAGGTGGTTCTCTTTCCATTGACGGCTCATTATGAACAACAACTAGGCTACAGGCTATAGCGACTCCCCTGGTGCCAAATATGGAGAAGGTGCAGATAATCCCCCCGCCAAAGGAGGTAGATCCTCGTGTTCTTGCTTGGAAAGGCGCTTCAGTGCTTGGGAAAATGGATGGAGTATCTGAATTATGGGTGACACCTTCAGATTGGGTTTGCATTAATTTCGCTTTCGCTACATCTAGAGTCTTAATTTATATACAGGATACATTTGGGATGCGCAGTCTCAAGGAAAGATGTTTCTATCTTTGAATAAACAGGGGTAGCACTGGAAAAGTCGTCAATAACCAAGATGACGGATGTGGGTTGTTACATAAACCCAGGGCTATTATATCAGGGCAAACACTTTGGAGTGCGCCCGTCACGGCGGAATTGAGATGAACCACGGTATTTTGAAAGTGGTCAGGATGGAAATGCTTGAGTATGGGTGTGAGAGTGTAATATCGCGGGCGGATTCGAGTGAGGTGTGGCAGTGAGGTCAGACACCAAGTTTTCGCTTCAACTCGATGAAATCTTGTGATCGCAGAGTAGGCCAGGACTTGTATAACTGGGTCATCTCTCTCTTACCATCCCTGATAAAAAATCGAATGTTAATTTAAAAGCGTTGCGATAATGGTGTTTATACCTGTCCTTTTTAAGCCATTCCCCTCGCAAGTGACCACCTTCTCTCCAGTCCATTACATTTAAGCTGACAACGTTGTCAGTCTCCTCTTTCAGCCCGTTCTTCTTACATTCGCCTCGCCTACGTCTCTTTGAACCAAACACCCATACGTCTTCGTGATCTTCTAATTTGGGTTGTATTGTCGAGTTCGATGGCACTTGTGAGAGTTTCTCTACCATTGATTCAACAACCGCAGCAACTGTCCTGTTTGGGACAAAAGGGAAGGTAATACTTAACCGAGGAATATGATCAGGAGTGATGGTCAATAGGCTGCGACAAATCGGACAGTCCACAGACTCGTGCCATCCTCCGCATCCTTGATGGAGCCTGGAGAAGAACCATTTGAGAATGCACATTGCGCAAAATGTGTGGCCGCATAGCGCAGGATTCAGCGAGTATGGGGTAGCAAAGATGTCATAGCAGCTGCAGGAATCTCATTCAGGCACTGTATGTTGAACTGGTAAGGTGAATTGCTCACAGTGCACATGTGAAATGCTCCTCCAGTTGGCTTAGCGTTGCTCTTGCATCGCGCTCTGCGAGTTGTGACATCATCAACGAAGCCTCGTATTCCCTCTTGGAAAGGGAAATCATTCGGTCATGGATATCGTGAGATTCTCGTTCAAGTTCGTTCTCCTTCCGGAATACCGCATTCTCGCGTCGAATGAGCTCCGAGGGACTTATTCGTTGTGATCGTCGAAGATCAGGAAGACTGTTTGACGCTGTGGGTGGGTTTCGAACAATATCTAACCCAATGTCATCTCTATTACATCCTCTGGATGTATTTCTCGGTATAATGATAGTCTTTTGTCGCTTGTTTCTGTGAGAGTCTTCTGCCCCAACTGAGGCAGAAGGCTGAGTCTCCTTCCCTGCTGATGTAGACAGAGATCCTAAGCGATGGAATCACCGCAAGCTAAGCCCTCACCTTGACGATTTCTCAAACGGGAAGACCGTCGGGTGGTGGGGTCCATCTTAAATTGATGTTTCGAGGTCGTGGCTGTCGTTAACCAGACTCCAGACTCCAGAGAACCATTGTCTAAGTCTTGAAGGGAGAAAGGGTGCCCGTGACTTAATCTTATCTGATTAGAAGACTATCACGTTGAGGTGAACTGACCTTGACTCAAGCCTCTACTAGCTTTTTGGCTCTGAGGGTGAGCGCTGAAGCTGAAGCCTAAGATCTCAAGCCGTTGCCTCCACCCTTCGCAGTTTAGCCCAGTCGCCTTTTGATAAGGTGGTTTTGACACAATCTCAGTCTACCTTGGTCTAACTTGAAATCGCAACTCGGGTTCAGTTGTGCCTGCGGCATTGCGTCTAAAAAAACTCAAACACAATTCTGTTTTCGCCACGATCAAGGGACTACTTGTCAATCGTTCCAACTGGCAACAGGTTCCAACACTTGTCCTCACTTGTCCAATTGTCATCTTCTGAAATCTACATCGTTTGCATATCTATCGTGGATCCTATGACCTCAGGAGAAAAGGTACAAGCTCCAACGTTTGCGGACCGATCTAACTTTCGTGCCCGATCTTGCAATTCGGTAGGTTTTACGCCCTCATCACTCAGGAACCGCTTGCCGAAGAGCCAGATGGCAGAATAACTGATCCAAAGTATGTGCACGTCACTCGTGATGTTTTGATGTTTTTTAAAGGTCATGTTCCTGAATACTATCTCACCGCAGTTACCCCAATAGAGCATTCGCTTATTGTTGGCCTCACACACTTGTCCAGTGTCCATCGAGATACCAGGTAAGACGACCCAGGTGCCAGCTGTGGGCAAGTATTTGCGAGGCACAGCCCTGTGTATCCTACAGCAAATCACAGAAAGTGGCTTTGTTCACACGGGTTTGCGTAGGACCACTTGGCGCTTCTCAGTGCAATCACAACCCTAAAAATTTAGATCGACACCCGAACGTGAACCAGTGACTCTCTGATGCCTCTCTTTTGGTTCTCTTTGCAACACGATGGAAGGTCAATACAAGGACATCTGGAGAGATTTCAATCCATGGTTCCCTTTTTTCTGTATGTCCAGGGTAGCGACATCTTGACTTTGCGACGCGGCTCTCCGTTTTCCTCTCAATACGCCGTACCTGGCCCTGGATGTCAAACACAGCATATGTCATTGTGGCTGGACCTGGCTGGACGCGGCAGGATGCTACCATCTCTGGCATTTGTGCCTCTAGTAGGTATGCCCTTATATCCAACTAGTTCCCCGTGAATTTTCATAAATCAACAGACACGACAAAGACTCAACGTTTGATTGGCTTTTGGCTCCATTTAGAAAACGTATTCGCGGATTTTGAGTTTGCAGTTGCTGCCACCTCCTTACAGAACGGCGAGGTTACCTGGGGCTTACTGACCTTCCTGGTGGCAGATCTCCACGGTAGGTCAGAGGGCCCCGCCTGGTTGATTGATATTTTATTGCCTCTTGCAAGAATGGGGGGCAAGGTTCAATAATGCGTCGAGGTGGAATCGATCGACCTCTTTGTCGATTGATCCTATTGTTCAGATTTCCAAAGCCTAAGAACCACATTGACCTCAAGAATGAATCCACTTACTCTCCAATATTCTTAGACTCCTGTGCCACTCATCATTGTTGGTTGGGGTGAAAAAAAAGCAAATGGGTTTTACCAAATGAAAAGGCGTGCCACGGACTGAGGTAATCCTATCCTTGGCCACGTTTGCGCGGACAAGCCAGGGTCTATTTGACTGGCCAGGGCATCTCAATTCCAATTTTCCTTGGGGATTTCGCAGGCAACGCTACTCCATCGCTGTGAGCGCCGTTCAACAGGGGTAGCTCCGCCGTATTTTTTTTTCGGATAGGGTATCAAGGCCTTCGATCTGCTCGGCCAAGGTGGGGGCTTTCTCATCTAGGCTTGAAGAGCACCCAGATGTGAACCCGTAAACTGATGTGGCGCATTCCGCGATACTTCTGGCACACCCCCGGAAGCTTCTTTGCTGATAACTGGTTTGTATTAGACCAGCATTGTCGCGATCGCATCGGTTCAGTTCCTCGTTTTTTTCTCAATGGATGGCGCCAATAATGCCTCAACAGCCGTTTTCTGCTAGTCTTTCTCTCCTGCAAAACCCACCGTTACATTTGACATTACTACGAAGGCAAAAAGTGTAAGTCGTCTTGCAAGACCGCTGTAGGACATTCCCCCGAATTCCGAATTCTTCCCTGCCGCTATCACCTCTGCACCCGTGAACCATGAAAAGCGCGCAATACATTCTGAATGTGGGTACAACATATCAGTATAATAATACCACTGATGTACCGTAGATAAGTTTGCTGAGCTGTAACTTGACCTTGGAAGACGTTAGCAGCAACTACTTGAACAAAAATTGAAGTCAATGCGTTGTAATTCATCCTCAATTCTGTCTTCGTGTCACTCGATTTGGAATGCTCCACATCCGATGCAACCGGGATTGGCTCACGACTCTACGAAGATCATCGTGACGTCCTCTAAACTCAAGTTTGCTTTTGGCAAGGAGGCAACTTGCTAAACATGAGTACTTACGGCAGACGAGGGACCTGGTCACTCTCCCAAAGCATGGATGGCTACCTGCCTGCGAGATTTTATCATCGGACGGATTGTATTCAATTGTATAAGTATACAGTGCACATCTGTCAGGTGCATGTTACTAGGGTCTGGGACCAATCTGGGACTATGGCTCCTGCAATTTTCTGATCACAGTCCTCGGAAACATCGATATCGCGGAAGTATATCGTAACATCAGTGACTTACATCTAGATGTGGCGTTAAAAGATTTGATGACGCATGCGGGGTGAAAGTCGACTCTTAGATTTAAGCGTTTGCAAGAAAAGCGCTTTATGCAAGTAAAAATCGCCGAATTGTGCTGATACGCGTTTTAAATGCGTAATTTGTTCTTCTACTACATATTACGTATACGAAACTAAATGGTGAGTTGATAGCGCGGGCGGGTTTGTGCACACAGATGTGAGGCTTCAACGTATTTGTGGCTATCTGAGATCTGATTGAGGTCCTTGTGTGTGTTTGTTTACGAGCGGGTGGGTAGAATTGCGCTGTTGTCGGGTGAAAATTCAACATTTTCTGGGGTGAACGTCCGCGTGGAGGCCGTAAGGAACATGTATAGGGAGCGTAACAAGATCTGGAAGACAGGCGGAAGAGGGCGGAAAGAAAGGGAATTTTTGGACGACGACGAGGATCGAGAGGTCGATGTAGAAAGGAACGTGCGGATGAGGGTTCGGAAAGATATTGCACGGAGCTTCCATTGAATGACGAGATAACAAATGGCAGAGGGATCGGATGATGGTGAAGGGATACCTGCCGGAAGGGATTTGAGTTGCCGCTCCGATCGTTGGATGGAGGAGCCAGCCAATGGGGAGAGTGGGAGGGGGGAGAAGAGAAGAGGTCTGAGAAGAGGCGCGTCGCGTGACAAAGATGCAGGGTCATCCGAATTTGGACTGCATCTTCTGGAATTCTAGAAGAGCGTGCTATGCTGATGGGATTCGTGATTGTTCGGCAGTAGAAAAACTGGGCCAATTCGTATCCGTTGGGTTAAATTCTTTCAAAATTTCCCAATTGCGGGCTATCGCGGGCAGGAGGGCAGACATTTTTGCTGGTTTGACCAGGTTTGACCTGGTTTAGCCCTTGCGTCCAGTAATTAATTTCAAGGTTTGCCAGGCTGCCAGCGTCACGATGAGATCTGAGATCGGACGGGCTTGACAAGAAGACATGCAATCGACGATGCGCTCAAAACACTCGCAAAACAGCTTGAAATTCTCCTCGCATTTCTTTTGCATCTTCACCCCAAGCTCGACGGAACCCTCCCCAGCCGTGGGCCCTTTATAATTACATACTCCTCAAATGCTGCCCCTGCAACCACACCCCGATACCATCCCAAAATATCACGACTATCTCCTTGCTCGCTCCAAGGCTGCCTCACCTCCCTCATTTTTTACTGATATCGCTCATATAGTCTCTGCCAGTCTTTCTCCCGTTCAGTCAGATTCTCCAAGCGACACAGGCGACGACGACCGCCTGCCGTCACCCCAGTCGCCTTCCGCGAATTACGGCTATGCTAATCGTAACTCTGGCCCATTCGGTTCCCCCTCGTCCACTACTGAAATGTACGTCGACCACAACGGTAGCACCTACCCACCCTCGGCCCACCAATATTCCGGTTACCGTAGTTCTGAACCTTTGAGGTCGTCGGACATCCCTGGTACCTACCTCGATGACTCACCATCTCCCGACGATGGTCATCCGACGTCTACCATTTCAGATTCCCTTGGCCCAGGTCAGCAACAGCCGCGATCTTCTCATTCAGGGCAGCAGCATTTGCCCGAGGGTCGTATTTCTCATGCACACCTTGTACCAGATAGATTTCCCCGCCCGCAGGCGGATAGATTTTCAAGTCACCATCACCATATTATGGATCAGCGACGCATGTCCGAGCCCGCTGTATTAAGTGGTGCGAACTCCTATGCACCAGAAATTAGTAGCGGAAACCGATACCAGCAGTATAACTTTGCATATCACCCACCCGCTCTCAATGCCTCGCGCTCCCCTGCTCCATTGTATATCTCACGCGGAGCGAGTACTGGCTCGTTGCGAGATCTCCGCAACCAACACTTGCAATATCCACCCCACGGCGGGGGCTGGAAAGAACATGACAAATATCATAGAAACAATCTCGAATACTACGACCAGTCTGGCGGGTTTGATGAGCCAATCTCACCCTGTCAACCCAACTTTACTGGTGGAGTGGTTGGCTCTCCAACATCTGGTTTGCCATACTCTCCCATCACTGAAAATACGTATGGGCCCTCTCCTCCTGGAACTGGAACGTCAACATCATCGTCTGCCCCTCTGAGCGCTGGTGTGAACTGCGGTTCATCGCGCTCACCTCCATATCAATTCCAGAGGAACCCCTCTGCCAATAGCAATAATTCTTCGGGTGATTCTTCAGACCGAAAGACCTACTCATTTGTCGCCCTGCCTGGCAATGCTGTTAAAAAACGGCCAAGAAGGCGATATGATGAAATAGAAAGGTTGTATCAATGCTCATGGCCAGATTGCAACAAAGCGTATGGAACGCTGAATCATTTGAACGCACACGTTACAATGCAAAAGCATGGTTCGAAGCGCAACCCCAATGGTAACAAGCTCACGACCTACTCATTATAAATAATGACTGACGCTTCGCATAGAATTCAAAGAGCTCCGAAAGCAGTGGCGCAAAGCCAAGAAGGAATCCGAAGCACCGTCTTCTACAATTATGCGAAGGTCTAGTTTCAACGCACGCCACGGTGAATATGACTACGATCACCGCTATGGACAGTCACCCCATGTTTCACACCACCGTCAACACCCCTCGCGCCAGCCTGATTTGGGCATGCCTTCATCCGTACCCATTCCACAGCCTATAACGCGTGAGCGGTACAGTGGTCCCGTCGATGACGTCCGTTATTCTGTGCAAGGTCGCGATGGTCATCCATTACACCATCCCGATTCACCTGTTAGGCAGCGGTACAGTGACAATTTACCCAACTCATGGAACGGTACTCCGCCCCTCTCTTCGCGTGCCAGCCTGCATCAGCCATACCTGTCGTCGTCCCTTCCTTCCCATCACGCTCATCACTCCCAACTGCCCCAACTCTCCATACAACCCAGCCATGCTCCGTCGCACCACTCGCCTCTCTCTCCTATGAACATGGCGATGAACCGCCTTCCACAAAATAGTACCCTTTTAACCCCACTACCAGGATATCAAGCATCTTCTTTGCTTCCTCCATTAGCAGGTCACGAAGAGCTCAATTATGGCGAGTCATACGAGGTCTATGAAAACGACAGCAGACCTGGTACTGGGCATACTAGCCTTGGTCCAGGAAGTGCCGACGAATACGACCGTCGATGATGAGCTTCTTGGGCCTTCAAACCTCTTTATGCGCCCTGCTGCGCCGCTCCTTACAGGTCTCATACACCATTTCTTGCACCAATCGGAATTTCCCCGCTATCAACTTGCTATCGACCATTTTTTCTTGAATATTCCTTTCTTCGTTCTCACATTTTAATCTTGGAACTTCGTTTTACATATACCGCCTCTGGGGACTGTTTTAAAGGCCCTTTGATATCCTTGGCCTGACTTAATTATCTTGCTTCCGCATATGCATTACAACCTCCTACATTCATTGTATTCTACACAACCGTAGTTTTTCTACCCACACTTGGCGTAACCTCTGGCGTTGGTTCGCCTTATATAACACCTGTCCTGTAGTTCTATGCCGTTGTACTTCTGATTCTAAAATAAATAAAAAAGAGTTCTTTGTGTGTTGTAGGTCCACCTGTTTCGCGAGTTCCGGTAGCGCCTGGCTTGCCGCGTTGGTTGTTGGTGGCCTTTCAAATTACCTGTCAAAGCCAATAGGATGACGTGACAAATTTGTCTTAATTTGCATGATCGCTGTGGTGATCGACAGTGCTTCTTTCCGCATTCGGCAAATATTGGATCAAAATGAAACGTGATGTGTTGCCACAAAAACAGGACTCTTTTTGGTACTTTCGCTTTCAACGACACCGCGAGGTGAATAATCACGTCACAATTTTCGCTTCTCTTCGCAACCTTGGATCACGGAGGCCCAATGAACAGGTTGTTTGATTTGTACTCATTTTTAGCAAGTTTCCTTGTGAGGTGGTGGCTCAAGGTTGGCTTGTAATGGACTCCAAATGGACTCCAGGAGCCGAGTTTTATTAAGATTGCAGAATTCGTCGCTTCAGAGACATTATTCGAGCCTGGGCAGAATTCCGAAAGATAGTTATGCTTGAGTTACTTATTGATAGGTAGATGGTCGCTTCTTCTTGCGAAATTTGACCTTTCAAGTCATGTTGTACTAAGTGAGCAATATGTGTCAGTGTATTAAAATCAATGGGGAAAATCCGTGTCCCGAGGGTTTGAAAGCCACAGGATACTTTTCGTCCTCATACGACGCTGGAGAATCACGATGATAAGGATCACTTGAACCCTTCATTCACAGAAGAGCGACGCATGAACATTTCCAAGTTCGAGCCAGTCATTGTCTCGGTTGAAAATAATCCAAGGTTTGTTTCACGAGGCCCAAAAGAAAATGAAACTGCCCAGTTTGTTGAACGTTGAACGGCTGAATCAGAACGAGCGTTGAATTCGAAGGAACGTTGAGCTTGAGCGGCATCCAGCGCTGAACTTTCCCAACACGGCAACCCCGGCAAGGCTGTCCGTTTATGATGCGTTTCAAGGAGTTATCTATATTGCTGATTACTACTTATCCACAACGCTGTCAACGTCCCTCACTCAAGTTCTTATTCGTCACCCTCTGCTGCCCGTCTCACAATGCCGACGTTTTCCGATATGCCCGTTGAGCTTTTGCTCGATAACCTTTTCCCCTTCATCCCAACTCCCGATCTTTTGAATCTCTGTTGTACCAGCAAGGTTTGTTGGTAGTTGAAGATCGAACGGCGACGAGAGCTGATTCATATGAATTCACAGCTTTTTGCCTTACTGTGCTCTGATGACACACTATGGAGACGAAAGCTCAGGACTGATTTCAACTTCTGTGGTGAAACTACCGCCCGCACCAGCGGCTGGAAATACATCTATCGTGGCCTCTCTCAACCGAAAGGTTAACTATTGATCTAAGATTGCAATTAATCGCTTATATTCGTTTCAATGCAGCTTTCGTATGGGGGTAAGGATTTACCTCTAGCACCGATCCCCTTTGTCGCCTTGGCTTCTCATAAATTACGTTTTAGGGAGAAGGCTAATGGGAGGCTCGGACTATCAAGATTTCCAAAGACAAATAGTCCAGGTGTTCCTTTCCCAACACAGCTCCGAATCCCAGGTGTTCGACTTGTCAATCTTGTTGCGGGGGGAATGTAAGACCTTCGCATGATGAAATGGGTCTGAATTCATCTGAGAGTTAATCAGGTCATTCCACGCTTTGGATTCAGAAGGAAATATTCATGTTTGGGGTACGACTTGCACATTGATGATTCCAAGGAGCGGGAAAAAAACTCACCCATGCAGGCACCTTGGATGGAACTACTATGGGTTTAGGCAGTGACGGGTACTCTGAACCCGGGAAACCAGCAAACACTCCTCTACTCCTTGATATGCCCACGGCCAGTAGGAGCATCAGGTAATGCGTTTTGTTTCCAACTCATCATGCTGGTTGAGGTCATCCCGCATTTTAGCTGTGGACGACTACACTCATCATGTCTTGATCACAAAAATAAGATTTGGACATTTGTTAATTGGGGTCGTCCATTCCAGTTGGTTTCCCAACTTCTTGAAGACCCAGACGCCATACCCCTTCAGATTGAATGTGGATGGACCTTCTCGTCTCTTTTAACGAAAGCGGGTGACGTCTTCGTATGGTGGCCCTTCTCAGGGCGGATGCATGAGATTATCTCTCAAAAAAATCTAGAGATGGATCAAGACGGTTATAAGAAAGTCGTTGCTCGTGAAGGCGTAATACCTTGCGTAACTTGGTCATTGGAACTTGACCCTGTCCGGCTGCCTCCAATTCCACCCTTGCCAGAGTTGAACCACACCGGCGACGAAAAGACACAAATCACCCAACTCATTCAAATCGCCGCGTTCGAAAGTCACATTATCGGTCTTACCAATCGCGGTCACGTTCTAAAGTTTGGCTCGACAGAGAATGAGACCACAGCCGTTCGAGGAAGGTGGGAATATGTAAGGATGTGTTTGAAACGCCTTTCTATTTCCTTTCGCTCACCAGGGGTTAGCTACCTCAATTCAGCGAGGTCGATTTGGTGAAAGAACATCCAACATTTTCTGGCGACAATGGCGACCGCTTGACACCTCCAGAAACGATGCAAATCACACATGTCAGGAACCCCCTTTTTCCTTTGCGCTTGTCTTTGAAACTAAATGTTTCTTAGATATCCGCCAACTTCCAGCACTTTATCGCGTATTCGACGGGCGCAAGTTCAATCGTGCTGATGGGCGACACAGATACGACACCTAACACTGTACCTAAGATTATCCCCGCCTTGCAGAATAAAGCTGTTATATCAGTCGTCATCGGTGATTACCACAACGCGGCTTTGACTGCGGGCGGAAAGCTTTTGACATGGGGTGCCTACTCTGCTGGGGCGCTAGGCCTTGGGGATCCCGCTGAACTTGAGCCGGGGACACCGGGAGCGTATGCGATCGCGAGGGGCGGCGACCAACGGCGTAGACGGGAGCCTCCAGCGGTCCAAGTCCCAACGGAGGTCAGATTTGACCACGGATCGAAGAAGCCCAAGGACCGGTTCTGTTTCGCGGCGACCGCTGCAGGCTGGCACACGGGGGCTCTTGTCATAGATCTCGACGTGAGTTATTTCATTTTATTCCTTCTGTGGTTTACCATGTCTTCCACTCAGCCCGATGACGAGAAAGACGAAATCGAGTTGGAGGACGATGAGCCAGAACTTGAGATGCGGGATGGACCAAACCAATGGGAATCACCCCCCATCATACCTTTTGGGGGAGTGTTCCGTGTTGGCCATGCGGGGAGAGGACATCTTGGTCCAGGCTTGCGAGGGAGCGTTTTTCCCAGTCTTGGTCGCGGATCGGGTGGCAACGCCACTGCAGAAGAGAATTGAAATAAATGTGTACTTGCGGGAGATCATTCATAGGAAGGTAACGAAGAGTGTAAAATATTTCTAACAGGAGTGTCTGTGAGTTGTTTTTCCACTGGAGCTAATACATTACAAAAAATCAACGGGCCTAACCGGGAATTGAACCCGGGACCTCCTCGAATTGGGATAACCCTAACAAGGAATCATACTACTAGACCATCAGGCCGATGAATAAGCTTTACGACGGAGATTTATCATAGCGAAGGGACAATCTGGGTCCTCAATAAATGAACCTACGTCTAAAGTTTGTATAAGAGTCCAACTTTCGTCCAACAAGAACCATTATAGCTAGCGTACGCACGGCATGAACAAAGGATAAGGAATCTCAACTAAACCTAAAAATTTTGCGGAGAGGTGTTGGCATACGACTTTTGGCCACTGAACCGCTTCCTCGCCTCGCCGCATTTTCGTTGACATTCCTCCCAGAAAGTGGACTTGCGGGGGCATAAACCGAAGGAGAAGCGTTCGAGTATGTCTTCCTTTTGTATTTCTTGTCAGCTCCTTCCTCTTCGTTCTCCTTGCCAACGGTTGGACTCTTCATGATTCGGCTGAGCGAGTGTCTGCCAAAGGAGTGCCTTATGAAAGAATGCGGCGACCACGGAGCGGATGCCTTCTCCTGGAGCATAGACTTCTTGGGGGTAAACGGAGGAGAGGTCGGGTTCCCGAGGGAAGGAGTTAGAGCTTCTTTTCCTCGCAAATTTTTCTTCTTCTCAGCGACGGGGGGTTTGCCAATTCCCGAGAGATGACGATACCTTACAGTATCAGAACTGACTTTTCGAGATAAAGCCGCATTGGTATCGTGTGGGGAGAGGGGTGCTATGCTTGAGCTATGCACACTTCGTGTCTTTGGACGAGGGACGACCATACTATGCCAAAGAGTCTCAGACGTTAAGTTTGAGCTGGGGTTTGACGGTGATCCTGAGTCGTCGTTTCCAATGTTGTCCTCTAAGGCTTTCTCCGCCACCGATTGGGGCGGTCTACTCAACGCGTTTGCCAACGGTTGAGGTCTTACCGTGGGGGTCGGCAACGGGCCGCTACAGGGACGTCGGGCAGGCAAGGAGGCAAAACGAACGGTTTTCTTCGCCTTGTCAGTACTTCCTTGCGAAGGCGGGCTAGCGAGAGCGGGTCGCAGAGGTGGAGAAGGCGTAGTCGGGGGGTTGGGTTGCTTGGCAGGCAAGATAGACTCTTTTCCACTCGTGGTCTTGTTGCGCCTAGGTACACGATATTTCCTCGTTGAAAATATAGGGTCGGAAACTGTCTCCGCGGATTGAGGTTTGGTATGAGGTAAAGAGGTCGTTTCCACAGACGGCGTCTTGGGAGGCGTAACATGTGGCAACCGGCTGCCGAAACCCTCAAGAAGCGACTCAGCAAACGCCCATTCATCCGAATCGCTGCTTTCGTGACAAGAAGCTGGAGATTGGTTCAATTCAGAGAGAGCCCTCGACAGCTCAGTGGACGACGGTGATGCTGGCCCCAGGGTCGCACACTGGGAGCGAAGGCTAACAATCATATCCTGCACGCCAATAGATAGATCCTCCGTAGCTATAGAATCATCGAAAGCGGCAGGATCAAATGTCGGAGAGTAACTTGAAGGCGAACCAAGAAACGCGGTGGGAATACTAGGATATGGCAATGACGCAATTTCACAATTAACCGTGGTTATCAGAGGAGGAAGTGACCGCCTTCCTCGACGGGCAGCCAACGACGGCGGAAGCTCGCACCCAAGAGTATCTGACGACTCCAGTGACAAGGGGAAGGCGAAGCGTGAATTAGACACCATGATAGAGGGAATCGGTGGTTTGTTGGCTTGTTCAGGCACGTTATTCGAACTGTCGTCGGCCTCATCCAAGCCATCTTTGTAAAAGGAATTGAGACTTTGCAGCTCAAGCAGAATCTTGACGGTCTCTGGATGCATGGTATCTACGGGAATTCGAAATCGCACGTTCTTCACTGTTCCGTCAGTCTTGAGCGCAACCTCACGTTGGAAAAATTGGCGATTTTGAGGAGAGTCAAGGCGACAAGAAAGTCCTCTGCGTCTGCCCGCCATCGCTGCTCTCTTCGCCTCGGGGGAAAAGATTGATCCTTCAGGTTTCCAAACCTTCAGTTTATTGTTGCTCACGATGGAATCGAGATTCCAGGGTATGTCGCGTGGATCAGGTTGGGCCAGCAGGGTGACGGGTTTCTGTTCAAAAAAATCGTTTTATCTTTCCTTGATCTTTCGAAGTAGCATGATTAAAACATACCAGCCATCTGCTGATGGAGATGTTTTCCCGTAACATGGATTGAAGACGAGGAGCAGTTGGCGCAGCGAGGACAACTTTACCTGTTCTCTCGCTTCCAGTTGTGATTGGCTTCCGAAACCACCCAGGAGGCCACATCTGAAGACGTTCGCCGAGGTCGACCACTTCCAGCGGAGGCGGCCGGTATGCAAAAGAGAAATCAGGGATAGGAGTGTCCAATTCACCAGAAAGCGATTCTAAAGTCAAGGACTCGGACAGAAGAGAAGGTAGCCCCAGCGCGTCCAGGAGAAGCAAATCGAGGTCCACTGAGTTTGGTGGACTGCATGAGGCGTACAGCTGGCCACACGAAGAGTCCAACATGACAGTCGAGGGTATCGTTTGTTTCAAGATGTCTTTCCTCCAGGATTTTTTAGAGCCAGCGATGTCCGTTCGAGAGGGCGTGTGGTGGCTGACATTTTTTGTTCGTTGCCAGATCTGTTGAAAACGAAACGGAGTAGCATCTTTTATGTAAGCCTGCCAAAATGTATATGGTCCTCCAGCGCCAGTCGAACCATCCCACTCACCCAAAATTCGGATTGGAATCCAATGACTGTATTTGTCAAGGTGAAAGCTAACCAAATGCTCATGTATAGATTTGGTCACTTCATTCACTTCGCTGAAGTGCATGGCGCCAAATTAGTTGCATTTAATCACCCATCGCCCTCACCCCTTCGATCTAATTCAGATGAGCTTAGCTGTACAAAATTTCTTCTTGGTGGACACTGGACAGTAAGTATGGGTTTTCGAAGGTTATGCTATGTGCAGGGGTGGGAAAAAGATAAGCGCTCACGAATGTCATAAAAATTTTGAGAAAATCTGATTCTCTTATTTTCTCCGTTACGGACCTTTCGCTGTCGCTCAGCGCTCAAGGTGATCTGAAGTGAAGCTTCGAGTCGCAACTAACTTCTGGGTCGTGCAGAGGGAGTTAACGTTGGGGACGTAGACATACTTCAAGTTGACTGGTATGTCTTTTTCTTCAACAAGTTCCAAGGATGATTTTTTTTCGACATTTGCACGTCAGTCGGAGCAACAGGTTCTTACCGAATCTATTGCAAAGACGCCAACCTCGCTTTCTGATTTTTTCGTCTGAATTATTGTTTACTTTGAACCTCACACTAATTCTCAAACTTGTTCTGTCCAGGTTTTGAATATTGATGCAACTCCTCTTTCACCTCCAATTGAGCACACTCTTCCTCCCCGTCCATTTATTCGAGTAGTACAGTCCACTGGAGTACTTACAGTCAGTAGCCCCATTGTACAATGTATCATCCGTTTTGTTCAGGCGCAACACGTGACCTCGAATAGCACGACTGAGGCTCTCGCTCGACTATGCACGAAAGATTGACTTTTAGCCCGTTCTGTCTCATACGGCACGTCAATGTCGGGTCACCATTCCTCCAGGAGTCCTCTGACTTCTTCTAATGGGACCGCAGTGAAAGCTTTGGTCCCCACAAACAACGTCACAACGCAGGAAGGCTTGACCGTTCGGGCGCGTATCGATCCTACACTGACAGTAGATGATGTGGTGAAGCAGCTATGTGTCAACTTGAAAATCAAAGAGCCTCCGTCGCATTATGCGCTCAGGGACGAGACGGACGAATTGGTTACGAACGATAATCTGAGGAAAAAGATCAAGAATAAAATCAATCTAAAGTGTGTGAGGTACAAGTTGTGTACTTCCATGGCGATGTTGACCATGCCGCAGACTCGTCAACGCTCCCGCTCGCGAAGCGAGGGAAACTGCGGAGAAAATTAGCAATCCAAATGAGAAGAATATCAAGTTGACACTCTTCTCCTTGCAAAAGTACATACGAGTATGTGGCTTGTCGTTATTCCTGCGCAAGTTTCTGAATTCTGCCTTGCCTTGTCTAGGAAGAACAATTTGCCCATGAATTTCTGAACCATCAAGGCCTTGCCGACCTCGTCGACATCATAAATTCTACAACTGGAAATACCCTTGCGGTGGGTATTATTGTCTCCCATATCTACGTCGTATTTATCTCATGAATTAGTACGCACTAACTGCTATGCAAAATCTCATGGAACTTGATTACGGTTGGGCCAACCTGGATAACAATTTTATTCTTCGTGTGGTGCAAATCCTCTCATCTTCTCAATCCTTGATCAATGTTTGTCGTCCCGCAACCGCGATATTGAAAAAACTCGTTGAAGCGGATCCAATGAGCGCTCCTGGACCAGTTACCGCGAGCTCTAGTCGGAGTCCTCCGACGGCACCACCAGGCTCAGTTTATCGTTATGGCTTTCCGGTGGTATATGAGCAGATGAGGAAGGAGCGAGGTTTACTCGAAACGGTTGTTAACCGTTTGGGGAGCGCAGACACAGCTATGGCGCAATACAGGCACGTTTTCTCTCTTTCAGAGATTTAACTGGTGAAACTTCCAGCTTACCCCGACTTCCTCATAGTATGATGTTGATAAACTCCTTATTGTCCCATGTGACAGACGCTCGTTGGGAGGAGTTCATCTCAGATCTCGAAAGACTCAATGTGCGGAAAGCGGTTGTTGTATGTTCACATGCTCTGCATCCACGCCTGGAAAGTTTATATTCCATTCCAGCGCCTAATGTCGCTACATACGGTCGAAGATCTAACGTCATGCATTCTGGACTTCCAAGCAAACATTGTGCGCGTCACATATCGGAAAAAGACCACTCCCGTTAATCCAGATATACCCGCCCACGCTGAAGCTCTGAAATCTATTTGGGAGTGTAGTAAGCTGGAGGAGGAAACTGATTCAAGTGGCCAACCCTTAAGATGGCGTAAACTTGGATTTGAAACCGAGGACGTTGTGCAGGAGTTTAATGAGGTTGGCGTTTTGGGCTTGTGGTGTTTGGTACGTAGTGGCCCTCACTCACGCCTGTGCATGATTAACGGTGGTACATCATCTAGAAAAAGTTTGTCGAGAGCGATCCAGACTTTTCCAAGGTTCTTTTCGAAAATTCTTTCTTCTGTATTGAAAACCTCATATTCAATACGAGTAGGTGGTACTCGAACAGTTGAGTCGGTCTGAAGAGCGACGTTGTCCTATTGCCAAGGCTTCCAACGAGGTGGTTGAGTTGTTGTCAGAGCATTGGGCGATCTTCGCTCCTGGCTGTACGTGTCCGTCACGGTGGCAAGTATATCTGCAGACTGATCTATTACTAGATTCCACCTCCACAACATTCCAGCCGTTTTTCTTAGACTTTTACAAGGTGCATGCTCTCGCTACTCACTTTTTCCTCCGCATGTGGAGTGAGAGCGGCGCTGCTTCGGGGGATTTTACTCGTGTGGTTGCCCTTGTTCGCAGCCAGTACGTCTCTCAATTTGTTCTCACAAGACCTTGATGTTCATTTCTCCCCCCTTATCAGAGTCAAAGTTGCCCTTCGAAGCGAAAACGTTCGGCCTTGGCACGAAGTCGAACATGACTTCATCGACTGCGAATATCGAGCTGTTAGAGATCGCCAAATGAAGGAACTAGAGCTAGAAGATGATTTATTGAGTAAGGTACCTGTGAGGTTGGTTGGTCGATTGCTTGAGATTTCCGGGAACTGATTTATCTACAGGAATCTCCGTGCTAAACTCTACAAGGAGTCTTTCGAGTTTGTGCGTCAACAAAGAGTCCAATGTTTATTGCAAGGAGCATGGTTTGTGAATGCTCTGCCACAATCGTCTCCTAGAGAGGCGGCCAGGCGGCCAAGCAGGCCATGGCGTTTTATGAGATTAGTAAGAGACGCCATCTTGAGACCCACAACGACTTTTCAACTGATTTGCCCTTCCAGGACACAGGTCTAAAATATTTGCATTATGTTGACAGCGCTGTTAAGTTTCCTGTTCGGAACGGCCTCGAGGATCTTCCGGAAAGAATAGACGTTTCGCTGATCAGCGAAATAGCCACGGGCACATGCGCACCTCCACCCAACGTGTTGCGTGACCAGAATGACCTCCCGCCAGTTTCAACACCTGCGCTTTCTCCCCTCTCGTTCTCCTTGCTCAGCGCCCACGAAGGTTCGCTAGCAGATCAAATAGCTTGTGATCAATCGCGTTGGGCTGATTGGACGGATGGTCTCAACATGTTGAGGAGGGACGGAGGTCACGTCGCATCCAAGGAAACCGCTGGCTTCGTCCACGCGCTTACGGAGATTGGATTGAAAATCAAACTTTTAGGCGAGTTTCTCTTTCTACTTCAAGTCTACGACTGACACATGCTTCAATAGATCTTTCCGGCGAGCAGGTGGAGATACCAAGCGGACTTGTAGCAGGTCCTCCCCCTACAAATACTGACTTTTTCTTCTCAGACTTGATTTAGTTGATTCTTTTGGTTGTTTGTTGATCATATGTAATTGGTTAAATTGGTTTATTGAAATAACTATGCCCCATGACATGGGGGGATATCTGTAGTGGTAAGATGCAGTTGATGCAGATGATCTAAATGACTTGTGCGTTAGTGATTGTGATGTGTAATGGGGATGCTAAAAGAGGGTAAGAGTGCGGGGGTTGAACCCGACGAGTGCTACAACATAATAGGGAAAGGAGATCAACAAGCTGGTATCACGAGAAAAAGTACAGAGAAGAAAAAGTGTTTCGTCATGATCGTCGTTCAAAAGCCTCATATCAATGGCCATTGACAGCCGTGGCTTTCGCTTTCGCTGCGACATATTCTGCACCAGCCTTAAGGAAGGGTTTGAAAATGGCATCTGGCTCATGGAAATCGTTGTGGACCACGTTGACGAGGAAACAAGTATCCATGAGTTCAGTGATCAGCTTCTGGGAGGGGGAGTTAGCCTCGTAAAGCTTGGCCCATTGCTGGCCGAGTTCGAAGGCCTCGTCCTGGAAGCTGATCAGCAAAAGCTAAAGTGAACACGTAAAGATTTTACCTTCCACGCCATGAAGCTGACCGCTTCGACGATGGTAGGTTGAACGATCTCCTTCCCTGGGAAGACCCCCCACGTAACAGCGTTGGGGCCGTCCGAATGGGTGTTGGTCCGCAAATCACCACGTTTGTTGATCACATAATATGTAATGTTGCTGTCTCGCTCAATGTGTGTCAAGAGAAGATTCAAAAGTGTTGGGTTGACGAAGAATTCAAGATAAGCCTATGTATTATAAGTGAGTTAGATGATCTTATGAAAAAGAAAAAAAGAAGCCGATAAACACCTTCTGATAAACGTAACCGTTGCTTGGGCCCCAGCCGAAGACTGGGTCGTCGCTTCGGGCACTATTCACAGCGGGTTGCGAGTTGATAGTCAAGAAGCCAAACTCGTTCATGGTAGCCAGCTGCTCGGCGATGACGGAAGTTTCCTGGGAGGGTGCTTGATCTGACCATGGCAAAGCCGATAGTTTCTTTGTGCAGAAACGAGAGAAAAGGGATGCAATATCAGCAAAACTTGTCGGGTGGCCCCAGAGTTTGAGAGCATCCTCTTTCTGGAGAAAATAAATATGAATTAATGTGAAATGCGAGTATGCAATTGACTTACGGTTTGTTTAATCCAAACACCATAACCATCGAGCTCTCCATAAGCAGGACTGCGTGAGTCTCCGAAACGTCCATTGGGGTATTCATCCCAGTTTTCTGTCCGAGAGATGTAGGATTTAGTCCTATTCGCCCAGAAGATGGGACGGATTGATTCTTGACGTCTGTTTGGTGTGAGAGACTGGGAAACCGATCAGTGATGGACTTGATGTTTACAACGATCGGGAGCCTTACCTGCCTCCAAGGGAGGGGCTTGATGGTCTCGATTCTCGGGACAAGGTTCAGTTCCTCCAACAGCATCTTCGTGCCCTTCTCCAGATTCATGGTATAGAAATGCAAACCACGAATTCCGATATCCTCTTTGAGGATTCTTCTACACATATCTGCGACTAGCCTCGTTCCGACCTCCCTGACCTTCTCGTCATCGTTCTTTATCGGTTCAAGTGCGTCCAAGAAAGACTGCGGCACTACAATTTTGGCCAGGCTAGTGGCACGCTGGAAACCGTTCCATGTCTGGATAGGTGCAATACCTGGGACGATAGGAATGGTGATACCCGCGGCTCGAATGGCTTTGACCCAGTCGATGAACAATTGGACATCATAAAACATTTGGGTGAAAATGAACGCGACGCCAGCATCAACCTTCTCCTTCAGCCATTGTATCTCCTGGTCGCGTTCGTCTGGGGGGAGCGCCATGTGCTGAGGGAAACCTGCAACCGCGATGTCAAAGTAATCTCCGTAGTCGCGGCGGATATGCCTGACGAGGTCAATTCCATGGACGAAGCCACCTTCTACTGCTTCCCATTCGTCTTTGCCAGACGGTGGGTCGCCTCGAAGAGCGAGGACATTTCTACACCCATGTTGCTTTGCTTCCTGTGGATTCAACGGCGCTCAGGGAAATATCGGAATAATGGTCGAGAGAATAACTCACCCGCAAAGCGATGTCCACCTTCTCTTTAGGCATGTTGGTACATGTTAGATGCATGCACGTCTCCATCCCAATCAAACCCTGGCATGTTTTGACCATCTCTGAAGTAAGGTCCGAAGTCCTACCACCCGCATTCCTTCAGCAAAATCAGGACCTCATTTTCTGACAGTTTATCACAGGTCATACCATGTAATGTCGATGAATTCAGGGCCTAATGCGCGCATGCGCTCTATACGATCAAGTAGATTCTGGAGGCCCTAGAAGTGGAGAATGAAGACACTGAGGTGTGGAGAACTGGTGAAGGCTACCTTACCTGTGCGGTTCGAGGCGGGAAGTACTCGAAGGACCACCATATTTTGTCATTGTTAGCAGATTGTTGAATCTTTTGAGTGATTTTCATGATATGTCGTGTTCTGGTCGTCGAATAGCTGAGCGATGTGGTAGGAGGATGAAAGTTGAGAGTCAGAATTTATATGTGGCAAAATATGCGTAAAGATCGAACCATCAGATCGCCAGATTCCAACTTTTACTACACGAGGTGGCTTACATAACTCACTACGTACTGATAACTCAGGATAACTCCTGCACGACTCAAGTCTTGTGCCGTAATTAATCCTTCAAGCCCTTGAAAAATTGATTGGATCGAAGAACCTGCATCGTGGAGGATGCATTTTTTCCAATGTCAACGGTCAGAGTTGCTTGTATTGTACAATGTAATGTCCCCCAAGATCATCTGTAACTAATGTGAAAAAAAAAACGTGCACCGTCATTCCAAACCATCCAACTAAAGCACCAGGCCGCCATAAGTATCTTCAATACCTGCTCCAATTAGATCATTCAATTAGGATTACAATGAACCAAAGACATACGCAATGCCAGTTAACTCTCATCAAGGTATTCATGCCTCTTGTATCAACAAAACCAGACATGTGCCAAATATAATGCCCGCAACTACGCCCATCATGATAAGGTGGAGCCTTCAAGGTCAACATCGTCAGTGTCAAACGTTGGAAGAGTTTACAAGCTGTGAACCGACTTCGCTGCAGCCATAAATGCCCGTGCGTATCGTAGATCCCAGTAACCGCTGTAATACTCAAAGGCTCCAGCGACTATACATGCGATAGCAGTAATGAATTCAATGATGGCCAATGGGATGCCGCCGCCAGATTCTGAATGTGGCTCTGTCTCTGGCACAAGCCGTGCTCGAAGAAGGAGAGATGAGGATAATAATGAAAGCAGGATGGCGATTTTTAAGTGCGAGAGAATGTTTCGTTCGAGAAAGCAGAAATCCCGAGCAGTACTGCCAGTATTCTCTATCATATGGGATTGGATCATAGCTGGGGCATATAGGATAAGGCCAGGAGCACGGATCGGAGTGCTTCGAATTCACCAAGCAAAACCGAATCGGAGTCAGGGTCAAGATCCATAACCGATTACGCTTGTTTGGTTCAAGTTCAATCGCTGCTCCCTAGTGCTCCCTCCTTCAAACAGCTTCAAACGCGGTGTCTAAGAGACCCAGAACACATTCTTTTAAATACCGGTTCGAGGACGACACTCCTTTACAATGGGTTTACTCAAACGTTTATTTTCTATCGGGGGAAAGAAGAATAAAAAGAAACGACACGAAATCATACACAACGTTCCTTTACCAGAACAATCTGGCCCAGGACTACGCACAATTGACGAAGAGGAACACGAAGCTGCTGTCGGCAGATTACTAAGGTCATCATCGACCCGCTTTGCTGTTGTTTCTGAAGTAGACTATGCCTCATTACCACCACTCCGTAAGTCGCCAATGTCGTCGTTCCTGTTTTCTGTTGAATCTTTGTAAAGCGCACCCAATTAACGATGTTATACAACCGCCTGCCGCTTCTAGCGTCAGCCTCGCAAGCAGTACTATCTCTCAGCGGGGAACATATAGCGTTACCGTTCATACACGTAAACGCCATACATCAACCGAATTCTCAAACACGAACCGTGAACTCGATGACCGGTTAACAACTCCCTCTCGCAATAACGACCAAAATCCGATCAAACTTCTCCACCAAGATAGTCGAGCCCTCGGCCTTCGATCTGATCCCTCCGTCGCAAGTCTTCTTGATATGTATGACGAGCATGGTCGCCTACCATCCAAAGCCTTTTCTAATAGCCCTCCATCACCCCCTCGTCAAGAAAGAGTCCAATGTCGTCGAAATGGGTCTACACTGCGTCAATTGCTTGGCGCGCCTTCAAGCTTGACTTCTCGCAAAGGGAGTGACAATCACAGCACCACAGAAGGGGACATCTCCTGGGCGGAGAGATTCTTAGGGTGAGCAAGCATGATCTTTTCTCGTGTCCCTTTTTTTATGACGTTGTCCAGAGAAACTGATGGAAGCTCAATTAACTCCTCCATCGGTCCATACACACCAACACCCGATAACCAGTTTTCGAACGAACCTTCAGAACGATATAACGATTACGACATTTCTATTTCCAATGATGACAATTTTTCCGCAAACCTTTTCGAAAATCCAGCAATTTCATCTATGGATGTGGAGCTTAGCATTACGTCCGACTCTTCCCAAATGTTTGGGACGTCTAAACCCCTCAACCCCTATGGAAGTTCGGACCCCATGACACCTCAAAGAGCTTCTCAAGTTTTTAGTTTCCTGACTCAAAACAGGCAATCGAAGCAATTCGACGACCCAGAGAGACCTCTCCCAGACTTACCAAGTGCATTCAGCTCACCCTCGTCGGAAGGAGCTGCCTCGCGAAATGCGCATCCCTCCCGATTCTCTCCAGACAGCTCAATGGATTCTGCTTTTGATCCATCAACTATTCAATTCAAGAATTACCATATTCCTCGTCAAATATCCTCTACCGAACCTTCCAATCCAACTCAACTCAGTTGTATGGCTCCACCAGCGCCAAGGTCGTCTATAATTGGGCTTTTCCAAGGATCTACGTCAGAAATGACTCCTGCACAAAAAGCGCTCGCTGTTTCTCCTGACGACCAGGGTGAAATACCCAATGCGCGAAAAGTGAAGGTACTGATGTCCGGACCCACCAAAGTCATCGTCACTGCACCTACGCCTTCCGCGAACCATGAAACTCCTAGTCGGGTTCCAAGAGGGCCTCGGTCCCTCTTGAGGAAGCGATCCTCTCATAGTATTAAGGAAGAACGGCCTACACTGGTGGAGCGTTCCAACTCGACGGCTTTGTCTTCGGATTCGTACACTGCGCTTCCTGCACGACGCAAAGGACATCGACGGACCGCTTCCCTCAGGTCAACCTCGACAAGTTCTCTCATTGAGAATGACATCCCTTTGACCCAAGAGAGCGCGAGGGCCCCACCAGCAAGATTTACTGAGAAGGAAAACAATAAGGGTCTCTCAGTTGCCTCCGACATTCCCCTGACCCCTCTTCGTTCGAACAACGCCATGGTGGGACGTACATCGTCTTTATTCCGTACCGCTGTCCACCAGGGCACGTTTCGTCCCCCGGTTGGTATGACACCATCGCCTACTTCGTCGTCGGAAATGTCTCCCGTTGGTAGACAACTCATGTTGGACGTCAGGCAGCAACGAATGAAAGCCAGGGAGGCCGAACGGGAGAGGTCAGGCAATAGACGATTTGGTAGCGGACGAAGTGCACTCAGAATTTAGATGACCCTTTTTTTTTCTTTCAAATTTGCTCTGTTGTGAATCGCTTTCGTGTTTTGTAGGTTTGGACTTTTGTAGTATGTATATAGTTTGTTTTCCGTAGTAGTTCATCGACATTATTCAAGTTCACAAAGTCACATCTATACATGAAAAACACAAAGGATTGATGGCTGACAAATTCAGCTTTATGTTACTAAGCAGTTCACACTTCTGAGCCGCGTGAGCGGCGTTGGAAACTAGGATTCAACATGCGTACCAGGGGGTCCAGGGGGCTTGCCCCCGGCAAGCTGTGACCCGTGTCGAAGCAACGGTCGAGCGCAGCGAGCGCCGTGGCGTAGACACGGGTCTAAAGCTTGTAAGGAATTCGTCCACAACGGTTTTGCAACGGTTACACTTCATGAAGAAGTTATCGCGTGACAGCAGAGTCTCGTGATGTGTTACACTCGCGTGTCTTCTCAAACTTTACAATCGGAGGCAGACTAGCCCACAACGACAACCTATGTCTTCACAAGCCATATCCGATTATCTTGCCAAGCAGATTTTTATTGAGCGAAATATTGTAAGTTGACTTGGCCTCATACCTCCAGTTAACCGACTGTTTGAAGGTAACATATCGATCACTTAGTCGAGAGTTCGGTATACACGTCAACAGTGCAAAGAAGTGAGTTCTACTAGCTTTCAATCTCAGGAGGTCATCTAATGCTGATGGTCAGTGAACTCGCAATGTATCACGACAATGCACCATATCAATCACAAAGTTGTGTCGCGACATACCTACTCAGTGGAGAGCTTTCATCGCGCAAAAGGAGTTATGATGATTTTGAGGACGTCGATATGGGCTTCGAGTTGACGCAGAGTGTGGACGATGGCGAACAGGAAGATTGTGACGGAGACGAACTTCCACGGACAACGATTATGGTTGTAAATGAGCAAGACTTGGAATGTGAGTTAGCGATTTCCTTTGCAATGTTTTGCCCTCTAACGAAGTTAATGTCATTTAACAGCTGCGATAGCTCCATTTTTTGAACCACCGTCGATCCACGTATACAGCCTCTCTCCAGCGCCGCTTCACGTACGTGCGAACACTTTCTATCCACGAATCAGCTTTAATTGCCTCGTGTTGTAGGATGCCGGCCTTCTTTGCACCCCCACGGACTTCGTCCGGCAAACAGACAATGCTAAAGGGTCGAAGCTTGCAGTCACCGTCGGCCGTGTGATAGCTGCCAACATACGGGTGCGTGTGGACTGTCTTTCTGGCCTGGTTGAAGGTCTAATCTGTACTTAGACGAGAGTAGGCGCGAAGAAAACTACAGCGGCCGAGTCATTAAGGCCCAAACCACGCGTAGCCCCAGAAGCGAAGCCTCCGGTTGCGAAGGGAGTTGCACAGGATAAGACGGAGAAATCTAAAACCACGGCGGACAAACCCAATGAAAAGCCCAAAGCAACAGGTAAACTTGGATTTTTCAAGGCGAAACCAAAAGAATCGAAGGATGTGAAAGAGGAGATTAAGGCGGATGATAATAAGAAGCAATTCTTCGGTGCAAAAAAGGCTGCGAATGCACCACCTTCACAGTCTCTCAGTGTAACAAGTAAGAGTTTGGACAAAGAAAAGCCAAACATACACTTCAATATCTGTCAAATTCTAATTGACCAATTTATAGATCCACCTCAGAGGAGCCTCAAACGGAAGTCGACTGCTAATGCTTTGTCCGACGAGGACGACGACAAGGCTACAACCTCTGCCCTACCGTCCGCCCCCTCCAAACCCAAAGAGAAGTTACGGGTCAGAAAAGGTGTTCTCTTGTCTGACGATGAAGAACCTCCTCAAAAGGACACTCGTCGATCGAGGCTGAGCTCGAGGGCGCAAAGCTTGGTAAATTCGGAGGCGGAGAGGGAAGCCCACGCTTTGATGGATATTGATGATGGTATGTGCTTCTTCTCTCAAAAAAAATTCAGTGAATTCAATTTGCACAGAGGATGTGGTGCGGGTAACCAGAAGCGAGGTCATAGCACGGAGAGACGAGGATGAAGGCGAGGATGAAGAAGAAGAAAAGCATGAAGCAGAGGTTGACGCAGTAAAGTCAGAAGATGTTGAAATGGCCGAAACGTCAAAACTGAAAACAACAAGAAAAAAGAAGGAGAAGAAGGTAATTCCAGTGGGCAAGAATGGATTGAAGAAGAGGAAGGTTATGAAAACGCGCAAAGAGATAAAGAACGGTTACATGGGTAGGCCTTTTCTATTTAACGGTAGACATGATATTGACAACAAGACAGTCACAGAAGATTATACTGACTGGGAATCTGTTGACGAAGAAGATATGGAAGCAACTGTAGATCCACCCAAAACGAAAGGGAAAGGTAGAGCCAAGGCTTCCAAAATTGCAAAAAAAGAGCCCGAGGAGGAAGAAGATAATTTGGCTGCAACCAGTGAGGAAACCCAACTGGAAACCGCTGCCCCCACGAAATTGACAGTGAAGCCCCCCGCCAAGCCATCGAAACGGACCGCAGGCAGTTCAAAGGGAGGACAAAAGAGTTTGGCCAATTTCTTTGGTCCTCCAAAAGCCAAGAAAATATAATTTTTCTATCAATCTGCCATGTTTTTATCAATAAATCTGTCTTGTTTTGGTTAAGAAATCAACGAAATTTTGGAAAGTGTGTAAAGCACCACAAAAGTATCTAAACCAGGATCATACGTCGCTCACCCTTACCTGCCAGCACCTGCTAATCTTCCTATACTTCGAGTCACTGCTTGTTGAATTTGGGCCCTGATAAGGTGCCCACGTTCCCGCACAAACTGGAGACTGGCTTGGATCCCACGCTCGTTGTTCAAATTTACTCCCCAGGACTCTAATACTGCTTACTTGAGTCGAGACACCAATAGGGGACACCGTGCTTCAGATTCTGACGACAACCACATATACGAAATGGTCCAAACTTATGGGGTCGCTGGAGCGACCGACGTTGACCCGAGTATTGGTGGAGACGAGGCACGCGCCTTGCTAGGTGGGGATAGTGCAACAGTGAGGAAGGACGCGAAACCTGATGGCCATGCAACCATTGTGAGCTGCATTAGCAACCTTTCCAACACCATTATTGGCAGCGGTACGCGTTATCTCTTTTGCATTCGTTTTGCCGTCGAAACTTACTTGTGTGTGTTTCGTAGGAATGTTAACGTTTCCCATGGTAATAACCGCTTGTCTCTCCCGTTGATAAGGATGTGTTATGAATGTTACTTTCTTTATAGGCAATGGCGTCGGCTGGCATAATTCCTGGAATCATTACCTGTGTCTTTTCGGGAGGTGTAGCGGCGTTTGGGCTGTACTTGCTGTCGCTATGCGCAGCCAAGACCAAGTACCGACACTCGTCTTTCCACGCGGTATCTCAGCTCACGTTCCCGAAAGCCGCCGTTTTTTTCGATGCGGCAATTGCTACCAAGTGTTTCGGGGTATCCATAAGGTACATTCGCTTTGACGAAATATGTGAAACTCGTCTGTATACTGAAGCTTCGAATGTCTCAGCTACTTGATTATCATCAAAGGGCTCATGCCGAACGTGGTCGAGTCGCTGTATCACGACCTTACTTCTTCAGATACCAACCCTCCTGCTTGGGCTTTGGACGGTGGTAACTGGATTAGTATATTCATGCTTGTTCTTGTGCCATTATCATTCCTTCGACATCTTGACAGTCTCCGGCACACTAGCTATATTGCATTGTTTTCTGTCGGTAAGTTGAAAGAATTCTTCGCTGGGAGTATAATTAACCGACCTGTCTTCTCAGCTTATCTCGTTGTTATCGTTATTAAGTGTTATTTCTGGCCTCTCTCTGGCATGCCTACCCGAGGAGAAGTTCACCTAATTCGCTTTTCACCAAACTTTATCTCGACCTTCCCTGTACAAGTATTCGCATTTACATGCGCTCAGAATGTCTGTATTTTCGAAATCGAGTGCAGGCTCAGTCTGATCAATCTTTTTTTTCTTGCAGCTTTTCCCCATTTACAACGAACTCAAAAGGAATACCCAAAAGCGCATGAACATTGTCGTCGCAGGGTCCATCGGGTCAGCGACTTTGACGTACGAGATAATTGCAGTGTTTGGATACTTGACCTTTGGGTCAAAGGTTTGTATTGGTGACCCTGTACGTAAAACGTCAAACATCCGGCTGACGCGCAAACCTACAGGTCGGCTCAAATATTATTGCCATGTATCCATCGGTGTCGGTTTTTATTGCCGTAGGGCAACTTGCGATCGTCGTTTTGGTGTTGTTTTCGTACCCTTTGCAAGTCCATCCGTGTCGGAATTGCTTGGACAAGGTGTTTCACCCATCACACGTGGCGCCCCCCGTGAAGCCCGTTATTGTGGAAGATGGCGATGCCGAAGACGAACCTGAGGACGACGAAAACGAGGACGACCATGGACATGTAGAGATGAGTACACTGAAGCACACGTTATTGACCGGCGGTATCATTGCCAGTGGATTTACAATTGCCTATTTTGTGGATGACCTACGAATGGGTAGGTAGTTTTTGCGAGCGGCGTTGTCGGCTCACTGACCTCGTTACTTTCTAGTTTTGGCGTTTGTTGGTTCTACGGGCTCTACAACAATATCCTTTATCCTGCCGGGCTTATTTTATTGGAAGGTAAGGGCAAAGGCTTTGGTTGGTAATACTGTGAGGGTGACGTGCTATTTTGTAGCTCTCACGCAACGATTCTAGCATGCCGCGATCCCTTAACCTGGGTGCATTGGGATTGGCAGTATATGGTGCATTCATTTTTATATTCTGGTATGTGAAATTGTTGGTTCAGTGTACCAGAATGTTCATGAATGAAACAGCCTTGGATTCAATATATACCAAGTGATATACCCCAGGTAGCTGTATTAGAAATATAATAGATATAGAAGAAAATACCCACGATGCGAATTTCAATGTCTAACCGCTTCAACTGCTGTTGACCTTTTGACGATTGATCCGTTGTCGAGAGGAATTGTGTGTACGTTGGAGACGGCGTCGTTCTCTATCCGTTGTTTTTGCCTTTCTTCTTGCCATCGTCGTCTGCTTCAAAAAGCCCTCCTCTTGTCATGGACACAGCCCACATGTCTATCCAGCTTTACCCCACAGAGCAACCTCTTGCCCGCCCAAACTCTCATTCGCCATCTTCAATCATCTCTAATCCCTCCCGTAATCCAACCCCATCATCAAACATCACAAGTCCAATCCCCTCAGCAACCTCTTCCATCGATTTCCCCTCCTCTATCTCTCCTTACTCAACCTCGCCCTTTGCTATCGATGCCAACGGCATGAATCCTGTCGAACCAGACACACCCTCGGACCTAGACAGCCCCTCGGCTCAGGCCACGAACCAACAACCATCAGATGTCGACCCTCAGATTCTAGAGGCGCTTAGAAGCAAAGATAGGATTTATGTATTGAAGCTAGGAGAGCTTATGGAGGGTCTTATCAAAGAACGCAGGTATCGCTCATCTTCTTTCTCATTGTCGTTCGTTTTCTCGGTATGACTGACTTTCTGCCAGGCCAAGGGTCGACTTGACGCCCGCGACTTCTTATCAGCGGTTGCTTGTCCACCGTTGTTCAGCCTACTACAAACTCGCCCCCGAAACAGATCCTACCACCAAAGGTATCTCTGTATTGCCAACTATAGAAAGCAGGATGTACGTCGACAACAACAGTTTCCTTCTGTGACTAATTTTTTCGTTGCAGTCCCTCTCGCCGAATTTGTGAACTTGTTCCAGCAGAGGCAACAGCCCAACCGGCGTTTAAGATTATGCGACGATCACCCCCAGACCGTCGGCCGAAACTACCACGATCACAGACTGGCTCGGTTGCCGGCGAGGATGCGGACCTGTCTGACGTTGAGCCTTCCGAGTCGGGAAGTTTGGGCGGGCGGAGTAATGCTACTGGTGGTAGCAACAAAAAGCGAATGACTATAGAAGAACGCGCGGCGGCTTATAACGAAGCCCGATCCCGTATATTTATGGGCTTTGAAGAAAAGGAAAAGGCGAAAGACAAAGACATGAGCTCCAGCTCATCATCTCTCAGTCTCGTTTCTGGTTCTGCGTCTATTGGAGGAGACGGCAGCAGTGTAGGCGATTTAGATGACTCTGCAAGCTCTCCAGCGACAGAGAGTGAGTGGTCGGGTCCTTCGGGTCCACCTCTCACACGAGACAAAAGGGAAGGCAGGCGTGGTGGATCTGGCAACGCGTCTGCTTCATCCTCCACGCGATCTCTACGGTCGAATGCGCCATCCTTCAACGCCAATGGCACTGGTAGTTCACGAAATTCGCGAGCGCCCTCGCCGTCGTCCTTCACCTACCCCTCTCTTTACGAGCCACCGTCCTCAGGACAAATGTACGATCCATCACAGCTCCCTGGCCCTCACAATTCTGGATATCATGCGGCGCAATACATTTATCCGTACCCTGCACCAAATCAACCTTTGAATCAACCGTACCACTACCCATATTACGCACCTCAGTACAATGCCTATCAACATCCACCGCATCACCCCTCACGCGACGCGTCAGACTCTTCAATATCAGAGAACTATCCACCTCTGCAGACTATGAACTATGGCAACCCCTACATTTGGGCACCTCCAAACCAACCCCCATTGCAATCTCCTCCTCACATGCAACAGCATCCTCCACCGCCACCCCACCAATCCCAGGCTCCTCAACACTCCATGACATCTCATCCGCCCCATTTCCAACCCTACATGACACCATCCCACCCTTATCCCTATCCAATACCGGGATACTATCCCCCGCCTCCAGGGCAACATATGCCCCCTCCTCCTCCCCCTCATATGGGGATGCAACAATCCATGTATGAAATACCAAGGGCCATGATTGGAAACATGGTGGGAAACGACCCTAACCACGGAAATTTAGGTAGTGGCGGTGGAAGACCAAACCTAGACAACGGTGTCAGCTCTAATAGCAATGGACGTTCGACAACGAGAAATAACGGCGTTGTGCATGGGGGAAATGGAAATGGCAAGCAGCGAAATGGCCCTCCGATGCCTCCATCTACCCGTTCTTCCTGGAGCTACGGCCCAGGCATCGGGATAGGTGGCCACGTTTCCCAATCGGGTATAAATGGAGGCGAAGCCGTTGGCCCAAGATTTAATAACACGCGGAGACAGTCTGGAAACAGCAGTTCCAGCAATAGTCGGGCGTCGTCAAACTGCGATGATGTCTCTTCTACTGCAGTGAGTCATTGCCCATTATTCGCCGGAGTAGACCAGTGATTCATCTTTTAGTCGTCATCTACCACTTCATCCTCATCTCGCCGGACTTATACTTCCACGACATCATCACAGCACCCTCTGCCTGCACGACCTGACTGGGCAGTAGGGATAAAAGCGCAACCATCCCTAGCAGTGCGCTACCACGATCACACACTCACAAACCCACATTCGATGTCTCCCATATCTCCATCACGCCCCCTCAACGGAAACATGAACAAGGTATCTCCACGTCAACCTTTAAACCAGGAGCAAATGCCTATTGTCTCACTTCAATCCACCGATTTTCCACCACTTACACCTGCAGCCGAAAAACGGAACCCAGTGGTAAACGGTGCTTGGGGAAACTCGTCGTCGACTCGTTCGATTCTTTCACCCAACACAGGACACCAACCGGTGTTTGGGAACGCTTTGGTCAATCATAGTCCAAATTCAAGGCTCGAGGAGCCTGCGCGCGGGCTTGAACGCCCTACTCCCAAGGTTAGTTATCTACCCCCCCAAAGTTTCGTGCCACGACTGATCTGGTGTCTTTTTAGTCTTCAGAGTTGTTTAACCCCAAGATTGTCAGGCGCACTGCTACGGGGTCAACAAACACAAACGGGAAGACGCAAGGCGATAGAGAAAGAGAGACAGCGAGAGGAGATGCGGTCGCCAACGCGATTCTCGTTGCACAGATTGAAAAGATCTCATTAGAGGAGAAGGGCTCCGAACACTCGCTGGTTGTATCTGCATCGTAGGGAGCACACTTTGGGTTCTACCTCGTTCCCCATTACATACATCCTTCCTTGATGGTTTTATTATCATGCGGTGTCGCATTGCTGTGATGTTGTTTTTTTTTTGACTAGTTTATTTCATTATCTTCGCTGTATTAATTTGTGGGTTTTACTCGCGTCGATCCTTTGTGGGGCAAAATTTCAGGACAAGTAAGCCTGGAAAGAACTTTAAAAAGTTTGATTATTATACAAAGTCACCAGCGTAGAGATACATTTTAAGAGTGTAGAGAAAAAAAATCTACATACAACGGTAAAAGTACAATCAGAGATCGTTGGGGAAATCGTAAAACTCCGGGATATTGACATGTATATGGAGGGGTAAATTCAATTTAGTCGTGGTCGTTTGAGAAAAACTAGTAATATCGTCGCCAAGAAGCATTTTTACGCTGACCCGAGGTTTTCTTCGAGGCCGCACCAGGAGTGCCAAGCATGACCCCCCCAGTCAACACATTACTCTCGCCACCTTGGTAAGAATATCTGGTGATGTCCTTTTTCATTGCGTCAACGTACACGCAGGGTTGAGAGTTGGTAGATGAGGAGTCGGACACGGATGTCACGCTCTCCGAATCAAAATCGGAGAAGGAATACGTGGACGCGCGCGAGCTAGGGCGCGAACTCTCGGGAGAGGATGGAGGCTCGGGAGAGGAAACTGGGGAGACGACGACTGGGGGAGAGCTAAGAGATGATGGGAAGCAGAACGAAGGCGAATAAGAGTGGAGAGATGGAATTTTGAAGTTCTCGCGAGTGGGAGTGGGGGAGACGATTATGCCCCTGAAGTTGGCGACCATTGAGAAAAGTTCTTCTTCGACTTCCTTTTCAGAGTCGATCAACAGCTGTTGAGCGACGGTGCGACGAGGTATCGCTGACGTGACCGGGTCACGGATGGCATGTCCTCGATTAAATTGTTGCATTTGTTGCTGGCAGAACTTGCTGATAGGGATTTGGGGTCCTTCAGATGCGAATATGAAGGAGGAAGGCTTTTGAGGAATGACGGGAGGTGGGGGCCGCCTCCAAACCACGACGGTTTGGCCTCTGATTCCCGCGTAACGTGCGACAACGGAGTGAGGCTCGATAAGCAAGTCGAATGAACGCTGTCCGAGAAGCTTGAACCATTCGCTCCACTGGATGCCAGTTGCTATGCATGCGGCATAAATGGGCCGGGGAGGCAGAGCGGTGCTTGTAAGGGAGAGCTTAAAGCTCGGAGAGGGGTAGGCTACGTTGAAGGTCGTTTGGAGGATATGCTGAAGAGATGTAATCGTCTCGTGGGCGTAAACCAGCGTTAGGGGTCGTGTGAGGAAGGTGATAGCTTGAGCTAAACTGGTCGTGTTGTGTGACATTGTTCGGAGGACGGAGCGTAAAGAAGTCGACCAGCGATTCGGGTAAAGACAAAGACTCGTTTAAGAAGTTCGAAGAGGACTTGAAGAAGCAAAAATTAAATTCTGATGAGAGAATTAGCATGTAAACTTCACAGCGGACGGAAGGACGTACCTCGAAGAAAAGACGAACAACGAAAGCAGTGAGGAGAATGAGTATGAGATGATTGAGATACTAGGTGTGAACCTGGCTTGAAAGATACCACTTACGACGCATCATTTTATAGATGGATTCAATAGAGCTCTCGAATAAGACACAATGAAATTCGGATAATGGTAAATGTACAGTCAATGGAGAGCAGATACTTTTGTGGTTAGGTAATCCAAACACCCCATTGCCGTTGGATACAAACAAACCGCAGCCTCTCATGTCAGCCAGGTTGCGACACCGACCACAGACCGAGGAGGAGGATGCATCGGCCTTGAAACTTGGTCCAGGTTAGTAATTCCTATCTGACCACGAACGACGTTGAGAATTCTCGGAAGAGTTCAACAATGCAGGTTGTTTGCTCATTTCAGAGGTGAAATATCTGTTGGAGAATCGCGACAAGGATGCACCGGACACAGCGTATGGGATGAACCATTTGCTATGCGCATTCGAGTGCTAAAAATTACATAGTGTTTATAACAAAACACTTGAATACGTGAAGACGTTTGCCAAGTTCAACACGACAGATTCTGCGAGCGCCGTTCGCGAGTGCGTTACCTTTTCGAGACCCAATGCTTGGGCTGAGGATTCGTGATGTAGAACCCTTCGAAGGGAGCCAGCTCTCACCCAATTTGAAACGGCGCAAATAGCGAACCTGTGTCCTGCAGATGCGGAAGAGGCGAAGAGCGTTATTCCCAGGTAAGCACGACGGATCTTATCTGAATTCGCTGACACCAGTCTATTCTCTCAAGTCTCGTCAAAATCGATGATGACCGTCTACAAGCTCTGCTTGAAGAGATCCAGACCATGCGTAAATTCCAATCGTAATTGATGAAATAACCATAGTTTGAATGGTAATGGATATACTTGTACCGTATGTCAGGATCTGAATCCAAAACGGTAGCCATTGGGCGCGGGACATATTTAACCCACTCTTCCTCGGTCTCGATATCGACATTATACCGTCGTCCATGATGCGTCTGCACACTCTGATACTGATTTACCTCTCCATGCCACCGCTGGTGGAGTTTCCAAAGGACCGGAAGACGGACACCAGTCGAGATGTGGTTGTTGATCTTTTGTTTGTAACTCAGTTATGGACCTTTGCCCCGAGTTAGAATCAAGTTCAACCTTGGTTCGACCCCCACTTTTATGTTTACGATCAGCAGCATGGCTCAGTCTTTCGGACTAACTCCAGAACTACTTCTTTCCAGCTTGAATCCTTCCCAATCGCTCGCCTCGCAACCCTTTCCCTCGGCGTTTTGCCTACACCTGGCAGGACTCATCCACGACCGCTGCTGGTAAACAGCTCGAAGACGTTGTCGGTGTTCCACAAGCTCCTGACCGGCAGTAGAACTTGCGAATGATTCACCAGGTATCTCGGGTGATAGTAACGACCGCTGTTCTCTTGCTAACGAATGCCTGATAAGACATCTCACGGATTCGGAGCTATTCAGATAGGCCGACATCCGCGGACACAACCCTCTTATAAGAGTCGGGGGACCCAAAGTAGCTCCGTAACCGAGAGTGGCTTGTTTACTTTTATAAAACACCAGCTGTCATGGGTATAAAAAAACAGTCGAAATAAATGTGATTGTATTCATAAATAAATCGTGAAGTCAAATCTCTGATGAAGCTCGTTTTTGTCAACGACGGATGGATAGGACACCCTGATTCATATATTATGTTGGGAACTTGGAGGGAACAAAATTTCATAATGATAAGTTTTCGAAATCAAGGATCTATGTAAAATGCAGTGATGGGGATGACAAGAGACTTGCAAGAGACGAAGTATCGTAGAGAGTGAGACAGGGACGGAGCTTAGTTACAAGGACATCTTGACAACGAGAGGTTGCTGGACAACAAGGGTCTCATGGCTATTAAGCCGTGTTGCTAGTTCAAGTTCCAGGCGGCTAAGCCCACCACCCATTCTTCGACCCCAATTAGAAAAGTCACTAAGGTCGTGGTCGTCCTCGAAGTCTACCCACTCATCCCTTTGCTCACCTGCACCCTTGACATTTGCCAGTACACATTGGCTAAAGTGGTCGCGCAGAAGAGCATCAGACGGGCGATACCTTGGTTCAACGTTTTGGTTGATCCATAAGACATGACCATCGAGTTTTCCTCCTTCTGTGAAGTCAACGATACGATAACCATTCTGGGGAGAAAACCATATCAAGATACACTAACGAAAAACAAGGTTCAACACATACATCCGGATTTATGGCGAAGTCATAGTCATCGAAACGGTTGTGGATATCACTACGGAGGAGAAGACCATTTTGAACGGAGTTGATGGAAGCGGGGCCTTGTTCGCCTTCAGGGGCGTCGTCTCGAATGTGCTGGGACAGCTGTAACAAGTCCCACTAAGAAAAGGAGAAGAACCCTTTAGTTAAAAGTGAGGTGGGCTATCAAAGGGCGCTTACGACGTCACGATGGGCAACCGGAAAGATGTGAGTCGTACGAAAAGGATGATACCTTCCAGACTCAACAAGCTCCCCTGTGATACAGCAACGTCGATCCCTCTCACGCACACGATTCCTGAAGCCGTCTTTCTATGCTCCGGTCTCAGTTAGGTTTAAAATAGTTATCAAGAGGGGAACAAACGCGGATGGGTCCCGAGTTGTCCAGGGACAGGGTCCGTGGTCGATGTCTTTCCGGCGTTAGAGATACATCAAGCAGCTGCTTCTCTGAAAGAGGGTGAGCTTTGTTACCATGTCACATTCACTGCTAGCGTACCGGCCGACATGACGACATATATGCCCACAGGCAACACGCTACAATCTTCACGATCCAGCGCAGTACCCACAGGTTGGTATTGCGCATCAGCAAAGAACAAGACCCAGGAGGATTGCGCAACCAGCACGGTGTCCATCATAGAGTAGAAGTCTGAGATGGACAGAGATCCATGTTGGTGGATACCTGTCGGAAAGATAAATGCATATTCACTCAAGCCATAGATCATTTCAAAACCGACCTCCAACAACGACGGGAGGCTGAGGTTTGGGGTCGTAAACATGAACGTTGCGAAGATAACGTGGCATTGTGAGTCAAGACCAGATGGGGGTGAAGTGAGTTTTATTGTAGCGTTGAAAGTGCAGCCAAACAACAACAAAATTTTGATTCCTAAGATAAATAAACACATAGCATGCGCAGCAAATATTCCACGGCGCCAACGAAAAGCTTGGGAGCAGAGACGATGGGAATACAGGCGTGTTGCTGCGTCAGCGGCTACTCGAAGTAAGTTCCTAGTTTCCATATGTTACGCATTTCTGAGCTGAACCTGTTTTAGTTATTAATAGGGGCTCACAGTCAAGCGCCATTCGGGAATTGCACCAAATGCGGTTGTTTGTGCAAAGGGGAAAATCTGCAGAACTTCGGAATCGAGAATTTGTTCTTACTATTTGTCTGCATGTTCAACGCTACTATAAAGATGGACAGCTCGCTTCGCTCGCATATATCTGGTCTTGACTCACAATGCCACGTTATTTTCGCAACGTTCAAGTTTACGACCCCAAACCTCAGCCTCCCGTCGTTGTTGGAGGTCGGTTTTAAAATTATCTATGCCTTGAGTGAATATGCATCTATCTTTCTGACAGGTATCCACCAACATGGATCTCTGTCCATCTCATACTTCTATTCTATGTTGGACACCGTGCTGGTTGCCCAATCCTCTTGGGTCTTGTTCTGTGCTGATGCGCAATACCAACCTATGGGCTATGCGCTGGATCGTGAAGACTCTAGCGTCTTGCCTGTGGGCATATATGTCGTCATGTCGCCTGGTACGCTAGCAGTGAATGTGAACAAAGCTCATCCTCTTGCAGAATATCAGGCGCTTGATGTATCTTTGACGTCAGATGCACATCGACCACGGACACTGTCCTTGAACATCTCGGGAACCACCCGCGTTTGTTTTCTCTTGATAGATATTTTTCAACCTAACTGATACCGGAGCATAGACGGACGGCTTCAGGAGTCGTGTACGTGAGAGGGATGGACGTTGTTGCGTCACAGGAGATTTTGTTGAGGGAGGAAATTACCACCCTTTTCATGCCAGCCACATATTTCCAATTGCCCATCGTGACGTCGTAAGCGCCCCTTGATAGCCCACCTCCCTTTTAACCAAAGGATTCTTCTCCTTTCCTTAGTGGGACTTGTTACAGCTGTCCCAGCACATTCGAGACGATGCCCCCGAACGCGACCAAGGCCCCGTTTCCATCAACTCCGTTCAGAATGGTCTTCTCCTCCGTACTGATATCCACAGTCGTTTCGATGCCTACGACTTCGCCATAAATCCAGATGTATGTGTTGAACCTTGTTTCTCGTTAGTGAACGATTATCTTGATATGGTTTTCTCCCCAGAGAGGTTATCGTATCGTTGACTTCACGGAAGGAGGAAAATTTGATGGTTATGTCCTATGGATCAACCAAAACGTTGAACCAAAATATCGCCCGTCTGATGATCTCCTTCGGGAACATTTTAAACAATGCGTCCTGGCAAACGTCAAGGGTGCAGGCGAGCAAAAGGATGACTGGGCAGACCCCGAGGATGACCATGACATTAGTGACTTTTCGACTTGGGAACAAAAAACCGGCGATGATAAAGGGCCCAGCCGCCTGGAACTCGAACTAGCGGCAAGACTTTATAATCAAGAGACTCTTCTCGGCTAGCAACCTCTCGATGTCAAGGTGCCCTTCCAACTAAGCTCTGTCCTGTCTCACTTTCCATGATACCTCGTCTCTTGTCGTCACCATAATTGCATTTTACATAGATCCTTGCAGCTGATTCCGGAAACTTATCATTATGAAATTTTTGTTCTCTCTATCTATGTCGTCGAATTCAAGAGGATTCGTCCCCGTTTGGCCATCACATCTTATCACATCTTATCAACCACGTGCTTCCCTGCCCCGCCTTGCCAAAAAGACGAGTCCCCCCCTGTTCTTTCTACCCTCCCTCACCGCGCTTTCCCGCTGGCGTTTCGGTTTCAACTGTCAACGTGGGCGTCGCGCTTTCGCACATGTCCCTATCTGACGTTACCCTAGTCTGTCTGTGGAGCCTGTCTTCTCTCCTTGCGCTTGGCCATCTTTTCATTTGGCGTCTAAATCACCATCTCGAATTTCCCGCTTGGACGGTTTATTCCTTGTTCAGCAGCCCTCAGCCTTTTTCGATGCTGAGTCTTTGCTCAACAAAATGAGATGTAAGTCTGCCTCTTGTTTTTCCCTTTACCTTTCCCCCCTCTTCGCACGACTTACATCTCTCAGGCTCATAACGACGATGGTGCACGCATCCGTGCTGCTATGCTTGCACCAATCTTGTCCCCGGCTCTGTCAAGTTTACCCGAGGTTTTGAACACTCGGATGCCGAGACATCGGATTCCGTGTGTTATCCATCACCTGAAATGCAGGGGTATGCTGCTCTATCTCTGCCGTTGATGTGACCGTCACTTTGCCCATGCCCCTCGCATTTTCTTCACCCCACACAGGTTGCTCTCCCCCTTTGCCCTCAGCAGTGATCTGTTGCCTTTGTTTTTATCAATCTGTACGAGTTCCCTCCGCTCGCGCTCACATTCTTCTGACCTTTTTACTTGCCATAGCCTCGTTTCAATCGATCGGCGGCGATTTGCTATCAGTCCTCGTTTTTTTCGCTCTGTATGTGTCCTCTCTGCTCGCGCTCGTGCACTGCTGACATTTTTACTTGCCATAGCCTTGTTTTGGTGGCGATTTTTTGCCGGTCTATGTTTTTTTTTTCACTCTGCACGTGTCCACTCTGCTCGCGCTCGTGTTTTTAATTGCCATTGGCTCATTTACAAGGCTAATCTACATTCAAGCAGAGATTTATGCGAGACGCCCTCTCGGTTCTGCGCTAGGTGTCGGGGAGTCAGCTCTGGTTATCCAGTTTATTCAAGCTCAGGAAACAAGCTTAGGAGGGTAGATATAGTGAAATTCAGTGGTTTGACAACATGTTGCCCACTTAAAATAATCAAAACTGGGCAAAGAGTCGTAAAACTTTGTCCTAACAGAGATACATACTTATGCTAAATACTACAGATAAATTTGAGCCTATCCGTTGAGTAGCTCTATGAAAAGGACGTTTGAATGGGCGAGCGTGACAATTCACGACGACCCAAAGCTGCCCATTCATACGTGATATTTATGGGGCTGACTACGGGAGACTAAGAAAATACGCAGAGAGGAGGCTTGGCTGCTATGGGCAGGAGGAGAGATATTGGGGCAACTTGTCGGGCTGTAATACTATCACGTGGGGGGAGTTGAACCGTTTTCAGTGTCTGGCTCCGTAGCACAATAATATAAACACAACACATTTGCTTTGCTTGTAGGGAGGAAAGACTGCAGTTTTTACTGCTTAATATAAGTCTCAGCAGAAGTTAACAAAATTTTATTGATGTGGTGCTACTGTAGCTTGATTTCGACGAAACAAGTTCGTTTGCATACACCGAAGGGTGTCTTGGTCCAATCGTTACACGTTTGTCACATCGGTTTGTACACGCAATTCAAAGAGTTCCGGAATTCGAGATTCCGACCCTCCACGCCACGCTCGGACAGTCGCGAGGCTGACAAAGTTTCTGTGACGAGTGCAAACGTCACATCTCGTGAGTCGTGCTCGCGCGCTTGCTCGTGTTCGATCGTGTTGACTCCCATCGCCCAACTTCCTCGTCCATCGCCCAACTTCCTCGTCCATCGCCCAACTTCCTCGTCCATCGCCCAACTTCCTCGTCCGTCGTCATCTTGCCTCGCCACTGTACGTAAGCTACAATTGCACCCACTCAAGGTTGGCAAAGCGAAAAGAGTGGCACAGACAGTTTTTTTTGGCCCCAGGAGGTCAGAACTACCAATCCGGACAAATTTTCGTAATTTTTTGGGAGCCCAGGTGCAATCCGGACAAGAATTCGCCCCGTCCGCACAAAAATATGAAATCTCGGATCTTGCCTCCTCTCCCATTGAGTCAGTCGTTAATTGTCTTAATAATTGACAACGGAGTCGTCTCGGCAAACACCGGACTATATTACACCTGACACACCTCATTGACTCTTCCTCGATTGCCCATGACACCACTCAGACAGAACATGGTCAACGATAACCTCATCGTTGGCCGTTTCAATAAGGATACGCGACCTGCTTTTGAATCGTTACTCGCTGGTACTGAGCGAGAGATCGTGCGACTCGAGCAAATAGCTATTCAAACCAGAACCTCTATCAACAGGTACTCAATCATATCATCCCTGCCATCCGAGATGCTTTCAGAAATCTTTGTGCTTTGCTGCCAACCCAAATATAATGCCATCAGAGGAGTGGATAGTCAGGAGACATGCCCTTTGCGCCTCTCTGCCGTCTGCAAAGCATGGCGTGACCTGGCATGGAGTATGAGTCCCTTGTGGTCTGTTATTATCTTGATCAAGCCAGAGCCTCATGCTTTGCATCTCGAGGAAATTCTAGCTTCATGGATCAAACGAGCAGGAAATCAAGCCCTTTCCATCTGTTACGAAGCACAATCCACTAGTCTGCTAGAGCGTCTCACCCAAGAAACTTCAAAATGGATGAATGTTTCAATCTCCCTTGCTTCGGAATCCTTGTCTATGATCAAAAATTGCAAATGTTTTCCACTCCTACAACATCTCTCTATTCATGTTCGAGCCCATAGTCCTAGACCTGACTTTCTGGGAGGTTTCCTGCATGGTTTTGAATATCTTGACATCTTCAATGCTGCAAGTCTGCCCAAGATAACTCACCTGCATGTACCAAAATACCTAAGCTGCTTTGAACCCAACTTGATGTGGTCACAGCTTAGAATGTTCTCTGCAGACACCATTGGCCATGAGGGCCTCTGCAAAATCTTAGATTTTGCTAGATCCCTTGAAGTTTTCAATGCAAACAGCATCGAGGCACACTTCAGTTATAAACCACTGACTGTCATTCACTCAAACCTCTGATGCCTTGTCTTGAAGGAGGTAGATTCACCTGTTTTGAACAAACTCCTTGGCAAGCTGGACATCAGCACTCCTAACCTTGAAGATCTCACAATTGAAATATACCATGGCAAGCCAGACTCCACCTTCCTATCCAACTTTGTCACTTCTTTGCATCAACTCCGGCGGTTCAGAGTGAAATATGATAATGATTACGAGGATCCAGACTGGATATTCAAATGGCTTCTGAATATTCCATCCCTCACAGAACTGGATGTGTCAATATCTGCAAAAGCAACTGCAAACATTGTTTTTGCCTTGGGAAATTCCACGTCAACAGAATCAAAAACTGAATATCTCCCTTTGCTTGTGGATCTTACAATTACTGTCAGTCGCAACCTAGCCCCCAATCTCACGATGAAAGATATTGCAGAGATGCTGGCATACAGATCCTCTGGACTTTCCCCCTCCATCTCGAGGCTAAAAAGTGCTTTGATATGTATGCCTCAGTTTACTAAAGAGGACTTTGAAGCCTTGCAAACAAGGGATTTGGTCAAGGGTTCTCAGGCGCTTTCCCTGTGATGTGGTGACGCCGTTCAGCCAACCGCCCTATCTCTTTGGCTTGTCATGGTGCTTCATCGACATCCTCCATTTCGTCATGGCTGGTGGCTGCCTCGTCACATCGCTTTGGCGTGGGCGTTGACCACTTGACTCGCCGACCCCACTCCGTCCTTTCTGTGAAGCTATACGGGCGCCCTTCTTGCCACCTTCACATCACACGTCACCCGTGCTCACCACCTTTCGCCCCGACTTTTTGATGTGACCCCATCTTCACCACGTGTTGCTCTTTGATCACTGCACCCCCTGCCCTTATCATCGCTCAGGCTTCGTCTCTTGCAGTGTTGGAATGTTGGAATTTTGGTGTTGGGAATCGGAGAGGAGATGTGAGAGTAATTTATTCTTAGATTACATTATGTACAATTGTCCCAAGGGTGAATGCACAATCAATGTGTCGATATGGTACTCTCTCTTGCCGTGCAGTTAATGCATAACCACTCGGCCCCCCTTAGACCCTCTCCCTCCTTCCCCCTGTCTTCTTTTAGAATTAACACGCAAAACCCCGCGAACACAAAAACCATAGTGCTGGCATACACAGGTAGAGACTTGTCTATCATTAAAAGCATCCCACCAAACATGGGTGTGATCACCCCTCCTCTATTGGTATTTTATAAGTGAAAGGACGAGGAGACGAAGAGGGAATGGAAGACGTACACCTTCGAAAGAGCCGAAGCGATCCCGCATGCCGTTCCCCGCACTGACGAAAAGAAGAATGAACAAATCCTATGTCATTGAAGAAAAAGCAAAATCCGACCTTTCGTACCAAAAATTTCTGGGGTCCAGCCACACAACACGGCCCACATCGTCTACGCACACATAAGTCGATCTTCAATAAACACCATAAGAAAGACTCAAAAACCCACCGTAACACTCAAGCTAATTCCAAATGTACTAGCCCTAACCGCCCACGTCGACTCCACAAGCACGAACACCATGCGGAAGAACACAGTGATGATGGTGCTTTCAGCAAGGGAGCACCTCCGGCCTAACCTTGTTTCGATGAGCCGCACTCCGAGCTTTTTTATTTCAAGTATCAGTGCCGTGTAAGAGGTGAACGCAAGAAAGGAGGGAAGGCGACCTGGCCACCCCCCAATAGTGAAAATAACAACGTCCCATGAACTTTGTTCGAGTGTCTTTGTTGGTGGGACCGACAATGATCCTGCCGTGCATCCACACCCAGACCCTGTTTCGAGGACTTTGGGGAGGTAGATGTTGAACATCGTGTATGCTAGACACCACATTAGCCTCCTTCTTTCCTTACTCAACACAACAAAGAAAGAGAGAAGAAACGTACCAAGGGCCATTGCACACCACGTACTCCACATCAAAACTGTCGTCCTCAGCCACTCCGGGGAGAGAACGAGCAGGACGCGGTCCCACCATGAGCGAAGGGCCCGATGCAACAAAGGGGGCAGTATGGGAATTTTCTCGAGGATAGTGAAGAATCGGATAGCCGGTGGGGGTGGGTTCTAGATATTGGTGGAGGGTTGACTATCCGGAGTCGTTCTGACGGGGTCGTTTTGATGACGACGACGACGATGAAGGATCATTGAATTTGGGAGGCTGTAGGGTAGACTCCTTGGTTCCCAACAAGTCAGGGTTCTCCAACACTAAAGGCAAACGAAGCACGATCTGGATCCAGTACAGGCGTTTCCCCCGTAGAATCATACCCCGTCACCAGCGTAATCCTCGTCCCATCCGCGTTTTTTGGCCACTCCACCAGACTGTCTGGATATCATCAACAGGTCCTTGCGGCTCCCCTGAATCACAGGGATTGTGGAGGTGATCCCCCACGTCCTCCAACTCTACTCAAATGAATTTGAATATCATTTGTAAGGCCTGCGTGCACGAGATATCGCGGGGACTCGTGTAGCCGGAAAAAGACGATAGGTCCAAGGAACATTGATAGTGTCTGCAGTGGGAGAACTAGATCATAGAGATGGGGAAGGTGGGACGGGCCATGGACAGGATCGGGGTAGACCTCTGTGCGTGGGGCTCGACAAGATGTATGTGGTAATACCTACTAATTATAAGAGTGCGTGGGTAATGAGTATGTATTTCCAACCCAGATTTTGAGTTTCCACGTCGCACTGCGCAGGGTGGTGCCAAGGTGGATGGAAAATAGTAATTCCCCTGAAGACGCAAGCGGCAGCGCGAGGAGAGCTACGACAGCAGACAGTGACACTACGGAGCCTACGGAGAAGAAGAGCGAGAGTGCAGTCACAAGATATTGTTTCTCTCTAGGCAATTGTTCGAGGAGGAGGGTACCGTCTGTTGGCATTGATCCCTGAGCAAGATTGAGGGTACTCACGCTGACTGCACTCCCAAGGAAAAACAAGGCTACGCATAACGTGCCACAGGAGTTGGACAAGGAGGCGAGAAAGCCAAGACGGCGGTAAAGAAGAGATTAGCATTATCCACTGTAGTGCGTCCCATTATATCGGAACCTTGAAGAAAACTTAGCCTTGGTGGAGGAGAGGAAAGATTGAAGGCACGCACATGTACCCCAGCCAACCGCGCCAATCATCATTCGGGCAAACATGGAGGGCGAGACACTACCTATGTAGCAGCAGGATGGTATGCCAGGTTCCTTTGCACGGGAGTGCGACCGACTCACCAGAATAATGCCTCTGAACCTGAGGGAGGATTCCTTGCCCCCTATGACACACATGATGTACCGGTAATCACCGACCTTCCGTATATGGTTCATTGGCTCACAACTTAGTCACTTAGCAATGCATTGCACTAAGAGAGTGCACGCTACTAGTGCACTCTCTCGAGCTTCTACCCTCCTCACTCCCAAACTATAGTAAAGTACCCTACCCTCCTAATCTAATTAAGAATGAGCAGGTGTGTCCATCACTGAAACACGAGTTTCTACCATGGTGATAACTCCAACCATTAACCTAACTTCCTGACCTAACTGGGAATGTGCTACTGCACAGAGAAAAAAATATTCCTAACCTAACCCTTTTTAATCTTTTACCCTCGTGTATAAGTAAAAAAATAAAAGACAATTCCACAAGTGCAGCAGAAAATAATTTCCCTAGAAAGGAATTGAACCCACCTCCTTAGAAGGATCAATCACATGACTAAATAACCACTGCACCATTCCACCATTTATAGGCTATGTGCGGCATACACTATGGCTTACCATTCTTTGTAGATTTGTCATACCTTCTTTTTAGGGAAATCATAGTGGGGGAGAGCATGCTTTGGTATGGCTCCGATGTCCTCAATGCATCCGAACTGCTGGGCCACTTCCTTTTCGCTAAGCAACAGGTCGTCATGTACGAGGGCCAAGAATGCAAATATCGCAGTGTGTCTTCAGAGGCAGGAAGTAGCCAAATGATATGCGGGTTGATTGGTTTGAACTGTTCGGAGGGTTTTTGAGCTTGAGGAGCAGCTTGCTTCGGGGGATCTTGAAGATAAAGATGAGAACTTCTTGCAGGAGCTGATTTCTCCTGAAACGATTCAAGTGAGTTGCACGGTGCTCATCTCTCTGGGTTTTTTAGATGAATTCTGAGGTATATTTCGTAGAGGGTCACCTCTATTGATGATAACTTGAAGGCATACTCCAACCTTAGTGTTGGGGACATCTTAGAGCGAACTCAGTTTCGGAACGCGTTCACCCAAGCTACAGTGTCCCATGAGCACCTATCTTACGAAGGATTCATCACTTTGTTCGAGTCAGTTAGTGCCGTTCTTATGTCATTGTTCTTTGCTCAATTTCTATTCATCTGACAACCAGAGCATTTGGAACTTTAGAACATTAGAACAAACAGATCGACCTGTGGCTGCAGTTATTACACATCTTCGCGATATTATTGTCTGCATCAGGCTTTACCTTCACGATTCTTACAGGTTTTTCATCTTCAACCCGCACAGGCAGCCCAAACATCCACGAGGACCCGCGTTCGTACTAAACGATAGCAAAGAGACAGCTGCGCGATATCTCCATGAACTTCTCCAATCTGACGACTCTTCAGACGGAGAAGTAGAGGAATTCCATTCAAATTCTCAGACGTTCTCGGCACACATATTAAGGATGGAAACTTCAGAGAGATGGCGCCTGGCCCTCCTATCGATTTGCCCTTGTCTGGTGATTCTTTGGAGGCCTCCAACGCCTCCTCTTCTTCTTTTCTGGGCGACGACTTAGCTTTTGTCATGGTACCTGATGACCCACCACCACCATACGACAGCCTGTCTCCCATTCATGATACCCTTGCTGCTGATTTGGTCTCTGCTGATATATCACCATTGACTCCATCTAATGATATCCCATTGGATGATTTTCAGTCTAATGATCTGTCATCCAACGTTTTGCAGCCAAGCGATTCACCTTCTGACGATTTAACATCCAACAGTTTGCCATCGAATGGTTTATCATCCGGAAACTTATCTACTAACGGTTTACTATCCGATGAGCTTACTAGCAGCTCTTCGACGCCTGTTACAAATTCCGAAGTCTCATCGATTTCCACTCCCCCAAAACGATGTGAATACCACTGGCAACTAGGTTTGCAGATAGCGTCTCCAATATCTCCTTCCTCCCCTTCAGCATTAGACGACCCTCGGGAGACACAGTTGGAAGGTCAACCTACTGATCAACCCTCATCTGGACAAGAACAGAATAATACAGATACAGATACCTCTACACCACTCCCGATACGCAAATCTGCCATTGGCTGGCAGTTAGCGTTGCAGAAAGCTGCCCTCAAAGACGCTCCGGCAGTAGAGAGGAAAGGAGAAGGCGAGATAACAGCCACAGGAGGTGATAATGAATGGGTACAACTTGAGATGCATGACAACCGTGATTCAGTAACGGCGGGGCCTTCGAGACAACTCGATCGCAACTCCACGGATGATGGTTTCAGCTGGAAGGTAGCGCTGGCCACCAAATCAATCACTCTTCCCCATAGTGGAAGTCGTGCAAGTGATACTTCACGCGCGAATGTCCAAAATAGTGCCGAGGAAGCCACAAATCTGGAGAACGCAAGGGCCGAAAATGAAACCTCGCTAGAAGCATCTTCTTCCCTGTTGAACACCACGAAATCGAGGAGCTTGGGGCGTCGCACTCGCGATGATTTTTGTGGAAGCTAGCTTTGGCGGCACAATCCCTGACTACCCCCCCCCCCACCCCACTGGCAGAGTACAGTAACTCGTGATCCGGTGACGACGACACAGACTAGGCGTGCCGAGCGTCAGTGGCATCCGACCCAAGAAATTCAAAACCACGTATTAATAGGAACGCCTCACCGATCTTCAACCCATGGCAAGAGACGGGACACGACGGTGAGTTAATGTGACCTGATCATCCAGGTGGATCATAATGATGGTACATAGAATCGAAGAGCATCAAGGTCTTCTTTACGTGGACCAGTTGTTTCGGTAGACACTGAAGTCAACGCTGTGATAGCGTTCGATTGTGGCGTGTGTCTTGAGACCCTGAGCGGAGACCTCGCTGTTAAAATGCTTGACTGCGAGCACTCTTATTGTCAGGATTGCCTTCGAGGACACGTTGAATCTAAGCTTGGCGAGGGCCGTTATCCGATCCTATGCCCGCTTTGTATGACGGACAAAGCCAGAACAAATCCAGGGAGTATGTCATTTCCTAGTGAGGATTCCTGCCGCTTAGTTTCCCCCATCTTCTAGCTGTCGGCCAACAACTTTTGGAAAAACTAGGACTGTCAGAAGAGATTGTTGACAAATTTGTTGAGCTTCAACTAGCAGGGCTTTCTTTTCCAGCTGAGCTGCCCTAAGTAAGTTCTTTGGTTTGCCAGCTGTACTTATTCTCAAGTCTACTGGATCAGCTGCGAAAATACGACGTTTGTGGCTCGTGAAGATTATCTCGAGCAAGATGTGGTCATCTGCCCTCTACCATACTGCCATAAGTTTTGCAAAGCCTGTCTGATAACAGTTGCTGATGATACCAACGAACACATTTGTACCGCAAATGACAACGGGTTGATTCGCCTCATGCGGGAAAATGGGTGGCGGCAATGTCCAGGTAGGTTCAGCCGATGGAGTGTCTGAAGTTGGCTCAACGGCGGGACTGCGATTCAGAAAGAATCTGGATGTAATCATATGCATGTGAGTCTAGCCAAAGTGGAGTTTCTAACGACTGTTCTGATGTGTGCTGGTCATCAGTGCACATCTCCGGGATGTAACGTGTAAGTCATATTCCTTTGTATGTGTGTGCTGGGACTCCGCTGATCTTAGGCATAGACACTTTTGTTACAAGTGTGGGCTAATGATTGGGACTGCCGATGGACTAAATGTAGGGGCTGGACTAACTGCTCATTATTGTACGTGCCAGCAGTTTGACACGACCCCCGCAACACCCGTGAGGTTGGAACCTGGGCCCATTGGGCCCCAAGGGGCGAGAAGGGGCCGCAATGGGGAGAATTGTACCCGGCAACTAGCACCAACCCAGGATTGAACCATTTCGTGTCGAAAAGAAAGGTAAAACGGTGTGGCTAACCTGGAGATCGAGTCCGTCCCTTTTCATGTACAGCTGACTCGAGCTGAGCAGAAAACTCGTGGTAGATTCACAGGCGCCATACGGAGCAGCGCAATTGCAAAAAAAAAAAAATTGGCAATTCAGCTGTTCGCCATTTCGCACAATTCATAGTTCACAACACGTTTGAAAATCTGATTATGTAACATTGTAGGCCCTACAATGTTAATCAGATTTACTGTTTTAAATTTCTAAGAAAGTCGAAATGCACATTCAACGAGAAAATGAATATCAACATACCCGCCATGTAACGTTCATAGCAGGGAAACTAATTGGAAGCACGCAAAACTTATGTCTACGAAGTTGAGAGTGGGCGGCGGATATGGCGGGCCTGTATACGCATCCGTCTATCCTCCTCCTTCTACCAATTTCAGCGTCCCCCAGATTCAAGGTTCTCCATCGATTTTTAGGCAGCGGTTGGCACACGACGAAGGCGATGGCGGGAAACAGCTGTGGCTGAACAATGCAGTGCTGGAATCAGATGGGGGAGATTACAGAAGCAGCACCATAGAAAGAGAGGGACGGTGGAGAGGGGGAGGCAGTGAGCATATCCTCTCATCGCACTCCTCGTAAACGGGATAAAAGGCGAGAGTTCCGCCAGGCAAAACACACAGGCAGGATCCTGCGAGTTTTGGTCTATTGTTATTTGTGGGATATGGTCAGTGCGAACGTTGAGGATAGAGTCTAGACGTCGAGCGCGTGTGCTTGACCAACAGGAGCCTGTTTGTATGCTTGACAGTACACTTGTAGTGCGGTCTATAACCAAGAATGATTAAGGAAGTCGGTTTGCTAGAGCTTTCATGCTTACCTCGCCACCTTCACTTGTCTCACAAATGTCATAAATGTCGCATATCCTGTGGTCGTGCTCCTTGCAGGACACGATGGTGTTCATGCAGCCCGACTCGCCCATCGTAGCAGTGTATAACAGCGCCCCCAGGTTCGCTGCGCAGACAACGTTTCTGTAGGATTCCGTGCAAAGTGAGCTGCATTTGTGTCAGGTATCGTTGAAATACTCACAGTTGTCGCTGCTTGATCCTTTCTGTTATCCATTTTGTCATCCACACCCTCCATGAGAGATCGTGTCGCCGAGCACTGCCGATGGCTTACCTTCTCTCAGGTTGAGCAGAGAAAATGCGGTGAGCAAGAGTTGTGGGTGCACAACGTAAAGAAAGGCAAGCTGGGTGAACGGACAAAAGTCGTCCATCTTCGTTCCCTGTCCTTAATGTGGGGGTTAGTACATTGCCCCTCCTGTCGTGTGTCGCGTGGCAGCCCCGTCCATTTCTTGGTATCTTATGCGTCTGTCCCATGCTACATCAACAAAAATGTAGATCAGCGCACTATCACTCAAAATGGACTAACCGGGTCCCAATTGGCAAGAAAGTGAAATGGTGGTGGAAGTAGACATGGTGGTGATGATAAGAATCAACCGAGCTGCTGAAGAACCATGGGGAGAACGTCAGAGTTCATACAGAGGTTGACGATGGCGTTGTGTTGATTTGGCGAGAGCTCCGCAATCAGACTTGATCGTCCAAAATCAAGATCTCAGTCTTGTGCTCTTGATACGAAAACAATCTCCATGATGGGTGGCTGCTAGGAAAATTGATCAGCAAAAAAACATGAACAATTGACATTGCTGTCGGGTATTGTTGCACCAGAATGTTGAAAAAAACTGTTTGAGGAAAAACGTTGGAGAGTTGATTCGGCGTTTGCCGAATCATATTTACCCCTCACATCCGGTGTTCCCCTTTTCTCAAGTGCACCACTTGGTCAGAACATGGTCGACCTCATTACGAAAACTCGACCTGACTTGGACCTGCTGCTTGTTGATACGGAGCAAGAGATTGCGCGACTCCGGCAAGTAGCTATTCAAACCCGGCGGTCTATCAATAAGTCCTCATCCATATCATCCCTGCCGGCCGAGATTCTTTCAGAGATCTTTGCGTTCTGCTGCCAACCCAAATACAATGCCATTGGAGGAGTGGATAGTCAGGGGATATGTCCTCTGCGCCTCTCTGCCGTCTGCAAAGCGTGGCGTGCCCTGACGTGGACTACAAGCGCGTTGTGGTCCGTCATCATCCTCGTCGACCCAAAACCTTGGACCTCACATCTTGACGAAATCTTAGCCGCATGGATTGAGCGGGCGAGAAATCGACCCCTTTCTATCCGTTACAAAGCAGGATGCATTGACCTGCTGCAGCGTCTAGCCCAAGAAACCTCAACATGGATGAATGTTTCTATATTCCTTGGCTCGAAATGTACATATGTCATCAAGAGGTGCAAACATTTCCCGCTTTTACAACATCTTTCCATTTGCATGCCAGCCGAGAGTCCTAGGCTATGAATGACCATGCACGATCTTGAGTTTCTTGATATTTTTAACAGTGAAAGTCTCCCCAAGATAACTCGGCTACATGTCCCGAAATACCTAGTTTGTTTTGGACGCAATTCGATGTGGTCGCAGCTCAGAACCTTCTCTGTGAGCATGATAGGCCATGATGGTGTCTGCAACATTTTAGATTTTGCTCGATTCCTCGAAGTATTCAACGCCAACACCCTTGCTACCACACACCTACGAGTCAATCCTCAACCAACGACCGCCACTCACTACAAGCTCCGATGCCTCGTCTTGAAGGCGGTATGTTCAAAGACTTTGAATAAACTCCTCAGAAACATCAGCACGCCTTATCTTGAGGATCTCACAATTGGAGTCTCCCGTGGCGAGCCAGACTTGGCCATTCTGGGCAATTTCGTCGCCTCTTTGCATCAACTCCGGCGGTTCAAAGTAAAACATCATAATGATTACGAGGATCCGGACTGGATGTTCAAATGGCTTTTGAACATTCCATCCCTTACAGAACTAGATATTTCAGTTTCAGCGAGCGCAACCGCAAACATCGTTTTTGCCTTAAGTAAACCAACAGATTTAGCAACAGAAACCGACTATGTCCCTTTGCTTGTGGATCTTACGATCACTATTACTATATCTGGTCAGGATATGCGGATATTTGACTTTTTCGTTGATGTAGCTTCAAGATCATATTGTTCAGCCTTAAAATTTTACAATACGCTAGCCAATTCAATTTAACATGCTGCCCAAAATTTTGAGAATTTTTGGAAGATGTGTTGTAGCCTCGGAGTGTTGCCGTCGTGAGGAGGCAAGTGAACAAGATATGCAAAGGCATGTCACAGTAATGTCACTGAGGGATTTTGCACAATGTGACAGTCTCCCAAGCAGGGCAATTGTCACGTATTTCTTTCTCAAAATCGATTTTGACGACTTCCACTTGTCCTGCCTTCCTGAAATTTTGAGGATGTGCCTAATATTGGTATTAGATAGTGTCTACGGAAAAAAATTGGGAGTAAGCCTCACACAGAATGCGTTCCTGGCAGCCAAAGCGTCATACACCTATCTAAAATCTCACCCTTTGGCTTCTCACACTTTGTACACTTCATGAATCCCGTCAAAAATTTTCAAGTAGTATTAAATACACTATTTCAACATGAGTGAATTTTCTTGAAAGAGCAGGAGTAAGGGAAGGACACGAAAAGTGAAATCCGCATATCTTGATACCACGCATATCCTGACCATATATAGTAGGCACAATCTGGCGCCCGATCTCACGATGGGGGATATTGCAGGGATGCTGGCCTATAGATCCTCAGGACTTTCTCCCTCCATCTCGAGGCTAGAAACCGCTGTGATTTTTGACGATTCTACACCTCAATTTTATGAAGAGGACTTTAAAACCTTGGAAGCGGTATCTCTTGGCGACCTGGCGTTGACGATGACAGACCGGACAACGTTGTCTCAATCTTTATAGCTTAATCTTCTCACTAATCTGATGGGCTGGAGCTTACTACGCATCCGAATGAACTTATTTAAAGCGCGATGGATCTGTCAGTTGAGTTACCAGAAAGATGAAATCTGCTTAGATTAGAGGGAGAAGAGAATAGATACGCACCACCTTAACATTCTTCTCGGCAAGGAATTTGAAGAATGATCTCTGTTGGTTGATCAAGCTTCCCAGAGCTTCCCACATAAGTATCAGAACTTCACTTATCTTATATCAAGGCTGAAAACTTACCAGTGAATTCGAAAATGAGTGTTTTTCAAGGTGGACTCTGGAACGGCACTTTGAAATGGCTAGATTTCAAAGGTAAGTTCATGAAAACTCGGACAACGATAAAACTGACGTCTTACATTAAATATATGCATTAGAACTTGATGATGAACTGATGCCGAATGAAACTACGACCTAGTCCATGATGTCGCAAAAGTGGGGAAATGTTCTTTAGGCGATAACGCACGTAAACGATGTTCAAAAGCGGTAAGGAATCACTCAGCACTCAGTCTTGCTAATATCGAAAATCTACACCATGTGGCCAATTTAAAGAAGATAACTATTATCCCCAACGCGTTTAGCGGACGTCGATGCGCCGTGGCGAGCTTTGGAGAGGTGGATGGGAAGCGGTGACAATCAAATGACAGAGGTAGTATGTCGAACCCATTGCCGGGTATTCACGCGCATACTAATCCTTCCATCCCACAACATCGACAGAAGATAAGGAAACGGTCTCGGGACAACTACGTCATGCCCAGATGGTGATTACCGCAAGTTCAAACGTTGCGTCGAGGCAAGACAGGGTTCGGAAGGTGGCGATGACGCTAAATGAAAGGGGTAAGTATTTCTTTTTGCTTAAGGTCTTGAAACACTACATGGACCTTTTTATTTTTTGTGTTTTGAAGGATTTCGACCGCAACCAATGTTATCCAACATCCATGTGTGACCTAAACATAGAGAAGGCATTTGGCAGACGGCACTACGTCATGTCTAGGCGTGGGGGACTCCCATAACGAGATAGAATGGTTCTGGAAATTGGAGAGGTGACGTGGTGGAGTCGACAAGGCATAAATGGAACAAGGAGGAGCTAAACCACGCAGGTAAGCTAGTATTGCTTCTTTGACCATCCTGGACACTAACATACCTCTGTATAGGTGATTTATGCCCGTTTGGTGGACGGCGATACATGTAGTTAACATCAAAATGGACGTCTACGAGGCCAGGATTGGCGTGCCAGACGAGGTGAACGTATGCAGTAACAATAACAACAGTGACAAATGTACAAGTAGACGAGAATTCTTGGAGAATTCTGTGATAAATTGGTAAGTAAATATCCTCGCCACACTATCATAAAGATAAATGACTTGCATTTGATAATTGGTTGAGCATGACGGTGCTTCGCAGCCTCGACGACGCGCCGCGCATTAAATAAAGGGGCGGCGGGTGCCACTCAAGGCGGACGGCCCACATATCTTGAGCACTCTAGCTTCGCGTGCGTGGTGGAAAGGGCCGTCGTTCCTTTTGGCAAGGAGGCAAGGAGGCCATTGAGTGAAGGAAAACCCGCTTGTTTATTGTCTCATTGACCCCAACGGTTGTATCTTCAATAGATTTGTTGAATACAATGTCAACGTTGAATGCAAACGGTTGAAAGTCGCGCCATCTTCAAATGAGCTATGAATAGGGAAGTACGAGTAAGTAAATGATGGAACGACCAATGGATTCAGATCTGGAATGACGTACGCCTTCAATGCGAATATTGCAGGCTTGGTTGCCAGTTGGGCAAATGGCCTAATGCACAAATCAGTCCTTATAATTCCGCACCAGCGAACAAGAGAAAAATTCACATTGAGTCGGCAAATCAGTTCTGCGCCCGTTTTGAACATCTCCACACAAGACTAAGTCGTCGCTGACGGTACCGTAGTTTGGGATGGAGAGCGACGCGACTTGGACGCGACTGCACCCACGAAATAACTCCTGGCTGTCGATACCTTACAAAAATAATGTTCTATGTAATTTATGTAATTTATTATGATCTATATACAACTTATGGCGATCAGAAAATGCCCTAGGCCTCCTCATCGCAATGAAGCTAGGTATTGTGTTGTGGCCCAAAACTATACTCAGGGTCCAAAAATTTGACATATTGACGTAGGTGGACGGGGTTTCTGGGGTCACTGCTTACAAATTGCATCATAGCTTACGAAAAATGAAGCTGGCGGAAGACTGTTTCCATGTTCTTTGATCTTACCACTGTCAATTTAGATCTGACTTGAGCGAGCCGGGCAAGTCTCTCGTCCCGACCTGGGTAGTGGACGTCTCGGAGTTTTCGGCTGTAAGTCGATTTATCAACAACGTCCTTTGCGTAGACAAATTATTTGATGTGGAGAGGGATACTGTCACCCATCGTCCAAAATTTGCCTTTGCGTCCCCCGATTTCACGGGCCCGTAAATCCCGCCAATATCTCTCAAACTTAAGGACTTCTTTCAGCTCTCGAGTAGCCATGACGGACGCACTCGTCGGAGAAAAACGCAACGCCCACGACCCACGTTCCCCGTCACCTGGTCCTTCACACTCGAAGCGATTTAAGTCACAAACGGACTCGGTGATAGAAGATTCGACAATGGAGGAGGGGGTCGAAGAATTGGGCAATGCGAAGGAGCCTGGTAGTTCGACTAAAAGATCTCACGGTCGACCACGTCCCAAACCCGAACGAACCAAAGATAAGGAAAGCAAGAAAGATGGACGTCATAGACGTCGCCAATTGCCGAACGAAGAGGATGCAAACAAGGTGGATGAGGCCACTGGTCAAGAAGAAGGTCCAAAACCCCCTCGGTATCCCAAACGACAGTGTGCCCTACTCGTTGGATTTTGTGGGTCAGGTTACAGCGGCATGCAAATGTATGGGTCTAGGAAAGCGTATGCCCCACTTTGTCGCTGATCCTTTTTTTTAGACAGCCCAGTCATACCCGCACCATCGAAGGCGCGTTGTTCGGCGCGTTAGTCAAAGTAGGGGCCGTCTCTCAGGATAATGCTGATGACCCCGTCAAGGTGATTAGCACATTATTTCGGGTCTGATACTTGATCATTATTCGGATACGTTAGGTTGCGCTTGCTCGAGCGGCTCGGACAGATGCGGGCGTTCATGCAGCTGGGAATCTGGTATCACTCAAGATGATAATTACGGTTCCCGGCATCAAAGACCTCGTCGCCCGCATCAACGAAGAACTACCTCCCGAAATACGTCTTTGGGGCTACGTACGCTTATTTCTATCAAATGTCGAGGTTGCAACATAATTCTGACGAACGGCGGTGTTCATAGGTGCGCACTCAAAACTCCTTCAATGCGCGCCTGTATGTCAATCTCCTTTCCTCACTCGTCGTCTCTCAAACCCCCTTCATGCAGAGTTTGTGACAGTCGGAAATACACATACTTTTTTCCGACATATCTCATGATCCCTCCCAAGCCTGGCACGGGCCTGCATCGTGTCCTACAATTACCGTCGCAGCCACACAGTTTTTGGGAAGGTGCTATCTCGGATTCATTTCAGGATGACCTCCGTCGCAAACGATGCTGGAGAACCGGCCAAGAACAAGTGCAAAAATTGCGGGAACTCGCGAAAGGCTACGAAGGCACCCATAACTTTCATAACTTTACAGTCGGTCGGGAGTTCAAAGAACGAAGCAACCACCGGTTTATGAAGCAAATAGAGGTTTGTTTTGGGCCTTGATCTCTTGTTTTCGTGGGTGAACTCAATATATGACAGGTTTCTGATCCAGTCGTATACGGGGATACTGAGTGGATTAGTGTCATGTTCCACGGACAAAGCTTCATGTTGCATCAGGTTCGTCGCCTAGTAAAATCTGTACATTCTCAGCCACTCAAATTATGTATGGACAGATAGTAGGTGGATATTTGTCACGTTGGTCATCAAATCGCTAATCAGCAAGCATATAGAGGAAGATGATGTCGATGTTGGTTATGACTTGCCGGACGGAAACATCCCCGCAGATCATTGATGAGGTATGGTCACTTCTGTCATTTTCCCATCCCTTCATTATCGCCTGGCTAGCTTTACGGTCCCAGAAATGTGTTTGTACCCAAGATGCCTTCTCTCGGATTGTTGCTGGAGCATCCGCTTTTTCACTCCTACAACGGAAGGATGGCCGTTATCAACGAAAAACTGCAACCTTCAGATGCAGAATACCGGCCGTTAATCGATTTCGAACTCCATCGTGAAAAGATTGACGCTTTCAAGGAGGAATATATTTACAAAAATATGCGTGAGGTGGAGGGCAGGGATGGACTGTAAGTTCAGAGCGACAGACCACATACTGAGTTGAATCCTCCACCCCTGCAGGTTCGATGCGTGGATTAGAGCGGTTGACTCGTACGCAGGCGATGATCTGCTGTATCTCAATCGTGAAGGGATTATTCCATTGGCGGCCGTAATTAAGAAAGGGGAAAGACGTGAGAACCCTTTCCGGGAGAAGAAGATCTTCGATGCGACCAGCTTTCCTGTTGCTGATGAGGTGAAGAAACAGCTGGAGGAGCAAGGCGAAGCCGAAGACGAGGATCTTGTCGTCGACAAGGGGCAACTTGCCGAGATGGAAGGTTAAAAAAAGTAATATGTTCAATCGAATAATTTTGAATATGCACCATGGAAAAACCCTGAAAGAAATTTGTTCTCACCCTTTCAGCCCCTTTACACTTCTAAGGCTTGTTTGTGCCTTGGCGAAAAGGATGAATCCTGATATAATACAGCATGTAGGTGAAGAGTTTATGTTCAAACGAAATTTGTCCACAATAAATGTCCCAGCTAAAATAACATCTGCGCTCAGCTGAGCTCGCGAAGAGTGCTTTAGTGAGCGTTCTAAGCAGAATGATATGAATGTTACCTTACTTTTACCGGTTATATGCATACTTCCCGAGGATACTATGTTACCACACTCTGTCAAATATTGAAACTTCTCCTCCGCAATCCCCACTAAGAAGCAAAATAAACAATGCTTCAATCGCGTTGATCGGGAAGTGAAGACATACACAATGAGCTGGTGTTCCCCTTTGAAATGGTCTCCCAAGGAGAAATGGGCAACATCTGAGTTAACCTCGGCTAAAACAATGCCATTTTTCTTGCTCTCTGCGGCTCGAAGAGGATCCCAAAGTCGCACACAACCTAAAAAAAGTTGATTGACAGATCTGAAAGACGAAAAAATGAAATACCGTCAGCTCCACCACTGACGAGCCCCAATCTCCCTGATATAGATGTGACCCACTGCGCTTTCACAATGCCATATGAGTGGGATCCTGGAGCAACATGGGACGGGGAGTCATGCGAATAATCAAATAGCACATTCCTTGTACTCCGGAACATGCGACAATCATAAACATGTACGTGGTTGTCGTTTCTTGCCAATGCAAGGTAGATTCCATCAGGGCTACAAGTCGAATCGTTGATTTCGCCTTCGATATTTGACGGAAATTGGTCAAGGTCAAATTGTGCAGTTTTGTCAGCGGTACCGGTGCGAACGTCGTAGCGGCGTAAAATGTTTCTTCCAATCGATCCACGAGTAGCAAGAAACAGGTTTTTACCTAATATTTGCATCAGTGCTTGTCAGACCATGCCAGAAGACTGCTAGTGTACCAAAAGGATCTATGCAAAGAGCATCTCCAGCTTCTTTTGCGTTAATGATAGCAGAAGTATTTCGCTCCACATCAAATATGCGGTGGCATCCAACAAATTCATTGGTATCGATTGGCTCCGAAGAGGCAAACAAACACCTTTCTGTCGGCCCTGATCCCCAGACCATAGCACCCACATTACTATCTATGCCCGGAGGAGAAAGTTCGAAGGCGGCAACTGGTGGGAGTGGGTGAAGTGACGACCCAACGGAGATGGATGTTTCCCCCTCAAGGAGGAAAACGAAGAGCTTTCTGCGTCGGTAGTAAGCAGTCAGTCAACCCACAATATAAAGGTGATTACCTCTCTCCAATGGCAAGAGTCGATGTCCCCGGTTTGAATACGATATCGTAAGGAGTGCTTTGGTATTGGCCCACTTGGAAAAAGTACATTAATAGTCGCCATGACGTTGATTAAAAGAATCATACATTTTACCCCCTTCCCGTAGCATTCGTCTTGAAGGTTCCATACTTGCACAATGTGGTCCGTACCCGATGACACGAATGATGAACTATTCTCTCGTCAAAAAAAAATTATGAGAAATGCAAGTGAATGTCAACCTCAGAGGGTCAAATTTGACGTCGTTGACAGTGTTTTGCTTTGCGACATGTCCCAATCCTACCCCTCCCCCTATAAATTGGTGTCAGAGTGAGGACAAAAGATCAATGATAAACAAACTTGTTTTTTCCACCCTTGTCTGATGGCCAGGAAGTATCTGAAATCCATTGCGCCAGGTCATCAAGGAACCTGGCCTGTTGTATTCATCTGAAACGATTAAGCAACAGTTCGGAGACAACAAGCTTACATGAGCATACCGTACACATCGTCAAAGTTGCCCCCAACACAGGCGCTGGCAATGATAGTCCACCCACCCTTTTGATCGATTCTGTTAATGGCTAAGTTATGAGGTTGGATGAACTGTAATAAAAGGAACAAAAATCAATCTCACAACCAGGTGCTTCCTTGAAAGAAGCTCGTAGTTTCAGACGTGATAAATGTGCGCCAAAATCCAACGGCAACGAAGTTGGCCTGCAAATAACTTGCCTGCGCCTGGGCAGCACGGATCGAATATTGTGCGGGCGGTAGAGCTGCACGGGCGGTTAAGATCATCAAATATAGAACAACATCTAAATCATGTACGTTGATTCGTTCGTAAATAGCCTTCTTGGTAGTCGTGGTGATTGGTGGCCAGTGACTCTTGGACATATCGGGGTGCTGTTGTGGTGGGGTCTCGACAGGTTCGAAGGATTCAGCCAGATAGTCAGTCTCTTCACCATGGTCCATTTTCTCAGGATTTATTATGAGAGGGTCCCACTGCAGGAAACAGGCCAATGAGAGTGTTTCAAATTTAGAAAGGTGGAAACATACAACGTCGGGATCGTTCAGATCGAGAAACCCGTCATCTGCATTGTTTCCAAATTCTACAGTTCTCTGCGGGTAAGATGAACTTGGCGAATTCCTGACATCTTCGGTCTTGACGCGAGGTACAAACGCCTCTTCCTCGTCGCTAAGTAAGGAAATACATAATGACCTCGAACCCTCCTGGGTCATTGAACTTCGAGTTCGAGTCGAGGCGTGCGGTTGCAACCTCCTCCTCTTCGCGTTTGATTCCTCCGGTAGCGGAATGGAACGCTTCTATCGAGGCAATGAGGGCAATAGTCCCTTGAGAGGTTGGCACGAACCGTTGACAGCATCCGGTTTCTTGTTACCAGACCAGGATGGAACGTCCCTTGACGATTGGGAGCCAGGGAGTTGGGCGTGACGGACAACCTGGAAGGTGTACGTCTTTCTTGCTTTACTGTATTTGCAAATACCACCGGACTGAGTTCTACGATGTCAGAGTCCGCGTCCGATTCGGCGTCATTACAAAGATCAATCACTTCGTGCATGGCAAAAGGAGTCAAGGTTACAAGTTCGCCAAGTAAATGAACAAGATAAACGGCTGACGAGCGCGAGACGGGGGGAAGATTAGTTTGATGCCTGCAACTTTAGATTCAGATGGTGGACTTTGACGCTTACGTCAGACTTCCTCACAAATTGAATCTGAGTGATGAAGGGATCATTGAAACGGAAAATTAGACCTCCAAAATTTATCTCAATTAGTGGCTCGCTGAACAATGTCCTCTAAACCGATGGCTCGAAATTCGTCGCTTTCCGAACTCGCGCTACCCTCTTGTGGTGCCCACACAGCATCATCCAAGATATACACCAACAACCCATGCTTTCCATCAGCAGTGGCACTAACCTTATAAAGCGGCATCCTCGAGCGCTCATGAGCGCGTCCGGTGGGAACGAACAGCAAGTTATGTGATGCGACAAATTCTTCGACAATAGCACGGAAAGTGATCTCGTGTACACGCGCGGATGGTCGTGCGGGGATCTTAACCCCATCTTTTGCCCCGTTACGGACAGGGGAACTGGGTCCAGATATTTCAGCAAGGTAGTCGGGGCGCGCCAAATCAGTTGATGCGCGAGGACCTAACTCGATTGCTCTGTTCATGAGCTGAAGGCCACGAGTGAATCCACGACTAACGCCAGAAAGGTTTCGAATGGCCTCGGGGAATGCTTCCTTCCAAAATGAATACCAGATTGCAACTTCCCCAAAGTTGACTTTTGGCTGGATGAGCCAGATATGCAAAATGTCCAGCCATTTAGGGAAGAATTCGGTTTCCAGTAACTGTGAAAATATGGAAGGACGAATGATATCTGACCATTGCAAAACGTGTTGCAAGGGTTCCATTTTTTGGTCGCGTGGGTTTACGTGGAAATCTTCCCTTAATGTTCTCCCGAGTTTTGGAACGATATATTTGAGCATCATGGCTTCCCATTCGCCTGCATCGAACACCTGGAATGAATTTATTGTTAACACTGTCCAAAAGGCCGAGGACAAGAAGCCACATACACCCTTCCAAGCAGTCAAATCCAGAGGCATTTCTGCACCGACAATCCAGCTGCGCAATAGGCTCTTCACCTTCCTCCTCGCATCGCCGATAACATCCTCAAGCCTTAAACCCACATGGGGCAACCAAGGAAACACAATGTTTTGCAAGGACACGCTGGACCGCTTCGGATTCCAATCAGAAACAGCTTTCTGGACCTTGGGTAAAACGAGCTGATCGAGGAAATTATCCCGAATAAAGGGGGGTAAGAATGTTGACCATGATTCGTAGAGTTTTACGGCTGGCTGGGGATTTTCGGCAGACCACTCATTGTTGATTGTGGTCCGCACTTTCGGCAACCACACGTTCCACAATAAGCTCTCGAAGTAGGTCATATGTGTATCACTAGAAGAAGATTCAGACGAGGAATTATTGAAGGAGATAGATTCATACACGTCTGGCCTTGATGGAGTTGTTTCCGAAATATAAACAGACATTTGGTTTTGTGGTACGTGTTCCTCGTGGTTGACCTTGAGTGCACGCCGCCAGCCTCGGAACGTCGATATCAGCCCCGTAGGGTCTTTGAGAGGATCCCAAGCGGTGACCATGCGCCGAACAAGTGGGGTAATAGCAGCGACGACAAGCTCGTCCAATTGATATCTATCAAACTCCTTCTCATATTGGTCGATGAAGCTATGGAAGAGAGGTGAAAACGGCTCCAAAGATACTTCGTACGTCGCAGCAAGTTCCTTCGACATGTTGTTAACGTCTGCCGCAATCAATTGAACTCGCTGGAGTCGTGAAATCACTTATGCGAGGATGTCAGCATAATTTTTGACTCGAAATGATAGATTGTACTCACGTTCAGCTTCGTATTCAATTTTCTTCCGTAGTCGGGCATCTTCGGAAGCTACAAACTCCTTTCGCACTTGCAAAGCTTTTGCTTCGCGAGCAAGACCATTCAGCTCGCCCTTACATGTGTCTGCAATTAACCTGATGTTATGACGAACTTCCGGTATTCGTGTAGGATCGTTGGATGGTGACCAAGAATTTAACGAAAGATCTGCGAGAGAAGAAACCTCTCGGGGCTGAGAGGGAAACATGAGTAAAGGGTGACGGATGGATGCAAAAATCATACTCACGACCGCACCAGTGGCATCTATAATTTGCCCGAGGCCGGCTGTGGGTGCTTCTTGCCCTGCCTCTGCAATGATTTGTTCGTAAGTCTTGTGCTCGATCTTGGTCTTCACCTTCTTAGGGCGTCTCCATACATCAGAACGTTTCTGTTCTTGTTTTCTACCCTTCTTGCTGGAAGTCCTCGTCTGTTCATCGTCATCACTGACTACTTCTCCACGCCGTTTAGCTTCCATCTTTGACTGTTGTGTTTTTTCCTTGAAGCCTTTAAATGCAATACCCATCTTCTGAGGTCGCAACTTGCTCTCGATCGGAGTTACTATACCCTCGCCTGTAGTACCTAACCCAGTTCCAGCTTGCCAGCCCATTTTGGCCAGCATCCGAGCACCAAATGTGCCCTGAATTTTGCTGAAGTGTGCTAGCTCTGCAGCGGGGAGTGGGACCGCTTTCACAGCTGGTGTAACCTCGCGGGTAAATCGTTTACTTTGGTTGCCAAACATCGAAGGGAGGTTGTCGGTTGAGACGGATGCGGGAGATGAGAAAGAGTCCTCCAAGACATTGGATATAGAAGATCTTGAACCTATTCCTTGTACGGTGCTAGCTCCATGCATCGAAGGTGCAGGAACTGCATTGGTAGAAGATCCTATTCCACCCCTCGACGAGCCTAGTCCCACCCTTGAACCAAGTCCACCTTCAAAAGTTGTCCCGAATGGTTTAGATCCAATACCACCCAAACGAGGCTTTTCTGTATACTCGTCCTCGTCCTCGTCTTCTACGCGCACTCGGGGAGACGGAGCCCTGGAAGGGTCAGATTCGTCAGAATAATCTTCTGGCGCTCCAATCTCATCGTCCTCGCCTTCAGACTCGTCATCCTCACCGTCAGCAGATCCCTCCATATCCTGTTCTCCATCACCTCCTTCAACGTCCATTGCCTGTTTCAAATCGACTTTATTATCGCTTGACACAAAGGCAGGTGCTTTCGCCCAGTCACTCCGCCTCACTGACGCCTTCTTCGAATAACTTTCATCATCACTCTCTTCAGCGAATACTCCATACAAGGCGTCCTCCTTTCCACCCTTCCTTCTACGTTTCCGTTGATATGGATCCTCGAAAAGCGCTCGTTCCGCTCTAACATCGGGATCATCGTCGAGGTCCAAAGCGTGACTATCCGATGAATCAGAGTCGTCGCCGTCGTCCATGACGCGTTTTCTCCTTGCCATTGATGTTGGGTGTGAGGAATCTAAGGAAGGGTTGTTGTGACTTGGGTCACGAGTATGTGATCGGGAGTTATAAATATGACCGTCTTGATCAGAATTCCTCAGTTACCTCCGTTCAACCAGCTCTCATGCAACTTTTACGAGAATGCGATTCCAAAGTTGCCAGCTGTAAACTGGTTACTATACGCATTCGTCGATGCCAACGATCAGTGCACACTGAGTACTGAGTGCCCACAACAACACAATCACAATAACGGACTTCACCTTCGGCTGACTCCCTAACGATCAAGCTAACGATCCGAACAGCTTCGTATCATGCGGTCTAACACGCTAACGTCACTCCTAATTGTTTTACTCGTTCCGACGGTTAAACTTACAATTGGCCCTTGGCATGAGACTGATTTTTGTTGTATATAAACACTGACCACAGCCATTCATCTTCGCATCCTGACTTTGACCACTATTATGGTCTCCCCACAATTTCTTTTGGTCTTTCTATTGACCACCTTGCCTTTCGTCGCGTCGCAAACCACAGCCCTCCCGAGCTCGTTCCCCCATGCGTACCCTGGCAAACCAAATGGCGACTTTAGCCCTACATGGCAAAAGTGTATGTCTATGATCTACCTAATACGTGGTGATACACTTAAACCCGCCAATGTAGATTTTCTAGTCACCCAACCATTGCCGAACATCACTTTCAAACTCCCTCGCACCTACGCCGGAAACATTCCCGTGCAACGCGCAGGTCACCCCAATGACACACTATTTTTCCTAGGATTTGAAAAATCCACCGGTTCCCTTACTGCCCCTGCATCGAAATATAATAAGGAACCTTGGGGAATATGGTTGAATGGCGGGTGAGTTCTACCCCGAACGAACTGACTCCCTTCTTGAACATCGAAATCAGCCCTGGTTCGTCAAGTATGTACGGTGCATTCTTTGAGGTATGAAAAGTTTAACCTCCGTCTTAACCTTCCTCAACGTACCCGTTAGAATGGCCCGATACGCATCGGTGGGGACTATCGCGCGTCCTCAAACCCATACGCGTGGAATAAGCTGGCGGATTACTTCTGGATTGATCAGCCAGTGTTAGTCAATTTTTGGCGGCTTACACTGACAGAGATGCCGATTTTCTCCTTCCCGTTAGTGGTGTTGGCTTTTCGACGGCGGACTCAGCTGGATACGGTTTGTTATTTAAATGAGTGCACATCGAGTTGAATCTAAAAGATTTGTATCAGTTGCTGATGAAGATCAAGTCGGAAGAGATTTTGTCAGTTCTGCTCTCCTCAGCCTCTTCAATGCCTCTCATTTTGATATAAACTACAGATGGGGTTTCTAGACAACCTTGTCAAAGTATTTCCAAGCTTAAGAACACGACCTCTCTACCTCACAGGAGAAAGTTACGCTGGAACATATATCGTACGTCAACTCCAGATCGACTGTGCCTTTTACCTAAAATTCCTTCAGCCATATATCTTGAAGACCTACTTTGGAATGAAAAACCCCCCTGTCAACATCGCCAAAATAGCCATTGGAGATGGGGCTATCACAACTGCCCAGGTGTTTGAGTTACTTCCTTCGGTGAGCAATCTGAACTATGAGGTAGGGTTTAACTGACCTTTTTTTGAATAATATTTTCAGCTCAGCGTGATCGAAACATTTCCCCAGCTGATTGGATATGACAAAGATGTATATAAGTATTTCAAAGAACAGTACGGTTTGTCATCGTTACTGGTGTCTCCTTGCTCACCAGCTTTCGTTTTACAGATCTCAATTATGCGGATACGACCTCAACCTCACCTATCCTCAGAAAGGTCGTCTTCCCGATGTCAAACTCATTGCACCCACACAACGCCAGGTTCCTTTCGCTCTCAGCACACTCTCTCGAAAGTCTTCCTTTTTCAAAGAAGTCTTCCGTCGATCACAGTCGGCTGATCAGTCCTTAACAAAACGCGATCGTGAAGAGCGTAAGAATGCTTGGAAGAGAGATTTGTCGCTCCGAGAAAACGGGACGATTGATTCATGGGTGAGCTTCTGAAATTGCGGTGTTGTAGTGGAGCTGATGTAAACCTGTTGAAGTACGGCTGCCTCCTCCTGTATGAGTTCATCGATTATGCCTTCAATTACTCTTACCCATGGAGTTTGCAAAACGCATCCACCTTCGCATTTAACGTATCTCCCTCTCCCAATCTCTGTCTATCTGAATTGAAACCTCTTCCAGGTTTATGACATACCAGACGCTCTCAATCCGCAGATTGCTGCGGATGCAAGTGTATTTTTGAACGGTACGATGCAGATTGTTTCTACTGTACAGCTGAATGGACGCCTCTCAGATAATCGCACACGAACTGCGTTCCATGCACCGATCAGCAAGGACTGGGCCATGAATTTCAACTATGTTTTCGGAAACCCTGACGGCAACAGTGAGTTTGTCGGTCGACGCTACATTAACATTCTGACAACATCGTAGACTTTGATCCGAGTACGTCATCTGGAAGCATTGCCTGGCTTACTGACATTTCAACGGTTTTTTTCTTCCAGGCCCGGAGTGAGTATTAGGCATTTCCTTATTAGACTTCACAACTTAAATTTTGTCTTCAAGGCCGATCAATTTTTTCACAGCTCTCGCCACCAATGCTACAGCACGTAGCATTGGTATAGTTCTCTATTCAGGGAACGACGACGCCCTCATTCCTCACTTGGGCACAGAGGGTACGAAATCATCAATTTGTGTCAATTGAAAAACCCTTAATCTAGTTTTCGTCTTTGTTGGTAGTTGCTATCCAGGTATCTCCCTTCAAAAACCCTCACTCCCATTTCAACTCATTGAATCGGGATAGAATGTCACCTTTGGAGGGATCCAAGGGTTCACTAGGAAGCCATCCACAGCATGGGTAAACGATGCAGGAGAATTCGCTGGTATCGTTCATCAGGAGAGAGGATGGACGTACGTTCTCTTTTATGGCGCAGGGCATCTCGTTGCACAAACGTCTCCCAATTCCGTATGTTTTCCACCTTTTACTATGAGAGGTCAATTGACAACTTCTCAAGGCCTTTACGTTCCTTCGGGAGTTTGTCCTTGGGAACAATAAGCAAGGGCTCGTCGTTGGCTCTGGCGACTATGTCACGGTCATCGGTGGCGAGAATCCCACACTCGCAGGTCAAAACCTTCCCGCTGCAGACGAAATCTACTATGGCTCTGCTACCACTCAGTCGACTTACATCGCCCCGTCCGCCACACGAGCCGCTTGGAAGGCGTTTATTCGAACAGAAACTGCCACAGGCAAATCCCGACCCACGCCTTAAGTATACCTGTGCACTTGCGTTTGTAACGAAGTCCGATATTATTATAATGAAATTCCACGCTTTTTCAACGACGTCTTTATTCTTGAAAGTAGGGTCATCTAAGGGTACATAGAACCCAAATATACATCAGATGAGGATGGGCAAAAAAGCTTAGGGCCTGACCGGGAATTGAACCCGGGACCTCCTCGAAATGGTGACTATGCGGGACCCTAACAAGGAATCATACTACTAGACCATCAGGCCGATGTATGTTAAAACAAATTATACAACATGACTGGTTTTGAAGGCGTGGAAGAACGCGTCATGAGGGGTTACGCGTTCTTCATTTCACCAACCTTCCACCATGGACGCGCAGGCTTCTACATCGTCAGGCGCTATAGACCAACGCAGAAAGGATGCCCTCAAGAACTATCGCGATGTGCGTAGCTTGTCCAACTTTCCGGTCTTAGGCTGACGATGCTCAGAAAATGCGAAATCACGAAACTAATAGCGAAAGCCTCAAAAACCGTCAGTGCAGACGCAACGAAACCATCATGTCACCCATCTTATATTTACCCTTATTGCAGTCCGATTCTCTCTGAAGGATTTAGAGAAGGCATATGAGAAGACAGAGGATGATATCAAGGCCGTCCAGTCTGTCGGCCAAATTATTGGGGAGGTTATGAAGCAACTTGACGATGATCGTTGTATGTACGACTCTATTTACTTTGCATTCTGGCTCACATTTCTACCGCTTAGTTATTGTGAAGGCCTCATCGGGCCCCCGCTATGTGGTCTCATACCGACCAACACTTCCCGTCGCAAAACTGAAAACGGGCACCCGCGTTTCACTTGACATGACCACATTGACAATAATGCGTATCCTTCCTCGAGAAGTTGACCCACTTGTGTACAAGATGAGTATGGAGGACCCAGGAGGAGCCTCATTTGCAGGAATTGGGGGTTTGGGGGAACAAGTTCGAGAACTCCGAGAGGTACGCTTTGCTTGATGTGCGGCATTGTTGAAGATAACTAACGCCGGACAGATCATTGAACTACCCTTGTTGAATCCAGAACTATTTCTCCGGGTCGGAATCAAGCCTCCCAAAGGCGTTTTGTTGTATGGACCTCCAGGGACCGGAAAGACCCTCCTGGCTCGTGCCGTAGCAGCAACCCTACAAACAAATTTCTTAAAGGTCGTCTCCTCCGCCATCGTTGATAAGTACATTGGGGAGAGCGCCCGCGTCATCAGGGAAATGTTTGGTTATGCCCGTGATCACGAACCTTGTGTCATTTTTATGGACGAAATCGACGCTATTGGTGGCCGTCGTTTCTCGGAAGGCACGAGTGCAGATCGCGAAATCCAGCGTACTCTCATGGAGGTTAGTCTTTGCAAGTCCTGAAACATTGCTTGCTCATATCATCCCTCGTACCAGCTTTTGAATCAGATGGATGGGTTCGACTCCCTTGGGAGGACCAAGCTCATTATGGCAACAAATCGACCTGATACCCTTGACCCTGCCCTTCTCCGGCCTGGACGACTAGATCGCAAAATTGAGGTGCCGCTTCCAAATGAGCAAGCTCGCTTAGAAATTCTCAAGATCCACGCGGCGCCTGTGAATAAGTCTGGCGAAATTGACTACGAGTCCATTGTTAAAGTCAATATTTTCTTCAATTCTTTATTGCACTTTCAATTTACATCCATCACTAGTTGTCGGACGGGTTCAATGGAGCTGATCTTCGAAACGTTGTGACCGAGGCAGGAATGTTCGCTATCAGAGACGACAGGTTCGCCCAGCAGTCATTGCAGCTTAGGATATGATTTGATATTGCACTTCCACAGGGAGTATGTTCAACAAGAGGATCTTACGAAAGCGGCAAGGAAGGTAGCCGAAGCAAAGAAGCACGAGAGTCAGTTCCTCCTCTTTCTCTCATATTTCACATACTGACTTACCCCTCACCCCAGCGAAAATGGAATATACAACATAGTCATTTACTAGAGCTATGTGTATGATACCAACCGTAACGCGTAGTAAGCCCCGCTCCGTTGCCTACTTCCTCGATGTAACGAGTAGCCAAAGCCAGGTTAGTAATGCAATGGTCGTTCGGAAGAGGGGTTTTTCATGCCATTTTTACACGAACCTGCTAAACTTGCTCATGCGGAACAATGTGTCTATGCTACTAATTACAGTTCTGGATTTGCCTAGGAAATGGTTGCTCGCAGAGGTTGTCACCTCTACAGGGGATGTGGGTTATACAATCTAATGACACGTTCTGGTTCACATCCAACGCCTTGGGAGGTTCTGGACTCTAATGCCGTTACCATGCCGTTACCAGTTGTGTTGGATGATTACCATTGCCGATACTACCCCTTCCATCTCAAACTTCCTTTGGATTGCATAACAAACACGGGGAGACGAACTTGAGCGATGTACTTACAGCTCATACTCTCTGTCCTTCAGAGTTCCGACAACTGAAAGATGATTAGATTAGCAGGTATGGCAGGGGCTGTGGTGGAACTTATCAAAGCTAGCTGGGAGCCGTATCAGTTCTCATTATCGTTTGGTGTCAAGTGATACCACATTAGTTGTCATTTTCTGAAAGGTGGAATCAAAAGCAAGGTGTTTAGTCTGAAGTCATCTCAACACTGGTAGCAACATAAAATTTATCTATGGAAAGGGCAAGTAGAACGGGCAACCAGATGAAATGCATCACAAACGTCTCAATCCTTCGGTTACCTATACTCCTCCTCATCGAAATCATCGAAAGGCCAGTTCATCTCAACCTTCTTCCGTTTGTCCTCATCATCAACCGCACTACATATGTCCTCCTTAGCCACCTGAACAAGCCCCATCACCTCCTCATACCGGTCGTCCAAAACCAAACCCTCAGGGTAAACCCCAATCAGTTCTCTAAACTTCTCCATGACCCCATCCATTTTCCTCAACTCCTTATTCAACTCCATCGCCTCACGTATTTCATCAGCGTCAAACTCGATCGGACACAGTCCACCTCCACCTGTGAGCTCCTCCCAATTCCTCGTCGCTTCAATGAGCGCAACCTTCAATTCAATCGTCTCCCCCTCCCACGGCGCACGCGCATTATGGAACAAGCGACGACGAAGCACGTCCATCGGGTTCACCAAAGTTGCATGATGGAGCTCATTGTTGTACCTCTCCGTAAGCGCAACATAGAGATAATGCAAAAGTCGACGACGCAATAACGGCATCTTCGATTCTCGTTGTTGTTCCTCCATCTCATCCCACCCTTCAGGGAGTGAAGGCTGTGTCGTACAATCCCACCCATCATCATTGTTCTGAAGCTCCTTTAGTGTACCCGCCTGCAGAGACAGAGGGAGGACAGTGGCGCCTTGCCAGCCAACTAGCCCGTTGATCACCCACGCATTCGGGTCACTGGGCGAGCGGGAAACGATGATGTTGCGGACATGGAGGTCGGGGTGGCGGATGCGAAAATGGTTGTTAGAGGACGACTCGTTGATAAAAAGGGAAGGCACGATTTGGAGGTATTTTTTGAGGTTCTGGATGTGTTCTGAGGGTTCTTGGCGCTGGTAGTTGTACGATTCTCTCCTAATGCGGTGGAAGGGCAATAATGGATGGCCGAATTGCTGGAGAAAGGCGAGCTCCTTCTCAGCTCCTCTTTTGAGCGCTTCTTCGGCAGTTGAATCTATGGTTACGCACCAGTCAGTGAAGTCATGTAGTTAAAAAGAAAGGAACGACTTACATGGTCCTCGATCCACGTCGAGCCGTGACCGCCGCCCAAACCACAGAGGCCTGCTTGTCTCCGGGCCGATGCAAAACTGCTTATCCTTGAGTGGGATGCCCCTAGTGGGCCCAGAAACGCCCTTGGGTGCATTCTCCAGATCTTCAGCAAAATACAAACTCCCCCCGGCCGGAAATGTAATCCCCATTATCCTCTTTTCCAACTCAACAACTTGTTCCAATATCGCAATGACGTCCTTTTCCCCAAACTCATCCCAGACGTCTGCGGCATTCTTGTCCCCGATGAACTCCGTGAAGATAAACTCTGTCCCCGCTTCATTATCACTTGTAGCAGAGTATCCATACACCTCCGGCACAGGTATCCCCATGGACCGTAAATATGCCAACGTAGCAGCTTCGCTAGCTACGGCGAGGTATAAGTTGGACACCACAGCAGGGTAAGGAACCTTGGCGATCATGCGGAAGCCGTCCTTCATTTCGATGAGGAATACACGGTTAAATCTGCACTCTGCGTATTTTCCGAAGCACTCTATGTCTTCAGGTGAGCGGTTTACAGATTGGGCTGCCAGAACGAGGAGATGGGACATGTTGAAGTAGCGGGCGCGTTCGGCGCACCGTAGCTCTTCATTGACTCTAAGCCGGTAGATTGAGTATAGGTCAGAGGGGCACCATGTACTGTAGAACTTACATCCACCGCCCACAGGTATATTCAAAGAGGCCTCTAGTATCAGACTCGGATGCTGTGGAGAAGGTGCGGCGTGTGGAACAGGTCGTGGTGACCTGAAAGCTCGAGGAAAAGCGAAATGAATGTGATGAAGAGATAGTCCTCGGCAGGTTATTCGTGCTAGTGGCTGGTGTCTGTCGAGAGTAGGAACGGCGCTGAGACAGCCAGACTGGAATGTCTGGTAAGTTGAAGATACGCCTAGCCCTGTGAAGGAAGGGCATGATCCAGTGGGGGGGGGGGGGGGGCAGAAGAAAAGACTGTGTGAACACCAAGAAGCTTCAGAACGAATTGGCCCTTTTTGCACCGTTTCAAACAGTCTTTGAACAACAGTCCTTGAACACTTCCCTACACAAGTCCACGAAGACGGACATGATAGTATGCAGGGCGCCTAGTAGCACTACATAGCTCTTCCAACTGAATTCTTAACTGTTGGCACCAGCGATCGAGTCCTGCCGTCCGTAAGTTATACTGAAAGACCCCATTGGTGCAGCAGCACAGCGTACGAGTTTAACCAAGCAGAAGTTCGAGCGGGTAAGTGTCAGGCATTGTTAAAAGCATATTAAATCTGTGCAGGCGAGCTCTGGGAACAATGTGACAAAGTTCGGAGGTATCTAGGAGAACCTATCTGGTGACCTACATAGACTTTTCTTTTGGAGCGCTAATTGCATTAACGACACCGTGACCGTAGCTATCGACCTGAGATGCCTCAGACTCCTTTATTACAAGTCCCCGCTCATATGCAACTTGCAGAGGGACAGCAGGGAACTAGGATGTGGAGAAATTCCATGGCAGATAGCCTAATACGCAAGATATATCACTGTGAATCCCTCAGGGAAGATTTCCATAGAAGGGTATATCATCAATTATGCCCTCACACTATTAGGATACTTACAACTGGCGCATGTGCTCACAAAGACCGAAGGTCAAAAACGGAATAACCCCTTCTTCTTCTTCTTGTCCTCCTTGGCAGAAGGAGTCAAAGAATTGATGGACCCTTGAAAAGAGCTGGTCGGTGATGGTGACACAATTTTGTGGGCAGCAGGTGTAGGGAGTGAGCTCTGTGAAGGTCGTGGTGCCGCCTCCTTTGTGAAATACTTCTCATCGTAGTAATCCTGGTAGGGCCTACGACCCTCTCTACGATCGCGCAGACCATTGGGGATTGCCTTCGATCCTGCACCGCCTAGGTCCAATACCTTCAAATCGTCCACCATTTGGCGAGGGGTGCACACATGCGTTGAACCTGTGTCGTGGCCGTTCAGACCATGCCCTCGAGAGGCAGACAGAGAAAGATTTTTACCAATGAAAATATCCTTGTTCAAAGCACTTGATAGTTGATACACTTCACGTTTCTCAGAGTGCGTCATGCCACCTGCGATGAATACCAGAACCCGTTGCCGATTATCAGGCACGACGGCGGATTTGGGAGCTCTATGCCATGCTGGTTTTTGACTGCGCAATGACGTTGCTTGCGGAGGCGGCGAGCGAAGACTACTCGCTTGCAAAGGAATCGCTGAGGGGGCATCTCTCACGTAGGGGAACAACGACATCTCGAGCTTGTCCGCAACTTGGTCCTGATTCACCGTGAGCAAAGGTGATAGGATTGTGCGATGTGATAATTACCTCTATCATGGTCGTAATAGCAGGTTTGAACCTAGACAACTCATACTCCTCCTCGTTATTTACTTTTTGCTTCATTTTTTTCTTCGTCTCCTTATCATTGGGACCCTGTAAAGAAATCAGTTATTTTCTCGAAAATCTGCTCACGAATGACGGACTCTGCTAATCTTAACACCCATATGCACCAACGCGTTTATAGCGTCCTGCTCTGGAAGGGTTAATCTCGCATGTTGGTACAACCTACGACGGTCCTCGTCTGGAACGCCGTCGCGGTATTGAATGTACAACGCGATTATTCGTACTTTGCTCGCATTGCTTCATGCGCGTGTAAGGGGGACATAAACAATGTCCAAGTGTCGAACTCACATGACTTCCCTGCTGTCGAGCAGTGGTACCATCTCCTCCACCAATCCCTTTGGTGTCTTCCCTTGAGCATTTAAGCCGGTGGCGCAGCACTGACAATCATATCAACCACAGCCGCAATACGTATGTTTGGAGACCCCACCTGTTCGACATTCGCTACAAGTGGTAGCTTATCGCGCTCGAAGATCGCCATGCAATCCTGTGCCATACTCAGATGTAGGGAAAACTAAAAGGAATTTGAGTTAGTTGTCGCCCTGAAAATCGAGTTCGTCAACCTTTTCGCGTTGCTCTTGGTACTGAGGAAGGTTGGCGAGCATCTCTTTCATGTCATTAAGATTGGCCGCGCCTTCTCTGTGGAGGGAATGAGTCATGAGAATTGCTGCTTTTGCATCAAAAGAAACAAACCCTTTGAACACCGCATTTTCTTCCAAAAACTTGTTAAAGTCGGCCATAAGCTTATCGATGGCTTCTCGCATATGCATATGTCGAACTGCGGTCCAAACGGCATCCGAGTCATTGAGTGTGGCAGTTTTGTCCTCGTAAGCTCCCACGGACGACTGGAATTTGTATCTGAGAACGACTATGAACAGCGAAAACAGAAGCAGATACAGGACAACGAACGTGTATCTTACGCCATCCTCGATGGGCAGCAGATCATTAGCCATAGCTTGATAAGTAAATTCATGAATGAAAGGTGCCACCATATCCATGGCTCGATCAGTAATAAGGAGCGTTGCTCGTGGTCGCGAATGATCTGTTTTCTGCGTGAGGGAATTAAATGTCTAAATCGAAGTGTGGCCAGTAGGAAGCTAACCGCAAATTCTGGATTCGCTTTCTTATGCTCTTCAAGGTTACTTTGTACCATAAAGGCAAGCAGTTTGGTTACAAAATCTGTCTCAACAGATTCGTACGCGCGCGCATCAGCCCCACGGGCAAGATTGGTGCGCCATCGGCTGCTACTCTCGGGTGGGGGCGGAGGGCGGGTTGTAGGATTGGGTTTCAGAGGGCCTAGAGGGAGGTGGTTGGGAGGCATGTAGTACCGAATATACGGAAATTCATTAAGGGTGATGCAAACGTTGGTGATCTTATGCAAGCGACTGAGACTAGTGCAATAGCGATGTTGATATCACTCACCATTTTACTCGTAAATCGAAGGTCCTCTTCTAGGCGATCGCGCGCAACTTTATGTGCTGCCTCGGTTCGCGGCGGACTGTAAATGCTGAAGAAGAGGCTTGGGTCTTGTTGGGAGAACGTCTGTGCCTCCGTAGCTATATGAGCTTCAATGAGGACATGGTGCGCAACCTAATTCGAGATCGCTCACCCCAAAAGTTGACGAACAGTTCCTTTAGGCCTTGGAGGTGAGGTTCGGCTTGAGAAGATGTTAGCCGCTCAAATAGCGGTTCAGGCAATCCTATACACCCCCGATCAGCGACTTTCTAAGTTTTTGTAAGAGCGATGAACATGCCTTCAATGAAGAACAGATGGGCGGCGGCGTACTGCTTGTGGTTGGTGAAATCCCTAATGATTCTATCTACATTCTGAGTTGTTGGCATAAGCAGGTAAACCGCCTCGAATTCTGGCTGGGGGTCGCGGTAGTTCGATATCGATTCTATCACTGTTGAGCGTTGAGCCAGATAGCTCCTTGCATGAAATATTTGCAACTTACAAGTGACGTTCTCTTCCAATATATCAAACTGCTTCAGTACAGAACCGAGCAACTTCTGAGAATGCTCATCCACGACGAGTATCTTCCACCTGCCAGGTGGGTTGACCGATCTGATTGCCTCCAAGAACTCTACAAGACATGTTAGTCAAAGGGTGGAGAAGAAACGGTGGAGGTGCCTACTGTTCCGTACAATTGTGATTAGAGACGACATCGAAGTAGAGTTAACCAATATTCAACACTTGGAGCACCAATATGGGCGGCAATTGGTAAATGCTGATCGTCTTGCGACGGGCCAAGAGGCGACCAACGGATATCTCCGGTTATACAAAAGTCATAATCTTATCGTGTTACGAGAGAACTGATATGTAAAGTACTCAAACGGAGCGTAAACATTAAGAAGACCTATAAATCGAGTCCCTATATCACCATTAATTGTCCATTTTTTGCCTTCTTAATCCACAGCTACTAATAAAAAACTCTGGAGGTCATCTCAAAGAGCTCAAAATAAGCCGAAAATGAGAGCCGAGCCAGACAACACCAGTGCAAAAAGTAGAGGAACTTGGTGGCCGAAGGCAGAACTGGATGATGATGAGGCGGCACCTGATTTGGTATCAGTTTTGCCGTTGCCGTCGATATCAACGCCGCCACCGGTATGATTGGTAGCTGGGAATGAAGCATTCTTGTTGGATTCCAGATAAAGATTAGACGTGGGGATCTTGGAGCATTGACCAATGGGAAGAAGCTAGATTGCAAACATGTTGAAATGGGGAATTTTGGATGATACGAGGACAGCTTACGTTGAATGGGGGGTTGTGTGTCAACGCAGCGTTCAAGGTGTAACCGATGGCAAGGTCGACGGTGATCTCGAACAAATCGTGCTGCAGAACGATGAACCTATAGAAACATGAAAACCGTGCATAGGGGGCGGGGCATGTAAACAAACCCATGGTCCATGCCTGTTGCGTTCGTGAGGATGGTTTCGAAGGTATTGAAAGAGTCGGTTCCATTGACTTGGCCGCCGGCGACTCTCCAGTCTGTAAAATCAATAAGAGCGAAGAAAAGTATCGGGGTGTAAAAAGTTGACCATTGGTATCAAACACTCCGCCGGAGGGTGTGCGGGTCCACATGATGGGAACCATGCCCATCGCCAAGGAAATTGCTCGAACACGGTCATCTATTGCAAGGTCAAATTTGTTGATGGATAAAGATAGAAATGTAAGAAGCAAGGCTTACCAATATCACCATAAGGAGGACGCATGGTAGTAGGAGCAACTCCGAGCACGTTCTTGATGGCCTTGCGAGTCCAGCCAAGCTCGGCCACAATTTGAGGAGTCGTCAAGCTAGTGAGAGGCTGGAGTAAATGTTTAGGTCAGTCAATAATTGTTCGCTAAACCCGAATGGAAATATTGACCCTGTGCGACCAGGTGTGCACGCTAATCTCATGTCCGGCCATGTACTCTTCGATCAGAACGGCGGGCCGTTCAATGACACGAGAACCGACGACAAAGAAAGTAGCAGAAATCTTCTTCTGGTCCAGGTAGTTGAGCAAGTTCCTGCAAAGATCAATGAAGACATAGACAATACAAGTAGAACGAAAGTGACGTACTGGGCTGTAAGAAAATTTAGTCGCATGTGATGAGGTTGTGAGGGGAAAAAGATGATGAGGATTACGCACTATAGAATGATGGGCCGTCGTCAAAGCTAACACCCCAAGTCCCTTTATCAGGACAAGAGGTGATATCTATTTGAGGCGATGAGGCGTCGTCAAAAATCGCATTGAATGTAAAGCATACCAGTTGAACGGGTCCAGCCACCGCAAGTCCACCAGCCACGGTTCTGAGCATCCGCAGCGGCAGCGGGATCTCCAACACAAGATCCATCAACAGTGGGGTTGATATTGGGTATATTGAAACCATCAAGCTCCTTCATCCATTCCGCAACCTGTGGGGAGCCTGGTGCAACAGGTTCAAAAAAAATTGTCTTCGCCAAAAGCGAGCATGAATGCACTTACTGGTATCAGGGACCTTATCCTGGGCCGGCCAGTCGCCACTTCGGAACACAACTGAAAAAAATGATACGCATCAGGAACAATTAGTAGTAGCACGCGCAGAAAAATAACACACAGGTTGTGGGAAGAACTGGGGCACCAGACACAGGGGGTGTCGCGCCAACTGGATACGTGGTGGCTGGCGGTAGAGGCGCGTGCGTTGGCATACCAAGGGTGATATTCGCAAGAGCGGGAATATCAGTGCCCGTAGCCAAGGGAGGAGGCCCGGTGCTTGTTGGCGTTGTCACCGCAGAAGCGGAAGCAGAGCCAGTGGTGGTAGAGCCAACAGAAGCTGAGGAAGAAGCTGGAGGCGCTGCAGCTGGCACGGAAGCGGACGTGGTCGTGGATGACGCGGCAGGAGGAGGGGCGGAAGAGACAGGTGGACTTGTCGCTGCTGCTGCTGCTGGGGCAGAAGCAGAGGATGACGCTGACGTTGCCTGACGCCTGTGAGCGACATTAAGGTGCCTGTTGTTTAGTTTTTGTGCATTAACAAAGGCCAAGGCAGAAAGTAGAGTGAGGGCTTGGATCCTCATGACTGTTCGAAAAGAGAGGAAGATAAAAGGAAGGTGGGTTGCGCACGACGGTGCTGGCTTCTGAAGAGAGGGGGAGAATTACTTGGTCAACCTGGTTTTTGTTCAACCAGTAGTAACGTCGCTGGCTCGGCATCACGCGCCAAGCCTACTACCGCATGAATTTTCAATTTCCCCATTCAGCCATGCATGGACATATTAGTTATGTAAATGTTACAGATCCTACATGTATAAAATAAGTACTATGCGAGACGTACATCGACGCGTAATCGAAAGCGACACAGACAGTGACATGAACGAAGGAAAAAAAAAACGGAAAATCATATCAGCGGGGCATTGACATCATCGACCCATCATCGGACATGAACCTCTGCGGCCCTGCTGCCGTCCTAAGCGCTAACACCCTATCTTCGGAGACGATCAAAATCTCATCCCGACCCACCCCTTGTATATGCCGAGGCTGGGAAATGTAAGGTGCCTGTTGTGTGAGATGGCCGTAGTTGCCATAAGGTCTGAAAGTGGTCGTCAAGTCCCGGCTAATCCAATGAGGAGGTGAAAACATACTGATATCCTTGGTGAGGGTTGTATTGTTGAGTTGCTGTATTCGTAACAGACGGTGGTGTGTCCGCAAATAATAATCGGAGGTTGAAACCTTGGATGACCTGTGACAGCAAGCCGGTTTCGATGTGCCGAATTTCAACAAACGAAGGCTCAAAGGCTAGCACATATGGTTCATGGAGAGCTAGCATCAAAAACGGTCAGGGGATCCCGTCTAAAGATAAAGGTTACCAACATACCGAAGCCAGTGGGTTGCCCTTCCCATTGTACCATGAAATTCAACCGTGATCGTCGTCCATTCTTGTTGACATAAAACGCAAATTCTGCGGGAAAAAGAAAGGGAGTCAATCAAAATAGAAGAAACGACATGAAACATAGAACACCCACCGTCGTAACAAAGGAGAAATTCGTTGTGGATGCGGTAGATGGCCATTGGACGGAGATTGTCTCGTCTTCTCACAAAGTCAAGGGACTCATCGTGAGGATCCAAAAGACCTTGTGTGTCGAGAGTTTCGAGATCGACGATTTCAAAACCTTTCGAGCAACCAACACACATCTTCGTCTTGAGATAATGGATCGACGTCGACTCAACCGGAATGTAGAATTCCTAAATCATCAAAGTCAATGCCAAATAAATCCCAGACCCACAATATTCTCACTCTGAACATTTTGAGAGTGTCGTTCCCCCCTTGTAGTAATTTTCGGAATGTCGGTTTCGCCCGTCCTCGGATATTCTGGTCAATGGGCTCCAGAGTTTTGAAAGTACTAGACAACTGGCTTGACTTGACAATACAAACGAGTACCCGCCCGAGACAGAATCCTGCTTTGAAAAAAGAGGTGTGCGAGGATATTCGTTTCGCTCTTCTCAGGCCTGCCATGGGATCCCGCTTATCGAGCGCTTCGAGGGGAAACGTAATTACTTGGCGCTCTGTGCCACATTAATATCGCCTTTTCGGACTCGACAACCAAGAAAGCCTACCAGAGAGAACAATAAGCAGTTCGTATTCCTCCAATACGTCGACCTGGAGGACGTCCAGGAGAGCCAACACCTTTACAGGTTCATTCTCCGGCGACGTAAAGCTTGAAATGTAGACACCATCGTCAGTGCCGTAGACGATAGAACGACCTCTGTCTAAACAACGCTTGGCGTCAGCGATGCTACCCAACCCAACACAATATATCTTACCAAACGGTGCCGCACAATTGACCTTGTTCGGGCCTGAGAAAAATCCTTCACTCAATGTAACAGTGTCGAAAATCATGCTCCTCTCCCTCATGGACTGCTGCTGCTTGAAGATGCTCTCCAACCATTTCCGTTGTAAAACCGCTGAATCCGCCCAGAGCATCAAGTTGTAGCACTTGCGGCCAAGATACACAAAATTGATCCAGTGCTGGCCTTTTGCTTCATGCCTGGTGGTGACGGCAGACACAACGTTGGGCATGCCCCCTCGTTCTCGGGTGAATGAGGACTTTTTCACGAGCCCCTGGGTTTTCCGCTGTTGGTTGCGTATCGATGCGGTGGCTTCTTCCGAGGCGGTAATCAAGAGAAGTTCTAGAGGTATGGGCTAACGAGATGTCAGTAAGACAAACTTGTCAGATCAACGTAAATTGGAGACTGACGCGTCGATAGACTTTGTACTGCTCCTGCTGCTTCCCTTTCGCTACTTTTGTGAACAACATAGCGTGATCAAGCAAAAAAACCTGAAGTTCTCCATCTCGTTTGCTGAGGGCGCCTTTGTGGACCATCTCACGGCCTTCCTCCAGTAAGCGTAAATCCTGTGACAAGACATTGAGGCTGCTTCCAAAACAAACAAAGACGAATGACACATACCACTTCTTCGCCCTGCTTGAAGAATAAGGCGTCATTGAGTTTCTGAAGGCTAGCACGATTCTCGGCCTTTCCTGACTCGGTATTGACCTTGGTCAGGAATTCGCGAACCAGCTTCACGACTTGTGGGAGGACGTGTTTGTCCGGGCTGTCATCGGGAGTATGCTTGAGTACAGCCTCCAACAGGAGGGGATACCTCGCTAAACGGGTGGTTGGCTTGGTAAGATAAGCATTGAGCTCCAACCTTCGCGATTCAGGAAGTCCCTCGGTGGCCTGCAAGCACATTCGCATCAACAACACAACAAGTCCGAGGATAAATGACGAACCTCCACGAATGCTGCAAAAGCTGGATTTGAGCTTTTCTCCTTCTCAAATCGGTCTTTCCCAGCGAGTTGATGGCCACCATAAGACACAAAAGGACTAAAATGGGGCACGGCATCCAGGAATATATCCCCAATCTTTTCGACCACAGCATAAGACTTTTGTCGCTTGTTGAGGGCATCCCGCAATCGCGTATTAACAGCAATGATGTGTTCAATATTCCAAAAAACAGTCGTAATGAACTCTTGGCGTGTAGACTGAGGTATGACATCCGACTCTTTGAGGCGATTCATCCATTGCTTGAGAGGGATCATTCAAAGAGGGTTTCAAGCGAAAATCTTAAGGCTTACGTCTCGGAGGTATTCCATATCCCGCACAAAGTCACGCTCAGTATAAATGACTTCATTGATCGCCTCTTGACGCCGTTTCTCTGCATCAGAAACACTATTGAGAATTTCTTGAGGTACAGAGTGAATCCATAGCGTTCCGTCGTCCTGAAAGATAATAAGACTTGGGAAAGGCAGGGGTGAAAAAAACGAACAGGAACATCGCCCAAACTCTCTCGACTGATCTGCTTCGAAAGTCCAGGCTGGGGCTTCATGTTCAATCTCGCCTGTTGCTCAAGACGTCGAGGACACGCAATGCTATAACACAGTTGATCTCTCGAACACGTTGGAGAATAACAATCGGTAAGGAGAGTGAAAACCCCTGACGGCAAAGGAGCTTCATCGGAACTCAACGAATCTTTCCTAGTACGTGTCGACGGCGCTGCAGAATCCGGCCCGTCCTCTTCCTGCTGACGCATAGAACAATAAACGCATAACCCGAAAGAAAGGCTAAGAATGGCTTACGGGAGATGCATCTGATTGTATAGACATATGACGGAGGCTTTTCTGAATAGCAGCGGGGTCAGGTGGAGGACTTGGCAACTCCCCACTTACAAAAGGACTAGGGAGAATAGTCCGAAACTGATACAGTTCATTGGCACTGTCGCGTAAACGGTGGTCGTAAGTCACGTCGTGAAAGAATTTTTGAGCATCCAATGCGCGGCCGAGCAGAAGAGCTAGATTACGATCGGCTGTCTTGATAATGTACGCAATTTTATCGACAGCTTCACGACCATCAAAGGTATCCTTGTACGTGAGGCCGTCCTTGACTCTATCCATGAGAGGTATACGCTCACGAAATGCTTCGGCAACACGGGAAAGCAGCGCTGGGTATACAATGGGAGTCTTTTTGGAAGGACGAACGGAGGCGGGTGAATTGCGCCCTTCGTGAAATGAAGGTGGTATTGGAGGTTTTGACGAACGTCTTTGATCGTGAGTTGTCTTGATCGAAGCGGCGGACATTGACATTGAACGGTCTTGACCAACCCGTGAGCGAACGGTATTAAACTTGGGTAGTGTACGCGACGACTCGGTTGACCTTCTCGGATCGTGCTCAACAAGAGTGGCAGATCCGTCGGCAGTTGAAGAGGAAGAAGAGGGAGATGCAGTCGTGACGGAAGAACGAATGGCCTGTGCAGCGTTCGTGTCGACATGAAGAGAGAAATTCTGGCGTAACCGTTGAGACTCGGTATAATCACAAGGATAGTACTCACCGAATGCGTGCTTTCAGCGATAGAAGATTGTCGCAAATGTTGACTAGAACGGTGGGCTTTCTTAACCGGAGCTATGATGAAAAAAAAATCATGAGACAGCACATGAAACGAGTATAGGTAACATACCGCGCTCATTGACAGCCCACGGAAGCTCACTGCTACCTTCATCTCCACTATTATTCGCACTACCTCCTCCAAAATTGACCCCCAATCGACCGTCATCGTGTTCGAGACTTATCCCCAGCCGAGGTGTATCCGCTGGTTGGCCAAGGTGCCCATTCTGTGACTGTGGATAGGACGCTCGATCTGGCGGGCCAGGTGACATTTGGTACTTGGTCCCAGCAGACCCGTGATTGTGTATTTGAGCCTGATAAGCCTGCGCGATGGTCATGCCAGACTGGGAGGGTATCCCTAGACTATGATCTGGTAGTCCATTGGGATGTGGGGGAATAACGCCAGCACTGCTGATGACAGATCTTGCACGAGGGACAGGTTGGTTAGGGGGTGCTAGGGAGTTCGCATAGGGAAATTGCTGCTGGATTTGATGATATGATTGTGGAGGCGGTGGTTGGGTAGGATAGTAGGGTTGCCCGTAGGCGCCTGAATTGGCATGGGGCGGGGGAGGAGGAGCATAGGGATTTTGATTGTAGGCATGAGAGGGAGAAAATGAAGATCTTCTATCGAGATTATTCTGGTAAGGTTGTTGAGAGTAGAGATAAGGCTGAATCGGTGGTTGCTGGTTGAGGTACTGAGGGTGTTGGTGTTGTGCGCGACCAAAGATAGACTCGTATGCTGCGTGTCTTTTATCTGGGGGCTGGCGAGGGCCCGAAGGCTTGTCCATTATCCAGGTTCCAATGATCGAATGCCCGTTCTGTGAGAGTTCAAGTTGCCTTTCACGCGCTTGGCGTGAGTGATCTCGTTGTTGGCGCTAGTTTAAGTACCATCCGAGACAAACAAATATTCTACAGCTCAGACTTGTTTTTTTTGCTCAGAGGCTCTTCTTCCTCCTCACCCTCTCCAACGCCAACACCACCAGCTTTTGCAAGCACGATTTGTTTTCGCTTCATCCGCCCCAACTCCTTGTTGCTCAACTTTTTGTCCGAGGTATCCTCAGCTGTGGTCTCCTCGGTCTCCTCTGGCTTGTCTGCGTACTTGGGCATGGTTTGCAGATCTATGTATAGACTCAGTTTCTTGATGTCATCCACGGACGCTATATCAACCCATGAGCACAAAACAACATCAGGCTTGTGAAAATGACATACCTTCCAGCAATGACGTTTCATTGAGCGTCAATAACAGAGCACTGTGCGACCCTGATGGAGCTTCTACGAGCTGCCCCAACGAGAACTGGAGTACTTTGACAAATGGGCTTCCCGAGCCTGAAGGAACACCATCCGGAGTCCACTCTGAATCCAGTAGGATCCAAATCAACCCATCGTTCGCAATAGCAAAATCGGTGATGGGTCTCCCAAAGTCAAAATGTCGAATGTTAGACATCGTGACACCATCCCGGTAAGGGAGCGTGAAAAGTGCCGTTGCGCTATGAATTTCGTCAACGACGCAATGGTCAAAATAACGAGAAACTTACCCAACGGCGCTAAAAATAACAGTAGGCACTCCGTCAGCTTCCAAGCTGCCGATTTTCCGTATAACCAGCACCTTCTCCGCGTTGTCCGTGGTGGTTTGAGACGATGATGCTATAGGTCCCTCTTCACTCTCCTTCTCTTCTTCCTGTTTATCCTTCCCTTTCGCCCTTCCTTTCCCTTTCCTCCGCTTTGACCCATTGCCCTCTACGGCTTCATCCTCTTCATCATCATCATGCCCACCACGTCGCCTTTTGACAGCACGGACGACCAGGAACGGGTCTATTGCGTCTGCAACATCGATTGCGTGCTTTACCTCGCCCGTCATCCAATCCCATATTTTTAAATCGGGATCTCCTCCACCAGATATCAGTTTGCTTTGATCAAATTGAGGGACATGGATTGCAGATACGAATCTGGGGACATAATGAAACAACGCAAATATAACGAGAAGCGAATAACATACTTGGAATGCCCTAGACAGTACATTTCAATGTTGTACCCTTGCGGGTACCAGCTCACTCTAATATGTTCATCCCGATCAGCAGTGATGATGTACCGTTCATCATGAGTGAGGAGGAACGCATTGAGCGGAGATGCATGTCCCAATATTAGTTGCCCCCCTGAAGGGTTTTCGTGAGACGACAACGCGTCCTTCTTTTGCGTGACGGTCGAAGGGACATGGACGAAGGGGTACCTACATAGATAGAGTGTAAACCCAGCAAAAGTCTCATGAAAAAACTTGTAAACGCACCGAAAGATATCACCAAACTTGTCAGACGCCAGAATACTCTGCGCATCTGCGCTGAAAGCAAGACCTGTTGGCTTCTTGGGCAATTCGCTGCCAACCGATTACGCGTTGAAAAGAAAGCATGATCACTTGAGTAAATACCGTTCACTCAAAAGCTTCAACCCATCAACCTCCCAGAGCTTCAAAATCTTGTCCTCCCCCGTAGTGATCAAGTATTTCGATTCCTTATCGACAGCCGCACACCTTACGGGCCCCGATTTCAACACCGCGTTCCTCGCTTCGTCTGTGAAAAGCGTAGTGGAGTGAAGCACATCTCCCGTTCTATGACCCACGTAAATTGCGAAAGAAATGCGGAGGAAGATGCGTACGTTGTATTTATGACTTGGATATGTGGGCCAGATATGGCAACTGTATGTGAAGGGCCAGGGAAGAGATGGGTGTAGGGATAGTAAATTGTCATCGCACGGAACTGACCCTGAGGGCAGTGAGTTGTAATCAACCTCGTTCAGAATCAACGTTCAACGCGCTCCAATGGTCATCCACCTCGAAAAGAAACCTACGACCAGTAAAGCCGTTCCCCCTCTAACCGCTCGTCCCCTCGACCTCCTCTACGCCATCTTTTTCGCTGTAAGCACTCCCTCTCCCTTTCATTCAACCCATCTAAAAAAACCACAGTTCCACATCCCAGCATCCATCTTCCTAGACCTCCAATACTTCTACCCAAAATGGGCCATACCACCCTTCATGCGCTCCCTAATTCCACTATACGTCCAAATGTCTAACGACCCCCTCGTGGGCGGACTAGCCGGTTTCTTCGGGGACAACTCACACCTGCTCTGGTTCAAGACGTTCCTCTATCTCGAAGCGTTCGTTATCTCCTCTTCCGCAGGCGCGTTGAGGTGCTGATTCCTTTCTTAGTCTATTCCAAGTACCCGTGTTCTTCATTGGTCTTTACGGGCTGTACAAAGGTTCGTTCACCCATACATACCCACTTTCAGTCCCTAACCACCCTCTGAACCTAGGCTCCAAGTCGATCTACGTCCTCCTCATAATCTACGGCGCCTCAACAGCCACCACAACACTCCCATGCATCCTCTACTTCCTCCAGGTTCCCAGACTCGCTTCTGGTGTTCTGGCCACACCAGGCGTCGAATCATTAACAACAGAACAACTCATCCTCTTGTTATCAAGCTATATTCCATTTTTCCTTATACCCCTCCTAATGGCAGTCGACATGGCCTACCGCGTTTTGGGATTGGTCAAAACTGGTGTAAAGGCGGAGAAGTGGGAGTAAACCCTAATCTTTTATTTATATACCCAAGTTATCAGGGACCCTTCAACTATGCTATCGATATTTTACAATTTTCTACACCGCTCTTCGTTTCGCCCAAAAGCCCATCCAAAACTGGAGAAAAAGTGAGCTGGTCCTGCAAGTAAGGCGCCCGAGTCGTTCGTTCGTTATAAATACACATGAGTCTTCTTGTCTTGTCTTGTCTTTTCGTTCTCTCTTCGTGCTAGTCGTCGTCTTCACTCTACTCCCCACCACCAACGCCAACACTGCTCCCACCTGCCGAAACAGCATACTCATGCGCATCACTCCAACTCTGCCTATGACTCTGGCGCTGCAAGGAACTAATCCTGCCCAGCCCCGTGGCACCCTGCGAATACGTCCTCGGCTTCACATTTACCCCTCCATACCTCGACGCAGGGGGAGCAGAAGGGTTATGAAGGTTCGGATTACTATTTTGAAAAAAAAACATCAGTCTCCGCCTTGGCAAAATATCAAAAATAACGAAAACTCACTTGGCTCTCAACGTCGGACCCACAGCCAACCTGGCAAAGTTGCTCGGGAAGAGCGGATTTCCAGGTGCCCGATCACCCACAGGATCATAGCCCACATCACTCGTGTACCCAGAACTATCACCGGCATCGCTGCCCGCATAAGTGATGGACGAATAACTAGAAGACTCGCCCATCCTCGACGCGATATTCCCAAATGATTCCGAACGCTGAAAGGGGCCAACAGAAGAGGACATGGAGCTCCTGCGCGAGTGCGGGAGCGAAGACTGTCCCGATGGATACGGGGGCAGGGGCGAAATGGGAGAAGGAACCGGGGGCGTGCTAGCTCTGGCATGAAATGAATTGGAGAGCGGCAGCGGGGAAGTGGAGATGCGCAATCCTTGGATCTGGGAGGGTGAAATGAGGTCTGGATCTTCTGGCGCAGTCTCCTTGTCAGCATCAACCCCTTCCGTCTCTTCCTCTTCTTCTGCTCCTTCTGCAATGTCACCGAGACCGTCCCCGATAGCACCTAGAGACCCCTGAAGGGAGAGCGGAGGGGGGTTGCTGATAGACGGTGGTGCAAGTAACGGTTCAATCGAGATATAATCAGCCGCATCGGTTATCCCGGGGCTAGCAGGCTGTTGTATTATAGTCGGAGGACTGAGGCTTCCAATGAGAATAGTCGACTCGTGATCTGGGGGACTTCGAGCCCCTTGTGGGGTAGGAGAGATGGTGGTGGCCCCCGTCGTAGGAACATCTGGAGACTCGACAGCCTTGGCTGACGTTTGCACGAAACCTTTTTCAAGGCCCTGAAGCTTTCCCTCTACCTGAGTACGGAAGTCTTGATCGTCTTTTGACGACAAAGTCCGCTCCCTCCCCCTCTTTTCAAGATAGAGGGAAGCGGTGGGAGATTCGACACTAAGACGCTTGGCGGCACGAGCAAACACAGGAGAGTCCATGACGGCGTCCCAGTCAGACCAGTGACCGCTCGCAGCCCGACCTTCATCATCGGATATTTCGTCTGTATCAAGGCAGCTTTCATCATCGTCAGGATCTCTGGTGAAATCACAGTCGACGTCCAACTCTGGCGGGATGCCCAAGGCGCCTTTAATCCGTTCCCAGAGGAGTTCCGAATGTGAAAGGATACATTTACGGGCAGATAAAGCCCAGAACGGATCTGGGGCCACGTCCCTATCGACCTTGGTAAGGTGATGGATGAGGTGGTTGTAAGACCATTGCGCAGGATCGCGTGGAAGGGACAGGATCTGATCAGATGGAGGATCGATTATTTTTGACCAAGTCTGGGCGAGGAGCGAAAAGAGCTTGACATCGGGAGGAGAGGAGATGAGTGCTGCGACCTCCGATGGACGATCTACAAAAGGGAGAAAGATGTCCGCAGGGAGAGGCGTAAAGGTAGCCGGGGCAACAGAAGCAGGAGCAGGTGCAGAGCTAGTGCCAAACTTTGGCGAGTGTGCACGCAGCACGGGAGAGTGGGTAAGTGGTGCAGGCGAGGATGGCCCTGAGAACGGAGTACCCTGAAGTTGAGTGAGTGTGCGTGGGTTGGTGGCCTGGCGTGCGAGGTCGACGAGCTGGTCTGGAGTTAGGCGAGGCTTTGAGGGGAAAGGAGATGTGGGGCCAAGACGAGGAGAAGATGGACGGAGACGGGGAGAAGATGATGGACTTGGGGGACGATCTCTATTAATACTATTCGCAGAGGAAGAGGGGCCTCCTTGAGCTGGCCCCGCACTTGAGAAGGAAGAGAAAGCGAAACTAAGGCGATTACCAGGAATGGAATCTGAAGGGGGAGATGTGGAGGAGCCAGGGCCAGGCTGTTGATGACGACGCGGAATCCTCCGCTGGCTCAGAGCAGAAGAAGATGGAGGCTCACTTAGGGTGATGGGTTGGGTATTGATTTGCTGCTGAGCAACGCGGACGATGGTCAGCGTACTAGATGAGGTGCGGTTTGGGTTCTCATTGATCTCGGCGTGAATAGCAAATGGATCATAAGCAGAGACAGATCCACGGCGAGTAGAGACACGGCGATGAGGTATAGGGATTGAAGCAGTAGCAGACATGGTTGTTATAATAAAAGCAACAAGGTAATGACCACACTTTATACTAAACATCAATCACGACGTCACTCTAGACTTGGGTCGACTCCCTAATCCCGTCTAAAATCATTTCAGCTTCATAGAATATGCAACCGTCAATATTCAATCATACCTTTTCGTAAATCTGTTCAATCCATTCCATGTTCGCCACAGAATCCCCCTTTGTAATCCACGTCTGCGGCGTTCTTCCTTTCAATTGGTCCACAAACGCCTCCAACTGATACCGATACGTAGACCATTCTTTCCCTTTCTCTTCTCCCTCAAACTTGTACACCTTCTCTGTCCTCGTCTTAGCTTTCCCATTCCCGTCAACCACTTTTACTTTAAGCCAATGATACATCGCAGGCGCGACAAAGTTGAACAACTCAACCTCCCCATTCTCACATTTTACCACAGCGCTGATCTGTGGTATCTTTGGAATGACCCCGAGGGTAGGGGGCATGGCCAGATCACAAGTGATAGTGCCCGTAACGCCCTTTGGAAGGAGGAGCTCGGCAACCGTTCTGCGGTCCACATTCCGGACGTAATCTGATGGTGGGGAAGGGGGCACGTAAACCTCGTGAGTAGCGGATTCTATAGAAATCGGCTCGGAAGAGGATAGGTACCGCAGACAGCTCAGGGTGTAGCCTGGGACAGCATGAGAAAATTAAAAGCGGTATAATAAAAGATACCCACATCCCATATCCATGAGCGCACCTCCACCCAACTCATACTTGTACCTGATATCTCCAGGCCCCATGATGCCTTTGGGAATGGCGAGACTAGTCGAGATATGCTTCACAGCACCAAGTTCCCCGCCATCAACGATCGCTTTGAGTCTTTGCACTGCAGGGTGGAATCGGTAGTGGAAAGCTTCCATGAGGATGAGGCCTTTGCTTTCTGCGAGCTTGAACATTTCACGCGTCTCCTCTGCCGTCGAAGCTGCTGGCTTTTCGAGAAGAACATGCTTCCCGGCTGCCAGAGCCTTCATTGTCCACTCGTAATGAAGACCATTGGGTAGCTATAAACCAAGGTAAGAAATAGTCATAAGAGTCTGTTGGTGCGACAAACAGGGTTGTAAACGGCTTCGACCTCTGGGTCATCAAGGAGTTCTAAACGGCAGTCCATGAGTCAAAGAGTCGTAGAGAAAAGAAAAGGACGAACGTTGATACCCTGTAGAACCTCCATAAGCCTTCTCAATTCCATACTTCTTTGCAAACGCCTCGGCTCTCTTCTGGTCCCTTGCAGCGACGGCATAAACCTGAACTTCTGGGTGGGTGCTTGCGGGAGAGATGAGTGCCGGAGGAGCAATAGCAGCTGCTCCAAGGATTCCAAACTTTATAGGCTGGCTTTCAGTGGTGACAGGGGCCGCGGACGAGTTGAAAGGGGTGGAGACGCGTTTCACAAAGTCGAGGAACCAAGCCATTGTGGTGGGTCGATTCGAAGGCGGTGGTGGTATTTATACGCACATTATCATATGGATTCATTCCACGCGGTCGATATTCGTCGAAGCATTTGAATGAACAGCGTATTTGGCATTGTTGATTGCTCTCAACGATGAGCGAGCACAAAAGGACAATTCAAAACTCAATCTTCTGGTCCGCGTAAGATACTCGAATCCACTCCCTGCACCACCATGTCCCCCGACATGGGAGTCGCTATGGGAAGAAAACGCAGATGATTCCAGTGCGTTTATTCATTCACCAGTGAACATTTTATTCTACCTGAAAACTAGATTTGAGCCCTGATTCGTTGAACCTTCCAAAATTCGATCCAAAAGACGCTCTCCTTCTTGCAGACCCCAACAGGTTTATACACGAATGGCCATCCAGGTTCAGGTAGCGGTACCTCCACTCGCACACGTAACATGACTTCGAAAAACGGAGTATACATATAAGCAGAGCAGGCGTCCAACAGTCGGGTATCCAAGAACCGTGCGTTATCGCAGCCTGCAACAACGGGAGTGGACTATACGCTGCTTGGTGGCTGGCCTCTCCCAGCGAATCCGTGCATTTCAGGTGCCACAGGAGCGGGGACTATAACGGATAATAACCTATCCAATTCAGCATATCGTAAAGTTGCAGTGGGGCAAGACAAAACAAATGGCTGTTACATATATCATTCGACGACCGCCACAATATTTTCTTTCTCACGACCTCGATTATCGATCTGAGCACCTCCCTTGTTCTTGACCGGCGATCCCACAAGAGTCATTCTCCAGAAGGACGCGTTTGGTTTCCAAACTCCTTTGCGGTCCTCAGTCCTCTCCCTTCTTCGTGGTAGGATGACGGCGCTAACCCACTGCCAGAACACGGCCCTTCCGTCCAACATTTTTGGTTCAAGCGTGTTTGCTGCGAGGGTTTCGACTCGCCAGGCGCTGTTCGCTCGGGTTGAGCTGCAGCTCGTAGATAGCATGGGTACGTTGGTTGATGTCAACCTCCTATGTGCATTTATCGACCGCCTTTTGGTTCCTCTCTATCACCCTCACTTCCTCATCACTGGTTTTGCCCCAGACGGCTCGCGGCAGCCAACAGTACCACGCCATGACAGCGCTCTAGGTAGCCCAACAAACGTTCGACGCCAAAAGCATCCCCACATCGACCAGGGTTTGATAAAGAGCTGTGCCGCGCGAAACAAGCCTCTCTCCACAACCGCTCGATCTCCAACAATTCTGCCATCCTTTGAGCAATCCGGTTGCTTCATCGGACACTCTCCCCCTTTTTGCCATGCATGCTCGACTCTTTATGCACAGACAGATCTTGCTAACGAGACCCCTGTAGCATGCAGATCTTCGCAAAGACTGATAACGTCAAAGCCAAGATCCAAGACATGGAGGGGTAAGTAGAGTCTGGTGTTTCACTTCGGTTATTCGCTTATCGTCATGCAGGATCCCTCTGATCAGCAGCGTTCAATTTTCGCTGGCAAGCAGCTCGAGGACGACCGCACTCTTTCGCATTACAATATTCAGAAGGAGTCTACTCTCCACCTTGTCCTTCATCTCCGTGGTGATATCCAAAATTTTAAGACCTTCACGGGTATGACGATCACCCTCGGGAGTCTTCGGACACGATCGACAATGTGAAGGCCAATATCCAAGACAAAGAAGGTGTCCCCGATCAGCAACGCTTAACTTTCGCTGGCAAACAAGTCAAACTCTTTCTGATTACGACCTGTGGAAGGAGTCCACTCTCCACCTCGTTTTGCGTCTTCGCGGTGGTCTACAGATTTTCGTCAAGACTCTTCCTGGAAAACGATTACCCTTTAGGTTGAATCCTCCGATACAATCGACAACGTGAAGGCCAAGGTCCAAGACAAACAAGCCATCTCTCCCGACCAGCAGGGACACATCAGGCAACATCGACAACGACCGCACCATACTCAGTCATCGTTGGAACAAGCACTGGAGCATCCTCCACGACATCCCCGGCAGCATTCTCCGCGTCAGCGGCTTCGAGTGCTGTAACATCCACCAGCGACCACCTTCTCTTTTTCTCTCCTGGCTACGATTTATACCGCAATTCCATTGGCCTGATTGTCTACAACCAGTCCAGTCTTGCCCTGTCTTGCCACACTCCCACTAGACACCACTACCGTCCCTGGTGCTCAGCGTCTCCCCCGCTGACCTGGTGATGCGTTCTCCAATGTCCTCTCCTCCGTTGCGCTGTTCTATTTAGTTAGCCGTATCATGATTACTATCGGCGTTCATATACAGGAGAGTTTTGTAATTGGTAAAGAGTAACTACAGAGAGTGGGGTTACGTAGCGTAAACGAACAAGATGAAATCAATATGCCAGGCTCGCGTTGGTGCTGAAGTTGAGCAACGTTTTCAGATTTTAATTTGCGAAATTGCGGAAATATTTGTATTGTCATCAAAGTAAAAAATCAAAGCACAGGAATGACACTCTGTCCTCCACAATGCTCAACCTTTCTGCTGTTTTGTATGCCTGTCTTTCAGTTGTTTTGAAGACATACCCAATACATCCTGAAAGATGTTCAGAGTGGATTCCCACTTGTGACTCACAGTGGATAAACCGGTGCTGTCGGCGTTCGAAGTTTGGAAATATAGCATCGCGGGTGCCCATTCTGCCAAGGAGGAATAAGCATCGTATCCGCGGATGTTGATACGATCGGCCTCGACTTCTTGAGACTCATCGAATGCCGACCAGTACTGGCCTTCTTCCGCTTTACAACTTGTGATTTGAACGCACGGACCATTCTTGTTCCCAAAGCGAGTTGGTGTGCCGAGGTCCATCAAGATTGCTATATATCTTGGCTTCCAGGTTTTTGATTTAAATTTAATGAACGGGGTGGTAATAGTCTTGATCAAAGATAATTCCGCTGCTGCGCCTCGGTTCTTAAACTGCAAAACAACAAAGACAAACTTTTCGGGATCGAAAGGTTCGGACAAGTCGCCACTATAACCAACGAGGATTGCATCAATGACGGCTTGATTGTGCACGCATTGTAGTGCCACACCCCTTTGCCAGCACATCACCAGAAACTCAACCGTAACAGTCTCGTCCACAAAGTTGGAGAGCTGTGCGAAGTGGGTGAAATTTAGGTGTACATCTTCTGTCCACTGAAGACCCGCTTTTCGAATATGTTCTTCATTCAGTAGATTTTGAAGGAACAACTTCAGAGTGAACGGCCGCACAGCCAATTGCAGATGTGATCCTCGATTGTTCTCTTCAACTATCTTGTTCGGTTTGGAGGAGGTATCAACATTACACAGTTGACCCCCTGCTGCAGCAACAGTGGCATCACGAGTTACGATCAGGATGATGCGCGCCAAAGTCTCGCCTTTTTCGCCGATAGAAATTATGTCGTTCGCAAGGAGAAGTTCTTCGACTAGGGTCCGCATCGCGGCTATGTAGACTTCCTTTTCGCTGAGAAGAAGCCACCCAGCTGCGATAGCCAGTATTGGCTCAGATGGAACTACGGATTTGAGAATGCCTGTCTCAGCATCATAATCTGTGAGAAGACGCATATGGCTCTTGACGGAGTTGATAGCCATCGTCTTGGCTGCACCCTCAGCATACAGGTTTAGAATAAACCGGGTTGAATGTAAAGCCAAGACCTGTAAGTTTCGAGCGTCTGACTTAACGTTGGTGTTGGCATGGAGGAATTGCTCAGGTCTGGCGCAGAGTAATTTTCTAGCTGCTGCACACATAATTTCATCGTCATGATACAGTGACCACAACTAAAGACATGGGAGGCGAGATCAGAACAAGGAACCTTATCATCAATTTAGGACTACACACCGGTCGACCATACTTGCAGAGATTGTCTAGTTGTAGAGTGTGCATTGGTATTTTGGATAGCGTCTCTGGTGAAGGTACCATAACGTCGTATGGCATGAATGGGAAGGGTGGAAGAGGTTTAAAATCATTCTGAAGGCGCCACGAGTTTGCTGTTTCATCTGCGTTAGGGTAAATGTCTCCCAACCCAGCTGTCGTATCAAGCATCAAGAACCAGAATCCAAGTCGATCGCAAGCTTTGATAGCCCTCTGCATTGCAAGGAGCGTGATACGGTCCTCTGCTCGTTCTCTTGGAGTGAAGTTGAGTAAACAACATTCATCGAACGTAAAGATGAAGGAAGATAATCCTAGTTCAGTCAGTTCCTGGTTTAAAGCTTCTGCAGATGGCTTAACGAGGACGTTGTGCAGCTCCTGTACCCATGGGCCGATACCTAAACCTTTATAAAACACACCGACACTTGACAACTATGATTTTGACTCACCCTTCTTCCTTGATGTGGAGGGAGTTCCTTTTGTTGCCTCCAGCGGAGCAGCAGAGCCTGAACTGACGGCAGAGATGGCAGCACTTATCTCCATTTGATTGCCAGAGTTGTCTTGCTCGCCTTGAGGAATCTGAGGCGAGGATTTCGTAGAAACGGTTCTGATGTCACGTGCTTTTAATACACCTGCGACGCCTTCAGTTAGCAAGGCAATAGCTTTGCCCTGCACCTTTACAAAATTTTTGTAGCGCGGCGAGTTCTCCGGGTGTTTACCAGGGATACCCCAAGCAGGATCAAAAACTATTTTGGCTTGGGCGGTATCGCGACCACGCCTCGCATCTACCATCGTCTCATACAGGACGGCACAAAAGGCCCCTAGGAAGGCAGCTGCAATCTCTTCACTCTGAAGAGTGTCAACAACCAGGCCAATTGTTAAAAGCTTAGGTAAATCACCTTTAAAGGTCCAAGGTTTAACACCACCTCTGGTGGGAGAACTTTAGATGGCTTGGTTAAGAATTCGAAGACGGGGATATCGCCAAGGGGGAACCCATCTCGGGGATCTGGTGTTCGCTTGAAATTGTGTCCCATCCCACGAAAACAGATGCTGACACCCCAATACTTCGTGGGATCCTGAGATTGAATGGGGTACTGTGAACCTGTGAAGAGCGTCGCTGCTCACCGATTTTGCGAGTTCAGCCGCGGCCCTCGACTTCCCTGTTCCACTACTTTGAAGAACTGTTATCGCCTTTCCATAGTGTATGTTTTCATTGTAAAGCTTCTTATATATTTCTAGACCTGTCTTCAACCACAGGGCGACTGGCCCATGAAACTTCGCTGTGAAAGACGAATTCAGTCGTATTGCAGCCTCTTCCCTACAAATGGATAGGTGTTAGTTGAGCTGGCGCAGTTAGTTTGTAAAATTGCGCAATCCTCACATCGATTGTGACTCGCGTTCAATCATTACACCATCGTCAGACTGGGCATTTATAATTTTTGCTGGACTGATGTCAGAGCCAGTCAATGAACTAAGAAAATTCAGTGCTTACTTTGAATGCCAGACCCAATCAAGAGGTCTACATCACTTCCATGACAGAGGAGATAAACCAGGGATTCATTGGAGCATGTTTCCACGTCATACTCGTCTGGCTTGCCATAAAGCTCCACCAACACTTCTGGATCCATGCCATACGCTGTCAAACATTTGCGAATAGTATTTAGGCCCCATACTGCATTGAGGTAGCGACCCTCAACCACTGTCAACGGACCAGAAGCAGTTCGCTCTTTGAAAAACTTCCGTGCCATTGCAACACCGTACCTCCAAATTTGAAGTGATCCCGGTTTGTTTAGCCATTCAGCCAACTTGCAGCGTAGCTCTCCAAGTTCGGAGAAGCTTTGCAGTCGTTCCTTAACAGCAGGGTTGGGGTGCTCCAAGAGACCAGGATCACCCATGATGATATCACTTGCGCTGTCCATCGTAGTGGGTTCGCAGGCAGACGGTTCAGTTGTGATCAAGTTGAAGTTTCTCACAATTGGAACACATATGAGTTTTAGGGCCTGTTCTAGTTCGCTACATTCCTCAACAACATTGAAAACCGAAAGTCCACACCGACTCATGGCAAATCTTTTCAATCTCGCTTCGCGAGCCTTCGCTACCTACCCAGGCCTTACAACCCAGACAACTAACCAATTTTTTAGTGCCGTAGTTGTACGGCGTTCTACCAAGTTCTCATCCAGACATGGAGCTCTCCAATTTACTCCTTTCTTATATCTCTCCCTCCTATTAATCACATGCCTCTTTTTCGTACAGATGAGGAACCTAGTTCAAGGTTACTTGACAGCGAGAATCCGGTCAGACCGACCCAGACTTTCCTCCCATCCGAATACTCAGGAGCACACCCGACTCTTCTCCTTCTCCTCCATGCAACCGTCCTCGTCCTCATCGCCGTTCTCCAGTAGTCCGAAGAACGAATGCTCTTCATCCACCGAAGAAGATACAAGGCTCTCTCAATCACGATGTCGCCTGCCAAATACCGGGCTCGGGACCAGGATTTGTATCAATACAATGGGGACTAGCACATCAGCACGGTGATAAGAAATTTGTTGGTGCGACAGACAGGGTTGTAAATTCTAAACAGTAGTCCATGAGCCAGAGAAACGTAGGACAAAGAACGTTGATATTCTGTAGAACTTCCATAATCCTTTTCGATTTGTGAACAGCGTATTTGGCGTTGTTGATAGTTCTCAACTTGTACAACGATGAGCGTGAAGAAGAGGTACTTTTTTATTCCACAAGTCACTCAAGAAATCTAATCACAAAAGGACAGTTCAAAACTCGATCTTCTGGTCCGCGTAAGATACTCAAATCCACTCCCTGCACCACCATGTCCCCCGAAACTTCTCGACATACCTACACACCCTATGCGCTACGCCCGCCCAGAATTTCTCAACGCAGTTGCCAGCGAAACACCTTTACCCGTCATCGTAGATGCAGAATGTGGAATGCCCCTTGATCTGGGCAAGTGGGAGTCGCTATGGGAAGAAAACGCAGATGATTCCAGTGCGTTTATTCATTGACCAGTGAACATTTTATTTTACCTGAAAACTAGATTTGAACCCTGATCCGTTGAACCTTCCAAAACTCGATCCAAAAGACGCTCTCCTTCTTGTAGACCCGTCGTCCTCAACAGGGTTATACACGAATGGCCATCCAGGTTCAGGCAGCGGTACCTCCACTCCCCTCGCACACGTAACATGGCTTCGAAAAACGGAGTATATAAGCAGAGAAGGCGTCCAACGGTCAGGTATCCAAGAACCGTGCGTTGTCGTTATCACACCTTGATTCCCTTCTGACTCTCCTCTCTGCCCAGGAAACATCTCGTCTCCGCATCCATCGACATCAGCCGCCCCGCACAGCTTCGGGATATCGAGGCCTCTTTCGCAGCCTGCAACAACGACTTTTCACTAGAGGACCTCCGCCACCCCAACAATCCCAAGCTTACCGCTGTTGAATCATACCCCGTGCTCCCTGACGCCGAAATCTGGGCGAACCAGTACGATCTGTTTCGCTTTTCAGAACGACCAGGCGAGAGACCTGTGGATGTACGCGTTTTTTTAGTCGTTCCCCGTTGTTGTTTTAACTTTATCATCTTAGGTGGAGGATCCACGTTTGGATTGTGCCGTTCTACGGCCTATGAAAACTGAACATGATTCTTTCCTCGCGTATTACCTCACGCAGGACGATGATTCAGCGACAAAGTTCAAGGAAACCAGGTTTGGTTTACAGCCGTATGAAGTACCTGAAGATCAAGAGGTATGCCTTTTCCCTTCATGTTCATGAGTCACAGCTAATAAACTTGCTGATGTAGGAGACAATCTTCCACTTTGTACGCGACTACGAGACCGTCAAGGTCGAACAGGAAGTGCCGAACGAGTTCTTGCTCGTACTGTATGACGGAGACCCGTCCGAGGAACTTGACGCCGTGTTGGACGAAAGTCACTCAAAACTACCTCCGAGAGCTAAAGGGGCCTACTACAAAAACATTGAGCGCAAGATGCTGCTCAAGAAAAAGCGAGCGAATGTGAGAAGCATTTTTTTTCACGAGTGAATTCGAGTTGCTAACAGTCGCGCAGATATACGACCAATACGAGGACAAGTGGGAGATCATCCGCCTGCTGCATCAACCTATGAGCAAAGAGGAGGAGGAGGAACGAGAAGAGGCCCTTGCAGAGGTGGTGGACCCCATGTTCCTCATGGCGAGAGGGGATGCAGACGCAGAGGGGGAGGTGGAAATGGACGAAGGCGGCTATGCGAATGGGGTGATAGACGTGCTCGCAGAATCATAACATGGCATTTTTTCTTCCTTCCTTGTTCACACCCTTTTGCTGTCGTGTATCATACCTGCTTTGATCTTGATCCCCCATACAGTGTTTGCTTGTTCATGCTGGGTAGGATTCATGTGGGCATACGAACATAACATGATGAAAAAAAGATGGAAATCAAAAGACGTGGTACATTCTATGCCTCAGTCAGTTCACGCAACCGACGGACCGTGCTAAGATGAAAAGTCAGGATCAAAGATATGTCATAGGCGGTACAAAAAAAAGCTCACCTGCGAACGGTAGCAGCAGCCGTTGTCGAAACGGTCCATGCGCCTCCAGCAATGACCTTTTTGCACGCTCCGCAATTCCAAATCCCAACCGCCGTTCTCTTAACTGAATCCTATGTCATACCATGCAGATCAGCCTGGACGCCTCACACCAATATAGATGGAATATAACGTACCTTGCCGCAGAACGTGCAGGTGTATCGCGCGTGTTGCGAGATTTCCATCTTTTTGACTTGCTTACGGAGGGAAGCACCATAACGCTATAACAACAAAGAACTCCTTGAGCACCCACTGCAAGATAAGCGAGTTGAAGGGGTTCTTACAGTACCGTATTTACCCGTGATTCCTACTTTCTTGGTGCGTTTTGTCTGTGGGGGTTTGGGGTATGAACATGGGTGCTATATGATACGGCTTTTGATACGCACCATCTTGAGGAATTGAGGAGGTTGGGTTGCTGGTCTTGACGCACGGGAGTAACGACTTGCGATAATTCGGTGCGTGAGAAAGCTTTGGGCGAGTTGCCGAGAACTGTATAGTTGCTCAGCCACCTCTGAAATAATATTTTGAACGTTTATTTAAATTGATATTTTACACCGTAAAATATCAAACGAAAACGCCTAGAACACACATTCAACAAGAACCTCCGAAAGTCCTGCAAAAAGTTGGATACCAAAATCCAGACCAGTTTTCGAAAATTTGAAGAGGTCATTGAGCATTTTTCCTGTGAAGTAACCACAAAACTCGAACAGTATATTCGCTAAGAGGAACATCCTGAATACATAGCTGGGCTTGGATTTACGTTATCAGAAGAAATCTGACTGGGGGGAAGGGCTGACTGGCTTGGCGTCGACGACACCACATGAAGCCACGCCTACCGTACTATGCACAGTGCCAGAATGGTGCAGACAACACCAAGGGCAATGGCGACATTGTGGAGTTTTCGTTTCGAAGACGAGGAGGCAGTTTGGTGGACTGAAGAAGTCGAAGAAACGGGAGGATGGTTTGACGACGAAGAGCGAGTTGATGATGACGAAGATGGAGTTGACAGTGACGGCGACATGGAGGTTGAGATACTAGTAGTCGTGGACGCAGCTGGGAAGATCGTGAATTCTTCGGATTGAGCGTAAACCGTGTCGGGGTAATGTGCACTCAAAACAAGATTCACTTGGTAATTTGTACCAGGTGTAGGCCATCCGCCAGCTGGAGGAGAAATAGTCGTTGTGAGGAGGTCAGTATCAATAAGGGGAGAGAGAGCTTGATCATTTGGCAGTAAGGTGCGGTTCTAGATAATAATGAAGTCATTCAACCGTCGAAAAATGGAAGTATGTGAAGACGCCTGCACGCTTACTTGGTTTGTGAGAATAATGGCAAATTCGAGAGGGTTAGTGTTGTTACTTTGCCAGGAGATGCTGGGGATGAAGAAAGGCTTGGTGAACCAAACATGTATATAAGACAAGGGTTGCACTGACATCTGTGGCCCTTGGTTTGTCCAGCCGTTGGAGGCACTGGGCGTAACCACGAGGAGCGCGACGCAAGAAGAGCTCCAAAGGAAAAGTGAAGTTAGTACGACGATTCGCATCGTGAGCTTGCCTCAACCGACGAAACTGATGGTGGCGGAATAGTGGACAACAACCTCATGTTGCTGTCCTTATCGCGAAAAGGCGCTGGCTTGTCACTCTAATCCGCAAACGCGCCCCCCAAACTTGCTAAATGCTCTCCAACCATGGCCATACGCTTGTCACTTGCTTGTCAAGAACAGATTATTACATATTACAATTTAACAGTGAATGAATCCATTTCCAAAACCCTACTATGTTTGTTCAGGTGTTTGAAACTTTTTCACCGCTGCGCGATTTCTGCCTCACCACTTCATCGAATTCTTTAAATTTTTAACAAGCCAATAATCTTTTTTCTCTTCTATATGAATATCCACTTTTTTTTGGTATAAATGTGTTGTGTTCGCTGTCGGAGGCGTTCCGGTGCTCAGGGTTCAGATATATCAGGAGATTGAAACTCGTGTCACACTAGGTAACAACGAATTTGGCTGATGGATGATGTGTGTATGTCACGCAAATGTCACGTTTTTCGAGCTGTTTGCGAGCAAAATTTGGTATTTTGCCCTTCCTCCCGAGAGCACTTCATCTCCCCCTCTAGAAATTTGTAGGTAGACTTTCAAATACAATTTAAATGTACTTGGAAAGTTTCAGAATAAACAGTCTAGCCGATCCAAAGGGATCTGAGAAAACATTCCAATACTTTTGTTTGGTTGGTGTAATGAAAAGCACAAAGTCATGCCTCCAGAGCACAAATCTTCGAATCTCCCTCTGAAAATTTGGAATAGTAAATCTCATGCGTAAATACATCTCCCCTGAAATTTACAAGATCCTAAGGTCAGCGGAAGGCAAGATAATGTGCAGTTTCAAACTCCTGATGGGTTTCAAACACCTGAACAAACATAGTATCCATTCAATTGACAAGAGGTCCATGATGTTCAAAGATCAACACCCTCACCCCCATAGTACATACCTCTTCGGCAGTTGTTTCCCATCAATGAAGGCAACAGCGCTTTCTTATCTTCACATCGATTGTTAATTATGTTCAAACCTTACTCCATTGTCATATATAATTTTTGCTGGACTGGTGTCAGAGCCAGTCAATGAACTGAGAAATTTCAGTGCTTACTTTTAATGCCAGACCCAATCAAGAGGTTAACATCACTTCCATGACGGAGGAGATAAGCCAGGGATTCATTGGAGCATGTCTTCACGTCATACTCGTCTGGCGTGCCATAATAAAGCTCCACCAACACTTCTGGATCCATGCCAAACGCTGTCAAAAATTCGCGAATACATAGGCCCCATACTAGAACGAGGAAGCCAACCTCATCCACTGTCAACGGACCAGTAGCAGTTCGCTCTTTGAAAAACTTCCGTGCTCCTCCAACACTGTTGTTCCTCCAAAGTTGAAGTGCTTGGCGCCCCAGATCGTTTAGCCATTCAGCCAACTTGCAGCGTAGCCCTCCAAGTTCGGAGAAGCTTTGCAGTCGTTCCTTAACAGCAGGGTCGGGGTGCTCCAAGAGACCAGGACCATCCATAATAAGATCACTTGCGCTGTCCATCGTGGTGGGTTCGCAGGTAGAGTTCAGTTGTGATTCTCATACATGAGCTTCATTACGCCTTGCCAGCTTTGCCTGTGTTGCACGAGGGAACTTGGAAGCACCCCAAGTCAACCCCCAAGTTCACTCTTAGGCTGCTATGAAATTCCAATCGTAGTCTGAAATGGATGTGCTTGAGCGTTCAAGCATTGTGATTTGCCTCAATACTGCTATCTATCACAGATTAAGTACCTGTGCAGTGACCACCCCTTATGCACCCACATATGAGGCGAGATGGCGGTCGCACCGGGCAGACGAGGATTTGGATTGGATGACTTATACCAGAGAGGTTGGTGCAAGACAATATCCGGGAGAAGGGCCACGGTGTATCGTTGTAGGGACTCCCCGGCAACGTCATTTTCCAAGACGTGAGTTATTCTGACATCGCTTTAAATCAGTCAACGCACTGCTCTAAGTCCGTCTCTGTAGCAGTATTTTCTCGGTCGTTCTTCTAGTGACGAGTGAGAGGGCGACTGATGATCTTCGGGTATGTTGAATGTTCCTTAATTCACGTATAACTGAACCAAAGGATCTGACGTTCATAAGTCCTGTACACATAGTGTGATTGCATTTGTAGAGTGTTGATAGAATGTCTGGTCAAATGATATAAAGCAATCAATATGAACAGAAATTGAAGTTTTCCTATAGGTTAGATGGACCCTGTGCATAGTGATTCCAACGAAGTTCAAGTTGGCTACATTGAAAAAAGTCCGTCAGCATAGAAAAGCTAACCAAGTCCTTGTGCTCACAGATTCCACATATCATTGCAAGCCTAACTAAACGGCTGGCCTTGGGTTTTTCCGATGCTCCTGTATACATATATCTTGTCAGCAACTTTGCACACCCTGCACATGCCAGAACGGGGACCCACCGGCACATGCGATGTCTCATGGTCCACATGTACAAATGCTCTCTCGACATTCGGCAATACTTCGATCCTATCTTGGAGTTGTTGACTGAGGTCATGAGCCTTCCAAAGTGGAGTGTTTGCGTCCATCACCACATCTACCTCGACGAAGTAGTTAGGCCCACTCTGTACACCTCTCATCGTCAGTCAACAAAGCGCAAGGTCAATTTGTGACTAACATGATAGGCACGAACGGTGTCAACCTTCTCAATTTCATCGCTGAAAGTCGCTGCCTTGAAAATGACGAGTTGCAGAAATTCATGTGGTGCGGACTTTCCAGCTAGGAGCCCGAATTGTTCATAGATCGTCATGCCCCAAGAGACAATTACACCAAGAGCTATCTGGAAGAGAATACCAAAGCGATCAATGAGACTTTTTGCTGGTAAACAAACTGACGTACTATGATAGCGCCTGTAGGATCCAGCCCTGTAAGTCAAAGGGAAGTGAGTAGTTGGCAGAGGGAACGTGCGGCGAGTTCACCTACACCATCGAAGTTTACTTCCACCAGCAGACATCAGTATACCTTAGAGTAGAAAAAGAAGTGAGTGCCAGCCATGTTCTGTTCTAAGATAGCTTACCAAACCCATTGATGAACAAATCGTTTCGGTGGTCCTCCCACAATACCAAAACCTGGCTCGATTGGTGTCGAAGAGAGTAGCAATACAGAAACAGGATGAATTTCACAGCTAGGCAGATGGCACCATATTCAGTCAAGTGAAAGGTGGGAAGTCAATGACATACCCAGAGCCGCTCCGACAGCAATTATCGACGGCAGGTGGAATGCGGAAAGCTCATCTCCATCCTTGCTGGCAAGCGTGCGGATTGACTCGACTATGACGACCAGGTTGACCGACCCCATACTAAACAACTCACAGATCATTCATGCGCACAACTTCATCTTGTGTGGTTGAAAACTCACAGGAAACCTTGGAATGAGTCAACATGACAGTCGAATAAAGAGCACATAAGGGCCCGCACCATAGATGATATTTCCGATAGTTTCTAGACGTGCACCACCAACTGGCCACCTGTTCTCATCCAATCTCTCAGCTTTCCGATGGAGCCACCACAGCAGAACATTGCTTCCAACATCGAACACGGAGTCGATTCCGGTTGCGATCAAAGATAATGACAAGGAAGAGATAGCCGCGTACACTAGAAGTGCGTGAGTAGATGTGCAGCTAGAAAACGATGCGAGGTGAGGAAGCGTACTCTGAAGGATACACAGTCCTAAGTTGGCAGCGAGACTTGCGTATACGGCAATCTTAACCTGCATTTGGAGATGTTCGATAAATCGAACGTAAAGCTTGAAACTGCCGACTCACAGGCAGACGATAGGCCTCTCCTTCCACTCGAGCGTCCTCCGTGTGCTCCTCCATAGGCTTCAACAGTGAGATAATGAGCTGTAATGCATGTCCGCCGTTGGTAAGCCGAACCCCACTTTGAACACCTTGCAGACATACCTCATTCTGCTTTCCCTGATACTTTGCAACGGGCTTATGTTGCTTACGTCGGCGGAGACCGTCGAGCTCTTCATCAGGAATGAGCCCATCGCGAAACTGGAATGGGTCGATAACACTCGTTGAACCTGAGGCCCTCTCGATGTCAGGTGTGTCAGAGGTTCGGGGCTGTGCACACGACGTTGACATTCGATCTATGGCCATTAAGCAGCGCCAGGCTTACCTCCCTCTCAGCGACCTTTGTGGTTCCGAACGAGCTGGGGTCGTTGGATGATGATTGTGTCATCTGAAAATTGAAAATTCTTGAATCCGGCGGCAGTGAGAACCGAAATAGTGGATACTGCAAACACGATCAGTTAACGTTTTAACTTTGAGTACCATTCTTTTGGTTCGATCCGAAAAATTAGACCCACAAGGACAACACAAGGAACCCTTTCGATTCGAATTCGCCGAGGGTGAAAGGCAAGCACAGGCTGCACACTGTGCACAGCATAAATTTATTGCAGCCTGAGTTCGGACTCCGGCTACGGGATCAGGTCGAGAAAGCAGTTCTCGAATCTCAAAGAATCCTCTTGGAATCCTCAGTGGATCGTGAATGCGTGAACGGTGATTCATGCTGTAGTTCAAAGGAACGGCCTGATTACTGACTTGACTATTGACTTGTCATGACTGGACAATGACCTGCACATCACTAACTTGAAGTCCCGTAGTTTTAGGTACATGCATCATATCCACCAAATATCCACCCTCCCAAAATTAGTCACGACACGCAGCAAATGGTCAAAAAACATCGCGCCGCACTAAATTTTTGGCGGCTTGAAGTTGATGCATGATGCTTGGGGTATCGTCAATCGACAGTTCGCTACGTTCCTCGACAATCGTTTCTTTCGTCCACTCCTCTCAGGCTCCCCAATTTACTTCTTTCTTATATCTCTCCCATCGACGCGTTCTAATCCACGAACGCGCCTCCCAAACTCGCTAAATTTCCTCATGGCCATACACTTGTCACTTGTTAGTCAGGAACGAATTATTATTACAACTCAGTAGAGAATGAATCCATTTCCAATGCCCTATAGCACTTCTTTCCTAAGTTTTGCCTTCCATATCCATCCAATTCACATGTACAACAGGTTCAAGATGTTCAGAAATCATCACCCTCACCGCCATACCTCTTCGGCAGTTGTTTGCCATCAATGAAAGGCAACAGCGCTTTCTTGATGGCGTGGTGACCTGACCCTACCACGGACAGTTTGGCCAGTGTGTTTGCAGAAATTAACGGCTTGAAAGCCCAGAAAATCCAATTCATAATCGTCGGTACGTTGATGAAGAATTTCTTGTACTACCAAGCAAATGTAATTCAGGAGTTGGTAGGACGTATAAGGAGGAGAACGTACGAGAAGTTCCGGGTAGTGGCTTTGGAAGATGTTTGTAACTTCCGAAGCAGCATTCTTGGAATTGGCGTCTCTGCTTGAAAGACCAAGTCCATCATAATCTGTCCACACCTCGGTTAGATACAGAAAAACATAGCTGGACTTTGCTCACCGTGGATTTGAAGCGTTTGATCGACTTCAGTGAAATCTAGTAGTGTCACGCACTTCTCCATCTGAACCACCCTCCAGCTAGGACTAATGAGCACACGGACGGCTCGTTGCGACTTCGTCGCTTACCGAATGAATCTTTGGACATCAGAAAACACGGCTTTTAGATCCTGTCCGCCTCCGTACAAATTATACCTTCAATAATCGAACGTTTATCAGTTCAAGCGTCTGAGAATGCTTCTTGAAGAGACGTACACGATAGGTCGGCCTTCCTTGTCGTGACCATGGATACCACCAAGACCGCCAAAAAGTTCCTCCGGGAATTCTTCCTTCATCGCGGCATTGAGGTCGAACAATTCTCGCCACCGCAGAGTATTCCTGAGCATCTCACGAGCCTCAGATACGCTCAAATTTCTGGGAGGTCGTATCAGATGCTGAGCATCCGACTTAAACTACTCGACAGCATACCTTGCCCGAAGAAACTTCAAAAGTACAACGCTAACTCGGGCATCTTTGGGACTGGTAGGATCGATCTTAACACCCCAAAGAGTAACGGGTGATATCTTCGCGTTGGGATCATCTGGGTATGCGTGAGCAAAGACGTCAGGAAGCTCGCCCTGGTCATGGCTCCAAAATGAGGAATACAAGGGAATATAATGATAGGAAATTGAACGCACCCTGAAAGCTTTGATTGCTGTCCATTCAACCTCCGTGAAGCGTTCTGTCAGGGGACTCTGGGGTTCCGGAGAGTCGTCGCTGGCTTGTTGCTTTGAGGAATCAACTTCTATCGCAGGCACTTCAGGCAACGGTTGAGGTTCTGACGGCACTTCCGTGTGGGCATCGACAGCAGGGGGTGTTTCCGAACTCATCGTGGCTACTGGCCGCTGGAGGTGGGAGTAAGGTGAGGAGTGACTATCTGATAAGATGCTGATTACGTGAAATGTTCATTGTGTTTGTTCGTTGCGTTTCCCACCAATTTCCATGTGCCCCCCCCGGTGAAAGTTGAAACACTTGAAAAAGATACAGCCTCATCTCGACTGGACTACCACCGACACTTATATGCTCCCATAGCAAACTTGAAGCCCCTTACACCGTTATGTTACTTCCTAATGGCCACGACAAGCGCTTTGCCCCAAGTCTTCATGGGAAACAACGATCAAACGACATGACCTGGGGTATACAGGCGGGCAGGCTCCCCATGTATAGTCCAGTTTGGACAAATGATAAACCTTGGCTGCAGAAATCAGCTTCTGCTCTCGTTGCCGGACTCGATGGTCTTAGAATATCTGCTCAACGTTATCTTCCATCTTCGTCGGGAAGAGCGAGCCGCTCACTCACAAGCGCCCCATCCTCAACGACATCGAATATCACCTTCGTTCTATTATGTGGGCTTTGGTACGCTACCTCCGCCATCTCATCTAATACTGGCAAGGCTATCTTGAACCAGTTTCGTTACCCTATAACCCTCACCTTCGTGCAATTTGGCTTCGTTGCCTTCTACTGCCTATTATTCATGTCCCCGCTAGTTCGCCTTTCCAGATTGCGGATGCCGACAAAAAACATCATACAAAGCACATTTCCCATGGGCCTGTTCCAAGTGGGTGGTCACATCTTCTCCAGCATCGCCATTTCCCGCATCCCCGTCAGCACAGTGCACACCATCAAAGTGGGTTTTGATACACTTCGCGTGTTTGCGCGCTTATTGAGAGATGACAGGCATTATCCCCCTTATTCACCGTAGCCGCGTACGCTCTCCTCTTTGGAGTCAGTTACTCGAGCAAAACATACATTTCACTTCTTCCGCTCACCATCGGCGTCATGCTTGCATGTTCGTTCGATGTATCGGCATCAAACGCTACGGGCCTTCTCTGTGCCTTTGGTTCTGCTCTTGTCTTTGTGAGCTCTAATATCTTCTTCAAGAAGATTATGCCGTCAAACACAGGCGGTTTATCGCAACCCACCTCGCACAAGCTTGACAAGATGAATCTCCTCCTATACTCCTCTGGAATGGCATTTATCTTGATGATCCCTATTTGGGCGTACTACGATCTTCCCCTGTTCCTGAGGAATAATTCGGAGCACCTCGTTCATCCCTCTCATGGCCATTCTGCACCCCACTCTGTGACGTATTATTTCTTTATGAATGGTACAGTCCATTACGCCCAGAATATCATTGCCTTCGTCATTCTATCATCGACATCTCCCGTCACCTACTCGATTGCGTCGCTCATCAAACGGGTGGTCGTGATCTGCATCGCTATTGTCTGGTTTAACCAAACCGTCCATCCCATTCAAGCGTTTGGGATCGTTATGACATTCACCGGCCTCTACATGTACAACAATGCAAAGGCAGACGTTGAAAAGGGTGAAAAGAAGATGCGAAGAGTAGAGGCAACGAGAGACATGATGTTGCCTACCACCAAGGAAGAATCTCGGATGATGTTAGGATCAGAAACCCCTCCGGAGCAAAGCCTACCCAACATCAATGTCGCAGAAGCATCTGGTATGGGTCGCCCAGCCGCGTATGGCCGTCCGAGAGGCGTATCTGTTTCGCATCCACCTTCTGCTCATAATCATCACCTTCACCGCTCAAATGCATCGCCAACAAATCTCTTCATTAAAACTGTGGACACGAGTATACCAACGATAAAGGAGAATCATATAGCATCTCCTGTGGATTCCTATCCGTCTCCGCCTCCCTCAATCGACTCCCCTTCGTCGAACGTCCTGCCTTTACCATCTGATCATGCGATACATCCCCATCATCTGGCCGTTGCATAATGCTGGCAGCTTGCTCCCTATCTTACTCGCTCAAGATTATACCACAGCATGATTGGTCTCTTACATAGTACCCCACGTTTTTTGTTATGATATAGAGTTCCACGGACCACTTCGCCTCGAACTTTTAGTTGTATCTTATGCTAGGGTCGCATAAGAACCTTCCTCATTCGCAGACTCGACTCCATTAAAATTTGTGTTGTTATTTATTACTCGAAGAGCACTAATGGAAAAAGTGGGCGAATTAAAAAGTCCCGAGTATCCGTCCGTCCTTGAGAAGCTTCAACCATTCAAACAGCTCCGACCCATGATAGGTAGGCATTCAGATACTTCCACATGCAGCCAGGGGGTCGAGGTGTTCACACACGGGATCTGAAGATGGACAGCATCTCCACTGCCTCAAACTAAGCGGGCCTCCGCATGTATGGTTTGTACCAGTTCGGGGCTTTCCTCGCAGCTGGAACAAGCGAAAATGAAGGCCTTAGCAGACCTAACTTGGACCAAGCCGACTGGTAAACCTTCTACAATGTGGCCAAGACCACGAACACGAAAGACAAAACAGGAGCCGTTCCTGAGGGATCAAAAGATAGAAAAAGGTGCTTCCAGAGAGATGAAAACCTTCAGCTATATCAAGATATCAGAAAAGACTACAACCGGAAACACAATCTCACTTACCACTGTCAGCATCGAGGATAGATTTATATAGAGCGGTTACGAAGGACAAAACGTAACATGAGCAACACTGATGCGAGAACGGTTGGAAAGCCTGGCCGGACCAACTGGCAACAGCATAAGGGAAGCCTGGTGTTTGTTTGAGTGAGTTGGAAGATCATCCAAGCAAAACTAACGAATCACCAGATTCAGACCATAAGGAAGCGGCGAAAGAAGTGAGTGCGTGAGCAGAGTGGCAGTTTATAATCCTGTAAGTTGAGTTTGGTAGGTCAGAGCTGTGTCTCCTGCAAGTTGAAGATGGGATGGGTTCGAAAGACGTTCAGCACAAATTGAGAGCGTGACGGTGTCAGTGTCACATGTCCCCAATTTTTCGCACGTGTTGACACTGAGGGTAACCAAAAGTCTCCCGCCAACGAGCTCATCGACATCCTCAAGACTCCTCAAGCACACTACATAACAATATGGTCCGTACAATCCATCTGAATGCACCAAAAGGGATTGTTGCAGTGGTTTATTCTGCGGATTTACGGTTGGGGGCGTTGGATGGATCAATGAACGACTGGATGAGCCTGCAGCACTTCCCCTAGGTCACCTATGAATCCGCATGAAAAGCTGACTTTCACGACTCTCATAGGCTCGGGGACCCAAAAAGCACTTGAAGCGTCTCGCTGCGCCCTCGTCATGGATGTTGGATAAACTGAGTGGAACATACGTACGCGACCACCTGCACTCACGCAAAAAGATGGTTGAATAATCTGGACGATTTGACAGGCTCCCCGCCCTTCCCCCGGCCCCCACAAACTCCGCGAATCCCTCCCCCTTACTGTCTTCCTTCGCAATAGGCTAAAGTACGCGCTGACTGGCCGTGAAGTTACCGCAATCGTCAAGCAACGCTTGATCAAAATAGACGGCAAGGTCCGCACCGATCCCACCTACCCTGCTGGGTTTATGGGTTGGTCGATTTGTTTTTTGCTCTGGAAGGACTTCGGTCTCTAATCAGACTATAGATGTCATATCAATTGAAAAATCTGGCGAGCACTTCCGTCTCCTGTACGACGTCAAGGGCCGTTTTACCATTCACCGCATCACCCCCGAGGAGGCCAACTACAAGCTCTTGAAAGTCCGTAGAGTTGCCATCGGTGCCCGTGGTGTCCCCCACATCGTCACTCACGACGGCCGAACCATCCGTTACCCAGATCCTCTCATCCAGGTGAACGACACCGTTAAGTTTGATCTTGAGCAAGGCAAGATCACCGACTACGTCAAATTCGACACCGGCAACATTGTCATGATCACTGGCGGGCGTAACATGGGCAGGGCTGGTGTCATCGTTCACAGGGAGAAGCATATCGGTGGATTTGATATTGTACATGTCAAGGACTCTCTGGACAGGACATTTGCCACGCGGTATGTTCTTCATGATATATATTTTGTTCTATTTTTAACGGTTTTACAGGGTGACCAACATCTTTGTCATCGGTGAGGGTATCAAGCCCTGGATCTCACTGCCCAAAGGCAAGGGTACCAAGCTCACGATTTCGGAAGAGAGGGATGTCAAGAGAAAGCAACGGGCCGAGCAATAGATGGAGGTCACATTATGACTATACTTCTTTCTTTTCTCATGCCTATGCCATGTATGTCTCTATGTGACAGCGCAACTTCATACGCTTTTCCAGCTATCTACCTCTCTTCTGTTCGATGCCATATCATGCTGTTGAGATACTTAGGCAACGGCCTATCTACCAATAATCGGGATGTCGATGTGGTACAACAGTGGTTGCACCACGTTTTTTTCTTTCCGCTTCCCATCTGGAAACCCATTTTGACATCTTTCCGCGGCTGGTCTCGCTGCCGACGTTTACAGTTGCGATCATTTTGACCCAATCGAAGGACATGGCGAAGCATGTGAGTTCGTAAAAGGATGAGTGCTCAGAATATGGAACAGGTATTATTTGCAGGGTTGACGTAGGTTTTCCGGACGGTCTTAAATCCGCACATGTAAAGTTTTTCTGTTGAGTACGGGCCAGGGTGCAGGAGACTGATGGCAGCTGGTCTGCACCTGCTGCTTGACTGAATCTAACATGGGTTTAATTGGGGTCATGCGAGATTCAAACTGGAACCCACTGACGTCCAGCCCGTGGGTCGAAATCCTATAACTTTGGTATACGATCCCTTGAATCGATCTAGATACGTCTTGAGGCCATCAGAGGTGATCATTCCCAGCGGAACAAGGTGGACAATAGCGTCCATCGGTTTTGACGTTAACAGTGCGTTTAATTCGGGATCTTCCTGACAGCGAAGAATTGCAGCTTTGCGGGCATCACAATATATTTTGGTCTTGAGTGCGTGAGCAATGGCTACATGAAGGGGAACAGTCAAGAGGAAAGCAGGCTGAGTGATAAATTTAACTCGCCCTTCACAATCCGTTCCTTGCCAATGGAATATGTGCTGGAAAATACATATATCGGTTGGAAGGAAACACAAGCTGGAAAGGCGCTTACCCGACAACGACCAAGGGATGGATATCCACCTCTTTGTGTTTGCTTTTCCCGATGGAATTCAGGGGTTTCAGCCAGGAAGCAATGGTAGCGTTTCCCGCATCGATCGGTTGGTCCGACACCATTTTACGAGCAAATTCAGCACATGCGGAGATAACGAGTGGCTGGGGCGGGAAAGTGTACTTTACGCGAGTTAGATGCGGATAGCCAGGGATGGATTTTGCGGATTCACCTGGGGATCTAGATATGTAGTGTCCAGGTACACATGATCGATGGGTTTCCCCTTGACGGCTGGATGGACGACATGCCTTGGAGATGCACGAAAGTCACCGCAGTGGAGGTACCTGAATACTTTCGAGGATCCAATGAAAGGAGACTTGATACGACTGTCTCCCGCATCGACAGTCTGAAGACCTTCAAAAAAGAAGAGGCAAGAGCCTGGACAGTGATTAGCCTCTATGAGAGTGACTTGCACGCCGTTCGTATTCGGAATGATTGTCGGGACATCCATTGGCAGCGGGTGTACCCATTTGCGGTCAACCGATAGCATGTGTATGATCAGGTTCGCAGTCCCTTGAGAACAGTATATAGGACCGCTTTGCCAGGTAGAGGAGAGGTTGGTGTAGTGGTCAGAATGTGCATGCCTAGTAGAGGTTTCAGCTCTGTAATCAGACAACGGAGCAACATAGAACCAACGTCAGAAAATAAGCAGTTACGCCAGGAATGGTGCCATAACGAAATGCGTCAACAGCAATTGGCATGCCTTGCATTACCTTGTAAAATGGGGCTTTCCTACGACCGCCATTAGCCTTGCCAACGCGAAAAGATTTTTCTTCAGCTACAGCAGCCTCTTTCCAAGCTTCATTGTCTCTATTCGATGTCATTAGAATGGAGAACGCATTACTCTCACTGCGCTTCTGTTTGTTACTGCAGCCCGCAACCTCACAATCAACAGGTGATTCGAGGGGTAAGGAAGAGGTAGAACCAAGTTTTTCCTGCCTTGACTTCAATCTGTTTCTGGACAGATCAAAGCATGAAGGAACAGGACTTTCGAGAATTTTCTAACAAGATGCATCAAGTTCTGACTCATTTTCGAGGATAGTGAAGAAACTCACAAGCGTAGAGGTAGAAATTGATGCGGCTTCTAAACATAGGTCGGCCGATTCATCGGCAACGTCGCAGTCGCCTGTGGCATGTACTACTTTTTCATCATCGCCCATTTCCCAGTCGTCCAACGTCAGGTCAATGTCCACTTCAGCTTCGCCACCAAAATTCGGCTTCGAAGAGACCTTTGGAGGGAGCGCAGGAACATTGAATTTTGACGGCCCCGGCGCGCACTGGTTACGATCGTCTAAAACCATACCGTCAAAACGGGACGCGTTAGAACAAGGTTTCACGGATGTAACACGCGTATTAGACCCCAGTAGAAGGGTAGGAACCCCGAAGCTGAGTGGTGCTGACGTCGATTCAGATTCATGGCAAATCTCGCGTTTGAGGCGGCCCTTGGTGCTGAAACTTGCTTCGCTCCTGATAGCAACGGATGCCTGTTGGATAGAGCTAGCAGGTAATTCTCCTGCATTCAATTTCCTCCGTTTTAAGGCGCGAGTCGCGTCCAAGACTCCAGGCTCCTCGTCATCTGAGTCGTCAATGACAATAACCTCTTGGGAAATAAGCTTCTGTTTCTGAATTCGTTTATCTGGTGTTACTTCTCCAACGATTTTGGAACTGAAAAAGTCGAGCAACGTGATGCTTGATGGCGGTGCTTGAATGACCTTTTTCTTCTGCTTTGTCGCTGGCATGGTCTGAATCAAGTGAAACTGTCGGTCCGTAGTGAAGAAGCTTATCTGAAGTTCATTGCCACGCCGTATCGAACGTCACGAGACCATACATTCTGACCACGAACAATGACGGGCCTGTTAGGCACACTGCCCTTACTCTCAACAGTAGGTGCCATCCAGTTACACTTGTCGTTCAACATCTGACCTCCTTATTACTTGAAGCGTTTGAACAGGACGTTACTAAGGGGTTTTTCATATCGAACCATATTCCACCATTCTAGCATAAATGTGTCGCCATCTCTTCTCAGGTTGGGTAACTCGGAGTTGCCTCACTGCCGTCGCGACCATCGCCTCACCATCATGACTTCTGCTGTTGAGAAAAGCGTCTCACAGGCTCCCAAACCCACCTATATTCTGCACAGAACACCCTGGCGGCCCCCAGTAGCTGTCGCAGCGCAAGGCATTTACGTGGACCTGGAAAATGGTCAGCGCCTCATTGATGCTGTGGGTGGAGCAGCTGTCGCATGCATCGGAAATGGTCATCCAAGGGTAGTTCAAGCTCTCAAAGATCAGGTCGATAAGGTTTCATGTCAGCCGTCCTTATTCCGAGGACACTTCCTTTTACTCAACCGGCCATAGATGTTTACAACATGCAACTGTCGAACCAACCGGCCGAGGCACTTGCGAAAAAATTGGTCGACAGCAGCAAGGGTGCCTTCGCACTCTGTGGTTTTGCTTCTGGAGGTAAGAACGACACCTCAGCTGTTGCCGAGCGAACGCCATGTAAAATATAACACAGGCTCTGAGGCCATGGAGAGTGTCCTCAAGCTCGCCCGGCAGGCATGTTTTCCATAAAATAAATAAACGTCTCTTATTGAATTTACCTTGTGCAGTATGTGGTGGAGACAGGTCAACTCAAACGCAAGAACTTCATTGCACGGCAAATGTCGTTCCACGGGAATACCCTCGGAACATTGTCTTGCGCCTTCCACCCCACAAGGCGCGCGCCTTATGAAGCTATTTTAGATCACGACAATTTCCATCATGTTTCTCCCGCCTTTTACAAGCGCCATCGAAACCAGAATGAAACAGAAGAACAATATGTTGAACGGTTGAAAAAAGAGTTGGACGATAAATTTGTTGCCCTTGGTCCTGAAACAGTCATTGGGTGTGAGCATGCATTCTGGCCTTATCATTCGTCAGACTTCATCAGAGGACACAGTTGTTGCAGAAACTGTTGTCGGAGCTTCGACCGGCGTCGTCGCTGCTCCAAAAGGTTACTTCAAAGGCAAGGGGCTCGATTGGTCAATTAACGCCTGAGCTGAACCATCTCACTAGCTATGAAGTCTGTCTGCGACAAATACGGAGCATTGTTCATCCTTGATGAGGTATGTGACGTTAGTATGTAATTCTTGCTGCTTGAATAGTCCACCAGGTTATGAGTGGAATGGGCCGTTCGTGATTCTTGACTTTGTGTCCGAACTATCATTTAATCCACCATGACGCGTTAGGTATGGGGACACTGCATGCTTGGGAATCATTTGGTGATGGGATCGCCGTGAGCCTCATCAACTGCCCATTCCACTTAAATTTTGAAACTTGTATAGCCTGATATCCAAGCTGTGGCAAAGGGATTGGGAGGAGGGTAAGATTTAGCTTTTTTAACTCTGGGGACAGATTATTGACAGCCTAGCAAGGTATGCCACCATCGGTGCAATTCTCATATCACAAAAGATCGCTGACGGGATCCGCGACAACTCTGGACTATGGAAACACGGACACACATACCAGGTATAACGAAAACGACCCTTGAGTAGACAGCGCAGTGATTCAATGATTCATACAGGCCCATCCCTTAGCATGCGCAGCCGCTCTCGCTGTCCAAGAAGTCATTGAATCTGAGAACCTGCTAGAAAATATCCGAATTCAGGGAGCTTATCTAAGTATAGGCAGTAAGACTCGTCATCTTGTGTTTTTCTAACGCGTCGTTTCAGAGCATTTATTGCAAGAGCGCCTAACTGGGCCTAATGCGTTAGCCGCCCCGTTCGTCTTTGACATTCGCGGGAGCGGTGGGTTCTGGGGAATTGAGTTTGATCTTACGGGTTTGGCTGCAGCCTCTTTCAATCTTAGAGGAGAACCACTCGCTATGGCCATTCAAGCTCGTGCTTTGGAGAACGGCCTCATCGTCATGGGCATGACGGGCGTTGCCAACTTGGAAGGGACGCGAGGCGACGTAATCATTTTAGCGCCTGCTTACAACGTGACGAAAGAAGAGATAGACAAGATTGTCGAGGTGTTTGTGGAGAGTGTTGAAGGAGTATTGAAGGAGTCAGCTGTGGTCTAAATTAGCTGTGTTACATAGTTGCTCCGAGCAGCCGAACCGTTCTGGCTGAGTCCGAGTCCGAGAGGGCACGCCACCCATGCTTATATAAGACAGGATTGCATTAGGGCGTTTGACAAGGTCAGACCTTTCTTCCGGACTTCCACAACCTTCTACGCTTGCTGTAGTCATTCCAGGTAACTGCTCAGACGCCAGGATCGATGGCTGCGTGCATGTACTAAATGGATATACAACCAATCCATCAACAAGAAGCCACAAGCAGCTCCAGTGCATCCACCGCTCCCCAGGATTCGTTACCCACAGAATCGAAGGCTTTACGCTCGAGTGCAAGAGTAAAAGCAGCCAAACAGAAATCAAAGTCCAAGGGAAAGGGAAAGGAACGCGAGGTGAACGATATCGACCAACAACCATCAGCATCTTCCTCCGCACCATCAACGGAAACCACCGCCACCACAGCCGCAACTCGTAGTCGTGCCACCACCGGCTCGGCAAAGCAGAAACGTAGTCGGGAAGCTGCAATTGGAAAAGGAAAGGGTAAAGAAATCTCTGAAGAACTCCCCTCACGTTCCGTCAAACGGTACGTCGAAATTCCTCTTACAATCGGATCACTGTGCTTTGCTCACTCTACTACCCTTCAGAATTCGTCGTAATACGTCCGCCACTACAGCACCTTTGTCAATCAACGAACCAGTAAGGGACCACAAGGGGAAAAAACGAGCCGCGCCTGATTTAGACGACGAAGATAACGCCGGCCCCTCTTCTAAACGATCCAGGACAACCGCATATTCTCTCCGATCCAACACCTCGTCCCCCCAAGTTTTAGAAATGCCTAAGAAAACTAGGTATAGTTCTCACCTTAGCTCGCGACGTTCCTGATCTGACAAGAACTGCTACAGACAATCCACGAGTAAGGGCAAAGCAGCGTTCAAGTCTAAGATGGCCATAGCTGGGCCCTCGAGACTCGAAGATGAAGATATTGATATGATTGACACTGCTGAAACCGAGCTTCACAAGCAAGAAGACTTTGGTGCAGAAGATCACGCAGGACCCATAGCAGAGGTCGAGGGGACTAAAGAAGGGGGAGAGGTTGAGCCTGAGATACATGGCATTAGTGGTTTGGATGATGATGGGGAGGACGATGATGACGATGAAGGAGGTGATGGCGATGATGTCCCTGGTGACGACGAAGGCATGGTTCCATCTAGCGACGGCCCGCCAATCCCTGGCGGTCTGGACGAAACTGCCGCTATGGCGATCTTCGGTGATTATCGTCAGTTCGGCTCTTACATGATGTCGCTATCATCGCGTCTCAAGACTATGTTGACGAACATCAAATCCACTGCGGATCCAACCACCCGTCTCGTTACCTTGCAGGAGCTTAGCGAACTGCTTAGCATCAGCACTGAAGATACTTTGGCGGGCTCCTTTCAGGTTGAGCAGTTCGTCAGGGAGCTTGTCAAGATCCTGGGTGGTCGTGGGGCTGATGAAGATGAAGATGACGAAGGAGACGAGGAAAATGCTGAACAAGACGAGGATGCTGCCCTCGCTGCGGCTCTTGCCATGAGCACAGGTGGCAGCTTCCAGGGCGATGATAATCTGGAAGCGCAGGTCCTTGCTTGCCGATGCTTGGCAAACTTAATGGAGGCGCTTCCTGGTGTTGCCCACACCGTCGTGTATCATGGAGCCATTCCTGTACTCTGCAGCAAGCTTATTGAGATATCGTACATTGACCTAGCTGAGCAAACGCTGAGTGTAAGTTTCCAACATTTACATAACTTCTTTTTTTTTTCTAATTGAGGATCCTAGACTATGGAAAAGATTTCTGAAGAATTCCCCAGCTCGATTGTCAGGGAGGGGGGTCTCGCCGCGTTACTAAACTACCTAGATTTCTTTTCTATTGCAGTTCAACGAACCGCACTCCAAGCAGCGTCAAACTGCTGCCGAAACGTTTCTCCAGAGCACTTCCCAATGATTCATGGAGTGTGGCCAATCATCAGGAATTGTCTATCCTATTCAGACCAACGACTGGTTGAATTTGCATGTCTTTGCGTTATACGGGTGGTTGACTCCTACCACCGTGCTTCCGTTGAAAATCTTGAAGCTCTGGTAGACACTGCCCTAATCAGAGCTGTCAATCAGCTTCTGTTACCGGCAGGTGGCTCTCCATTGATAGCGTCCAACACATACACTCTATTGTTGCGTGCGCTGGCCACTTCGGCGAGAGCTAGTCCCAAAATTACGGTTGCCCTCCTGGAGGCTGATATAGTCGACACTCTTTACCAAATTCTGACCGGGGTACTGCCATCCGCTTCAGAAGCAGCAGAGGGACAGGGAGGTGCCGCAGGAGGACAGGGATTAGGTGGTGGTCTTGCTGACATGACCATTATGGATAATCTAGCGCATCGACCAAAGGATCAAGTCGAAGAGGCCTTAAGTCTGATCTCGGAGTTATTACCGCCGCTACCTAAAGGTGAAGTATTTCGTTTCATGTCACATCGCTTTTTCATTGAGGCCTATATCCAGACGGCGTTTTCGATCACAAAGCATACACAGAAAAATCCCTCGCTCGTATGGTGAAAGCAAAGGCTAAAGCAGAAAGAGCTGCAGCTCGCCAAGTTCCACAACCGACACCCAGTCCAACGATCATGCCGTCACTTGACACAGTGTCCGCGCCCCTTGCTGAGAACGAAGCATCTCCTGCTCCCGGCCCAGCATCGGAGGTAGCAGGACCAGAGTCTGAAGATGCTGCGGTTATTTCCGGTATTAAGGACGTCGCTCCTGATCGTACAGAGATATTACGATCGACACACGCCGTTAGCCGATTCATGCAGCTTTTGGTGCCGATTTTGATAGATGTCTACGCCGCCAGCGTGATCACCCCGGTCAGAATTAAAACACTCACTGGCTTATTGAAGGCTGTTAGCTTTATGGACGCTGATGGGCTCAAGAGCGTCTTAATGGTGGGGACCCTTTTTACTCTTTTCATTTCGTGAACTGACCCCTTGTTTAGTTCGTACCCGTTGCGAGCTTCGCTTCATCGATCTTATCATCTAAAGATCACCCATCTCTTGTTATCGGCGCCCTTCAGTTAGTGGACTTGCTACTCGCAAAGTTACCCTCGTTGTACAAGCCAACTTTCCGCCGCGAAGGAGTCTTCCACGAAATAGAGACAATGTCCGAGCGAACGGTGACTTCCACGAAGTCAAAAGACAAGGACAAGGAATCCAATGAGTCCCCGGAACCTGTTGTGCAGCCAATTTCCACTTCCTCAATACCGGGTTTCAAAAAACTATCTTCTTTGTCGCTGGATCCGGAGGATGCGATTACCTTAAGAGCCCGTGTCATACAGTTCAAGTATTTGAATGGCGATGAAGACAAAAATGAAGACAGCGCTTTCGAAAGCCTTCGCCGCCTCGTCGATCGGATTTCAGATCAGAACGCCACGGAGAAAGAACTTTCCGAAGGGCTTTGGGAGCTCGCTGAGCTCTTCTCATCACCTCATACTTCGGTATCAAGCTTTGAACTGCTGCAGAGTGGAGTTGTCGACGGACTGCTTCAATTCGCTGTTGATGAACACCGTGCAGGTATTTGTTTCGTTTGATTCAAGATTTCCTCATTTTATAACTGGCCTCTCAGTGAATAGCAAAAGACGCAAGGAAATGTTCTTGGATGCATTTGCAGGCAGAAAAGTGAAATCAATGGGTAATAGTCAATCTCCGTTTGCAATTCTTGTCAAAAAATTGCAGGAAAGCCTCACGAGAATGGAGTCATTCGATGTTATTACAGTCACACAAAACAGTGATGGTATGATCTTCTGAAGACTAAGTTGTCTTTTTTTTGTTGAGAGCTGACACAACTTGGTAGATTCCAAACGAAGCTCCCCTTCCTTGCTCGCTCGCCAACTCCGCCTTCGCCTCATTACGGGTGATGAATCAGATGTTCCTCGAAATCTCCACAACATCGTTGTTTCCATCCATGCAATAGCTACCTTCCAGGCGCTCCATGACTACTTGCGTCCTCGTGTAGCTGGCTTACTGGGCCCTGGCTCTCGGTTATCGGGAATGTTCGCAGCTCTCGCCGCCTCTAATTTCACTGGATCGACATCGCGAGCATTAAACGAGGAATCATCTCAAGCGTCAAAGACTGTTTCAGGGGCGCTCGAGACCAATCCTCCTCCTCCTGTTGCACCAGCCATTGTTACCCGCCGTCGTAGTCAACGTCTGAGTGCTAAAGCCAACCCTTCTGCTGCTAGCGAAAGTGTCTCTGCTACAGATCAAATCGTTGCAGATGCATCAGCCTCTGCTGGACCATCGCTTCAGGGAGAGACAACTGTTGTGGAGCCAGCGCCAAGTGAAACTGTGGTTGACTCCGAGCTACAAGCTGACTTTTCGGACGATGAGGATATCGATGCTGAGGTCTACGATGAAGAGGTCGATCCTGATATCTCAGTTGCAGATAAGACAATATCATTGTCGGTCATAGAAGGTCGCAAATTCATATCATTCTATCTTTTTTTGAAGACTCATATCTGTGCCACAGATGGTTCAAAGATCGAAGCTCAAACACCAGATGGAACACGTGTCGCCACACCGAGTGCCTCTGTTCAAGATGGTCCAACCCCGCCCTCGCTTCGTGCCTCCTTATCTAATAAAGCATCTTACGCTGCTGCTTTGAAAGCTAAACCCACTGATTGGCACCTCGAGTTCTCAATGGATGACCAGGTTCTTCCACTGGACCTAACCGTCTACGGTGCTATCCATCAACATGAAATGCGAAAGAAGACTGGTGCACTGCCACTCAACATGATCTGGCAAGGTGTATACACGATTAAATTTAAGAAAGTCGCTGGGCCACTCCCAAGTTCTGAAAGTAGGTCATCACTCTTTATGTGTAACATACAAGCTAATCTCCTCAGGCCGCGGGGACGACATCGGAACCAAGAACAGATCGCCCAGTCCTTCTCTTTCGTCTTTGCCCGATGACGCGCCGCACGCAAAGATCTTGCGACTCCTGCGTGTCTTGAATCAACTAAACACTTTGGAGGCTGAACGATCTGTTTTTGTTGGAGAAAAGCGGAACCTTCCTGATTCGGCCTTTATCAACAATAAGCTGACTGCTAAACTCTCTCGTCAATTGGAGGAGCCTATGATAGTTGCTAGGTATGTTTGGGTCATGGTCCTCACCCTTTTCTTTGCTGATACCTTCCTACGCAGCTCATGTCTACCGGATTGGGCTTTGGACCTGCCACAGCATTTCCCTTTCCTATTCCCTTTTGCTACGCGTTATAACTTCATACAGTCAACTTCCTTCGGATACGCACGTCTGATTCTCAAATGGCAAAGTCAACAAACTCGCGGGCAAGACAGCTCTCGGAGGGACGATGGGATTGGTTTCCTTGGAAGATTGCAAAGACAAAAGGTCCGAATCTCCCGCAAGCACATTTTGGAATCGGCAGTCAAAGTGTTCGAGCTGTATGGGTCCTCATCTTCAGTCTTGGAGGTTGAATATTTTGAGGAGGTTGGGACAGGCCTTGGTCCAACGCTCGAATTCTATTCTTTGGTCTCCAAAGAGTTTGCTCGTAAAGACCTCAAGATCTGGAGGGATTCGGACGCAGCAGGCTCTGGCGTCTATGTCGACCACCCAACTGGCCTCTACCCAGCCCCTATAAGCCGAGAAGATATTGCAAACGATGGGGGACAGTAGGTGTCTCCCTTATTTCGCTCCTTCATGAGCTCAATGCTTTCTTAGGAAACGGTCTCATATCTTACGAGTCGTTGGACAATTTGTTGCAAAGGCGATGCTTGATTCGCGTATCATTGACTTATCGTTCAGCAAGGTCTTCCTGAAGCTCGTCCTCGGGGAAGAAGTTCCCCTCACACTGGCTTCTCTCAAAGTGAGTTGTATCATATACAAAAAAAGTGATGAAGCTTACTGTCATAAGCTTGTGGATATGGACCTTGCCAACTCTCTCGCCAAACTGCAGAGTATCGCACAGGATAGCAGCAACATCGCCACTGACCCAGTAAGTTTTCGTCTAACCTCAAACAATATATTCACTAAAAACTCCGTTAAGCTGTCACTCAAGGTTGCCAGAATAGAAAAAGTAACCATTGAAGACCTCGAGCTTGATTTCACCATTCCCGGTTATGACGTTGAGCTACGGGTAAGATACAAACTTGAAATATGCTTCATGTGCGCTCAACTTCTGTTCAACAGGAAAATGGCCGAAATATACCTGTGACTTCCGCAAACGTCGATGAATACGTTCATGAAGTTTTGGACGCTATTCTTGGCAAAGGAATTCAGATACAAGCGAAGGCATTCCGAGATGGTTTCTCAAAAGTGTTCCCCATGTCCGATTTGCGCGCATTCACGGCTGATGAGCTAGTAATGCTCTTTGGCAATGCTGATGAAGATTGGAGCATCGAAAGTCAGTATTTTGCACATCTTTTGCGCCTCTCCCGTCATAATCATCTTACTTGTTTTCTCTCCAGCGCTTTCGGAAGCTTTGAAGGCAGACCATGGCTTTAACGTTGAGAGTCGTGCGATTCGAGACCTCCTGGAGATTATGGCCCAGTATGATCGACCAACCCGTCGCGCATACCTTCAGTTCATCACTGGAAGTCCTAAGCTCCCTATTGGCGGTAAGTTCATTGTTTGGATCGTATCGAATAATCTTTCACCTATTAAATGTAGGCTTCCGAGGGTTAAATCCTGCTTTGACTGTTGTTCGAAAACCTCACGAAGCACCCCTGACGGCGGATGATTATCTTCCAAGTGTGATGACATGTGTCAATTATCTCAAGTTGCCAGAGTATAGCACGAAGGCAGTCATGCGCGAAAAGTTGCGCATTGCTATCCAGGAAGGTGTGGGCAGTTTCCATTTGTCCTGATTATTTTCGACATGTTACATCTCTAAACGCACTCCAACGTCCTACACACTCCTACGCATCACTCTTCTTGACTGTGCTTTCAATAATAACTTTAGAGCCCAAGTAACTAGTACTCTGCGAAATTGAATTTCATCAAGATGGCGTGAGGGATGACTAAGATTAAGAGGTCGATTATGTAAGGGTCCAACACTGCTCTCGCTTATTTCTCTACAACTGCCGTGACTATTTCTCTCCTCTACTAAGTATGTCGAAACATCATCCAGGTATGCGAACAGTAGCCATTCGTGTGAAACGTGTTCTAATGTTTTGAAGATCTTATAATGTGCCGACGTCAGCCTGGCATCGGTATGTGGAACGCTCCTCAATCAATAGCAACATTCTCATCTGGTTCAAACAGCAATTGGTCGCTTATGCGAGAAATGCGACGGGAAATGGTACGTTTATCATGAAATCGAACAGCAAGATAACTTTGACACGTCATGTAGTCCTGTTTGTGATTCGTACGTCCGACCAGAAACTCTTGTTCGGATATGCGACGAGTGTAACTTTGGTACATATGGGGGACGATGCATAATTTGCGGCTCACCTGGTACGCCGTGCTACCGTCTGGCGATTTGGCGTGTCCTCATTGATAAATCTAGGTATCTCTGACGCGTATTATTGTGCGGAGTGCACGCGACTCGAGAAGGATCGTGATGGCTGCCCGAAAATTGTGAATCTGGGTGCAAGCAGGACGGACTTGTTCTATGAACGACGTCGTCTAGGCAAGTTGCCAACAGTACCTTGCCTGTGTCATGCTCACTCAGTATTTTAGGTTTCAAGAAAGGCTAGTCTACAAATATGGCAATACGTGTAATATAGACAGATACATGTCGGTCATTGTACAAGCATGTGCTGGGCCGTGGTCAGCGGTAAACGGGGTAGGGAATAGCAGGTGGACTGCCGTTCGGGCTGTCCAAATTCGCAAAGCTTCTGTTGGTTGGTTATTAGAAGTACCAGATACATGCACAGAGGGTTACATACTTGAACAGCTGCATGTCAATCTAATCGGCGATGAAAGGTGGCAGTCAGTAATGGTTTAAAAGAGGAATTTCATCGGACAAACCGTAGATTTGAAAACAATGAAAACGTGGGTGTCATCGTGTGTATCCACAGCCTCGCAAGTGTCGCAGAGGTCGATGCCACAATACGCACAGCGAAACCATTCGCCGTGAATGCAATCCAGGCATCGATCACATAGGGCTGCCGGATGCACAAGAGACTTCAAATAAGCTGAGCAGTTCACGATGTCAATTAATAAGGTTCTGTGGAATTTAAGTGTAAGAACGGACCTCCCGGACCATCAGACTCCGGCGAATTACTATTACGAGTGCCTGCGGGTAGTTGGTACCTTAAAAGTTGAAGAAAAAAAATGAGAAAGACTCCATTGATCGACGTAATGTGTTACTGACAGTGGCGGGAGCAGGGCGTATGGGGCTTGAATGGGCCTTTGAACTGGTCTTGGAAGCTTGAAAAAAATATGCATTGGATCATGCACCAAGTATGACTGAGCTTCGCATCCCTCGCACTGTTCAAAAGGATTAGGCAAGGGCAGCGAAATTCAAACGACCTTGTTACCAGGCTATATGATGCTGTTGTAGATGGACAATGGGCGCATTGATACCTCGTGCCAATGATAGGCTAAATAAAAGTTCCTTAAGCCCTGGGGGAATGGATATATGGCCAAAAGACTTACCTGACGACAAGCGTTGCAATTTACTCGATGCTCGTCAGACGATTGCGAGGTATGATCCCTTGATCCCGATCCAACAACGGTACGAGCATAAGATGACACTTCCGACTTCGCTTTGGATCGTGGAACTGCGAAGCCAACGTTTGCTGCGTCTCTTCCCGTCCACAAATGAATTGCGCGGCTGCTTGCCCTTTGAAGCTAATAAAAAAGAGATTGACCATAGCTCTTGATAGTGTCAAAGTCACCTACCTCAGTTGTTTCCAGAGGATATGGTATCTAATGAAAGCTTTTCAAAAGATTGTTGATGAAAGATTTCTGATCATACCTTGATTAGAATATGGGATGAATTGTGTCCTCCGTCTGACGAATCGAGATTTCCCGGTAACCCAGCTGATTCGCAGTTTGAACAGATATCGACGGAATCACATATCGCGCAGTGAAAGCGTGCACCAACGATGTCAAGAAGACAGCTGATGTCGTACGTAATTAACCTCATAGATGCGCATTGAAAATTTACTCACTGTGCACATTTGACTCCAGGATGTTTAAGAGCTTACAGATGGTGAATATTCGTTGCCGCGAGCACCAGCATAGTTAACTCACAAAGTTCTTCGCTGGGGTCAGGGGGTATGTTGGGAAGGTAGTCGGGTTCGCTATGGGAACGCATAGGTTTATCCGGAACGATCAGGAAAGCGTGGGTTGGGTGTAGTTCGTGGACTTGACTAAAGATGAGGTTTTTAAAAACTCCCGCGAAACTGAGGAAGAATGATACCTATAGCAAGCGCGACATAGGTGTAGTTTCGGACAGGAAGCACACTTGTATCTCTTGCGAGGCGTTACTGCAGAACACGTCGAGCATTTAGAAACCTTATTCTCGTCGAGGACTATCATTCACAAGTTTCATCAGCTGTGACCCGCCAATCCAGTAGAAAACGTCATCTACGTACCAACATCTTCCCAACCTGATTGGCTCCAAACCTTTTCTTTATATGCGTGCCGGAATTGACCCTTTTTAGGAGCTGCGCGCCTCCATTGCAATGCCCGCTGTGCATCTGCTGGGGATAATGCAGAATCTGGACTATAGCCAGGAGACACTCCAGGAGTCGCAAGTCCAGCCTCTATTGCATGGTGAACTCCAGCGGATTCGATACAACCTGAGCACAATTCGTACCCAGCGTGAGTTTCCGTTGTTTGAAGTGGTAAAGTACTGCTAGACCCCCAAAGAGATGGAAGAGACGGGAGAGAAGGAAATGATGACATTGAAGGCAGAGAAGGGAGTGGTTTTGAACGTTGGACGTTGGCCAATGACTCCAAACTTCCGACATATGTTTGCGAGGAACTAGAACCACCGCTCGATAATGGCTGGCGAGGTGGGTACGAATAAAGGGTCTCTTCTGGGTCAGCAAAAGACTTTTGCATTGGCGATTTCTCGCCACAGGTAGAGCAAACGTAGCGAATGGCGTCAAGATGAACGCCGCAATGGGAGCAATCAGTAAGAATTTCTGGAGGTGGCGCAGTCATCGAGAGGTAGGGCAGAAACTCCTTGTCGAAACCAGAGTTAGCAAGGGGATGACTGAGAGTTGGTAGAGGATCAGAGTTGTGTGTATAAAACGAAGGTGTTGATGTTGATGGATGTGGCCTTCGATTTTCCACGGAGTCTACTTGCTGCGCAGCAAGCCAATTCAGATGCATGGAGGTTGGTCTTGGTTTTACTACCTGAATTCCTTCTGCTACCCCGTCTTCGTCAGGGTCATGTCCTTCGTCATCGCCAGAGCCATGAGTCTGTGAGGCAGAACCGGAGGTATATGTATAGTAATATTTGCCACGCGGATCCCTCTCTAGTGCGAGATCCCCGCCCAATTCGTCTTGCGAATCAAGAGAAAGCGACAGGCTATCTGGAATTGACGGCTCTGGCAAAGCGCCTAGCATTGAACGTATGGTACGCTCGTTCTGGTCACGCAACCATGCAGCTCCTCGGTCATTGGCAGCTAGCGACTCATAATCGATGCTAGAAGAATCATCACCAAGCGCCTCCTGCAATTTGAGGCGTTCGAATACCGCGGAGGGATCCTCGGGGTAGCGCTCTGATGCAGATAATTCACCCTCATCTGCAAATGGGTCGTGGGCTGTCGCATCACCTTTTGTAATATTAGAATCGTCCATCCTGCTCACAGAGGTGATGCCAATCGAAAATGTATCATGTGATGAACCATTTACACCCTTCCGTGGCCCGCTAAACGTAGAAGAAGAATGTGAGGCCCTTGAATTGACAAGCGATGAGGCGCCTTGATCCTTAGAACTGACAGTGACGGAGTCATCATCAAGGTCAACGGAAGGGGCGCCAAAAGAGAAAGATTGCTGACTTCCGTTACGATTTCTGTAATCGTCCAAGCTCACAAGCGATGATGTATCTGAGAGGCTAGGTCCGTCGTAGTCGACTGTGATGCTGACACGAAGAGTGACCTTCCGTGGACCGAAGCTCCGCCCAGAAAGAATGGATGCTGCAGATGATAAAGGGGCGTCATCACCTGCTTGAAAGTATTGAATTGCTTCGGTGAGATCAGTCTCGGTGGTGATATTGGTTATCTCTCCATCATCGTCCTTGTACGCAATAGCGTATGAAGTGGAATATAACGAGAAACACTGCTCGACCTTATTTCACAAGTCAGAGGAGAGTAGCGATAGGTTCGTGCGCTTACCTTGTGCCGGAGTAAATCATAGGAGCAATTCCGTGCGGAACTGAATGTGATTCTCTTGTGCCATTTGTCGAAAGTGCATTTTACAATGAGGGGCCGATCTGGGCGACTGTGCATCTGAAATTAGGTTAGTAGTTTGAAGAAAGGTGAGCGAGCACTAGCAAATTCAGACTGCCGCTGGTAGACATCTCCGCAGCGTTATCATCAAGTATTTACGTTTATTTAACACCAATATAAGCATGACATTTTCTACCGGTTGCCAACCGGCAGAGAACGATGCTCGTGAGCAGCTGCCAACGCTCCTTCTTTCGACGCACGATGTCTACATGCAAGCTCGTTCGCCGACCAGAGAACTGGAAAGCTGCTGCCCCAGATCCTCTCCCCAATTCCCTCACTTTCGCCTCTCAGTCGACCCTGACGAAGTTGCCGGTCCCTGCACTCCATGATACCCTCTCACGTCTGAAGGATACCTTGAAACCTATTGCGTGGTCGGATGCGGAATACAACGCTATAGATAAAATGATAGACTTATTTGCCGCCAACGAGGGTCCTGTACTCCATTCCCGGTTGTTGAAGCGGGCGGAGGATACCCAACACTGGCTAGAGAATTGGTGGGATGATGGAGGTTATTTAGGCTACCGGGACTCCGTACGTCTTTGTCTTTACCGATTATAAATTTCTCAACTTTAGTGGCCGTAGGTTGTTGTTAACGTCTCTTATTATTGTGTGTCCACGCTCAATCGTTCATCATTTTAACGGTGCTCATATGTCTTCTCAGATGGTTTCGACCGTCCTCCTGCCCATCTCGGACAAACTCCTGTCGCAAAAGCTGCGGGTATTGCACGCGCCGCAATGATCTTCCGCCAACGATTGAAGCAAGGCCTCATCAAACCAGAAGCCACCAAGGAGGGACCAATTTGCATGGACACATATCGGTGAGCTATGCAGGTCGGGATGAAATGTTCAATATTTATTTCCAACTAGTTGGATGTTTGATTGTTGCCGGGTGCCCGGCCCAGAGGGCCTCGATTGGAGTGTTTCCTATGCAAAGGCAGGCGACTTTGGAGAATCTGGGCACATCATAGTTTTGCGGAAGAACCGGGTGTGGAAAGTTGAAATGACACACAATAAACGGATTCTAAGCACACAGGAAGTTGAACAGTGAGCCTCTCTCATTCATTCGTGTCGTTGATCAGGCTCAGCTTAAGCGAACAGGCAAATACAACACATTTACGATAACACTTTACAGGATTACCCCGGCGTCGGCGTTTTGACGGCGTCTAATCGTGATATTTGGGCGAAGGTATGAGTTCAGGGTGCTGATTTCTTGAATGCTTCAAGAGACGGACTGAACACGGGGTGCCAGGACTATAACGAACTCGCATCATCACCCGTCAACTCATCTATACTGAAAGCTATACAGTCCTCTGCATTTATCATCAGCCTCGACTCCTCCGCGCCTACAACTCCAGTACATCACAGTCGAGCTTTGTGGCATGGCGACGTCATCGACGGAGTACCTACCGGCCTTCGCAACCGCTGGGTGGACAAACCTTGCCAGTTTGTTGTGTTCGACAATGCATGTGCTGGCTTTATGGGTGAACATTCAGTTATGGATGGCACGCCGACTGCGCGGATGTGCGATGATGTTCTCGACATGCTCTACGACCCTGCATTTGAACATGGAACTGCCGCTGTCTCGCTGACACCTGCTGCTCTGGACTGGGAAATTTCTCCAGCCATCTCCAAGGCCATTTCTGTTGCTGACGCTGCCGCAAGGGACCTAACAGAGAGTCAAGAATTGAATTTCCATCTTACATCGTACGGGAAGGCTGCGATTAAGGAGTTTGGTGTTTCGCCAGATTCATGGGCACAAATGATTATCCAGCTAGCATATAAGCGACTTATTGGAAATGAGAATCGAATTGGCGCGACTTACGAAGCTGCAACGACTCGGAAGTTTTACAAAGGGCGTACAGAAGCAATTCGTGTTGTGACGAATGAATCCGACGCTTGGGTTAGAAGTATGGACGATAAGAATGTAAATGCGGTTCAGCGGAAGAAACTTTTTGACCAAGCTACCAAAAAGCATGTGAGTCTAGCAAAAACCGCTGGTCAGGGCCAGGGTGTTGACCGCCATTTGTTCGGTACGCTTCATAGCTAATATGACGCTGATTGGGGCTGGTCTGATATTTCAATAGGGTTGAAGAAGCTCCTACGCGAGGGGGAGGCTACACCCGCGCTCTTCACTGACCCTGTCTACATTCGCTCGAGCTACTGGTGCCTGAGCACTTCGGCGATCTTTTCAAAACACTTCCCAGTGTATGGGTGGGGTGAGGTGCGCTGTTTTTTTTTTACCACTTCACTCGTCACCCTGACCCCTTTTTTTTCTGGAGGTTGTCCCTGATGGCTTTGGAGTTGCGTACATGACTGGTTATGATGGTGACTTTTTTACGCCCAATTTTTCTTACTTTCTGAGTTGAAGAACATGGCTAGATCGTCTGCAATACACCGTAACATCCCGCAAGGAAATGCCAAATGCCAAGTTTACGCAGGAAATCTCACGGGCAGCTGATGATCTCTACGCGTTACACGCGGAAGTCGGCGCTACAAAGCCCAAACTGTGAGCTTTGGAGATTCACTATAGTGAGGCAATTGCGGATGGCATATGTGGTATCTCCTGGAAAGCGCGTTGGACCAGTACCACGCCGCTTGATCATATCATTTGCTTTTGCAGTTAGTTACATAGTTACACAAATCGATTTGGCGTAACAGACATTCTATTCTCAAACTTTAAGAGTTTTAGAGGACAGTAGGCTGGCTCACAAGAAAATCGTGGTATGTGCGTAAATGCAGCACGATGTAAACGTGATCATGAATTATTTATGTAACATTGTAAAAGGGACAAGTTATTTTTGACAACGTGCGACAGCCAATACTTCTTCATCTCATTTGCGCCCATTATGTCCGCTAGCCGTTTCGAACCATCAAGCATTAAAAACAAGATAAAACGGGAGGAGATTTCTCGTAAATCAAAGAAAGCTAAAAATCAACACAAGCTTCAAAAGCGGCTGGCTCAAGCGAAGGAAGAGGCCAATGATCCCGCAGCTAAAAAGGTGTGTGGTAAACTGAGGACACTTTTAAAACCCTCGCACTTACCCTCTCGACGCTAGAAACGACTAGCTGAAAATGTTCCACGCACACTCGATAATACTCGCGAATTTGATCCATCCATCCTCACAGCCGACCCCTCGAGTTCAGCTGGGGGTTCATTCTCTGGGCAAGAGGAGGTAGCGGCTGATCTTGCAGCAGATCCATTTGCATCGTACTTCACCTCAGAAGACGATCCAAGCATTCCACCCAAGATATTGATCACAACGTCGCCCAAAGCTTCGACGTCGACGTACGACTTTTGTGACGAGTTAGTAGGAGTCTTCCCAGGCGCGGAATTTATTCGTCGAAAAAAAGGAAAGGGCTTTGAGCTGGGAAGGATAGCCGGTTGGGCTGCAGACCGTGGCTACAAGCATTTGTGTGTGGTCAACGAGGACATGAAGAAACCAAGTACGCTCGTCCGTTCCCGGTGACCTCCATACTCATATTTTTCACCAGACGCCATTACCCTTGTTCATCTGCCCAACGGTCCTACAGCGTATTTCAAACTCACGTCGGTTGAGTTAACCAAACAGATATATGTGGGTTCTCTGCCTCTACTCTCCTCGGTTTATCTGACCGTGAACTTTACGCAGGGACATGCACGAGCGACATCACACCACCCCGAACTCGTCTTGAATGGCTTCGTTACGCGGCTTGGTCACGCTGTTGGACGTCTCTTCCAAACCACTTTTCCTCCTTTACCTGAGTTCCAAGGACGGCAAATCGTGACTCTCCACAACCAACGTGATTTCCTGTTTTTTAGGCGGCATCGGTAAGCTCTTGCACCCTTTTTTTATATTCGACTATACGACGCTCATTATATGACCCATTACAGTTATGCTTTCCGATCTCCGGAAAAGGTTGCCCTCCAAGAGATCGGCCCACGCTTCACTCTTAAACTGCGTTGGTTGAAAAAGAACATTCCGGCAGTGCAGAATTTTGGAGAGCAACCTCAACCTCTCGCCTTCGACTCGGAGCCAACGGAGACACAGTCCAAGGAAGCGGCTTCTGAACAAATTCCGAAGAAGGTTGTACCTCCGAAGCAGGACGAATATATCTGGACGTGGAAGGTATGTCTTTCATCGTTGCTGATGACTGCCTTCCATTCATTCCGTCTTACAGCCGGAATTGGAGACAACAAGGCGCACTTTCTTCTTGTGACCTTCAGATTACTTGGGACTTGGTCCTTTTTCCCTGTTAACTTTCATATTGTTGTATGACCGGAAAGCTGCTGCCAATAAAACTTACATACAAAATGATTGAGTATGATTGCAATTTAGTAGCTTAAAATTATTTCTACCAGCGGAACTAATGTAAAAACCAAGTGAAAACCAATCGAATTTGTTTGGGCAACTTTGGATAGCTTGACAATAATTTATGTAACTGCACTACTGTGGTATTTCGACCGACTGTTCGGTCACTCGTCACATCGAGCTGTGAACAGATCTTGACACTTGAAGCTTGAAGCTTGAAGCTTGAAGGTCGAATAGGGTGACATTTTACCCTAAAAAGGAAACACTCTCCAAAAATTCATTTTTTCCGCTGCGCGGCGTACATTTACTCCAAAATTATATACCATTCACTAATCTGGGAGGTTGTGGAGGAGGAAAGAAGGTTGCTACTACATGCCATGTCAATTGCTCAATGAACAGTTGCTGCTGGCTGAACGCTTTTGTTGTTATGTCACACGGTCATCCCAATTTCGAACACCCCTCCCATTTGTTCGAGGCCGTCACGCGTCACATCGGCTGAACAGTTGGTCGAAATTTCAAATACCACAGTAACCTCTCTCCCTTTCACCCCCATCATGAATGTTCTTCCCGACAAGAATGAGGAGTATGGAACGAAAAGTTACTGGTATATTGACTTTACTGCCGTCATCTCCCTCACATTCCAAGCCGAGTCATTTTAATAGGGATCAAAGATACTCTCAGTGAGATCTGGAGGACGTGAAATATCAAAAAAAACTCACACCCAATCAGGGAATCTGTGGAAGACTCGTTTGACTGGTTCAAATCCTACTCAGACCTGGCAGATATTATCCATGAGCTAATACCGGACAAGTCGTCCAAGATCCTGATGCTGGGATGCGGTAACTCAAAGCTATCGGAAGATGTGCGTGAGGTACCATCTCAAATCGGTACTCGACAATTCATTGCCTCCATCTCAAGATGTGGGAAGACGGGTATCATAATATCGTAAATACGGATGTGCGTTCCAGTCTGCCCAGCGGATTCGCAATTTTTATACCTTTCTAGTATTCCAAGACGGTCATCGAGCAGATGCGACGACGGCATGAAGTTAGACCTGAGATGGAGTGTATGCCGCGTCTCTCCATTGGATCCAAATAAGTGTTTTAGTTCGGTTATAATTTCTAGGGCATGAAATGGATGTCCGCGAGCTGAAGTTCGATGATAGTTCATTCGACGTTGCCATTGACAAAGGTTTGCTACGCATTTGGTTGTCCAAGCGAAGTACGATTAAAAAGGCTTTTCTTCGTAGGGACGATGGATGCCATGATGACAAGCAAAGATGTCTGGGTATGTCGGATTGGGGGTCAAATGACATGATGTCTGACGAAACGCAGGAGCCGCCGCCGCAAGTCATTGATGATTGTACAAAGGAAGTGGATGAGACCTTGAGGTAAGTTAATTCACCAATGGCCCACTCTGTCCTTACGCTCTGCTCCAGAGTGCTGCGCAAACCATCAGGCCTTTTCATTTACCTGACGTTTGGGCAGCCCCACTTTCGACGCCGCTTCCTTACGAGGCCGGGAACGACTTTGGAGATTAAAGAGCTCGGGGAGGCGTTCCATTACTATCTGTACATTTTGCGTACGAGAACATCCCCATGAATTCCGCATATGAGTTAGAACAAGACTTTGACGTTCTTGTAAAAATCAAGCATCGGATTTTCTCCGCTGCGCACTTGAGTTTTCCCAAGGTCAGCGTACGTTTCCAGAAACTCAGAGTGCTCAAAAACACTCGACTTCCTTTCGCCCACGGGAAGGCCACTGGCGGATGCAACTCCGTCTAACGGGCTTCTTCGATTGCTTGGGTAGTGGGAGTAGAAGAAATCCGCCCCAATCGACAGGGAACTTGTGTTAGACATTAAAGGTGTCGAACGGGTGGGGAGCGTCACTTCCGCAGACGATTTTGAGCCTGGCAGTGGTTGCGAGAGTGTGTACTCATACATGTCGGCCAACCGTTCAAAATTTGTCGGGAAGAATATATCGAAGTATCCCTGCTTTACAAGCAAGGTTGAACAAGGTACGGTCACATTTCGGAAACGTGTTTGAACAACGGGAGCATTGATTCCCGGGATCGTGTCAGGTAAGTCGGAGAAGTCGGAGAGAAGCAGTCGATGTCGGGGGAAATGGTTTCGAAGGGTCTGCAAAAGATTTAACAGCCGAGTAGGAACATACTCGACTGCGGAAAGGTTAGGGGCAAAAGGCAGGTTTGTGTAAAGGCTTCGAAGGGCTGGAGAAGCTCGGAGGAGTCGGTTGATAGGTGGGTTGTGCTTGAGGTGCGAACGCGTTTTCAAGAACGTGGATATCAAAGGATCACTAACGGGCTCGTAAAGCATGTCGAATTCACCTTCCTTACTGATGGTGACAACACCTTGGTATGGCTTCAATGTCCGCAGATCATATCGTACCACATCATGTGCGAAATTGTCCTGACATAGCTTTCAGAATCGTGTTTTCAGCCAACAGTTTGGATACATACTATGACTTCCATAGCGATGAAAAAACAAGGAGCGGGCTCTCGAGTCTTCCATTGAAAGATGCTTTTGTGATTCACTTTGACACACGGGTGAAGACTTTGAAGCTTTTTTCTCTGAAGCTTAACAAGACTCCCACTGATCTCGATGATGTTGTAGCGAGTTCGTTCGTACACGTCTGGGTACCTTTCCTGAAGGAAATTCAGGATATCCATTGCTAGGGTTCCATTCCCAGCCCCAATTTCGTAGATTATGAAATCTTCGTACGGGAAGTACTTCAGCAAGTACTCGGAAACCAAACACTGAGCAGCTGCCCGACCATACCAAGGCTATTACAGAAAGTCAAACCAGCACAGCGGTATAATATGCGGACGAAATACCTTGAAAAGTTCTGTAGGGGTATGCCACAGCTGGCGACCGGGACCATCATGTTTGTCCGCTCCATAAGCAGCGTATTTTCGAGCAACTTCCTCTTGAAATTCGACCGAATCTCGAAAGGAAGAGAAGTCGAATGACGTCTTTTGAGTATCGAAAATGGTGGCTTGTTTAGGAAAGTACCCATAATGCGGATTGTACAGCGAGTCTTCGATGAAGTCGCGCACCAGCATCCTCACACCGACTGGAGGGCTACTCGCGCCTTCCAAAGCATTCGCATCTACCGGTTTGAGATTGAAATGGTCCTCGCTGAGGGTTCCATCGAAGGGGTTAACGTTGTAGTTCCATTTGTCTTCTGGTCCGTCAGTCTTTTGAGGTGGCTTGGGGTTGGGGGTTGAAGCAGACGAATATGCAGCCGCAGTAACAAAGGTTGGCAAGCGTGCGTTGAACAAGGATCGAGTCGCCAATCGACCCGCCGATATCATGTGCCTCTGGCGAAGAGAGATGTGTGTTTTGAAGTGCAAAAACGGTGAATATAATTATAGAAACACCACGTGCCAATTTTGGCGATCACCTTCCACAACTTCAGTCGCGAACCCTGTTAGCTCTCATAATGGAATCTACAGAACGGCTGGTTCGGACTTGGATGGCGTCTGGAAGAGATGAAGAAATAGGCGAAATCGTGTCAGGCATGCCTAACACACCCATGTTTCAACGTCTATTGACACCAATAATGGCACTGCAGATATATCCAATGATCGCACTACTCTCATAAACATCGTGAAGGCTTTAGGAGAATACCTCACCTCAGAAGAAGGCGATCTGCGAAGAAAGGGTAAGGACTTCTTGTTGAATGGCTTTCTATCTGTTGATTGTTGTACGGTCAAGGTGTTGAACTCTTATCTCTAGTCTTGGAGAAGTGTCCGCCTGCAAAGCTAACTCGTCAATCTGGTACGATTACTTTCCACCTTGGTCAACTTCAACCTTACAAATTGCCACTACAAAGTCCGCGTCTTGACACCTTTTTACTGTGGAAAGTTAGACGACTCCGAAACTATCGTCCCTGCGCTTCAAGGGATCTTAACTTTGGTCAAACTGCCGACTTTCGGCGCGCCTGAAGCTACAGGAGTCATCGATGCGTAAGCTTCTTCCATGTTAATTTTTGCTATGGTGATCAACAGCAGAGAGTACACAGCCTGTTCCTCTACGTAAAGATGAAATCTCTTGTTCAATCTGTCAGGTTCAAGGTATATTCTATCATCGATTCGTTGATGGCGGGACACAGAGACGGTACTGTGTTGATTTCCCTTTAAGATACACTTCCCGTTGACTCCACCCCAGCTCTGAAAGCTCTGGGGAAAAAGTTTGTCGGCAATTACATTGCTCTCGCAGAAGGGGAAAAAGACCCAAGGAATTTGGTCGTTGCCTTCGCCATAGCAAGAGTGATTCTCATCGAATTTGATATAAGCGAGCATGTTGAGGTTAGACGTTTTCAATGACCAAAGGATCTTACTCACTGATGTGCAGTCCTTGTTCAATATCACCTTCTGTTACTTCCCAATCACCTTTCGACCGCCTCCCAATGACCCATACGGTATTAGTAGTGACGATCTGCGCGCTGCTTTAAGGTAGGTGCAAGCCATTCTGCGGTTGCAAAAATTGATGGGGACTCCACGAAGGCAATGTTTATGTGCTACTCCATTGTTTGGGCCTCTCGCGATCCCCGTGTTCTTAGAAAAACTTACAGCTGGGTCTCGTGCCACAAAAGTAAGTGTTCTCGTCGATCCGCATTCTTTTGGTTGACAATGTTATTGTTGTCGTTTCTTCTTCTCGTAGAAGGACACCTTGCAAGCACTGGCAACCTGCTTACCCGTTTTTGGGTCGGCCTTAGCACGGGCTACAGCAAGAAAATTGTGGAGTGCTCTAAAACTGGAGGTATGTCCCACCCACTAGCCTTGACAATAGAAATGGAACTTTCCACAGATTTTTCAACCCATGGACTCCAATACAGAAGAGGAAGCACTGAAAACAACTCAAATTCTTGTGAAAACCATATATCAAGAAGAGGAGGCAGCACACGAGCAAAGCGAGGACATTGTAGGCCTAGCGAGAGATGCGTGTGAAGAATGCATACAGATTCTAAGGGAGCCAGAAAAAAGTATGGCAAAACCTGCTACCAAAGTTATATGTGCCTTCATGGCGACAACTCGTAGGTTGTTCGGGCATTGCGAATCTGGCCCAATCATTCACTGATATATGCTGTAGCTTCTGTTTCACGTTACACGGTCTCCCTGGCTGTCCCTCACTTCGTGAAACTCTTTCTCAACCCAGACGAAGCACTAAACCGAGCACCAATTCTTTATCTTCTCTCTGACATAGTCATTGCTGCCCGCGACTCGATGGCCAAGAACATATCAGAAGATGTTCCACTGATGCCTTACAAAGACGAAGTGCTGGGTGTTTTCAGCGTTGGACTCAAGGCATCGTCGTCGCGGCTGCCAACCCTCTCAGGCTTGAAAGGGCTGATTACCACCAAAACTCTGCTCTCTGATGAGGAACTGGGTTTCATTGTACACAACGTCGATGAAATAATCGAGAGTGACACAGATGCTCTGGAAGAGTCAAGGTACTGTTCATTGCTCTCGTGTTTTTCAATTTAACTTATGTGTACAGCGATGAAATTCTTGATCTTCTGACAACGATTGCCTCCATCGCTCCCCATCACATTGAAGAGCAAACTCTGCCGTTACTATTCAGGACGTTACCGGATGTTGCATTTTCTCGCGATGCCATAAAGGAGCGTGCCAACTGTTGGCGTACCCTTTCGGCCCTCCAGACCCTTTGTGTTCAACCCGAACTCTTCGAAACTCTAGTCATCCGTTTGACGACGAAGTTGGATCTTGTTTGTTTCCCCTCAAAAGGTACTCAAGACACGGAACCTAATGCTGCTTACGCGCATTCCATTCTTACTACCGTCTCAAACACCCTCAGCACGAAAGTGGAGAAAAGCCACCTCGACGTTGGAAAATACATTGACAGATTGGTTCCTCACATCTATAACCTGTTCATTTTCTCGGCCTTTGGATCGGATGAGCAACGATTGCTAGCTTCAGATCCACGTCTTGTGCATGTAGCCGGGAAGATTATCAGTCTCGTAGTCCAGACGCTACCTCCCCAGTCAGTTTTCTTACAGAGACGGATTATGTCTGATTCTGATCGTTTGGACGGTAGGAGACAAACGACGTTCTCTGTGGAACTTTTCAAGGCACTTTTAGATGGGCAGGTAAAGGGAATCAGTCAAGGCCACCAAAAAATTCCAAGCGATCGCAAATTCGACGTTTTGAATGTATTATTAATTCTCACCAATCGTGCATCCCCCGTAACTGACTTCCTTCATTGCAGGAGACAACCCAGAAGAATTTATTACCGCTTTTCACTGCAGCAGTCACTCCCTTGCACAAAGAGGTATTAAAAGTCCCTGTTTTGGACGTGCCCGCCTGAAACCTTTTTCCAGGTTCATTTACCAGTCCTTGATCTTGGACGTTTTTTGGATTCAATACTCACGTGGACCCTCTTGCAAACGGACAATGACCTTCAAAGAATCTCAGCTCTCCAGATGGTATCGTCAATTATCAATAAAAAAGTGGACGGTATGTCTCTTTGATCCTGGTACCGTTTCTTGTTGATACTTGGCTACCCAGACCTATCCTCATTCTTGAGTGATAAACTCGATGTATATTGGCCGCAGAAAGTTGGCGACGTCACCCGCCCTGTAGAAAGTCGCCGCCGGGCCATACAGTCTTGGCTTTGGGTCAGCACTTCCATTTACGTTGATTGCTAGCAGCGCTCAAAATGAGCTCCAGATGTCAAAAGCGCTTATTATCCGGAACCATCCATTGGCTTTGAGTTTCTCCGAACGATTGTTTCAAGTCTTTGGTGATGAAGCTGTCGGCTGGGATGCTGCAAAAGCTTGCGGCGAGATCCCCGGTACGGACACAATTTTAACAAAACGGAATAACGCCGTCATTAAGGTGGAACTCTTTATCATCCACCATGAGTTGCGCCTGATCGCCGTTCTTGGTAGATCCTGCATTCTCAGAAATACGTGAATACCATCCTTCCTCGACTCATGGAAGGGGCAAAGTCTTCCAGCAGTAAGTGCTACACAGGCCATGATTACTCTATGATCTGACTTGGGATGACAGGGTCTAACGAGCAAGCAGCATACCTTGTCGCCCTCACTTCTTTAATCAAATCTACTCCCAAAGGGACATACGTTCACGAAATGCCTTTGGTACGCACTTTACTGCTTCAATAGAACGGGGGAGCAATCTAATTTAAAAGTACAGCTCATCCCCTTGTTGCTTCAAAGTCTGGACCTACCCGATGCGAACATTCGGTCCAACGTCATCGGGACTTTTCTCGCTGTGGCTGAAGGGGAGACACCTGACAAAAATTTGGTTTCTGAGCACAGCAGCACACTCGTCACATCTATGCTCAAGAATAGCATGGTGTCCGAAATGGCCACGACGGTTTGCCTGATATCTCTCTGAACCTTACGCATGTCACTGAATTTGTTGAATCCATCCAGAGAGTAAGAGTTTTAGCTTTGCAATATCTCGGACTTTTGCCCAACATCGTGCGGTATGATGTGCTACATCCTCAAAAGCCCCTGGTACTGCGCGAATTAGCCAACGTGCTTGATGACCCAAAACGCACAGTACGCAAGGAAGCGGTAAATGCCAGGACAAATTGGTAGGCCTTACCCTGAAAAACAAAAGGCTTTCGGTTGACAACGTTTTTCAGGTTCAAGTACAATGGATAGCAGAGCAGTGCGGGCCAGGATGTTGCAAACTCCATCTAGCGTTGCTCGGTGTATATATACTTGTGGGTATTACAATACGGGGAACTAATGCGACCGATATGCTGGAGAGATTAATGCACAAGGGAAAAGAATTACATTAAATAGTGTCCCACAATTGCCAGAACTACCGAGCCATTATAGCCTGGGTTTTGAGAGCGGCGTCGGCTAGCGCAAGCTCGAAAGCAAGCAAGTGTTCCTGCACGATTTTCCTTCCGTCGATTCTCTTCATTCCGGCCATCTTGGTCGGAGTGGAAATAGCGTCGTTCTCATCGCCGTCTATAATCCCTGCTTCCCATCTATCAATTCGTATGCGACTACGCTCAGCGTTGTCCCAGTCCATCCTCCATCCTCCAATCTTGTTCTTTAGCGATCGGATCTTCCTTCCAGCGTCCGTTGTAGCGGCACCGTTAACTTGTGCCTGTTCTGATATTGTAGATAGTGATGTGACAAGTGATGTAGTGAATGATCGAAGGTGTGCGAGTTGTGGTATTGTCTTTGCAGGTGTCGGTGGCCCATTGATAGGTGGAGGCGCAGGGAAGGCGTCCTTTATGGGGGATCTGACTGGCTCATCGTCGTCATCCTCATCACCTAAACGTCTGTCTGGGTCCAATTCCCAATCATGGGAGTGTGAGAGGTTGTGTGGCGAAATGGGTTGTTCCTCTTCGACAGGATCAAGGTGCCTCGCGTCGCCGCGTTGCACTTCCTGCGTCGAATGTGACTCTGAGAAGTCGTCCACGTCCGGCAGCTCGTCCAGTCGCCCCAGCACATCACTGCCCCCCACCTCACCCGCAATCTTCCTAAACTCGCGCTCGTACTCCAACAACTCGCGTAATTGGCTTTCCCGATCTCTCACGGATTCATTCATGCGGCGAATAACGTCCGATGCGATGCGTTCAAGGGCGGGCTGTTGCGAGGTACCATCGGTATCGAGCTTTCGAAGATGGTTGAGGAATTTGTCAGTGGACTCGAGGTTTTGGGACAACACTTGCATCGCGTCCTGCTCGGGTTTTTGTTGCTTAGGACGCGTGCGCACGAATGTTGGGCTTTCAAAAACGGGGTCGTAGTCCGGGTATGAGTCAGATGCCTCTGGAGATGCCTCACGGAAGGATGTCGCGCCAGAGTGCGATGCGAGTCCGTCTGCAAGTGACGGAACATCGGCGTCGTCGTCGACAACGAAATGTACACCGGGTTCCAGCTCGCGGTGATCAACTGGGTCGTCTATACCCTCTGCGCCTTCGTCAAATTCTATTCCAAACTCATCGGCGAGAAGCTTTGAGCCTGAGGATGGCTCTGGCATGAGAGCTACTGCGAGTTCGTGTGCTAATGAGTGGTGGCGACCATTGGGTGGTTCGTCGTCGACTACATTGGGGATCGCGGATGGTGGGCGTAAGGAGGCGGTAGAACGTCGGTTGGATATGGATTGTCGCGAAGGGGAATTGCGGGATGACGAGGAAGTTGAGAAGTGAGAGTTTATAAAAGGATCGCCTTTTGAACCGTAGGAATGCATCTTTTGAGTGGCAAAGCAGTAGAGTAGTAACCAAGTCGTCGTTTTATGTAAGCATCGCAAACAAATCATGAACTTACCAGCGACGTTCCAGCGTACCTGTCGACTTACCGTTGCCCTCATCGAAACCTTCAAGTTTAAAGGAATACCCACGGTTTTATTATGGATAGCCTCAATGTCTACGGTAAGTGAGGTACTGTTCAATTCACAAAAACTATCTCTTTCTAACGGTTTTGCTTCAGGTGAGGACTCGGACATCCAGAGTGATACTGTTGACGGCGTCGATCGCTACGGTGAGTACATAGGGCTAGATTAATTTCTGGCCACTGCGATGTGTTGCGAATATTCAGGGTGTGGAAATTCGCTTCACATGAGTGGTCTGCTTCTCCTCATCAGGTTATATGATACTAACTGACAATTTTATACAGGAGTTGGATCAAGTCCAGTCAGTGGAAGTGTTGTACGCGACCACCCTGCGACCACCATGCCTGCCACTCCCATCAGGCTCAATTGCGTTATTGACGATGAACGTGACGTTTTTATCGTTTCTCTTGACCCACAGGAAACAGTCAGTGATTTGAAGAAACAAATAAAACGCGAACGAAAGAACCGTATACCGGAGCGTGTTGATACTCCTACGTTACAGCTCTGGAAGCCAGTGTGTGCCATCGACGAGCTGCTGATATGCGAAATGACTTTGCTTTTGTCAGTCAAAGGCTGACATTGATGCCGGTCCAGAGGACACTCTCATTGAACGTATCAGATCACTGGGATCTGATATATCGGAATTTGCAGCCAGATTAGACGGGTATAAGACTGTCTCCAGTATCTTCTCGGATGAGCCCCTCCACAGCCAGATCCACATTATCATCAGGATTCCAGATGCCGGTGAGCCCCTTATGCTCGTGAATGCCGTTCATTCTAACTGCCCTTCCACCACCCATCCACCCATCTCCGCCGCTTCTTCATGCATTCCTGCCGGCCATTTATCTTCTTTCCGATTCCCGTTATAATTGAATATGAATGTGTTATCATGCTGGGCGGAATTGCCTTGTACCCTACCCTCGCATACACGTTCTCCAACACCAGCAGAGCCTCCTTTTAAACGAGCTCGTTTTGATAATTCACTACAGACCCCACCTAAGGCGCAAGCAGGAACAATTCAAACTAATAGTAGGTGATGTACCTTCAACTGTGGATGACTTTGTGCATAGTTTTCATTAGATTCACCCCCACGCCTCACCCACCAGCAGACGAAAACTATAATGGCTGAAGCACTTGCAGGCTTTGAGAAGTATTTTGCACTCTTGGCTTCTGGGGAGTTGGATGCGCGTCTTGACTCAATCCGACCTGAAGACAAACTTACAGAGTTAGGGGTGGGTCTACCCCTTAACCCAATTCTTCTCCTTCACGACCTCGGCAAGCATCTGGATCAGAAACGAATCGAAGATTTATTCAAGCCCAATACCCATGGATTCTGTACTATAACGTTTGTGGTGCTGCGGTAATTGTGAAAACAATTCTTATCTTACTCCCCTTTTCTAGCCATCTGTTTAACGTCTCTGGCTCAGGTAAAACACGGCTTGCGCTTGACGGCCTTTGCTGTCATTGGGGCTTTTATGTTTCATGCAGGACTATAGTAGGTACAGCATCTGGCTCCAACGACTTCATGGTAGCGACCGAAATGCTGCAGTCTATGAGTAGTTGGCATGCAGACCCTCCGGACTCATTCAGTAAGAGGACTGCTGTCTGCCGCATCTTTGCTATGTTGCTGTGTGCACGCTTTGTTATCCTGGCGCAACTTGTGAAACAATTTTCTGCCAATACAAATATTGCAGATGCTCGTCGCCGATGGGTCCTTGCTCAAGTTTTACCTCCCTGTCTGGAGGGACATACTGAGGACCTCTTCGTCACGGTGCTTCGGGCCTTTCGAAATGCTGATACTGAGATTATGCTCAGAATTGCTAATGAGTTATGGCATGACATCACAACCACAAGGAAAGATTTGTTTCCTGAGGGAAAGAAGGGCTTTTTTATCGTCATTGACGAGGCACAGGTGGCTGCCAACAAACTCAACTGCTTTCCCTCTACATCGGGGAGCATGCTGCATGCGATTCTTCGTGAAATGGTTCAGTTATTCCAATCAAGTCGCATCTTCAATAAAATCATTCTTTCGGGAACTGGCCTGTCAATGGGAATGGTGGGGGATGCGACAGGTTGTCTTTCTGCGAAAGCGGTGCCAACACTGGTCCAGCAAGTGTTCTCTAACATTGGGTGTTTCAAGGGGCAGGATCCCACTCAAGAGGCTTATATTCGTCGGTATCTCACTCTCTCTGATAATGACATCTCAGATAGGCGATTGTTGGAACGCATGAAGCTCTGGTTTTCTGGCCGGTATGTCTATTATTAGGTGCTACAAGATGTCTTCTCATCAATTATAGCTATCGCTTGACGGCGAGCCTTATTGAGATCTTCCTCCACTCGGAAGATGTCCCGCGCCACCGTGTCCTCACCTCGTTTGCTGAGCGCTTGACAGGATTCAAAATTACCGATGCAATCGAAGTGAACAAGAAATTTCTCCCGATTTGGATATAAAGATCAAAACCTATCCACCGCTCACTGAATTGAGCTGCCTTTTCAAAGAGCAAGGATTATCAGAAAGTCAGTGTAATCTCTCTTTTATTGATTTGTGTGCCGACCGTGTATTTAATAGGAATGCCTCTGATAAATTGCCTGACCGATGCTCTTTTGCGATGGACTATAGGAAGTGAACCATTGAAAACCACATGCACGACCTGATTGCCCTGGGTGTAGGCTTTTTGGCTGAGATGCCATCTAGGTTTTTGGAAGATAATGTGAATGCTCCTGTATCCATTTCCGAACCATTGGTGGTTCTCTCTCTCAGGTCGATTTTTGAAATGCAGAGATGGACGACGATGCAGTGGCAGATGACTAATGCAGTGACAGATGACTAGGACATTTTGCAATGCATCCAAGAAGCGATGAAGGCACAAGGAGGAAACAAGGGATATCCTGGCAGTTGCACGGTTTATAGTGTGTCCGGATATCTTTTCAGGTGTAGTTCATTAGCAAGAGGATGTAACAGTGATTGTTATCGCCCTAGATATCTGGTTACCAGTGAATTGTTCATAGGCTCTACCGCCGTTCAGGTCTTTAAGCCGTTTACCCGCAATGGTCGTGGATGAGTCCTGCCAGGTGGGCGAATTGTGTAGGGAAAACGCCGAGGGAAAGAGTTACAAAGCGAGCGATTGAGAAGGATTCAAGCCAGAAACAAGTAGTTCTGCACAGTCAGTCCAAAAGACTGAGCCATATTGCTGATCGGATATATGAAAGTGGGTGTTGAACTTGATTCTAACCCAGGGCAAAGGTCTTTCGGTCCTTTGAGAACTCCACCAGCGGTTGCATGGAGAGGCAGACCAGTGTCAAAGTGTACAGACGCGTCATGGCGGCGACGGGTATAAATTATCATGTTAATCGATTATAACAGCTTTCAGCTGTTGCGTTGAGAGATCGAGACCAAGGAAGGGTGGGTCGGAAGACATGACGAACCTGTTACTCAGGAGGCTATGTAAGTCTGCAGGATGGCATTTTGGAGTTGGCATCTCACATTGCGCAGATCCTCTCATACAGTACAAGTAGTTTATCGTGATCGTTTTGCGTGCGCATCACGTCTCCCTACTGCAAACACTTCGCCACCCTGTACGCCAACCGCACCTGCAAAAAGTCTATCTCCTTCACCCTCCACAATAAACTTTCCAAACGCCTCGCTATTCCAAGACGACGCCCAATCAACAGGTCCATACAGCGCGTTCACCAACACAAGAGGTTCGGTAATGTGCAACGCTGCAAGCCGTACATAGCCTACCCCACGAGTGCTCACAACGACATGGATAGATACAAATATCACGATAAACCTGTGTTTCAATCATATCAGCTCCAGCAAACAATAGGAGACGCCATCATTCTCCGTACCCAAAAAGCGTCATGCACGCCAGGAGGATGGTAAACGGGATTAAATTCAATTCGCTTCCCACTGTCGCCAATTCAGAGTGCACCTCCGTTGCTGCGTTTTGAACATACAGAGTCGCACCCAGCCCCAGTATCCTTCTCGAAAGCTCTAGGCTGAAAGCTTCTTCATACGTAGTCACTGTTTGGATTCCCGCGCCCTCCACCGTAGACTTCACGGTGCCAAGCGGGCTCGATCCAAATCCGACGGTGACGATATACTGCGTATCTTGAACAGAAGCTGGTGAAGCTTGGTCGAGGATATACTGCGAACCAGTGTATGTGTAGTCCACATTCAGTGCCGAAAGACTGCAGTAGATGACGTTGTATGCTCCTGCATTTCCGTGAACAAACCACCCTCTACGGTAAATTTGTCAACAAGTTTGGAAAGCCACGATATGAATGCAGCGTACGTGTTATTAATGACTGCAGATTGTCATATTAGCCCCGTTTCGAAAAGGACAGATAAAGCACTTGCATGCATCCTGGGTGCCTTCGTATGCGTATGACATTACATAAGACCCAACATTAAAGGGACTGTCGATATATGAATCGACACATAGACTGCATAAATGTTGTTCATTTACTTTGATGGAACTTGATAACCGGGAACGACATTTCCCAAAGAATCCAATGGTCCTTCGGGGATCGAGGCTCCAGGCAAAGTCAAGTTGTATACATGCTGTCCTGTGCAGTTGATGTTGAGATAAGCAGCAGGCCCATAGGAAGTCAACCCGCCCGACGTAGTTTGCTTTAGGCATTCCTTCGTTATGCTATTAAAAGTGCGTTAGTACACATGCATTTTCACTGCAACCGTATCAGATACCTGATGCATGACGTTTTCACGCCAATGGTGTTGGCGCTGAAGGAAGTGTTGGATGGAACGTTTGACGGTGCCAGAATCGCCGTCTGGTCGTCAGTGAAGGCCACTCTGTTAATGTTTGAGGAATTCGAAACCGCTCTCAACCCTTCAGGAAATGCAGCATTGTCATGGGCCGCCAGTCCGTTAAATAACCCACAGCTACTCGTATATATGGGGCCTCCGACAGTGCTGGTCGAAGCCTCCTGGCATCTCGTCTCATTGATCGCTCGTCCAAAGGCCACTTGGCCAGGGGTTCCAACAAAGGAAGTTTGCTTTTGAATCAAAGTGGCTTTGCTACTTGCATGGAACCAGGCATCCGCGCCCGAGATTGCATAGATCAAAGTGAGTAGAGTGAAAAGGAGCACTACGGAGCGTTTCATGAGAGTCGGACTTGGAAGGGTCTGCTTTTTGAGATCTTTGTTTGCCCCCAGCATGTACCTAATAGCTTGAAAGAGGGCCGATAGGTTGGCACTGTTGCAAATGGACATGAGCAGACCGAGCCTAGCTATATTGATCAGGAACGTGGATGCGACGTGCAAATGATGGACCGAAGTGCTCACTGCAAAGGAGAAGGCCGATTCCCGTCAAATCTTTGGCTGGATTGCAGCCACCGGGCTCCAATTTGGAATGCACACAGCCCCATTACGAGAGGAACAACAACGGGAGCGACGTGCGAAGCAAGCTGAGAGATAGTGAGAACCTTTCCGAGGGCAGCTGTTGTCGTTAGGACAGTGCCCGAGACGGTGCACTCGTTGGCGACACAGACATAGCAGAGGAGGGCCGCCATCATGCCAAAGAGGGCGATTACAGTTGCGCCACCGACGAGAAGCGCCCTTGCTGACACGCCTTCGGCTCTTGCCCTTCGTTGAGCATCGTAAGGTGGCTGGGAGCGATTGTCGGGCTCTTTGAATTCGTTGGTGAAATCTCCTGGGTTATGAACAGGCTGATACGGCTGGTCCATGGGAGTTGAGGGAGTACAAAAGATACAGGCTGAGATTGCGGGCTGGCCCACTGGCTTTTTTATATTGAATTCCAACGTATGTGACTGATTGACACCTTATCCATGGTTAACGGCCAGGTACCGGTGAAGAAGGCATAAAGATTGAGATTCTTCTAGGCGAGGACCAAGGGGCTCCCACCGGAAGATTCCGAAAACTTGACTCCCCTCGCTGGGTACCACTTTTGAAATCAAGGGTCTCGAATATATCAGGAAGGTATAGACACATTAGGATGATAGCACCGAACTTCAAGGTTATCCGCCTCCAGTACCTATATATGCCAATGAATAAATACCCTCCTGTTCGAACGCGTTTACTCGGTGTTGCCGTAGTGCAGTGAGATTGTTGAGATCTGAGACGGCCGCCCTTTTTCGCGCTTCGATAAGCTGGAAAACCACATCGTCGCTATTGAGCACCGTTTGCTTGACAATAACGATTTGTTCGACATACTTAATTGACCCCTGTCACAATTGCCTCTGCTCTACTGATGTGCGCACTCACAACGAGCGCAGGGTGTCGTACAGGATGGTAAATTGCAGCTGCTGTTCATTGCTGATCAGTCAAATGCTAGTACTGATGTGCACGTGGATGGGGACGATTGGGGGACGAGGAGGTACTTCAAGTTGCAATAGTCCTATCTTACCAATATCTTACTGAGAATATCATTCGGATGAAAGCCTGGCGTACTTGGTGCACAATCTGCAACTCTTTGTTGCCTGCACACCTGTCACTGGCATAATATAGCGGAGTCTCGGTGAGTTTTGAGAGAATAGGATGGTTCTTAACAGCGAGCAGCATTGATACACCACACAGATCGCGTTGGCCCAAACGTTGGCTTGGATCATTGTCATGCCCTTCAACCGGCAAACTAAGTGGTATTGCGGGATCGGTGGAGTGAGTTGATGAATTCACCTGGGTCACGAGCTTGGGTGTCGATTTGGTGTCGATGACAAGTTGATGATGGTTCGCCTTTTTGGACATGATGCGAGAGCGAGGGTATACTGTAGCGAACGTCGGAGTAGGTATGGTGTCCTACTATTTATCTACCATCCTAATCAGTCTATACCTGCCTGATATATTCGAGACCCTTGATTTCAAAAGTGGTACCCAGCGAGGGGAGTCAAGTTTTCGGAATCTTCCGGTGGGAGCCCCTTGGCGAGGACCTGGACTGTGGATGTTTGGACAGTAACTTCCAAGTGCCTCGATGCTGTGACGTTTTCTATAAATAACTGCCTCGTCTGCCTACTATGCTATAGTTTACGCTACTACCCTAGGGTTACGTTGCGTGTACACTTTCAAACAAATGTTACAATTTTCCAAGACAGCTGAACCAACACTTGAGAGCCACCTGGTAGTGTGCGTAGGAAAATTTCGTCAAAGAAATCAAAACTTCTTACCTGTTTTCTCCAAGGATCTCAGCTTTCAATGCCTTGGCCATTTTCTGTCCAGGGTGGAGACGGGCACCAAATCCGCCGCCGGAAACAAAGGAAATTAGATCGCATGATTTTCGAGTTCTGTAAAATTAAGCGTCGGTGCATGAAATTTACGCAACACCTACCCCGTCGCCAGCGCGGTAAATAAATCCCCCACACGCACTCCATTCAAGTTGCGGACTGTAAACTTGATACAGAGAGCATTTTTGAGATGGGCGCAAAGTTGCTGTTGCGGACAGATTTCTACTTCCATTTTCTCAACAGAAGGTGCGGAAGCGAAATCTTTAGAAATCATTTGTTGAGCCAAAGGCAAGAACCGCGTGGTAGCATCCGGCGAACGGGAGTGGAATCCAACCGAGGTGAATTCTTGGCCCATGTAATAAGACATCCTTGTGATCGCTGGATGAAGCTTATAAGAAGTTGAGGTGACCATACAAATATCATAATGTGGGACTCACACGAATATTTCGACAGTAGGGGGAGTTCGCAACATTGTCAAAATTCCCTTGCACTGCCTCTAGGTTGAGGGAAATAATGGTGGATTGGCAATTCATAGGACGTCGACCTACCTCCGTTAACCAGCTGGGAAGAGTTTGGGCTCGGCGTCTTGAACATCAACTGACGAATAAATGTGTCCTCTTGGATAATTTGGTACCAAAGATTGCAGACAGCAGACACGGCGAGAAGGTCAAAGTACGGCAGGCCAGAAAAGATCCTGGCTAGTAGCTCAACGGGAACGTTTTCCATATCTTTAAGAGACAGAGACAAGTAGCACGACAGCCTGAGACGCACAAACTGGTGAGCTTCGCAGTTTGAACGCAGAGTGACATCCTAAGTTAATATTACGGGCGACCAGGCTTCTAATGTTCCATATGGCCGAAGCTGGGACCTTGTTCTCTGGTGGAGTTGCATCGGGGGAGAGTTGTAAATACAACACGTGCAAATAAGCTCAGGACTCGGAGGCTTTCAAGCAACTTTGAAGTTGTCTCTCTAAAGAACTATCAGTGTCACGATGGTTAGAATGTCCCTGGCTTCTGATGTAAACTAACTAACCAGTTACTCTAGGCCACTCCAGCTCAATCCGTCATGGGCATTTGGGTAGCTCTCAACCTAGTCATCCCATTTCTTCTACTAATTTCGTTTCAAGACTGAACACAGGAATCCGGAGGGTCGTACCTACTGGTTCAATACCGGAACTCAACAAAGTGTATGGGAGAAACCAGATGGTTCGTAGCCATTGACTTTTCACGTCCTTATCACTGATAATTCGCTGCAGATTTGAAAACGCCTTTTGAAGTTTGTTTAATGCTGTCACTGACGACACCTTGCTGATCAAGACCTTTAGCGTGCTCTTACCCAAACCAAATGGAAGGAGTATTTTTCTGGGGGAAGAAAGTACTATTACAATGTAAGTTGTCTCTGCGATTGCAGTTGGTTCTTCCTGACGTGATTAGACGGAGACAAAAGAATCTAAATGGGATATGCCCGATGAGCTTCTCCTGGTGTTGGAAAAAGTTGAAAAAGAAGCTCAGGTAGTCGCGTGAGTCAAGTTATTGCTTCTGCTTCTGTATGCACTCTGACATGATCAACGTTAGCCCCACGAGAGCTCTGACGGCTCCAGGTTTTACCCCAGTTGGAGGCTCTATACAAGGTGCACTCGTCCCCATGGGAGGCGCTGATCCATCCTCATCTGCACCCGCTTCTCAGCCGAATCAAAACGGGAACAGCCTCGCAGTCGGTCCACATATCAGCGCTCTTCCTTTGGCGCCCAGTAGCATTCTTCCGGCACGTCCAAATTTACCAGACGACCCAGTCATTCCGCACAATGGTTTCCTTACAGTAGAAGAGGGCGAGAAGGCTTTCACTCATTTGTTACGAAAAGCCGGTGTTGATGCTAATTGGACTTGGGATCAGACGATGCGAGCTATTATCACTGACCCACTATACAAAGCATTGAATACTCTCGCTGAGAAGAAAGCTTGCTGGGAAAAGGTGCGTCAATCGAGTTGAATTTGCATGCCTTGTTAAACATCACATCACCATTTTTTTTTACCAGTTCACGACAGGTTTAAAAGCAAAGGAACAAGAGGAACGAGAGGCAAGGCTGGGGAAACTTCGACCCGCTCTCCGTAACATGCTCAAGGGCAATCCCAATGTCTTTCATTACACGACGTTCCAGACTGCGGACAAACTTTTCGCCCAACATCCAATATGGCAGCAGGGAAGAATAGAAGCTGAGCGAAGGCTCGTTTTCGAAGAGTACGTAGCAGAATTGAAACAACGAGAAGTGGTTAGTCTTCGACTCAGTTTATTCACGATCCTGAAGAACTGATTTTCCGTCTTGTAGCAAGAAACCCGGGCTGCACGTGCGCGTAGCGTCTCCAAGGTTGTTTCTCTGTTCAAACAGCTAAATGTTGACGTCGTAACCCGTTGGAGGGCGGCGCACAACATGCTGATCGAGTCAGAAGACTGGAATGATGATCAGGAATTACGCAAGTTACCAACCCTTGACATTCTTCTCGCATTTGAAGATTATAGCCGAGTGCGCGAACGTGAATACGAGGAACAAATGAGAAGAGCTCAGGTGGAAAAGACCAGGAAAGAGCGCAAAGCTCGAGAGTCATTCAAGGTAGCTGATTCTGGCATCATTTTTTCGTGAAAGTTCATATCACAATGTGGCAGGCCCTTCTTCAGGAGCTTGTTAAATTAGGAGCTATCAAGGCGCGTACCAAGTGGAAGGAAATTTACCCATTATTCCGTGATGACGAAAGGTATCTCTCGATGTTGGGCAACCCAGGCTCGAACCCGCTTGAGCTGTTTTGGGATATCGTCGACGGGATGGACCAGCAACTGGACGCGAAGATTGCTGCGGTTGAGGATGTTTTCAAGAAAGTCAACATTACGGATAATGAAAAGACGAAGAGCTCGCCCGACGCAGATAGCAAGATGGTTGACGCACAGGCACCAAACAGCCCTTTCGTCACTGCGGAAACAACGTGGGATGATTTCATGACTGTTATAAATGCCCATGCAGATAGTAACGTCAAATCCTTGTCTGAGGATGATCTGAAAAATGTTTTCAAGACTGTGAGTTTGACTCCTGCTACCGTCTGCTGTCTAAAGAAACAATCTTGTATAGTTGCAAGACGTTGCTCTCAAAGCTCAAGCTGATGAGAAACGCAGAGCTGAAAGGAAGCAACGACATCTTCAAGATGATTTACGCTATGCGCTGAAGAAGCTTCACGAACCCATTGACATCTCTATGGCTTATGAAGACGTGAGTATGAAGTTTTTACGCTCGAATTTATTTTTCACGCTGTTCTAGATTGTACCTCTCATTGAAGACCTCCCGGAATATAAAGCTCTGGATGACGAAGAAGGGCGACGCGCCGCGTTCACCAAATTTGTCAAGAGGCAAAAGGTAATTGAATATCGAGCATTTATGTATTGCTCATTTTCTAATTGCTCCACTTGCAGGAAAGGCTACGTGAGGCGGCTTCAGAAGATGGTGCTTCCACCACGAGCAGGAAACGCAAGGAGCCTGCTCGTGACCATCGGGATGGTGAAAGAGACAAGGAAAAAGAACGGGATCGTGACCGTGACCGCGGCGAGCGTGAAAGGGAGCGGGAGAAGGACAGAGAGCCTCATCGTGAAAGAACCAAAGATTATGATCGAGGAACAAGGAGTTCCCGCCATCACCGGTATGACGACTATGAGACAGAGCGACGGACCTCTCGAGACTATGGTCGCGAGAGAGAGAAAGACGTTGACAGGGAGAAGGACCGCGATGGTTACAGGTCTTCAAAGCATCATAGGGACGGCGAGAGAGATGATCGGAAAAGGGATCGTGAAGGCGGAAGAGACAGAGAGAGGAAATCATCGAGGGGTGATCATGGTTCTGGTTATTGGGAGGAGCCTCCTTTAAAGAAAGAACGGGAGAGGAGCACCTCCGTCTACAGGGATGAGCCTCCCCGAGAGAAACGGGACCACGACGACAAAGTTCAAGATAGTCGGGCAGAAAAGGTAAAGTTATCATTACACCGTTCTTTCCATCTCATTTTAACGTGACATTACAGCGACCTAGGTATGACTATGATGGCGAGGATGTGGAAGCCATGGAAGTTGACAAGAGACACGATTCGGCCCGAGCAGAAACGCCAGAGGAGGGTGAAATCTGATAGCTTTCTATGTCCGTATACTTGTGTGAAAAAATCCTATTATGATTGTGCTATTGGAATTTCAATATCCCCAATTCTAAGGCGAGTGTATGGCTGTTTGTGTTGGATGGTCTTCTGGTAACCCTTTCGCCTCTTCTTCTTGAAGATATACTCCATGGTCCCCTTGGTATGTTCTACAACAGTGGCCTCTACCTGTACTCTTGATGGGGGAATGACAGGATTGCCACGGAGTGTGTATTCGCGTGAACCAAGTTCATGTATTTCGTCAAGTTGAAGGACGTCTCCGACTTTGACGTCGCGAAGACGAGGGACGGTGAGAAGGTCGCGAGGGGTTAGAATGTATTTTTTGCCTGCGAAGGACGCGACCACGTATTGAGAAGGTTGTGAACGAATGAGTTCCAGAGCAGAGGTTGTAGAGTCTGGAATGACAGCTGGAGTGTGAATGCTCCTTGCGACTGTACGTCGTAGAGGGAAACCTGCAAAGTCAAATTAGCTACATTTGCAGCAGCTGCGACGACGAGTACTTACTCCACTTGACTACATTTTGCAAGGTTGCCATCACTGTGGACGGTGAGCTCAAAAATGGTGATATGTGTGTATGAATTGAAGCTCCGCCTGAATGTTCCGACAAACGCCGAGTTAGTTTGGTGACCTCAAACCGAAAACTTCCCGTCTTCACCAAGCTTCATACCCATTCCTTCTTCCACTCTTCCCCAATGCACCGAATCGCCATTAGAAACTCGGCGCGCGCTCGTGCGCTGGCCGCGTCTTTGAGGGTATGTGTTCTCTTATGCGTAATTCAGAGACGAGGAAGGCGCTCAACCCGATAAAACACGAATCTTTCAGAGCACACCCGTCGTCGCTCGTTCATATGCCACCGCAAAGCCAGGTCCGTCTCATTGACTTGGTCTCAAGTTTTTTTTGCTCACAACGCGAACCTCTCTTCTGGTCTTCTTCGCCACGTCATTACAGCTGCCTCCGAGGTTTCCTCCATTCTGGAATCCCGCATTTCCGGTACCTCCGTTGGCGGCAATGTCGAGGAAACTGGCCGTGTATTGAGTATGTTTTTTCATTACTCTCGTGCCCGTTTGTCGACTTACAGCGTTGCTAAGGTGTTGGTGACGGTATTGGCCGTGTTTGGGGTCTGAGAAACGTGCAGGGTAACTACGCTCTGTCACCGCCCCGTTCTTTCAAAATCTAAAGTCTAGTCCAGCCGAAGAGATGGTGGAATTCTCATCTGGTGTTCGCGGCATGTGCTTGAACTTAGAAGCCGACAACGTCGGTGTCTCCATCTTCGGTAACGATCGTCTCATCAAGGAGGGCGACACCGTCAAGCGAACTGGTCAAATTGTCGACGTTCCTGTCGGCCCTGGGCTTCTTGGACGTGTCGTCGATGCTCTCGGTGACCCCATCGACGGAAAGGGCCCCATTGATGCCATTGAGCGTCGTCGTGCCTCCGTCAAGGCCCCCGGTATCTTGCCCCGTCGCTCCGTCAACCAGCCCATGATGACTGGTCTCAAGCCCATCGACGCCATGGTGCCCATTGGTCGTGGTCAGCGTGAGCTTATTATCGGTGATCGTCAAACCGGAAAAACTGCCGTTGCCATTGACACCATTCTCAACCAAAAGAGGTGGAATGACGGGGCGGACGAGAGCAAGAAGCTCTACTGTGTGTATGTTGCAATTGGCCAGAAGCGTTCAACTGTCGCTCAGCTCGTCAAGACTCTTGAGGAGAACGACGCCATGAAGTATACTATCATCGTTGCCGCCACCGCTTCTGAGGCCGCTCCCTTGCAATACTTGGCTCCTTTCTCTGGCTGTGCCATGGGTGAATGGTTCCGTGATAACGGCAAACACGGTAAGACTTTAATGTTCGCGTCATTGTAGTATCTGAACTCTTTTCATAGCTCTCATCGTCTACGACGATCTTTCTAAACAGGCCGTTGCTTACCGTCAAATGTCGCTCCTCCTCCGTCGTCCTCCTGGTCGTGAGGCCTACCCTGGTGATGTCTTCTACCTCCACTCTCGTCTTCTTGAGCGCGCTGCCAAGATGAGCGACAAATTTGGTGGAGGATCCTTGACTGCCCTGCCCATTATTGAGACCCAGGGTGGTGATGTGTCTGCATACATTCCCACTAACGTGAGTCTGTGCCTTACAGATTGTGGACTCTGCTTATCATCTATTATTCTAGGTCATTTCAATCACTGATGGCCAAATCTTCTTGGAGGCTGAACTCTTCTTCCGTGGTGTACGTCCCGCTATTAACGTCGGTCTGTCCGTGTCTCGTGTCGGTTCCGCTGCCCAAACGTTTGTTCCCCCTTTAATGGTTGTGTCCCATAATCTCATCCTTTTATAGCAAAATCATGAAGAAGTTTGCTGGTTCCCTCAAACTTTACCTCGCTCAATACCGTGAAGTTGCCGCTTTCGCTCAATTCGGTTCTGATCTCGACGCCTCAACTCGCTTCCTCCTCTCTCGTGGTGCTCGTCTGACTGAGCTCCTAAAGCAAGGTCAATATCAACCTTTGGCTACTGAGGTTCAAGTCCCCATCATCTATGCCGGTGTCAATGGTTTGGTAAGTTTCTATTTTGTTTCTACGCTCGCTTTCTATGATGTTCATATTATTTAAAGCTGGATTCGATCGCTGTCGACCAAATTACCAAGTGGGAAGCTGAATTCCGTGAACATCTCGCCACTTCGCAAGGGCCCCTTCTTTCAGAGATTGCCACTGGTGTCGTCACTCCTGAGCTTGAAGCCAAGATCAAGAAGGTTGTCGAGGACCATGTTACTTCTTTCACATCGTAATTAGACTATTCTGAGGTTATAACCTTAGACTCAAAATAAAATTTTCTTATTGCTTTGACAATGACCTTGCGTTTACCCTCTTATATCTTGAGAAATCTCGGATCCTATAGTTCCGATGAAATGTTCGTTGACAGAATGTTCAACAAAATAAAACTCGTCACTTGTCAGCGCGCCGTTTCTGCTGATGGCATCTACCTCAACAGAGCACTCCAAGGAAGTTGCAAAAGCCGCGAAAGCAGCATTTGAGCAATCACAGCTCATCCCATCATCTGAACGGATCAGTGCTCTCCAAGCTGTTCATGCGCAACTGAAGGCTCAAAAGGCAGAAATTCTTCTCGCCAATGAGGAGGATTTGAAGGTCAGATCATCATCCTTTCTATCCTTGATTATCTGACGTTCTCCAGGCCGCTCGAACGGAAGTCGCGGCTGGCAGGATGTCCGACTCACTTCTCAAAAGATTAGATTTGACACAGGGTGATAAATGGGAGTCTATGCTGCAGGGCATCCTGGATGTTGCATCATTGCCTGATCCAACGGGTACCGTAACATACGCGAGAGAACTCGACGATGACCTGGAACTTTACCGAGTTGCGTGTCCCATTGGCGTCCTACTAGTGATTTTTGAAGCACGACCTGAAGTCGTTGTAAACATCGCAACATTGGCGATCAAGTCTGGTTTGTGCTCCTGTTTTTTTAATTTTCGGCAGCTACTCACGACATCGTCAGGGAACGCCGCAATTCTGAAGGGAGGGAAGGAATCACACCGGACGACGGGATTGCTGTCAAAAGCGATATCTGCCGGACTGGCTCAGACAGCTCTGTCGGAAACGTACATACAGACAGTACAGACAAGGGATGAAGTATCCTCGCTGCTCGAACTGGACCAGTACATCGATCTGGTGATTCCGCGAGGTAGCAACAGCCTTGTCAAAAGTATCCAAAACAGCACTAGGATCCCTGTCATGGGGCATGCTGACGGGCTTTGCTCCGTATATCTGGATGAAAGTGCTGATGCCGAGAAAGCTGTTCGAGTGGTGATCGATTCAAAAGTTCGTTTCGATTCGTACGCGACTGCCCCTCGCTTACCCGACGCTTACAGACCAATTACCCATCTGCGTGCAACTCGGCAGAAACTTTGATTGTACACGAGTCCTTGCTAACCACAGTATGGCCTGTCGTGGCCAGGGCACTGTTGGATGCCAAGGTTCAGCTACTTTGTGATGAAGTAACTCTCAACGCGTTGAAGGGTCTTTCCCCTCCCCTAGAAAACCTGGATTCTCGCGTGCGACCGGCTACCCCAAGCTCCTACACCACTGAACATTTATCCCTCACTATCTCTGTCACATCAATCCCTTCCCTACAAGCTGCTATCCAGTTCATAAACTCCCACTCTTCACATCACACGGATGCTATCGTAACTGAATCCGACGAGTCTGCATCAATATTCTGCCGCGGGGTGGACTCTGCTGGTACATTCGTCAACGCAAGTACACGCTTTGCGGATGGTTTCCGGTATGGTTTTGGTACGGAAGTTGGCATCAGCACAGGGCGGATTCACGCGCGGGGACCGGTAGGCTTAGAGGGGCTGGTCATCTACAAATATATGATGAAGAGCAAGGACAAGAAGGGCCACATCGTCAGCGAATTTGGAACAGGAAAAAAACAGTACAAACACAACCCGATAATCGCTGAGACGGTTCCTTTTTAAATGGATGGCTAACTATTAGAAAAAATTGGAAAAGTATTGTTCGATATACAGAGAGTAGATATGTACATCTATGACAAAGGAAATAAAAGAGAACTGTACATTGCTGCTACGATTCTGGTGTGTCAAGGCGTGACTTTTTCTCTATACTTGACTCTGGCACTTCGGTCTCCGCCTTGCGCTTCAGGACAGCACTGGCATCTTCAGGCGCCTTCTTCTTTCTCTTAACAACCATGGATGTCAAGTCGTTTACAACAGGTGCGGTCACAGCTACAGCCGACGCAGAGCCATTTAACTCCTTGTCCAATGCTTGTGCAGCCAGAGCAGGCGCATTTCCCAGCAACGATTCCGTGGGTGAGGTTTTCAACTCCTCGACCTGTGATCACTATTAAAAACAAGGCGTATGTACTCTGCATTTAGACCGACCTTCAGCGAGAGATCATCGCGCAAACCGGAAAGCTCCTTGATCTCGTTATCGATTTGTGTCTTTGACATGTTCTGAACGAGATCATCCCGGACGAGCCGTGTTCCAGATTTCCCTTTACCTTTGACATCATTTGTTGGAACAGTTGCCGGTGACTGTCCAGATGAACCATTACGAAGTTCAGCGAGCCTCGTTTCAACACTTTCGAGAGCCTTCTCGACGTGAACGATAGCATCTGCTAGACGTCCAGAGGTAAGATCTAGGACCATGCTCAGCTTATAGTGCGCCTCTGCAATTTGACGTGATGAGGTTGGCAAAAGCTGGACTTTGAGCTTGAGGCCCGCCTCGTAGTCCGTAATAGCTTGGTCAAATTTTTCTATAGAGAATGTCAATAGACGCGGAAGGGAGACATCTTCGTAGCGTACCAGTTTCCAATGATACATCGCCCAGAGCAATGTATGTGTCCGCCAACTTCAACTTGACTTCTTCGTTGTCGTCTTCTTGATTTTGTTTGTCATATATGGCTCGAGCAAGGTCAAGAACTTCCCAAGCCGCATTGAAATCGTCTTCCGGCTCTCCATCTTCTCCCACTTCTTCGTCGTCACCTTCCTCCTCCTCGAGATGCGTGGCTTGGGCGAAGAGGTCAACAGCTTCATCCTCAGCATCTCCGGAGAACGATAAAATAGGTCCCGTCGCCCCCACACCAGAACCCGAAGCTGAAGACGCGCGTTGAGCAGGGAAACAATGAGACCACACGTCTCCACACACCTTTCTGTTCTTCATGCGCATCATCCTCCGGCTGTTCCTTTCCTAAGACCGAACTCTGCACGATAGCATTCTCCAGCAAGGCCTTCCCATATAAGAAATATAAATCTGCGGATTCGGGGGCATCCTCGCCACACTTTTGTGTCCTGTCAAGTCGTCAAAACGCGTCAAAGCGCGACTGATTGGCCGAAAGTAGCCTATCAACGTGACGTACATGAGCTCCAGCGCGGTAGCATAATGATCTATTGCTTGTTCGTACTTCCGAAGTGCGAAAGCGCGTTTAGCGTGTTCAATGGCAGTTTCAATGGAAACTGGGGCCTGTGGTTCATTCTTAGCGGCTGAACCGTTTTTGATACTAAGACTCATCAGTTCGACTAAAATTTCCAAATTGCTAGTGGACTCACGATGTCATTTGGAAGGAATGGGCGAATGCCACTGCTTTACTTGAAAACGGGAGGAAGAGAATGGCCTTTGTGCGAAAGTGAGTTACCAAACGTGGAAGACTTAGGAATGGTACCGGGAACGTGACGAAGAAAATTCATTATCAATTCGTGAAAGCTAACTAAATAAGTTGATAAGTAAATACTACAAACGCAATCAAGTGAAGGTCCCAAGGTTCCAATGCGCAGTGGGCAACGCGGCTCTAAGAGTTGGGGAATACATGGAAGAGAACACGAAAAACGGAGTGGTCAAATGAAGGGTGGCAACATTTCAGATCAAAGAGGCATTCTGCTGCTGCTGTGCTGGCCCACCAAAGTTCGGCTGGGAACCAAATGCCCCACTTGGGAAGCCTGTTGGGTTGTAACTGGTCGTGTTTGAGAATGACAAATTTGAGCCAAACGAGGGTACTCCTGGTGAAGGTGTCATCATCGATGCACGGAATGGGTTGGCAGCCCCACCACCCGTCATCTGAGGCCTAAGCCCTACGCCCAAGGTCGATCCGCCTAGCGGAGTGCCAAAACCTCCTGTAGCGCCTGTTGGCTGAGAGCTCAGCGCTCCAAAGCCAGATGTGGTGGGGGCAGGGGAATTTCCTAGCGAAGGAGCCCCAGTTGTTCCTGGAGTAACTGGAGCAGAACCAGGGATGGGAGGAAGGGACTCCAAAAGTGAAGCACCAAAAGACGAAGAAGGCTTAAACGGTTTAAGGCCAGTCAAATGAGATTTGAGTGGGAGAGACACAGGGGAGGACGCCGGCGATGCCGTAGTTGCACCTGTTTGTTGGCTGTAGGAAGAGAACAGGGAGTCCGAAAATGTAGAGCCTGTGGTTGTCGTCGATGTATTTTGCGAAAACAGAGGACCTAAGGAGGTGAAACTTGGTAGGCTAGGTGGCTTATCAGTAGTATTGGCACTCGGTTTGCCCATCGACGTAAACGACGATGCAATACTGGAGATATCTGTGGCTCCTGGGCTGAGCGCGCCAGAATTAAAGGAAAACCCATTTGTAGAGGAAGCCGGTTGGGATTGCACTGGAGATTGTTGTTGCTGGAAGGCCTGGAAATTACCTGGGCTGTTGGCTCCCATTGCTAGCTCCATTAAAGTTGGCGGCTTTGGTACAGGAGGCGCAGGAGTGGTGACTGGACCAAAAGGATTCTTCGTACCAGTCTGATGGGTTTTTACGAACTGGGCGGGAGGAGGAGAAGTCGCAGAAGATGAGGCGAAGGGTATAAGCGGTGTGGAGGCTGGACGTGGTGGAACATTGATCGAGGGATCTGCAGACCCATTGATTAAGGGCGCGGTTGCCGAATGCGGCCCAGAGTTAGCAAACGGTGTCATGGCGCCAAATGCATTCGATCCTGCTGGAGGTTGCGGGGTTGAATTGAGGAACATACTTCGACTTCCAGCAGTAGCAGCTCCAGTGAATAGAGCCGCCCCAGTTGATTGAGGTAGAAGCATGCTTTGACGGAATGGATTAGCCCCTGTAGCTTGGGGCAGCAACAACCTTTGCTGAGGTTGCCTAAGGAAACCAGTTTGTTGTTGCGGGAAACCAGTTTGTTGAGGTTGTTGCGGGAAACCAGTTTGCTGAGGTTGTTGCGGGAAACCAGTTTGCTGAGGTTGTTGCGTGAAACCTGTCTGTTGAGGTTGTTGCATGAAACCAGTTTGCTGGGGCTGTTGCGAAAAACCAGTTTGTTGGGGTTGTTGCGGAAACCCAGTTTGTTGCGATTGAAGGGGAAAACCAGGTTGCTGCTGCTGTGGTTGCAAAAACGACGAGAAGGGCCGGTGTCCAGTTGGTTGCGGTTGGGGGGCGCCCAAAAAGTTGTTAAATGGATTGGGGGGTTGTTGAATAGCGGTTTGTTGTGGCATCATAAAACCTGTCTGTTGAGGAATAACTTGAGGTTGTGGTGCAAAGCCCATTTGAGCGAAAGGGTTTGAGGCGACCTGTTGCTGGAAATATGCTGCATTGGGGCTTGATACAACCAGAGTAAGCAAAGTCAGATGTGGTAAGGATCCTGATAATTACCTGTTGGTTTGAGGATTAAACATTGTTGGCTGTTCTTCTTCAATGGCAGAAAAGAAGTCAACCATGTCCTTGTTAGCCTTTCCATCCACCTCCGCTGTGGTTGAAGCCGACCCGTTGGCCGTGGTTGACTGGCTAGGTTGTGATGACGATGCAGCAGAGCTGGGAGTCTCAGTAGCAGCTATAAAAAGTGGAATCAATCTCAATCCTGTACATTAATTTGCCGAAGGCTACTTACAGGAAGGTTTCGACCCTTTCACATCCAACGGCTTTTTGCTTGTTGTGGTGGCCGCCTTATTTGCCTTGTACTCTCCCCTATTTTGTTCAAAATTAGGGTCATCAAGGTATTCCTTCAGGGCGCCTGCAAGTGATACGGGGGCCTGAAAAGGGGTTACGGACGGTGAATCGGTGTTTCGATTTGTTAACTTACGTGCTTCAAGTTAGGAATGGGAACGTTCAGCAAATTTTGGAGTTTCTTCGCGACACCAAGAAATTCAACAACACGTTCCGTTTGCTTACAAAAATGTCGATAGAGATTCAGTGCCTGTTCAGCGTCCACGTGGGACATCTCGAAGTAGTGTTCTAGGAGTGAGAAATATTAGCCTTTTCGACATCATTTAGAGGACAACTAACCCAAGACGTTAATAACGCCTTCATTTCCAGCCTGAAAGAGGATCAAGAGATCCTTTACAAGCATTCGGAGGGCAGTGATGGTCAGTTCATCCTCCAAATCGTCCAAATAGAACTGACATCTCGAATGTTAATCCAGTGAAAGTCAAATAACCAGATAAAAGGTTCGGGATACGCACTCGACATTCAACCAGCGTGTCAATCATATTGTGAACTGCCTTCGTCTCCCGCAACAGACCCTTTTCAACCGTCATCACCCGAAGCTTCCTTCCAGCGATGGTTTTGCTCCTGGATGGACCTGACAACGCAGGGGCCTTGACTGTGCGATCTTTCCGACTTCTGTTGTTATAGGTGTTGATAACGCTGTCATCTTCTATGGAGGCCGAATTGCGCATATCACGATTCGTCTCGGCCTGAACCCGAACGGCGTCATGTTTGAGATCGCGGTATGCACGAATTCGAGAGTCAAGGTAATAAGCGTAGTTTTGTAGGTTTTCGGGAGCGGCGTAACCTAATAATAATGATCAAATATAAGCGTGAAGCTGTTCACATTGATTTGATACGAGCCTTCCCAGTTTCCGGCCGATACGTTCCGCAATCTCAAAATTTCTGTTTGCGACAGGTATGACAAGACATTGTCGGTGGCGCCGTTCCGTATCATCGTATGAAGGACAATGAGGGCTTTGAATACCACCTAGGGGTGACGTCACATTTTGAGGGATCTGCAGGGTGGCAGAGAAAGCGTACGATAGCATTCGGTTCCCGAAACCTAGGCGAGAGGGCTTTACACACATCCGAAACTGCGCCATCGTCGGACCAGGTTGCCGCAATAATGGGGTCGATGTACTGTGTGCGATGTAACGTTATACATTGTTTTGAATTCGAGAGGAGAAAGGGCGGTACCTTTGCCTTGGGGGGTGCAGCCTTTGGTTTGCAGGCCAGCTTCACGACCTTGTCGTAGCTGGACATATTCTTTTCGATTGTCAACTGGGATGGGCAGAGATTTGTCAATTATACAGGGCTCGTCACTCAGTGTAGCTCCATTTGAAACTCAGCAAGTCATGTGGAAGACTCTGAGATAGAACACAGTTCGGACACACGTTGTAAGAATAACAGTTGACAGTGCACGATGTGTGCATATAGCGCATACTTATGTATTGAACAAATCGATGCTGCACACTGCTTGAATGTTGCAGAATAATGCAGTGTTTTCAGGAAATGTGGTTGGGCTGGATCAATTTTTTGGAACTATGGTTGCGGACTCGAGCTGCAGTCGCATGATAAAGATATCTAGCGACTTACCAGTAGCAACGAGTCAACGACGGTGATCCTTAGGCATCTTCATGGATGCACTACATAAGCTAACTGTTAGCAACTCAGCCAGCAACTGGAACCTTGTGCTATTTTTAGCACCGCGGAATGGGTCACTTTCCTGGTGCAAGCCTTGGTCACTGTTACTCCTCACATCCCTCATACATCCTGGAAACCCTCATTAGTCGCAACAAATTCTCTTGTGGTTCTTCCTACACCTACACAATCGAACGGCCTTTGGTGTAGTGGCCCAGGTCATCGCGATCAAAGCTCAGTCCGTGCTCCACCACACCGTACACAAAGTACACCCCATAAGGCAAACAGCCTATCCCCAAAGCCTTTCTGATGCTTGAAACAGAATTGCCAAACATGTTCACTCGAAAATGCTCCAGGATATGGCATAGTTCTCGCCACCGACCACTACTGCTTGTTTTGCTCATAGCCCTCTACACCCTCTATCATCTAGTACCCCGGAACACAACCGATTATTTCTCGGACTTTTTGAATGCGGAAGCGGATGCGTCACCCGAATTATGGAATGAAAGGGCGGAGCAAGTGAAGCAAGCTTTTGTTCATGCGTACCATGGGTACGAGCGGTATGCGTTGCCCAATGATGAGCTGAAGCCCATAACTCGTGGCAAAATCGACAAGTGCGTGGGCTTCGTCGGATTTTGGATGTTTTCTAACTATTCCATAGCTTCAACGGATGGGGAGTAACCGTTTTTGACTCCCTTGATACTATCTACCTTCTGGGACTCAAGGACGAATTCGAAAGGGCGCTCAGAGTGGTTAAACAAACCAATTTTTCTATCTCCGTGGTACGTCGTTACTTTAGCGGAGATTGTCGTTATCCCACCAGAATTGCAGGGAAATGATATTGATGGATTTGCGCCATATTTCGAAACGGTCATCCGTTATCTCGGAGGCCTTCTCTCCGCGTACGCCCTTTCCAAAGATCATATGCTCCTTGAGCGTGCCGAAGATCTCGCAATAGTTCTAGATCCCGTCTTCGACACTCCCAGTGGGATGCCGTTTTATAGCGTGAACCCTACAACGTATGCGCTTGTACTATCCATCCTCGCGAAAAATTGCTAATTTACATGCAGTGGTGAGCACAAGGGGCCGGAAATTGGCATCCTGGCCGAGATTGCCAGTTTGCAAATCGAATATACCTATTTAGCCAAGGCAACGGGTAAGAAGCAATACTTTCAGCGTGTACGTCAAACATATTTAACTTGGCCTTTGACTTACGCTTAATTAGGCGGATGCGGTGTCCAAGACTCTTGCTCGAGCCAATCTGCGTGACACTGGCGGAATGTTCCCTATACAATGGAACCTCACGTCTGGGCAACCCATTGGCTGTAAGTTTATAGACGTAAACCAACCGCAGCCTTCTAACTATTGATACCAGACCGTCTTTCCGTTGGCGCGCAAGCAGATAGTGCACATGAATACTTGCTGAAACAATATCTACTCACAGCAAAAACAGACAAGGCTAGCCTTGAAATGTGTACGCAATTGCTTGAACTACGCTATAAATGAGTCTTACTCCCTTCTTCAGATCTTCGCGCTACCACTCACATCATTACTAATTTGATGTATATTTCCCCGACCCGACATCTTGCATACGTCACTGACTCCGCCACGTCCACATTTTGGGAACTTGGTGAACCAACTCACATCTTTGAGCACCTGTCATGCTTCCTTCCAGGCATGCTTGCGCTAGGAGCACACACACTCCCTCTTGACAACCTTGATGAGGTTGGCATTAGCTTCCAAAACCTTGGAGATCAGGCAACGTTTGGATACGCAGCGAAAGGATTCAAGACTCTTAGAAATTACAATTTGACAGAAATTCATTTGTGGGCCGCCGAGAGTCTTGCACAGACTTGTTGGCTAACCTACGCCGACCAACCTAGTGGTCTGGGGCCCGATGAAATCACGATGAAGACTATTCATTACGACAGTCCTTCCGAAAGCTATCTGTGGATTAAAGCAGTCGAGAAGTGGAGGACAACTGGACGAAGGGGTCCGGTCCCAGGCGTGGCTGATCGCAAGCCTGTTGTTTATACTGAGAGGGAGAGGTTATCTGGAAAGGGTGTGGGTAGGGACTACGTGCTCAGGAAGCCAGGATATCTGCTTAGGCCAGAGGTGAGATCGCACACTTCATTTCTTGGGAACATTGTTCAGTGAGATTCAGACTCTTGAGTCGTTGTACATTCTTTGGCGAGTAACGGGAGATTCAAAATGGAGAACACGATCTTGGACGATATTTGAGGCCATCGAGAGGGAGACCAAGACGCCGAGTGGGTACGCAAGCCTGCGGTCGGTCGAGATGTCACCTGCTCCGAAGGAGGACAGTATGCCAAGGTACGTCATACGCCGATGTGACGACCTCTTGCTAATCTTTGAACGAGCAGTTATTTTTTGGCAGAAACGTAAGTTGGACTTTAGAAGTTTAGATGACGATCAGGAAGTTGACAGAGTTTTACAGGTTGAAATATCTGTACTTGATGTTCAGCGTGAAAGACCCCCTACCACTGAACGAATGGGTATTCAACACGGAAGCTCACCCCTTTCCGGTTTTTGAGTGGAGTGAGGAAGAGAAAAAGGCTTTCGAGATGTAAAATACATATAAACTTTTGTTGGAGTAGAAACTGTAATTCCTGTTTAGGAGGCTTGACGGGAAGGCGGGCCGTTCGGGAATCAGACAGGATACGCGCGGGCCCCAGTGTTGTCCGATGGCCTGAATGCTATCTAGCTTGCGCCTAAAATGGACGCGACCCATCCCCCTCCGTTCTCTGATATCACCCTCTCTTAAACCCCACCACAGCCTTCCCGCTATACCCCGCAGAAACATGTCTCATGGACTCAAGCACACCGAGCTCGTCGGCTCCCTCGATTGCGGCACGACGTGAGCCCCCTTCGCCTCCTCAGACCACTCCTCACTGACCTCCTGCAGATCTGTTCGTTTCATTCTCTTCAATAAATATGCAGACATCGTCGCCCAGCACCAGCTTGAGTTCCCCCAATACTATCCCCATCCAGGGCAGGTGTTCACTCTTGGCACCGTCAACTTGTGACCAACGCTGCTTCTTAGATGGCACGAGCATGATGTAGAAGAGATACAGCAGCACGCGGATATATGCATTGCGGAAGCCCTCAACTCTCTCGAAGCATCAGGCTTTTCGAAGCAGAGTGTGAAAGTCATCGGTATGCCGCTCCGATGTCCTATCACATGGATATCTCATTTCTACACAAGGTATCACCAATCAACGCGAAACTACGGTCGCATGGAGTCGAAGCACGGGAAAGCCGCTTTGCAAAGCCATCGTCTGGGCTGATTCTAGGACGAAAAACACGGTCGCTCACTATGAGCAAAAACTTGGTGAGACTGGGATTCAAGTCTCGCCCGGTATATGGAAGAAGGAGAAGGAGGGCGTTGAAGCTCTTCGGGAGATGTGCGTCGTCGCTTGCAACTCCAATGCCCCCTATTGACTTAATATATTAGAACGGGTCTTCCTCTTTCCACCTACTTCTCAGCTATCAAACTGCGATGGATGATTGACAACTACCCCAACGTTTTTAAAGCACACAATGCAGATGATTTATGTTTTGGAACCATCGAATCTTGGATTGTATATGTTCGTCTTCTTTTCTAGTTTTTCTTCATTTATCCAGCTCATGGCGTACTTACATAGAACCTTCTTGGTGGACCCAAGACTAATATTCACATCAGCGAAGTCTCCAACGCGTCTCGCACATTGCTTCTCAATACCGCGACTCTCAAATGGGAGCAGTCTCTCGTCGATTTTTTTGGCTTCCGTCCATCCATTCTACCCAAACTCGTTTCAACATCCGAAGTGTATGGCAACATTGCATATGGCCCATTGACTGGTGTACCGATAGGTGGCCTAGTCGGTGACCAGCAAGGCGCTCTCATTGGAAACAAGTGTCTTACTCGAGGCGAAGCCAAGTGCACTTATGGGACTGGTGCATTCCTTCTGTTCTGCACTGGTCACGATATTGTGAAGAGCAACCACGGATTGCTGAGCACTGTGCGCATCTAAGCTTGTTTCCTTCTGCTTATGATTTAATGGTTTGCTACCTCAGATTGCGTATCAACCTGGTCCAGGTGCGAAGCCTGTATACGCGCTGGAAGGAAGTAGTGAGTGTTTTGTCAAACTCTCTGGCCTTCGCCCACATGATTGTAGTCGCTGTTGCTGGTAGTGCGGTCAAGTGGCTTCGGGATCAAATGAAGATCATCAGCAGTGCTGCAGAAATCAACTCCCTCGCTGCGCAAGAGCCTGATACTGGCGGTGTTTACTTCGTCACAGCGTTCTCAGGGCTGCTGGCCCCATACTGGGATCCCGGAGCAGCCGGCCTCCTCATAGGTTCGTTTTCTTGGATCAACCCAAATTGCATTCACATCAACTTTCTCTAGGCATTTCACAGTATACCAATCCCTCCCACATCGCGCGTGCGGCACTCGAGGCTAACGCGTTCCAAACCCGCGCCATCATTGAGAGCATGAAGCTCGATTCTGGCTCTGATCTGAAAGCTCTCAAGGTCGATGGAGGGATGACCAACGGCGACGTCGCGATGAAAATCCTGGCCGACATTGGGGGCTTCAGAGTGATCCGCCCTGAGATGAGAGAGTATGTTCAAGGTTCAGAGTGACTGCCGTCCGACATACTAAAAGTTTGCTTTTTAGGTCGACTGCGCTCGGTTCAGCCATCTGCGCTGGAGCTGCTATCAAACTTTTTGGCTGGGATTTGACGAAACCCGAATCCCTTAGCGAAGTCAACACCAAGGGTAACGTTGAGTTTACCGCTCACAGGATTGAGGAAGAAAGGCAGAAAAAATGGGAAAAATGGCAACTAGCCGTTAAACGTTCAAGGAATTGGGAGGAAGGTGATGTCAGCAAGGCATGAACTATCACAGTCATTACTTGAATGAGATAGGTTTGTTGCTGTATATACCCGGTAATTTCATTGATCCGTGCTTGACCACAAATAATCGATGGTCCATGTATATCACAACTGGTTACCTCCCAAGTTAGTGACCAAACTTCTGGAGGGGATTCGATCGTTTCTTTCCACCGCGCCCACTGCCAGCTCCTGCACCACGCCCCCGACCCCGACCCCTTCCCGAACCGCGCGCAGAGTTTTTCTTAAAAGGAACAAATGCCTTCGGCTTTGACGATGCAGAAGGTTCCGCCTCACTGCCAGGCACAGGCGCAATCCTGGGCAAAAGATACTTTGGGACATGCTTCATGTGGGGTTGGATACGCGTCGGATGAAGAGGTTTGTCGTGTCTAAGGTATTCCAAGTCAAGGGGATTGTCTTCAAAGTGAGCCTAATGCTGGAGGGTTAGTAGTATGTAAGGGAATGTCGTTTTACAATCACCTTAAGCTTCTCCGAATTTAGAATCTCCGTTTTCAGCTCTTTCACTCTTGCCTCCTTGATGGCAGTTCTTGTCACGCTTCTTAAAGCGTCTTCCATCCGATATCTAAAAGCCTCCACCTGCTTCATGTCGAATTGATATTCTTTAATCTTACTCCCCCGTGCCCCTTGCTCCTTCTCAATTTTACTGAACACCATCTCGTCTTGCTCTGCACTTGGTAAGCAGCCGACAACTTTATTTTTCCCCCATTTATCTCGTGGTACGACGAATGACAGAGACATGCCAGTCCGTCCAGCTCGTGCGGTCCGCCCTACCCTATGAGTGTAGGATCTTGAGGAGGTGGGAAGGTCAAAGTTCAGCACGCAGGCAACGTCCACAAAGTCGACGCCACGTGTTACGCCGTACTCTTTGTCGCCTCCCGCTTTGCGATGTTTCCGTTTCCGTGTTTTTCTCGCGGAGGGTGCAGGGGAACTATTCGAACGTTTCCGCTTCCCCTTGTCAGTAGTCGCCGATGGTTGTTCCGTGTCTAGTGATTGTTCTTCATCGGCAGGTACGCGTTGTGTTGACGTGACTAACGACGATCGTTCTGAGTTGAAATTCAGTATAGAGTGCTGAACGAGAACGCACATTCTTCTACGGCTTGCTCTACTTCTTCGTCAGTGTCATATTCCGCTCGTGCGCCAGCTTCGTCCGTGGCAATGATATAGTCATAAACTCCCTTGTTGAACTCCTGGACGACGTGGTATCTAAGAACGTCAAAAGCTGTCTTATATCAGCAGTGAGGCTAAACATACCTTGAATTCAGTGGAAGCTCTGAATTGAGAACACAACTTTTTATTGAGAATTGTTCGAGAAATAGTTTGAGACGATATGAACGGTCAACGTCGTTCACAAACAAGATACATTTTCCTTTAATGAGCTTGACTTTCAAGATAACGTAGGTGAGGAGGAACTTGTCCACTTCTGAGCACCTGCGTAACAACAATGGTCAGCTATATCCGCTGGAAGACGACTAGAAGTCTTGAACCTGACTGCATATTGACTAAGGTTTGCTGCCTCGTCCTCATCTTCTTCCAACTTCAGAATTGCCTAGAATATGCTCAAAAATAGATAAATTATGAAGCAATAAGTTGACGAACTGGGTTACGAAGCGCAAGACCTTTCAGTATTTCCACGTCTTCCGTCATTGTCGCGCTCATCAAGAAAGACTGGTACACCTTTGGAAGAAAACCACTGCTGAATATTGAGCGAATGTCGTCATCGTGGCCATAAGAGAGAATCAAGTCCGCTTCGTCTATGACAAGAGAGTCAAGCGAAGAGAGTGATAGTACTTTTGACTGAAGCAATGCAAGGGCACGCGAGGGGGTCGCGATGACGATGTCAGGTTGATCCGAAAGGAGAGTTCTAAGAGAGTTGAGCGGAAGGCAAAGTATCAATGAAACAATTTTTCTACCGTTGAAGGTGTGTTGTTGTTCCCGTCGCTAAATTCGAATATATGATATCCTTGTCGCAATATGCTAATAACCCTCGCATGTACGTGGAAACTTGTTCCGAGAGCTCTCTTGTTGGGACGAGTATCAATGCTCTTGTTGCCCGTCTTCTCTGGTCCTCCTCATCCAACCCCTGCGACAGCGTGAACTTTGAAATCGCCTACAGCAAGGCAAGTGGTACGTACACTTTTCGCGCTTAATATTTTCTGCACCATCGGTACACAATATGCCGCCGTTTTCCCACTTCCAGTCCGCGCCCTAGCGAGGATGTCGCGTCCTTCGAGGGCCAATGGAATGGCTTTCGCTTGTACGAGGGTTGGTCGGGCAAAGCCCATGTCTGCCAGGGCACGGAGAAGGCGAGCATCGAGAAGGTGAGAGAAAGATGAGAAAGAGGTTTTGAGGTCAACGAGATGGGGGGAGGCCATATTGCAAACTAGTGACAAAGATTCAAAAATTGTCACATGAGATAAGATTACAAGCTCAAAGCAATCTACAAAAGTCGAGCCTCATAATTACTGGATGGTACAATTCTCCCCGTTGCGCCCGCCCCTTCTCGCCCCTTGGGGCCCAATGGGCCCAGGTTCTAACCTCACGGGTGCTGCAGGGGTCGTGTCGAACTGCTGACACGTACGATAATGAGCTGTTAGCGCAGCCCCGACATTTAGTCCATCGGCAGTCCCAATCATTAGCCCACACTTGTAACAAAAGTGTCTATGCCCAAGATCAGCGGAGTCCCAGCACACACATACAAAGGAATATGACTTACACGTTACATCCTGGAGATGTGCACTGATGACCAGCACGCATCAGAACAGTCATTGAAAACTCCAGTTTGGCTAGACTCACATGCATATGATTACATCCAGATTCTTTCTGAATCGCAGTCCTGCATCCTATTGTCATATCCCGCCGTTGAGCCAACTTCAGACACTCCATCGGCTGAACCTACCTGGACATTGCCGCCACCCATTTTCTTGCATGAGGCGAATCAACCCGTTGTCATTTGCGGTACAGATGTGTTCGTTGGTATCACCAGCAACTGTTATCAGACAGGCTTTGCAAAACTTATGGCCGCAGTATGGTAGAGGGCAGATGACCACATCTTGCTCGAGATAATCTTCACGAGCCACAAACATCGTGTTTTCGCAGCTGAGCCAGTAGACTTGAGAATAAGTACAGCGGGCAAACCAAAGAACTTACTTAGGGCAGCTCAGCTGGAAAGAAAGCCCTGCTAGTTGAAGCTCAACAAATTTGTCAACAATCTCTTCTGACAGTCCTAGTTTCTCCAAAAGTTGCTGTCCGACAGCTAGAAGAAGGGGAAACTAAGCGGCAGGAATCCTCACTAGGAAATGACTTACTCCCTGGATTTGATCTGGCTTTGTCCGTCGTACAAAGAGGGCATAGAATCGGATAACGGCCCTCGCCAAGCTTAGATTCAACATGTCCCCGAAGGCAATCTTGACAATAAGAGTGCTCGCAGTCAAGCATTTTAACAGCGAGGTCTCCGCTCAGGGTTTCAAGACACACGCCACAATCGAACGCTATCACAGCGTTGACTTCAGTGCCTACCAAAACAACTGGTCCACGTAAAGAAGAAGACCTCGACGCTCTTCGATTCTGTGTACCATCATTATGATCCACCTGAATAGTCAGGTACCATTAACTCACCGTCGTGTCCCGTCTCTTGCCATGGGTTGAAGATCGGTGAGGCGTTCCTATTAATACGTGGTTTTGAATTTCTTGAGTCGGACGCCACTGACGCTCGGCACGCCTAGTTCGTGTCGTCGTCACCGGATCACGAGTTACTGTACTCTGGGGTGGGGGGGTAGTCAGGGATTGCGCCGCCAAAGCTAGCTTCCACGAAAAATCATCGCGAGTGCGACGCCCCAAGCTCCTCGGTTTCGTAGTGTTCAACAGGGAAGAAGATGCTTCCAGCGAGGTTTCATTTTCGGCCCTTGCATTCTCCAGATTTGTGGCTTCCTCGGCACTATTTTGGACATTCGAGCGTGAAGTATCATTTGCACGACTTCCACTATGGGGAACAGTGATTGATTTGGCGGCCAGCGCTACCTTCCAGCTGAAACCATCATCCGTGGAGTTGCGATCGAATTGTCTCGAAGGCCCTGCCGTTACTGAATCACGGTTGTCATGCATCTCAAGTTGTACCCATTCATTATCACCTCCTGTGGCCGTCGTCTCGCCTTCTCCTTCCCTCTCTACTGCCGGAGCGTCTTCAAGGGCAGTTTTCTGCAACGCTAACTGCCAGCCAATGGCAGACTTGCGTATCAAAAGTGGTGTAGAGGTATCTGTATCTGTGTTATTCAGTTCTTGTCCAAACGAGGGTTGATCAGTAGGTCGGCCCTCCAACTGTGTCTCCCGAGGGCCTTCTAATGCTGAAGGGGAGGAAGGAGATATTGGAGACGCCATCTGCAAACCTAGTTGCCAGTGGTATTCACGCCGTTTTCGGGGAGTGGGAATCGATGAGACTTCGGAAGTTACAACAGGCGTTGAAGAGCTGCTAGTAAGCTCGTCGGATAGTGAACCGTTAGTAGATAAGTTTCCGGATGATAAACCATTCGATGGCAAATCGTTGGATGTTAAATCGTCAGAAAATGAATCGCTTGGCTGCAAATCGTTGGATGACAGATCGTTAGACTGCAAATCATCCAATGGGATATCATTAGATGGGATCAATGGTGATATATCAGCAGAGACCAAATCAGCGGCAAGGGTATCATCAATGGGAGACAGGCTGTCGTATGGTGGTGGTGGGTCATCAGGCACCATGACAAAAGCTAAGTCGTCGCCCAGAAAAGAAGAAGAGGAGGCGTTGGAGGCCTCCAAAGAATCACCAGACAAGGGCAAATCGATAGGAGTGGCCAGGCGCCATCTCTCTGAAGTTTCCATCCTTAATATGTGTGCCGAGAACATCTGAGAATTTGAATGAAATTCCTCTACTTCTCCATCTGAAGAGTCGTCAGATTTGAGAAGTTCATGGAGATATCGCGCAGCTGTCTCTTTGCTATCGTTTAGAACGAACGCGGGTCCTCGTGGATGTTTGGGCTGCCTGTGCGGGTCGAAGATGAAAAACCTGTAAGAATCGCGAAGGTAAAGCCTGATGCAGACAATAATATCGCGAAGACGTGTAATCACTGCAGCCACAGGTCGATCTGTTTGTTCTATTGTTCCAAATGCTCTGGTTGTAAGATAAATAGAAATTGAGCAAAGAACAATGATATAAGAACGGCACTAACTGACTCGAACAAAGCGATGAATCCTTCGTAAGATAGATGCTCATGGGACACTGCAGCTTGGGTGAACGCGTTCTGAAACTGAGGTCGCTCTAAGAGGTCCTCAACACTAAGGTTGGAGTACGCCTTCAAGGTATCGTCAATAGAGGTGACCCTCTACGAAATATACCTCAGAATGCATCTAAAAACACCAGGGAGATGAGCACCGTGCAACTCACTTGGATCGTTTCGGGAGAAATCAGCTCCTGCAAGAAGTTCTCGTCTTTATCTTCAAGATCCTCCGAAGCAAGCTGCTCCTCAAGCTCAAAGACCCTCCGAACACAGTTCAAACCAATCAACCCGCATATAACTTGGCTACTTCCTGCCTCTGAAGACCCACTGCGATATCTGCATTCTTGGCCCTCGTACATCACGACTTGTTGCTTAGCGTAATGAAAGTAGCCCAGCAGTTCGGATGCATCGAGGGCATCGGTGCCATACCAAAGCATCTTTGGATCAGATGTATGTCAACCAGCCAAGAGCTCCGAAGGGACGATAGAGTCCAGTCGATGATAGACAAAGAAAGACAAGTGGATTGGGCGTCTCATGCGCGAGAACTAATACACTGCCGCACTGACGAAAAAGGGGTGAGGCGCTTTAGCGCCGAAATAGATTTTGATCTCATTATTGACTGAAAGAGTTCTTTGCGGTCGTAGCCCAGATGTCTATTGACAAGCAGCTATTACTTAGTAATACAATGATACAGGCAAGATACAGGGTATCGAAGTGGCATCGACCGTCGACGTTTCTCATCTATCCTTTCTTACTGGATAGTACACTTGTACTTGGGCTCAAACTGGGTACAAGTCCGATAATGGGCTGCAACCGCTTCACCAACGTTTCGTCCAGTTCCAGCGTCGATAATGGCTTCCCCGCACTTGTAGCAAAAATGCCTGTAATATTTTGTTCTGAGTTAACGTTGAAGGTTCAAAGTCCAGAAATCGAAACCTTACATATTGCAGCCTGGGGACGTGCACTGAAGAAAGCTTTAGCTGCCTGTGTAGCAGAATGTGCAAAATGGAAACTGACTGTCATATGATTACACCCAGATTCTTTCTGTATGATTGATGTGCACCCTAGCGACTGTTTTTAGGATAGGTTTAATTATTCTTAGAGAAGAAACAAGTACCAGGGCAATAGCGCCAGCCTTTCTTACGCATCAATCGATCCAGTTTGTCTGCTTTGCATACGTGTTTGTCCTCTGGCAGAGACGAAGGTATCATTTTCTGACACGCTTTACACCACTTGTGACCGCAAAGCGGCAATGGACAAACGAGAATCTTAGAATCAAGATACTCCTGGCGATCAACATTCATTGTTTCCTTGCACCTAATTGATAAAGAATCATATAGGGATGGACCGAGTCAAAAATAAGCTGGGTCCGTACCTTGGGCAATGTAGCTCGACGGAATGTGCCGATAGCTGGAGCGCGTCAAACCTGTCAACATTTTGTTGTGTAACATCGAGCTCTTTGACAAGTTTCTGATCAACACCTGAAAAAATATACATCATCCAAACAAATTGTAAGAAAAGGAAGACTTACTCCCAGGGTCGGTTCTCGTTCTGTCTAACACGCAGGTGGGGCATAAAATTGGAAACCGACGTTCCCTTATCATGGATTCAACGTGATACTTCAGACAATTTCGGCAAAATGTATGTGCACAGTCAGGCATTCTTGCAACCTCGCTTTTGTCATAAACCTCGAGACAGACGCCGCATTCTGAGGTTGACGGCAACACAGGCGTCGTAGCCTCCAGGGGAAACTCCTCCCATTCATCGCGAGCCGTTTGAGCGTCGTCGTCGAGCAGCCAAGATGCAGGAAAAGTCATCGAAGTGGCAGCGAGGGCCAACTTCCAACTGATGTCTTCACGAGCTGGACGGCGGCGGGAAGGTCCAGCTCTTATTGTCTCCGTCGACCGTTGTTCAATTAATTTAGGTTTCGACCACTCCTGCTGCAGGTCGGCGATGCGGACATCGTTTTCCGCCTCCAACCGCTGTAGCGATAACTGCCACCCGATATCTTTCTTGGCGTACCTTTTCACTTTGGTTGGTGGCAATACGGTCTGTTGAGCCCCGTTCGGAGGTTCCTCGTTGGGTCGCAGTGGCTTAGGAAGAGAGGTGATCTCATCTATAGGATCCAGCGTCCCGCTTGTGTTATCCTCGACAGAAACAGAAGCCGGCCCCGACTGCAAGGCTAGCTGCCATCCAAATTCGCTTTTACTTCGCCGCGGGGAGGTACCAGGCGAGATCGATGATGATGCAGTTGCTTGACTGGAATGGTGACTGACCTCGAGGAAAGGTAGCGGCGGTTTGTCAGATTTGTCGACGAGAGAAATCAACTTTGTCGGAGTACTTTCTGACGTCGTGGCATCTGACTTGGGTGAAGAATATACAGGGCTCTCTTCAAAAGTCTTCACGTCAATTCCCATATTGTCAAACAAGATGTATGCTGAAAACGTTTGTAGGTCTGGCGCGCCTCCATCAGACGATGTGTCCATAAAAATGTCCACCAGATAGCTGGCAGTGGCTTCTCTTGTCTTGTTAAAGACAAATCCGGGTCCACGAGGGTACGTTGGTCGTGAGTGTGGGTCGAAGATGATGTATGTGTAAGTCGACGCAATGAATATCCTCAGGCAAGCGACAGTTTCTGACAACTGCGAGATAACTGCCGCCACGATGGGTCGTCGAGGGTCAATATCCCACATTCTCCTGTGAAATAAATGGATGAGAATCCTGACTATTGCAACAACCGAAGACTTACTCTAACAAGGTCATAAAACCTTTATACGTCGACCTGGCAGCAGTGGGAATAGCCCGGGAAAACGCGTCGTAGAACATAGGGACTTCTAAAAGTTCATCCATATCGAGTTGATCATTACGTGGCAGTTGATTGCATACAGAGAGGATCTCCTAGTGATTAGGTATGATGAGGGCGATCAACCGAATATGATGTGGCTCACATTCGTCGTCTCCGGAGATAGTAAACACCTTACAAAGACGAGCTCTTGCTCCGATGTCGCTCTCCACCCCCTTGCGAGACCGAAAATTGTCCGAGCGCAATTCAGGGCGATTAGACCACAAGTCGACTGACTGGTGCCAGCTTGAAGAGAGTCATGGCCATATCTGCAAGTTAGACCTGCGTGGGAGATGATAAAATTCGGATTGCATTCAAGCTCCTCCTCCAACCCCTCGAGGTCAATGTCGTCGTCTGCTAAAGACGGCAGTTCCTGACGCTCCGCATCGAAAACCAACATACTAGATATGGAGCGAACGCGCGACTTGTGTCGTTAACGATCGTCTAGAGCGGCGAATTCGTTGCCTCAAGAGTGGCACAAGGTAATGAATTAGATGAACTTGTCGCAGGGAATAAGCGCCAATGTTATACATAGGCACAGCCGGGCAATGCAGTGCTGTTGCGTAAGTCTTATGCGGAACAGGGGTGGAACTTGACCTGAGCTAATCATTCAGAGTTGATTCAGAGCATGATTATAATCGACACTGGCTGACTTGCCTGTTCTTCTTTACTGTATGCATCTTGCTCGTTATCGTTCCTACCAGTGGCAATGGCGTTGATCATGACTTGCATTGCCATAGCACCTCAACATTCACAAACAATTTATCTTCGTACAACTTTGAAATCTTTCCATCGTAGCCAAATCGCAGCCCAATGGCAGATGAGGAAGGACCACGATACCTTTCCGACACGGAAATAGAGGCACTCGCCTCTACGATGCGTGTAGCGGACCCAAATGAAGATAATGGCGCGTTTAGTTCCATAACAAAACTGGAAGCACTCATGTGGTTGAGGCTCCTCGGGCCAAAGGATTTGTCGCCAACTAAGGCGGCGTCAGCGTCCGATGAAAACATCTTTCACAGACTTCGTTATGCCCTGTGGGATTCGCAAAGGATCGATTATCTCTTTCACGGGAAACGCTTCAGCGAGTCCCCGTCCCTCGATGTGAAATCCTTGTCCTCTTGGCCTGATTGGCAGAAAGAACATGCTGAGCTACGAACCCTCAGCAGAGGTATGCAGAAAATGGACGGATATAAGGATGCCGACCGACTTAATTCGTATGTTGTTCAATATCCTGCTTTTTTTTTTTTTTTTTTTTTTTTTTTTGCTTATCATTTCCCATAGTTATGTTCATCGGCACTTCACCATGTCCGCTTTCACGCAAATGGAGAATATGTCCGGGGTGGTTATGAACCATCCAAAAGACTGGAGGGGCGCTTGGATAGGTACCAAGGCAAAGATGCACTGTGCCGCCCTGGACATCACTAGAGAGGGTCTGACGGTTCCTATGTTCACTGATAATCCACTCTAACGAATTCAAAAGGCGGGAGAAACACCCCTTTCGTAACCTACTTCACAACTCCTGAGAACGGAACCTGCATGCTTATTATGGAAATTTTGGATGTGAAAGAGTGCGCTTGGCCAGAACCATCCAAGAAGGTGCCTATTCTCATACAAAAGCACAAATTGAAAATCTCAAATTCTACCTTCACAGTTCATGGAGCAGATATTAACATGTCAAGAAACAAAGTTTGGCCATCCAGCAACAGGTTTTCACTTCCTCCTTCCATTTTCAAGGCAATGATCAATCCAGGTCGATGCTTCTTTTCTAGGCCCGTTGGTTCCTATGATGCAGACACCGAAATTTCCTCTCATCCTTGTCAGGTACTCTTATATGGAAGGTCGGCCCAAGGCGAGTCGATGAACACGATACATTGAATTAACCATTGATTTGACGCAGGGAGGATCTCAGTTCACCCTTCATCTCGAAGGGCGCCTGGCAAAAAGCATGAAAGGCGCCTCAAAGAGAGCTGTGCGAGAGAAATTGCAATGGCATTTACAAACGGGAGAGGAAATGGAACCAACGCACATCCGAATGTTTGCTCGCCTTCTGTCGCACAACGCCACCCTTATAGACCCTGAGTACGTCGGCGAGCTACAGTCACACTGGGCGGGCGTAGCGCGTGACGTTATCAAGGAAACCAAAATCAGCTTTTTTGTTCCTTGCCTCAGACTGCGCCACCGGTAAACCTCTTTTATGCGATGTGTAGTTAACTTGGTTTTGACTGCGCAATTGCTCCAAGAGCTGTAGAAAGTATCGAAACGGGAATTATTGACCAACCCCTGCAAACGATCTGCAACTCTTGCGGCAAAGAGGCTCGATTGACATGTGCCTCGTCAGTCCTTGTCTATGCTCCTGATCGTACTCCATGCTAATTATAAAAACAACCACTTCAAAGTTGCAAATCAGTCGTAAGTTTTTACCCTCTTTCACTTTCCCAGTCCATCCAAATTTTCGAAGTTTTATTGCAGCTCCGATTGTAATAAACGTGACTGGTCGGAGCACAAAGCTAATTGCAAAGTCTCCAAACGTCTCTTATCCGACCCGTCGAGTTTCCCGACAGACAAATTCTACGTACCTATCAGAACGTACGTTGATTTCATACCTGAAAGCGGTTTTGCGGTGGAACAAGAAGCAATCAAGGAGAGTGGTTCCTCGAACATAGGTGACTGCCCACGCAACGAATACGGTCGTGAGAGGTTCATCATTCGTACCGTGATGCCGTTGGATTACAGTCACAATGGGCGGTACAAGGGAGCTACGATCTTCCTTTGGGATCGACGCAGAAGTCTCCTAGCAAGGACTAGCCCTGGAGATCCTCCCATGGCGAAAGAACGAAATTGGGACTTTGAAATTCCTTTCCACCCACAAGGGTACGAGCAGTATAAGAAAGTCCTTGCCGCCAAAGGTTTTCAGCGGCAACTTATATATTTGTGGGCAAAACGAGTTGGTGATACTCTTGAGCTCGAGTAGGTTCTGTGTCGTCTTTGCACCCTACAAGGCTAACTGTGTCGTGTGCAGTCTTGTGGATATACCCCAACAAGGGGCTCTGTCTTGGGCATGAATGCTTTCGCTTCTTCCTCAGATATTCAATCCGTAGCACAATTGTATCTAGGCGCTACATTTGTGCGTCGGAAACCGGTTGTTCCTCACTGGGACCGCTCCGGAATATCTATCTACGTGGCATTTAGAATCATTCTTTTCTAATGGCTTTAACATATATGCCCATCAACGTAGATTCAAGCAATATAAATCTGGTAACACAAATTGTCAATTATCGAAAGTTGATGAATATTCATTGAATGGTACAACTCCGGACGTGTCTAGGGAATGGTTCAAACTGAACGCAAGACGAGTAGTGTGTGGTTACTGCACGTCCAACATCTTGACCCCCCAATGAAGATCCAATAGCTTCGCCGCATCTATAACAGAAATGCATGTAACATCCCACACACTGAAATTAGTAAGGGAGTCAGATGTAGCTCCCATACGAAAAGAAATGGACCAACAGTCATGTGGTTACAACCGGACTCTTTCTGAATAGGTATGTGACAGCCTATGGAGGGAACATCCGATGAATATAGACAAAATATAGAATAAGATAACGTGGGAGTTGTGGACTAACCAGGACAGTAGCGCCATCCATATTTCCGCACGAGGCGATCCAATTTCGCATCGTCCGTGCAAGCGTGCCAATTGGCGGCCCAGATTCCAAGTCGCTTTCCACAGGTTTTGCAAAACCTGTGTCGGCACTTTGGCACGGGACATGTGATGACCTTTTGGTCAAAGTAATCACTACGAAGCACGAACATGGTCTCGTTGCACCTGGGAAATAGATTAGATACAACACTGAAGGTTTATCGCTAACGAAGGACGCACTTTGGGCAGGTGAGTTTAACAGAGTGCACCAAAATTTGCAACTCTTCGAACTTGTCGATGTCATGTTCAGAAATGGGCAATTGTTCTATAGTACGCCGGTCAACCGCTGTACTTGGAGTTATTGATCAAAGAAAGGCCGAAAATATATTAGAAGCAGAACCCACTTCCTGTATCAAGCCTGCCCCGTTCAGTAGAACATGTTGGGCATCGTATTGGGTACTGGCTTTCAGTTAATTTGGTCTTGACATGGCCAAGAAGGCAATCTTGGCAAAATGGATGTTCGCAATTAGAAATCATAACGCCCTTGCGCACTTCATGTTCTTCAAGACATATTCCACATTCGAAAGATATGAAGGCAGCTGGGGGCGCAATACAACCCAATATCAAAAGCAGTGATATGAAGGCAGGGGGCGCAATACAACCCAATTTGAAAAGCAGATGCCTGCCCAAGTCAGTTCCTAGTCGCCAAATTGATGAAGCGATAGAAACAAGATAATCAAGTTTCGTGGCAGGGGGACGAAGATATATGCGTGGAGCGTCACACTCCATGGCCTGAAGGAGAATTAAGACGCAGAGGCAGACAACCGACAACATGAGTTGTGGATGAACTGTCGTGGCTTACCTATTACGGTGTAGCTATAGTGACGTAAATGCACGAAAAGGGGGCGATGCCTAATACCACACCTCACGCAGGTATGTCAGTGTATTTCGAGATTGTGAAAGTCACTGATCAACTTACTTATCGCAGCTCCGAGTCATCGTCTTCATGAACCCGAGGTCGCTGACACTTGGCTGACACCAACAGCGAAGTAATCTGCAGACCGTACGTCAATTCTCTTACCTTACCTCTGCATAGATGTGGAAAGCAATTCTCAGTCTTATTGCAGCCAAATTGCAGCTCCGATTAACCAACGTGACTCTAATTGCTCTCTTAACCCGTCGAGTTTCCCCATAGGCTCTACGTACCCATCGGAACATATTCTTGAAAATGATTTTGCGGTGGAACAAGATAAGGCTACGATCTTCCTTTGGGATCCACGCAGAAGTCTCCTAGGAAGGGGTGCCAAGGGCTAGCCTGCCAGAGATCTTTCCATGGCGAGAGAACGGAATCGCGACTTTGAAATTTCTTTCCATTTACAAGGGTCAGCAGAGCACTCCGAGTCTGTTTTGGGAATGAGTGCTTTTGCTTCTTCCCCTCATATTCAACACGCCTGGCGTTTAAAATTATTCTTTCATGATTGTTTCTACAGTCATGCCATCAACGTAGATCAATTCATTTATATAATATAAATCTATGAATATTCATTGAACGGTACACAAGCGTCTATGGAATGGTTCATACTGAACGCATGACGAATAGTGCGTGGTTACTGCAAGTCCAACATCTTGACCTGCCGAGGAAGATACAATAGCTTCGCCGCATCTATAACAGAAATGCATGTAACATCCCGCACACTGAAAATAGTAAGGGAGTCAGATGGAGCTCCCATAGGAAAAGAAATGGACTGACAGTCATGTGGTTACAACCGGACTCTTTCTGAACGGGTATGCGACAACCTGTGGAAGGGAACATCCGATAAATATAGACAGGATATAATAAAATAATGTGGGAATTGTGGACTGACCAGGACAGTAGCGCCACCCATGTTTCCGCACGAGGCGATCCAGTTTTGCATCGTTCGTGCAAGCATGCCTGCCTTTAGAATTGACGGCCCAGATTCGCTTTCTACAGGTCTTGCAAAACTCGTGTTGGCACTTTGGCAGTGGGCATGCGATGACCTTTTGGTTGAGGTAATCACTACGAAGAACGAACATGGTCTCATTGCACCTGGGATATAGATGTAGTACATTGGAGGTTTATCGCTAACGAAGGACGCACTTTGGGCAAGTGAGTTTAACAGAGTGCACCAAAATTTGCAACTCTTCAAACTTGTCGAGGTCATGTTCGGAAATAGACAGTTGTGCTATAGCATGTTGGTCAACCGCTGTACTTGAATCGATTAATCAAATGAAGGCCAAAAATACACTAGACATGAAACCCACTTCCTGGATCGAGCCTGCCACGTTCAGTAGAACATGTTGGGCATCGTATTGGATACTGGCTTTCAGTTAACTTGGTCTTTACATGACCAAGAAGGCAATCTCGGCAAAATGGATGTTCGCAATCAGCAATCATAACGGCCTTGCGCACTTCATATTCTTCGAGACATATTCCACATTCGAAAGATGGCATGAAGGCAGGAGGCGCAATAGAATCCAATTCCAAAAGCAGCTCCCTGCCGAATTCGGTTTCTGGTCGCCAAAACAACGGAGCCATGCCAAGTGGATTAGTTGAAAGTTCAGGTAGGGGATCAGGGATGTTAAGATGATCAACTTCCGTGACAGAAAAGCGCTGGTCTTCCAATCGAGAGGCAGAAGGGTTCTCTTCATTGGACTCCTCTTCAAGGGGACTACTATCTGAGGAGGGCAGATAGGCGTTGTGGTCGCGATAACTGTCTCTAGGCAGTAGAATGTGAAACGAAAACAAATGGCTGCCGAAGTATGTCCTTTCCATCAACGGTTTGATGAATGTGCAAAGACGCGCGAGAGCACTTGCAACAGCATCCTTTGATCTGCTTAACATAAACCCCGGACCTGACGGACGGTAGGGTCGAGCATGAGGATCAAAGACAAGATATGTTTCGGGAAAACCAACGTCGAGGACGAATTTGAAGCAAGCAATCGTTTCCTGTGCGTAGTTAATTATTGCAGCACAGATCTTACGAGGATTCCTAGGTAAGTTACTATATACACACAAGGAAGCTGCTCAGTAAGAAGTTATGAAGGCTTTCCGAACGACTCACTCAAGTAGCGTTAGAAATCCCCAATATGATGTGATGCATTCACTGGTTCGGAGCTCGAGGAATAAAGGGCGAAAAGAGGGTGTCGTCAACAGTTCTTCTACACGGAATCCTACGGCGAGGCCCAAAGGTTCGTCTGTGGAGGTCATATCCTGTACGGATAGGGCATCAGTATGCTGTACGAACACTAAACGTGCACGAAAATAGCTTTACAGTGGCCCCCGAAAGAAGCTTATTGACAGGATCGAATGTGTGTTCATCTGTTTGAGAACATAAAGCCATCATAAGCGATTTTGCCGTCAATTTCTGTTCCAAGTTGAAGACGGCGCTGGTGCAAATCAAGGACGCCAGAGGACAAGTTAATGGACCCGGAGCATCTTCATGATGTGTGCAAGGTTGTCCATGGTGCGCAACGATCTGGCGTACGAAAGGGACGTCAGGCTCAGATGACGCTTCCACGGGCGTAGTGCTTGGCCCGACAATGTCATCGAATGACATGGTTGAGTACGAAAGTTGGAAAGAACTACAATGGAGTACTTATGTGGGCCAGGAAGGTAGGCTAGCAGGCATGTTGAAGACGGAAAGAACACGGAGGGTGTGTCGTCTTTCAGGTGCTCGCGATGCGGTGCTTCTTGTTGTGGTGACGCAGATGCACGAAAAGGGACGACGCCTAACGGGACCACACATCACGCGGTAAGTATGCTGTATCTTTGCTGTATCTGTATCTGATAACTGTCAGTATCTTTCGAGAGTCTACAAGTCATTGACCAACTTATCGCAGCTTATCGTCCTCATGTCACCCCAGATGTACGAGGTCAGTGTTTGGCAAGAGTCACAAGTACCAAATACATGTCTTCCATCTTGACTCCCAACACCAACAAAGAAGTAACCTGCAGACTGTGCGTCAATAGATTTTTCACATTCCCTTGCCTTACCTCCTCATAGATGTAGAAGGCAATTCTCAAAATACAACTGCCCCACCTGCAATGTTCCCTATTGCTCCTTAATCTGCTTCCGCTCTGAAGTGCGTTGCTGTATGTTAGATCAAGCTCCCGTTTTGTTCAAGTTTCTTCCTTTCACACAGGCACATTCTCAGTGCTCCGAGACGTTTTATAAAAAGGAAATCGAGGCCGGAATACATTCAGAATCATCAACAAATGCTGTGAAGCGCGCACAAATGTTGGAGATGCTAAAGAAGTTTGAGGAGGAGAGTGCTATCATTGATGATGAGGGATCTGGAGATGAACAGGATGACCCTTCGGATCTGGCGAACAGGCTTAACTCAATGGATTTGGGTGAGTGGGCGTTATTCAACTCAACTTATTGCGATGAGGCGACCCTACCACACCAGAGTCTACGTCACCTGACGCTTTGTGGACGATGCTCACGGAAAAGGAGCGCGCGAAATTCATGAAAGCCTTTCAAAATCCCACGAGCGAGTTATCGCAACAACTTTTGGCGAGTCCGGACCTTGAGAAGGAAATTACAGCTCCATGGTGGGAGTCCCCTTCGAACACCACAGAGGCAGCACATAGATTACATGGTCCCAAGCCAGAACAGATCCCCATTCCAGATGCTATGCTGAGGCCCGTTACGGATGGGCCTCCCCTCATCTTCAACATGTCTGCAATATGGTCAGTGGAATCTTCATTGATTAGAGTGTAACATTGATGATCTCTTAGTATTGCTTACGCTTATGTTACTCGCCATCTAGGAACGTCGCCGCTATCAACACTGACACCAAACGACCCGAATTATGATGAAGCGCGACGCCTTATTTCCCAGCTCGTCCCCTTCGTCGTCGAGCGAAGGGCAACAACTCTACATTCCGATATCAGTGCCGTCATAACGGACATTTGGTCAAGGCTCGACGTGGTAATTTTCCATGTCTTTACTGACTTCTCTTGACTGAGATTTCTTCTTCTTCTAAGGGTGTACCATCATCCGATCTCTTTGCGCTTCTCTTACAAGACGCGGCGCATCTTCTGAAGCCCTTATGGGTCACGCAGTTGTCGTCACAACCCACTCAGCGGGGGGTCGATTATTCTTCGCATCCGCACGGCACACCTCTTCTCGTCCTGTCCGATTTAAGTAGGCTCTTTTCATCACCCTTGCGACTAGCGGGGTCCTCTTCGACGGCTGGTACCAACCACGTCACGCGCAAAATCTTGTTCTATCTCGCTTATATACTCTCTACTCCTACTACCGTCCTGCAAAACATATCGCGGGAGTCAGCAGAAAGGGCCGACATGTATCGAGAAGAACAATCTCGAAGAAAGGAAGAAAAGGGGGTGAAGGCAGATAGATCGATATCCGGGAGTCGTCCTGATCTCATTGAGGAACTATGAAGAAGCATTCGTGTAGGATTATTTCAAGGGCAATAAAGTTTTTTTTTCTTCGCTGAAATGTTGAGTCATAACTGACGACAAATACAGAGTCCGTATGACCATAACTGGCAGGGTACCCGCCACGTGATTTACGCATCTATCGATGTCTCTGAGGACCTGCCCAGTCGTCAGTTTTCGCGCTGCTTGTCGCACTTTCCCTTTACGCTTCTTTTTTACGACACTCTCCTTGCCTCCCTCCCGCAATGTCGTCTGATGGCTCTGCCTGTAACGTCGTTGATGCCCGTGACCAGTTCATGCATCTACGCGTCGCATCCATTTTTATCATCCTAATCGGCTCTTCTTCTGGTGCTCTTTTCCCTGTTCTCGCAAAACGGTCTTCATGGCTGCATGTCCCAAAAAGTGTTTTTGAGTGAGCATCTCAGCCGTCGATCGGCATCAAGCTTTTGACACGCATATACTCAGTTTCGCAAAATACTTTGGATCTGGGGTGATCGTGAGTTTTCGACTGTCATGAAAATCTGAACGACTCACCTGACGTATTTGATACAGATTGCTACGGCATTCATCCACCTTCTTTCACCTGCGATCAGCGCACTGAGTTCGCCGTGTCTACCTTCTGGATGGTCAGAATATGTCAGTTTTACCCAGCATGACATTTTTATCCGCCTCCTGACACGTTAGCAGCCTTATGCTTTTGCGCTGTGCCTTTTGAGCATATTTATTATATTTATTGTTGAGATCGTTGCCTTTCGGTGGGGAACGTCGAAGCTCAAGGAAGTGGGAAAATCACACGGTGCGTTTTTTCTTTGCATTGATATATGCATATTAAATGTTACTCAAACAGATGCGCACGGTCATAACCTTGGCTCCCATGCCGCGCATGGACCGGAAAGCAAAGCCGAACAAGCCTCGACTCTGCAGAAGGAGGTCAGCATTGAGAAAGTTGAGTCCGGAGAGGACCATCATCACGAGCACTCTCTCGAGGACTCGGCAACAACGCAACTCATCGGCGTTGCGATCCTTGAATTTGGTCTTGTCCTTCACAGGTGTGCTCGACGTCTCTTAAGTTCTCGATATATGCTTATTTTCTACGTAGCGTCCTGATTGGCCTAACTTTAGCAGTTGACGAAGGGTTCAAAGTGCTCTTCATCGTTATTGTCTTCCATCGTGAGTACTGTGTGCACTCTCTCGAACCTTTCTTGATTAAATAAAACCATAGAAACATTCGAGGGACTGGGGATTGGATCGCGGTTAGCTCATTTGCAGCTCCCCGTTCATTTAAACTGGATACCAATCGCTGGCGCCTTCTTGTATGGGATAACAACTCCCATAGGGATCGCCATTGGACTCGGCATAAAAGGCACATACAACCCTGGGAGTGCCACGGCGTCAATAGTCAGCGGCGTTCTTGACGCGCTGAGTTCTGGAATTCTCGTGTATACCGGCCTAGTGGAGGTTCGTCTTGTTATGAGCGAAAAAAGTGCTGAAGTTAATTGCGTTCACAGTTGTTCGCACACGAATTCCTCTTTAACCAAGAAATGATGGAAGCGTCAAATGGGAAGCTTGCGTATGCTGTGGGCTCAATGTGTCTTGGCTGTGCTATCATGGCACTCCTTGGAAAGTGGGCATAAGGCCCTGAAAAGAGAAGAAAAGAATATACCCGATGCAACTCTAGACTCGCGCATGTCAAAATTGTACGTTGCTACCTACTCATTCGGACTTTCGCATTTGCACACTGTATCAATATAACGCATGGATTTTGCTATACATCGCGGGCCTGGAAAAAGCAATGATATATCTTGCAACAAATAGTCTGATTCGTACTAAAATAATTTATACCGAGGAATGATACGGGCGACACGAGGTACATGACACAATGTTCGTAGATAAGTAGGTCGAGGGTTATTCCTCATGGTTGTGTGTGAGACTGACCGTTGAATCTTGTGCGGCATAGATGTTCATACTTTTGCCGGACAACAAGTCCCATTGGGCTGCTATTCGACCCTCGTCCGTTATCCTGTAGATAGCCTTTGAGGTGTCCAAGAACTCTCCCCGATTCTGCAAAGCGGGGCAGCGGCAGGTGAGGATTAAGTAAGAATGATTGCAAGTCCCTTACCTTATGCCCAACAGTACCAGTCGTAAAGACCGCCAATTCACTCCTCTTTGCCTTACTACTCACCAACGTGATGAGTTGGAGGCGTACAAAGTGAGCCGCCAACAGACCAGCTTCATCTCTGGTAACGACGCAAGTGAAATCACGCAACCAGTCCATTGCACTACTCGCGCTAAAACAGTGCTTGTGAACCTGTTGATGATGCTCCTTGGCGCCACTGATGTTACTCAGGATGGGGATGGAGATAGTCCCTGAACCAGCCCGTTCTGGTACATCCGATAGGACAATACCGCGGGATCGCTCGTTATGTGTTTGGAACTTGTCTGAATCACTGTTTTGTTTGGGGTGGTGGTCCAAAGCGCAATAATTTGGACGGTCGCCAGCAAAACGGCGGAACAACGCTGTGAGCATGGGGTCCGTTATGTGTATCTCGTCCTCGTTCTGTGTACGCTCGAAGGGCACGAGGTTTATGCAGATGGGTTGTGAGCGGAAGACGGGCAGTAGTCGGTCCGCGTTGTTGATCCCGTTGTCACTGATGAACCGTTCAACAACGTGCAAGCCTTTTGGTGTGAGGCGGTAAAAACCAGTATCGTTGAAGACGAGAGACGACTGATCCGCGGCGTTCTCGATCAATCGAGCGTCCATGAATACTTGGCACATCGTTTTGGCCATATGCCTCTCCATCTCAAAAGTTATGTTCACCCTTTGCTTCGGGTCTCCTGGTTTTGGTCCGGAGGTTGATTGCGAGATGGTGATATAAGCAAGACTTTTGGCTGCATCTTCACTTGTATTTTTATATGAGCCGCCAGCAAAACGAGGAAGAATAAAGGAGACTCACAAAGTAAAAGCGTTTTGGAACGTTCGGAAGAAATTCTCGCGAGGTCCCAGAGGGAGAACAACCACAAGCGCACTGAAGATACTCAGAATATCCTGGAGGGTTGACATCAACTCAAGGTCTAGAGGGTAAATGAACCGACGAGCTGACTCTGAGGAAGGGCCGTCCAGATTTATTGAACTTCATGTAGTGATCGTCTGTTTGTGCTGGCATCTTCAGCGAGCGAACGAATGGGTGAGGGTAAGAAGGGGGAAGTTGGGCTACGACGCGCTAAGACGCTGAGCACATCCAGGGCGATTATATGTACCGGCAATCCAATGATGATGACCGTGGACTGCGTGCCAAAACGCGGAAGGATTCTGTTGCTTGAGTGTAGGACAATTGAGCAGCCTGTGTGTACTGATGGAGATCTAGAGACATGGACTCACTTCAAAGTCGAGAATTGCACGTTTTTGCGCTAGCCTGAAAAGTAAGCAGAACCTGTGCAAGTTGGCATTTGTGCTGGCAGCGATAAGGAACGTTTCAATTCAAAGATAACGAAAGATAACACCGACGTACATCCGTCACACCTAATAGACGCGTCATGACGGCCGCAATTCTCGGATCTGCTGGCATCAAGGGAATGTCATCGATGCATCATGGATGAAATGAGAGTCAAATATTGAGAGGCTGCTCAGGAATGCCGACCAAAGTTTCGGGCCGGACGTGCCGAAAATATTGCTCAACATTATTGGTGCAGATTTGATCCACGACGCCATGTCTAATGCTACCACTGCCAGTTCCCCCACAAAACGACAAATGCCACCAGGAATGGTGATGGGGCCAGATGGTAAGCCTTGCAAAATATGTACAGCATTTCGCAACTGGCAGCCAGGCACAACGAACTACACCGAAGCCGATTCACATCGAGCTACTACTACCAGGAAAACAACCACTCCGAAGGGAAGCGAGAGACAGGCGAATATCCCGACAACTGCTGGCGCAGCAGGAATCACGACTTCATTCGCCGCAGGCTCGACAGCTTCAGCTGTAGATACCACTCAAGCCATCAAGGAGCAACCAACTCGGCCGAACGAACCACCACCCAACTGTCCCCCAGATGTCGAGCAACTGGGGCGTGCGACTTGGACTTTCCTTCATACCACAGCCGCTTATTACCCTGAGAAACCCACCCCTACACAGCGCGCCAACATGTTGATGCTCCTTCGCTCTCTTCCAATTTTATACCCATGCAAATGGTGTGCAGACGACTTTGGTCAGGATATTGAGAAGCACGCGCCAGATGTCAGTGGACGGGTGGCCCTGAGCCGTTGGTTGTGTGAGAGACATAACGAGGTAAACTCGAAGCTGGGAAAGGAGGAGTTTGATTGCGCGAAAGTTGATGAGAGATGGAAAGATGGACCTCCGGATGGTAGCTGTAATTAGGGGGATAATTTTATATTGGACTTCACAAATGCAATACCAGATGCGGTCGGGCTGGGTCCTAGGCTTTACCACAGACAGCCATGTCTACCTTGCCATCGCTTGCAGAGATTCAAGCATGCCATTCTGAGCCTGATTCGCCCCTTGCTCGTGCTCTGAGTTTACTCTTCGAACCCTCCCCAATTCTCCTGACCACCCTCGAACCGCAACTCAGCAATGTTATTGCATCCTCTCCACCTCTCACATCCTACGACCAGCTCATCGATCTAGCGCTTACAGAAATAGACAAGTGGGATATACCCGCCCGGTCAGAGTTTATCTCTGGCCATCCGCGGATTGGGGAAAGCAAGGCCTTATCTACTCTTAGTGCGAAGGAACAAGGCGCACAGGGAGTCAAACCAACCCCACCAGAAGTCCTAGCACGCTTGAACCACCTCAATCCATGTTATGAAACATGCTACCCAGGTTTACGGTATATCACATTTGTGAATGGTCGCAGTCGCGCTGTGATAGCAGAGGAGATGGAGGACGTCCTTGGCTACAGCCATTCCTTGTCACCCGATGAACCTGCCATTGAGACTCTTACACCGTTGGAAATCGGTACAACTTCGTGGTTGTCCGAGTTGAACAGGGCAGTGCAAGATGTTGGCAGGATCGCTAAAAGTCGACTAGAATCATTGGGCATTGGCAGACTTCAATAGTGCTCATGCACCCACATTCATCGAGATCAACGTTCAACATTCATCAATAACCATTACAGATATGATGTGAGGAGAAGTGAGGTGGGTCGAGGTAGGCTCTTCTAGTCTACAGAAACAGTGTTAGTGGTATACAATAAGCAAAAAAGGCTGCCCAAATAGATAAAATAAAAAATATGGTCCCGACTACATAACCTCAGCGTACGTTACGATCGGAGGCGTTGTCCGCGGCTGCGTCGCTCTGCACGTTCGCGCTCGGCCTTTCGCTAAGAAAACGTGAGGACCGAATTTGGTAGAAGATTTGGAAAGAAGAACGAACCCGAAGCGCTGCCTCCCGCCTTTCCGTGAATCCAGGTGTGTGTTCGTACATTTCTTTCAGCATATCTGCCGCCATCGCGGCCTGTTCTAATTCTCTGGCTTTAGCCAGTTCCTTGGCTTCCCGTTCTCGTCGAATCTTTTCCTGAAATGCGTCGGCTCGCTTCTGGATTTCTTCCTGTTGCTTTCGAGCCCATTCGCGTCGTTCAGCCATTCGACGGACGGATTCCTCAGAGATGAGTTGAGCGTCTCCTTTCATGCCGAGTCGCGTGTCGTATGCCTTGAGGTGATGGGGTGAACAGATGGAATACAAATATAACTCGTTAAATCGCGTACCCTACGCTTCTCAGGATCACACAAGGTTTCGAACGCCTCGCGGACCTGCCATGGTTCATAGTAACGTTCACCACGATGTGAAGACCAAGATTTGGACGTAATTGCCGACCTTGTGGAACTGAATTTCTGCAGCTTGCTTTCCTTCCTCGGTTGCTGAAGGAAAAAGTTTATCCGGATGAGTCTCAAGCGCTTTCTTCCTATACGCCTTGCGCACTATGCATGGATCTAAATTAAGGCCGAAATGCTTCCGGTTGTGGAGACTCACCATCGTCAGTGGAGGTGTGCTTGTCAACTCCTAATATATCGTAGAAATTGTTGAATGAAGAAGGAGGCATGTCGTCAAAATCAAAAATACAGCCTGGTGAAAGGAAAGTGTGCAAATGCCAGCATTGGCAAGGGAAGGAAGCAAGCTTGAATTCAACTAGAAATTCAAATTGAAAGCAATTCCACGTGGTAATCTGCTTGTATGTACATGTTTGGCAACAGCTTTAGTCTATTATTAAACGCTTACTGTGAAGTCTTGTTCTTGTAAAGTCTGCTCGGCGCCCTCATCATGGATGTGGTCGAGAAAGCCAATGCCGACAGACAAAAGAGGTGGTGCGTATAATCTTTATCGAAAGTAACAACTATGCTTAGCGTTTACAGGATTAAGGACAAAAAGGTTGGTGAGGGAACATACGCCGTTGTCTATCAAGGTCAGTGGTCATATCTCCACTACAGTCTGTGGGCTGACGGTACCTTCATACTACTTTTAGGTCGAGAGGCCTCGACAGGAAGAAAGGTCGCCATTAAAAAGATAAAGGTCGGGCAGTTCAAGGATGGTTTGGACATGTCTGCCATTCGCGAGGTGAAATACCTGCGAGAGTTGAAACATCAGAATGTAATAGAGGTGCGTTGTGGATATCATCTACTCCGTGAGCGAACTTAACATCTTCTCTCTCCTTAAACTCTAGCTCCTCGACGTGTTCTCGTCTAAAACAAATCTCAACCTTGTCCTCGAATTTCTAGATTCCGACCTCGAAATGATCATCAAAGACAGGTCCCTTGTTTTTCTTCCTGCGGACATCAAGAGCTGGATGGCTATGACGTTCCGTGGTCTTGAGTTCTGTCACCGCAATTGGATACTGCATCGTGTATGTTGCTCCATGCATGCGTTCAAGGCTAGTCTCGGCTGACCAACAACATTCCAGGACTTGAAGCCGAACAACTTGTTGATAGCCTCAGATGGGCAGCTGAAAATTGCCGATTTTGGTCTTGCACGAGAGTATGCGGACCCAGGATACAAAATGACATGTCAAGTCATCACGCGGTGCGCCACATATACATTCCTCCACGGTTGTAACTAATTTGGTACATGCAAGCTGGTATCGACCACCAGAATTGCTCTTCGGTAGCCGTTACTATAGCTCAGCAGTTGACATCTGGTCCGTTGGCTGCATTTTCGCCGAACTTATGCTCCGAATTCCATATCTTCCTGGCGAGAGCGATATGGACCAATTAAAAACCATCTTTCGGGCTCTTGGTACACCCACTGAGGAAGACTGGCCGGCAAGTTTCTTTTCTTGCCATTTATCTTGCCCCTAAACGTCCCTTTTTTTAGGGACATACCAAGCTCCCCGACTACATTCCTGTTGGTCTATTTCCAAAGACACCTTTGAGAGATTTATTCACTGCTGCGAGCGCGGATACTTTAAATCTCCTAAGCAAATGCTTGATATTTGAGCCACGAAAACGCATTAATGCGAAAGAGGTCAGCGCAAAGTGACTTTTTCCACCTTCATATCTTAAGATATTCATGTCTAGGCGTTATTCCATCCATATTTTACCGCCCTGCCGTATCCCTCCCACCCTTCCAAACTTCCAAAATGTGCTATACAGGTCGAGCGACCTTTAGAGGAGGTGGACGGCAACGTAGAAATAGCACCTGCTGTGAAAGCAAGGAACAATATGTTGAAGCGCAAACTTTCCTCGCCAAGCGAAAAAGGGCGCTCAATCGCGCGGCGGTTAGACTTCACTAAGCAGACACCTGGGTCATGACGAATGGAAAAGATAACGCGTCCCCTTCAGCCCCATTCAATTGCTACAAGGGACGAAGATCCCCTACTGACTACAGCTTGCCAGGGCGAGGAGGAGTGTATAAGTACAAGTATGTATGTATAATGGTAAAAAAAGAGAATGCTGTAGAGGAATGATGAGATATCGTTGGATATCGTTCGGTTGCAAGAAAACAAATAGACTAGAATTCGAGGAACACAGTAAAGGAATTATCGAGGGTTATCGCAAATGCCACATTTTTCGGTTGCTGTCGTTGGATTGGACAGCATACACATTGAACACGTCCAGTTGCCGCCAGATGCAGTTGCAGTTGGAGGGGGCTTTACCCCAGCAGCCGACCAATCGAATGCTTTAGGTGGCGCTTTTGAAGCGTCTGAAAGGTGAGGTACATCGGGAGGGGTATTCGCTGGTGCTGGTTTAAACAGCGTAGAGGTCGAAAATGACATATCAGAATTGAAAGCGGCAGTTGGCTTTGTTGCTCCAGATGCGAACGGGGTCGCAGCTGGTTCTAACCTGCTGCTAGATGCGGATGCATTGGTATTCTTTACGTTGAAATCGAAGGTGGGTAACGACGACAAAGGGAGGGATGCAGCAATACGCCGTGCTTCGACATGTGCCGGAGTAGAGGGGTAAACCGTCGTCACATTACAGGTGAAGTCAAAAGTCGGAAGAGAGGAAACATCCGCCGCAAGTGCTTTAGCTCTGGCATCGCTCTCCTTCGCATCCTTTTTGTCGCCAACGGCGTCTACCTTTGGTTCCTTTGGCACGGCAAATGTAAAAGCGGACGCCGCTGCCGATGCTGCAAAGTTGAACGTGGGAGTGGGCGCAACCTCCGGCGCGGAAGCAGGTTTCAAAGGTGTTAGATTACCATCTGGTTGGTAACTATACCGCAGTTTACTAGGCTCCTTTGGCGCGGAAGTCGATTTAAAGCTGAAGGAGGCTCGTGGAGCGCTGGTTGTGGGGCTGACCGATCTCGCAGTCGAAGAAGTGACTGAATTTTCAGATTCCTCCATGGCTACATCGACAATTTCTTCGACGACAACATCCGGCGATGGAGCGACTATCGTCAGGTTTGACTTGGAGGTGGAGCCCCTACCGTTGGCAGAGGGCTTTGACTTCTTGGCTTTACGGTAAGATTCGTCTTCGTCTTCGTCCAATTCTTCCACGACATAAGGGACCTTCCTGTCCTCAACAACGACCTGATCTTCATGTTGCGATGGAGTGCTCATGCGTGAAGAGCTTGCGTTGGAAGAAGCTGGAGCGGAAGGGGACCTCTCCAAATGGGCTGGAGGACGAGATCGTTTGCTTCCCTACGATAATTTTAGTCTGCGGGCGGTACGTATCAATGGAACTCGAAAATACCTTGGGTACAGTCGCCTCGATGATGGCCTGTGGGGAATACTCCTTTTGTCTCTCCTCCTTTTCGTTCGAAGCATTAGCCTTGGCATCCTCTTCCTCAGGCATCTTCTCCACAACGGCAGGTACAGTGGGTTTTCCTGTTGCCCGAAGTCTTTTATTGGCTCTTCTTGGTGGCCCGACTTTGCTGACAGGACTTGCAGTTTGATATGGATTACTAACGTCGGGTTTTCTGGGAGGTGTGACCTCCTTAATCAACTCGGCCATAAAATTTGCTGCTTTGGACTGTCTTGGAGGTGGTGGTGACTGCTTTCCGTCATTCGGTGATGTGGACGAGGCATCGGACCATGCTTGTCGCAGCGGAGAAGGATTAGCAGGTGCCGTAGGCTTCTGTACAGTCGGTATGCGGAGACGGGATGGTGTAGAAGGGACCTTCGGGAATACTCCATTTGCTCGAGATACGGTCGGTGAACCTGACGTAGGGAAGGGAAGTGAAGAGCCATTCGTCGACGTTTCTGCATTGGAAGAGGTTTCTTCCACAGACTCGTCGTCTACTTTACGCCTCTTACTATCGGATCGTTGCTCCTGACTCGAACTAATTTCTTTCATGACCAAACGTTCTGGCGTCGAATGAGATGCACCGAATGCGGGCGACGCGTATCGATTACGGGAACGTGACTGCTTCGCACTTCCAGCACCTTCCCAGCGGTACACTCCATTAGGATTCTTCGACAGGGTTTTGCGAGGCGAAGCAGATGGGGTACCAGCCGGAGTTGATAAGGGCCGAGTTGGAGTCGAATTGGAGTCGAACGGAGCGGAGGGGGGGATGGAATCAAAGCGGAAACCTGTTCAAACTCAATATGTGAAGATGACGGTTGTGACATTAGAACTCACGTGGTGTGCACTTTTGAATCGTGGTGAGTAGCTGTTCGACTTCTCTGCCACTCATCCCACTCTCGGTCCTGTGAGACAAAAAATTGCTGACAGTTTGGAGATTATCGGGTGGCTGCGTTAGGACATCTGGAGCTTTCACAGGTGTCCTCAGAAAAGACGGTGCGGCTTGCTCTGCCCTTCGTGGTGAGGGTGGTGGAGGCGGCATTGTCATCCTTGCGTTGGGAGGTTCCGAATCATTGTTAGACTGTACTCCTCCTTAGTTAACAAAAATTCGAATAGGAATGACAGACTGGCGCACATCATCGGTATCAGATTCCTGCTGCTCCTCTCCCTGCTCCTCCTCCTCAAGCTCTTCGGAACGGGAGGGGATGATATACTTCAATATATTCGAGAAGCTCCAGGACTAGAGGAAAACATGAGAAGACTAGGAAAAGGCCTGGCCAGACGCTTACTGATGCTGGTTTTTGACGTGGGCGAGCGTAGGGTAGAGATTGCTGGCGACGGTCCCTTCGACTGGCGATAGTCCTAGAGACGCTCATGGTTTGAGTTTGAGCGGTTTGTCGCCGTCGAAGGGGTGGACAAAGCCAACAGCGCTTGTACCACATTTGGACTCACAGCAAAATTCAAGTTGAGGGCAGGTCAAAACAGTCACGTGGTGTGCGCCGTCATTGTCCGTAACGGCGACAAAGCCTTTACCAAGTTACCATGCCTAACAAAGTCATAGAGACTCCTTACCCTCTTATCGACGCCGATCCTCATGCCTCTCGTGTCATACGATACTTCAGGCCTTCCGACTATGCGGTCTGGGCTGGTGCTACTGGTGCTTTTCCCGCTGCTCTGATCTTCTGGGGTTGGTTACCTTCTTTTCTCTGCTTTTTTATTTATCCTCAATGCTTGCTTCAGAAATGGCGGACCCAACTAGAGTTCGTCTGAAAACACCTCTTCGACTTGGAGGATTTCTGGGCTTCGTGAGCGGTTTCCTCCTGGCGTATCAACGTTCAAGTGGTAAGCCAACCTGCCCGTAAAGTTAGGTCTCGAACCCGACGACACCACTCTAGTTCGCTTCTGGGGCTGGTCTGAAAACAGTCGTGAGGAGAAAATGGACATGGAGGAGTTGAGTCAGCGTGCGAGGGAAGGAAAGCCATTGTACGGCGAATCTCCTCAACCCGAATGGGTGCAAGCTGCCGCGTTCAGAAATTCTCAGTTCTCGCAACTCAAATTCTGTACGTCCCCTCCTCATTGCCCCCATCGTGCTGACTCTTACTTTCCCGCTTGCGTCTTCAGCTGCCTTCCCGATGTAGGACGTATTGTATCTCGTTGGCATACAGAACTGACTATTTCCCAGGTTCAACCTTGTCAACCACCAGCATCACGGCGTAGATACCTCAAAATACGGCGTAAAGGCGGAAGGAGACGAATGAACTTCGCACATCGTCTTGACTAGATTTTAGCCAACCTGTGGACTTGGTGCGCTTCGATTTTCACCCGGGGTGCTGGTTCACGTTGATTTTTTTTGGATAAGATGTACCTTACGATAGACTTTCTCTGTTTACGCAGCGAATGGCACTGGATGAAGTTGACAGAGCGACGTTTGTGATATACTTCAGTGACCAAACTAGGACTTCCCTTATTGCGACGGACGTCTCAACCTGTATATACAATGCATTAATCCGCTACTTCAGTACGTCCTGCTGCCCTCATCCTTCGGATCATACAAGGATTGAGCTTTGGCCACTGGTATGGTCTGTGGATGTCAAGCAATGAAGAACAAGGTATAAAATGCACAAACCCAAGAGTAGCGCAGGGGAACACCTGACTAGCCATGAATACCCTCCAGTTTTGCGCAGAGCCAAGATCGTATATTCGCTCTCCTGGAACGACGTCGTGGACATTAAAGGCGTTTGACTGGACAGGGATACAAATGAGGAGGGGGTATTTACTGCCTTTCTTAAGCAAGGATTCAAGCATAGTTGTGCCCTGTAAAACCAGTTTTGTCGAGAACAGCGCCATTCCCTGTGATAGGTATCAGATACCAAAAGAACGCATTACGGAGGCTCTGAGTTTACCAGCGCAAAAGCGGAAAGCAAGAATGCTATCATGCAAGTTCCAATGATCCTGAGATGGGGTTGGTCGATAGATTGACCGGGGTATGGCGGTACGTCTCCATGATCCATGCTCCACAAAATTCTAAACCCCAAGAAAGCGCCAACTGGCCACCTACCCAGTGGACCGGCGCAAAGAATCCAAGATCCAATCCAATCCCACCATATTTCGTTCGTCCAGGGATCGGCTCTAGAAACACTTATGGCCAAAACAAATTGCAGGTATAGGGTATGCACGATCGGAAGAACGGCCACGGCAAACGCGACAGGCGTCAAGTAAAGCAGAGCCAGAAACGCCTTTTGTCGGGAAAGAGTGACGCAATTTCCAATCTGATAGCTATAATTAGCATAAAATATGAGAGAAATAACCCCCCTTCCATACCCAGGGACAGTGGTGGTCAAATTCGAGACGGCATACACCACATGAGGAGCAATGGTGAGTTCGTGGAGGTTTCCATCGCCCGTTACAGCCTGCTTTGTCGCACTGGGCAAAGTCGCCATTCATGTTTACACATTGGTATGGTTCCACCAAGGAAGCCTTGTCAGGAAAGGAATAAATTGGCACGTTGTGGGTCCGACGGCCAGAGCAAAGATAGAGGTATAGAACCAGTTGAGATGGCACAAGGACATTTACACATGCCAGGTATAACACTTCTCGACCTTCATCAGTGGGTCGCAACTCGGAACAAAAAAATGCAGTATACCCCCAGGAAATAGGAGATCACGATAGCGTATGAGCCAGTTGACTGCATCAAACACTGTTGAGCTCCATGGATGTGCAAGGAGCTGGTACTCGACAGACCTCCAACGTCAACAGTTGAAACGTACCAACCCGACCTGTTAAAATTTCAGTAATATGTCCATTTGCAAACCACCTTTACTCACGCAAGGATCAGGAAAGCGAGAGCCTGAAAAAAAGCTTCAAACAGCCTTTGAATCATTCCATTGACGGAGGATTCGAAGCGAGTCAACTTCACACGCAAAGTATCTCCGTGCGCTTCGGACAGAAAGTCAGCCGCTCTGCTACATTTCTCCTTTCCACCCACTTAAAGAGCAACTTCACACGCTCAACACTCTACGAAATACCATCATGAATCATAGCCGTCTCGTACAGCAAGCCAACCTTATCACTCCCAGGATTTACTTGTCCGACTTGCATACCGCATCCAACAAGGACGAACTCACCAATCTTGAAATAACTCATGTCATCTCAGTGCTCGAGTGCCAACCCACATTCCCTACCTCAATCACTCCCGAACAAACGCTTCACATTCCCATCGCTGATTATCTACACGTAAATATTCTCCGTCATCTCGAGACGACCACCAACTTCATCTCTTCGGCATTGGCACAAAATGACAGCAACAAAGTGCTGGTAAGTGTCAATCGCGCATCTTTTGGCCTTGGTTTAATTTGACCGTCGCTCAAAAGGTCCATTGCCATCAAGGTATCAGCCGAAGCGCCACCGTCGTGTGTGCTTATCTGGTGGCGACAACTGCAATGTCCGCAAGTGAATCCATAGCGCATGTGAAAGACTTGCGAAGTGTTGTTTATCCAAATTCCGGTTTCAGGAGGCAGCTGGATGAGTACGGGACCCGTTTTGTTGGCAGAAGGTCGACGTCTCAAAGCCCGGTGCAAAGGATTTCCGAGGGTATCGCTGAGAGGATTCATGCGCTGAAGTCTGCCAATGGACTGGAGGACCCTGAGCCCGCTTCGAATACAGGACCAGAACAGGATTCAGAGTGACTTTTTTCCATCTTTTTAGACGCATATACCCGCACATCGCTTCTGTAGATCTCGATATTTAGAATACGACAACAAGTTAAAGGTCAGGATTCAAGTCCAAATCAAGATCGAACGTTTGGGGGTGAGAAGCTCTGAAATCGTGTCGATATGGATTTGCGCCAGGGATGTTGTGACCGATTTCGGCTTTCGGTGACACGGCTGGCGCTACGTTATTTATGAGCATAAAATGTGAAATGAAGTTCATTATCAACGTACGACGTCCAACTGAGTGGGTCTCTCCCAGTAAGCCTAGAGGAGCTTCCGCATTCAGCCGACCACGCCGCATTTTTTCCTCGTTGGGGAAGGGAGGGAAGAAGAGAGGCGGTGGTGGTTGTCCGGGAAGACTCATATCCGGCATGTTTGGTGGTGCCGATGTGAAAGCACTGAGGCTTTGGGCGTAGGCCAAAAGTTCGGGGTATGGGATGGATGCTTAAGCTGCTTAGATAATTTTAGTGCGAGGGAACAAGTGTGCGCACCCTTCTTAGCTGCTTCAATAGCTTTAATTCTCTCGTCGCCTTCCTCTATCATATCCTCCAACTCTTGTTTCTCTTCTGCTAACTCGGTGCAAATCTCGCGCCATTTCCTATCCAGCTCCAGAATTTCATTCTCTAGTGACTCTATTCTTCTTTGTTTCCTTTGGTGAGTGTACGCCAAGTTGACGGCGGAGGCAAGTGCTTCGTCGCAAGATAAAAAAGCTTGCAGCGGCGGTGGGGGCGGGGGTTTGGTTTGTACCGGGGAGAGTGATAGAAACAAGGTGTGTGCCAAAGACTGGAGATCGTTTAGAGGATCCAGCAGCGCCGACGTCATGGGCTGGGCATCTTGCGCAACGTTGGACATCGTGCGCTCATCCCAAGAAATGAGGGACTTTGTTTGGCAAAGCTAGCACGTCCAAATAGCGCCCTGAAGTGACTTGGCCACCGACGCCGTGCATTTGAAATGCCGATTGACCATACATCGACGTTATTCCACGACGGGGAGCAATATGAACTGACAGAAGATGGCCACCTCCCCCCTTTCACACCCGCACGCACGCCGAAGTATAAAGATGGAAGTTCAATAGACTGGCTACACGAAGAGGCAGCAGAACGAGAACGAGATCATGCTCTTCATTCGCAAGCTGGAGTTCGTGGCGCGTTGCTTCCAGCAATAGAATCTGCGAGGATGTGGGTCGTGGTAATTGTGACGGGAATGGGAATTGGTATGGCTGGAGCGTGGTTGGACGTGTTGGTGAAATGGTCATTCGGTTATATATTCTTCCTTTATGTTTCTGCTGAACTAAATGTTAGGTTGGGTGATCTTCGTGAAGGGCGCTGTTCTTATGGCTTCTTCTACAACTCAGTCGCGTGTTGCTCGGGGCTGGATCGTAAGTCTTCAAATTTCTAGATTACGATTTCTCAGGCCTGCGTAGCTGGCGAAGTTTGCAAGGATTGGGAAACTTGGAGCGACTACCTGCATATTAAATCAGTTTTTGCGCATTCTCTACTGCAAGCTTTTGTGTACGTCGCACTTGCAGTGAGTGACAGGCCTCTGACCACACACTGCAGTCTCAGAATTTTTGTGTAGATTGTATTCGCAGGAGCCGCTGCTTTACTTGTTGTGAATTATGCCCCTTAGTGAGTGTCTACAGTTGAATAACTACCTGAACCTAATATCTTTTACATCTTCATCCAGCGCTTTCCATACCGGAAGTGAGTCGATTAGGAACTTCTCAAATTTAATCTTACCTGAAGTCCTGCCCATATAGTTCCCGAGATCAAGGCCGTAAGGTCTTGCTCAAATACCAAGGGAAAGGCGCTCACTCTTTGTAGATCTTGGGAGGCTATGTATTCGACTCATTCCTAACGCCTTGGACCCTCCTTATTAAAGCTCTGGGTCTAGCACTCACTGTAGCTTCAGGGTTATCGCTTGGCAAAGAGGTGAGTTATATTGATTTTTTTCTGACCGTTCATATTCAACGCGTCGTGAAGGGACCCCTAGTGCACGTATCTTGTTGCATGGCATATTTAGTTTCTCGGTTGTTCAAGCAATTCCGACACAATGAAGGTAATCGGCCCTCTTATGCAGTTCATCATGCACCTATAGTAATTCTCAATCTCAGCTTCGAAACGTCGAGTCCTGGCAGCTGCCGCAGCCGCAGGCGTCTCCGTCGCTTTCGGCAGTCCTCTCGGCGGGGTACTGTTTGGTCTTGAAGGTGTGTCTTCTCTGTAACGTCTACTGAACTTGTACTCAACCTGGCCGTGAAGAACTTGATACATTTGCAAACGAAACCGATGTTATGTGGCGGGGTTTCGTAGCTTCCGCCGTTGCAGCAGTCGCCCTTCAATGGGTAAATCCTTTTGGAACGGCAAAACTGGTTCTTTTTCAGGTACTATATCTTCTCAACCTGTGCACTTGAACTCAATTTTTGCACAGGTTACATTCGTGGATGATACGTGGCGAGCCTTCGAGCTAGTAAGTTCTCATGTTTCGAAAAAAAAAAACATCAAGTCCTTACCACCTCTCAGATTCCCTGGATAACTCTTGGGGTGATTGGCGTAAGGACATTAGGTTTTCTGATGGATGAACGATCTAAATTTTGGTTTTAGGGAGTTTTAGGGTCACTTCTTATCAGATTGAACGTGGAAATCGCGATATTTCGTAGGCAGAGCGTACTGGCGGATTGGCCCATCTTAGAAGTTGTATCGGTTAGTGCCTTTACCGCCGCCATGAGCTACCTTGTAAGTGCCGTTAATGTTTTGACCTCGTTGCCTACTCATAGTTTACCAGGTAGTCTTCGCACGGTACAGTCTTTTTGCCTCTTTTTTTCTGTGTATGTCTGATCCGTTCCAGTGTTCAAACATCGGAGTTGGTAGCGAATCTCTTCCAAGAGTGTGACCCAACTAAAGGGGATTACCACGGTCTTTGCAAGTCAGATGGTTTATTTCTTCATATGTCAGACTTTCTCATTAAAAACATAGCCCAACTGCGACTCGACAGAACATCTTTTTATTGATACTTACCGCCCTCATGAAGATGGCGCTAACTTCTTGGACGTTTGGCATGTCGATTCCAGCCGGTATCTTCCTACCGACAATCGCTATTGGAGCATGTCTGGGTCGAGCGATGGGTTTGGTGACGTAGGTCTACCATTCAACAAAAACCGGAATTGCATGATTGATTTCCTTCAGGCAAAGTCTTTACAGAGCTTATCCCACCGCTTGGATGTTTTTGTCGTGTCCTCCCGACCCTTCTGTGAGGTGCATCTCCCCTGGTTTTTACGCAGTCATCGGTGCTTCTGCCATGCTGGGTGGCGTCACACGCATGACAAGTGAGTGTCTTCTTTACCTTCCACTTTCCAGGCGTCTGATGGGATTCTTAGTCTCCTTGGTGGTTATCCTCTTCGAGGTAAAGAATTTGTTGTGGTTGTGCGAAGGTTGACCCAAAGATGATTGTCAGTTAACCGGCGCGCTTTCGCATGTGCTCCCAATCATGATCTCCGTGATGACCTCGAAATGGGTTGGGGACGCTCTTGGAAAAGACGGGATTTATGCGGTCTGGATCGCCATGCGCCGATACCCATGGTTGCCTCCTGTTGACTATCGTGACAGAGGAGAGACCGGCGCCACTCTGATGAAGCCCCTTGCGTCTCTGTTTGTTATCGAAGATGGCAAAACCACTGTCAAGGAAATGATTCAGCTGCTGGAAAAGCACGAATTCCACGGTTTTCCTGTCGTTGATAGGCACAGCGAGTTTGTTGGCTATGCAACTCGGGAGGAACTACAACTGGCCATTTGTTCGTCTCTTATACCTGTACTTTCACGTTTTTTGGGCTCATATCATTCTAGCGAATGCGTTGCTTTCAGAAGAAGCCCTTACCAGCAGGCGAATCTGCACATTTTCACAGAACCACCTACGGATACATGCAGATGAACGACTGGATCTCTCTGGGACCCTGGAACAAGCCGTAATTCAGCTTCGCAAAGAGGTCCCACAAGAACTAGTCGTGAAAATGTTCCAAAAACTTGTACGTTGCTTCCGTCTCATTTCTTAGTACTCCTGATCCGACCGACCCACAAGAATCCTCGGCAAATTGTTTTCACGCATGCTGGAAAGTTGACGGGAATGGTGACCAAAACAGATGTCGTTGCCTTGCTTACGAGTCACTTTCCGCACGCTGCTGCTCTGGCGGAGAGATCTGGATCATGATACCATTGAACTTTATTGCATGTTGAGTGGACGATGTATTTTATTTACCCTGGATATGTCAGGCAATTCAAATTAATGATTGCAAGAGGCATGTGCAGCTGGGAAGAATCCCTTCAAGAAATGTTAATCGGAATCTTTATTGGAGTTTATAGTCTAATTTGTTACAGAGATACCGATGGAACAGGGAGGGAAGTATCAGAAGTTTATCATAATGATACAGAGACGTCCATTAGCGGGTTGACAATGCCACCACTCCGTCGTTAATCATCACCGTCATCCAGATCGGACGCATCGTCTTCATCTTCATAATCTTCTTCCTCTGTCTCCTCTTCGTCCATAGACTCCTTCAGCTACAAAAACTATCATGAGATTGGGTCTTGCGAAACATGGAGGATGTCGCACCATTTCAACCAGCTCATGGCATTCGTTTAGATGAGCCATGACGATACCCTGACCTTCAGGGACAGTACCATCCAGCCCAATGAAACGGCCGTCCTTCCTCAGCGAATCGATTTGAAAGAGGGCGAGTTGGTACTGGCGGGTGGTGGTCAGTCATCGGTTCACATTCGTAGGTCAAGAAGAGGTATAGATACAGGATATAGATCTCTGGCGTTGAAGGGTCCACCATACTTCAAGACTTCGTTGAGACATTTCTTCACCGTTGACAATTTGTTGGCCTGTATGAATTTCTATCAAATAAAAGAAACGATGCAAGTCATATTTGCGTACGATGGGCATCAGCTCTTCCGAGACTGGCTCACTAGATGACAATAGCCTGTATATGAGGCCGTAACATCTCCTGAGCAAGTAGAGAAGTACCTAAGAGGAGGATGAGATCAACATCGTTCCATCGAGGCATTCTTCGAAGCGTACGTATTGCCCCGGAGGTCGATTCCCTTCAGAATCGATGAACTTTCCATCCACTCTCATTTTATCGATCTCTTGGAGGCTCAGAGAGTAGTTCCATAAATCAGTCTCCCTTAATGTCCATCGATGCGTTAGGACCAAGCTTTCCAGCTCTGCTCGAATATCGCTGAGGCGGTCGTATATGGGCTTTAGCGATGACCCGACGTTCTTTGAATCTTCGTGGGCTTTGATTTCCTGCGCGATCTCAAAGCTTTCTTCCAAAAGTGAGATACAAATTGCCTGCGATGCTGGCACGATGCCTCCCGGGCCGAGGAATTTCCCGTCAACGCGCGCTCTGTGGTCGTAGACGAGGTGAAATGAGGCGATATGCATAGAAAAAGCAGAGGTCAGTCAGCATTGGTCCCCAGTAAAGGAGGTTGTACTCCGAGAGCAAAGTATGGCAACAGACTTGATCAAGCGAGAGAAGTACTCAACGAATCAATCTTTCGGAGTTCCTCTTGGAGCGGTTTGAGTTCAGCCTTGTGTGAGCCTTCCTTTGCCGCGAGGGCGACCAGCTGCCGGCGGATGGTGACCAGCCTTTGATGCACGGGTACGAGTTCCGGTGACAGGATCGAAAGGGAATCTTGTAGTTGCGTCACGATGGCATCTACCCATATTATGGCGATTAACAGTGCAAAGAGGGGGGTTTGAAGTAAGCTTTCTTTACCGCATTCGTTCAGCTGCCGCATTAGGAGTTTCACGAGGGCCTTTGGATGCTTCCCGCTCTCAGAATCTTGTTGGAGTATTTGCCGAAGTTCATTTAGCCGTTTATGAAATGGCGCGAGGTCGGTTTCGTTGTATACGGTGGATTCGTTCATGTGGTTGAGGATTTGCTGTGTGAGGGAGCAGGTTGATAAGTACGAGTCACTGCCTCACGAACTAGAGCCCGGCGTTCCATTCAAGATGTCTGTGGATTGTCCGACTCATTCATTGTAAGATTGAAGAGGATACGCGACGGGCTCTTGAGAGAGAGCGCGGACTGACCCTCATGGACGCGATTTGGCAGTAGGTTGCTGGGGTGTCCTTAGTCTTGCCGATGGTAAGGTAGAAGAGGGAAAGGAGGCTGAATACGTCTGCGAGAGTGGTGTCGAGCCTGTTGTTATACGTTGTATTGTCATCTCGGACGTCGTTGAGTTTTGTGACTGCAATAATAGGAATTAAGCTGCGATATCAAAGATGATTGGATCAACCGACCCTGCTTCACGACGGCCTGGTATAGGGAGTTGACATCTTGAGCCTTGATAAACTCGCCTCTATCCTTCTTCAAAACTGTGAGCCTGTTCCGGATACTTTCAAAGGGTCAGGTGTGCGTCAAGATGGTGTGGACGATACACACTTGATGACGGTCTCGAGTATTGGAAGTTCTGTATACTTTCAGCTACTTTATTGAAAACGAAGAGAAAATTGAAAACCTTCTTGAGGAACTGATGCAGCCATGAGCAGGCTCTGCAATAAATCTGAATAATAGGAAACTGGACAAGATACTAAATTCAGCTGATCGATTACAACCAAGTTGTTATGTCACGCCACTGCTGCTCTTTACCTCTTACTATTGCTACCTCACGATGATGAAGCTCAGGGGGGCGCGTTCCTGGCGCTTTATTCGACGCGTTCGTGCTGAGTTGGTTCATTCTAGACATTCGAGTCCCTTCGTGTAAGGTCGAGTCAGGCGACCATGAAGGCCATGGAAACAGAACGTAGATTGGAGGAGAATAAATCCCGTTTCAAGGAGAAGGAAACTCAAGCTCATCAGTTGCAAGAGAGGGTGGATCTAACCCGCCAGTACATCGCGTTACTAAAGGAACTACATGTGGCCCAGGAGAAGATAAGTAGCAATGAAGCAAAGTGCGTCCATCTCGTCAATCGCCTGGGCGTTTACGCACACCACCAAGAATACGATTGGTCACTGAGAAGGCCGATCGCCTAGGCGGTAAAGTGGTTCAACTCGAGCAGGAGATTGACAAACTGGAGACCGACAATGAGGTTTGCAATGATCTAATTTTTGTTGTGCTCATTTAACGCAGCCAGAAGACTGCCAGAAAGAAGTATCGAGAGCTTACGGAGGAGTTGGAGTCATTACAGATTTGAAGAGATAATTCCTGGAGAATCGTGGAGATATCCTAGAGAGATTTGAGAGATATCTAAATGAGTACCTATGTAGTCACGTGTGATCTAATCTAGCCCATATCACTTGTTCAACTGTAACACCTTCAACAACATCTCACAAGTATCCCATCTACCATCATGTCCGGCACAGAAAGAATCAAGGATGTCAGTAATCATCCTTCATCATCCACATTATCTAACCGCGCTGCTTAGAAATTGAACTCGCTACGCACAGAGGCAGACAACGCCGTTCTGCGTGCAGAGGAGGCGGAAGCAAAGAACAAGAAGTACGAGCAGCTGCTCCTCGAGAAGGAGCAAGAGATCACATCGCTTCAGCACAAACTATCACAGCTGGATGCGGAACTCGAGAAGGCTGAGGAGAAAGTTGCGGAGTACAAGACTGCCAACGTTGATGGGGAACAAACAAAGATGACGAGCGAGGGGCTCCAGAGGAAAGTGCAGCTTTTGGAGGAGGAGCTTGATGTGGCTGAGAAGAACGTCAAAGAGACAGTTGAGAGGTACGTGTCTCCCACCCGCTCCTTTGGGTGACTGATTGTTGACGCGACTCTTCGCTCTTAGGTTGAGACAAGTAGACGTCAAGGCTGAGCACTTTGAACGCCAGGTGCAGCGTCTTGAACAAGAGCGAGATTTGTGGGAGAAGAAGTACGAGGTTCGTCCTAGTCCAACCTGTCTATCGCGTCACTCCCATCCCTGATCACCTCCAAACTAATAACTAGGAATCGGAAGCCAAGTACAAGAAATCACAGGCAGAACTGGCGGAGCTCGAGGCGAGCATGCAGGACCTGTGATCTCATCGCGACATCATCATATCGCGCACCTTCCGCGTACCCAACCTCCCCTTTTGTATAGTTTACTTTGGATCTGATCATGAAATAATGTCTTTTGGAACGAGCTTATCAGATGCTGATGATCACATTATCATTCACTGGCGATCCTTACAGCTGAGGTATATACTACAGTTGCTATTTCTCGTCATGGAACGTGAGTGAGACCGAGTTGACGCAATGGCGCTCATCCGCTGAGTTACACATATCAAAATCGGTGCATTTGAACAGAAAATGCAACGTACTTGGTGTGGGGAACCCCTCGCCCTTGAAGACGTGACCAAGATGGCCGCCGCATGCAGTGCACACAATCTCCGTCCTTGTCGTGAACAGCGATTTATCCTCATGGCGGGTTACAGCGCCAGGAATAGCTGATCGCTGGTCAGCATATTATATCAACGATGCGGTCTCAGCGCACCATCAAAGAAAGCTGGCCATCCACATCCGCTCTGCCGTGATATCAGCCCAATGGACAGGACGTAAAGAGGAGGCGACAGACATTAAACTTGGTGGTACTCTTATACAAAGGCACACCACACCCAGCACAAGTGTATACGCCTTGAGCAGAATGTTTATTATATTCGCCAGTGCCAGATGCCTCTGTGCCCTTTTCGCGCAGAATTCTAAACTGGAGGTAATCATGAGCGGGTGTAGCTCTCGTCAAGAGCGCTCGAGTACCTGTTCTGGAGAAAGTGTTGCTCTCCACTCTGCGTCGGATTTATTCACGGATGACATTGTTCGAGAGAGAAGGAATGCTCGGGCTCTGATGGTATGGGCGGTGAATGCACGTATAGTGAACATGTGCACGTGAGAATCTTATAATAGCTCACTCAATACGACTGTGTACACATCAATTATTAGCAAGAAAAAAATGGCCCTTCCACTCTCCTTCCAATCTTATTACGGGTTTGGGGAGCGGTCGATGGCTGAGTTTCGAAAACTCGACTTGTCTTGCATCGAATCTACAGGGAAATTTAGTACCACTGGAATGCAAAAAGATAATGATGCACTGACCATTGTTCGATTTGTACTCCATGATCGTCGATTGGGGAAGGTTCAAAACCCTCCGCAGAGTATCCCTTTAGAACGAACCATTAAGCCAAAGGCTTTAAGAAGAAAAAATGACTGCGTCACCTGATCTTCTCTCTGACCTTGACATCCCCATCGACCCTGTTCCACAAACTCACAATATCCTCGCTCTGCCTCACACTAATCGTACACCCGCAAATTTCAGGCCACTCTGCCCGATTCGCATCTTCCGGATCCAGGCCACCATTCGGTTCTGCAGGACCACGACATCCGTCGAACTGGTCCCCGATAACAGCGAGGACGAGGTCTTCCCAAATACGGTCGGCAACACCTTTCTTTAGTCTGATAATCCATTTTCCCCCTGAGAGATTGAGCGGGTCTTCCCATACGGGCCGGCGGATGCCCGAGTGGAAGAGAAGGTAGTCGGTTGTGGGTTGCAGGGCCGAGGGGGGAGCGAGGTGGGTCGACAGTGACCAGAAAGACTCGACCTGGTGATCGAGTTCATTTCTCTTTTTCGCCACGAGATGAACGGGGAACCATAAATACCGAGCTGAAGGACGAGATCTTTTTTATTCCCTCTTCGTAACTAATAATTTTATTACCCGGTGTACGTTGTTGGCGGAACCAAAAGAGCCAACTGTAAAGAAATGCAAGATCAAAACACGAGACGTCGGTTACGCGGGTTAGACTACGAACATACGTATTTCGAAGGGGATGGACGCCGACTACACCAGTAGTCGAGGAGGAGTGGGAGGTCGAGTCTGTAGATTTGGATCGTTCCACCGCAGAAACGGACGTTGAGAAAAGCTTCGATGATGACCTGGGGGCGGTGGTTGTGGCTGCAGGAGCTGCCGTTGGTTGTGTAGATTGCTGAGAGGGCGTGACGAGGAAACGAGAGGACTGAGAGTGATTTGAGAAATACATAGTAGTTGTAGAAAGTATGAATCTGTAGGATGGGTGTAGCTGGAAAAAGTTCACAATTGAGTGGAGTTGGATTACCTAATTTCATCGTTTGTCCTCCTCGCGTCCATGAAGCTCATGCTACGGCCAGAATGGCGACTGTGGCCACTCACGTCGTTCCTTGGTCTACTCGACCTTAAAACAGGTGTCACCGTCGCCCTTCTTTTTGCCGTCAGTCTCTTTTGCTCTTTTTTATATCGAAATTCATCCTTTCAACAGCTCCTGAACAAAGTAGCTGGCATCTATGGCCTCATCGCCGTTCTTACAGGGGCTGGAGGTTCCTTTGCCCAACTGAGCCTCTACATATACTCAGTCTTTGCCCTCGTGGCCCTTGGCTGGGGTTTGCGCGTGGTTAAGCACGTATGCGTTTCATCTATTCAGTCGAACACCCATTTCTTATCATCCAGTTCAGGAGGACCCAAAACAAACCCTCTACTTTGCCCACCTCTTCTTCGCGGATCACATATTCTCTACCTCCTGGACCGTCTTCTTCGCACTGGTCTGGTGGTTGTGGACACCCCATGATGGACGTCGTCAGGCCAATTCGAGCGCTCAGAAGGCCATGATGGAGCTCGGGAACGCAACCGCACTCACGCCAGCAGAACGCGAAGAAGCGGCAATGGCGATCTGGAACCACGAGAAAGGTATGGCTGCTGCCGTCATCATCATCTCTTGGCTTTTCAAGGTTCGCAACCACGCTGTCCAACTCAATTCATCTATTGAACCACTCAACCACAGATCTACTTTACCCTCCTTCTCTACTCATACGCATCGCATTTGCGCAAAGGCTCTTACCGCTCTTTACCCCTCTCCCGTCCCGCATACGCTGCCGCGCCACAAGGTAATCTGGCTTACGAGACACTCGCAGCTGACGAGGATGAAGAAATCGAGGACTTTTATCGCGTGCCTCTACGCACGCCGCCGGCTTCGGCTCATCGCCGCAGTCCAAGCAATAACAACTCCATCACGAGTTTCGCAGACTTTGTCAGCGCTCCGGGCCGGCCTCGTAAAAAGGGCTTTGGCAGCGTGAGTTTGGGAGGTCTTGGCGATATACGAGATAGGGGGATAGAGGAAGAAGATGTGATGTTTGATGAGGATGATTTGACGTATGCTGCTTCGACATCATCGCGAGGGCACTCGAAGATGGGTACGGAGGGGAGTAGTACAGCTGCGAGCGATGAGGAGCGAGCTGTGGGAGGCTTTGGGTCTGAGAGTAGTCACGGGAAGGGTAAGTTGGCTAATCGCGGCGATCAATAGGGGGCTTCATCGTGCGCTTCTCGTATTTATTGCAAAGACCCTTGGATCACATTAATACTCTGCGTAGACAAGATGACGATTATAATCACCTCAGTCCCTACGCGGCTAATTTGGATTTTACACATGCAATGGCGTCATGCCTTCCTGATAGGTTGTTGAGGAACATGTCGGCCTTCCTCTTGCATGATAGTAGGAGACACCGTCAACGAACGTATCGAGAGCCGAGAATGGGCTCGAGGTCGTGAAGTCGGGGAATTGACTGCGAGGGTGTCCATTCCTAAGCTGCCATTAGGTTGAGACGCGCTTCTGGATGTTACAGACGAGAGCTGAACGGATGCAGCTTCCAAGACTGCTCGTTCCGCCCTTCGACGCCGACGCGCTCTTGGATTGAGAATCAACGCCGCGACAAGAACAACGCCATCAAGTACCTGAGCGACGAAATCAGCCAGTATACGAAAAAATAATGAGATAACGCACGACAACCAAGGTATACGAAGCGGCAGCAATAGCGTCAAACTCTTTTTTGAAGACCAAAGATAGATCATTGAAAACTCCACCAATCATATCGATGCTGATGAAGAGGATGGATAACCCAACAACCTCTTTGAGTTTATATATCTCCCAATATTGAGGAAGTAATGCAGCAGAGATGAGCACTGCCGCCAAAATGCCAAAGAAATTGGTGGGGACGTTGTTTCCTTTGTCGTGTATTGGTCGAATGGTGACGACGAGTATGGCTTCAAGAGCACCAAAAAAAACCATGACGGAGAGTGTCATAAAAAAGGCGACAGCTCTTGCGCGCTTTTCGCCATAGTACTGACACTAAATGAAAGCTGGGGATGAATGTGTTTTCACAAAACGAAAGCAGAGAACGGACCTGGCCCCAGGAGATAAAGCAGAGAAAGGAAAAGAGCTGAGGCTGAATCATGAGCGGGATATTGAGCCTCTGAAGGAACGCGTAGACCCCCAAGAAGGCGCCAGAAATTCCCCATAGGAGACTAGAGTTTAAAGAATTATTTGGTGTTTCCAGACAAAGCTGAACGCGACGCACACCAGCCAATGAGAAAGGCCATTCGTTGCTTTTTCGCGCCAACTCTTCCAGACTTGGGGTATCAGTTGACCAGTCCAGCAAATGGTACCTTGTAAAAATGTCAGATTCTTCTAATTAAGGAACTGCGACAAGGAAGTCACCCATAGTGCCGAAGACTTGCTCAGCGACGGCGTTGTGGATGGCCATGTCTGGGAGTTGGGTGGGGCATGGAAAAGAAATACGTTAGATATACTAAGACTGTGCCTCATCGAACGCGTGGGTCGAGAAATTTGAAATCTGCGACTAGTGCTAGGAGACGCCCTGATCTGTCACTTCTTGGCGTACTCGGGTACTCCGAGGTCCGAACCTATGTAGATAAAAATAGCAGATAGCTCCCGTTACTTACCGCGGTACCACTGGTGCTAAAATACTGATCTTGAGCTTAAATACTGGACCAACACCAGCGTTTGTTCTGTTCTATCTTGTGCAAGTACTATGCCTCGACGCTCGCTATACTTATCGCAAACCTAACGCTTCCTACACGAAGACTTTCAACTTCATCGCTTGGTGATCAATAGACACAGTTGTCGCAACCATCAAGGAGTCCGTCCGACGTTGTTTTCGATTCTAGCCAAACGATCAACAGATGGTCGATGTATGCCAACTCTTGAAGGCGGGCAACAAGCCTGTACCTGTGCCTCTATTTTTATATACTTACCTCAAGCTGGACGTTCAATCGTACGAGGAGTATTCAGGCAACGCACTGTGCTCCGTCATCAGCGGCAGTGCTCGATTTTTGCCATGCGACACGCACCTGGTATTGATATTGACGCCTGGAGGACCTTGTTTCCATCAACTTCGAAATGGATGTCCAGCTCGTCGTTGTCACAGTTCTTGCCCTTGCTGTACTTTCTGCCGCTGATATCGTCCAATAATTAATACCAATGTAGCAGTGGCGCTTTGTCTTGTCCCAAATCAGCTCATCATGAGCCATGGGGAACACGATTGGTTCCTTCTCCAATAAAACCATGTCTGTCATTTGGTGGAAGGCTTGTGTGAATTATCTGGTGCCTACGCGGCTGGTCGTGTTAGGGGCGCAAGGACTTTAGCGATTTTCTTTTGGGCCAAAGGGACAGAGTCTTGCGAGCATGCTATTGTAAGATGATGGGCGAGACTTCGGTCCTCTGATACCATTTCTTTCTTGCAGCTTCGTCTGTCCGTAAATAATGTTATCATTTCTGAAAATACTTTACGTTCTCAGCAGCATTGAAGAACGATGAAGTTCGTATCTTCTTGTTGACAATTTTATACACCAGACTTTGCCAATGGTGAACTTCAATCTTGTTCACGGCGTTGAGGGTTGGTACGCCCAATCTTGAGGTCTCCTCGCACAGGGCTGCAGCGACGTTTCCCTGCCTAAAAGTGGAAAGTTTTTCAGTTTGCTGGTGCTGAATGGATACGTTTTAGCGGTTGTTCGGAGGCCGTTCAGAGGATTGGGTGCAAATTTGAGAGTAATGTACAATCGTTCTATGATCTGTGGTTGTAGACAGTCGTTCCGTAGTACAATCCAGATGCCGCCGAGGTTGTCGCCAAAATGGCTGGAACGGGACCCTTCGCGACTCTCGGAAGAGATGAAAGGAACAAAAGAGCTGATGCAGCTGTTCGGAACATGCTATGAGCACAAGATTGCTTGGGACCGCTTTGTGTGGCCTACCTAGAGCACCCTCCAAACCGTTGGTGGTACCTTTCCGAATGCTTTCCGCACTCCAGAGGTAGAGAACACCAACACTATTACAAAAAGCCGGTTAGAAATGACGTGAGGTGGGGTTGGAGAGACATACCCGACGCCAGCCACCAAGGAGGGGATTGATCTTGTCCTGGCGTATCCTGTGACACCACCAACGATGCAGAGGCCACCCATGAGGTATGCAGGATAGGAAGACTATGATTGAGAGTGAGAAAGTCGTTGAAACGACTTGGCAACAACATACCATTTTTCGAGTAAGTATGTAAGTGAAAGGATCTGAGTATCGAAGCCACTGGCAGATCCAGGAGCGCCGAAATGAGCGCGTAGCACGTGATCCACGCGACGCGCCTGTTCAAAATGTTGAAACACGCACAATGGTCGCTGCCAGTTGGCTGTCACCATCATGACCATCTCCCTTAACTTTGCTTCCCTCGCCACAGACTCTCATACCAGGCGCACTCTCTCAGACCTCTCTCTCTCCGTCGCCAAAAGCAAGAAAATCGTCGTTGTCACTGGGGCTGGCATATCTTGCTCGTGTGGCATTCCAGTATGTTTCCTTACACGTTGGGCAAGCATTCTTCTTGACCTCTGCCACTCAGGACTTTCGTTCGTCTGATGGGCTTTACGCCCTAGTAAAGGAAAAATATCCAGATGTCGTTTTGAAGGGTCGCGATCTCTTCGACGCCTCACTTTTCCGCGACGCCACATCTACCTCAGTGTTTTACACCTTCATATCTCAGTTGAAACGATCTATCGATGCTGCTACTCCTTCACCTACACACCAATTCATCAAGACTTTAGACACGAAGAATAAACTACTTCGTTCATATACCCAGAACATTGATGGTCTTGAAGCGCGAGTAGGTCTACTGGGAACGTCCTGTCAAGCCGCAAAATCAAGCTCAAAAGGAAAGAGCAAGATTCGAACGAAGGAGGTCCGCAACGTCGAATTACACGGGAATATACACCGCGTTCGGTGCATGGCTTGTTCGGCGGAGTATCCCTGTACGGAAGACCACTTGGATGCTTTCAACGTAGGCGCGCCTCCTGACTGCCCAGAATGTTTATCGCGATGTACGTTCCTCTTAGATTTTTTCTCACACAAGTCATGACGACCCTTGTATTCAGCTGAAGCTCGCGTGGCACGGTCAGCTCGCCCCATCCGCGTTGGCTCTCTCCGACCAGCCATTGTTCTATATGATGAGCCTCATCCTCTGGGGGATGATATTGGTACAATCCAGTCAGCTGATGTGTCGCGCAAGCCGGACATGCTTATTATTATGGGCACATCACTCAAAGTTCATGGTCTCAAAAAACTTGTCAAGGATTTCGCGCGGACGATTCACGCCTCCAATTCGCCAGGGACATCATCTCAGCGGCCCTTCAAGGTCATCTTTGTCAATAAAACACCACCTGCGTCGGAATGGGCCGATGTGATTGACTACCACGTTGCTGCTGAGAGCGACCGATGGGTTACCAAAGTCCTCGAAGATTGGAAGAAGATGAGGCCAGCAGACTGGGAGGTCCAACAGACTCTTGTCACTTCGGACGGAAACACCAGCATGAGTGGAGGTCTTAAAGTCATAAAGACGGCCAAGTCATCAACCGAAATCAAGGAGAAGAAAGGTACATAAAATTTCCCCTTCATAACGACCAATGGCTGACTTGGTATTATGTTCAGCTCCCAAGAAAGCAACCCTCCGCGGCGAGAACATCGCACCACCAGATCTTGGCATTATCGAGGATTCAACTGCGACCTTCGACAAATATCCGACTGCCCCCTTATCACCTAGCAAGCGACGACAAGGGACATCGCATTACAGTGACGTGGATTCTAGTCCTTCCAAGCGGCACTCTGTGTCTCGGCCCTGCGCGGCTATGCCAGTGGGCGAGAGGAAGCTATTGTTCACGGAATCCACGAATAATCAGTCTATGAATTCCTCGAAAATGGATATCAGTATCTGTGATCTTTCAATGCAAGACGTGGAAATCAAACCCAAACCAGTGGAACCACCGGTGACGCAACGAGCGAAACCCGGCAGGCCCCCACAGACTCGTCCTCGACCTACGGCAAAGCGAAATGCAGCCACAAAAGAGCCTGCTCCACGTCAAAAAAGCTCAGTTTATGTTGACATAGTCACAAAACGCTGAGATTCTTTTTCGTTGTCACTCTTCCACATACACATAGTTTAACCTACGGGGTTTCTTACATTATTTGCATCTCCCCGACAATTTCTCAATGTATTATTATTGCACCATTTTATATTTATTCCGCGACGAGAGGATATACCAAAAAAAAGCTATGCCAGCGAAAACGACGAACAAGGTCCTCGTAGATGAGTAATGTGATCAATGAATGTCATGAAAAGAACGATGCTTTCTAGAGTGTCATTTATTGAATGGTGCATTTGTGACTTTTCTCGAATTGAGTGCACCGGAGATAATGATTATCAACTGCGACGCCGACATCTTGTCCAGTGGACGCGTCCAGTATCAACACTCCACATTTGTAGCAAAAATGCCTATTGAGAGGACTCAGTTTATCAAGGCACACGAAAACAGATGAGTTAGGACTTACACGTTGCATCCTGGAGAAGTGCACTAAAAAAAAACCTTTGGTGTCCTGATTAAGGAGAAGCACAGAAAAAAAAACTGACCTTCATGTGGTTGCATCCAGACTCTTTCTGTATTGGACTCGTACACCCTAATAGATAATTCTCATTAAGATATTCAGTGAACACGCGGAATGCTGGTTTACCTGGACAGTATCTCCACCCTTTCTTACGCATAAGACGGTCCAATTTGTCAGCCTTGCATGCATGCTTATTATTGGCGCCAGTGATTGTCTTCTTGCACGCTTTACACCATCTATGTCCGCATCTCGGCAAAGGACACCTCAACACATCCTGTTCCAAGTACTCCTGCCGAACAACGAACATGGATTCATGGCAGCTGAAGCGAGTCTTTAGGAGCTATCGACCTGATCAGCTCTCTGGTTGACTCACCTTGGACACTCGAGTTGCACCGAATGTGCTGATAACTGGAGTTCTTGGAGTTTGTCAAACTCGCGTTGTGATAATCCAAGCTCCTCCATGAGGCTTTGGTTTACAGCTGAGATATCCGATGTCAACTTTTGAAGCGAGGTCTGATATCAAGTAACTTACTGCCTGGTTCTGTTCTTGTCTTGTCTGCGGAACAGACGGGACAAGGGATGGGGTACCGGCCCTCGACTAGTTTAGCCTTGACATAGCTACGCAGGCAATCTCTGCAAAAGCTATGCTCGCAGTCTGGCATTCGAGCAACCTGAGATACCGTAAAGTTTTCAAAGCACACCTCGCAAATGAATGTATCCACTGGGGTGCTAACAGGAGTAATTTTGGACGCAGATGGAGGAGGGTCTAAAACATGTGCCACTTCAACGAGAGTGGTAGGCCTAGCCCGTTCGTCAGCAGGCGCTTCGATAGGTCGACGCGGAAGAGGATCAAGAGATTTCGATGCCAATGCAAGCTTCCAACTATACTCATCTCGCGATCGAGAGGCGCGTTGACCAACACTCATAGTCTGGTGATGTTGAGTTGGTGGTGTCACTTTTGACGGTGTAGACGGGGAGGCCAGCCGGTTGGGCGTCTTAGCAGTGTCGTTATTGACAAAGCCGGACGCCGTGCGTTTAGCGGGAGGGGTGACGGGATCGTGTTTGGCAACCTTCTTGCTTATCGTTTCAGATGTCGTGTTCCCATTTACCGATGGTTTGGCTTGCTGCAACGCCAACTGCCAACCAATATCTTTCTTGATTGGTCGACTGGCTTTAGGCGTCTTAGGGCTCTGACGAGGCTCTCTGGAGGGTTGGACCTCCTCGGACGGAGAGGGAGCAGCAGAAGCAGTTATTATTCTTGGAGCTTGAGCGAAGTCGCTGAGACTTTTGTCTGACGCAGATATCTTCTTGCCTTGCAAAGATAGCTGCCACCCAAATTCTTTTCGCAAGCGGGTGCGTGCAGGGGTATTGGGGTTGGTGGAGGGTGAGAGGTCAGATAGTGGAAGGGCAGGCGTGGTGTCTATCTTTATTTCATCGTGCGAGTTTTGCTTCTCGGTAGGCGTCGCAGGTTCTTGTTTTACCTGATGAGCAGAAGTAGTCTTTCGAGATAGGTAAAGTAAGGTCTCGGTGAGCGCTCGTCCGTTGGAAGACATGAGAGAGTTCCTAAAAGAGTCTTCTCCCATGGTTGTATCCAGATAACTCTCCTTTGGGCAAAAAATGCGCGCGTAGTATTTCTGAACGCCTGGGTGGGATACCTTAGTTCTCTTAGATGCAGCAAAGTCGCTAAGCAGTTCTGCTGCGGTTTTCTTCCGTCGCTCCAGAATGAATGCAGGTCCGTTCGGTGAAATAGACCCAGCGTGTGGATCGAAGATGATGTATGTGTCCTCGAGAGCGATTTTGACCTTCAGACACACTATGACTTCGTTTGAATGCGTAATTACCGCAGCAGTGACACGTTGAGATGCAGTCACGGACATTGTGCTGTGAGGCAGTGAGCGCTTCACGATGACGACATAAACACAGAGCTCACTCTAACATTGCAGAAAACCCCACCTGCGATGTTTCCTGAACTACGTACGAGGTTTGTGATAGAACGCTTTCAAAGAGTGGGGTTTCACAGAGCTCGCCAACATTCATGCCTATGGCAAGTTTGAGGTAGGCTGTGATGGATACGATTTTCTGGATGTCCGGAAAGTATCTTGAGACGACAAGCTCAGAGCAGCAATGCACCACTCACCTGAACTGTTCTCTCAGCGAGGAGGTCTTCTAAGAACTCGGCATCGGCATCGGCATCATCTCGCGAACGCTGCCATGCCCATGAAATTTTTGCCCCCAACCCCTTTTCCACCTCAAAGACGGTTCTAACACAATTCATGGCAAGGAGTGTACAGCTGGCTCGGCTCGTGCTGTTTTCGTTGGAACACTTGCATGTTGGACCGTCGTAGACCACGACCTGCCTAGATTGTTCGGCGGAGGTCAGTTGTTCCAACAAATCTCGAACGTCAACATCGCCGCTTTGCCATATTTTCTCCGGCATACTACACAGCTGAAAGGTGAAGGGCGAAGTTACAGGAGTTGGTGGAAGGGATTGGGCATTTGTCTATAGTGGTCACGCAGGGTTCGATCAGGGCTGAGGCGCTGAATCAAGGCAGTGCGGCGTTGCTCTGCGTTGCTGTTGAAGGTTCAAGGAACGTCAAGTAAATGTCCAATCAATGTCTGTCAATTATAATGTATTCCACGCAAAAAACAACACTTACGCCAGGAGGTTCAGCAGGTTCAATCAAGACCAAGGCACAGCCCAAAGGACGTAGGTTCATAGCCACACATTTGACAGTTCCCACCTTTTCCTATGCGGAGTTCACACATCGATACCAGAATTCTTGCTGTAAATATTGTGAAAACGTTGGTTGCACTTAGCTTCTTTCTTGATAGATTGGCGTGTGGATTATTTGAAATTTCGTTGACCGTTCAAAATCTTGTGCTCTGGCTTCGACTCTGTTTGGCGAAATCATGCAAGATAAACAACAGCTATATTCGACTTCTTTTCCTAGCCAGTTCTTCGTCACCGTCTTCAGAACTTGAAAGGTTCTTGGCAACGACCAATTGCTTTACAACAGTATCCCAAATTGCATCGTTCACCCCCTTCGCCTTCCCCAAATGCTCACGTAGCCTTTCCACCTCCCCTTCAAGTTCGGACACGCGCGATTTCAAAGTTGATACGTCTGTTTCTGAAGAGTGCGTTGGGAGCAATGGTTTTACGAAAAACGCGTGATCCCGATGAAATTCTTCCTCCTCGTAAGCGGTAACGTCGTAACAAGGAGACTAATTTACGATTCAATTAGTGTTGGGCTGACAGGAGATAAGAGCACACCTCGATAGGTTTTGGCAGAAGCATAGCAATATCGTGTGCTTCTCGCGTCTTCGCATCGCGCATGCGTTGGAAAGGTATTATGGGTTTGACAGGAACAACATCCTTGGCGTCCGCTGCGTTGTTGCCTACCGTGAAGTCCAAGCTAATATGGCCAATCAAATCCGGGGGTTTGAGCATTGTGCATAGGTAACCTATCGAAAAGCCTTTGTGCGTGGAAATTGTCCGCAAAAGTTGATGGGAAGGAATGTCGTAAATGTGAATAAGACCCTCGGTTGTGCCGACCAGAAGGAGAGAAGATGCTAATGAGAGTGCCAGCGTCGATACGGGTTGCCTAATATCAGTGTTACGATACAATATAATCCTGATCAGGAAAAAAACGCACCCTACAGATATGAGCCTCTTCTTTCTCGTTTCATCATTTTCATCGCCGACGCGTATGATATCAGTAACACCTGCTCCTCCGAGAGCTTCCATTACCTGACCTCCAAACTTGGATTCCCTTTGACGAAACAAATTCATCTGATGAACTGACCCATTTGGAGAAGCAGCAAAAAAAAGCCGCTCAGTGATATCCCAAGCGAGGCATGATATAGATTGGGGGAATTGAAATGTCGTCAGCAATGACTTCGAAGAAATATCCCAAAGCTGTAAATGACGTTAGTAAGAAGAAAATTTTTGGAACCCAAAGAAATGACGAACCTTGACGGAGTGGTCCACCGAAGAAGTCAGGAGTCGACAGTTGGGGAATAGGCCAACACCACAGACTATATCCGTGACAGGCAGTGTATGATCAGACAATGTGCAAAATGGCACCGGTAGTTCGTTCTGCAAATCGCCATCTAGAAGTCTATGTGGGGAAACACGAGTTAAGTTTTGTGCAAGCGCGGGAAGGCCGTATTGACCTAGACACAGACCAGACGTTCACACCAGAATCGTCGCTACCAGATATGAGGGCATCGCCGTCATTCGTGAAGCGCAAAACATTTACTTGACGATAGTGCGCGTCCCAAGAATTGTATAGTATGCCAGATGACGTCTACAATAAGTGATACTGAGGATTTGGCAGAGTGATCAAAGATGGGTATGCTCACCTCCCAGAGATAAATTCGCCCTTGAGCCGTTCCACCTGCACACATGTCTCCTCGACGGTCGACTGCTATACAAGAAAGTTTTTCTGGAAGAACTATTTTTAGACTAATTTGGTCCTGCGATGCAAATCAGTATCTACAGGTGTGTACCCCAGATGTGAATTGAACAAACTTTTTGGAAGTGGTACACATTGAGAATAGATTTGTCTGGCTGACAGGTCAGAACGAAACCGCCTTCCGTGCTTGTGGATTCTAGAATCGCAGTACAGTGAGGACCAGCATTGGTTTGTTTGAAAGAAGCAAGGGTTGTCCCAGTTTGCAAATCATGAAGGGCGACGGTTCCCAGACCAACGGTTGACAATTGAGCTGCTGAAGAGCAGAGTATTGTTTCCTGTAGCTTCATGGTAGTTTATCAGTGCAGTGCCTTTGTTTTTTGTTTGCGTTATATCAATCCCCACGTGCCGTTACAACCTGTTACAACATCGAATATCATAAAGGTATGTATCTTGGATAAGACCTATTCGCTTTGTATTCACTCCCGTCATGGCTACGAATCTCTACGAGGAGCTTGACCTGCCCAAGGACGCCACTGCCGATCAGAGTAATATTCCGTTTGACTCATTTAGGCTGCAATTCGTTTGACGCTGCTTTCCGTAGTACGCAAGGCTTACAAGAAGAAAGCCCTGAAGACCCATCCAGACCGACTCTCCCCGAATGCGACGCCCGAGGAGAAGGCTGCATCTGAAGAACACTTTCGAAAAGTGAGGACGAGACTTTATCGATTATCGGTTACCATTCGTTCGAACAAGTGCTCTAGGTCAACAATGCATATGAAGTTTTGACAGATCCTCAGAAACGGAAGGTGAGAGGCTTCCTCGGTCGCTATCTGCATCGTTTACATTCTCGTTACAGGAATATGACAGATATGGCGTTTGGCCGCCGCCTGACCTTGATGACGATGAACCCTTGCCGAGGAGGCCCAGTGGCAATCGGCGCGGCTCGTTTAGCCGCCATCCCCCCACTCCGCGGTCTCCTTTTGGGGACCATTTCTTTTCGCACCCCTTCCCGTCCGCTACATTCACTGATCCCTTCACTCTCTTTGACTCTATCTTTGGCGATTTCCCATTCCAAAGTCACAGTCGACCATCGCCATACCGTCCGCATCGTTCACGGTCCGATGATCCGTTCCAAATGCCCCATAGGATGCACCAGGAGATGATGGGAAGCATGTTTGCACAGTTTGAAAGAGAGATGTTCAGCACCTTCCCTGATCACCATAACGTTGGTTTCGTACCACCTGTGCCCAGGCTACCCGCTCCGAGCTCGAGCAACCAGCGCTGGGTTGAGGAGAGTTTTGTAACATCGACGGTCAACGGTGTGACGCAGACTGTCCACAAACGACGGGACTGGGATGTATGTCCATGCTCCTTTTTTTCTGCTCCGCTCTAAGTAATCATTGATCATAATGCAGGGAAATGAACATGTCACTCGTACATTTCCTGACGGCCGAGAAGTGTTCACCATAAATGGGGAGCAGCAATCATCGCACCGTGGCTATCTTGAACCTCCGGTCATCCCGCGGCCCCCGCCTGCTGGCCCGCCACCTCCATATCAAGGACGTAACACTAATTACAATCCGTTTCGTAAGCCTGAGCAAAGTCACCACCACTCCACTCCAGCCTATCAACCTCAAATAGAACCTCGCCGAAGGGGCTCCCAACACCGTGAGGCCTTCCTGCAATTCTCTTTGAATCCACACTCATTTCACGGAATTGTAGATAATGCGTACCCTATGAACACAAGTCAGTCGTCGACCTTTTGAGTTTTGTCATGAGATTGAACTTCTTTCTATAGACACAGATTATCACCGTCGTGGAGGCTGGTAGAACAACCCTCACGCTTTCAGCATCACCCGACGATCTTCCTCTCCTCCATTTCTTGCAAGTGTTTCCTGCTATCGTGCTGTCTGTATCATTTTTTTTTCTGTCTTGTTCACTGGCAAGATCCTTGGCTGTACAAATTACCATCTAAAATGTCTTTCCGTCACCACCATGCTCTGTTACCTTTCCATGTAAACCATTATGATCCGTTGAAGTAGCTTTATTGTAAAACTCCAACCGAAAGGAGCCATGAAAATGAGCGAACCGACAATCTAAAAAAGATCGAAGGTTACGTCGAAATAAGAAAGTTGGTCCTGGCCTTTCCGAATGTCAGGATATCAAACTCATGTTCAACCGGGGTGTGTTTATGACGACATATATATGACGGTACAAATGATGCATTGTAAATAATAGATGATGATGAAATAAAGAAATGGCCCATAAGAAATAATGGTCAGGGTTTACAGTGGGCAGGTATTGAGTGATGCACAGCGTCGAAAGCAACCAGAGGCAAGGAAAGAAAAAATGAATGTAAAAGGTCAAGTGAAGTAGCTTGGTCATATGCCTCCATTTGTTCGCGTCTGCGCTGTAGGAAAGGCGGATGACATGGGTGACACTTGCGTCCGATCGTCATCAACGAGTGACGATAAATGTGTCATAGGTACACCTGAATTCGGAGTGGGTGGTACGCCAGCTGCTGACACTTTGCCAATGAACCATGACTAGAAATAGGTAGAACGTAAGCAAACGATCTTGTCCGTCAGATTCAAGGACATCTTACCGGCACCCAACCCCGATCACCACCCTCTTCCTTGACCGCCTTGCGATTAGGAGTCAGACTAACAATTATAGATGTAGGGTCGAAAGTAACGCACATATGACCAATGGTTATACCGCTTGAATACTCTCAAGGCATCGTCTTTAACCAAGTCCAGCTCTTCCTCTCCCTTCTTCTTATAGTCCATGAGCGCAATTCCAGGGAAGCTCGTCGATATGATGCTCAATGGCAAAATGGGGGTCTTCCCAATGGGAGTCTGGGGTGGACTTCTGCCATTCGATGGTCCGCCTTTCGCGGCTGTGGCTTCAGCAATTGCAGATGCCACAGGAACATTGGTCTCGAGAAGACATCCAGCAGGTACCCACCCTTGCTTGACGATGTCAGTGTCGACGATGCCTGAGCCAGTGGGATCGCGTTGGACAACCCACCAACCGCGTGCACGCGAAAGAATGATGAAGGTATCTCCTCTACACCGAAGGTTAGAACGCTGTCTGAGATGAAAACATGACTGCTCACACTACTACATCGAACTCATCGTCCTGCTCTGCCATGTATGGATAGATGGCGACTGCATATGACACCCCATTGGCAGCTGGTATCCCCGCGCTAAGAGTCCCACTCGGAGGGGATTCTCCATGTGTACCATTGGCTCTGTGTTTTGACGGATCATGGCCGTTTGTCCCAACAAGAGTTGATCCACTCATGTAAGTTGACTGCGTTCCAGCTGACGCGGGTGTCAGAGAAATTTCATCGTTCCGCTGGGTGTCAACAGCAGGTGATAACCCTGCTTCTGGCCAGCCAGGTTGAGGGCTCAAGGTGTTTGAAGGGAGAGGCGCTGAAGCAGAGAGATCCTGGACTTCAAGACGAGGGGGCCGATTGACAGCACGAGACGTTGACGGATTTTTATGATGTCCTTGTGTTGCCGTTGTCTCATTGGAAATAACGGATGAGGCTTTGCGGGCTGCATGTTTTTGTTGAGCTACGGCGATTGGGGACCGTATATCTTTGATATGTTTGAGCATGAAAACCGGATTCTTCTTTGCATCCTTGAGCTTCTGAAAAAGAAGAAGTGGCTTTTCGTCGTAGCTCAAGCAACGTTCTATTCGGTTACCTGATATGAGAGGTTGCGTGAGTTTGCGTGGGCGAGAGGAGTACAAATAAGTACCTGGTGACCCGTAGCAAATGAACATTGCATAATTTTGCCAGCTGTCGTTATTGATTCGATACTTCTTGAGAGCTGCAGGAAGCACCTTCCAGGTGGGATCATCCAGCGTAACTTTGAATCCTTTGAGATTATCTGAGCTTTCCTGTCTCGACGGCTTCAGTGGCTGGTTATTGGTATTTTGAGGATCAGGTGGTGGTTGTGCGTAGCGCGCCTTATCAACTGGTGTTGAGGATGTAGATGGACCAGCCACTCGATTGGGCGGTATCGGTACGTCATGTTCCAGACGCTGAGGAGATGGATGGGGAGATTCGACAGGTTCTGCTTTCGTTGGAGACTTTTGTGGCTTGACAAATTGAGCCCATTTGAAAGATGGCTGTCTGCGTAACGGACTAGCCGAGTCGTCCTGTATGGATCGACCTCAATACATAAGTGGGATCATAAGCGGCTTCATGACTCACAGGCCGACCAAGAGAAGACCGAAGAATGTTGAACTCCTCCAGAAATGAGTCCAGAGTACCGCTTAAATTGCGGTTTTCTTCCTCCAATTGACGCAAACGTTGAGCTATTGTTACGAAATCAGCAAAAAGGACGCAGGTAGGTGTGTGTGACTACCTTGATCTTTGACCAAGGAATGCAACTTGTCGACGGTTATGTTTTCCCAGCGCTCTGGGGCTTCCGCTGATGGATGGGTGCCAAGTGAGGAACTCTATCAAGTTGGACGACGAGGAAGCATGTACTGACAAGGTGGGACATAGTGTTCCTCTTCTATGGGGACATTATGGGCCAGTTTCACGTTGTAGACCGACTTCAAAATAGCCAGCCGTTGCCCTATAGTGGCAATGCCCAGCGACTTGAGTCCCTCGGAGTCTAGCACACACAGAGTATCCCCTCGTATTCTGTGTTCTGACGTATTTGGTTAAGCTGAGTAATTTATGACAGAGAATTTAAACGACACACCTCTGATCTGGTTCTCGTACTGAGAGTAACCTAAAGTCGAGAGCCAGTTGTGGACATCTGTTTCGTCCCATTCAAGGATGTGACGGTCCCTGGGGCCATCCATTGCGGCAAAAGGTGAAAAGATGCGCGAAGTAGGTTCAATAGGCGGGGAGATGGAAAGAATGTGTGAAGAAGGGACGAAGGTTGACGATGGTGGCTAAATGGTGGCACTGGGAGCTCTGACACAGGTTGTTGAGAAGTTGCAATTCAATTACTGCACGTGATTTACGCTACTAACTTGGCACTTGCATTGAACCATGGATGATCCCTGGGCAAATGCATGGGGAGAACCCGAAAAACCAGTCATAGGGCAAGTAGTCCCATCCGAGGTCTCCTGGGCTGATCCTACAACTCGAATTATCCCCCACGATGACCAAGAAGCCGATATTTCCTGGCCGAGTGGTGCAGACTTTCGCTGGTCGGACAATTCTACCACGGACGGTTCACTCTGGAATTCTGAACCAACTTTAACCACCGCCTGGGAACCACCACGTTCGCCATATGAAGGTATATCTCTGGGAAAGCTACCCACGCCAGACTTGGAGGCAACAAGTTCGACCTCGCCAAAAACTCAATCATCACCTATACCCAATGTCCACGATCTAGATGCTGCCGAACTTTCAGAAAACAAGTCTTACACCGAACCGCCAACTCCAACATCACGCCCCTTAACTCCTAGATCGATTTCTCCTGCACCCGACAGCCCTGACGCGTTTGGGACCTTCGAAGCCGCGCCGGAATCCGGCGAAGAGTCTTGGTCGGCCTCTGGGCCAACGCTCGCTATTCCCTCAGCCGACGGAGACCCTTGGGGAGCTGCCTGGGAGACAGCTGATTCCCCAGTTTCAACGCCTGCAGACGAACCAGCAGACGAATGGGAGGTGGCCAGGAAAATCAAAGAGAGACAAGACCGCCATCTTGTCAGTACATACCCTTTAAAATGCCCAATCCGTTGTCTCATGATCTTCAAGCCACCAGAACTATTATCGTCTATTTTGGAACTATTTGTAGAACTTTCTCGTGAGATATGGCCAGAAGACAGCCCCAAGGGACCAGTTGCACCACCGAGCTTAGAGGATATAGGGTTGTAAGTTGTAGCCCCTAAAAACAAAACAAAACTTAGAACCTCCAATCTAGGACGTCTATGATGAACAGACTTGTGCCCGATAATTTAACCCTTACACCCCAAGTGCAAACATCCAAAACATTCACGTCAAAGCAGATATCGGAGGCTTTGCGACTCACGAGACACCTCCCTTTGACGCGGAAAAGCCCAATGGCGCTGTATATGGCGTCAAAGGGGTCCACATCTTGGGAGGCTTCAGTAAAGGCTCAGCCGCAGCTCGCTCAAGAAGATTTTACGCCGCCTGGCTGGAAATTGGTTGAGAAGGTGGAACCAAGTCCCGCCGACGACGGCAAAAAATCAGCTGGTGGCCTACTGTCATTTTTCGGTCGTAAACCTACGAAATCTATGTCTGACAGCGTGAATGTTGAACAATCAGCTCCGTCCAGTAAACCTCCCAGTAGGTCGGCTTCACCAAATCCCACGCAGGCAGGAGGAAGTTCGCCTCGAGGAAGCGTAGATAGCGCTAAATCTACTCCAGGAGTACTTCGAGGAGCAGTACCCTCTCCAACTCGTTTATCCTTCAGTTCAATAAAGGCTCCGGACCCTAACCCGATCGCCACACCAGAAGCTAACACAGGTGACCAAATCGAGGTTTCCTCTGATCCTGTTCCTCCGTCTGCAGTGTCACGATTCTTTGGTCGCTTCTCACGAACGGCGAAGACCCAGTCTTTATCCAATCCCCGGAACTCACTTGCCCTCTCTCAGGACGATCTTGAATTCTTATCAGACGTCATACCCAGTGCCCAGGACGACGTTGATCACCAAACACAGCTCGACACCCTTACAGACATGTTTGGTTCTTCACCCCTTCCAGGTACACTTCCCCCACCCTTGCCGCCTCCGCCTCGACTCCAGCAAAGCCGACCTTCATCGTCGTTGAGTTCCAGCGTAGTCTCTCCCTCTAAACCCAATAATGACGACATCATGTCCCTGTTCGGTCCCTCCTCACTCGATCGACAGTCCCCTGTCCCTGACCTTTTTGCGATAAGCCCGTCGAACAAAGAAATCGGCAATTCGTCTCTATCATCTGCAATACAGCCACTCCCCGTCAAGAATGCGATCCCACCCGCAGGTTCTAGTAACGTGCATTCGACTCCCACGAACGACACATGGCCCTCGTTCGATTTCTTACCGCCTGCTACAGCGAAACCTCAAAGCCATGTCCCACCAACTAAACGAAAGATTGCTGCTATTATGTCTCAAACGCCCTCAGCATCAGTACCCAACATCTCCGCGGGGCTAGTGCCCAACTTGCCTGGGAACTTACCATTTGCGAGTCCTCAACGTTTCGGAAAACCTACAGCCGTAGCCATCCCATTCCTTCCGCCACCTCCATCGTCGCGCTCTCACACTCCGCATCAACAACCTGCACCTGCTGCAAAATTAATCTTGGAAGACGATGACGACGATTTCTCGGATTTCTTGTCGTCCCCTTCCCAAGCCATCCTTCTGCCTCCGTCGTTTGGCTCAACCGCTACCTCTGTGTTTTCAGAACAATCCAGCCAGGCAGTATCTCAACACACCCTCGATGACTTCGATGCTCTCATTAAGCCCACAAAGACCTCCTCATTCCCTTCGCCACCTCCCACAAAGCCTCTACAGTTCAACCCTAGAATACCACCGAGCAAATCGCCACCTAGCAAATCACACACCCTGCATTCGGAAAAGAAACCATCAGCGTCTCCACCGCCCCAGCAAACCCCTGCGCGAAGGGTATCGCGAGCCGCTGATCACTCGCGGACTCTCAGCCTCTTGGAGACAGCCGCCGCACGGGGACGGTGGCTGGAACCTCCCTCGCCGCTTCCAGAAGCTTTACCGCCTCCGGGAGCTTCTGCCCACTCCCACAATCTTTTCTCCTCACAGTCGACGATGGAAGCGCAACAGGCTAAAGCAACAGCTAGTTTTGCACCTCCCCTTCTTCCTTCTCGGACACCTACCACTACGCAACCCTTCCCTTCATCCAATGGCAACTTCCTCCAGCCCATACCGACAATGCGGCCTTCCTCTGTCTCTCCAGCCCCACCACCAAGGACTGTGGGTTCTTCTGGGGCAAAAACTGGGGGATTGTCAGCACAGGACCTTTCTTTCTTCGAGGGATTATAATTTGTATTCTGTAATCTAATCAAATAATCTCTACACTAACTCACTCTTTCAGTACTATTTACCTGAATTTTGGATGTTAGTGCGATCCAAGTACAGATTTGACCCAGTGCATCGTTTGCGAGTTACCCCTCGAGATGTCGAGGTGACAGCGACGTAGACTACTTATAGGAGCTGACTTCATCTAATCTGTGTTATCTTGGGTCTTTCACGCTATGAGCCAGCGAGCTGCAAAAAAAGGGATGGGCATCTCAGTTTTGCATATTTGACGAATCCTTTCGTATATGTAAAATTGATGGATTGTAAAAAGTCTAGGGAATGGGGCCGATTCACAAAGCAAATTACATGTGGATAGGTTTCGAGTAAGCAGCCATAGCAGCCTCCTTAAAGGCCTCGCTGAGAGTGGGCTGCGGGCGGAGAGGTCAACTACGGTTTGGGGCACGAGACAGAATAAACGTACATGGGCATGGGTGGTCCTAGCGATGTCCTCAGAGCTAGCACCGTATTCGATGGCGAGAACACCTTCGGCAATCATCTCACCAGCGTTAGGGCCTGGAAAGATGCTCAGCCCCATATCTCAGGCAAAAAGAGGGGAAAAGACACACCAATAATATGTACTCCTAGGATTTTATCCGTTTCCTTTTCGGTGATGAATTTGACGAAACCATCCGTATCCAAGTTGGTCTTGGCCCTCGAGTTGGCCGCGAAGCTGAATTTGCCGATGTTGTACTGCACCCCAGCAGCCTTCAGCTCCTGCTCCGTCTTACCCACCCACGCAACCTCCGGATGGGTGTACACGACTGAAGGAATGGCATTGTAGTTAACGTGGCCGTGCCCTGTCTTCAAGAATTCGACAGCGGCAATCCCCTCTTCTTCTGCCTTGTGCGCCAACATGGGACCGAAGGTGACGTCCCCGATGCATTTGATGTTTTTGATGGATGTGTTGAACTGATCGTCAATGACAATACGGCCCTTGTTGTCCAACTCCACACCAATGGCTTCGAGGTTGAGGCCTTCTACGTATGGCCTACGACCGACAGCAACGAGAACAACGTCGGCCTCAAGCGTCTCTTCCTTACCTCCCTTTGCTGCTTCCGCCTGCAAATAAACCTTTCCATCTTTCTTCTCTGCGGAAAGAACTTTGGTGTTGAGCTTGAATTTGATTCCTTGTTTGCTGAGAAGGCGCTGGAATTGCTTACTAGCGTTCAACGTGAGCTTGTAAACTCCGTCGAGTGTTCATGGCACTCACGCAACCTCGTCATCAATGCCCGCACCACCAATAGCACCCAAGAACTCGACAACAGTAACTTCAGCACCAAGTCGACTCCACACGCTGCCCATCTCAAGGCCGATAATGCCACCACCAATGACAACCATCTTTTCTGGCACCTTTTGGAGTTCCAGTGCCCCTGTTGAGCTGACAATCTGCTTCTCGTCGATCTCAATCGCGCCGCCAGGGAACGGTGACACCTCGCTGCCCGTAGCAATGACGATGTTCTTCGCATCTACGTGGGTTTCGCCGCCTTCCAAAAGCTGGACGGCGATGCGCGTGGGGGATACGAAAGACCCCGCTCCCTTAATGTAATCGACTTTATTTTGGCGGAACAGGAGTTCGATACCCTTTGTAAGCCCAGTGACAGCGTTGTCTTTGGCTTCGAGCATTTTGGGAAGATTGAGTGAGACGCCCTCCACTATCAGAGTGACGTTAGGTAAGAAGGCGGACAGGACTGCGTGACTTACCGTCAATACCGCGTCGCTTCAGGTCGTGTTGGGTTTGGTGGTAAATATGGGAATTGTTGAGCATGGCTTTAGAAGGGATGCAGCCGACGTTTAAACATGTTCCGCCGAGGGCACCGCGCTTCTCTATACAAGCCGTCTATGAGGTTGATTAGTAATTGGAGGCGGAAGAAGGCCGAGGTAAACATGGGGGAAAAAAACGGATCCCGGGGGGGACTCTGCTCGTTAGGCTACACTCTCCAAGTGAACCACAAACGAGTTAGAGCTTGAGCCTGAATTGGCACTCTAGTTCGTTCCCTGTGAGAGCGGCCTCTGCTGAAAGAAAAAGCTTGCATCTGGACATGCTAGAAGATATCCAGTCATGAGGCGGAACTCCAATTAACGCTACTAGGGTCCCCTTCTTGGAGGAGGCCCGCCAATGCTCGCTAGCAACAGCGCAACCTCGCCCCACATGATCCGACGAATGTGCATACCTTCAAGCCCAACTGAGCAGCCTTTATAGCAGCTACGTATCCGCCCGGACCTATCCATCACAACTTAAACTTGTTCAAATCATTTCAACTTTGAAAACTACGCACCGCCGCCAATGACCACCACGTCATATGGGTCTGAAGCTGTTGCTAGACCGCGGTAAGATTGCCAGCTCCCAGAGCGCAGAGCACGCTTGCCAGCCCTGGGGAGGCTCTATATGAGAAATATTGAGTTCACCTTTGCCATGGAAAGCGACAACAGGCTTAATACCTTTTGTGCTATCCGTTGGACCTGAAGCATGGTGAGTGAACAGAAGCCGATGAAAGTGCTTGGAGAAGAGGACTTGGTCACGTGTGCTAAACCAGCCGATTTTACCCAAGCGGCTCAGTCACGACTCTAGATAAGATTACCAAAACTTTTTCATGGCAACAACGTCTATATCAAAGGCAGAGCAGTCTTATATTCAGACCGCTCTACTATCAGATCCTCCTTTGCGAACAGATGGACGTTCTCTACATGATTTTAGATCTGTAGCTCTGGAAACGGGCATTGCACCGCTGGCGAATGGTAGCGCACGTATCAGCATTGGACAGGACCCCCACGACGGGTCTGGGGGAACAGAAGTCTTAGCAGCTGCGAAAGTTGAGGTCGAAAGCGTAGAAGAAGGAGGGGTTGATGCTGGACGCGTCGTCTGCACAGTATCTTGGTAGGTCTTTCAATCCATCATCGCTCCCACAGGTATAGACTTAATTCCCAAGGCAGTTCTCCAGCAGCATATCCCCAGCTCGCCACGGCGGCTTTGGAGGACTTACAGTATGACATGACGACAATAGTTCACCAAACACTATCCCATCCATCGCTACACCCAAAGAATCTCCGAATTCTACCTGGCAAGAAATCTTGGCTACTCAATCTAGACCTCATCGTTTTGGCAGATTCTGGAAACATTTACGATGCCTTGTTCATGGCAGCTAGAGCGGCCCTATGGGATACCAAAATTCCACGGACGAGGGCTGTCGAGTACAAAGCGAGGAAAGGTGTTCCTGGATCAGCTGGTCTATCCGCTGCCGTTGGCAAAGTGGGTGGATCGGGTGATATGGACATTGATGAAGAGGCCCCCAGCGGGTTTGATACACGGCAGATTCAACACGCGACTGATTTTGAGCTTCCTGATTATTGGGACGAGGGAGAGGTGTTGGACGGGAGAGATATATGGCCTGTGTGCATCACTCTCAATTTGGTGCGTGTTGTGGAGCTCATACAAGGGTTGATTTACTGATGCTCTTAATTATAGGTTCCCCCTGTGCATTTCCTAGACGCCATTTTGCGAGAAGAGGCCGCCGCCCCGCTGAAAATCTTACTGATCTATTCCTTCCCCCCGTCGGAAAAGCCGAGGGTGCAGGGTATGCGCATGCTTGGCCCCGGCGAGCTGACCCTTGAACAAATCAAAGATCTTGTCAACGTATGCATCCTTCTTCTGGAGTGCCGTTGGTTGCTAACTTGATTGCTCCAGAGAGGGGAGCACTACGCACGCGATGTTTTTACGGCTCTTCATACCAAATTGAAGGATGAAGACGTGAGACGAAATCAAAAGGCAAGGGAAAAGTTTGAAAGGAGATGAACCACGTACCTCTATCGTTCCATCGAACCATTGATCAGATGTTTTCCTTGCTCGCGTCAAGCTGAGTTGTTGCTGTCTTAATTTCGGACCGACGCAAAGGTCTCCTTCAAGTTGACCATTAGATTCTCTAAGATTGCTCAGTTGCGTCATCTTGATAAACCAACTAACAGAATTATGTGCCAGACGAATTCGAAGATGTGTCTTCTACGATGGGGATTTCATCGTGTTCGTCACCACAAAGCCAACCAGCTTGTCATACCCACAACATCGTACTCGCTGTTACGACACGACTCCTGCCTTGCCAGGGTGACAGTTCCTCGTCCGCCCTGCTCCCATTGCATCACCGACTGATGGCAGTTCACGATCATTGGGTAACTTTCCGTTCTATGTTTGTTCAGGGTTTGATATTTCTGAACCCCGAGCATCGGACACCTCCGACGGCGAGCACAATACTTCTACGCCAAAAAAATGGATATTCGCAAAAAAAGGTTTTTCTACTCCACTTCCTTCCCAGATCCGCGTTATCTTCCATTTTATCAATTTGACAGAAAGCGGCCGAGATCGTCCCAGGTTTTGCCAATTTTTATCCGGACAACAGTAGGCACCAATGCCTGTCATTCAGGCATCCGTAGGCGTCTAAACTTCCTTACTTATTGTACTAGAACCAGGTCGAATGTTGGTGAGCGTTCGTAATCCGATTACAGAGTATGTACTTGTGTTTAATTGTGAAGAGACAACACAGGTGTGAAAAGCTGACGAGTCGGGGTTGATCTCACTATGCAGGTAAAAAAGGTCGAAAGTCAACCTATCTTTTCAACGTGATGTAGGTCAAAATTCACGGGTCCTCACAAGGTGGCACAGTCACTTTTTGAGGGTCCGCAGAGAAGTTGACTCGTTAAGTACCCATTTGCGTCACAATGACAGGTCAGTTGTCCTTAGTATGCTGCCAGGGATAGTCTAATTTTTTGTCCACCTACATACATCCACCTACAACCCCTGTACATAGTACACATGAGAAGAAGAGGTTAAACACCATACCTCATTTGCTCCACTCCATGTATATCTCGCCTACTATTGTTGACGTGTTGTGTGCGATGAATCAAGCCCAAAAGGAGGAGGGGATACACGGGTTTGTTGTTCCGGATCCGTGTTTCCGCGATAGTTCTCCCTTGAGCTCAAGAAAAGATCTTGGAGGACCCACATTACAATGGGGAAGTTGTGTGCATTCTACAAAACAAAGCGCTATAGCGCTGCGCGATGGTATGGAACGGAGACGCATTATTGACGAAACACCTTGGAGCTGTAGCGCTCGGAATTTGGACTGAGCCCTACGAATTAGGCTGCTGATGTCGGCGAACGCGGAAGGCTGTGTGGCGTGTTACATGTTGACACTGGTTCATCGTTTCACTGATTGTTACTTTACTGAAGGGTCCTCGTGTAGGGTGAGTTGGTCGAGAAGTTGAGAGCGTCATCCGTAGATTGTTGGTATGTTGCCAGAGTGGGGCTGACAGATGTTGCAGATTGTTGCTATTCCCGAAAAGGACAGGAAGTTTCTTAAAATGGACGAGATGCGGCACAGCCTCGTTTGATCCCTGTTGTTTGGTCCAAGTTTGTTCCGCGAATAATGGCGATGATCACATGGATTGTTTTTCCAAGATACTTATAGGCTGGTTCCTTACTAACCCTGTCCTTGACGGCTTTATCTTTTCTCAAGGCAATCAACAGTCTGGCACTGTTACCCTCTATCCATCGACATAGCACTGATGTTCAGAGCAAACTACCCCGACCTAGATGTCTTGGACTCGCCCTTGATCTCTCCACTGCCAACCTCGGTGGGAGGTCTTCCAGGGAGCGCCCTTGCAGAAAGGATCTTTAATGATCCCCGCTCATGGGAGGATGGAGCTTTGGAGTTGGACGGTATTGGAGGAGATCCTATGGCATGGTTTCAGGAGGAGATTGACAAGTTCAGAGCGAACAGCGCTGGGCTTCCCGACGCTGCTATGGGGCCTCACTATGATGACGATTTCCCCGAAAAAGTCAGGTGGATGCAAACCCCGGTCTCTGCGATTCCCAAAAGTTTGCAGCTTAAGGGTATGAGACGCAGTGTGCGACCCATCTCACTAGCAGCACTCTTCGAACAATCGGGTGACAGGTTCAGCAAAGACCTACAGAAACAGATGACGAAAATTTTGGAGCCTGGGTCGTCACACTCACCGGCGCTCTCTCCCCCTTCAACGGGGAGCAGCGCGACGACAGCTTCCAGCACGATGTCTCCTCTTCGCGTCCAAACCACGGTCGGCGCCCGTCCAGATATCATATCGCCCTCACCCATCACCATCTACTCCGCCTCAGCTACCCTCAGCTTCCTCGAGTGGTATGGCATTTATCCCGGGGTCTCACCACGTCGCGCATCCTCTCTCGTTAGCCCTAACTCCAAAATCGCTTTCGACGTTCCAAAACGAGGCTCTTCCGTTCCCCCTCCGAATGCAGAACCTGAGAAGGTAATTGAAAGACCAACGACGCCCCCAGGTCTTTCACGTGCCTCGTCGTCGCTATCCCTCCCTAAGCCTCTCCCTACCGAGCCTTTGCACTTACGGCGCCCATCAGTGGAAGCTGATCCATCACAATTTCTCAGACCGTCGTTGGAAACTAACGCGCCAGATTCTCGCAGGCCATCAATAGAATCTGACGCATCACATTCTCGACGACCCTCTTTTGAAAATGTTCTCACACCATCGGCTCCACCGAGCTACCCTAGGTCTCCATCCCCCGCCTACTCCCTTCTAGCCCCATCAACATCTACTACACCAGCTAGGGCTGGTCCCTCTACCAGCGAATCACAGCCGTCGAGGTCCACAACGCCGATCCGCCGTCTCCCATCAATACCCAACACTCGTTCAATAACACCTCCAATTATTGACGGTCGACGCCCTTCGTTGCCTACACTTCCCTCATCAGTGTCGCAGAGCTTGTCGCTGCCCAGTAGCCCTGATCCTGCTACTGCTAATCGCCCATTGTCAGCGGTGCGATCACCACTAGGTGGCCCCATAGGCCCTCGTTCACGAGCGAACACTGGTCCAAAGCACCATACACGCACTCCGTCGCTGGCCAAGTCGTCGTCTCTTTCCCATAGACCGCCTGTTCTCCGACTTTGAGAGAGATTGGCTTCAAGTTCTTTTGACCCGTTACTGCGCATGTTAGATTTGTATTTACGGCGCTACTGTATATTCGTGCTTTGTGGACACTTTTCTTCGACCTTCGCTTGCTTCCCGTGACATGACTAGCATTCCTTCCTCATCAATGATCAGTATTTAGCTATTTAGCATATCTCACTATGTAATTCCAATCGATGTTGTTTGATGTATGTGCATACTACACAAGTGCGATGTTGGCGCTGTTCGGTCAACAGCACCAACAACATGCCAAGTAATATTTCATCAGAGGCAGGGTTTCATAGGTAACCACGGTACTACCGTGCGCATGGTCGATAAACCATTCCGACGCCTCTTGGCGAGAATATCATAAAGGGACTGAGAGGCCAAGTAGCCGGAGACGCATCGCCGGGAGTTATGACCGCAGTGGCAAGCGTGTCATTGGAAACTGTTGGTAGTGATCTTGCTTAGATGGCAAATGGAGGATCGGTGATTATGGCAGACATGGTGGCAGCCCCATTACATTCTAGGATGTACTTGGGTGCGAGCTGATTTAAAATACTTCGCTGCCCAGCCAAACAACGTTCAAACCCAATTTTTATGATTAGTAGTAACTGTACAGTGGGATATCGAGAGGAAAAAGGTCCACTAAGTCCAATGTTAGTCTTGTCTTCCATTAGACACACACTACCGTCCATACAAAATATCAAAAATTCCAGATAACGTTGATGGTTTGCCAGCAGGAGTGGCAGCCGGTTGCTGCTGGGTTTGGGATGGAGGAGGCTCTGGTATTTCCCGAGGTGGATGGTCTCCCACCGACCGATAAGGAACGTATGATGTTGGTACAATGCCCGTTCTGGAAGGACCTGGGGTCGAAAGAACGGAGGGTGTGAAGAGGGGTGTTGATGAACTGGGAGTGTGAGAGTTAGGGATTCGTGAGTTTGGTTTCGTGGGTTGGACGGAAGGAGGAGGCGAGGGGCGCTCAGTTTTGCCTGGCAGATTTTTGCCTTGGCTAGAAGAGGGGGGTGATCGGCCAGGCCTAACGAGTTTGCCAGGTCGAGACGACGATGCTGGTGGCGAGGATGACCTGGGGGGAGGGGGCACTGGTCGAGGAGACGCTGCTGGTGGTCGGACTGGTGTGTACAGCCGCAAGAGGAGGAAAAGTGAGGTTCGAATAGGTCAATCAGGGACCAGGGGTATTTGGTAAGATATCAATTCCACCAACCCTTTTTCCCATCTTTGGTGGTTTTGTCCTGTGGGGTGCTAGCTTTTGGCTGTAGCTCCGGCATCGAAATCTTGCTTAAATGGATGGTGAGGCTATTTGGCGGGGTGTACTTGTTCTTGTTCTTGCCATCATCGTCAAGGTTGATGCGTCTTGGACCTTTCTTTGATTGTATGGTATCATAAAGCACATATTGATGTAATTCTTCTTCTTCGGATAGCCCTAAAGTGTGTCAGTTTTGAGTTTCAAGTAGGAATCGAAAATTCAGGAAACAACGAACCGGCTTTGTGACGAATACGCTTCGTTTCTTCTACAACTTGAAGAACTTTGGGTACATGTTCAGCTTCGTCAGACTTGACAGTGATGAACAGCATGGCATCATCCTACAATATATATCAGCATTATTGTAGTACGGAAAAACAAAAACCGCACCTGAAGAAGATTACTACAATATTGGGCATAATCCTGGACACTTCCTTCATCATCGATTGTTATCTCATTGTAGTCTCCCTTGATGGCTTGCAACTCAGCAATCCTATCAATCCCAGTTTTTGGTGCGGGTTTTGGCGGTGGCATCGGTGGTCGATCGTCCATCGTCATTACAACGGGATGGGGAACAGGGGCGACTCCGGATACTTTCCTTGACAATGCTGGCGTTGACTCATGCGATCCCTCTGGGGTATGAAGGGTCTCGTTGGCATCCTGGAAGGTGAGTAGAGCAGTTAAAATGACAATCTCTAGACCCTTCCGGTCGTCGATATCGAATCTGTTTGCATAGGGATAGGAGTTAGCTATGGTAAATGCATATGGTGGGAGCCTCACCGATTCAAGTTGTAATCCAGAATTTGTACCGATGTGCTCTTCAAGCGACCAGTGGTCTCTTTTGTAATTGCAACAAGAACGGGAGGGTCTGGCTTCCGAAGCAAGAAGCATTGTTCGCGCTTCCATTCGAATTCGTGGCTGTTATTGATGGAGTTGTAAATCTTTGCTCGAAGCAATAAATGGATAAACACACTCTTCCCACTTGAACCCCCACTTGAAGGAAAGAGTACCTGTGTACTTGATTTCTACGACCAAAGTCGGATTGCAGAGTTCCAAAATCTTTGCTTTACTTGTCGCCGACGGGGCAGATGCTGTTATAAGCAAGGATTCTGACATCGGATCTTCGACGATAGCTTAATTTCTGGTGCGTTCAATGACCAATATAAACACGTACCGTACACCTCTGCTTTATATTCTGGAATGCCAAGTATTCTCTGTTTCCGATAGTGGACAACGCCAGATGGGTCGACAAGGTCCACGACATGAGGATGATCCTTGTGTTGGGTGAGGTGAAGAGTGAAGAGGTTCTGGTCCAAGCTCATCGTATGCCGACGTAGCTACAAATTCTAAAGGTATGCTGAGGCTTCTCTGGACTGCGGCGAGTAATATAGGCTTGTACACCCGCGACGCATAGCGGTTGCATAGCTTGCATAGCCCGCAAACCATTATTGGCGCTTATATAATATCAAAAATTAAACGGAATTTCCATTCTAAATACGAAGGTCTATAGCGTCCAATTTAACAGCGTCGTATGGAATCCTATTTTCATGATCACGAAAGTTGGATTCAACCGTTACATCCAACTCACCAATGACCAACATCAACCAATCTGTCTACCGGGAACGATTGATTACTTTCCACCAGTGGTGCCCATTCCCATAACCGATTTGAATGAATCATAGATCCACCATTGGAAGCCAGTTAAAGTACCTAAAAGGAATGAGCGATGTGGACGTAGCTGACGGTGGAAGAAGACATACCAATCATGATAACCCTGGTGCCGAGACCCTTCGTGGCAAGAGACGCGAAGCCCACCTCGTTGGCAATGGTGCCGATTGATTTACCCTTGTTTTCTGCCTTTCCGAGGAGGGAAACAAGGGAGTCGGCGGGATGTGAAACGATGGCGCAGACAACACCAGCCAAGTAACCTGACGCGAACGTAACGCCAAGCTGGGTGGTCTTGGCATAAGAATCTTTGGGTTCGGTGAAGACGTGGGTGTAGAAGATTGAGACAATTTTTTCGAAGAAGAAGAATTTGGCCATGGTATAAGGTATCTGAAGTAATTTTTAGATCGAGGGTCAAAAAGAGAGAGGATGGGTATTACCTGACGAGACCATAGAGGAACGAGGGAGCCGAAGGGGAAACGGGTTTCAGCCTTTGTTCTCCTCATCTCAGCGAGAGCAGCGCCGAAACCGATAGGGAAAGAGGCGTTTTGACTGGTTTGAATCTTGACTTTTGTCATTTCGAGGGGGCACAGAGCGATATCGGCGAAGACTTCGGCAGAGGCGGAACCAGCAAGCCAGATGGCAGGCTTGTATTTCTCGGTCAATTCTTCGCCGGCGAGGTTCATGTAGTAATCCTTGAAAATCTCATAGAGACCATACTTGAACATTCCTTGAAGAGAGTAGCCGACGAAGGTAGGTCCGAAGCCTTTCCAGATACCGTTGGCACCCTCTTCAGCGACAAGGGTCCTCAACCCCACCCCGAGACCAGTGTATTTCTTAGGGTTGACCTGAGCAGAAGAAAGGTCAGGAAGAATAAAACCGGGTGAATTTTGGACTCGCCTGCATATTACATTTTGCAACATCGAGAGGAGTGATACCGGCGTGAGTGACACCACAAGCAAGAATGCCGCCAAGCATGCATTTGCTGTAGTACGAGAAGTCGTGAGGAACAGGGCCGAGATACCTTGAAAATATTGAGATTCATGCTGGAAAAAGAGGGAAATTGGTAATACCTAGCGTCCCATTTACCAGAGGGAGAGACGGCCATTAGAATTCTAAGGATGTGGTGGGAAGAAAGAAAGAAGGGATGAAGGGGAACGGTGGTGGCTCTGTCGAGATGACGGAGAAGAACGAAGTGACCAAAAAGTGAACAGCGCCTGTCGAAATTTTGTGGCATTCAACCGGCTCCTTCCGTACCAATCCGGTTACGCACATTTTTCGGCCCGTAGTTGTAGAGAAAATATAAATAAAAACAAACACTTAGCTACCCGGCTTACTACTGTGTCACGGATTTTTCGCTTTTATTATAAAGCGCATTCACAATGATTAGTGTCTAATGGCACCCGTCGCATCTACCCCCAAGTCCAACTCCTTTTCAGCCCCCCTTAAGTCTACCACGGCGACATGGCGGCCGATCCAGATACCCAACCCACCCAAACGCACATCGTTTGCGTTTGATCCAATCGAAGAAGCTCTTGCCAGCTTTTCCGCTGGGGAGTTTCTTGTCGTCATGGACGATGAGAAAAGGGAAAATGAGGGTGATCTCATTATCTCAGCCAGCCAATGCACTACGGAAAAGATGGCTTGGATGATCAAGCATACAAGGTGTCGTCTCAAATTACTCGGCGTTGTGCTCGGCTGACATGTGAATATTTCTGGCAGTGGGTACATCTGCATTGCATTACCCGCAAATCGGCTAGAGACCCTGGAAATCCCTATGATGGTTCCACAGAACCAAGAGCGCCATCGGACGGCGTACACTGTCACAGTAGATTTAAAACATGGTACCCCATATCATAATTCTCCTTCACTTCACTTGGAACTTACTGTTGGGTCTAGGAACATCAACTGGAATATCCGCCCATGACCGCGCCTTAACGGCCCGAGCGTTGGCCTCACCTGCTTCTAAACCAGATGATTTCACCCGTCCTGGGCATATGGTGCCGCTACGTTCACGAGAGGGAGGGGTGCTCACACGACAAGGCCACACAGAAAGCGGTGTCGATCTCTGTCTCCTTACTGGTCAACCTCCAGCTGGCGTTCTTTGCGAGCTAGTAAACGACGACGCGCAAGGCACTATGGCAAGAAGAGATGATTGCAGAGCGTTCGCAGATCGGTGGGGCCTCAAAATGATAAGCGTGGAGATGTTGGTCAACTGGAGAAGGCAGTATCCTATCACCAATGGTATTGCGCATTAGAAATCATAACATGGAAAGGCTTTTGTGCAGACGTTTATATATTAACTGTTTCACTCATCTTTCCATCCCTTTCAGCTAGTCGAGATCTTCTTCACCGCTGAGCGAAATTTCTTGCTGAAGTATTTCGCCAGGTTAGAAGGTGTCTTTCCGATCGAGTATCCAACCTAACAAGAAGTACTGCCATCAGCATTGGCAAATTGGCCAAGGAATTGACCCGCCTTGACATATGTTTCGATGGGTCTTTTGGAGTTGTCAACCAGATCCTGGTCGAACCTACAAGGAAGAGTCAATTTGGCTCCCAGATCAAAATTGTGAAATGAGCGTCTCCTCACTTTATGACGCCTTTCGGGTAAACGGTGACAACGGTACTTCCCCCATACGCAAAATATCTGCCAACAAGCGTGAAGGGGTGAATGTTCACGCAAAGAAGATATGTTACCCAAGCTCCTCTCCGCGTTTAACGGTTGAACCCTTCTCATTCCCCCCTGTCCACTTGATGCTTCCTACTAGAAGCGCTCCAATAGCCACGAAGGCAACAGGGAGGCCCGTCTCGACGTGGGTCATATACAGAACCGAGCGGGAGTTAGCAGTGAACACGTTGAACCCCTTCTCATTAACGGCTTGAGGGTTGACTATCAACAGGATAGTTCATCAGGTTCAACTTCGGCAAAGACCACGAAAAGCCCACCTACCTGTGTAAAACTGGCCTGGCACATGATCAATCTCTCCAACAACGCCATCAATGGGAGAATGAAAACGATGATAATCCGCTGGGGCAAGGCGGAAGATGGCGAGACTCGCGTCGCGAAAGGGTGCGACTTTCGGAGAATCAGCTGGAACATTTAGGAGATTTGGGATGTTGAATTCGGAGCCTTTGATCCTAACCATTTCCATTTAGGATCAACGGGGCCTGGAGATTAAACGTCGGCCTTACCAGAACTGGCGTGCAAGATCCACGGTTTGGTATACTGTGAGGCGAGAATCAGCTGCGCTGCAGATTCTGAGCGGATCTTCCTTGTTCTCGACTGGCCGGGCGTCCGGGAGGAGTTTCCTGTTCGTTAGTTGAATGCCGTTCCACAAGAGTGAGAAGGCGAAACCGACTAATACGAACCGGGCGAAGAAATCATTGAAGTTCTTATATTTTGTAAGATCTGGCTGAAGCAGCTCATCCGTCTGGATAGCATATGTCTTCACAAATGAAGGGATTGACGCGACAGACTTTGGGCTGTCAAAGGTTCTACCTTGCTATTCAAAACGTCAAAATATATCAATGGGAGGAGGCGAACTCTATGCCACCCCCACCTTCTCAGTCTGATCGCGCAGGAAAGTCTCAACAGATTTCGTTCCCAGTATCTTCACCTGTTCTTTACCATAAAATAAAAGGTGCATTCCGATCCTGATTTCTTCTAGTTAGCTCCAGGTGCCATAATCTCTCTACGCGTCCACTTACCTGGTATACAACGGCATGGACTCGAAGAAGTCCTCGTTCTTCCCCCGTAGAGCTACAAAGTTACCAATGTGATACTCCGCGGCAAGCTTCTCAATTCCTGGAATCAACTTGGTTATCCACCGCATCTTCGCGACCTCGCGAAAGGGGAGATGAATGTGGTGCGAAACGTCGTGATTAGTGTCTGAGTGCTCGACGACCTGGACGAGGGCATTTGCAAAGTCATCCTTCGTTGCCTCGGGCAGGTTATCGGGGTGAATTGTCTCGATTGGCTTATCCAATGGTTCACTCATGTCACTGTGGTAGTTATGTATGGGGCTGGTTGAAAGGGCGAGGAAAGGGGCACTCGTGTTTGTTCTTATGATCGACTGTCATCTATAAATAACTATGATTGCGTGCCATCGCAAGCTACCCCACATTCTAGAAAAAGTCGAGAGCTCCAATTATTACGATGCACAATGCACTGAAAAACACCGATTGAGAAACACCGACCGATGCGCGCTCCGAGTCATCCGCACCGCACCCACCAATTTCCTGGTGTTGCCACCTTCCCAAAACCAAAAAGCCGAACCTTCTGATTCAACTCTCTGAAGAAAATTACACATTATATATTCCATTAATGATATAGTACTCGAGTACATGCCAGGAGTCCGAACTTGATTGCAATGGTGTACAGAGGAGCTGAAATATCCCTCATCTAGAGCGGTGGTAACGGCCGACGACATTGAGGACAGATGTTCTGTGTCAGTTGAAATTAAGCTAAGGCACCTGCATTGAACTAGAGCAATTTACCTTGATAGCCAGCCACTGGTGAATGATACAAAACGATTAACAAGTGTCATAAATCATGAAAGTGCAATAGCGTACCTTTTCAAGGCAATCTGTATGCTGATAGAGGTAGAGGTAGCAAGGGGTCAGTTTACTTGCGAAGTTAAGAAACGACTCACAAATAAGTGATGGCAAGGAGCAAGACTGTAACTTTTCCTCGCCGCAACTCCCCCAACTCCCATGTGCATCGCATTGAACAAACCTCCCTTTCCTTTCCGTCCAGCTGCAGTGTTCCCTTTTTCTTCCCAGTCCCCCCTTGCATCTAGTGATTTGGAACGTCGCCGTAATGGCGAAGTAATGATGATATCTTCCATGCAGATAGAACAATCTCCCAAAGATTGTTCTGGGGATTCAAAGTCTGGAAGTGGCATTGGAGGGTGATAGTCATACAGCTGCGCTACAGTAAACTGAGGACATGTCTTAGTCAACTGTAAGAACGACAAGGGACAAGAAACGAACCCGTCTTGGAAGGAAGAAGGACGGGCCAAAGGTGTCTTGCAGCATTAGTACAAGTGCTTGAAGAACGACAAATGCAGCCAAAATATACGACCAAGCTTTTAGAGGTTTAAGGAGAGAGGAGAACTGTCAGAAGATAAGGACCTACAGCGGGGTTCGACTTCCAATACATTTCTTGGACAAGCCAAGAAATCTTGAGCATGTCAATAAACGTGTTACGCGAGTTTCTGATCACTCACAAAGTGCGTTGAAAAGGCGGCAGATGGTCGTCCCAATTATATACTCCTTCGCCAAGCCACTGGGACGTCCACGACGGGCAGTTCTAATAATCTGCGGAAGCCAGATAGAGGAGTACGTGATAGCGACAAATATCATTGATAGAGTTGGCGAAAGTATAACCCGGACTATCAGTGTCAAGAAAATGAAAAGGGTAATATCTGGATGCAAAAATGAGCTGCGGAGGGCCATACATTTGAATATACATACAGAGTCTAGCTTGAGGATCAGTACGAGCGTGATGGATGAAGAAAGCAAAAAAGGAAGACTGAGTTGCGGCAGGAATTGGTTGAGGGAGCGGATTCGGCATGGCGGCTACTGGAGGCACGGCATCGATGGGAGGGGCAGCTGGCAAGGCAGCGGGTGCCGGCTGAGATGGAGGGGAAAAGTTCTCTGATCCTTGGATAGAATTCACAAGGGTAAAGAATTGCTAAATAAACACCAATCAATCTGGAGGAACACGGTTTGCGAGAGATGGCATACGGCTTGCTGAATAAATAAAGCACACGCTAAGAAAGCTGGAGCAATAAGTGTCAAAGAGGGTCTGCCTTCCGCGAGTATAGCAAAGGTGATGTGGCCTGCAAACGATACCGAGTCCATAGTAGATTGGGCTAAAAACGTCCAACGCGAAACACGGGAGATGCCTGAGGGCGTGCGGCTCCGCTCTACCTGACGAGCGAAGAGGGACAAGATTGCAAGATAGACCAAACCAGACAATCCAGCATCTAAAGAAATGAGCACCACACCTACAGGGGTCGGTGGGACTTACATGTAGTGACCTTGCGGAAGAAAGCGGATGAACTGAACAAATTCGTTCATTTCAGCGTCAAGAAATATCGATTTCAAAACAGACCTGAGGCCTTCCGAGTCCGTGATGACGTACAACAGACCACATTCCTTGCTCACCAGCACACCATTAACAGAAAGTTTAGGTGGGATGACGGTCGAGATACCCGTTGGATTTTGAATTTCTTCTTCCAACTCTTTCATTAGCTGTTCTGGAACGGCTACCGGGTTTATTTGACCATGAAATGTGAAGGAACAAGCCGATTTCGGGGATTCATCTGTTGAGTGGGAGTTTAGCAAGCTGAGGGGGACCTAAACAAGAGAAGTTTTGAATAAACGGACCACCGGAGGTTTCCTGCTCAACAACGCCAGCATCAATCAGATTTCTGAGCTTATTGATTCGCGCCTTGAGTTCCGGTTCAATAATTGGTGCAGTTTCATTTCTTGCAGACTCTGGAACGAGGGAAGGGAGCAGTCTTATGTCGATGTGGCCTCTAGAAAAAGACATCTGGAGAGGAAGTGATCCATAAAAACAACAACATACCCTCCTGGAGCTGCGAACCCATAGATTGTACCATTTGCAAGGAAATGAACCCCCTCAAATTCCAAGCGAAAGTCATCCAATGTCAAAGCATCTGTCAGCTCTATCTTCCCCTGAGAATTGAATGAGTGGTCGTGATTAGATGCGCAAACGTCTCGCTACACACATGGACCAAAGCAATTTGACTAGCAGCTGTTGTAGGTGAATTCTTTTCCACTACGCTAAACGCCAGCTTGTTGCAGGCTGTCCAGTTCCAAGACCCCAGTCTTTCTTGAAGCCCTGTCATGTTTGTGTCCGCTATGTAGGCTTCCGCCAAGGGGCGCCATTTCAGTGTGTCGCTCTCTGCCAGAGCCGATGGAGTAATATTATGAAACTGTGTCTTCGCGTGTACAAATCCAGTGAGATTTGAATAGTAAGCATAATTTGCCGGGTCGACGATGCCACCTTGCGTATAGAATGCATCCAGGAGGGGCGACAAAGTGACATCTCGTAACGGCTGCAGTTGAATCAGTACAAGAGTCTTGAGGCGTAAATTTAGACCAACCACAGAAAAGTTTGAGGCAGTCCCATTCATCCACGCTGTGTAATTGGAGAGTTGGTATGAGAGGGATCGAAGTGCATCCTGGTATTGGTGTCGTGCGAGAAATTCATCACCATTATGGCTTGTGAGCATGAACAGCAAGAAACTGATAAAGAGAAATGAAGGCACTGAACTACGTGGCTGTTGTGCTTGCGCATTTTCAGGTAGACCAGCTTCCTCATCGCGAGCAGCATCCATAATGATACTTGTCACACGCACGGGTCACACACAAAGTTACGTCACACAACGCGACTTGAATTGGTAAACATCAGTAAATATCGCGCTCATGTTCAATCAATCTGGCAGTCGACGTTGGACGCACTTTCACTCTGCACTCCAGCTTGCAGTACAGAGATCGGCGCACAAGTGGTCGTAGGTAATTATTCCAATTATTTCGACGCCTCTAACTTTGCTACTTAGGTTCGAGGATTTCTCAGAATGCTTTCCACTCTACGTTGAAGAAGACAAGAACGGTTCTTCAGCAACGTTTAACAGCATATCAGACTACATAGAGGCCCAAAATTTTGTATGTGCGTTGTTGTACCAGAAGACTTGCCGCAACACGGTTCACATTCATTCAACAGAGAGACCTTGATAAACTCTTCAAGGACTACAATGTGCAGGAGAATATTGATGTTCTACACAAACTTGTAACAGACGCCAAGGAGAGGAAGACCCACGAAGAACTTGGGAAAGACGTTTGGAAGGAGGATCTCGAACCCCGCGTCGCCGTATGCGCCAGAACAATACCAATCTTAGACGCCGAGGTCAAAAGATTACGCGAGCGATTGGCGAAGGCGCGTGCCAATTCGTTTGATTATCAGTATGAGTCAACCAACCACAGAAAAAACGCGTCTAGGCCAAAGACAACAATAGCTTAATACAGGTTCAGCTGGATGAAAATGTGAAGGCAACTGATGAGGCGAACGCATGCGCATTGGAGATCTTGGATAGCCTTGACGACGTATGCAAACTTTTTCATTTAAGATTCAAGGTTCTGAATTTCAGACAGGTTTGCGAAGAATGGCAGAAGTTACCACTGAATGAAGTTGAGGCTTGGACTGTGCAAACCGCAGAGTCGTTGAACCCAATTTTGCGATCATGAGATAGTATTTGATTTCGTCAATTCCTCTCTTTTCTTTCTTCCATATATATTTCCAAATTACCAGTGGAGATCTTCTCTGTGCCGCTTCGTCGTTTAAGTAATCGGGTTGACCACGACCCTTTGTATCATCATCCTTGTGACCAATAAACCTTGTAGTATCTCATGACCACCATAGGTCTACACTTTCCTTATAAAATGTTTCTTAATTGAGGGCTTAAGGATGCCTATAAGGTTTCTAAATTCTCAAAAGACACAGGAATGTTCGCTGCCATATTACGAGAAGGGGTATCGGTTTTCACTCCAGTAGCAGCCGTAATATAGGAATAGTTAAGCACAGAATTCTCAGACACGAGGTGGAACACCCAAATCATCACCGCCAGTTGTCATCGAGACCTGGCGACGATATTCGCGGGCAAGCGGAGTTAGACAACGCAAACGATCCTCGCTATGATGATGGGGGCAGTTGACGATTGAGCCGTAATTGCGGTTGCCAGCTACCCAGGGATACGTGATGAATGCTAACAAGGACGAGATCTTCTAATTTGATGTGGTTGGCACCAGTACCAACTTTCCAGCGTGGATCGCTGTCATCCTCGAGGCTCTGATTTTTTCTTTCCTGCGTAAAGGTTTGAATTTAAAATAATATACAGATCAAGAACACTGAAACCTACCTCGATAAAACGTTGAACGCACTTGGCCACGTTTTTAGCCAGCTTGGCAATGGTGATAGGACCAGGGGGGGTACGAAAGTCCTTGGTCGGTATCTGCCTGCTCCATTGACGATATCCAGGCCACTAAGACAGACAACGGTGAGCAAATCACGTTTCTAAATCGTATAACCCGCATACCTCGAGCCGAATGGAAACACTTGGGCCGCGACCCTCAAAGACTAATTGATCACGATTCTGAAGTCTCTTGACGCGGGAATGAAGGGCATCAGATAAGAGGATTCCGAATTCAGAGGGGTGATCCATGGAGAAGTAGATGGGAGCTTCAAGCTCAATTTCTTCCACGTAGCGCTTTCGGTCGCTGTTCGTATGAGGCTTGTACATTGGTTGGGGGACAAATGGGCCATAAGCGCGCATCGGGAAGTCTAGGACTGCGCGAAAAAATTCTAGTTGTTCGCGATGGCTGTACAATCTCTTCCCGGAATTCTGTATTTTTTGTAAAAAAAAAGTTGGTCAATGTCCCTCAGCCCCCAAGACCAAGGCGAAAGTAACGCACAGGTTGCAAGGAAGGTTGAATATTCAGGGCGCTTGTCGACGCAAAAGAACTGGAACTTGCGGGGGTTGTAGGGGTAGAAGAGGTGTAGGATGGTGAGAGCTGCTCGTTGGAACCAGCCGACGTTTGGTTGATTGGTGTCTGCGGCTGGGGATGAGAATAGTTGGGGCTTTGTCCTGAGTACGTAGTGCTTGGCCCCGAAAATGTGGGACTTTGCCCCGAATACGTAGGACTCGTTGCCGTATAGGTAGAGCTTTGCGATGGGTAGGTAGGCATTTGTGGCGGAGGAGCCTGGGGATAGTTCTGCGTTCTTGGATACGCGGGAAGGTCCCGTAGAGATTCGCTTGATGGGGTATAGGATTGGGTCCAGACCTCATTATCGTATTGAAGTGGGACAGCTGGTCCAAGGTTGAGGCTTGGATCGAATCCGTTGGGAGCAGGTGACCAAAAGAAATCCTGGTTTGGCTGGGTGTTGGTATTGAGAGTGTAGGAGGGATGGTTGGTTGTGCCATCACTAGAAATTATTAGACGACCACCCTGAGAACCGCTTGGCTAGTGGGATTTTGTTGGGCATATTGCCGTAATCTGAAATTTATGAGACTTACCATGGAATTGTTTGGCACTGGGGGGACGGAAGACGCTGACAGGTAAGGCGAAGATATGTTCGACTGAGAATGGGTATGAAGGGGGTAGGGGGGGTGGTCGGGTTGGTCATTGCCAGACATGGCTAAACGACCAGCCTGAGAGCCATTCGGCTAGTAGGGGTTGTTAAGTCACGTAACAGTGACGGGAAATTGTAGACTTACAAGTGAACTGCTTGGCATGAATCGGGGCAAAGAGGACGTTGACTGGTAAGACGAAGACAGGTGCTGGTTGGACCAAAAGCTAGGTGACCCAAGTACGCGAGGTGTTGGGTAAGAGTACGATAATTGGTGGTAGTGACTGTAGTTATAATCAAACTGGGTGCTGTGGTGCTGTCCGTTGATGACTCACTGTTTTGGATTGGGTATTGTCGACATGGTGAAAAATAGTGACACCTATGAGGAGGAAAGGGCGAGTAAAACAATGGACAAGGTATATATCGTCACAGCTTCGTTTTACCTGCACACCAGTTTATCTACCAAGAAAGACCGAAAGCCAAGGAACAGATCGGTTCAAGCAAAAGGTGTAAACCATGATCCTTAACTTGTTCACGGACGTCCCATTGAAGACTCAACATTACCCAGCCTCCGAATTTTCGAATGTTCTTTTAGAAGGCCTGTCACAACGACAAAATGGAGAAACATGTGAACTTGATTGGGAAAGGGCCCGGAACCCAAGGCGCACAGGTCGCAAGGCTGCGTAGCGCATTACACTTCTGGAAGTGCCAGACAAGCACAGCATCGATCCAAAAGTTCATTGACACCAGATGAGTAAATCCAGCACTTGCGTAACAGGAGGACTGGTTGAACACGAGGATATCCTAGTCGGGGTATTTGGGAAAGCAGAACTGGACGAAGATTCCGATAAATTGGAAAAGGAAATGCGGACTTGAACTTGTGATCCGTGAACATTTGAACGCGTGAACTTGGCGTGAGCTATGTGCTGTGTTTGGCAGTGCAAGAGGGACACTGCCTACAGCCTCTGGGATTAACACCAATCACGCGCACGTGGCTGAATTTCAATTGCAGCAGAACTGTGAGCGCCTATAACTATTCCTCATGTCTAGTCTGGCTGGTGCTTTGGATGGCTATTCGACATCAACTTCTTATCATGCCTATAAGGGTGCGGATGACATTGACATGCCTGGCGAAAACCAGTCAAGTTCAGCAAATGACGATCCAGAGGACAGTCAAGACCAGGATGAAGAAATGACCGATCTCTTTGGTAATGACAACGATGTCGAAGAGCTGAAAGCGGAGAGGTCCGTGCCTCCGTTTTTTTCTGTTATCGTCAATCTGAAGAAACTGCCTTTTCAGGGTCGCTGCTTCACCCACCGCCTCTGGTCCTGATTCCGAAAGGTTACCTTCACCTGAACGAGAGCGTCGCCAGGCTTTGGAATACGAAGAAGAGGATGTACCCCAGGAAATTGCCGTCGAGGTTAAAGAGGCGGAAGTCTCATTCCCGAACCTCCCGGTTCCAAGGTCATCCGATGGTGATGTGAGTTGAGTTTTACACTTTTTGAGGGTGAAGTCACTGACAGTGCCTTGATTTGTAGAATTGGGTCATTCGAATGCCAAACTTCGTCAAGGTTGACTCGAAACCTTTCCATCCTGATACATACATTGGCCCTGAACAGGACGATGAAGAAACCCAACATATTGATAGCACGAGGGAACGGAGTATGACTATCAAACTGAAGGTTGAAAACATGGTGCGTTGGCGGTGGACAAAGGATCAAAATGGAGTTGACGTATGTATATTTCTCTCTAGTTCCATTTCGATTGACCACTGACATCGATGTTGCAGCAAAGACAGTCAAATAGTCGAATCATCCAGTGGTCGGACGGCTCTCTAAGTCTCCGATTAGGTAAAGAGCTTTTTGACATAAAACAGGATAGAGACACATCAGCCGGTGTTGCACGTCAATATATCGGTGCTGCATCGCAGCAATCTCAATCCTCATCCCAGCTTCCCCAATCTCAGTCTCAACCGCCTGCTGCTAAGGGCCTGACGTACCTTGTCGCGCAACACAAGCGCTCTCAGGTACTACAATCTGAGGCCGTAATATCGGGATACATGAGTCTTCGACCTACAGGCATGCAGTCTGAAACCCATCGAATGTTGGTGCGCGCTGTAGGACAGAAGCACAGCAGGGTTGCGCGACTCCGTATGGCTCCCGAGCCGACGGTGGATCCAGAACGCGAAAAGATGGAGCTCATGAAACTGAGCGCAAAGAAATCGAGGAAAAAGAGCGAGCAAGATGAGGCTCTCGGCGGGGGGAGGAAAAGGCGTTACTCAAGGAGAACTGCCGAGCATGACGTGTGGAGTGACGACGACGAGGAAATATTCCCAGGATCCGAGGAAGAGGAGGAGGATGGCGCCGGACAAAACTCTGCGCGCAAACCAAAGCGTAAGACACCTGGGGAAGAAAAGAAGGGTCCCGAGGATTACCAAGAAGATGACTTTGTTGTGGCAGATTCCTCAGATGAAGAGGCCGGCACACTGAGGAAACGAGCGAGAGAGGGTAGTGAGATGGAGGAAGATCCGCTGGATAGAATTGATGCCAAAATCAAGGAGCAAGAAGACGCAAAGAAGCGGCGGCGAGTGTCCGGGGAGAAGGAAGGGGGAGGTGATGGTGACGAAACAGACGAAGAAAAAGTGGACGCAATGGATGTGGAAAGCGAGGAGGAGGAGGAAGAGGAAGAGTTCAAGGTGCGCCGCCCGGGAGGCACTCGCAAACGCGCTGCCGTCAACTTCGACGATGAAGAGGAAGAAGGGTAGCAGGTGTTGTCGCTGTTTGTAGATTACCACGTTCGCCTCTATATCATCAGTTTCTGGCTTGAGAAAGATAGCATAGAAGGTAATAAATACAGCGAAATCCGAAAATAGATACGACGTCTCTATCCCAAATTTGCTCTCGGCAAATCCTTAAGGACTCCATTTTCATCCCACGTTGCAGGGGCCTTCACCTCATCAACTAAAGCTTGATTTTCCGTGTTATTTTTTAGTAGGCAGTGCAATGTAAAGATGGCATGCTCCCGTAGGTCTAGGAAAAGGTCACATTTTTTGAGGGCGAGGTGATAATCAGGGGCGACATACATGGGTTTCGTTCGTCTATTACACATAAATTCATCACCACCGGAATACCCTTCGCCATTCGTATTCGATCTTGCACAGCCCGAACCTCGTGGCACAACACCCCAAGGAGCCGCACAAGATCTCGCTTGAGATACGAAAATCCTGTGCTATCCACGCTGGAAGCCACTGATGTTCCTTGAGGACTAGGTAGACCAGAAGAGGATAGGGGCTTCCCGAAATTTATCCGGGGCAAGAAGAGATCGAGCATACGGAGCACCTCTAAAATATAAATGTGAGTGGGCAAGTCATGAAAAACGATTGATCTCTTGTACCTATTAAGCTCTCAACCAAGCCCTGACCGGAGGAAGTCGCCTCAATGAAAAACTCTTTCATGTTCGCCACCGATGCGACTGATAGATCTCCACGATCCTGGCACATTTTCTGCTCCACAGCCTCGAGGGAAATGGTCGCAATGCATTGCGCCACCAGCACAAGAGCTTCGCAGACCTTGGGTAGCATTACGTCCAACTCTGCCGGCGGGGAGTCAATCTGACCACTGGATGTTTGATTGGGGGAAGCGGGATGATTTGGTTCACTGTCACCCAAAGAACGCCGAATGGCATTTTGAGCATATATCGAGAGGCTGAAAAAACATTTTGCCAGAAAAGGGCCTAAAGCAACATGTGTTTGAACAACTTCCGGTTTCAGGATGGTCGTGGCATTCAGTTGAATTGATTGGAGGTAAGAATCAACAAGCTTAAGGAGGGTTGTTTGATGTGGAGTGATAATTTCGTCCACCCTGGCATAGCAGACATGACTCTCAGGCTTATACTGGGAGATGATCATGGACATACATGGTGAACTTCTCATACAAGTCGGGAACCGTACCTTCCTCAATAAGTCGAATGAAGATGGAGTATCTGTAAAAAAAGATCAACAGGAATCACGAAGCTAAAATCGTGCCATTCACCCACCCAATATTAAAAGCCTTTCCACCGTCGCTTTCCTCGTCTTCCTCGTAGAGGCGGAGCATACAATCTAGCAGAGACACGCAGACGCGGATACCAGTCGTGGTTCTCGTGAGCAAGTGGCTATGCAGGGTTTAACCCACCCGAAGTAGTCGTTGTATAGGACGACCTACGTTCGCTTCCTGCTTCCATGAACACAATTCAAGGTAAAAATCAATGTTGTCAGTAAAGTACGGGGGTCGGGAGAAGTCAAAAGGCGACTGTTCAGTTCTTCATGAGTCGTGAACTTGACAAATTGTCATTTCCGTACATTAGCACGACCTGGTCCTCTGGCAATTTCATATAGGTCTTCCAAAGTTTCTCGACGAGCGTCTCGTTCGATGTGACCAGATTGGAGAGCGCTTGTGTCAATGTGCGGGCAGTTACAAAAGCTAGATGAGTTATAAGACGGGCGGTTTACTCTCTACATAGAGCAGACGCACATTCTGAGTTCTCCATCTCCGACCACGAGGTATAGAAATGCAACAAGCGGCGAATTTCAGGCTCGTTTTCACTGATCATCTAGTGTGCAATGTCCTCCGCATCTGATCAAAGAAGCACTCACAATGCGCGCGATTGGTTTTGAGGGACGCCTGCCACCAAATTTCTGGTAAACTTTGCTAAGCCAGTGCACACAGACCGTAGGTCATCATTTTGGTATTCAGGCCTCCCGTCCTCTTCATCGGAATCGTCGTTATCCCAGAAGGTAAGCTGAGTACGAGCAAGGCTCAGCCATAACTTTCGCAAGTCTGGCCATAATCTTGGATCAGCACCGACGTATTCTCTGATACATAGCGGTGGTAATAAACCCTTGATCTGCAGCGTTTTTCGTGATAACATACCGAATTTGTTTACTCTGTGCTAGATCTCGTGAAGTGCTTTCAAGAACCTCTGCTAGTGCTTTTAACTTTTGATTATCCTTGAAATCCAGACCAGAGTACGCGAGTCGGAATTGAGTGGTGATGGCGCGGCTTTGGGCGAGAGAGTTGGCCATCTAAGGTGGTATGAGGGAAAAGGATGTCGAGTGCGGCTTACATACAAGCAAGTACCTTGACGCTGGACTGTCATACGTCAAGAGCTCAAGGGTCCCCATGACCGCCAACAACCTCAATATTTCTTTGGAATCTCACCTCCATAAGATTCTTATTCCTTTGGTATCGCTCCTGCCAGCATCAGCGTCAGAAAACTTGCAACCGTACATTTCTGACCCTCCGCCATCCACCATTCCTTATAACGTCCTTCAGGCAATCTCTCAATGGTCGCGAACACCCGCTGGACAAAAAGCTCTTCGAGCTAATTCCCTGGATCCCCAGGACTACAATATGATCGCTATGCTCGCTGGGGCAACAACTTCTCCAGAGGGTAAATTTGGCGATTACACTCCACCAAAGGGGCCCCAGGCAATAGAAGCTGACAGAGTAAAAGAGAGGAAGGCCATCACGGCTTTGCTCAATGCTCTGCTTAGCATTGGCGGTGCAGCCTTCGCGACGTGGTGGGCCGCAGATAAATTAAGGTGGACAAATGAATGGGTACGTGGAAATGTCAACTAGTCAAATTTCCCAATTGATTGAGGTTTAACAGAGAGTCCTTCTTTCGCTCTTTGTTGGGATGATCGTAGCTATCTCAGAAGGGGTATTGTATGTTATCTGGGATTCGCGACAGAAGGCCTCCAAGAAAAGCCAAGGGATCCGACGCTTGCAATCTGCCACGCACAAGAAAGATGACGGGGAAACTAGTCCTGCAGACTTACCAGACGATCTTACGACGAAAGTCGACTTGACAGACGAATCTGCAAACCTACGACGACGACGATAATGCCTCTTCGTCATTGCTTTGTCGCTAAACCCAATATCCGCATCAACATTGTTAAATACCATCCTGTCAAACCCCATACTTCTAAACGACCGTCCGTTCCAGTTCCTATTTCATCTACATCACTCTTTATCGTGGGGAAAACGACATCGGTTTGCTGAACGAGATCCGTCACGTCAAAAGCATAGTATGGTCGCTCTTCGCGGAATAACGACGACCGTTGTCGTGAGGGTGAAACTAGTTCAGCTAGAGAAAGGTGAAATACGGTTGCTACCTCCAAGGGAGACGCCTGTTTGCGAAGCTCAGTCATGTCAAGTGATGGGAAGGGTTCCTCATTTGAATTGAGCTCTGTCCTGGATGCTGCGTGGACGAAACCCTGTGAGGGGCCCAAATTAGGTGCAAACCACGCGTGGGTGCATTTTTGTCACCTACCACAAAGGGCCAGACATGCATGTCGCCTCGAAGATTTACCTCGGGAGGACCAATACTTCCGAGTATGTCAATCCGATTTGGATGAATTCCTAGTTCTTCCTGGGTTTCACGAAGAGCAGCGTATTGTATTGAGGGATCTGTCTGTCAATTCCTTGTCACTTATAATAGTTTTGGATTGTGGTTTTGAGCACCAACGTCATCTACACGGCCACCCGGAAAGCTACAATGCCTATTGATAAAGGTATGGCGAATGTCAAACTGCATCTTACCTCACCTCTCCGGAATGAGTTCTTAATGACCCCGCTCTCAATTCAAGTAAGATTCCCGGTTTCTCGTCGACATTGCAAAACGGAATCAGCACAGCTGCATTTCTTTTTACTGCACTGTTCGGTGGCTGTTCTTCGGATGAGTTTATCTGATTGAGTTTAAGGACACGTTCGATGGTGTTGAGAGTAGATGGTGTCAAGGGCTTATTCAGAGGTATTGAAGCGTGCAAAGCTAAGGAGTGTGAAGCCCTCAAGCTCAAGAAAGGAAGGGACATTACATAGAGCAGGCAAAGAGCAGGATGATTGTTTGTTTTGGTATTCTGAATCTTTGTCATGCAGTCATAGTTGTAAGAGATCCAACTGAAATGCTTGGTTATCACCTCCGCATTGTTGTAAAATCCTCCTCGCAATCTCAAGAATCCTTCATTCCGACTTCATTATTCCAACGCTTTCCGGCTCATTCACAAAAATCAATACACCAACCGAGCAAGACTCCTCACCATTCCAACGACTATCGATTTGGGAGCCTCACTATTGACTGGGTCGATATGGAGCGCGGAAGTCAACCTTACTCACCATGGATAGAGAAGGGGCGGGGTAAAGGTATACAGCGATATCCTTCACCTGTCATCGTGCATTAACGCCACCCCAGGACACGCCGAAGCGACATTCGTACCGCAAACTCGCAAGAAGGTTGGTACCACCAACTTGCCGGAGGGGACTGTCCATATATTTCGAGACTGCACAAACATACCTTCTCTAACAGTTTTAGAAGCTATGGCATCTTCTCTACCTGTTGACACAGATGGGGTTATGCTCGCGGTCCTTGCCGTTCCCTCTTGGATGACTCCCTCAGATTTCTTGGCTTTTGTTGCTCCAGCAGTCGATGGGATGGCACACTTGCGAATTATTCGGTGAGTTGGACTTGATCACACTTGGGCCGTTCTTAACGCTGCATGTTTCAGCGATTTCGCGCCCAACCGTTCTATCGCAGTTGTCAAATTTCTGAGTCCGGCAAATGCAGCTGAATTTGCGGAAGCCTACAACGGAAAGCCTTTCAATTCAATAGAGGTAATTTCGTCCTCCTTTACAGGCGTGTCTAACATTGAAAAGACAATCAACAGCCCGAAATCTGTCATGTAGTCCATGTTCTGTCAATTGCGATTGACGTTGAAGATCCAGTTTCTCAAGCGATATCACGAACTGGAGGTTCCCATCTGACCATGTATGAGCTTCCCACATGCCCCGTTTGCCTTGAACGCATGGATTCCGCTGTGACTGGTCTCATCACCGTGCCGTGTTCTCACACGTTTCACTGCATGTGCCTCAGCAAGTGGGGAGACAGCCGGTACGTTTGATTATATTCACATAGGGAACGTGTTTTCACGTATCTGCAGATGCCCTGTGTGTCGGTATTCACAAAATCTGCTCTCCTCACACCCAACTTCAATATTATCTTCAAGGTCACTCCCATTCACCAATCCCACAGCTACACCGCTGTCCTCCTGTTCCTCCTGTCCATCAACCACGAACCTCTGGATTTGTTTGATATGTGGTAATATCGGCTGTGGTCGATATGGTCAAGCCCACGCCCAAGCTCACTACCAAGGAACAACGCATTTATACGCGTTGGAACTAGAAACGCAACGTGTATGGGATTATGCAGGTGATGGTTATGTTCACCGCCTCATTCAGAACAAGGCCGATGGGAAACTAGTCGAACTGCCCAGCGCAGCTTCGTCGATGGGCGTCACTCCAAGAGATGGTAGCCTAGGACCAAGTCAAGCGGATGCATTGAGTGCTGAGAAGATAGAAGCTATCGGAATCGAGTACTCGTATCTCCTTTCTTCTCAGCTGGACTCTCAAAGATCCTTTTACGAAGACCAAACAACCGAATTAACCGCCCAAGTGATCGATTTAAGGGGTTTGATTGAAAGGCTCAGCTTTGATTTTGAGGCGGATCGTAAACTTGCGAAAGAGGAGGCTGAGAGAAAACAAAAGGAAGACGAAGAGAAGTTGGCGCAAATAATGAAGGAGAAAGCGAGAGCTGAGCACAAGGCCGAGAAGGCTACTGAACTAGCAAGGAAGTTTGGGAATGAACTCAGAGAGGAGAGGGCTGTCAGCGACGGGTTAATGAAGAACTTGGCGGTGATGAAGGAGAGGATGGAGCTTATTGACAAGCAGAAGGACGAATATACTCGCAAAGTTGAAGAGTTGGAGGATCAGGTTAGGGATGTCATGTTCTTCCTTGAAGCCAAGACGAAGATAGAACATGGGGGTGGGGTCGAAGCGGAGGCTGCTGGCGGCACCGTTGAGGTCCCCGTTGCCTCGACTGCGCAAAAACTCAAGGGAAAGAAGAAAATTTCGCAAAAAGGATAAGAAATAACAACACTGAGAAGACACTTGGTTTCGTTGCGCTCATGATCAGGTATCTCCTGACGTGCTACCTGTAGGGAAGAAGGCAAGCGAGGCAGAGTCCTTGTCAGGGCAGCGCTTGTGCGACGCGCAGAACTTGATTGGGAAACTCGAACCAGGCCGTTGCGTTGGTCTTCGGAAGAATCGAAAGGAGCGACCACGTCCTTATAAGACTGTTTCGTGTGCGCAGTCTGTACTTCCTTCAGTGCTAGAGTCAAAGGAATAATAAATATGTTTAGATAAATTTTAAGTAGCAACGCGACACTGGTGCCTCTTGCCCCGGCAAGATTCGAAGTGGTGCGGAAATCGCAGTGTAAAATGCAGGTGGAGACCGATTACTAGAAGGAATTTTAATCCAACCTACTTGACGAAGAGCGCGTTGGGTTTTCTGTAGTCACAATGGGTAAGCTCAATAGCGCTGATCGAGACCAACAGTGCGTACGCCGTGGTTGAGAGAATAATTTCTTAACAGGGGCGAGGTAATCGTCCTCGAACAGCCATGGCATATTATGCAAGGCATACTTTTCGTATATCCCTAGCCAGTAGAGTCTAGTTATGGAATTGGGGACCGACCTTCAAAGACAACATGGGATCTTAGGGGACTCACAAAAGAAAGACAACGACACCATAGAGCCAGTCAAGCGTTGTCGGCGCCGTCGATTCTCCACGATACGATAGGGCTGCTTTCCAAAGCCCAAAGCCAGCAGTGAGAGCTATGACAAGGATCCGATACAAGGTCAACTTTGGATGCCCTCCGCGATGGTGCCGAGCTTGCTCGTTTTCGGTACTCATCGCGACCTTTGCACAACAGGAATGCTGTGGAACATTTTGACAGCTGTCTGCCCTGGCGCGAAATGTTGAACTGGCGCCAAGTCAAGAATGATTTTGCAACACCTTGAAGTCCCTTTTGAGTAACCTCTAGAATTCGGAAAAGTCTTTTATGAACGTCTTGCTTTGAATACACTTTGGTTTTTGAACTTCTTATTATACACTCAATTGCGCGTTACTGACGGTTAATGTTTCTCCTTCATGTTCTCCCCTACTGTCAACGTCGCCTGGCTCCCCGTCAGGCGTGGGAGGCTCTGTTATCCTTTCGTCGCCACCATCCTCTTCCTCATCGGATGATAATTGGTGATTCGGGTTCCTGACCAACAGATCCTCAGCGTTATCCTGACCATGAGTGTCTAGAGGCAATGCCAGTTTGATATCGTGAGTGAACCAGACGGGGAACATCCAACCGATACCTTACCTTTATATCTCCGCGACTCTTCCCAGCTCTTCTCCAACTCATCCATGATAGACTCTTGCGCGACGGTAACCTCTTCGGCCGTTCCGCAACTTCTGTATTTTTCGAGAAAACATCTGCGATGATAGTTCAGCGAGATGGAGAGTAAATCATACAAGCGATCACTCACTTGTTCACTTTCCAAAATGAGCCACCCCACCCAAACCCACTTAGCAGTTTCTCCGCATACGAATCAAACCCTGTGATATAAAACGATGCGGCCAAAGCTTCGACGCAGTTTAGCCTCCACGGTTTGCCATAATTTGTTGGGTTTGTTGCAAGTAGGTACGGTACTGAGGGTCAAGGTGAATTTGGGGATGAAGGATGAGGAAGGCACGTACGTAACCGCTCGTGAGGGCTGGCTATCTTGTTGAAGGGAACGTCATCCAAACGGGCCCAGGAGCATTCTACGACAGCCAGGCCAGCTTGTAGAATGATTTCGCGATCTGACGGGCTGATCACCTGTTTGCCCTTCGGTCTGTGGTAAATGAGGTTGATTTAGGGTGACGCGACGAAACCACTCACGACACCACTATCCCCCTGAATCGCGTTCCGACTTTGAGATCTTTGATCAAGCCTTGTCGAGCGAGTTTCTTGCCCGAGCAACGACGGGGATCGCAGTGGTCAAAGTCCTTGTAATGCAAACTTCAGTGGGACACGAAGGGAAGTAGATCGACAAGCGTACCCACATGGCAACTGGGACGTCGATATGCACCTCGCCTTCATCGTCTGTAAAGCCATTAATACCTCAACAAAACAACACGCTAAAACGCACGCACCTTCAGATGAATAGTACTCCTCGACGTCGTCGACGGCGCTCTCTGGTCGGCCGTGAATCTCGCCACCACGACTGGAATGATCTCGTCCATGTCCACGATAACTTGAACCTCTCGCCTTTCCAGAACCCCGACCCTTCTTGTGGCCACGACTCGGGGCTGATGTAGCTGGATCGCTTGAGTTCTTTTTGCCCATACGGAATCCACTTCGATGAAAAGTTCAGACGCGTGAGTAAGTTGCTCGGGTGACAACGACTGTGACCTGAGCGTGACCATCACATACGAGCTCGATGTTCGCAACAGCGGTAAGGCTTTCCAAGGCCTCGCGGGCGCCTCTCTCGCCCAAGCGAGGCAACAAAGACTTCTACAAAGGTTCGTCATATTTCTCGCTCTCATCAACTCATACTAACCTTTGCCTCACAGGGACTCGACAGGCCTTCCTCCCAGGTGGCCACCGCACTGGAGCCCCCGGAAAACATGTTATTGGTGGCAAGGCGAAATATCGTCTCGTAGACGAGCAAGTCCGCGTCTTCGTTGCCCCCCCTATACAAGACATTATTGATTCTCCCGTTCGTCTTCCCCAAATGTTCACTGCTCCTTCCTCATCTGCTCATTCATCTTACACACAGCTCAAACCCTACGTCTCACTGCAAGTTCGCCTCACACGCCAAGAAGAGCGTGCAGCGATTGGCAGGTTCCGGGGTTCAGGCGGGTTCACGGGGCGACATATGCTCCGTGCAGCACGAGCAGTGGAAGCTAAGAGTGAACCGGAGGTTGCTAAACTGGAGGGGAATGTTTCATGAGTAACCTCATTCTTCCGTTGACTTGATGACGACTTGTTCTCTCGGCTAAAAGTACATAGATTCACAGAAGAAGAAAACGAATAAAAGATTAATACTCTCCCATTCACTAAGCTGGGGCCTTGCCAGCCGCGGGGCACATGTCCTCAATCAAGGTTACCAAAGCCAACTGTCCCAATATGCAATCATCTCAGGCTTGCGTCTGAGAGCTGGCGAGGGTGGCCTCGTCCACATTGCAACAGGCGTTTCCTGCAGGGATCTTTTTCCTAGATTGCAAATTCTTGCTGCTGTGATGATGCCGAGCATACTGCTAATGGAAGTGTCGAGTCGGCTGTGTCCAAATTGTAAAAGGTTAGTTCTACTAGCATTTGTATATGAACTTACCTTCACCAGATGACCTGTCTTGCAGATGTTACCGTCCCCTGCACTGGTTCAAATTATGGAGCATAATCGTGCGTCCATGCTCCGCTGGAGGATGCTGCGTATATCTTTCAAGTGACGAGCCTTAGGCCCAAGGTACGAGCTCAGCTGGTGTCGACTGGCCCTTTCTGGCTTGCGCACATACACTAAGTGCATGGTTTAACTGTTTTGAAAATTCTTCAAAACTGCTACTTGATTTTGTAGATGAACACTGACAGTGATGAAGATATTTGGATCTTTACAGAACGAATGAAAACTCCTTGCCACTTATCTCAACAAGTTCACCGTCTATCCAGCAATCAGATTCGAGTGGACCTGTGAGCTCAGGGACACCGTAAGTCCGGCCACCTTGACTCGATGACGTCGCTTTATGACGCATGCTGCGAGCATGTGTATTTGAGCGTCAGTTGGGTACGCCAATTAGCATCCCCTGAGAATTATTGACAAAGGACATCCTGTTCAGCAGACCACAATTCATTCAATGTCGTCCTGATACAGGATCATCTGACCTTTAGTTGCAGACATGTCATGCACCTCCTGTGATTCTATGACACTGTTGTTCGCCCCTTTGAATTCCTCATCAATCACTTCAGTGAATGTTGATACCACGATCCGTTATGAAATCGGCGCTGTTGCTGTGAACAATAGCACAAGACGTGGTCTCCATGGGCCACTTTAACGTTCAAAGCCAAATATTTTGTATCTTAACTCTGTGAGTTCATTTTGTCAGATGCTTACTCTCTTACGTTGACCAGTGACCGTTGACCGCCTCACTGATGGCCTTCTTGAGGGTTCAGCATCAGGAACCACGGGTCTCGCGTTTCCTGCCATTGCTAGCACGGACTCGACTCCATTCTGGCAGGCTTTAGGAAGCCAGCTGTCTGCCTCTGAGATGGCCTGCTGTCTTGCACGAATCAAGCATGATACCAATGCCAAGGCCGGAGGTGTGTTTACCCTCGGAGGAACAAATTCGAGGCATTTCACTGGTGATATTGAATTCATTGCTATGCCTTTGGGTACACCAACCTTTTGGCTTCTCATCATGTCTGGTCAGTGTCATACGAAAACATGCAAACTCCGCTAATGTCGATTGATCCGTGTAGCAATCACCGTACAAGGACAGCCTGATCAAATCACGACAGGCAATATCTCGGTTTGGGTGGCACTTTCCTTCGGGGGCCAGGCGTGGCCGTTTAGTGCGACCGACATGAACATCGGCCAGATTTCGCGTGGGAGCTCGAATGCCTTGGGGCCATCTTCGACCTCAGCCTCGGCAGTAACATTCCTTCTAGCTCAGGTAATCCCTCTGGGATTGTCGGGAATACCTTCTTGGTTTGTTATTTCGTTTAGAATGGCATATATTGATTCCCCTCATTTGCACCTTGCAGAAGAACGTATATTCTGTCTTTCGTGCTTTTGGCCCTGGTTCAATTGAATTCGCGCAGCTTTCTAGCGTGGCTGGCGGGTCAGGCCTTCAGGTGAGAGTACCATTTCTTCCCGATGACCTCATCTTTACTCCTCTACTTCTAGGCGCTGGAGCGGCAACGGCGGATCATCAACCAGAATTACATTGCCTGCCATGATGATCACCGCAGTGATTATTGTCCTCATGTGCTTGTTGTAATTCAAATCTTCTCGATGTCCTTGCAAGCGTTCGAGGTGCTATATACTCACCGTGAAAGCATGTTCGTTAATTTCTCGCGCAGCAGTCCAAGTTGTCAATGAATGGGCACGTCCTTTGCCACCAGCCGAGCTGCCTCAGGACAAACCGATGGAAGGACTATCCCATCCTTAAGAGACTAGCCTCTTCAATGCCATCTTGTGGGAGACCTCTTCCTCAGACCGGAATGTTACCCTACTATACTTTGGAGGAACGGGTGGTAGGGACACTTGCCATTTCCGAGGGGTAAGCGTCATAAAAAAGGTGGATTAGCTACGGACTATGAATGTGGGGGCCTTTGTGAGGTATATCCTCCATAGTGTTCACATTTATTTTTGCTGTCCCCAACTCTGGGTTCTGTTGAAACGAGGAACAGCATTCACCTTTCAGCAGACATGGCTGGGGGAGGCGCCAACCATTCTATCCGATCTGCTGCTACTGGAGCCTGGAGGGATGTCTGGATAGCAATTTCTTGCTGCTGTGATATTTATGATGCCAATCTGACTGCTACATACTTACAGAATGGAAGTGTCGAAAATTTAGGGATTCGGTTATGTCCTTGAAGTTAGAAAAGGTTAGTTTTCAATATATACGAGCTTATCTGCTCACCAGATGACCTGTCTTGCAGATGTTACCGTAGGTTGCCGTCCATGTTTCGATGAAGGCCGCCGATCGTATATATTTCAGGTGACAAGCCCCAAGGCCCAAGGTACGAGCTCATCTGCTGGCTGGCCCTCGGTCCTGTACATGGTCCTGGAACTAGGCTGGAACTAAGTAAGTAGGGTCTCAAATTGAACGTCAAGAGAGGTCAAGAGACTGTCAAGAGGCGGAAAACCGCGAACATCGGGAACCGCTTACTCAAGTATGACATTGAACGTCAGAAGCGGAACATCGCGAGCATCGATGACGCCCTGACATTATTCAGGAACGGCCTAGCTACATACAGTGTACACTTGCATGACATTCCCGACTCCGCGTGAGACGGAACCTGCACTTGAATTGGAAAAGCGTACACCTAGGCTACAAGCGGGTGTAGTGAGGTGTAGTGAACCCTACACCACGGTATTCAAAAGTATACCATCAGAGTGTGGCGGCGTCGATTAATTAAAAAGCCTGAGAGTGCGAATTCAATGCTGAATTGGGTGATGTAACATACACAGTACTAAGCAGTATGTTGCAGTCCATGGATGATAGTAGCAGGTGTACAGCGGGGAACGAATGTAGGATAGTTGCAAGAAAATAATTACAATAATGTAAAGGGGGGAATGATTGCGAATGTAGTAATGGAAGAGGCCGGCTTGTTCGAAGATGACATAGAGGGGAACGAATAAGTACAACGCGATGGATGGGGAGTCGGGACGTGCGAGAGGGTCGGGTAGTTACAAGATGTGATTGAAACTTGAAAGCGTATGTGACAAGAATTCTTGAGAGTTTTTGAGCAGAGGAAAAGAGCGGGGAGCGATTAACATTAAAAACATAACATAGGCGAGCACAATAGCAGGTGTGCGGAAAGCGGGCGAATTATGAAGGATGGTCTATTTTTCGTAGCGAGTGTCGTGGTATAGCAGCAAGAAGCGCAAGAAGTGGCGACACCGATGTGGCGCATGGGGTGATAGTACTGAAAAGTACTATCACGTCAGCCGTCTATGGCGGCTCAAAAGGCTGTCTGTCGGGCAAAGCGACAGGAGTAAAATTGACGTGCATGGTTATGAAAGATGGGCGACTTCGATAAAGCTCCTCCAACTCCACGAATCGTCGTCGTTGTGAAGGTCAATGAAGCTTTTGAGTGGGAACCAGTCTTTGGTGGTGGAGCGTTTGTGATGTTTACGTCGACGAGAAGAGGATGATTGTGATGGGGTAGAAGAGCCGCTACGGGCGGCCTTTGGAGGGGAAAGCGAAGCTGAAGGAAGGATGACGTCCTCAAACTCGAGAATGGGGTTTGGTTGCTGTGATTTTTCATCATCAGAATCCAGAAGGTCAAAGTCGCTGTCAGCTTCGTCTTCGTCGTCACTCATGCTCATGAAGTTTCGGGGAGAGAGTGGCTTTACTTGGGGTAGATCAGCGGATTTGGAACGGCCTTCGAGACGTGCAAGGGCGGCTGAACGGTTGATCCTTCGGACGCGAGTAGAAACGGTAGAGCTTGTCATGACGGACACACGTCGCGGAAGCGTGATAAAGTCAGTAGGTGCGATAGAGCGTGTTATGGCGATAGGAGAACCTCGTGGAAGAGTGACCTCCAAGGAAGGAAGAGTAGGAATTGAAGGAAGACGAGGTGGAGCAGATGACATGGGAGTTGGGGACCGTTTAGGCTGGGAAGGGACATCAGGGAGAGTTATGGATGGAGCTGGTTTGGGAGATGGAATGGAGCGCAAAGAGTCTCGAGATAAACGGAGACGCAGAGGATTTTGTGAAGGAGCAAGCAACCTTGGTTCCTCTGGAATACGGCTGTGCACAAAAGTGAGAAAAGGGAGAGATGGAAGAGATAAATGGTGAAACATACGGATAAGAGACAGATGGTTTGGATGGCTTGGATGAGCGAGAATTTGCTTTGGAGGAGGCCTTGCGCTTTAGGCTTGCAGATCGCATGGATTGTGACTCTGCCAAGTCGAGAGATAAAAAAGAGCGGTACTCGATGACATCACGTTTGGGTTGAAGTGTGAAGTAAAAAGCTGCGGATTCGTCTGCAACGGATGTGGTCATTCGGAGCGGGGCGTTGGTGGGAAGACTGCCTCTTCTCGGACTAATGGAGATGTCAGGTGAAGGGGATCGTGAAGTGGTAGATGACAAAAGACCGGATGTGAAGAAGGAAGAGTAAGGTGATGCGAAGGACGACGTTGAGAACATCTGCAGTACAAAGGGAATGGTGCAGAGAGAACAAGGCTATCGAGGCTGTCGTCGTTTATATTCATTGCTTTCAAGCCCAAATCGAGACAAAACCATCCACGTGCAAGATCGTAAGATCTCGAACGTCGTCAAGGATCGATCTCAACCTGGACTGACGCGTATTGACGATCCGACCTACATAGCAACCCTTTTGTAGAAAATACAAATACTCTCTTGTCTAACTACAGTAACTGCACCCTTTGAAACAATTACTTTTTTTTTTGGCGGATCCGCCCACCGGGGACTCCACTCACCGCGAAACAACAACGGGTCCAATTTTCACCCACCCACAGGTCCGCCGTCACCGTAACTCAACGCCTGCAGGCGGCAACCATCGGCCTGACCACAGGGTCAACTCCAGCGACCGCCCAACTCACCGCTCCTCCCCACATACATCACCTAGTCCACATGAGAAAAAAGCTGAATACAATAAATCAATCATCAATCATCGGCCTCGGCGGAGGTGGTGCTAATGAAAAGCAGACGAGGAAATTAATGAAGAAGCAATGAAGAAGATGAGGATGACGCAAGATTCACTGGAGCTCACTGAATCTCTCACAGATTGCAATTAATCGTGCGCCTTGAATTCTGAGCTCTTTCGGTTTATGGTTCTTCGACGGATCCCATCTTTGATACAGTCACTCGACGTCGCTCTACGCTGTCTACGTCTGCCATCTCTGGCGGATCCCTAGTGGCATACACTTATGACGCGGGACAGCACCCATCTCCACTTCGTACCTGCATTTACCACACCGGGCAAATCACCGCTCGAACATAAACCCGAGCGGTAAACCGCTCCCTTTTGGCGTTTGGCGTTTGGCGCCTGGCGCTTGCACTCGACTAGGTTCACCCAAGTCGGTGAACCTGTGGTTGAACAATTACGTTGAACTTCAATCACCGAGCTTTAGTGGAAGAACATCACCCAAAACATATGTAAGATGGAATTCAGATTATTGTTCGAGTTCCAGTTCGTCAAAGGATACACTAGGATACGTCATAGACTTCAAGGAAACGGTGCTTTTCGTTGCTTGTAAGTTGTCTCCCGAGTCCCGAAGCTCCTTGGAGGTGTTTAGCTGGAATATTCTTGATCATTGTCGCAAGTATTAACCGATCCGTCGTCCGGTTTACCGCTTTCGTGACTACCCGACGATGACCCTGATGTTTTCAGAGAAATACATATGCATGTGCGTCGGCCGCCTCGCCCGCTCGATGCTGATGCCATGGGCTTAGCTCTGCTACCGGCACTCGGTGCTCGATCTCCTGCTGCAATCGGTCAACCCTGGTCTACAAATCTGTGATGAAATGCTTGAACATCATTCCTATCTCTTGGCCTCCGGGGCCCTTTTCCCAATGATGCAAGTTACATAGGCTGGTTCTGTTTTACACCTTCAGTGACTATTTCGAACGCACATTGTACAGCAAGTCCTCGACTAGTGTGCCATTCAATCATAGTTCACAGGAATTTACTGGATGAGAAAAATCGGGTGGTGAAGAATCAATCTGTTTCATCATACGGAACTGTCGGCGCTAACAAGCCCATTAGTTTCACAATGTCGCCGGAAATGGAACCCTGGCGCTCAAGGGGAAGGCAAAGACTTCCGCTTCAAACATAAGAAAACAAACTTTTCAATCGGGGCCTGTCCATCCAAGTCTGCGCAAGTCCCTCCTACATTCTTCAGTTTCTCTCTTTACCCTCACCCAGTCGTCAATCAGTTGTCTGTATCCTCCTGAACTAACGTCAACAATTTTTAACACCCCCTCGTATTCCTGCAACTGCTGGTCCACTTGAAATTCATCTTCCTTCAGGCGTTGTTCGTCCTTTCTCAGTTTCCTGTGGGCAGCATCAAGTGCTTTGGCCATACTTCTTGGGGATTTCGCATCCGTCGTGGGCCTGTAGTCGTATAGTGCCTGCTGAGAACGAGCTCTGATGAGCGACAGCTTGATGAGCGATGTTTCGATCATTGTCGCGACCAGGTCGGTTGTAGCTGAACGAAACTTGTCGTGAACTTGAAATGTTTCGGTTAATGCCTTCCTGAGTGCTTTTTGAAGGTTGTCGTGAGTCTGTTCCTTCTTATCAGTCCAATGTACTGGCGTCGTCGCGAGACTAATTTAAGAACAAACAATGTTCGTCTCTGCGATCAAGTCGCAAACCCCAGCTGTTATGGTGTTGAGATCTTCCTGCATATCCTGTGCTTCCTTCCGGCGCGCTTTGATATTCATCGGGAGGGAAGATATTTCATCGTTATTCGCCTCTTGAGAACTGCCTACAAGGAGCGGTTAGATCCTGCATGGAAATGACAGCCAGTGCGAACCTGCAGAGAGAATATTCACCATCGAAGAAAGGGTGAAATTGAGTTCTTCTTGGAGCTGTTGAATTATGGGTGTGGCGAGCTAATGAAGGGTTCAGCGCGTAGTCCCGAATTGTTTAAGCGAAGAGGTTGGGTGCCAACCTGTTGGCGAGGTTGGGCGGCGAACCTCAACAAATCATCGGCGGCGAAGAGGTGTTTTGTCGCTGGGTCGCGGTCAACGGAGTTCCATGTGAGCTCCTGTCGGTAATGCCCATGTAAACGTCATGTCGTGTTTAGGTGACAGCACGCACAGGAAGGTCTGATGAACTGAGGAGTTTTGGCAAGAGTGACATGGTTCGGTGCATACTTGCCTTCGTAAAAGTTCCTTGGCAAACACTTGACAATCCTCTTTCCTCCAATTCTGCCCCCTGTGCGTATGTTCCCTGCGATTTCTTCAACGTGTTGAAGCCTCATGCAAACCTTCTTCTCATGACTGATTCACGTCAAATTTTCAATGTGCCACATCAGGGTCCCCCCATTCAATTTTTAATGTCAAGTCGTATCCAGGGTTTTCTCTAAACTATAAAGTCATGGCCCATCACACGCAGGACCCCTCAGGCCCCTTTTCAAACCCGCCCACACCATGGAGAAGTGCCCCATCGAAATTTGCCACCAAATTTTCAGGGCGGCTTGCGTTGACGGTGGCAAGACTGGCATTGCCTTATCCCAGGTTTCTCGCTATGTTAACCAAATGTCCCGGGAAGTCAAGTACCACTCCGTCACCGTCATCGGCCTCGACCAGATCATGATGTTCGCAAAGGTCTTGAAGGACCTGCCGCCAAAATATAGGGTTGTTCGCCACCTATTCCTCTCTAGCATGCCCCAAAAGACCAGTCCTGACGACGACATTACCCCGACTTTGAATCAAGAAATTGGGCAAGTTGGAGCGGAGAAGCACTACGTAAGTTTTTTTATTGGGGAGGACGACATACTTTTTTGCTGACTCTCACATCATAATTCTTAGGAGGGTGTCTGTGACGCTTTCAGTCTCATCTTGGAACTGTCAGCGCCCACTCTTTTCTCATTTTACCTGGTATCCCGTATTCCCCGAACCGTCAACATGCTCCCAGTTTCGCTGCCCATGTTGATGGAGCTCACTATCCATGGTCCATTCCCTGCAGTGTCAAAAGCTGAGCTACGGGAGCACACGTACCCTTCTCTCCAGCGCCTTACCTTCGTGGGTTTCAGTGACCACCCGCTGGACTTGTTCGAGGACATCGCCTTCCAAGCTCCAAATCTCACCCATCTTTCCTTCTTCCCTTCCCAGCCGTCTCGCCATCTTCACGAGGATTTGTGTAGCGCCCTGAACATCCCCACCATGAGTGACAAGCATGCGGTTCAGGAAGTCCCTGCAGTGGGCACACTGCCTGCGAGCATTGTTCGGGTCGAAGTCCAGCCAGGTCCGAGGCCGCAGGACAAGAAGGGAAGTCGCCGAAGGAGCGTCTTGATGGATAAGGTGCAGGAGGTAATGCGGGCGCGAGTATTGTTCATGCAGAGACGTGATAAGAGGGTGAAGTATATTGAGCCTGGGCCTGTCCCATCTTACTGTGACGCGAAACTTTTGTGGCTGCAGGAACGCGCCAACTGGGGTGATGATTCTTAGAATACACGCATATGTATCTCGTTGGGAAGTCCCCAGGTCCCCCTCCATATACCCTGCTCTAACTTGCACACTCTTTTCGCAATGTACACGTAGTATTAAGGGTATTATACCAGAAGACATTACACTCGTTTTTGTTGTCCAGGTGCTCCCTCGGTATTCAATAACCTTTGCAAATTTGAAGAGAGCAGATTTTGAAGACCCCCAGCGAGTATTTTAGAGGCATCAGCGGCGGCGACCAGAGTCTCCACACCTTTGGCAACCACATTCCATGCAGTGGCACTTGTTCGTTGAGCGTCATCAGTTCGAGAACCCGCTGTCAGCATAATGGCCGCCTTGAGCGAGTCTAGCTCGTTCAACACCTCGAGGCCAACAGAACGAGCCCAAACAATTGGTTGCAGATCTGTTGAATATATCTTGTGAAGCTTGTCGATAGTCGCCATCAATATGTGGTTTTCCAGGTATCTGTCTTGTGCGTAGGGAAGCAGAGCGGTGTGTGAACCTTGTGGGATGATGGATCAGACTGTGGTAAAGATTCAGGGAAAAGGTAGTCTCACCAATATCGCCACCAAGGAGGAAAGCATTCTCAATGCATCTAGCCAATGACTCTACATCCCCCAGACCCATGTTCAAACCTTGGCCTGCCAGGGGGTGAACGGTGTGTGCGGCGTCTCCAACGAGAGCCGTGCGAGCTCCAAGACCTTCGCCAATGTACGCTTCTGCGTGGTTAAGGCGTAATGGGAACGAAGCCACAGTCCCAGGTTGTAAAGTTGTTACCAGGGGCGGAACGGCTTCAGAACCCTCTAATGGCATGCCGATAGTCGCTGCAGCGTTAGCTGAGGCGTATATAGAGTGTTGATCAATGGAATGCGACTGTTCACGCCATGATATTTCCTGTTGGATCTCGGACGGCGTTATGGGCGTGCCAGATAATTGAGCTTCAAGAATTCGAGTGTGGAGATACCTGACTGACAATTCTGGGAGGCGGAATGCAGCGTTTATCATGCTTGCCAGAACGGGCGGTTCACAAGCAAGGAGAGCTGCGGCAAGCTGAGGCTTTGTTGACCACACGAGGGAAGACGCAGTGGGAGAGAGGGGGAGGAAAGCGATAGGTCCTGTGGGAAGGAATCTCTGGTATGCAGTTGTGTTTGGCCCTTCGAATGCGCCACGAGGTGGGTGTGTCATGGTCGCAACGATTGCTTGAGTGTCGTAAGACCATCCGAATGAAGGAATATTCGCATATGCCCGCACAGGGGAATTAAATCCGTCAGCACCTATCTATGGACTCGTCGATATGATATATGAGGATCAAAAGAGAGGAAATATACCAAGAGCCGAGCCCTGAGGACTCGGTCATTCTCAAGATAGACAAGAGGCCATTGTCTGTGCTCTTCCACGTCCTGGACGATAGACTTCACCTTTGTCTGCTGCAGTAACCTTACTTCTGGAAGGTCCTTTAGGCGTCTCAGAAGTCCGCGTTGCAAGTTGAAGTTTTCTGTTAATCGCGCCATTCCGAGTTCGGGTTTCTCCAGATTCAGCTCCGAGGCAGAAAAGGCGATTCGTGCGCCAGAGATTCCGTCCCATACCTGCGCAAGATAGATTAAAATTAGTTGATGAACCGAGATTCCGATTTACCTGCATCTCGTCGATGCCGCAGGTTCTGGCCTCGTCGATATGGCCCCATACTCCAATTCCTGTCGTAGAGGTAAGAAGGATATGATAGATACAATTTTGAATCGACGGACTTTTCAAAAAGGTCTGTGAAGTGTTTGTTAGGGAGCTGACGCGATTGGAGAACGACCCCGGTATTGGTGCCCAGCCCTCAGCTTTTTTCAGATCTCCACCTTCTACAAGGGTGATACTGAGATTTCGGCGCAAAGATGGCGACGAACCTTTTATCTCGGTAAGTCACTGGATCCTGTATAGACATTCGACCTCACCAAGAGCAGCAGCAAGGGCCAAGCCAGCCGGTCCGCCCCCCACAATCACAATATCGCAGTCTTCATGATTGATTTTCGTGTTATTGATAGTAGAAAGGCGTTTCCTCCAAACTCCTGCGCAGTTGAAAGCGTTGCGACGAGGGTTGGCCAACAATAACATCAAGGTGACAGTTACATAAAAGTATGCATACACTGGCAGCCACGGCCAAATTTCTCATCTGCCCACAACGCATTCTACGGAATGGCAGCCCCCACCATTTCAGCTGCCCAGGCTGTTGGTGAATATCTTCAATCCCCGGACGACCTTGTGAAAATATCTGCGTTCAGAAAGAAATTAGAGAAAGAGAAAGCCTCGATCGACGCGAGACTCAAGACTGGCGTGAAAGAGCAACTACAAGCAACAAGGGAGGGTCTGAAGAAACTTTTATCTACGCGCGACCATGTTCAAGCTGTCAAGGACGAAATGATAACCATCGAGAAAGAGTGCGAGGACACCTCGATAAGAGTGGCTACATTCGACCAGATTAGTAGGGTACGTCGTGAAATGTGTGGAGTTGCAATCGTCTAGTTAAGACAATGCATAGGTTTCCATGGTCCACCGAAATTTTGAATCGACAGAGGAAATGGTGAACAACCTGCTCGATATGGCTTCTAGGCTGGATGAATTGGAGTACATGCTCGCATTGGACAGCCGCGAAATTCTTGGTCCGGCACCCAACCTTCTTGTCATTCATTATCAGCTCAACCAACTTGAACGGTTTCGCAACCAGACTATGCATCAGGCCAAGAAAGCTTCGGCGGACGCCCGCAATACGCTGACCAGGTGGTTCGAGCGTTTGAACAAGGACATCTCAGCATTTGATGAGTACATCCTGGAGCTGGCTCGGAATATTATAAATCTTGTGCGCGCCGGTCAGTCGAACGTCGTCGTTAGATTAATCAAGATTGTTGAGATGGAAGGGAAGGAGGACGAGAAGGTGGGTGCTGGTTATTTCAACTCAAATGACATTCTCATTCGTCCATTCCAGACGCTGGTGATGCGTTTTGTCAAGAAAGCGGCAAAACCAGATGCAGCTTTGAAATTCAAATCTTTGCAAGCTGAAGCACGCGTTCTTAAACATTATCGTTCAAAAGTTATGAAGACTATAACTCAGTCTATCCAAACTAAAGTCAACGACGCTTACGCACGGGATGAGCAAGATCCTACTGGTTTTCTCGACAGCCTAAGTTGGATTTATCAAGATCTCATTCGAATCGAGAAGGACGTTATCCCTTGTTTTCCAGCCGACTACGACATCTATTCGTTATATGTTCGTGAATACCACAAGGCGCTGAACGTCGTCGTTAAGCAAATAGCCGCCGCGAAGCTTGACGCTAGTGTGATGCTAGCCTTGCACGAATGGCTGAAAGAGTACAAACAGAGCATGAATGAGCTCAATATTTCTCCTGACCTTCTGGAGCCTCCGTTGATGGATGGGAAGGAACAATCCCTCATTGAGGATTATCTTCAGCTTATCGTTTCGAAGCTTGACGAGTGGTCGACCAACCTTATGAAAACGGAAATCTCTGAGTTCACCAAAAGAGAAGAGCCTCCAGAGGTCGATAGCGATGGCTTGTATGGGACGCAAGGGGCGGTCATCTTGTTCCAGATGGTCAACCAGCAGGTAGATCTAGCGGCAGAGAGTGGCCAAGGCGCGATTCTTGCTCGCGTCGTCGGCGAAACCAACCGAGTTATGAAGGGGATACAGGACCAGTGGACCAAGGTCGTCGATGCGGAGTTCAAGAAACAGATGGAGAAGCCCGAAGAAGTTGCAGGAGGCTTGGTCGAGTACTGCATAGCGCTCGCAAATGACCAAGTGAAGTCTGCGGATTACGCTGAAGCCCTCCTTCAGCGTCTGGAGCCCCTCGTATCTGAAAAATATCGAGTGACAATCAATGAGCGTCTGAATGATGCCATAGACGGATATCTTGACGTCGCAAAGAAGTGCATGCAGACTCTGATCGATACCATATTCAACGACCTGAAACCCGCCACCAAAATTCTCTTCCAGCAGCCGTGGTATGATGGTGTTATGGTTCAGATCGTGGAAACCATGCGCGATTACATGGCAGATTACCAAAGCTACCTCAATTCCGCCCTTCTCGAGTTGCTGACAGAAGATCTCATCGATACCTTCTTGTTGACGTATCTGAATGCCCTTGCAAACTCTCCGAAACTCAAGATGCCTGCAGCCGCCCAGCGCATGAAAGAGGATGTCAACGAGGTGTTTTCTTTCTTCAGCAATTTGGCTCCTAATCAGGGAGTTGAAGCCCGATTTGAAGTTTTGGAGATGTTACTTTCCCTTCTCGAGGCATCAAAGGATATCGCTTTCCTCTCATTCTGGGCTTTTGCCAAAGTCCATGGTCCCAATATTGCTTTTGTCGAAGGCCTCATGCGGTCTCGCAGCGACTTCGATCGCTCGGCTGTCAACGAAATCATGGAAAGTATCAAACGTAAAGTCAAAGATGAAGGCTTGATAGATCGTATGTTTCACCATTTTATATCATGTGAACCGCTTCTCATACGCAGACCTAGCACCTGAACCCACAATCATGAAGAAAGTCGCCGTTCAAAACGCATTCTCTAGGTTCCTACGGACTTAAGCTTCTGCATCACTGGCTTACATATCAGCTTTTCATTCCTTGTTGCCCTGTATCAAATACATATACCTGGTATATTCACTGTATTTTTACTGCGTTACTCATCTTCTGGATTCTAGAATTTGTACTTCTTTTGTCATTTATTCTGTCTTTGTCTTGTCGACCACACTAACAGTGCTTCTGTCTGGCAAAACTGCTGCCACCTCGTCGATCTTCTTGAATTGCCAAGGGAAGCGGGAGGGGTATAGGAAAGGTCGTAGGTCAAATCCTATTCAAGTACGTGAGGAGCGGACACGCGCTCCTGGCTTTAATACACTTACTGTTGTCGTCAGGGCTGTAAGATTCCTGTCGATGATATGAGAACGCATATCTTCTATCAGTGTACTTTACTCACCGCATGGTATGAGGGAGTTAATGTTGTCATCTTATGGCGGTTTTTAGCATGCTCGAAAAAAAAGAGTTTTACTTTCTCAGCGATCTAGAGAGAGCTAACTTGCATCATCTGACAACATCGGGACATTGGTTGATCTTTACCTGCACTGGTGACAAGAAAGCGCCCCACTCATGAACAAGCTTCGTAAAAGTGCTGTATGGTCCGCATTTCTCGACTTTGCGAAGCCGCCCAAATACCGATAATTCGTCGTACGTCATGCCCATGTCAGCCTAAAGAAAATTAAAGTGGTGTCTTGTTGATGCAGGGGGTCAAAGCTAACCTCATCGGATTGCACATATGTTTCGGTGATAGGTTCTAGCTCGGCCGTCGGGACTGCCTCTAAGAAGCTTCAAGAGAACTTGAGCAGATCCATTCCGTCATTGGAATGATGTCACCGACCTTGTCAAGATCGGAAGGTCGAAGGCGTCTTTCGCGTACGCGATGAATCTTTTCAGATCAGTCTTGCTGATGCCGCCAATAGGGTTGATATCCGCTAATCGGTTGTGAGAAGTTGTTGTAGACTTAAATGGTCAGATTGCCTACCCGAGGAGCAGTCGTATTTCGTAAGGTATCCGCGAAGACTGTATGAAGGTACCAGGTAACGATCAGATCAAGGGAAAAAGGCAACTCAACATACCTTTCATCGACATTGGCACTTCCGAGAACAAGCAAACCGCCAGATTTCCCCCGCACCCAGGGCAGAAGCTGGGCAAACATGTAGGCTAGAACCATTCGGAGTCTGGCCTGCATAAGATGAGTCAAACGTTTTGTTAATTGAACCAAACCCACCTGTATATTCTGCAGGGCAAGATTCTCTGCGTTGGAGCCTCCCTGACTGCGAAATTGGGGCCTAAAGCCAGTCACATATCCAAAAAGACTACGGACAGCAGTTACAACCGAATCCATATTTAAATCAACATGATAACTGTCACACTCGTGTTAAACAACACAAGCAGCAGAGTAGACGGGCATACCTTCCGATCGCCTCTGACAATTGCTTCGCTCGCCTACGAGTTTCCAGGCTGGAATTTTCTGTACCCATGTAGCATGTATGAAAAATCCTGTTCGCAAATTCCCTGGGATCGGAAGGAATGTAGGAGGAATCCGGCTCCCCAGTCATTCGCCTCGCATCAGCGATGACTTGCTGCTCTACCGAAAGGTCAAGACGTAGAACGAGTAACAGTCAAAATAGGCTGACCTCCCCGAAGCGCGGCCTCTGAAACAAGGCGGCACATGGAATATACGATGACCGCAGTTGCACAGCTGTCAATGCCACCGCTTAATGGTATAAAATATCCCTGAGTTCGGGATCGTCGAAGATAGTCCCAGAGCCAGCATGCTGGACCTAGACTACGACAGGTTAACAGTGTGTTACGTTGTGTATGAGCAAGAAGTTTACGCGATTTCTTCCTCGGGCGCGTGGTATCTGACGTCGATGGATTTGGTGCCGATTAGGCCTACCAAATCTTCTTCGCGCACCTCATCGAACTTTCCATTGGTCAACGCAAATGGAACTTCGACCCTGTAGTATCTCTCAGACGATGCGGCTTGCATGCTTCTGCTGCTTTTCGCTCGATGAGCCCGGACGTCCTCGATATCAACTGTGGCGGTGACGACTTCTACGTCAGTCAAGGAAAATTGTGAGCCCTGTGCGATGACCCTCCCATTGACTGCAATCATGGCACAGCCGTCGTAGTACAGACGGTCTCCATCACATCCCTGTTGGTTAGCATACAAATAAATACCCCCGAGCTGAAAAAGATATCAGTTTTTCGAGGTCAGTAGAGTGAAGTCAAACGTGCTTTGAGTGTTGCCTCTTTGATTAATTCAACTCGAGTGTACAGCTTCCGTAATTCATGGTGACTGCCACTTGAGTTGGTAAATATCTCAACGCCATCGAGACCCATGAGTATGTGTGGGCTGATAATGCAGATCAGAATGACGGCAACGCCATCAAGAGTGACCGTGCTAACCTCGCAGGTGTAAATAACTCCTCGCATAGCTCTACGCCAATACATGTATCCATTGTGCTGATGACTGCATCGCCAAACGGAACTTTGGTCTTCAAATGTGTTGTTAAATGCCGTGCAGGTTGTTGGAAAGACTCAAACCTGTTTGGTAACTGCTTGTATTATTCTCGGCAAATAATAATCTTCCCATTGTCTATGCTTTGCCCACGGGGTAAAATATCGTAGCTCGCGGTAGTTACCATCGTTTGCCAGCCACATCTTTGGCCGAATGAGAAGAATTTTGCAGTCATGAACGATGATTCGGCAGTTATAAATTACGTTCTTATGAACAACAGGCCTGATGTTTTTTTTATCGAGTTAAAATTTGGTTCAGAAGTTGGGGAACAGACTAACATTCCGATATCGCAAACAATGCCCATCGTTGCATCGGAAGTCAAAATCTTCGCGAGAACCTCCCAGGAATGGAGAACAGTGTCACCTGTAGTTAACTACCTAAATATCATGAGCGACAAATTGCCTCAGAGCACGCACCTTCTAGGAAATGATCGAGGCATCCATATCCGCTAATAGTACGTGTCAGATTGACGGATAGGTTGAATCCTGAAAGGGGTGAGCTAACGGGATCTCCAGCTCTGGGCCAACCCTCAGGGTAGCTCCTCGCTCCTTGGAAATCGTAATGCTGGCGAGAATCCGTTCATAGTTTCCCTAAATGCTTGTCAGCATAGCGAGGCAAGACGAGTAGTGCTATAATCCCACCTGAAAGTCGAGTGCCCATTGATTCAACGAGCTGCACAGTGATTAATGTTGGCAAAATCATGGATGCATGCCACGAAATACCATCTAACGGAAAGTGAGGTTCTGTCTATACCTTGTGGTAGCGGACTTACGTAGCAAGAGTGATTAAATGACCCATCTTAAGGTAAAGGAGAGAGAAGTCGGAATCTCATGTTTTGGCATGTTTACATGAAAGTGGTATCAATTGCTGGAGGTAAACTTTTAACTAAAACAGGTGTGCAATTCTCTATACTATCTAATGGGATTACAGAAAACCATGCAAACGAAAGCTAACAGATGCTGAGGATGATGAAACAATTGCTGGATATAAGAAAGGAATGCGTTCTTCATTTCGATAGGGGTGCTATTATAAGAACAACATCAGCACGGTCTTTCGATTGCGTGGTTGACGAGCATACCAGAACGAGGTCCTTGAAGAGCACCTATTAGTGAGGTCCTGTCCTCGTCCGACAGATGGTCTGCCATACGCAGGAAGCTTTCCATAGCCGCTTTGTGATCCTGCTTCGTCAAGTCCACCAACCGGCGCATAAGGTGGTCGGCTCTGAGTTGGGCGAGAGTTCGGGTAAGATCCAATTTTTCGAGAGCCTCCGACATCTGCCGGTAATCCATGCCTGGTTCGATGGATGCAAGGTCGTCTAAGAGCTGGGATCGATGCTCGAATGAAATACCGGGGCTGGCTTCTGCAAGATCTGCAAGAGCAACTGATCGAGCGACACGAGCCCGTACCGCCCAGTAAAAGTAGCGTCGGGCATTTCTCCATACAGCAGGCTTGGCACAACCTTTCGCCTCCATGCGACCGGTACGACTGCAAATTGCAGGATTATATAGCTATTTCGAGAGCAAGAAAATATGTGTCACTCACTCATGGAGATCGGCGTACAGGATTGCAATTTGTTTGTATGTCGGTTGCAGGAAAGTTTCTCGGGCAGCCAAGGCAGTCGAAGCAGTGCTGCGCTCTTCTTCAGACTTGGAGGCATCCTTGCTATCACGATTCAACGAAGCATACGTCGAATCAAGACGTTCCATCAAAGATCGAATCTTGTCTCGTCGCATCTTGATTTCGATAATGCCCTCCGGCTCAAGCACACCCGCACGAGCGTCAACATCGGCATACATCTCCATCTGCTCAGAATTGATTGATGGGTCGAGAACAACCCATGCGCCACCGCGGAGCTCGCCGTTGGGTACAATGTAAACGAAAACTGGCTGCTTGTAGCTTGATAAACCGTCGACAATCTTGGAGCCTTGCTTCAGTACCTCATCATACATATCTTGCTGTCCACCGGAGAATCCCCGCCAATTTGCAAAGATAATCAAAGGCAACCCTTCACGATCGAAGTCGAAAATGGCCTGCGCGGTTTTGTACGCTGAATTAGGATACCAAACCTGACCAGCCTCCATGATTCGCTGTTCAAAGGAAGCAGGATTTGCTGGGTCTGCTGGAACCAATCGTTCAATAGTGCGGGTCTCGACAGCAATCACGCCCATAGGAATTCCACCCAGACGCGCACGTCCGACCACGACCGTTTGGGCCCAACCGCTGAGCGTCTCTTGGAAAGAGTCTTTGTCGAAAAACCCACTCGTCCACTCGGATGTGTTCTCGTCGATCTTTCCTTCAATAAACCAACGAGGATCGTATGCGCCCTTCGGAGGCAGATAACCAATGTCACGATCCCATGAATCAGAGCTTTCTCGAACGGGCAGTGGGCCATTCTTAATTTCTGGTACGTATGAAAGCCATTCCAAAATATGAGTAGCTCCTTGTAAATCGCTGCCTGCAGTGAGGTGGGAGACCCCGTTCTTGAACATGATCTGGGTACCGCCGAGTTGCAGATTGGATGTGTAGACTTCGCGTCCGAGGACTTTGTTGAGAGCCTGCGCACCAGTAAGGATGATGGGCTGACCCTCGACCTGAACGGCTCGCTCCCCAAGGCGTACGAGATAGGCGCCAATTCCAACCGACCTCGCGGTAACGAGTGTGATTGTGAAAATATCGTTGTACGCTCGTGAGGTCTCACCAGCGATGAGGCCGGAACCCTTGAGAGATTCGACGCCGAGACCTTCTTGCAATCCGATAATGTCAGTGATCTTGAAACGACGTTCACCATCGTCCTTGATCTCTTCAGTGCGGACGCTATTCGCACCCTTCTCCTGCAACTTGAGGAAATTCTCTGGGGTGAGATAGAGATAATCGAATCCCTTTTCCGGCTTGCCCTGCTCTTTCCAGGCGGTTGAGAACAAGGGAATAACCTCTTCTGCCAGACCAAGTCTAGCACCGGAGTTGGCTGATAGGTAGATGCGAGGGAGACCGCGTTCGCGAGCGTATTGGGTTACTTGATAGAAGAATTGGTCTTCAACAGGTCCAAAAGATCCGATCTTGTAGGTAATGTCATTGGCGACGACGACGACTTTGCGACCTTGTGGAAATTCTGGGGTTCTGAGGGTAAATACCCATCCAACCATGCCGAAGTTGTTGTTGCCAGGTGCCCTGTCTACTTCGGTCAATCGATCATGCTCATCCAAAACGAGTTCCTTCGACTCCAAGAAGGACTTGGGAAGAACAAGGGAGGGGTCGGTGTTGCGAGCTTTGATCCAAACGTTGTGCAGGGCTTTTGAGAAGAGATCGGGGAAGTCATATACATATGTGGTTCCAATGAGATGTGCCTGGTACCGTTTTGGTTGAAGCGATTCCTTGGTTGGGTATGCTTGGTGCACAGGCTGTAAATGCAGAGGCCCCTTATCGCCTATTGATTTGAGAATCGTTGTCCCTTTGTCAGTGGTTATTTCTTGATACCCGTGGTAGTTGACGATGAAGCCGGAGACGTTTTCAATGGTGCATCGAATGGGGGTGACGTTGCCGTCGCTGTCCTCAAGGGCGATGCGAATTTCAGAGCTTGTGACGTGGAGACGCCAAAGCCGCTTGCCGTGGCGTTCAATAAAACCAGAGATAGCGGCCAGGACGTCTTCGTAACCGACAGCCAGGTTGTAGACGAAGTTCATGAAGATATGATTGCAGTCGGCGTTTCGGTGTTCTGCACTCACGATTTCGAGAGCGTCCAAAACGCTTGTGACCAAGCGATCAGTTTCGGAAATGAGATACTCTGCTGTGGTCATAGAGCCGCGTAAGCGACCAGGCCTTACCAAAGCGCGGATGAAGAATCGGTTGTCGAGTTGGTTCTCCCGCGCAATAGCGTGGTATATATGAATTTGTTTGGCCTCAACGAAGCAGGGTTTTAGGTTGTAGTTGGAAAGACGGCTTAGCTCCAGTTGGAATGCCAGGGCTGGCTCTATATTACGAATTGCCTGCTCCTCACCCCAGATACCCGAAAAATCGCGGAGGGTGAAGTAGACTGGGTATTGGCCCATGCGGCAGAGCATTATGGAAATGCGCCGCACTCCACGTTCAGTGAGAACGCTGGAGTGCTTGTTGACAAAGTCAAGGATTTTCTGATGCCAAGCTTCCTCGGACAAGTCGTCCTCTGGGCGGAAAATACGAAGAGCAATATTAACGACGTTGGGTGCGTCATTGTTGGCACCATACCGCTCTGAGAATTCCTGTTTGTCAAAAACAGGTAGCATAGAGACAACCTTGTTAAAGCCTTTTGAGAGGGAAGGAAGGTTAGGGAATGAGGCAATTGCACCAATTCGCACAGGTTGCGATTGGTGGCGATTGATCATGAAAGTAAGATCGCTGACAGAAGCCGCTCTACGAGGAGGTTCCCTGAAAACAACAAAATCAGTGGAGAGTGCTAATTGGGGTCCAGATATGCGTACCCGCCAGAAAGTCGAGGAGTCGATGGAGGAGAATGCGACCGTCCAAGGTTGAAGCGCCATGTTACGGCCGTCGGCACCTCGCCTCCATCTAAAGTATCACCTTCTTCGTAGTCGATGGAAAGTAGGGTATATGCCTTGTATGCACGTCTAACGTAAACCTCAAGGGCAGCTTCGAACAATGAATATAAGTCGGGAAATTATTATGCATGCATGATGGGACTGACCGAGCCGAACCATAGGGTCTTCGTGATCGAAGAAGGAAGGAAGCACATCGAAGACGGTGTACCTCGAATCACTGAGTTCTTTAAGAACCTCCGCAGACGGGGTCCTGCTCACGTGAGTTTCGTATCAACCAGATAAATGGACCAACAAACCTTAGGGTTGAATCGTGTTGTTCGCCATAATAGTTGTCTGTGACGGAATTTTTTAGGACAGTTTCCATCTGATGAAGGCGTTCCTCGTAGGAGGGCATTTGACCAAGAATGAGAACCTCGCGAGCCTTGAGCGAAACAGGGGTGGAGGATCTAAACGACGTAAGAATTCACTACCACATCAACCTGGTGAAGGTTGCTCTTACTTGGCTTCCAACGATGCAAGTCCCTGCAAGACTTGATAAAGCCGGCCTTCGGTATTTGAGACATTGAGTCCACTTGTCTTGACGTAGTCCAGGACGGCAAAGACCAATTTGACTTTGCTCTGGACCTTGATGTGGCTAAGAACGGCACCAACGACCTTGTCGAGATCATCTTTGTGCTGATCGCGGAGAGCCAAAACACGAGCCTCAATGCTGCCACCGAAAAGTTTCTCCGTTGCTTCATAACGAGACAAAAGATTGGCAATAGTCTCCGTCTCATGTCCTTTCAAGCCTCCCAAATACCTCTCCAAGACGTCATAAAGTCCTGCAATCTTCGTGCGGAACATCGCTCGATCTTGAGACAATATATGGTCTTGAATATAGTTATCAATAACCTTCTTGATGCGAACAGCAGGGAAATCATGACCGTCGCCTTTCGCCTTCGCAATATCCATCGCAGAACGGATGGTCTCCTCTAACTTGGCAGGCATACGACCTGATAGTGACGAAAGAATGGCGGTCACTTCAGAGTACGGCAATTCAGGATCATGGAGAACTTTGACGAGCTCCTTGAGTGTAGAGGCCATGATGGATTGATTGTCGAACCCATCCAAGATGTCGTTCAAAACTCCCATACAACGGTTGAGCGTTTGGTGGGGCTTACTACCCATAACACCTGGGGCCCCCATCTGAGGCAGAAGGCCCTCAAACGGCTTCGCGTGTTTGACACGGGCTGGATCATCAAGAGTGAGGATACCGAGAATGTCTCCAGGTTCGAGGCTGACTCCCGGCTGCTTGATTAGCTGGATGACACCATCCTCCGAGGCGATAAGTGGCATGTACATTTTCATGACCTAGTTATGGTATCAAGATAGAACTGAGACATGACGGTAAGGCACTTACCTCTATTTCCGCATACTGGTCTCCAGCATTGACATGATCTCCGCTATCAACAAAGAACCGGACCAGCTTACCAGGGCTTGGGCTCCTTAGTTGAGTGGGATCGTTTTCCTGCTCGATCAGACAGGTTTTGGCGTCGACCATCAATCTGAGGGCGCCAACTTCCTCACGCCAGTAGATGGAGTGACTTCTACCGTCAAGGAGCACGAGCAGGCCGCCATCCGCAAGCGGCCTTGCACCAACCATTGTCCTGCCACCGTTGAGATAGAGAGTCCAAACTGTTGACGAAGATCGAGCAGCGGTAAAAGAGTAACGAGTGTTTTCGTAGATGAAATCGACGCCGAAGACGGTTTTGAGAACGTCACGACCAGGCACTTGTCCCTTTTCAAGGACACGCTTGTATTCTGTCCAGCAAGCGTCCGACGCTAAGTAGGCCTTGGTAACGGCGCCGCAAACAACCGCCAGAGTCGCATCAGGGCGTTCTGCCGTAAGCTTGCTACTGATAAGGGAATCAAGCCAGCCAGTCGTGATGGTATTCTCCTTGAATGCTTCCAACTCCAAGAGCTTGATAAGATACTCCACCGTTGTTCTAAAATCTCCGCGAATGCTCAACTCCTTGAGAGCAACGATCATGTTTTTTCGGCTCTCACTGCGATCTTCGCCGTAGGCAAAAATATGACCGAACTGTGAATCGGCAAACTCGTGTAATCCACCAGCTGTACTGACAGAGAAATAGCCCCAGACATTGGTGCTTGAGCGGAAATTGAGTTCCTGCAATGAACCAGACGACGGTTTGAAACCAGCGTCGGGATTTTCCGCAGTGATTCGGACAGCGACAACATGGCCTTTCGGACGAGGCTTGCGTTGCAGTTGGTTGGCGTCCGGCCTGATCATTTCAAAGTCGATTTCAGAGCTGCCAGGAGCGACGCCATAGAGTTGACGAATGTCACGAATACGGTGCAAGGGAAGACCCATAGCAACCTGGAGTTGTGCAGCAGGGAGGTTGACACCAGACACCATCTCCGTGGTCGGATGCTCAACTTGGAGACGAGGATTGAGCTCTAAAAAGTAAAACGAATCATCGGCGTGACTGTAAAGATCTGCACAAATGTGTGAGTGCGTTGCGCTGATAAAAGGACGAGCTGTCCGTACATTCTACTGTTCCCGCGCTGACATAGCCAACAAGTTTTGAGAGGCGAACCGCTGCACGTTCCATTTGTTCGAAAGTCTCCTCTTTCGCGATTGTAACTGGCGCTTCTTCGATGATTTTCTGATGCCGGCGTTGCACCGAGCAGTCTCGACCAAAGAGAGAGATGGCGTTTCCATATTGATCTGCGAGGAGCTGAACTTCCAAATGACGCGCTTGACCAGCAAGCTTCATGATAAAGATGGGCGAGCCTGACCTTGACATCAGACAACTCGTTACCAGGTAGGAATTGAAACACACCTGGAATTTCGCCTGAGGCCGCGTGATACGCATTTTTAAATCCATCTGGGTGATCGACTTTTCTGATTCCCTTGCCACCTCCGCCCTCGCTGGCTTTGATCATCACCGGATATCCAATTTCTTCGGCACGTTCCATACCCTCCTCAACGGACGACACGCAGGCATCAGCATAAGCCTTGTCTGGTACGGTCACATATCCTGATTCTGAAAGCACAGTGTCCGTGATTCCTGTGCCTGACCAAGGCATTGTGGGTACGTTTGCGCTCTGAGCAACGATTGTGCTAGAAATTTTGTCACCCAGGCTCCTCATGGCGCTTCCTGGAGGCCCGATAAAGATAATCTTGTTTTTGCTTGCAGCCAAACTTTCCGGGAGGCGAGGATTCTCGGAAGCGTGTCCCCATCCTGCCCAAACGGCGTGAACACCAGCACGTTCCGCGATATCAACTATCAAATCGACATTCGCATAGTTATTGTTATTTGATCCTCCTGGAACTTCGATATATTGGTCGGCCATCCGAATATATTCGGCGTTCACTTTGAGATCTTCAGGAGTCGCCATAACCGTAAATTCCACGGCGCGTTCCCTGCCGAACGTTTCGTAGCTCCATTGGCGAATCGAACGAATTTCTTTCACGGCAGCAATACCTGGTAAAAGTTCTGAGGACCAGAAGTTTAACTTCTTCATTAAAAATTACACGCACCGTTGTTTGCAATTAGGACCTACGCGTCAAGGTCAGTTGTATGCGCACCCTCGGATAAAAGCACTACACACCTTGGTGATTACAGTATGACCCCCATTTGCTTTGACAAAATCGTAGACATTGCTAGCAGGTGCCTTGTCCAATGAGTTACCACCTTGTATCATATTACATGAGCTGTCGACACGAGCAAGGGCGAACGTACCTATAAAGTGTTGTACCCTCGAATGGTCGTATGCCGACATGGCGAACGGATAGCAGGGAGACGCGACTACAAGGGAAGAAAGGGAGTTAAAAGATGACGGCAGGGAAGAGCTGAATTTATGGGTGCTAGCTCCTCCACGCTGGGGTCAAAGTTTGTGATCGACCCCAAAACTCTGTGAAGCCCGCTTACCTCAGCCGGCGTGCTACTTGGGGCCGACCAGGATGAATGCGCTTCACAAAGCAATTCTGTCGTCAAAAGCATCACTAAAATTTACTGGAAATTCTTGGACATCCTCTACAGATCACTGTCATTTTCTTCATAGCCCTGCGCGTAAATACAATGTGGAATCGCGTGTACTGCTTATATTTGGTAGTGTTGCACAATATAGTCATGCATAAAGCACAAGCAAACATTTATGAGAGACACTTTCACCTTGCTTTCACCTAGACGTCATAGTTCTCCCACTGAATTGTAGCAGAAAAATAGTTGTTAGGCAAATCGGGTAGCAATATTATAGAACTTACCTGGCCGTCTTCCTTTCGACGGTTGCTACCTCAGTTTTGGCTCTGTTCAAAATCTTCTGGAATTCCGTCACACGATGGCGCATCCTGGAGTGCATGTACGCTTTGGAGCATTTGATGTGATAGTGCAGATAATCTCGGAAGAGTTGAATGTGAGAGATTGTTGCAGAAGCCCTCTCGGGATTGGTGAAATGACGCGGGGAGACAACGAACGTCACATAGCCGATATCTTCAGTATTTCGCAAACCAGGAACGTCACGGATCTCGAGTGGTGGATCGCGATTTGAATACAGCACTTGAGGTGCGTTTATTGAAGGCGAGCGGCGTGCATCGACAAATTCCTAAAGGTACATTTTAAACACCATCAAGAATAGGGTGATCGAGCAGTGTGCACCTGGAGGAATACTCTCCCAAAGATTCTATCGGTTTCCTCTTGGAAAACAGTTGAAAAGATGACCGTGACGCGATCATGCGCAGCTTGAACGTATATGGCCTCTTCGTCTCGATAGTGGATCTGCATCAATTCTCCGCGACCTGCTCCTGAGGCTTCCAACTCTTTCTGGGTCTTGAATGCGAGTTCAAAGGGTGCGGCCAATGCATTGCGCTTGAACAGCGCAATGGACATCACAAAGTCGTCGCGAGCGCCTGGAAAAGTCAATAATCTCCCCAGTGATAATCGACCCAAACACACCAGGATCTGCAGGTACTTGTTCTAAATCGATCTCCAAACTGACGTTATACTCCGGTTCTGCTTGAGCCGCCAAGAGAGCTCCATACTCCCGTTTCAACACATCCATCGCGCCATATCTGACCAATTCGTCCCAGCAACGAATGTGCATGGAGAGAAGAAGGCTAGTCTTGCGTTCTGGTGTTGTGAGATGGAACCGCACGCCATCATAATCCACGAATTGTACGTCGAGTGACGATGGCCTACAATACTTTAACACGTATTCTCGTTTGTTTTAGACGGAGAAGCTGCAGACTTTATGAGCTTTTCCGAAAGAGTTGTCTGGATAATGACGTTGTGGGGCTAGAGATAGAAAGTCAGCGATATTCCTGTGATACGAGCTTATTGCACCTACTTCAAGTAAGATCATGATCAATGGGAATGAAAATGAGAAGGTAGAGTCTCCTCGTCCTTTGGAGCTGCGCGTAGATACAATTGAATCACGTGATGTCTAATCACTGGAGGTTGGAGTTGTGCTCCAACCCAATTGGAGCAAGGTTGGAGGAAGTGCAAGCCACTATTCAAATATTCACCGGCACCCCTCGACCGAAAGGCAAACGCTTCACATCGTACATTAGGTTCACACAACAATGTGAAACCGTCAATGGCTACCCGCATTATGATTATTTAACAAGGAACTATCTTTTCTATGTGAGTACGAGCCCGAGTTCTAGAGATATGTACTTTTTGCCTCAGGAATGGATATCATGGAAAGCAATCGACAAAAACGAAGTAAACTGGCCGAAAAAAAGGATACATCGAGACAGTGTCGATGATCAAATTGACCATGAATGATATGACTTGAAACCCGTTCACTGACGAGTTTTGGTATCGACATGCATCCAGCTCTTGACCAAGGTCTTGCGAAGGCTGTGAATGCCCACAGGACCCACCTCGTGAGACACGTCGTATTCTGTGTTGCCAGACACCAATTCCACTGCGTTCCTGCGATCTGCAGGTGCAAATGGTTGATTTCTGAGCAAAGAGGGGTCAGGTGCGGGCCAAGATGAGGGGATGATGCACATACATTGCATTGAAGACGAAGTCCCTAGGTTCGGGGTTCGGGTGCTACATGGTCCAACGGGGGTTAGTGCTCATTCCTGTGATCGAATGAAGTCTTACAGCGGTGATCTCATGCAGCTCGCGCTGGATTGAGAGGCAGAAGTAGTCAAGGTCTAGAAGAATGATAATCAAACCTTGCAAGAGGAGCAGAATGGGGAGACAACTAACCCAGATCATTTAGGTCGTAGTTGAAAGGGTTTTCACTGGCGGTGGAGAGTTGTCGTTTAGCGGATGGTTGAAGGTTAGACAAGAGGCTCCTACATTTCTTGCCCGATCTCCAAGAATCCTAGAAGCAAGAATGAAGCGAACGCCGTGCCTGGAATGGTGAGGTACCCGAAGGCATTGTAAACTTGGAACTGTAGTTGAGTGAGCAACCCGCTGGCCCGCGTTGGGATATTCACTTACTGGCAAGAAGAACAGATAAAGCCTGTATGTATGGAGGTGGGTGGGGTGGTCTGGTGACTGGAGGTGGTGGTTACGTACCATAACGACATCCTCAGATGTATTTGGTATGCAAACGGCAATGGGGTATTGCAAATCCGCTCCAAGTTGGATAGAGTGTCCTGAAGGGAGTTGAGGTTCGTCAGGAAACCAGTCGCAGATGCTGGCTGCAGCAAACCACTCCTAAGAAGGACTATCATCGATCATTTAGTTCAAGCCGGGTTCTAAGTGTTCAGCAGTTTCTCACATGCGAAGTAGCTAGGTAAAAGACATGTTAGCGCGAAACTCTCAATTCGCAGACACGTAGAAATTTACCCTTGAAGAATCAAAGAAATTTCGAGAGGAACATTGCTCTCAACAATCTCCGCGAATGCATTCTTCTTCCTCCGCCTTTGCATGCCAGGCTGCGCCTTGCGAAGAATAATATGTACAACCCATTTGAAGAACCTTAACAGAGGAATGTAATCGTACACAGTGGTCGGTGGGGGCATGCGGGCAGGCTTGAGTGTTTGTTCACTGTCGACGTAGGGCAACACACTCTCAGGATCGAATTTACGTTGTTTCCCGCTGCGATTGCGCGAGAACCAGCCTTGATCAGATGCCGCATCGGTGTTCTTCTCATCAGTGGAGCTAAACTGTTTGCTATGGTCTTCCTTTTGCTTCTCCTCGCCATTGAATGGTTGTTCTCCGTCAATCTGCCACAGAGGAAGTTTCTCGGGCGTGTGTGGGTGTCCCTCTGTATCCATATGAGAGTATCGTGGAAGGAAGGATATCAAGGGATAAAGATCCTCATAATAGATGCCTTGCTCTCCTCGAAGGAAGTGCTGGAAGGAGTGGTTAGCATTAAGACGTTTCCTTGACTCTTGAGACTCATACTTTTACTGATACAGAAAATGCTTGAATCTGGTCGATCCGCTTTAGGAATCAGCTCTTCTAAGTTTTGACTTTGGCGACTCACGAGATTGATCATGCTCTTTTTCTCGACGATACTTTGAACGACTGTTTGCCTCTGCTGCAAACCTTTGTTTTCCCGATCGTTTGGGACATGGAGCCAAATCTGCGTAAAATATCGATAAGAATACGTCGATGTATATCAGGAAGTAAAGTACCAGCTGCGCCAAGGTTCGCGATGCGGTCGTAATGTTGGTCCACATTTTCCTGCCATCTTGATATCTAGAATGGGAGTTAGAGGCATTGATAACACGACAGTGGCCAAAGATACCTCTCGTATGCTGAAGATGTTCTGAATGAGATAACCAAACCAAGAACCGTACCCAGTACAGTCAAAAGTTGGTTGTTGATCCCAAGATGATGCTCAGTTTTTTTCGAGACTAAGCAGACCACTAGACAACAACTCTCAGCACGATAGAAGGGCGATTCTAATTGGGGGTAGGCTTACTGGATGCAACCAAAGAGAAGAAAGCGACCTCAGGCCATATGTCGTTAATGACTGTAGCGTTAAACTTCTTCAACGTCCACGTCCCTCGGAAAAAAGGATTCGTCGCAACCATAATAGCCTATGTTGCAGAAAGAAAGAGACAGAGCTTCAACGAGTGTGGATGTCGTTCTGCAGTGAATAGAGTAAAAACAAAAGAGCGTGGAGAAAGCATTGGAGACAGGTCCACTCTCAATATAAGGACCAGGACCCTGTTGACGGTACCCACAAAACGTTCCGACATTCGAAAAATGATGTGAACGCCAAGCAACTGCCGGTCACCCAAACGGTGCCGAGGCTGCCGACCTCCAAAGTTTGCCAACCAAGATGCGGACCAGCCTTAAGCTTTGTTCGCCTTGCTGGTCGAAGCGTCTCATATAGGTTACTTACTTGTAAAAGCGCTATGCAGGCCCCGGCATAATTGGGCATACTATGGTAAGTGCGCGCTTCATACCGAGAATTGGATGCTTTCTGGTTTTCCAAAAAGGCAATTTATACGTAAACACCGCTCGAGAAACAGCGCTCATTTGGCGCTCATGAGTCATGAGCACATTCCGCCTGGCAATTATTCTGCCTCCCCTTTGCAAAGACAATTGGATTCAATACATAGTCTTCAACAGCGAGCTTTAGGAGCCAACACGAGAGCTCGCTGCGCTTGCTCCCAAACTTAATACATAGTGCATATCGCCTAAGTTACGATCATTGAATGCCAACGGAGCACAAAAGACCACTCCTGTTGCTTTCGTACGTTCGATATCATATTATTTAAACTACTAAGTCCGTCCGTCAGGGGGGGCAAAAAAGGAGGAGGTTGCGTGACAGTGGTTAGCGACAAAAGGAAATTTTCGAAAAGGCAAGAAGGACGAGGTAAAATAAAAGTGATGCAATGCAGAGGGAATGATTATGATGAATGATGGACGACGAAAGGGCTGGGGAAATCCATTCCAATGTACGTAGCGAACGATGTAAATGCCAGAAGTGAAAAAAGTGTGTAAATTTTCGGCAGGAAGGTTCTTTTTACTTCCGTCGTTGTTGCCAAACCGACAGTGGTAAGTCTTCCTCCTCGCCATTCCCCTTGTTTCCCTCGCTCGTTCTAGGACGTTGAGGCAAGGAGGCGTGAGCACTATTCCCCTTGCGCATATTGCCATTTGTAGAGGGAAGCGCAAGGGATGTGGTTGCAGTAGCAGACAAAGACCGTCCGGGAGATTTGTGCCCACCACTCATGCCTAGATTTTCCTGGGAGACATTGTTATGGTATTGTTGTTGTCTGCCTTGCTGTTGTTGATATACATTATTCTGCTGTGGGGGGGACCGTGAGCGTTCATGCGACGATGATGGCGGCGATGTGCGTCTTTGTGGGGGAGAGGATGAGGATTGAACCATTCCAGGAGGCATTGCACCTGGAGGAAGCCCTGGCCTCTGTTGCTGGTTTTCAGACTGGTAATAATAATTGTCGGGGTATTGCGATTTTTGCGGTGCTGGTACCAATTTCGGCGGGTTATTTGGGTATTGCGATGGCTGTGGCGAACGTGGATATTGCTGTCCAGGAGGGCCATTCATGGCGGCGGCTGGTGCAGAGGGGGGTCGACCTCCTTGTTGTGGTTGTCCGTTGTAGCCACCGTATTCTTGTTCCATGACCCGATGCTGCATTTCATACTGAGGTCCTTTAATAGGCATCTCAGCTCTACGGCCGCCGGCCCCCCCTACAGGCGTCTTGGTCAGCGACCCGCGCCGGCCTGATTCTTTTTTCTTCATCTCCATCTCTTTCTCTCTCTGTTCCTTCTCTGAACGTTCTCGCTCCAACCGCTCCTTCTCAGCATTCTCTCTCTGTTCCCGCTCCCTCCGCTCCTTATCTTCCTCCTGCTTCTCCTCCGCGTTCTGGGTGTCAGTCGATGGCGAACCATTTGTTGTCGCCTGCGCCGATGTCTGTTGGGGATTCTGTGCCTTATTGATTACGCCCAGATACCAGAACATTAGATTGCTGATTAGGACTTGTTCGTAGAGGGGGCGCCTTGGATTCGCCAGTTTGATATGGCTCAATCGATATATTGCCCTCTCGACGTGCAACGGATATCTGGCAAAGGAATTCGTAACACCTGGTGCCAACCCAGGAGAGGTTGGTGGAACATAAGACTTGGATGACTTTGAGGCCCCAAGTAGCGCCTGTGCTGCCTCCCTACCAGATGCGCCACCTGTGATTGGGGATTGATATTCTGCATCTTGTTTCTTCTTCGCACCAAATAGAGAGCCAAAAAAGCCCGCTTCCTTTTCTTTTTCGGCAGCCGCGCGATCGCGATTCTCCCGCTCCTTATCCTTCGCACTCTTTTTCCCTCCTTTGTCTCCACCCCACTTTCCAAAAATGCCTTTTCCCTTGTCCTTTTCTTTTTCTTTCCGTTGGTGATGGGAAGGTGGACTGGGACTCGTCGTAGGATGCAAGGTGGGTGGCGTGTAGGAGGTAAGAGGAGTTATGGGAGACTCTGAAGGAGATGGCATTCGCACAGGATCATTCGAAGGCTGTTGAACGACCAAACGTTGAGGTTGCGGGTGGTGTATGACGGGGCCAAGAGCTTCCAGCAGTGCTGGTTTCACCTCTGGTACAGGCTGAGAACTTGCTTCTGTTGGAAGTGGCAGAGAGGTTTCTGGCGGTGGAGATGTTATCAGAACAGGAGCAGGCTCGTCTTCATCGTCCCTAGCATACGCGTCGAAGATCGATGCTTCCTCACTGAATGAATCTGGCCTTCCGTTGGTGTGGTATCCATCGTCGGAGACAGTTCTGCGACGGTCAGATATAGCCGATTCCAATTCACCATGATCACTGGAGGATAATTCACTTGATGTTCGATGCTCTGTTCCAGACTTGGAAGGGGCCCCACGTCGGCTGGCCCCAAAGCGATGGCCTCCACCATCTCCCGGCAAACCAGGTTTGCGAATTTTAGTGCGAGCAGCGCGACGTAGGATTTGACCGGGTGGGGGAACAATGATGGGAATATCGGCTTCATCACCCATGTCGGGCATCTCATCCATGTGTTCGATAGCTGGTATGTCGTAAACACAATTATATGTCATCCAGGTGGACAAAGATACATACCAGAGGGGGACAGATTGAGACTTAAGCTCCTCCTTAGAACGCTTCTCAGCTTGGAAGGATCGTCACTATCCGTAGCCTCTTCCGCTAGTTCTTCCAATCTTTGCAAATCATTGATGGTCAGCGGGGGCCCTTGGTGGGTAACATAGCGACTACGGGTCCGTTTGAGAGGAACGACATTCTCTTCCTCAACCCCGTCATTTTCCTGAGGTCGATATTGTCGACTCAACATCGATCGCTTCCTATTTAGGCTTGATCTCGAGGAAAGGGAAGAAGACATGGAGTTGCTCCGTTCTAGGGCATCATCGTCCGACGGGGGAGGGGAACGAGCATGCTCCTTTAAAAAAGCGCGGAACTCTGCAGGTGCTATCTCGGGGTGAAGACCGGCTGGAACCCAGAAGAGGTGGAAAGGATCATCCGCTGGGTTATTGGGGTTGGCGGTGTCACTCGTACGACTGGCATCATCGCGATGGCCTATGAGATCAACGGGGGACCTAGCATCGTTGGAGGTAGCGGGGAAATCTCCATCCTTACTCCCAGAAGTGGAGGCAGCAGACTTGCCGGACCAATAAGTAGAAGTGGGCGAAGAGGGTGGAGATTGATTGGGCAGGTCAGGATCAATAGCGAGTGCACCTGGGTTACTCGAACGCCGCCTGATATCTCTTAGTGCCTCTACTTCCCGTTGAATGTCATATTCTGAGGGTTGCAAAGTGCGAGCAGCCATAGCGAGCAGGTTGTACGATGCTGTGCCTGATGGGGAGAGGTAAAGAGAGGGTGGCCTCCTTGTGCTGTTGAGGAGGTTGAGCTGAGATGGAGGAGGAGTCTATGGCAAGACTGCGGACAACGAGGTTGGCGAGGATGTTGAACGAGCGAAGGCCGGTGGGCAGAGGAGGACAAGGAAAGAAAAGAATAATTGAATTCCGATTGAATTTTACCTTGAAATTCCTTGTACTCAATTCACAGCAGTCCGCACTAACTATACATGTAGTCTATATTACGGTGGACTGACTCTTATTCTTCGACTCCATAAGTATGTATAGCACCCTTCGCTGATCCGACCACCGTCAACACAAGATGCGTACCTGACGCCTGATTATCGTGGAACGCTGGTCAACAACGCATTCTCTCGCCAAAGTTCTTGGATGACCGCCTATATAACTCATCAGATTCCTCTACAAGTCATAGATGTGAACAGCGAACAGCTAGGGCCTCGGGATTGACTCCGCTTTCAATCATCCCTACGCAAGTTGCCAGAGTTTCCTTGTCTAATCGGGTATTCAAAAGCTGTGAAATCTCATGCAAAACTGCGGTTTACATCAACCAACATCGTTGTTCACTGATGTGGAACGCACATACTGTCCAGAGTTTGTTGAGCAGATGAAATTCGCTCAGATTCCTTTGTTGACATTGTCGACGGAGCCCTTCAGGAGCACTCTGTCATTACAGTAAGTCGTAATGACTAAGCACATATTTTAGCCTTCTCTTCCCACGCATTTTCCCATGGCTCCCTCAAAGACAGGAAAAACTGCCCAGCCAAAGAAAGAAAAAGTATATCATCCCTCTTCGCGCAAAGCAGGACAACTCGCTCGGCATGCGCTTCGCAAAGGGAAACTCGGAAATCTTGCATCGAAACGGGGGCAGAAACACAATTCACTAGGTTTGTTATCTCGTCTGTATCACCCCGATCAATTTGTTCAACCCCCTCATTCCAGTGGATCTATATGGATTCTTTTACCATGCTATGCCCGAAGAAGGGGTTCTAACACTGGAGGAACTACACCACATTGTTGGAAACGTCTGGTTAACCCGCTTTGACGAGGAGCTGGAGGAAGAAAAGGCTGCGCGTAGAAAAGGACGGCCGAAAAGTTCCAGGGAAGTATATCTGGAAGATCTGAAGCTGAGAGAGGCGGAGGAGTATCGCACAGGAATGGGTGAGTGATAGCCATCTTCTTAAAGAGCGTCGAGTTAATCACAAATGTTCTAGAGGTGATAGATCTTACACACCCACCCACGGTTGAGGTCTTTCGACGCTGGGACCAAAAAGAAGTTGCCTTCATCCAACTTCTTCGTTTCATACGTATTTTCAGCCCAGAGCACGAGCACTTTATCGTTTCAAGACCTGGCAAACATTTCTCAATATTGGGTTCGACGAATGGAGATGATCCCGATGCAATGGATCTGGTTGAACCCACGCAATAACACATTCCCCTTATTCACTATCCATAAATATGCCATACTACGTAGGTCATTCTACTACACCGGCACAGTTCAAGCAAGCTGCAGTCCGTGATCGGACGTGCACGTCAACACCTCCCATAATATGGGTATGATTACTTGCCACTTCGTATTCGGTGCGACACATACTAAAGCATGAGGGTTATTGTACGAATATGATTGCCCCTTTGATGTAAGTAGAATCTTTTTCAGTAATAATGGTCAACATGGATTTATGTCTTTGCCTCCAGAACGTTTCTTCTCTGAAAACCTAGGACAACGGAAAGAACATCGAAACTGCCGGTTTCCCAGAATTTAAAGCAACTTATGACTGCTCATTCAACTTCCTGATGGTCCTGGCGAAATCCTGAATAATGTCCCCCGAGTACTTCGCCGAATTTGCCCGACTTTCTAATGGTGATGCGACGCTGCCGTCCACGCGTTCATCCATATGTTCCGGCACGATGCATAACGCTGCGTGCTTTTCGGGGTGATATCTATCGCGTATTTAATCCGTATAGTCAATGGTGTTACCCTCAAGGAACTCGCAGTTATGAACATCGCCCCCAAAGTCCTCATTGTACGTGTCAATCTAGCCTCTGGTGACCGTTTCCCTTACATATCGGGCTTTCCAGGTCGGAGCAGGACCTTCTGGTCTGGTACTTGCTCTTAACCTTCTTAAGAATGGAGTCCCAGTGCGGGTTGTTGAAAAGGAAATCAACCCTAGGATTGGGCAACGCGGAGCCGGCATCATGGTATCGTGTCTCTCGCTGAGAATAATTTCGATGGACTCAACCTGTAATCCACAGCCTCGTTCCCTGGAATTATTTCAGTTTCTTGGTGTTGTCGATGTAATCACCAAGGCTGGTACATCGATCCCCACCATTCGTATGTATAAATCGGATGGTGTCGAGGTTTTGAAAGAATTTCAAATGACTCCATCAAGGGATCCCACACCTACCAACCCATATGTCCGTCGTTCTTCTACTTACTAAGCTTATTAAAGGCTTATCTGCTCTTGGTTAGCTCAACCCCGTGCTATTGGGCCAAGAGGGTTTGGAGGCAATTTTGCGAACTGCGCTGGCAGAGCACGGTTGCTCTGTGGAATTGGGCACAGAGCTGCGGTCGTTTCAGCAGTTCGACGATCGCGTGGACGCAACCCTCGTTAAAGTCGGGGAACCCAAGGGCGATGTTGTTACAGAGAACGCTACTTTCGATTGGGTCATTGGCGCAGACGGCGCCCGCGGTGCTGTCCGCAAACAGCTTGGACTGAACTTTTTGGGTGAGACGAGGGTAGAGAAGTTTATTGTGGGCGATATCGTGGTGGAAGGACTCTCTCCAAAGGTCTGCCGTATACAAGCATCTGCGTGGACATGTTTATTCATACTGCCGTCCACAGCATTGGCATATATGGGGAGATGCCGGAAACACTCTGTACGAGGCGCCCTCCGTTACGTGATATTGAAGTGCTAATCACATCTGTAGAATCACTATTCGTGGGACTGAAATTCCAGGACGGTTCAGCTTCGTCCTTGTGGGCGAAAACCTCCAGGATGTTGAGGTGTCTTCGAGTCATCATGCCCTCCGCAAATTCCTGAGTGACAACATTGGGAATCGAGCTGATATCGTGTTCGGCGACATCATTTGGATGTCACATTATGTGTGCGTATTGCATTGTGTCTTATCGGTCCTTATCTTACCCCGCATATTTAGACCGAACATTCGAGTGGTTGACAGATTCAAGGTGGGAAGGGTTTTTGTGGCAGGAGGTACCGAGGACATCCTTTTTTTTGCTACATAATGATGAAGACGATGCCTTTCAGATGCAGCTCATGTTCACAGTCCAACTGGAGGCCAGGTAGGCACCACTATTTTAAGAACCGAAGAGTGAGTTCATGCACCACTCAGGGTATGAACACTAGCATCCAAGACTCTTTCAATCTCGGCTGGAAGCTTGCCCTCGTTGTCAAAAGCCTCGCCCGTCCCTCTCTTCTCGATACTTACTCCGAGGAGCGACTTCCAGTTGTCTCAGAAATGCTGAAGCAGACCACTAAGCTGCTCAACGGAGTTGTGAAATCTTCAAAGGATGATGGTGCCTGGAACCGTTCTGGCTCAACTCTTCAATTGGGCATCAATTATCGATGGAGTTCAATTATCCTTGACGAGGTGAAGAAAACCGAGCCTACTGCGCAAGACAGCGTCGACGAGAGATCCGACTCATACGGCGTCAGCGTCAACGACGGTTTGCAAGCGGGTGATAGAGCACCAGATTCGCCAGACCTTACCCGTCTCCGCTCGGATTTGATAGCCAAGAAGAGCTCATTGTTCCGCGATGTTTTCGGGCCCTCCTACCACACCGTTCTTATCTTTGCACACTTAGTGGATGCGAAGGCGTCACTCCAACGGGTGACAGGTTATCCAAAGGATGTCCTTCGAACCGCCGTCATTGTTCCATCGCAACAGGCGGTTCCCATTGACTTACCTGATCACGTCAATCTGGTTTTTGAAGATTCCAAAGGCCATGCCCATGAAGCCTATGCTGGGCGGAAGTGTGGTATTATCGTTGTGAGACCGGACGGTGTAGTGGGTGCCATGGCAAGGGATCCACAATGGTTGGACCGTTATTTCAAGGGAATACTACTTGAGCCATTAAATTTTTGAAGTTGTAGATTCAAGTCCAGATATCTCTTGGGTTGCATGTAGTACTATATGTAATGACGGGAAACCGGACCGCTGGTCTATCTCTGAGCTCACCTCGTGTTGATGAATCCCAGCCTCAACAGCTCCATGGTTCTTTTACGATGCTTCCTTGACCTTTCCACAGCCCACCATATCCAGCAGTTAATATGGATTCCACTTCAGTGCTGAGCGACGACGACTATGATCTTATCTCCAATCCAAGCCAAAGGTCGCTGGAATCGAGTCTAGCAGATCTGGCGCAACGGCCTGCACCGATAGCTGAGCTGCCACCTTCGGAAGCGGCACGATGTAAATTTGAAACTACTCGATGGTCTGCCAGCGAGGTGCAAGCGTATTTTCGCAAAACTCTCGATCTGGGAAGCACTGTCAAGAGAGACGACCTTGAGAACAAGACTGTACGTGTCTATGTCGACGGGGCATTCGACACCTTCAATGTAGGGTGAGTGACGTCGCTAGTACAACGTAGGCCTTCAACTAAGGTTGGATACCCCTTCGTTCCCTAAAAAGTCACGTCCTTCAACTCCGTCAAGCCAAACTTGCATTCCCCTACGTCCATCTCATTGTGGGGGTCTTTTCAGACGAACTTCTGAACCAGCACGGATATCCTTCCTTGTGGCCTGAGGTAGAAAGGTCAGAAATGATCCGGCACTGTCGTTGGGTCGACGAGGTCACCACAGACGCACCTTGGGAATTGAAGGAAGAGTTTATTCACCAAAGACGCATTGACTACGTCGCGATTGATGAAGGCACATCCATTGACCCAGGCTGTGATAAAGCAAGGGTAAAAGGCTATGACGAAATGAAGAAAATCAGTGCGCACAATCATTTCCCTGCTTACAATGATGAATAACCTCGTTCCAGACAAAGTTATCTCTACAAGAAGGACTAGAGGACTAGTTATACCTCCAAGATTCTCCCTCACAGGTCCCTCGACTCCAGTAGCTACAACAATCCCAACACCCGCTCCGGACTTTACAGCTCACGTAGACCAGTATGGAATAGGATATTAAATAATTCGGAAGCGGGTAGAACCAGCGGGCTGACTTTCTCGTCGGTCTAGTTTTTTTCCTTCTCATACCCGTATCTTTAGTGCTGAATTTATCTCCCTGTCTAAGATTTGCGATCATTTGATCGGTATAAAATCCCTGAACCGATGACTCACACTACCATCTTGGAGATGACTCCTTTCCGCAAGCTGCAAAAAGCTTTTGATTTTCTTTTCCTTTTTTCAAGCCCATATGCACGATACCTCCAATACCCCTCCACCCGAGCACACCTCCAATACCCCTCCATCCGAGTACAGCTCCCCAGATGCACCAAATATACCTCGATTCAGACAAATGGTCCTCGCGCGACGGCGAGGGCGAGGGGTGGCCCTCACTGCCAGTGGATCTATTGGAACAAATTCTCAGAGAGGCTTGGACATCTCTACAGTCTCTAGGCGATAGAGTCTCCTTGATGACTTCGGCTGTCCTCGTCTCGAAAGTGTGGTTGACCACTTTTTGCCGTATATCGTTCAGGGATGTGGTCATACCATGTTCGACCTTCTTGCCACAATACCGACGTATCGTTCAACGGAAGTCGCCCGTATACCGCAAGTTGCTTGGAGATATTCCCTTCCCACAACTCTGCCAGTCGATTACCATTCAAAAAAAGTCTTCGTGTCCCCGAAGGCGCTTTCAGTGCAGTGACCTCACCGACGTTGATTTTTTGCATGGGAGATCTATGTTGGAGGCGATGCACTTGCTCAACTCGATTCCCTCTTTACCGCTGCTCCAGGTCATATCCGTCATATACCCAAACGATGGATGCATCAACCTGGACAACGGAAATACATTCCATGTGTATTCTTTCAGCGTCGTAAATTTGGATGTCATTTATACCTTTCCTCCATCGACTCCATCAATATTTCTTGACGCGATCATTCAGGCGCGGCGTTGTAAAATACCGTGCGCGCCGTGGACCCCTCCCACTGTCTACACCATCTCCACTTCAAAAACGACGGCGGCTCCATGTGCGATCGGTGAATTCCTGAAATTATGTCCGGACGTGGAACGTCTTGACTTGGACGAATACTCGAAAGGCAGCGCCGGAGCGCAGGTGACCATGAACTTCACGTCTCAAATTTCCCAGGATTCCATTGTCCTTCAAGGGAAGCTCAGTTCATCTAGAAGGCGAAGCAATGAGAAGGACGGAACCACGTTGATGCAGGGGAAAACCCTTGGCATTATCGTCGAGACGAGAAAGTCATCCTCCAACCAAATGCTTCGTCTTCATGAACCCCGTGAGGTGCACTTTTTTCGTCGCCGGTAAATGTTCCTTAGCTTAGGTATACGTGGCCCATTTTTAAGAATAACATGGCGTGGTTTACATTCTCCAAGAGTTCAGTTGTTCCTCGTAAAGGAGACAGCCCAAGCACTGTAATGACTACCAGCTGCATTTGCGAGCAACTGTTCGGGACACATTCCCGATAAATACAAAACCCTAGTACCAAATCACAAGGTGTCCAGGTATACGTAGAGATAAATCATTGGTTGAGGTGGTAGCACCTACTTATCGTGCGGCTTTTTTTTGTGCACTCCCATGTGACGGGAAAGCTGGTCAGGCCGTGCAAAAGATTTGCCGCAATTAGGTTCTGCACACGTGTATGGCCGTGCACCAGTGTGTGTACGCAACTATCATAATTGAATTTGTCAACTGTTGACGCAGTCCGAAGCATATAAAAAAGACGAACATGTTTTGAAAGATTCGAAGATTCAGCAAATGCCCTTTCACAATAGGTACATTTGAATGGTTTGTGTCCGTTGTGAGTCCGTTTGTGTATCGTCAGCGCCCCTGTTATGGCGAATGACTTTCCGCAGCCGGGGAAGTCACATACATAGGGTTCTGCGGCGGGTGAGAGGTCCGTGGTAAACCGTAAAGTTGTCACTCACTCTCCTGCGTATGCCTCCGCATGTGTTGTTGGAGAGTCGCGACTTCCGAGAAGTTTTGTTGACAAATTTTACACTGGAAGGGTCGATGTCCAGTGTGCGACTGAATGGCGGAGCCAGTATCAGTAAGGATTCTTTTGAGGGGGAATGATGGACTAACTTGCACATGCCGACAGATTTTCTGCTTACTTGAGAAGCCATGTTCTCCGTGACGTTGACAACCTTCCCAAAAGCACTCATATTGAGTTTTTCCACTCCCAACATGTGTTGTCGTGATATGTGCGGTTAAAGCGTCGCACGATTCAAATGACATGCCGCAAGATTGCCAGCGACAAATGTGTGTGCTAGAAGCACAGAAGTGGGAAGTGGAAGATACGGTGGGGGGAATTTCCGTTGGCGAAGGCGCCACTTGGGACGCGACGGCTTGTTGTCGTCCCAGTGGATGATCCCTTAAGCCAAGATGGTCTTGCAAAAGGTGTGTTTCCAGAGCAGCTCGAAGGCTATCAAACTCGGAAGCCGTCGACGAGCTCGCAATGGATTCTGGAGACCACGAAAGATCACAATTCTGCCACAAACATGGCAAGGGATCTGCTTCCGGTGTATTGTTTATAAAAGTGGGCTGGCGGAGGTGTTCAAGGTTAACGTGACCCACGAGTTCACCAAGCGATGCAAAAGAAGCCTTGCATTCGCCCCACATGCACGGTATCATGGATGGGGAGGGGTAAACGGGCTGTGTGGGTGGAAGTGGGGGCACAACATTGGGTGCAACAGATTTGCCCCAGTCGTCAATGCTCCAGTTGCACTGGTCATATGGCCGAGGCTCCGAGAGATAAGAATGATAGTCAGTGCAACACTGCAGCTTGATTAAAGGATCAGAAAAAAGATAAAGGAAACCAGGAGGAGGATGAACGAACAAAGGCGTCAAAGCCATTGCAATCTGTGCAATTGGCTGAGCTATCGCAGACGAGATCACAGTGAACATGTTCTCCTGGGTGGCAGATAGCCTCTGGGTGCTCTGGATCAGTGCAGGCGACGACGACGCACTGGTCCGTGCACTGTTCGGTGAATTCGCTCGTGGAGCAAAGGGGCTCGGCACAGGCGAAAGAGTACATAATACTCAAAGGATAGCAAGCGGCGTAATGAGAGAATTAAGATTTCGGAATGAAACATCATCATGGTCACGTGCTCATCACTGGGATGGTCCTCGTCACTCATCAAATCCCAATTCGTCTGTCCCAAAATGGACGCTCTGCACTACAAAGTCTACATCCTTACTCTTGCCAACGGTTTCTTGAAGGAATGACAGACATCCCCGTCCACATCCGCGCCATCTCACAGGCGCAGGTCCACCTACACTTTGACCAGCGATAATCCCTTCCCAGGTGAAGCGCTCTTCCGCATGTTGAAGGAATACCCCATCATGTTGAGGGTTCGCGCAAACACCCACACCCGTTATTTCCTGCGATTGGTCTTCCCCTGATCTTCTGTTTTTCTCCGCAAAGTCTTCGGCAATACAGTCTCGAACACAAGCGTTGAGTATCCTTCGTATCAGTCCTGATAAAGGTCGCCATCCATTCCCACTCAACAGCGGAAGGTCATACAACTGTTCCAGCGTCGTCTTCGGATTTTCCCTGGCGCCCGATCCGAAATCCAAAGACAAATCGTTACTTGGTGGAGACAGTAACTTGCGCAGCATAAGCTCGACAAGCGAAGGAACTGCACCAGAAGTATGTCGGATCTCTGAGACGGCTCGTCGTGGGAGGTGGCGAGAGTCCGGTTCGGGAAGAAATTGGGGGTTGGGAAACAGGCGAAGTTGATGTAACTCCATGTTCATCATCTCTGACGGCACGAATTTGAGACGGTTGTTTGCAATGTTCAACTCTCGTAGATTCCTAAGTCGTGCTATTTCCGGAGGAAGGTAGGTGAGACCATTGTTTTCTAGAATGAGATGCGTGAGTAAATATCAGGTGAAAGCGATAACCGAACATACGTAGAGCAAGGATAGCTAGGTTGTGCAAACTCCACAATTCAAGCGGCAGTTTCGAGATACTATTATTTGAGAGAAATAGTTCAGCCCTGTCCTGTCTCATGCTGTTCATCACGGCAACATTCGCGATCGAACGGGAGCGATCGTTGAAATTTCGCGGGACTTCACGAGAGGTGGTTGCAGGAGCAGTGTATACGCGGGTGAACGGTCGTCTGCCAGCCGTAAGGCCAGCCTTGACAGCTGACGATACTCTCCCAGGATAATTCTCGTCGTCATATAAACCTGGAGCATCACGCAGCACGACAATGCTTTTCAGATCCAAAATGAACTGAGGCGGTATTTTTGTAAGATGACGACCTCTAGTATGACAAGAACGAGGTATTTAAGTCACACGACAGGAGTATAGCAAAAAAAGATGTACCCCAAGTCAATCTTAAGTTGTCCACTTTCGTAGGCGTTCGTGCCCGCTGCCTCCCAGATCTCGTCTTCAGCCGACTGAGCTGGGTCAATGGTTGTAATGGTTGGTTCTTCCGCGTCAGAGTCGACAGAGTCGCGATGCCGGGCTCTCTTCGACGGACTCTCTCGAAAGTCACCAGTTACAGGTCGCTTGTTTCTGTTGGAGAAGTAGGAACCTGCCAGCGGATCTGCGCGTATCGTGTCCATGGTTGGTTCTGTGATTATGGGGGATGCTGGTGGAGAGGAATCTTCCCATATTGAACGCGCAGGGGATGAGGGGGGAGAAGAGGGAGGTGTGTAAACGGCGTGGTACATGACAGAAGGGAAAAAAAGAGATAGAAATTCAAGGCAAATTGGTGAAGGGCCTATTATATTTATCCCTAGACGTAATACCGAACAAGGTAAACGTAAACACTCTATTCGCGATCACGTGCAGACGCGTCAAAGTACCAATTCAAAATCGAATAGGGCCCTAAGTACCATAAGTAGTACAGACTTACATTGAAGATATCTTTTGACACCTCTCATGGACATTCTACTGTGATGCTCTTCACCGTGGCATTCATTATCCCTGGAGCTTGTGCCCAATTGACTGGACCTTTCGCCCATTGACACGTTCCTAATGGGCTGCTTGCATCCCAGATTCCGATCTGAATCCGAGCAGGATGAGAAGGGAAATAAAATACTCCATTCTTTTCTGTGTCCACTTGAGGCATACTTTAATCTTCGCGCTGAACAATTCAAATAATCCACACCTTTTTTCAACGTCCGTACCACTTGCCCATCGACTCCCCAATCAATCTGGGTGCTTGTCCAGTTGATAAAGTAGGAGTGGGTTTTAGTGATGTCCGTGTGGTTGGCGCCTATGCCTTCCACAGAGCTAAAGACATTGTACATCGGTTGCGCCGGAGTGGAGTTGTTGGTGCCGGAGGGAGGCGCAAACATGTTAGTTTGCCAGTGTGTAACATCCGCACCAAGTATTTCAATGTCGATCTCATCGGTAGCATTTGCTGTTCAAAAGCATCGTCAGTTCACCTAGCTTGAGGGGCGGCCAGACCTACATAGGAGAATGGCAGCTGTGACTATGCCGGGCACAGGGGGTGCGGCGATCTCAAAAGTGACTACGCCATATCTATGGATTGTTAAGCTCCGAGTTGCATGCATAGAAAGAATCATGGTTTACAGAAGAAAAAACGTCGAGTTGACGGTAGCGCCTGTCCCAAGTTCATCGTTCACGCCACCTTCCGATATAACGTTTCCGTCTGGTCCCTTGAGAAGGAGCTCTAATCCGCTTTTTCCGACCTGGTATGACTCCTCGGGGCTCACGGCTACGAAGGAAGCAGACAAGTTTGCTGCCACAGAGGAGGCGTCAGAGAACGAAGTCTTTAATGGCTGGCACTGTGATGCTCGGTGATGGGGACGAGCTGCAAGAGAAAAAAGGAGTAGCTGGGTGAAAAGGAGGACAACGAATAGACCCGAAGACATGAAGAATGGAATCGCTGGAGTCCATGTTGGTGAGTATTTAAAAACTCACGGGCATGCAATTATATGTCTCCTGTCTCATAAAATAGCGCATCACGTGAAATAATATAATCATTTTACGACTCAGCGCTCGGAGTAAGGCTCCTGTAATCAATAGGTTCTCCCTTCTCTCTCAACGTCTTCATCTCGCCAGCGATCCCGGAAATAAGTTCTTCTCGTTTTGCTTTGCGTTCCGCAACTAGTCTCAGGATGTGCGAACGTTTTGTGGCGAAAGGCGCATTAAACTTCCACGACGCAGCGCCTTGGCCCTTTGTCATGCGGAGCAGCTCGTACTTCTGTAAGAATCGTGACTGTTGAATGTGGAAGTTCTGTTCGATGAATTTCTCTCTCTCCGCTTTGTCCTCTGGTTCCATCTCTTCCATACGGAGCGGATAATAGAATGGATCGACGAGGCCGACTACGGCACGCTTATACGTTTTGAATGGCTTGCGCTCGTATCCCAACCTGCGGTACACAGGAGAGATGTAGTTGTCCGTGCGGACGTATGTCGTTTTGACCCCATAAACGGCAGCCAGGTATGATCGGATGTCGGTTTTTGTCACTGAATGTGGTATGCGAAAAGTGGCCTCGTAAGGGTTGTAAGGCATGCCCGGTGGTGTATTGTTCCGGACGAGCTTGAAGATAATGTTGGGAAGGTACACCCTTTTACCCAAGACCGCGGTCTCTTCTATACCGTCCTCTTTCGTAACCTTTTTGAATCCACGAAGACGGGAACGGCGTTCGTTCACCTTCTCTATCCACTGAGCCTCGGAAATATATTCCCCATCGACTTTAGGAAGTTTTCCAATAGCCCGAAGACGTTTGTAACGTCGAGATTCAGTTGGAGTGAGGCCGTCTACGGTAGCATCAGTGGTACCGAAAGCGCTTGGACGAGTGTCCAGTGTGCGACGGCGGTGACGGACGTCGAGGGGAGTCGATGCTGTACGGGCAGCCAGAGCTGTGTCTGGTATGGTGGGTTTTGTAGAGTAAAGGCGCCGCCGCAAGGGCTGGCTGCAGCGACGAAGAGACAGCATTTCGTGGTGAACTGACAGTGGGCAGAAAGTCGAAATTTCACTGACACGTGACGCACGACGTGTGTGATGCTCATACTGATTAGCAGTGCACATCTTCAATTTGCGCTTACCTTGAGTTTGACAGTCGTTTTGCAGGCGTTGTCATCTTCGACACCATTTCAGTCTTGCATTTTGCCCTGGAGCCGACGGAACCATGCCCACTCCCTCTTGCTATAGGTTCTTTCGGGCACTGCGTTCCCTGTGCGTACCAATAACGACAGTTATTGGTTTCTCTCTGCTTCTTACTTGGATATTTGTTCTCTACCAGCCGAGTCGAGGTCCAGGGATGGTCCAAAGAATGGGTTGGCAAGCTTGGGAAGTGGTTAGCATGAATGAGGCTGCCGATACCAAGGCTGGGACCACTACTTTGGGCAACACAACAAACACACCAGAAGGAGTCGACTGGTGGGACGTCACAGAATCCGAGGATAAAGTGGACAACTTGAGTCTACCATTAGATGTGTGGTCTCCTCTTCTCCCCCATGACACTGGCCGTGCGTCGCTTTGCATTTCTTCCATCTACTCTTAACTTGAACAATATATTTGCTTAGTCTCTGAAATCGCTGTTGTACGATGTCTTATTAACCCTGAGGTTGGTGGTGAACTGTGCGGACCCGATACGACACCTGAGCGAGACGCGATTATGGGCAAATGGGTCCGTGTTGGTCGAAATTTGAATCTGGAGGCCGGTTATATGTCCGGTTGGTTGGTTGGTGTCTTTTTTAGCTGATAAGCTGTGTATCTCTAACGTGATAACACAGAATGTGTATTATCGTCGCACAAGGCGTCAAGATATCAACCTTATAACCGACATTCGTCTCTTGCCCGAAAAAGAACAACCCGAGCCATTGGATGGATGGCATCAAGCTCACACTTCTTTGAGAGCTGGAGTGCTGAGGATACCCCCCTTATTTATATGGTATAAGACGGGCAAAACGGCAGGTCAAATGACGTCAGAAGAGAAAGCGCACATTATCACTGAACTAGACGTGATCTACGGGGAAGATGTCCCGTGGTACGGTTTTGAGAAGCTTAAGCCCGCCACACTACCCGAGAAAGGAAGAGTTCAGGCGACTTGGTTGACATACAGACGGGGCGTGAAAGGTTTGACGGCCATTCCCTCCTCTTGATCTCACTTAATTCATTTCGGTCCAGCTGTGCCTCGTGCTCCACCACTGCACTTCTCCCGCTCAGGAAATTTCAAGATTCTTCAAGTCGCTGATCTGCACTTCTCCGTTTCGCAAGGGGTTTGCCGCGACACCCTGCTAAACCCTTGTGAACACTCAGACAACCTCACTAATTCCCTCATTTCCCGTGCACTTGACGCTGAGAAACCAGATCTCGTAGTTTTTAGTGGCGACCAACTGAATGGACAGGGCACCACATGGGATCCAAAATCTGTTTTGGCAAAATTTGCTCGAGCAGTAACGGATAAGGGTATTCCATGGGCCGCTGTCTTTGGCAATCATGACGAAGAGGACGGTCTCGCGAAAGATCAACAGATGACCCTGATGAAAGCCTTGCCATACAGCCTTGTAGAGCGAGGTCCAAAGGATGTCCATGGTGTTGGGAATTACGTTTTAAAAGTCAAGAGCGCGGATGCGTAAGTTATCGTTGCGACAGAGTGTGTTTCGTGCTGATTTTTTATGTTCGTCTAGGTCAAAGACGCACTTGCTGACTCTTTACTTCTTGGATTCCGGCTCTTATTCCAAAGGAGTGCTTGATTGGTTTGGATTTTTCATCCCAACAGAATATGATTGGATACGTCAGGTCGGTGGTTCGAGGTTTTTCTTCTTGGCGACTCCATTTATTTCTAATTATACGTGCAGAGTCAAATAGATTGGTTCCTTCAAGAATCAGGCACGTCGTGAGATCTTTTTCGAACCCCACTGCACCTGAACTCTTTCCTAGCCTCAATCAAATCAATACAACGGCCCTTCTCTCCTGATACCGGGAAAGACCTTGGCCACAATTGGGAGGTGCGACAACAGCCAGATGACCAAATCACGCCCGCTGTGGCAAAGCTGGCGAAGCCAAATGCCCTGATGTTCTTCCATATCCCTTTGTATGAGCCATCTTAACTGCTCCCGAAAACCTGACTTAATTTACCGTCCAGGCCAGAATCTTATAGTAAGGCAGACATAGATTCTCAAACAAAGAAGCCCCTTGATGTGGGCTTGCACGGTCTGGAGTCGCCCGGCAACGCGAAGAAGAGCGATGGCTTTTTCGAAAGGGGCATCCTAAAAGCTTTGGAAAGTGAGCACATAACCAACAATATTCAAGAGGTGAAAGTTATTGGGAATGGACATTGCCATGGTATGTCTTTCTCCGATATCTCCCTTCATTTTGGCCGACACACGTTTTCATGAAGTGACGGAAAACTGTCGTCGCGTAAAGGGGGTGTGGTTCTGCTTTGGTGGTGGAGGATCATACTCTGGCTACGGAAAAATTGGGTAAGTTCATTGGTGGCTCCGATGACTCACGGAAAACTCAATGTTAGCTGTAGGTTTGACCGCAGATTCCGTGTTTATGATATTTCAGACTACGGGGAGACAATTCGGACGTATAAGCGCACGGAGAAGGATGATATTGTAGACGATATGATTCTGGCGGGGAAAGGGGCACCTCAGCTAAACGTATAATCTTTATAGGTGTTTTGTAGGGTGTAAGATAGTATAATTGTGTTTTGTGACCAGAAATGGGACTCGGAGGTTGAATTCTCACGTCATGTTTGATTGAGTGGCTGGGCCAGGGACGCCCTCGAATCTTCCCTCCATGAGCATCTCTACTTGTCTTTTCTAAGTATCTCAGCGGCAACCTTTACCATGGCTTCGCGTCCACCCCAGCCTCAGAATGGACATCCCTCAAGACGCGAAAATCATTCAATCTCATCCAATACCTCAGCATCAGGCCGAAGCGAGCGAGGGTCACGGAACCCATCGAATGTAAGAATGCAGCCTTTGAATGCAGTTTAACTGGAGTCTCATGTTCCCATAAATCGAATTCAGCCTCCAGTAGAGTCAGCAGTGACCCGACTTTTGGTATCTATCAAACAACTACTGGAAGCCCTTACGCTTTGGAGTCAAATGAAGATGGACGAGACCCAAGTGAGCGACGTATACGTCCGCTTGGGGAACGATTTCAATGCAGCCGTCACAGCTTTCGCAGGGTTTAATATTGATATGGCGTGCGTTAATGATATCCGTTCTTGTCTCCTTGACGGCTGCGTAACTTTTGACACAGAGAGCTCATGTCTGTCCCCAACGATTTACGCAATGTATTGGAGCAATGTCTAGCGGAGGATGCCACCTCAGATAACCTTGAAATTTATTTGCCGACCGTCCGAGAGATCATCACGAATTTGTTGCAAGGCCTACGGGGCAAGCAATCTATCTATCGCAGAATTATGTCGGATCAACGACACCGTTCAGGAGAGCAAGGCCACGAGAGAACGGAAAGTCGATCTTCACGTTCAGAGAGAACCTCCCGCCGTGGAGACGGTACTGCCCATCGCTCACAACTCTCAAGAACAATAGATGCATCAGAGGCGCCAGAAGCAGCTGGGAGTGTTTCGAAAAGAGTTGTGCAAACCTCAGGCCGCAGAAGAGATCAGAATTCTGATTCGAACGGAGACGACCAATTTGTTGGTGGTTTTGCCCCTACTATGGTTGATCAAACGACGGGACAGAATGGAACGTCAAGCTATGGTGAACCTCAGCAACCTCGGCAACCCTCCGTCCCCCGTAGTGTGGATCCTCCCCCTCCTCCCCCTTTTGAGCCTCCTCCTCCTCCTCCTCCAGAATTGATTGCGCCCACCCCACCTACAATCGATACCCCTCCAATAGAAGAGGCCCCACCAATACAGCAATCATCTGTTCCTGCTAGCGTGAAACGATGGTCCCTCGTCGACAAACCATCGGCTCCAGCCCCACCCGTGCTGATAGAGCCATCTAGTCCTCAAATGAATGGCGCCTCGTCTACTGAAATGAGTCCACATGAACCTCCGCCTGCGGTTGCCAATTCGCTGGCTGCTCTAAAAAAGAATGACGTTCTAGAACGACGAGCCTCCAAGCGCTTTTCGACCTACAACATTTCAAAGATGACGGGAGCGTCCACGACACGAGAGCGTTCTCTTCGGGGTAACAATCATCCTAATCGCCGTTCGTTTGCCGCTACATCAGGAAATTTGACGCAAAATGAGTTGGCGGTGTTGACTGAGGTTGACGACGAAGAACCCGAACCGCCTCAGGTGCAGCGTGACGCGAGCTTAGCGTCCTTCCGTCGGTCTGGTTCACGAGCAGTTACACCTGAAGTGAACTCCAGGGCCCCTTTGGTGCCACCTTTGCCAGTGACTCCGTCAAGAACGCCGGAGCCTGTGACCCTCGCCGCCGATTCACAACGAATTGGTGCTGATAGCTTGTCCGCAGATCCTTCTCGAATCACCGTATTTTTGCAGCTGGGTCGGGAAGTCAAGAAGGTTGTGGTTGAACCTGGTCTCTCGTTCTCTTCCCTTCGAGTCTTATTTGTGGATAAATTCTCATATAATCCTGGACTGGAAAATTTTCCTGCGATCTATATACGCGACCCATCCAGTGGGGTACAGTACGAGCTTGAGGATACGGATGAAGTAAAGGAGAAATGTTTAATATCGTTAAATATTGAACGTGAGTACCCCCCCAGCTTTGAGCAGTCACCCAAGTAATGCATTCCAACAGCCCTGGATCAAATTAAACAGCACATAGATACTCAAATATCGACTTTGTCCAACGATATCAAGGAGTTGAAGTCGGCTGTAGCAAGCAACCACCGCTTTTCTTCAACTCCGTCTGAGATAATGGCTCAGCACCCTCTGGCACAGAGCACCCCAGCTCCACCTCGACCATCCGACCGACAGTTTCAGCATGTTGCTCGTCGTCTATCGCATTATGTCGGAGATAACTCTTCTTTATCCTTTTCATCATTTCAAGGTGGTTTGCCTCCGCAAATAACGGGTCAGTCGTTGCAACAACAAATGACGGGAGCTTCTGTTATGTCAGAATACTCAAGTCGAGTGGTTAACGATCTTAAGACACAATTTGACGAAGTCCAGAACCTTCGCCGAGATATTGGTATCATGCGACAATTATACACCGAATTCATGAAACAGACAAAGGAATCGTTGGGCACGCTTCGCACCCAAACACAATCTGTGAAACAGCTGGCAAATTCCAATGTTGGTGGGGCTCGGGCATATATTGATTCCGGCAAGAAGAAGCTTGATATTCGCAGTCAAAATGCTTTGACGGAGGTGGAAAAATTGCAGGACACTGTCGAAGGTGTGAAGGACGATGTCATCAAGAGACATATCACGCCCAAAGCACAGTATTTCAAGAACATCAAAAAAGACATTGATTCCACTGCCGCAGAGCTGCAAAGTTTGAAGGAGCACATCGACACCATAAAACCCATGTGGAAGAAAACCTGGGAAGAAGAGTTGCAGAATATAGTTGAAGAACAACAGTTCCTCACACATCAAGAAGAGTTTCTCAGCGATCTTCTTGAAGATCATAAAGCCGTGTTGGAGATTTATGGTCACGTTGAGAAGGTTGTTTCTCTTCGAGGCCCTGGTGGATCAGGTGGACCCATACGGCTTCGAAACCGCAACTTCCGGCCCCCTCCACCTGACGAAGGTTCAAACGGACTGAGCAATGTAATGCTCGAGATCCGGGGCGCCCAGGTGGACCCAGAAAAACGGTTGAAGGCCATTGAAGCGAACCAGAGGAACAGAGAGAAGGAGTTGGCGGCCAGGTCGGACGACCTGCACGCTGAATTGTCAGAATTTGTTGACAAGAAAAAGTTGAAGATGACGGGCGGTGCGGAAGAGATCGAACGTGTGAGGCAACTGCGCAACGACATGACCTTGAAAGCTATGTTCACTGGTGGCTCTATTGCAAGCACCAGCTCTTCCTCTCCGCCATCCTTTGCTTCAGACTCATCTGCATCACCTCTGATTTGAATTTAGGGTCTACACTATCATGGACATCTGCGTTTTGCTTCCCTCTCACATTCCCTCGCAATATTTACCCACTTCACGTCATTCTATGGATCATCCTCACGTTTCTTCACGCTTTCGTCTAGCTTGTACTGCATTTTTAAGACCTCCATCTAACTGGTCCACCACGTTGCACCACTTGGTCGATACTAATAATTCGCGCTTAAAGTCCCCACCAGTCAGCGTAGTTTACGAGTCTAAATCGTCATATGTAATGGTACATCATTTTTCTTGAGGGTTTACATTACTTTGCAACTGATACAGTCCAAATATACGGAAATGTTCCTAACAACATCCAGTCAAGTAGCTACGAGCTGGACAGATCCTCTGTTTCATTATGGGCTTCGGTCGTCGGCGACGACAATCTGTTGCTTGCTTGGGAGCGGAACGACTTCGCTCTGCGGGCGAGGTCGGCTGACCATCGAGTTGATACGGGACTCCTGAAGTGTTTGTTGGTAACCTTTGGAGGCCTTGATTATAGGAAAGGACTTACTTAGGGGTTTCGCGCGGAGCGGGTGGAACTTGGACTCCCTCAGGCAGGCGAACGTGCCGAGGAGTCAAGATAAGATATGAAATGCTGAAGGGCAAGAGAGCCATTGTCGCGTCGAACAAGTTGCGGAAGACGCGCGTTGGGTGACTGGTCGTTCGAGAAGAGGATTCAATCGTCGTTCAGCGTTATAACCCCCTGTGAGAAGGAGCGCGTCTAGAACCGAAGCCACTTGCGGCCCAGTTGGGTTTTAAGCGAAAGCTTGATTGGCGTTTGTCACTGTTCCGGGCCAAAGCGAAGGACAAAGAGACGCCTATCCATTGTGCTCAAGCTGGCCGTGGCCACCGTTGCCATCTATGGCATTGACTTTGGTCATGAGGATGAAGAGGACACTACACATGTTTGAATTGTTTCCTCATCGGGCACATCGTCACCTGTGATCGCGATTATAATTTGGTGATTGACGCGTTTCTGGCGATAAGAAATTTCTCCTTGGCAAATCGTTCCGGTGGCCCAAAGAAAAATACATTGAGAATGAACGTCTTCTACTCGTTAGGGGTAGGTACATAATATGAATGAATATAAATGTTATGTGGTACAGATATTCCAAGGTCATGACCATTAATTTTTCTCAGCCGGAAATGCCACCAGTGGCACCGGTCGCTTGAATGCGAGCAAGAGCATCAGCTGGGGTGGTGCAGGTGATCGATGTACCCCGACTATTGACGAGCGGGAGAGCAGCGCAAATCAAAGTGGAACTGCATCCAGTGACAACGAATTTCCCACCGACACATTGAGCAAATCCACCATTAACACACGCATTTTCACCAGCTATTTCAAAAATAAAAATAGTCAGTTCAAAGAAGATAAGAAGTGACCAAGGTAAACATACCAGTACAAGGAGAGCTAGAGGTTAGACCGGCGAACTTCTTATTCAGAGCCTGTGCATCTTGGCCATTCTGAAGCTTGAACCCGCCGGCGCCACCAGCAGGAGGAGCGGGAGCAGGGGGTGCACCGGCGATCGGAGTTTGGGTCTTCGCTGGAGAGGGAGCGGGTTTAGCAGGTTTGGTAGTTGCTGCAGGTGCGTTGCCAGTCGCGGGTTTATTCCCAGCTCCAGGATTCTGAGTGAGATCGACTAGTTGAGTTCCGTCGGCGATGGGGCCAGCGGGGTTAGCAGGGCACGATCCAGGCGGGTTGAGAGGTGCATTGCGCCCAAAGGGAATGGTGCCCGCACCACCAACAGCCACTCCTCCAACAAAGACCTTCTGGTTCGCTCCTTGAAATTGGCATTGGAAAAGGCCGCTAAGTTCGGCGTTCCTGGGTGCCTTTTGACAATAAGGCACGGCGACGGAATTTGGCTGGAACGGAGGTGAGAAAGAACGTGATGAATTGAAGGCTGGTGGACTCACGGTGTTGCGGGGTTGCTGGGTGAAAATTTGGGTCAAGGTAATCACCTGGGCGCTGTTAAGCTTTTTCCCTAGGTCCATCATGTTATCAGCAGCATCTTGCTGTTCGCAGGGACCAGCGGCAGCAAGGAGAGTAGTAAAGGCCGCGACTGAGAGAGGGTTGCATTGTTGACCTCCTCCGGCGGCAAGCTAGACAGATTACGGTTAAGACGGCATCGGACCAGGCAGAGATTAGCAACATACACAAGCTTGCTCCCACTTCGCCGTTGATGCAGAGATAACTTGAGCAATGCGCTTGGAGAGCATGGGGGCTCCTTCAACGGAAGCTGCGGTGACCAGACCGAGGAAAAGTAACGAGAGTTGAACCATAATGAAGATCTCGAAATAGAAACAGAAGGAAGGTAAATGCAAGAACGATGCTGAACTGGACTGAAGCTGAGCAGAACGGCAGCACCGGGCTGGAAAGAGAAAAAAGATAGAAAGATGGGGACGAGGAAGATTGATGCATAGGAGGCGAGTTTATATAGGCGAGAAAGGTGGCCTAGGGTGGCTCGGGTCGGGAACAATGGAGATTGTGTATTGCAAGTGTATTGAGTTGCGATGGCCACCCTTAGCCATCGCCGCCTTTGTAAAGATGCACGGTTCGATCGCTGAAAAGATATATACCACACAAAGGTTTCTTTGTCGCCCGCCACCATTGCGAATGCCACTTTTCAAAAAAAAAAAAACAAAGAAAACCCTTAGGCTACATGAAGTTGAATCATGAACCAAGAGCTCGAGGAAAACAGGAAAGTGTCGAATTAGGCAAGTCCAGGGCAGTGTTGCCTCGACGACCACAATTCGCTTGGCCAAGGCAACCTGTAACTAATGTGGATGGCAAAACCTCCGAAGCCATTCGCCACTCGCCGGCTTGGCGAGTCGAGTACGCGAGAGCTTGGCAAATGCTGGCGAATGCTGGCGAAGCTGGCGAATGAAAAAATTTGAATTTCTGTCGTTTTGCGCCAAAATAGTATCCTATTATTATCTTTGATTTTTTTCTCAGCAATCACAATCATTTTTCGTCACTGACTCACTGCTGAGGCCTGCTTTGGGTCTGTGTAAGTATTGTCGAGATCAAAATTGGATGGGATCAACGGATCGGAGCATTCAAATCAGGAACAAGAATTGGTTTTCAAAGGGAATTTGGGGAATTTGGCCTGCAGTCAGAATTTTCCGACGTTGACAACCATAGATGATATTTTATGTGCCCATAAAGGTCTGTTATTCTCTGAAATTTTGGCAAACTTCGCCAGGTCTCGCCACCCTGTTTTTAATTTTTTGTTTCGCCAGCCGGCGATCGCCGGCTGGCGAAACTGGCGTGGCGAGCTGGCGAGCTGTTGCCAACAACACTACCTGTAACCCTGAATTGTAAAATGTATACATAAAAGTTTGATAAAAGTATGGACATATCTATCACTATGGCAACAGGGACCAGCCAGCTTCAATATCACGGCTAAGACCGATGTTTGTACACTTGCCGATCAATATGCCGAAATAAATTAACTATTCTATAATATAATATTGATATTGTCCATCAAATATTTTGTCCCATAACAATTTCCTATTGATTTCCAAAGCAGATGCACCTCCACTGGCAGGTCTAACTGACCTGCGCCAACTCAGATTAGTGTTTCTTCATGAAGCCGTGAAACTACCAATCCACCAGTGCCTCATTGCTGACATCTTACTTACTATGCAAAACCTATGCAGTCTAGTACAGACCTATCCACTTATGTATAGCATGTTGTATCATGTATAACTTCCGCACTACATACAAAACATACAATTAGGCTGGCCTGTAGAACGTCGAGCGGAAAGGTGACAATGCGATCTCGTTGGCCAGTGGTCACACCTGTCCAGCACAACGATTAGGATGCAGGAAAAGGGAAGGAAGGGTGTTAGGAGACATGCAGCATTCGAAAGGACGTTGGCAACCCAAGGAGAATCGTCGGTGGGTCATCGCGTTAGAGGAGTTGAACGTCTATACGGAAATATTGTCGAGATGGGGACGTTGAAATATTAACGTCAAGTCAACTCTGAGATGATTAGAAAGTTGGCAGATGAGGAAAGAATAACTACACGTTGAGCTGCGCAAATCGTGTTCCACCATAGTGGCTCGACTAGTGCGCATAGAAGTCATGAGGCAGACGGTCGTGTTTGATGATTTTGAATGCACGACGGGCCGACAGCTGGGTACCGCTACGGTAGGGTAGTATTGCTGTATACATTGCGCTGGATAGTTCAGTGCGTTACCTCTCTATCCCGCACAGTTGCCCGTTGATATACAGGCAGCGGGCGAGCCGACGTGGGAATGCTTCGGATCGACGAGACTTGGGTTGATGGTGGAACAGTGAACTTGGGTTGGCAGTGGAATGGTGGTGGTGGAACGGTGAACTTGGGTTGGCGGCGGAATGGTGAACTGTCGGACACGAACCAGGGTGGTGTGTATGGATGAGTACGGAGGCGCTGAAAGCAGCCAGTTGACCAACTTTGGGAAAGCTGGTGGACGAACCAATAAAAGAGAGATTAGAAACAATTGAATAACATTGGGTGTCAGACTTATGGCTAATGGTTGGACCAAAACAGGGTGACTAAGGAGGGTGCTGAGACCACTGTCCATGTAAGAGAGTGGAGTGTCGTTCACCTCAGTTATTAGCCAACAAAAAATGAAGAAGTCGAAGCCACATACCGTACGTCTTGCGTATGGCTTTAATTTTCATCCCTCCTGCCGTTGGGCCTAATCATCCTTCGCGCTTAAGCTCCTCCTTTCCAAATCCCTGGAATGCAAGCGAGGTCGGTATGCAGACCCCGGAACGGCTGATAAGCTTGTTCGGGAATGAATATTGAATCCTCACTTCTTTGTCCAGAAGGAGGATGCGAGGGAGCCAGGAATCGTCTCGTCTCGTAGTTGAGTGTCCTCGTCGTCACGAATGGTGTCGGGTGAATCGGGCAATCGCTCAGCGCTCATCATTGGTAAGTTTTCACGAAGAGCTTCTCGGAAATTTCCGTTGGTGCATTAAGCGAGAACGCAGCTGGACCTGCAGCAACCTGAAGAGTGTTTAGCGGAGGAATATGACGTAATGCGAACCTTTCTGCTGTCGGAGTGACAGAACGGGCAGTGAGAGATGAGAGGGAAGGAGGTCTTGGTAGGAGACGGTAGCTTTAGAAATCAAAGAGTTTCTCGAATCAACGAAGATACGAGATGGACACCGTATGGCGAATTGGCGCTTTGGAGTGCGATAATTGACATTGCGAAATATTTGATGATATTATATTTGGGCATAATTGTGGGACATTTGTAGAGAAAAATTTACCCTGATCTGGCCGTCCGGACAAATTTTTGAGATTGGGGTGTGGTAGGCCAGGTCCAGTCCGGACAAATTTGGTGCAGAGGCGTCCGGACAAAAACCCAATTTTCGGGATCAGGCCTTTTCTGCTATTGCCCGGGGTCCTTCCGTAACTCAAATCTATAAAAATGAATAAATTTGTCCCTTATCGGAGTTTGAAACGAGAACTTCACAGGAGGGTTTATTGGAGTGAATAAACCGTAACGCCAACTGATTAGATTCTATTTGATGTATTTGCTTGCCTTGTACAAACTCACTTCCCTCCCATCTGAGCTGCTCTGAGGTCGTGTAGGCCCGTGGATGGGTTTATTATACTGATTATTCATCCACCCCGCTGTGAAATTAGACCACACTCTGGGTGAAGCCCAAAAAATCCCAAGTTGAGCTGAACATGGCTGTGGATCAGTGAGTTAGGTGTCAAGAAGGGTGTTTGTAAAGGGAGCAACAGTTTCCAGGAGGGGATTTTGTAGCCATAAGACATTGACACTTCTAATAGACTCTGTAGTGGCTTTGAACTGCAACGAGAGGGAGCAGAATGCCCCAGCCGTATGAGAGTAGGTAGAGCTGACTAAGCCATGTGGGAAGGAATCGTACCCAGGAAGGAAAGGTGTCCCCTTGGCAGGGTTGATTCCAGTGTTTGAAATCTGTTCGAGGGGTCTGTACCCTCTGAATAGATTAAGGTTTGTAACTGGGTTCCAACCAGGGACTCCATCAAAGTCGAACCCTTACAAGACTCGGCATCCCGGCAAAGGACCCTAGATTTCGTCGATTTATTCAAATCTAGAGAATTTGTGTTACGGAAAGTCACCCAATATCATGCTCCCTGATAGAAAATTTGCGAGGAAAATTTACAGGGTGTCTATTATCTGGGTCCAGGCGTTTCTGCATCTAATCGAAACCACACAGGTATCAACTTCCAAATCTTTTCTCGCTCACGAGCAGCCCACGACTCGAGGGATTTTGCGCACGCTTTGCACTCTGAAAATTCAGCGCTCTTGAGCTGACCCAGCTCCTCAGCGACATACAAGGGATCGTAGCACCCTCTCTCGCGATCAAAGAGGTAGTGTTGCGTTGCCAGGTCAACGAGCTCCGAAAAGTCCTTTCGACACGCAGCGGCAGAGACACACACCGTGGAACTTTGACCAGATGACCGTCTTATATGGTTGTGTGCCGTGTGCGGTTGATGTTGTCTTATGGATTGACCATTGCCCATCGCATGAATCAAAGATGTGATGGCATGTTGTGCACCTTCCTTGCCTAAGCAAAGGCGTTGCATATCGCTTGTCGAGAGAGGTGGGGGCGGCCCAGATGGTCTGTAGAGTGCCTCATCCTCGCTGGGCTCAAATATCTGAGCATAGGAGCATCGTGAGAGGTCGTAAAAGGCGGCGGTGAGCAGGGAGGGCGCGTCAACTTCCCTGGCAAGGTTGATGATAAGCTAAATTCATGTCAGCCTGAAACGATGTATCCAGATCTGCGAGAGTGCTCACGAAAGGATGGGGGTAGAGGTGAGCTCCAGGGGTCGTACTTTCCAACTCGTAGGCCCGCGCCAGGTCTTCTCGGAGATCCCAGGCCCGTAAACTTGATGGCCATGCGGTGCTGAGATGCGCCAGGGCCTTTGCTCGCAAGGAATCAACAATATATTTTGTCGATAGGCGCAGGATACCAGAAACGATACGGAAATCATTCTGATCGTTGTTTCCAAAGGACCTGATGTAATGGTAGTCAGCACTCAGCGAAGGTGACATACGACGCGAAGGAATATCACATACGGGCCATCGTATAGCGCTGTCAAGAGGTTTCCGACATCCTCAGCTGTGTCGTACAAATATATGACAGGGATATGTTGTCGACTCACGCCATCCAAGGACTTTGGTTCGGCAGGCTGAGGAAGCGCGAACATATCCCTGAAGAACAGGGAATGGCGAGCCAGTTGCGACATGTGAACGCAAAAAAGAGTGTTTTCGGCGCGACAGATAACACTACCATCTTCAAACCAAAGGTCGGAGTGCCGTTGCAATTGCGTGCCGGAATCTGCATCGCATATAGTAGCGTCGGATGTAAATGTGTCGAACTGGTTAACGTTATCCTTTGTAAAGCAAGCTAGGCTTGTTGACTTTGTATCTGGGACCTTCAAGAAGGATTTCTGCCGTTTTCCCTGAAGGCTGGTGCGGTGTAGGTTTACATCTGAGTATTTGATAGGCGACGCCACTGGTTGCAAAGAAGGCTTTGAGCTCGACGCTTCAGATGCTCCCATTTCAGAGAAGTAGATTGATGGTCCGATAGATATGTCAATATCGGGAGGTTTGCACGCGAGCTTGGAGGACAGCGACGGGTGGCCCTCTCACGATGGTGTGAACCGACATGTTGGTCATGGCGTGTATGGTCAAGGAATTACAACTTCCTTATCTAATCTAATCAACCTAAGACTCAAGTGGTATCAGCCGCCGCTTCCGCCGCCGCCGCAAGACCATTCTCTTTCCCAATAGAAATGGCATCTTGCTCGCCCATTTTATCCCCAAGCTTGTCGAGCATCGTCTTCAGCTCATGAGCCTCTGCTATCAGCAGAGAAATAGCACTCGTTTGGTCGATTTCTGTCGGTTTCTCAGCCTCTTTCAAGCTCAGCTTATCCACGGCCTCATTCACAACCTCGCTCCACGTCTTGCCTTCTCTGGTAAGTTCATCCACAACCTGATCCTTAATTCTCCTGCATGCTCCAACCCCATCGTATCCAAAGCCGGTGTAGACTTGAACCATGGAGGCACCAGCTTTGGCGAACTCAAGAGCATCTGCTCCTGTAGAGATACCCCCACACCCAATGAGTGGTATGGAAGCTGGGAGGTGGCCACGCAAAATACGAAGGGCTTTTAACGAAAGAGGTTTGACAGGAGGGCCTGATAGACCGCCCATTTCACTTTTGTTCGCTATTGGCCAGTGAGATATTCAGATTGCATGGCGACAAGTAAACGACGTACGATTTACGAGGCTTTTGGGTCGCTGTACGGTTGTGTTGCTCACAATGACTCCGTCAATGCTACTGTTTCTGATGACATCCGCAATGTCAGCCAGTTCCGATTCGTTGAGGTCTGGGGCAAATTTCAAGACCAGTTTTGGTTTTCGAAAGGTCAATACTGAGGGCGAAAGCTCATCTCGAGCTTTGGTTACTCCGTCTAAAAGTCGCTCTAGAACATCGCGATTTTGTAGTCCTCTATTCGGGTGAGAATCTAACAATTTGTTTGACGACAACGGTACACACCTGAGGCCAGGAGTGTTCGGACTTGAGACGTTCACCACCAGGACATCAGAGTATGGGCCAAACGTACGAACGCCAGTAACAAAATCGTCGATCGAGTCTGCAGGTGATTCTTTATTTTTGCCCAAGTTGACAGCAAGAAGGCAACCTTCTCGTAGCGACGCTCGGTTCGGACCACTTGTGAAGGGGGGGATTCGAGATCGGATTCTAGAAAGAACTGAAGCGTGGCCTTGAGACGGGAAACCATAGCGATTTATCAAACTAGAGTCTTCTGGAAGATGAAAGACGCGAGGACGGGGGTTTCCAGGCTGCAAGACGTAAATTTGGTTATCGTGCAAGTACGTCGCTAAAGACATACCTGAGGTTTTGGTGTAACACTCCCAATTTCTACCCAACTGAACCCAAGTTCAAACAAGCCTTGAAGCAGACTTAGGACATTGGCGAAGGTAACGTATGGCGCCTACCGTCAATAGCTTCACCGTCCTTGTCGAACCCGGCAGCGAGACCGACTGGATTGCTAGCTTCTTGACCCCATATCTAAAAACTACTTTGAGCGGTCAAGCGATGTCACAAGGCAAAGCTATTACCTGACAATTAAGCCTGGCATCATCCAGAACGGGATCCTTTGGGGCTAACCCCGATCTCAGGACTTTGACTGCGAACTTGTGACCAGTCTCTGCATCAAGCGCAAACCGCAAGATTGGTGTGAAAATGTAGCGGTGCAGTGCAGATCGAGCATCAAAATAGTAGACGGCAAAGAGCCCTGCTGAAACGGCGATGACAGTTGCGTATACACTTGTTCGGATGGGAGTGCGCGTCGGAGGCGCCGACTTTGTAAAGAGGCGACGAGCCGGGGTAATTCTCAAGTCCCTCAGAGATGACCTGACAATCGTCCTAGAGACGGACTGCCGGTAAAGTGACATGTCGAGAGCTGAGCACGCTCATACTTTCGTTTGAACACGGAGGTTATTGACTGTTGTTAGTTTCGGAGGTCATTGGAACGGAAGCAAGATAGATTCGTGAACAATTCGTGAATGTGTGGTTTACACTGGTTTACAATGCATGCATAGTGGTATGAAATGCGCTGCAGTCATAAAAACTAATAATTCGTCATTTTTGTTTAAGCAACGCAAATCGTCAGAAGTTCACGTAGATAGCACGGCGCCTTGCGGATTTGGTGAATTGGGCCGGATCTACAGTGACAAACCCAGGAGGGATGAAGGAAAAGCGTCTGGAATGACGGGGACGCTTTGGTTCCTTGATGCGTTTCCAAAACAATATTACGCGTCGGACGAAGGTCTTGTGCAACGTCGTGGCGTTGGACGAGTTTGTCAAAGGTTCTCGTGAGGAAGTGCTAGTGGCTCTGGGTCTACTAGAAGATCGATGAACGTATAAACACGACAAGATCTTGAAGCTTGCATTGAAACATACACTGTACGGGCATTGCGAACCTTGGTGGGAGGAAGTTTGCGGATCCGACGACCTTTTGGAACGCGACGAGGAGCGCTGATAGTGGACATGTAAATAAAGTGTTTGTAAAAAGGAGCGGCACCACCTGGGCGGGAAGAATGGTTTTAAAGCGAGTCCGAAAGCCTTTTATTGGGGTCGAACGGGTGGCCACTGAAAGAACTAGGAACAATGGGCCATGAGTCAATTCCAGAGCTCGAGGCAAAGCTGGCTCATGCCATGAGCAATTGCAAAATCAAGATAATCAAGACGAGTGGCCAACTGTGGCCAATGTGGCCAAGGGGTTGTTAATAACTTGGTGGCCTATACTTATGCAAGTGCTTAGTACGAGCACTTGCAAGTGGCTTGGTGGGCATGTGTTCGATCGGATCGGGACTACAGCAACGGCCAACTCCGACCAAAAAATTTGAGAGCATTGATTAGCTTCACATTCTCTCTACCTTCCGCCCACCCTCATCCCTCCTCCCCACCGTTGAAACGACCTCACCAATGGATGTACGCATTTATTATCATTACATCTCATGCTGTTTGACGTCTGATCATCGTCCTGATCTTTTCATAGCAAAATTTTGTGCAAGGCTTGCACGCTCTCCTTGTCCAGACAACTTCAAATGACACCGCAAGTCTCAAAGCTGCAAGTCTTTAGGTCTTATGCTGTCACACTCTCATCATAACCATCTCTCTCTTAGGCCACAGCACAATTGAATCAAGACTATTACAAAAATCCCTCATGCATTTCTGCACTCGCGAGTATTCTTGCCAGTTCCCCAGAGGAACCTGTACGTGACGATGACTGCGATTGCACCTAAATTTTTTTTGACGCGTTTTAAATCATTTAGGTTCGCCAATTGGCCGCGGTTGAGCTGCGAAAACGCGTCAACCAGAACAGTGGAAATCTATGGACACAACTCTCACAAATTGAGCGCGAAGAGATCAAAGCTAAACTTCCGGAGCTTATTCTATCCGAGCCAAAGTAAGCAGAAGTCATTGACGTCCCTCTGGCAGCTATCTGATCGCGTCTCTTCACGTAGTAAACTTGTTCGGCATTCAGCTGCTCGTGTCATCGCTGCCATCGCCAGCATCGAGATCCCCCTTGGAACTTGGGATCAACTTCTTCCGTTCCTCCAACAAACATGCACCTCTACACAGGCTGCTCACCGCGAAGTCGGATCTTTTATTATGTTTACCGTTCTCGAAAATATCGTCGAGGGCTTCCAACAACACATGCAAGGGTTGTTCATCTTGTTTAGCCAGATGCTGGCAGATCCTGAGAGCATCGAAGTTCGCATCACCACCGTTCGGTACAAAACTTGCGCGCGTCATTTGCTGAGACATACCGGCTGATTAATGTTTCAGGGCGTTGGGAGTGATAGCACAATATATTGACTCCGATGACAAGGCCGAACTGGTACGTGTTCTGCTGCCAGAAATAGTATTTCTTTTTCAACAAAAAAAAAAAACTGTTTAGAAATCTTTCCAAGCCCTTCTTCCGGCTATGATCCAAGTTATCGGGCAAACCGTAGAAGCTGGTAACGAGACAGGCGCAAGGCAGTTGTTTGATGTCCTTGAAACTCTTCTCATCCTCGTACGTGCACTTTTCAACTGCAGGGAACATCCTGCCGACACTCTCATGTAGGAGGTTTCTGTTCTCGGCAAGCATATACCTGAGCTTGCCCATTTCCTCCTCCAATGTGGTGGCAATCGTGGGTTTGACAGCGAACTTCGTGTTCTAGCTCTCAATGCCCTCAACTGGACCGTCCAATAGTAAGCATGTCAAAGTTGCTTGAACGGGGTCTTATTTTCTTTTCAAGCAAAAAGTCCAAGATTCAAAGTAACAATCTTGCCCCTTCCATCCTCGAGGGTCTTATGCCCATCACTACTGAGGACGAGCCAGAAGACGTTGACGACGATGCTCCTTCCCGGGTAAGTTTCTCCATTCAGCGACTTGTACTCGCCTGACTTCTTACAGTCGGCTCTCCGCATCATCGACGGTCTCGCCACAAATCTTCCACCTTCCCAAGTCTTCCCTGCGTTGCGAACTCTTATCATGCAATACTTTAACTCTCCAGATCCAACTCACCGAAGGGGTGCAATGCTTGCCCTTGGTGTTTGTGTGGAAGGCTGTAGTGAGTATATGACTCCTTTGATGGGTCAAGTATGGCCAGTCGTCGAAGCTGGGCTGCAGGACGGCGATGCCACCGTCAGGAAAGCGACTTGCGTCGCCGTCAGCTGCCTTTGTGAGTGGCTTGAAGAAGAATGCATTTCGAAGCACACCGTCCTTGTGCCTGTAGGTGACATCGAACGTCCATATTTGCTAGTATTAACAGATGCTTCTAGAGCATCATGGCCCTCATCAACGATGGTGCTACCCAGAGGACGGCCTGTACCGCTTTGGATGCTCTGCTTGAGATCCTCCACGATGGGATTGATCAGTATCTGCAGCTTATCATGGAACGGCTTGCGTCTCTGCTCGAGACTGCACCGATCTCTGTCAAGGCTGTTGTGACCGGTGCCATTGGAAGCGCGGCACATGCTTCCAAAGAGCGCTTCCTGCCCTACTTCCAACCAACAATGAACCATCTTGCGGGTTTTCTTAATCTTACAGGTGAAGGAGAAGAAATTGAACTTCGTGGGATCACCATGGATGCGATTGGTACCTTTGCTGAAGCTGTCGGCAAAGACGTCTTCCGGCCTTACTTCCCGGATATGATGAAGCATGCGTTCCAAGGAACTGAGATGGCCAGCGCAAGACTTCGAGAGTGCAGTTTCCTGTTCTTTGGTGTCATGGCACGGGTTTTTGGAGAAGAGTTTGCTCCATATTTACCTCAAGTGGTGCCTCCGTTGTTGAACAGCTGCAAACAACTAGAGCAAGGCGAGGAGGATCTGACTGGTACGTGTCTTGTCTTCCCCTCTCTCCGAGTTTCCGTTCTCCAACTCACCCCTCGCAGTCTCTATTGCAGAAGCCTCCGCAGCGTTTGCCTCCGGGTCTTCCCCAGCCAGCGCTATCACTATTGGCAACGAGGATGCAAACGGAAACATTTCCATCGAACTTGAAGATACTGACGTTGACAAGTTGATGGAGGTTAACAGCGCTCTAGCTGTCGAGAAAGAGATTGCTGCCGATACCATTGGCACACTTTTTGCTGCAACCCAGAGCCATTTCTTGCCCTTTGTGGAGCCCTGTGTACTCGAACTCGTCGCGCTCCTCCCTCATTACTACGAAGGCATAAGAAAGAGTGCCACAGACTCCTTATTGGAGATTGTTAGAACCTTCTACGACTTGAGCGATCATAAGGAATGGGTTGCTGGTGCAAATGCCGTACGTTTTTTCGTTTTTTTTTTGTTTATACTGCGCTAAGCACTCCCTGTAGCCCAACAATGTGGACCAGCAAGTTAAGGATCTTATTGACCACGCCCTTGTTCCTCTGTTAGACATGTATGAGACTGAGGACAACAAGTAAGTCCCGATTACTGTCATTTCCCCTACTTTTGTTTCCTCCTTTGTCTCCGTGACGAAACACGCGTAACTCAGCTCACTTCGATGCTTTTGGCGATGAGAAGAAACGCGAACTTTATCTGATTCCCTTTCAATGGCACAGCCTAAAATTTATGCTAGTACTTATCTGTTTTCCAGGTCTGTAGTTTCATCTTTGTGCATTGGACTCGCCGAGACAATCAACAAAGTTGGCCCTGTCGCCCTCGAAGGACGTGAGCAATGACCTATCCTTTATTCTGGTGATATCGACTAACGGAGGAGAATTTTCATAATCTTTAGGCCACGAGCCGCTCTGCAGGATCGCCATTCAAATTCTAGAGCAGAAGGCGTTTTGCCAACAGGATCCAGATCAGGACGAAACTGAAGAAGCCCCAGAGGATCAGGCTGAATACGACTCAGTATTGATTTCGTCTGCTGGGGATCTGGTTGCTTCGTTGGCGAACGCATTGGGAGCCGATTTTGCTCCCGCCTTCAACGGCTTCTTCCCCTTGATCAGCAAATATTATGTGAGTTCCCATATCCCTACCGTTCTTGGTTATGTTCTGAGTTGCCTATTCTTTTTTGCAGAAACATACCCGCTCCCTTAGCGATCGTTCATCATCCATTGGTTGCCTTGCCGAGATCATATCTGGAATGAAGGCTGCGGTCACTCCTTCCACCCAGCCATTATTGGAGTTGTTCCATCGTGCTCTAAGCGACGACGAACCCGAGGTTCTGAGCAACGCGGCTTTCGCTGTTGGCCTGTTGGTGGAGTACAGCGAAGTGGATCTTTCGCAGCAGTACCTCCCCCTCCTTGCTGCTCTTCGGCCCCTGTTCGTAGTCAACGACCAATCATCAGCGGCGAAGCTGAATGCGAAGGACAATGCCGCCGGTGCCGTTGGTCGCTTGATCGTCCGCAACACTGCCGCAATTCCTCTTGACCAAGTCCTTCCCATCTTCATTGGCGCCCTTCCCCTAAAGAACGATTACCTGGAAAACCGGGCGGTTTTCCGTGCTCTCTTCCACCTCTTTCGTACAAGTGGGCCCGCTCTTTACCAGTACATGGACCTTCTACTTGCGGTATTCGCGCACGTTCTAGATCCCAGTGCACCAGATCAGGTCGGGGACGAGATCAGACACGAGCTTATCAATTTGATTGTGGCTTTGAATCAAGAAGACCCAGGAAAGGTTCAAGCGGCAGGTTTGTCGGTATTCCTGCCGGGGGCTTAGAGGCCTGTCGATCATTGATGTTTTGTTTCGTCTTCTTCACGCTCTATTCATGTGGATTACTATCTCTTTCGCTTACGCTCACGACTGTTGTCTGGTTTAGAATATGTCAAACTTTGGCTTGGAATAATACATGTTGTCTGTTGTTGACCAGAGGCCTCCGACGCTGGTCGCGTCTGTCGATATTTATAACCTTGAACTGTCCTTTATACCGTATATTGTGAACTCGCTGGCCGATACGCCACCTGGCTGGCACCCCGCCCAATGCCATTTCCTATGATCGTCCTTCTTTTCTGTATTTTGGCTCCCCTACCAATTCAATTATCTGTAGCATCACCAGTAACCGTCGCCCAACCCCTCAACAACCAGCTGCCTCTCATCGCTCGGACGAATCAGCCGTTTTCTTGGTCTCCTTCTCCCAATACATTTCTTTCGGACGACCCTTTGGCGTACACCACCTCTGCGCTTCCTGCGTGGCTGTCATTCGATCCTTCTGTGCTTGCATTCCATGGAACTCCATCTGCCCAGGACGAAGGCAATCCAGAAATCACCTTGACGGCCCACAGCTCCTCGTCGTCGGCGTCGTCTACCTTTACCTTCTGCGTCACCCATTATTCTCCACCCACGGTGGGTCTTGCCATTTCGGACCAATTTCATGACTCGAATCCCTCTCTGTCTTCGGTCTTTACTCTGGCGCCTCTTTCTGCAATTGCAACCTCGAACCCTGCTCTTCGCATTCCACCAAAATGGTCCTTCAGTATTGGCTTTGAAAGCGGTACGTTTAAGGCCGATCACAATCTCTACTACGAGGCTCGGCAGGCCGATGGTTCTGAACTTCCAGACTGGATGACATTTAATTCAAAGGACATTACTGTCAACGGCTTTGTGCCCGAAAAGGACATCACGTTCTCGCCCATGACCTTTGCTCTGGTTCTCATCTCGTCTGACCAGTTAGGTTACAGAGCTACGTCAGCCCCGTTCGACATTGTTATAGCCGATCGTGAGTTGTCCGGTTCCCAAGATCCTCTACCCACCATCAACGTTACTAGCGCCGCGCCTTTTACTGTAAGTCTCTTGTCCTCGGCAGACTTTTCTGGCATCTTCGTGGATGGAAAGCCTATCGAGCCGTCAGATGTAACAACTCTGGAGATTGATACTTCTGGCTATGATCATTGGTTGAAATATGATACTCCCAGTCGGACTTTAACGGGTAAACCACCAGCGGACGTTACAGGAACGAAGCCGACGATACCAGTCAAGCTCAGCACAACATTCAACCAATCAATCAATACGAACGTGTCTCTGGCATTGGTTCCCTCGTATTTTTCTTCGCCTGAATTTCCTGCCTTGAATCTCAAGCCCGGAGACAAGGTTGAATTCGGTGTCGACCAATATCTCTCCAATGGAACGGCTGGAGGCTGTAACGATGCAGATGTATCGGTTACCTTCGACCCCACATCGGCCGGAAACTGGATGAAATACGATTCGAGTCAGGGGCTTTTGGTCGGGAACATCTCAACAGATTCTCCGCCAGACCACGTCTCTATCACGTATACAGCCTATTCCCGAATAACACACTCGACATCTCATGCAACCCTTAACATTTATATTTCTGATGGTTCTACCAATCATGGCAAGAAGTCTTTCCATCCAAGTGGACTTTCTGTTCGAGCACGCCGGAAACTGGTACTAGCGCTGGCCATCACCTTCGGTATAGTCGGCGGGCTTGCAGTTCTTGCCTGTTTTTTCGCCGTTATCCGACGTTACGCGAGAGTTGAAGATACTGCGCTAAGTGGCGAGGAAGGACGAAATGGCTGGAGCGAGAAGGATCGTCGGTGGTATGGTATTTCTGGCAGCCCTAGCCACCAGGAGAAGGCACTCGATCCGCTGACCCTGTTACAGGCTCGCGGCGGACGCCCACCCCCGAATTATGTCAACCTGGGACTTGGATTGCAGCGTGTTGCTGAGCGGAGCTTTTCTAATCCAGTAGCAGAAGTCGAAAGTCCGGCGGTCATGAGGAAACGTGAGTTTATGACTAAAATCAAGGAGACGGTCCGCCAGGTCAGCGACAAATACACTCGGAAGCCGCGGCAGTACCCTCGTCCCCTGATTGGGAAACCCATTCTTGTCAAGTCCATCATACGGGAAGAGCCGATTGTATATCCTCTCCAGGGAGATCCTGCCAATCCCTTTGACGATGTGTATAGCCAGGGCGGGAGTACATTCATGTCTGGGTCACCGTCGTCTTCGACCGGCGAGCACTCAATACCTAGAAGGAGGGCTGACTTTGCACCGCCAAGGACATTTGCTCAAGTGCATTTCGACGACCAACAACTGGCTCCGGTTTCTCGGCAGCCTTCTTCAACATCTACTGGCACTGTTGCCTCGCACTCCTCCAGACGCTTTGCGCAAAGCATTCATAGTGGAAGGAGTGCAAGCCCCCTTTCTCACGAGTCCTTCCCTGACGTTTCTGAAGCACCAGTCACTCGACCTCGGCTCGTTCCATTCACGAGTTCGACGCGTGTACCCATTCCTCAAGCTGAGCCTGCGACGATTCCGGGAGAACCAATGGCATTCACCGGCAACAGGATCGCCAGTCAACGTGCAAAGGTGTTCAAGCCTGACGAGGGTCCAACGGAGATGAAGGAAAGCGGCAGTCACGATGACCTCGCCATGGGACTCCACTACGTTCGTTCTTTGGGTGCCGATCAGCTGGTTTCTGAAAAGCAAGGTCGATCGTCCGATGTGGGTTTCGTTTTTTTTTCTCTTGAGTTGTTCTCACTTGGATATGACATAAGGTAGCCAACGGTGCCGATGTCATGAAGATGGTTCTTCGAACTGGAGAAAGGTTCAAGTTTCGCGTTCCGGTTGGACTTGGCATGGCGGACGCATACAAGCTGCCTTCTAAATACCAGGTCAAGCTAATGTCAGGTCTTCCTTTGCCCAAGTTTTTGAAGATCGATTTGGGTGATATTAGCGGTAAGGGTTCGATAGAGTTTAGCGGGACACCCTTATCTCGAGATATGGGTGAAGTTAGCGTTGGCGTATTCGAGGAGAAGGAGGGTTGTGTTGCGAAGGTTGTTATAGATGTCATCGCCAGGTGACGAGATATTTGCCATTGAACATTTGTATTTTTTTGTCCGAGTCTCTACTTTGCAGGCTATATGTACTATCTCACATTCATTACGAGTCGAAAAAATAGGTCTTGTTTCGTCAGGGGGCCTTGTAGATCTCGGACCTTGGTGTGAGGCGGCGGTGACCTGGAGTCAGAACTTGTCTCACTACAAACCATGAGCTCGAGAGACCTTTCCCCCGAAATTCATAAAGCGCTCGACGGTTCTATTGAATTCCTCTCATGTCTCCCGTTTGAATCAACCGCCAAGGACGTCCTCCATTCCGTATTGAAGTTCTGTGAAAAGGAGTATGCAGAAACCTGGCCGCTCAAACCAACAATTATCGATCAAAAGGCCTGTGAAGCTCTTTTAAGCTCGCAAAACGGCCTTAAGGAGGATTTGCACACCGCCTACAAGACAGGGTCCTACAAAAATATTCGTAGCCGGGGTGAGTGCATGTCCATAAGTCCTGTAATCAGTCGACTCAGGCTCTCCCTCAAGCCGAGTTCCACGTGCAGAAGGGGGTGATGGTTGAAAAGAGGTACAATATCATTTCGTTCTCTAGTGCTGGTTGCTTGAAGGCTTACTTCGACCTTCTCCACAGTAGTCATCATGACATTCTGGGTATGTATGACACCGGAGTCCGATTCAGGAATTCTAGTCCATCAGTTGTACTAATTACCTGCTTGAAAGGGCTGCATGACGCCTACTCAAAACCATTTCGTGGGCAAGCGGCCCAGGATTTTGTCGCGTTTTTGTTGAAGGCGGATGCGGAGGCCCAGCGGAATGAAAAATTTTTGTATGCAAAGATGATTACAGTCGTTCAAAGCTCTGGGACAGGAAAGTCGCGGATGCTGACTGAGGTGCGGTTATCGTTTCGCCTTGAAATTAAAGGACTCTAAACAGAGCTTGCATCAGATTGGCGAAACAATCTTCACTTTGCCTATTTGTCTTCGCCGCCCCGGTGGTGCAACATATCCCCCTGCTGACGAAGAAGTCTACAAATATTTTGCAGAATTTTCGAGCAGTGACAACGATCTGAGTCTTAAGGCCCATACCGCTATTGCTTGCTTCCTTGGGGCGGCTCATACGACTATGCTCAAGTGGTTGATTGCGAAAAAAGCGAGATTGCCAAATCCCGCAGACCTACGTGCATCTTGGCACAAAGTTATGGAAAAGGAGGTAGGGCGGGAAGAGCGTCAAGCTTTTTTTCAGGAGGTTGTTCAAACCGCGCGTAAGGTAAGTTATTTAGGGTCGTCTTTACTGCGTTGAACCTGATGGCTCGTAAAAAAGATGACAAACAACGCCACAAATCACCTGAGTCCCCGTCGCAACAAGAATTATGGTGTCGAGCCGGAAAATTTCGAAATCGATGCGTTTGCCAAGAAATGCTACGATGAGCATGCAGCAGATGCCATCACAGATCTGGCGGCGTTGGTCACATGCTTTACCCCTGAAAAGCCTCTTTTCGTCTTCTATATCGATGAAGCGCGTGAACTGAAAGTATCCTTATGGATTCTATTACGTTTATTGAGTTATCAAGACAAACTCACCCGTATGTGGACGGTCCTCATGGACACCAAGGCCAGTGTCGGTTTTTTCCACCCACCTCCACAAAACAGTGAGTATTTCAACTTGGACTATTGACATATGACCCTTTCTCACAGAAATACTAGTACCGTCTTTGCGGCTTCGTCGGGGCCTGAAGCGACTCATGAAGCCGTTCATCGGCGTTGGCTTCGATCAAAATGCAATCTATCCCGGTGGTGTGCACATGACTACCACGATAGGCGAATTACAATCGGTTGAACATCTCGCAACATACGGCCGGCCTCTGTATGTTATTTCCCCCCCTTACTTCTGATGCTTCTCTCATATTCAAGCAGATGGAATGCACAATTTCGCGAAGGTGAGGACGATCAGCTAATCGATTTAGCAATTTGCAAGCTTGCAAATGGACCTTTCGATTGTGGGAACAAGCACCACGTTCTTGCTGTACTCTCACAGCGGGTTTGTTTGGATTTAGTGATGTTCTCGGCGGAAGCAGTGCAACTTGCTGACTACAGTGTTGAGAATCATATGAGGCTCCTTGTTGGATACACTGAAAATGGGCACAAATTTTTCACCAAGTCACCTTCAGAACCGATTCTAGCTTTGGCTGCAGCGGAGCTACTTTATTCACCACCAGATCTGGCAGAGACTACTACAGCTAGCTATACGGCTGCTCTTGGAGCTGCCCTCAAGACTTTGAACATGTCCCTCTGTGGTGTTGGTTTAGTTGACAAAGGACTGCTTGGGGAGCTTGCTGGCCGGATACTTCTCCTCTTTGCTCGTGATATGGCTGCTCCAACAATAGGTCGGATTTCAAAAAACCTGCTGGTGCCAATCTCGGTCATGGCCTTTCTTGACCGACTGCTTGGAAAAGAAGGTTGGTGTCAACCTTATGAAACAGAGTACACAAATGCCTTCAGCAAGACCTTCATCAATTTCACGCATTGGATTCTCACATCTGATCCTCTTCCTGCACAGCCATCTCGGTGAGCCACTCAGAGCCGTTGCTTTTACATCACAAATGTTGATATGCTCATCTCCGTTTGCTAAGACAGCTGCTAGAAAACCTTTGGGCTCGCGGCGCAGCACTACAGTGCTGCTTTAATCAAGAAGCTATAGATTTTCTTATCGTAACGTATTCTGGGTCTATCGGAGCCACGGACATCTTCGATCCAACAATGCTCTCAGCCATCGTCGTTCAAATAAAAAACAAGGGCCAAGCTGATACAAATGCGGAACTAGGCACTCAGCCAATTGGTGTTCCCCGCAATGCCCCTCAGACTCTTCCCTATATCGCGATGCTGTTAGAGTTCGGCAACAACTCTTGTCACCGATCAACGAATTCCCAAATTAAAATAACAACACCGAAAAATCCGGGATCGTTCTCGTCACTCGAGTATGACTACTTATCGGCTGTGCGGAACCTTGGACACTATGAAACTATCGCTAACGCACAAACTGTGAAGCAAAGAAGAGACCCGGCAAAAGCTACCCTGAGGAAAGCGGTTCAAGACACGTGGTTGGCTATGAACGATTACAATCGCTACACAATTGCAATACGTGGATCATCATCAGACGAGTACGGTATCTTGAAGAACCCCCAACTTAACGAACAGTTCGCCACTTTGCTCTCTCTAACGATGCCACCGCCTACTGCGGAGGATATCGCCATCCGACACATGATGCCTCTAGAGCGCTTGGGTAAGACGTCTGCTCATACGGTATGGATGAAAGACTATGGGGGTTCGCGAGAAGAAGAAATGGACTGGACGGAATGATGTCGTTAAGGTTCTTAAAACATGGTAGATTGAATACAATAGCAATGCTCAAAAGACGAACGCGCAAGATAAGATTGCATAACGCAGGTAATATACTCCCCGACAAACCAATCTTGCGCTCGATATCGTCACCAATGTGCGACTCTATGACTTCCAAATGAGAATTGCGAGGGATCCAACGTAAAAGTAAATGAAGTGTTTCGTTTCTGTGGACGAAGGAGATCAGATTAGATCAAGGGTAGAGGGGAGTTTGAACGCGTTTACACGCGTCGGTTGTGGATTGAGGACTGACCATGAGTGACATAACTGCCAAAGTTTTTGCCAACGACGACATGCCAGGTAGGACCATGTCTTCGGTCAAACTCCTTCTTAATCTGTGCAGCGATGTCCTTCTCGATGGTGAATTTTTCGAGAGCAGCGGAAGTGATGTCGACGCTCTCTTGCTGCAACTCCTCGCTCATGTCTACGTTTTTGATGATAGCCTTTGGGGAGGGGGTTGCGCCTACTTCTCTTGGGGCAGAGCTGGTGTCTGTGGATGAGGTGTTGTCGAGTTTCTCGGACATCTGTGGTGGTTTGGGGATGCGTGAGATTGGGAATGGGAGAAGTCATCGAGGGGAACTCGCCTTTGGATGGTATCTGGTGTGAGGGAAGAAGGAAGATGACTGGTGGTGGACGTGGATTGAAATATATTATTAAATAACGTGGCACGTGGAGGAGGTGCGTCGAGGGTGCGCGTTGAGTTGACTTTTATGCGTGTAGGACTGATGGAAAACCTCATCACCTTGCTTGTCAAGGTCTCCCAGGGTCATAAATACCAAACAGGTACAAACAAACTACCCAGCGGCCATGGGGGTCTTTTCTTGCATATTCCGTGATGAGTAAGCATGAGGCACGAGTGCAAACTCATCTTAGGATAAGATAACGTGTGTGCGTCAGAACCAGACGTCTTACCCAGATGTAGGCACCAATGAATGTCTGCGTTTCTGGGAGTGCTTCTCCCATCACCTTCGGATCTGGTTCTGACGCTAAGAAAGTACCTGTCGGTTACCTCACAAAAATTTTTGACCTTCGACGTTTTCTCCTGATGGCTGACACCCCCACTGTTCCATCTGGTACTGCTTCGACCGCTCCTGCGGCCTCTACCGATAATGTGCAGTCTCGTACGACTACCGACAGCGTTCCGCCTCGTGTTCCGCGTACCCACACCTCCCCTGCTATTATCCAGCTTTTGAAGAATCTCTCTCTTACCAATATCTTGCAACGGAATAAAAGGATCGAGGCCGACAACGATGCCAGATCTGCCAAGACATTGAATAATGCTCTAGACCCAGCTGCCCATCCTCAACCGGGATCAGAAGCAGCCTCGTTGATCACCATTGATCCCGAGGATCTTGCCCGATTAAGGGTTCCCGCCTTCTTTGCTTCCGTCCGTGACTTTGTTTATACTAGCCTGGCTAAGTATCTTGCGGACGAAGATTTGAAAGACAAGGACGAAAAGAAGAGGAAGGACGACGACATCCTTGCAGAGGATGCCAGGGCCTCTAAAAGGCGTTGTATGGATGGTTCCAACCATGTCGAGAGAGTGGTTGGGGAACCCATTCCCATTGAATTCCCACAGTCTCTATATGACACTGAACTTTGTGTTGCAGTTCCCCTCCCCTTCTTCCTTACTCGGAATTTACGGGCCCTGGTTGATGAGGCATCAACCCTGCCTACTGTCAAATCTAACCCTGCGCCTGGAGAAATCAAGGGAACTTATATTCTAAATATAGAAAAATTGTCCACCCGCTTTGGGAAGGAGTTGACCCTCACTTGTAGTCAATGGACTGAGGCTGCTGCCAATATGTGGAGCTTCCAGGTCTCGAGGGACAAACTGGGTAGTGAGGGGGAACACGCTACGTGGTTTGAAAAGCATTTTAATTTTTTTAACATGCTAAACAAAAGGGACGAGTTATACGACGCTTGGAAGACCATGGAGCTCGAGTTTCGCCAAGACCACCGAAGTCGCCATCTCAAATTTAGTGCGACGGATTACGACAAGGCTCTCGGTCTTACTGAAGAAAGTCACAAGTTGCGCACGGAATTTCACGATCTTACTGAGGAAAGTCACAAGTTGCGCAAGGAATTTCAAGATTTCGTGAATTCTTCCCAACCGGCGTTTGGGCGGTCGGCTCCGTCCTCCCGGGGAGGTGGTTCCTTTTCCCAGAGGACCCTGCCACGAGGTCCTTCCCAGTCGCTGACTTCTTCTCAGCCCTTTCCCTCAGGCAGCGGCAAGTCCTCCCCTACGGCCGTCTGCCTCATCTGCGCGCACAAGGGGCACACCGTTTTCTTCCACCTCAAGGCCACCACCCCGCCAAAATTTGCCGACGGAAAAGTCGTATGGGCAAAATGCAACCCAGGCTATGGTCTCGCCACACCCGACAACCAAATCCTCTGCATTAACTGGAACGTCCGCGGCACTGAGGCTGCCTCCCAATGCACCTCCCTCCATAAGGACGACCGCCTTCACCTTTGCTCCTTCTGTGGCAGCAAAGGCCATCACGCCCTCTCCTGGACTTGTCGCACCAAACCCGCCTGAAGATTTATTCACTGTCGCATGTCCCCTCCCCTTATCTTACACTGATTTCTCCCCTTCTGTTGTTCCTCGCCTCCCGCTTCCGTCTTCTTCTCCACACCATTGTTCCATTTTCGAGCGCATCACGCACCCTTATCATCCCGAAGTTTTCGATTCTCTCCTTCTCAAGCATGGCCTCTCTTCTGTCTACCCCCTCCTTTCTGACAACCTACGGCGTGGTTTCCCTCTTGGACACATGCCGGCATTGATGGAATCCGTCATCTTGCCTAACAACCCCTCTACTTATCCTTACCTGCAGGATATCCAAGACTATTTGGATAAGGAGCTTCTGGCTGGTAGGATGTCTGGCCCCTTCTCTCGTGAGGAGGTGGAACTTATTCTACGCGGCCCTTTCTTCTCTTCTCCCTTTGTTGTCGACGTCCAGCCACAGCAACCCGGCACACCTGACAAGATTAGGATTTGCCGACACCTTTCTAAGGCTTCGAAGTCGCATCCTTCCGTCAATTCACATATCCACAAGGGAGATTTTCCAACACGTTTTGATTTGGCCTCGAAGGTTGCCGAAATCGTGAGTCTCCCTCTATCAGTTCCTTTCCCCTCCCCTTCTCCGCCTTTTATAACACACCCCTTTGCGTTTTGTGCGTCGGGTGTTTTCTTCTTTGCTGCAGCATCCATTTTGAGATTTTTGCATTCTTAATGCGCTGTCTCGGGTTTTCTCCTTTGATACTCTTGCGCACTTTGTGCTTTCTTGTGTTTGCGCATCTTGCGCATTCCTTGTCTTTCCGACGTCCGTCTTCTCGTTGTCTCTGGACTCCCTTTGGAGTTCCCTATGCTCCCTTGTGCTCTTGCGCCTCTCTCTACAGTCGAGCACTTCATGTGTCCGTCTCGTGCCCCTCTTCATCTCTTCCTCTTCCTTTGCGTGTTCCACGCGCCCTTTCTCTTTATTGATTTCTTTTACATACTACCTTTTTTTTCTTACCATGTTCTCTCCTTTTGCTATTCCTTCTTCCTTTTCTTACCGTCCTTTTGCACGCCTTGTGCTGGTTTATACTTCTCCTTCCTTGTATCTCTTTGCCCTCTTTGCCTCGTCCCTGCTCCCTCCACACCTCGTGCTTACCCACGCTCTCTAGATTGCTCTTGCCCCTCCAGGAACTCAGGCTTGTACTCTGGACATTGCGAAGCTCCACCGTACTTGCCCTGTTTTGCCTTCTCACAAGCCGTGGCTGGTTGTCCAGGGTACCCCTGGCCAGTTCTTTATTGATCATGCGCACCCTTTCGGTGCCGCTTGTGCTAGCAGCAATGCGGGTATGGTTGCTAACGCTGTTGTGGATATTTGGCGGGGAGAGGGTGTTTTCCCTGTTCCCAAATACGAGGATGATCTTAAAGTCTTCCGTATTCCTTCATCTGGTGGCAAATTTCGTGACGGTGACTTTCTTTACGACTACGACCGTTCTGAGATGCTGCGCCGTATCGACCCTTTGGGTGTGCCTTGGCACGATCAAAAAGGAGACGACCATTTCCTTTTTGTCACCACCTTCATCGGCTTTCTTTGGGACATTCCTGGGAAGCTCGTTAGCTTGCCTGAAGAGAAGCGGCTGAAGTTCCACGAGCGCGTGCGACGCTTTCTCAACGATTTCAACAGCCGTCCCTGCCATTTGCTTGATGTCGAAAAAATCCATGGGTCCCTTTGTCATGTTGCCTTTGTGTACATGGATGGCCGCTCGCGCCTTCCCTCGCTTTCTAATTTTGCGTCCTCCTTCTATAACAACGAACTCCTTACAAGACACCCTCCTCATTCCATGATGACCGATCTCTCCTGGTGGCTCCAGAGACTTGAGGTCAGTGGCGTATCTCGTCCTCTGCGCCCCCGTGGTCCTCTGCAAGACCTTGGCTTGTATGTTGATGCCTCCACATCCTGGGGAATTGGCATCATTATTGGAGGCAATTGGGCTTCCTTCCAGCTTTCTCCCATCTGGAAGGTGCCTGGTCGTGATATCTGCTGGCTCGAGACTCTCGCCATCGAGCTGCTTGCTTATTTCCTGGAAGATATGGGTTTGCAACACTGCCGTTTGCTTATCCACTCTGACAATCAGGGTACTATTGGTGCGTTGGAGAAGGGGCGCAGCCCTAACTCTCACATTAACCTCTCTCTGCGCCGTACTTATCTTGTCCTCTCCGATCTCTCTATTTCTCCAGACATTGTTTACATTGAATCCGAGGCTAATCCAGCTGACCCCATCTCGCGCGGAGAACCGGGGGAGGCTGGCAAGCAGATTTTCCCTACTTTTAAGCTCCCAGAGGAGCTATCTGGTTGTTTTCTCTATGTTTAGTCTCAACCGAAGGCTTACATCGTCGACTTGTGTCGCCGAGAGGTCCGTGGGTGAGAAGCAATCTCACATCTCTATCTCACCGCGCCCCACGCGTCCTCGAAATTCCTTTCACCCCTTCCAACGTCCTCCTCCTGTCTCACCTTCTCTCGATTCTACCCTCGATTCCACTTCTGCCAACCTATCTTCCAAGTCCCGTCCTGTGCTCCACCCACTACCAAAACCATCTCCTGTGATCTCCGGCTCCTCTTCACGCACCATCCGCGCTCGTAAACCGCATGCTGGCCGTTCTATCACCCACAATGAACTCCGTCCCCATGTTCCTGCCGCTGACCGTATCTTCTCATGGCACACGCCTTTTGGTTCTCGTCATCAGCATCACATAACCCAGCGCCTACCCCCTGCCCTCGTTGACTCTGCGTTGATGGCTGTTCGAGGAGCTTTGGCTCCTAACACCAAGTCAACATATGCTGCTGGCCCTCTCCGTTTTACTCAGTTTTGTGACAAATGGGGGATCTCAGAGGAGGACCGCATGCCTGCTGACTATGTGTTGCTATGTGCCTTTATTGGTGAATACAAAGGTCTGCAATCTGGTAACACCATTCGGTCATGGTTGGCTGGCCTACGCAGCTGGCATGTCATGAACCATGCGCCTTGGCATGGTGATGATACCTGGGTGCACTTGGCTCGCATCTCAGCTAATAAGGAGGGTACGAAGCACAAACGCCCACTCCGTTCCCCCGTCTCCATTGAGCATCTTTCCTGCCTGCGTCGCGCTTTGAACCTCTCTGACCCCTTCCATGCTGCCGTTTGGGCTGTCGCTCTCGTGACCTTCTTTGGATGTCGTCGTCTGGGGGAAACTACCCTCACTGTTGCCGGGGCGCTTGACCCGAAATATCATGTACTTCGCTCTACGAAGTACGTTCTTACTCTTCTTTTTACTCCCTCTTTCTTACCATTCATCAGAATCTTGTTTCGTGTTCTGCGTGATGGTGCCCGCTCGGCAAGCTTTGACATCCCATGGACGAAAACAACTAAAGAGCTTGGGGCCACTGTCATCCTCACTGCCCGTCGTGATGGCGACCCTCTCTGCCCTGTCTCTGCTTTCAAAAACCACCTCGACGTCAATTCCTCTATCCCATCCTCCTCCACTCTCTTTGCTTATGTCTCTGCATCGGGTGAACCCAAAAACCTCCTCAAGCATGAATTTCTCAGCTTCGTTACCAAAATTTGGTCCTCTGCCATGCTCGCTCATATCCTGGGCCACAGCTTCCGTATTGGCGGTGCTGTTGAGTTACTGTTGGCCGGGGTACCTCCCGAAATCGTCGCCGCCACCGGGGGCTGGACCTCCCTCGTGTTTTTACTGTACTGGCGCCGTATGGACGAAATTTTGCCCATGTCCACTTCAAAAGCTTATAATAAAGCACAGCTCGACCGTCTCGCTTCTATATTTGAAGAATTTCGTATTGCCCACAAGATTCCTTCCTCCTTACTTGATAACTCCACCCCTTAACTCATCACTATGTTGTTTACTTTATTGCCCACCCATCTTTTGTAAATCCTATCTACCTTAACGTCTTGTTCTCTTTATTGTCCATCCAACTTTTGTAAATTCTATCTACCTTAACCCTTTCTCCGAGTGACGCTCATTTGGGAAGCCAGCTTGGCTCTTCCTTGCCTCACCAACCCGCCGGCGTGAGCTTACACTCGGGTTGGTACAGCTGTTTGGCTTGGCAAGCCCAAATTGAGCTTATTGAACGCTCAGACCTTGTTCGCACTTCTTTGAGTTCGGGCATAGTCTTTGCACAACCAAGTTATTTGTGTATACGAATTTCTTGGCCTTCCCTTTTTCTGTATGATACGCAACAGTTATCTTATTCCGTGATGAGTAAGCATGAGGCACGAGTGCAAACTCATCTTAGGATAAGATAACGTGTGTGCGTCAGAACCAGACGTCTTACCCAGATGTAGGCACCAATGAATGTCTGCGTTTCTGGGAGTGCTTCTCCCATCACCTTCGGATCTGGTTCTGACGCTAAGAAAGTACCTGTCGGTTACCTCACAAAAATTTTTGACCCCACCCACCATCCCTTAGCGTTCAAAACAGCTGTTTGGCTTGGCAAGCCCAAATTGAGCTTATTGAACGCTCAGACCTTGTTCGCACTTCTTTGAGTTCGGGCATAGTCTTTGCACAACCAAGTTATTTGTGTATACGAATTTCTTGGCCTTCCCTTTTTCTGTATGATACGCAACAGTTATCTTATCGCGCACGCGAGCGAGCAAGCATGAACAAACAAACTTTCCAGGGGCCATGGGGCTCTTTTCTTGCATATCGCGCACGCGAGCGAGCAAACCGGTGCAAACAACTGGTCTTTTCAAAACATGATATCATCGTCTCTTTCTTAGTGCCAGCTCCAATGTTTATATACATAACTATGTAGCGCTATAGCTCTTGAACACTGTTTCCTTTGTTACGAAAAAAAAGTCGCATCGTATTGGTGCAAAGCAGTGTATTTGTCAGCAAGCAAGGTGCCTGCTGCCGCTGCTAAGTGTCAGCCTCTAGTGGTAAATGAATCTCTGTATCGGACAATTCACTCGTCTTCCATACGAAGGTACTTAAAGACCCAATAAGAACAAGTCTCTGTTAGTATATCGGTTAGTACACGCGCCTGTCATGGTGGGTTGTACGCGCGAAAGCTGGGTTCGACTCCCAGACAGAGAGTGTTATTTTTTCTTTTTCTTTTTGGTTTACACACTAGTTGTTGTCAAGTTCTCTTTCAACTGCGATGGCAGACTCGTTCGCTGACCTTTGGAAGTCAACAGCGCCAAGTACAACCTCAACCCTACAGGATAAAAAAAAGCTTGGTTCAATACCACCCAGATACCAACAACCTGCTCCCAAGCACGACGCATTCTCTCTCCTCGCCTCTTCCTCATCGTCCTCTAACCACAATTCTGCACCTACTTCCAGATCCATAACACCCGCCTCCAACCCTGCTAAGCAATCATCGGGGCGTGGCGATGCTTTTGGCGATCTGCTCTCCTTGTCTGGCGTGACCCCTAATGCGAGTACGAATATGACCATAGCTGAGAGGCAGCGGATGCTACAGCAGCGTCAAGCTTCTTCCTTAAAATTAACGTCCAACACTTTGGGATCAAGCGATAACATGGGCCAGTGGAAGGGGCTCGATTCCCTCGTAGCTGCATCTTCTACCGCTTCTGGGACCACGCCGTTAGTAAATCAGGATGACGATTGGGGGCTGGGTGATTTCGCGTCAGTCCCAGCTACGACGGCTACGCCAGTACCAAAGCCCGCCGCAGGTACGAAATTGTTGTGGGATGTGGATGACTTTACTTCTCCCCCTGCTCCCTCCCAACCCCGCTCAAACGTATCTCAATCCGCGTCAAATCGATCTACTCCTCAGTTGAATAAACCATCCCAGCCTGCTGCGGCAAAGACCTTGTGGGATCTCGAGGAGTTTACTTCTCCCTCCTCTTCCTCTGTTCACCCATCATCTTCCTCCACGAAGACAAAGACGATGGAATCCACATTCGATTCCCCAGAAGACGACTTTGATTTTGGATCACGCGAAGATCGAGATTTGGAAGAGAATCGTCCTAAGCAAAACCATTCCTGGTCCGACGCGACTGCATCCTTTTCAAACCATGACCCCATTCACGAACAAGACGGGGATGAAGATGATATCCTAGGTTTACTCAGCAAACCTGTTGACGAGGTCGTTACTAAACAGGTATGTGTGTGTGGTTTATCTCCCATATTGCTGGCTGACGCGCCCTCTATTAGGCTCCAACAACACTCCGCGCGTCTACATCCGTAAGCATTCTGTTTAACTTTTATCATCCTTTTCTTCCCCTTTCTTTTTCATGTATCGGATCGTTCATGCTTCCCGTTGTCCACCTCCCAAACTAATGAACGACCACTAGATCCAACCTTCCCGCTCGTCCTCATCGGTGTGTCAAATTTTCTTCATATATTATTACCTTCCTAACCAACTCTGTTTAGCCTCAGCCACCCTCCTCCCCGCCTCCCCACATTCTCGGCCAATTAGTCGAAATGGGCTTCTCCATCCCCCAGGCTAAAGCAGCGCTTGCCCAAACGCCTGGGGGCGCGGATGTGCAGATGGCTTTGGAGACGTTATTGAACGGTGGTGGGTCGGATGGGCCTCGATTCCGAGAAGCGGGGGAAGACGGCCAAGTGCAAAATCCGACACGCGATGCACTTAGAGCTGGACACCCCAGACACCAGCCTGGTTCTGGTTCTCGCACTCCTCAACAACAGCAGCAACCCGCGAATATCCAAGACCAAGCGGATAAACTGCTAGCCCAGGCAAGCGAAATTGGCTTGAGTGTGCTGAGCAAGGCGAGCTTGTTCTGGAAGGAGGGGAGAAAGGTCGTTGCGGAGAACGTGCAGAAGGTTGTTGTGGATAATGTGCAAAAGGCTGTTGTTGAGGATGATGGGAGAGGTGTGAGGGGGAAGGGAAAAGTTAAAGGGCAGATGAATGGGAGGCCCAAGTGGATGCAGGAAGGAGGGGGTGGGCATGATGATGAGGAAGAAATTCATGCTAATGGTGATGGTGGGTTCAAAGATGATTTATCGCCTGTGGAAGAAAGAGGACGAGAGCAGCCCCCTCCACAAGCGAATCAACCCCCACCACGGGAGGAAGAACCTGTCATCGATTTGTTCGCTCCTGTACCAGTCACACACCAAGAGCCACCACGCACGACGCCTTACGTCTCCCCCTGGCGGCGCGGCAAACCAACCTCTTCCACACCCTCCCCAGCCCCAGTCCAAGTTCCTCAACCTACCCGCACACTCCACTCCATACCCCTCCCCACTCTGCACCAAGCACGCGCGCACAAGACACGCGGCACAGAGCTCTTCAAGCTCGGTCAGTTCTCTGGTGCCTGCGACGCCTATTCAGCCGCCATCGCGCTCTTACCGGAGGGACACCTTCTCCTCGTGCCGCTCTATACGAACCGCGCATTGGGGAGGTTGAGGGTGGGTGATTATGCGGGTACCATTGAGGATGCGGGGGGTGCTTTGGGGATTGTTGGGACCGGTGCTCCCCCGTTTGTTGGTAGTGGTGAGGGAGGGGGAGGTGGATGGGGAGATCCGTATGGGCGAGGCGTGGATCTTACGGATGGATGGGTGAAGGCGCTGAAAAGACGTGCAGAGGCGTGGGAGGGGCGGGAGAAGTGGGATGAGGCGAGGAAGGATTGGGAGACTTTGTTGGGTGCTAGTGGGGTGGGACAGGGTGTGAAAGGGGAGGCGGGGAGGGGGGTTGAGAGATGTAGAAGGATGGTTATGGGTGAAAGTGAGAGTGGAACGAAACCACAGGCGAAACCGAAACCGAAACCAAAGCCGAAACCCGCTTCGTTGAAGGCACACAACAGTCAACAGCCGTCTCAGGCTCTGCAAAGCCTGCGTGCGTCTTCGCAAGCTCTGGAATCAGAGGAAGAGTTGAAGGCGTCGTTGAAGGACACCGTAGACGCACAGTTGCTGGCGTGGAAGGGAGGCAAGGAGACGAATATCCGTGCATTACTTGCGTCGCTTGACACGGTGCTTTGGGAGGACATCGTCAAGGACATGGGTGGGAAAGTGGCGCTGAGCGAACTGGTGCTTGAGGGGCAGGTGAAGAAGAAGTATATGAGGGCTGTGGGGAGGGTGCATCCTGACAAGGTGAGTTTTTTTTTTGGAGGAGGGGTGTTGGAAGTGGTGTTAATCGGATTTCTTTCTCAGCTTAACACGGGGAACTCGACGGTTGAGCAGAGGATGCTCGCGAATGGGGTGTTTGGGGCGTTGAATGAGGCTTGGAATGCTTTCAAGTAACGGGGAACTTTTTAGATAGATCTGACTCCTCTAAGGATTATAGAAAATATCATTAAAAGCACTGAATTCCTTAAAGTGAAAGACACGCGATAATAAAGCATTCATATGTGCGTCTGGTTCGCCTCTTTATACCGTCCGTTCAAATGATTAGATACGATCACAGTGTCAATCTTCATTTCGTGTGCTGCACAGAATCTATAGTAATTGACTGACAGACCTCCCACCGATGGCACAGGTCGAAGAAACGATGGCAGAAACTGAGCTCAAGCTGCCACCATTCATGATGTCCAAAGTCCATCTGCCTTGTAACTTCCGATACATCTCCTTGAAGCCATCGAGAGAACCTTTTTCCTGGAAAAATAGCAATGAGATGGTATACCCTTCTTGAACGAGCCGGTAAGGAGCTTCTTGTAATTCAACTCGAAATTTAACCGATTTTGGGATGTTCGAGACGTTGTATGGGTCCTTGACCTCCGTGGTATTTAGTCGGCATCTGAGAACGCCAAGTCGACCATTGTCCTCGATCGAGACTAAGATGTTCAAGCTCATAAGGAGTCGTCGGCATTCGCTCTGAGTGGTCTCGACATCGTACTTGGATTGAAGTGTGTAAGGCGTTTGTTTGAATTTGAAGACGTTGTCCAACCATCTGCGTTTCGGAGGGGAATCTGTGAAAGACGATCCTGCTTCGGAAAATAACGGCGAGATGGGCGATGAGAATCTTTTTTTCCGGAGTTTTGATGACTTCCTCCCTATCGGTTCGACGATTTTGATTCGCAATTCTCGTGAAGCTTGTTCTGCATGGTGACCCAATGAGTTGCGTTTTGACGTTGTAATACTATCATTATACTGGCCATCGTCCGGGATGTCATTCTCCTTGTCGTTCGAATTTCTGATCGTTGGGTGTTGTGACCGGGTTTTCCTCCGAATGGTCAGTGGTTTCGTCTCATTCTGAACGACCTCGACGAGTCGATGGGGATCGCCAGCAAGCTCTTGTCGATACACGTGTCCATCCACGACGAAGTGGGAGTCCAAATAGGTTTCTGCGTTCGCCGAGTGGAGAACATCAGGCTGTTGAGCGACAATCCTAGAAGCGACATCTAGATCTGGTGAACCGACCTGGAGTGCATTGAGATGGGAGACGATCTGATGGAAGAAATTTTGTATCTTGCTATCCTGTAACTCGGGAACGGTCAAAGGCGGTAGGTTCAAAGTTTCCCAGAGAGGAGAAGTCGGTGATAAACTTGGATGCGAAGTAGATGGCGAGTGAGTAGAAGCAATTATATTTGGAGTAAGAGGCAGGGCCTTCCTCTGACTTGGCTGATGTTCTATCGATCCTGATAGGGAAGGTTGACAGCGTTGGTGACCAGACGCTCGCCGGGGGGTGGGCGGTCCATCTCGAGGGGGTATGCAGGCCGGAGAGCGGTTTCGTTTTCTTCGGGCCTGTTTGATTTTTCTGCGTTCCAGCCTGGCGAGTTCTTCCTCCTCTTCAGCGCGGATTTCCAAGTGTTTCCCGCGGTAATCGAGGAGCATGTGATAAATGCCTTTTTGCCAGTTCCGCTCATTGTTCATCAAGCTCTCAACAATGTCATCTTCGGGAGTGCCATGCCAGAGGGTACGTAGGTTTGCAAATATGTCAGTGTCAATCATATCGAGGCTGGCAATAGGGCGCGCAATAGTATCCAAGTCTGGGGCAACGTGACCGAAGGTCGCGGGTGCTTGAGACAAGAAAAAGGGATGCTGGAGAATTTCAGGCATAGTGATTCGTTTGCTCGCGTCTTTGGAAAGCATGCGGCTCAACAAGTCCTTCGCATCGTCGTCAATGTCGATTGGCATTGCAAATTTTCCTATAATGATCTTTTCGAGCAAGGTGGGGCAGTCGTCATCATCGAAAGGCAGCCTTCCCGCTAGTAAGGCAAAAAGTATCACACCACAAGACCAGATGTCGGCTGCTGCGCCATTGTAAGCCTCCCCGTTGCAGATTTCTGGAGAAGCGTAGTGAGGACTGCCGCAAGATGTTCGAAGATCGACTCCCTTCGGGTCGGCTTGCCAGGCGGCCATACCAAAGTCAGCAATTTTGATTTTGAAGTCCTGGTCGAGGAGGATGTTTTCGGGCTTGAGATCCCTGTGAGCAATGTTGAAACGGTGACAGTAATCCACGGCAATAATGATCTGTTGAAAGTAAGAGAGAGCTTCGCTAGTAGGCAGGCGGCCTTTGTTACAGAGATATTCGAAGAGTTCTCCGCCTTGAACGTATTCCAGAATAAGATACAGATCGGTGGAAGTCTCCCAGACGTCATAGAGCCGCATGATATTCGGATGGTCGATCAACTTCATGACGACAATTTCTCGTTCGACTGAGAGTTGCCTGTGCTCTGCCTCGTCAGCCAATTTATTGAGTGACGTCCGTGAAGCCAAAGAGGTTTTAGAGATAATCTTTATAGCGGCATACTGGCCTGTTGTTGAGTGCCGTGCGACTCTAACACGTCCTACTCAGTATACGCATCAAACAAGCTATTTGAGGACGAAGGGTGAAGAAAATGCACCAGAGCTGCCCTTCCCAATCGTTCTCCCAACCCTCCAGAGGCCAATCATCTTTGGATCGTGTGTGGTTTTGCTGTGGAATGGTGATTTGGTATCAGTCATGATAAGAGTAAGATCCAAGTAAGATAGTGGTGAGTAAGAACCGAGGACAAACTGTTTTTGCACAGACGTGGCTGACCAGATCAAAAGCCAAACCTGTGCAAAGAACGCGTCCGCAATGAGTCACGAGGCTGTGACCAAACCGCTCCGCATGCACATAAGCTACTCTCTGTGCAAGCACTAAATAAAGATGATGCAACCAACTCCTGCTCCATCTTCCGCCCCGAATTCTCCAGAACGGAAACTTGAACCCTTAGCAGAGTCACAAACATATCCTGCGCCCCCTCAGAATGTTGGAAGTGCACCTTTTGGAGTTCTTGTTGGTCTCTTTGACAAGCTTCAAGTTGAAAGGAAACAGGACAGGCGGAGGAAGTTAATCGAGACGTGGTTCAATGTGCACCGCTATTCTGTTATGAAGCGCCAGTCAAACTCATGATTTCGTCCATAGCACTGGCGTGAGGAGAAAGGATACGATCTTTATCCCGTCTTGCGTTTGATTCTACCTCAGGTTCGTTAGATTTACTGTTCTCCTATTCTTCATCATTTGTTCCCTCCAGAAAGACCGAGAACGTGCTGTCTATGGCTTGAAAGAGAAAAATCTTGCGAAAACCTACATTAAGTTGATTCCTTTGGGCATGCGAGATCCTGATGCCATCCGTCTTTTGAACTGGAAGAAACCAACTGAACGAGAAGTGCGCCGCTTTACCTCCGTCTCAACGGTTGAGGCTCATAGTAACCTTCACATAGAAAACCTCAGGAGATTTTCCGACTGTTCTGTACGAGGTCGTTAGCAAGCGGTCCTCCGTTATTGAGGGATCTTTGTCTATTGACGAGTTGAATGACATCCTTGACGAACTGGCCAAAAATATGGGCAAACAGTATGACCTGAAGTCTTCAGAGCGCCAATATATTGATGTTTCTCCAGAGACATTCAGTCGGGTATCTTGCGACGGATATACAACCGTTCGACGGCCCAAGAGCAACGCTGGATCGTTCGTATTATATTGAAAGGTCCTTCGGCTTTTTCATTTTGAAAGTACTAGATTTTTACGCTTACTATTTTGCAGATATGATCATATCTGTAAAGGAGACCACTATTTTTTCAGTGTTTCACCCAGATGCTCAGGACCTATACAATACTTGTTCCGATCTCAAAAAGATTGCATGGGAACTTTGGGATCCTTCCTTCAGGCTCAACGCGGAAGTAGGCTACCTTTTTATTGCTTCATCTCAGACTTGCGACAACTTGACCAGGATAAAGCAGTCCAGTTATTTCATGCTTTCGCGCCAATGTTGTGTAAGCGTCCAACGAAGAAGATCGAAGAAACTGTCCGAGAAATGAGTGGTTCCGAGTTCTTTATAGAGGAGAAACTCGACGGAGAGAGGATGCAACTGCACAAGAGAGGCAACGAATATTTATATTTTTCTCGGTCTGTCATTTTTCATTTTCAGGTCATCACTCTCAACCAGTTTCAGGAAAGGAAAGGATTACACATATCTGTATGGGAAACACGTTGGCACGGGAAGCTTGACTCCGTTTATAGACAAGGCCTTTGATCCTCGAGTGGACGAGTGAGCCCTTTATTTCCAATCTCAATACATATTCTCACAGGTTTCTAGTATAATTTTAGACGGTGAAATGCTAGTTTGGGATCCTGTGTCTGAGCGTAATCTACCGTTCGGGACATTGAAGACGGCAGCACTCGGTTCGTTGAGTTGAGCTATTCTCGTCTTTCTTTTTGGTCATCATTCCGTAGACAAGTCTAAGAAAGAGCACAACCCGCGCCCTTGTTGTGAGTGTTCGTTTGTTTGACTTCCCTATTACATACTAAGTTCCCTTTGAATAGTCAAAGTTTTTGATCTTTTGTACCTGAACGGTCAATCCCTTCTCCATAAATCGACAGCTTTTCGAAAGAAGAATATGCGAAACTGCCTCAAGGAGATCACCGGAAGAATTGAATATGCGGTCGACTACAAAGGCACTACCGCGAAAGACATCCGAAAAAGAATGGACGAAGTGATGGGTAACCGCGGTGAGGGCTTGGTTATCAAACATCCGTTATCCAAGTACGTTTTAAATGGAAGGAATATGGATTGGATCAAGGTGCACCTGGCCTTTCTCTCTTTGAAATTTAATTATTGATGTGGACCGTTAGGTGAAACCCGAATATATGGTGCGCCTTTCTCTCTGATCATTTTCGGAAGGATTTTGAGGTTTTGAATAGGATAATATGGGAGAAACTGTTGATGTTCTCGTTGTTGGTATGTCATAGCTTGTCGTGGGGATCTTTCTAACCCCTGCGTTCCCTCAGCCGGGAACTATGGAACTGGAAAGCGTGGTGGAGGCGTTTCAACGCTCATCTGTGCTGTCTTGGATGACCGCCGAGCAAACGAGGATGACGAAGAGCCAAAGTAAGAGGAGCTTGACGACCCTTCAAGATAAAGGCGTGACGAACATCTTTAGATACAGCACCTTTGTTCGTATCGGTTCTGGGCTGTCCTTCGCCGACTACGTTTGGGTGAGAGATAAACCATGGAAGGTCTGGGATCCAAAGCATCCCCCCGAATTCCTTCAGACTGCCAAGCGGACTCATGAAGACAAGGGAGACCTCTATCTAGAACCGGAGGAGTACGTTGAAAGTTTAAGAGCCGTGAACATCTTCCACTGACATCATTTCAAGTTCATTTATACTGAAAGTCAAAGCTGCTGAGATCACGCCGTCAGGTGCGAAAAAATGTGCATTGACCTGAATGACGATGTCATTTTCTTTTCTAGATCAATATCATATGGGCTTTACCATGCGATTCCCCCGTGCCTTATCCATCCGAGACGACTTAAGCATTGCGGATTGCATGACTGCTACAGGTTGGTGATTTTAGCTTGCCTTTCTTTTTGTAAAATTTACACGCAGTTTAGCTGTTTTCGAAAGCCTGCGGTCGGAGAAGAAGCGCAAAATGGAGAGCGACGCGGGGTATGAGTTGGATAAAAAAACCCACCAGAAACTTCTCTGCTAACTCACCTTTTGTAGAGTATCCTCCAAGAAACGCAAAACAACAGCGAAAAAAGTAATAAAATGATATCCCTTTTTTCATCAAATTTTCATTCCTATGTTTAGGCAACTGTCCTCCCAGCATATAAGGGCCCAAATTTGAAGGGAGTACGAGTAAAGACGGATATCCTGGATGGGCTAAAGTTTGGCGAGCTCCTTGCTTCCTGCTCCATCTATCAGGTGCTTATACGCCTTACTCCAGTGGTTATGGCGGATCCTAAATCCAGAACGGGTGATGAAGAAAGGAAAGAACTGATGAAATTGTATTCTATTCTCAAACATTCTCGTAATCGCTCACGACTTACAAGTTGCATTTTAGGATTCACGCCAACGGCGGATCCTGTGCCCAAGTTGCCAATAATCAACCAGAATTGTTCATTGTATATGAGGGCAATACCATTCGTCTGTGTTGAGCTATCACTCAACGTTACCTTGAGTGCTGACATCGCCTTAGCGTATGACTTGAAGCTGCTGATCGACAAAAATGTGTACGATGTGATAAAGCCAAATTGGATCACAGATTCAGTGGCTCTAGGCGAGCCTGCTCCCTTGCGCAAAAAGTTAGTCGACATTAAAGCTGTTACATTACGCTCAGTTTCTCAGAGAGCTTTAGATATTTCTTTCGTGCGACGGACGAGCGGGCATCGACGGATGAGTACATGCAGGAGGACGAAGACCAGGCCTTCGAAGCACCCACGCTCAAAGAAGACCCGAGTGCGAAGCTCGAGGAGGAAATGGTTCCAAAAGTTGAGGAACAAGAATATGACATTGATCCCTCGTTGGCAGATTGGCTCAAGATTGATGATAAGAATGAAAAGCTTCATGCGGAGGCCAAGGAGGAACAGGATGATTATTCCGCAACTGACGACGATTCCGACAACGCTGACGTTTTGGAACCGGAAGAGGTGGATCTGGATGACTGGCTCAAAGTGGAATCCGCGGATGAGCCTTCTGTCATAGCTTCTGCAGCTACAGGAAGTGAATCACTGTCTACCGTCAGTCCCGCCGCCTTTGAGTCGGAGTATCTGTTGATTTGTTATAGGACTGTGTGGACGTGAAGATGGGAGAAACGGAGGCCGCAATGGAATACGACCAAGATCTTATCTTCAAGCATCTGTGAGTCCATATTTAATACCGGTGTGACGATGGGTGATGATGAATTTTCGAAAGATGCTTCTACCTCGACTCTCCAGAAAACGCTCAGCGAAACCAGATGATCGTGAAAACCAGATACGAAAAGGATATCAAGCAAAGGCATGTTGTGGTCCTCCGTGTGTGCATTGAGCCAGTGACTGATTGTGCACCGCCCAGCTTTGTCGACCTCTCAAAAGTGATCGCCGATAACGGGGGAAAGATTGTCGACCTCGACGAACCCAAGCTGACTCATATTATTATCGACAAGAGGGACGACAGTCGGCGCTTGGAGCTCATGAAGCGCACATCGAAGTAAGAGGCTGTCGAGTGCATTGCGAGGGAGCTGACATTTTACAAGGCCACGAAGACGACGTCTGATTATATCGGAGTACGTGCAAGCATGCTTGGACGAAGGGACACTTCTTGACGAAGATGGTGCGTATCATTTCCGGGACGACCGACGAGGGTGTCTAACGTAGGTTTATTAGATTTTTCGCCTTAATTTCTTGTAGTGTATGTGTACGATATATTGATGCCATTGTTATTCATTGTTTCGTGATGGACAATTTGCCGCCCAAATCTGGGATCTGAGCTTTACGCCAGTTCTACGCCGCCGTTACTTTTCAATTCTGCCACGCTCAGCGTTCAGAGTCTCCCTTGTTCCTCTTTATCCTCTCTTTTTCACGGCTGCCTCAAGCCTGCCTGTTGAGATACCTATTTTCACGTAGCGGTGTTTACACTCATTTCAAAATTCCCCCCCTTGTACTACGACTTTCCTCATCGCCCTCTTCACTCTGAACCTTGCCCTCGCCATGGCAGACCCACAAGTCTCTCCCATATCTCAGCTCCTTCACACCCTTGGAATAACTCGCGAAGACTTGAACAAGCGCAGTGACCAGATGCGTCAGTTCCTTACCGCCGATAATGCCCTGGCTTCACGCGTCACCGAAGGCGAAAGCGGTCGCAGATCAAGGTCAAGCTCAGATTTACGCCCAAACTCAAGATCCACGACCTCAAGTAGCGCTTTGTCGCGCTCATTGTCCCGTGGAAGCACCAGTTCCTTGCGAGACGCTACCCCACCAGCTACCCCCATCAAATCTGAACCTCACGAAGGCGGCCTCCCCCACCGCCACTTCGACAACATGGAGATGGTCATAGCAAGGCAGAGGCGTCAGAGTCGAAGAGAAAAGAAAAGCCGGAGGGAAAAAGAACGCGACTTGTCGAGCAGAGGTGCCATGCCACACCCACCTTCCCCCTCACCTAGTAACGCGTCTCAATCTGGCCTCAACCTGGATACCTTTATGCAATCACGCGACGACCGCCGTGGGCCTATTCCTGGCGATGATTCTGCCTCTCAGGAAAAGGTAAGCCGACGCGTTCGACGCGTGTCTGATACCACTGATCTCATCATAATTGCTAGGTGGTCGACCCTCCGCCAGTAACACCCCAGAAGAACAAATACTACCGTGATCATACCATTGCCACTAGCCATTCACAGCCCTCAAAGGTAACGATCGGTATCATACCCTTTGAGACACTCTGACGTCCATTGAAGGAGGTCGCTTGTAAAACTGAGACACCCACTCCAACTCGCCCTGTGGTCTTTCAGACCCAGCCAGCATACTATGGATACCCGTATATGGCTTACCCTCACCTTCCCGTGCCACACAGGAGCGCTCAAGCGAGTTCATCTACCCTTCCCCTCACTCCGCAACCGCACCGCACACAAGCACTTTCGCGCAAGGCGGCCAGATCTCCTCTTCCCCCCTCTTCACCCCCGGCTCCTTCTTCGCCACTTACATCTCCTTCGCGCAGAGTCGTCAATCTAGTTTCCTCTCCTGGTCTGATGGAACCATTGCCTTCTGAGGACCAGTACGATAATCTTCCTTATAAGCTCCCTCCAGGGCCGTACTCCCCGAACAAGCCAGACCTCTCTTATGCAGCTCTAGTTGGTCAGGCAATTCTCTCCTCCCCGGGACATCGTCTTACGCTTCAAGAGATTTATGACTGGATCACCATCGTGCATCCGTATTATAAACGTGGTGAAACGACGTGGATGAACAGCATTCGGCATGTTCTGAGTACGACCATATGCTTCCGAAAAGTTCCCCGAGAAAGGGCAGTTGGTAGGACCTTGTGGGCGATTTGGGACGAAGATCTTGAGTGTTTTAAAGGCGGAGGCTTTAGAAAACAACTCTGCAAAGATATCATCAATGGAATTGATGCAAAGGAGAAACAAGCGGGTAGCGCAAAGCCTAAAGCCAAATCCCGGAAGCGTGCGGATCAGGACGACGATACGGAGACCAGAAAGACGAAACGGGCGAAGAAAGACCAATTCGCCTCAAGCACCATGATGGCCCCGCTCATAACCCATCCTTACTTTCCACCAATGCGGCCCACACCTCACCATCAATCCTACTATGAGACTTGTCTATCCCAACACCAGACACTGCCTGCCGAGATTATATTTCCACCCCTGCCAGCTGCTGCTGCGTTTAATAGGGTGGTCTCAAATGTCATTCCTTCGTCTTCAGCCTCAAATCCCCCATCGGGACCGTTCTCCATGAAAGAGGAGTCCGTTACTCGATCCTCGCCAGAATGCGTTGAAACGGATTCACGGTCCGACCCTCCTCCCTCTTCCTCAATATCGTCTGCTTCGTCAGCCATATCTGTTCCAGGGCTTACACCAAACCGTAGCTCATTGACCCCTCCATCATCACTGCCTACGAGTGATGTAGAAATGGATATTCCTAGTAGTCATTCGGGCAATCTGTTCAAGATCGACGCTTCTATAACTATCTCAAGATTGGATGATGATTTGGATATGATTTCGTCCGCTTCTGTCCCAGGGGACGAGGATGACATCTTCAACGCTTCCTTGTTGGGACCTGTACAGTTTTGGGGAGAATCGCCAAAAGAAGGAGGCCTCTTGCAACCGGGAATAGAGCTTCTGGACTTCAACGTTATGTCCGATGGTGAAGACACTAACTCTCCGTTACGGAAGAAGGGCGAAGGAAAGCAAGCGAATCGAAAGTCCAAGGTGATTTTCTTATTCCATGTAACTTTTCACATTTCTCACAATTTTTCCAAGCAGAAGATCCTACTCGCTGCGTCTCCTACCTTGAATCGGAGAACTAGTCCTTCCCAACCGTTGAAGATGGGAACACAACTCATTTCGAGTGATATAGGGCGCCCAACGACGCCCCCTCCGTCCACCTCTATGATACCCTCCACTCCACCTCGCACTCGGCTTCAGATTTCTTCCATGCGGACCCCTATTTCGCACAAGGGATTGCATATGAGCCCTTCCGCAAGCTTGGCTCATTACAAATCGAATCTCGACCCACCACCTACCATATCATATGGTGCTGGTCCCAGCAATGCGGGCAAAGAAGAGGCTCGTGTAGAAGACGAGGCTGATCCTATGCGCACCCCCCGAAAGCAAACGGGCACGAACGGCGCGGCGCCTGTGACGCCGAAAAGATTGATGTTCTCCAGCGTTCTCGACGACTCACCTTTCCGTACCCCGTTCGGCTTCCGCACACCTGGCTCGCGTTCCATCCTTGATCCTCACGATCCGAGGACGGCATTAGATGACGAGCTCAACCGCATGAACGCGTATGACGACAGTCCAGCTGGAATATTCGGAAAGGGAACTGGGTCTCTTCTCTATGATAGTCCTGGCGCTGGATATCTAGACTCTCCGGGGAAATGGTCAAAATCGTGGTGGTAACGATTGCGCACTTTTATAATGACTATATGATTTTTGTCATGATTTATTTTTCATTTTCACCATCCCATCTTTATGACGTCCCTTCTAGCAGGCATGGTTATGGACGAACGCGATAGCAGATAACTGTTATTTATGAGCTGTTCTTTGGCGAACATTTCCCGTCTCTCGCTCTCTTAGCTGTCGTGTAAATATACGTACCTCTCGGTCTACCGAACGATTGTTTTTCTTTTTCTTTTCTTCCCGAGCCTCACTGACAATAGTGATAGATAACAATTATACTGTATTATGAAGCTGCCAGGAGCAAGGCAGTTCAACTCTGCGCATGCACATGGTCCACTTCAGACAGAGCTGAATCATCACACAGCGAAGGTCTTGACAATGAATTCATTATAATTAAGAGGTAACAAATTTATAAAGAGAGCCCTCTGAAACGTACGAAGAACCTGGAGAATAACAAGATGTTAGTAAGGATAATCAACAAAACATTGCCAAAAGCCCCAAAAAAGATCAGACATCCAAAGGAAGGTCGTTTCAACTCGCATCGGGCCGACCCCCGCATCCCGCCCAGCGCACACCACGAATGGCGGCCAAGAACTCCTCAATGCCTTTTGGGTTCAGCACGAGGAGGTGGAATATAGACGTTCCGCATTGGGGGAGTACTCCAAAGGAGGGCGCTAGAGTGGAAACTGCGAATGTGGTCGTTTATCATCATTGAGATGAGGCAGGAAGGTGGTGGTGTATAGAGATGACGAAAAGAGCCTCACATAATGACTATGGGTAGTTGCGCGGGAATCTGGTAAGAGTTGGTTAGCAAGATTGTCGAAGACATACTCGCAAGGACCTAGCAGAAGAAGGGTGCGTTAGCAATTGTAACAAGCTGGTGAGAAGAACCGGAAAAGATCAGCTGGCTGTTCTTAGTATTTTTTGTATTGGTTTCCCCATCGCCGTCACGCGGCTTTGGACGTTGGTGTGTGTTCGCATCATCTTAAGAAAAAAAAGAGCCAGAAACTCACAATCATAAAATTTTTAAATCTCTAACCGCGAAGCGAAACAATAGATCAAGGAGGTGGTGATGAATGTCCTAGAGGAAGGGTAAAGTCAGCTCAGATGATAGAAAGAAATCCAGGAGAAAAAAATCAGAGGTGCAACTGTTTGGCATGTGCTCAACCAATCGTCAAAGCGTTGTGCTACGACTGGGGCGGCAACGAAATCATCGTGAAGTGAGAAGATATGTGAACAAGATGTGAACTTACCAGGCATGTTGCACGGTGAAGAAAATTAAAAAAGTTTTGCTCTTTATAGTCAAGTGTGGCGTGGGATTATTTTGTTAGGCTTTGTCATTGTGATTCCAGTCACGTCTTTCGACCAAACACCTTCCTTGCCAACTAACTCCTCACTTCCCTCTCTCGAATCGAGGTATAATGTCTCCCCCCGGGTCACCCAGATTGATAGACTCGTACACAGCTCCGAAGGAAATTCTTCAAGAGTTTGCGGACCTTGCTGAAGAAGAAGATGTTGATCCTTTCGCAGAAACAGCCTCCAAGCGACAAATTGCTGCTCGACAGTCGGATTATCATAACCGTCGTTTCGCCCGCGTAGCTGTTGATAGCGCGGATGCCTTCCAGCAGAATGAGGAGGGGAAGGAGGTCGAGGGTGGTTACAAAGATGCTATGAGGCTTTCTCGGTTGGAGCAAGAGGAGTTGAGGGTAAAGAAGGCGATTGAAGAGAAGAAGAGGAAGGATAGGGAGGACGAGAAAATGAAGATGGACTTGGACAAAACTCCCCCTGCCGCCGAGATTGAAGCTGTCTCACGAGAGCTTGCCGCTGCGAAGGAGCTGGCAAATAAGGATGCAGGAATGAAACGAAAGCGCAGATGGGATGTTTCTGAACCCTCGGACGAGAACGCAGACCCAAACCAGCGGGACACAGGTGAATGGTCGAAGGAAGCTTTGGAGGCATCTGCGCCCAAGAAACGACGGTCACGGTGGGATGCGACCCCTGCTGAAGCCGCCGTTGGTGAGACCCCCAAACGGTCTCGTTGGGATCAGACACCTGTCGCTTCAAATGTGGACGTACCTATGACCCCCATTATCATGAACGCTCCAGGGTTTATGCAGGAAGACAAACACAATCGTTACCTGACTGACGAGGAACTCGATGCCGTTTTACCTACGAGCGGCTATGCCATCGTCACTCCACCTCCAGGTTATGCCCCCATGGTCGCTCCCCGAAAATTCATGGCGACTCCCATAACCGAGGTGGGAGGTTTCCAGATCCAAGAAGGTTCTGACGCAGCTGCTGCGGCTGCCGCCGCCGGTCTCGCTCCAGAACTCCCTACAGAGATTCCTGGGGTCGGTAACCTGGCCTTCTTCAAGGCTGAGGACGCCCAATACTTTGCCAAAATTCTCAAGGAGGAAGACGAAACGGAGTTGTCAGTGGACGAGATGAAGGAGCGGAAGATTATGCGACTTCTTTTGAAAATAAAGAACGGTACTCCCCCAGTCCGTAAAACAGCACTTCGTCAGATCACGGACAAAGCTCGTGAATTTGGCGCCGGCCCCCTTTTCGATAAAATTCTTCCTCTATTAATGGAGCGCACTCTCGAAGATCAAGAGCGACATCTTCTCGTCAAGGTTATTGATCGCGTATTATACAAACTGGACGACCTCGTTCGACCATATGTTCACAAGATCCTCGTTGTCATCGAGCCCCTCCTCATTGACGAAGACTATTATGCCCGTGTAGAAGGCCGCGAGATCATTTCCAACCTTTCCAAGGCTGCTGGTCTTGCCCACATGATATCGACAATGCGCCCCGATATCGATCACGCCGACGAGTACGTACGCAACACGACTGCTCGCGCATTCTCCGTTGTCGCTTCCGCCTTGGGCATCCCATCTCTCCTTCCTTTCCTCAAAGCCGTCTGCCGTTCTAAAAAGTCATGGCAAGCTAGGCACACTGGTATCCGAATTGTTCAACAAATTGCGATCATGATGGGCTGCGCGGTATTACCCCATCTTCGGAACTTGGTGGACTGCATTGCGCATGGTCTATCTGACGAGCAGCAAAAAGTCAGGACTATGACAGCTCTCGGGTTAGCCGCGTTGGCAGAAGCTGCTGCTCCTTACGGTATCGAATCCTTTGACAACGTCTTGAAACCTCTCTGGTTGGGCATCCGTCTCCACCGCGGCAAAGGTCTTGCAGCCTTCTTGAAGGCTATTGGCTTCATCATTCCCCTTATGGACCCCGAATACGCTTCTTACTACACCAAAGAAGTCACAGTCATTCTCATTCGTGAGTTCCAAACGTCTGACGAGGAGATGAAAAAGATCGTCTTGAAGGTTGTCAAACAATGCGCCGCCACTGAAGGTGTAACCCCCCAATACATCAAAAACGATATACTTCCCGATTTCTTCAAAGCATTTTGGGTCCGTCGTATGGCTCTAGACAGGCGGAATTACAGACAAGTAGTGGAAACCACTGTCGAGCTTGCACAGAAGTCTGGTGTGGCTGAGATTGTTGGGAGGATCGTTAATGAATTGAAGGACGAAGCCGAACCCTACCGAAAGATGGTAATGGAGACCATTACGAAGGTTGTTGCCACCCTTGGAGCCTCAGATATCGACGAGAGGCTGGAGGTTAGGCTGGTCGATGGCATCATCTACTCTTTCCAAGAGCAGACAACGGAAGATCAGGTCATGCTTGATGGTTTCGGGACTGTGGTAAACGCTTTGGGCATCCGTGTCAAGCCTTACCTGACTCAAATCGTCTCCACGATTCTCTGGCGTCTCAACAACAAGAGTGCAAAGGTTCGGCAACAAGCAGCCGATCTGACTACTCGCTTGGCTGTCGTAATCAAGCAATGCGGAGAGGATCAGCTGTTGAGCAAGCTCGGCCTCGTGCTGTTTGAACAGCTGGGAGAAGAATACCCAGATACACTCGGAAGTATCATAGCCGCTGAAGGTGCCATCGCAAACGTTGTTGGAATGACCCAAATGAACCCCCCCGTTAAGGATCTCTGTGAGTCTTCTTTTATACCGCTTGCGCTCTGAAGCTGATGTTGGATTTTTTTTTAGTACCGAGAATGACACCCATTCTCCGTAATCGACACGAGAAAGTACAAGAGGCGTCTATCAATTTGATTGGTCGTATTGGTGAGTTTTTGGTTATCAGTGTTACCAAAACCATGGATACTCATTGCATACACTTAGCTGATCGAGGTGCCGAATTTGTGCCTGCACGAGAGTGGATGCGTATCTGTTTCGAGCTTTTAGATCTTCTGAAGGCACACAAAAAAGGCATCCGTAGGGCTGCTGTCAACTCCTTTGGCTACATCGCGAAAAGTTTGGGACCCCAAGATGTGCTCTCCGTGCTGTTGACGAACCTTCGTGTGCAGGAACGACAAAGTCGAGTATGCAGTACGGTGGCTATTGCCATCGTGGCTGAAACTTGTGGACCGTTCACATGCATTCCAGCGATTCTGAATGAATACCGAACTGCAGAGCTAAACGTGCGAACAGGTTGTCTCAAAGCCCTCTCCTTCGTTTTCGAATACGTTGGTCCACAATCGGCGTATTATTGTGACTCCGTGGTCACAATGCTTGAGGATGCTCTCACCGACAGAGACCTTGTCCACAGACAGACGGCTAGCACCATCGTGAAGCATCTTGCTCTAGGAGTTGCAGGTCTCGGTTGCGAGGACTCGATGCTCCATCTCATGAACCTTGTGTGGCCCAACTGCTTCGAGACATCCCCTCACGTTATTGGAGCAGTGATGGACGCGATTGAGGCTATGCGGGTGACGCTGGGACCGGGCGTGTTGTTGAGTTACGTGCTGCAGGGTTTGTTCCATCCGGCCCGAAAGGTTCGCGAGGTTTACTGGCGTACTTACAATGCGCTGTACCTTGGCGCGGAGGATGCCCTGGTTCCCTTCTACCCTGATTTGAGCGAACTCAGCGAAGGAAAAAATGTTTATGATAGACATCCTCTCCAAGTATTTATCTGAGTGTATTGTACTTTTACCTATACAAACGAAGGTTTTTGTTGACTTCGTCATTTTGTGGCTTGCAACATGGCTGGCACATTTATTTATGTAAAGTTGGCCATCATTGGCGGAGGGCCTTCTGCTTTCTACATCGATCGCTTCTCGCCTTCTCAGACTCTTGCCTCATTTCAACGCAAGTCCCCTCACCTCACGGACTCGTGAGGTATGGCGTCGCACCAGACCATATAGAAGTAGAGGCAAGTCTTCAACTCGATCCCCAATTCAAGTTCGTCTAAAACACCTTTCAACTTTACACAGAGCTAACCTTTTCTACAAAACTGTACCCACAGATTTGATGAGACCGCACGGGATAGCCGTTTCGGAAATGTGAACATCTCAAGGCCCTCATGCCACCGCCAGATCAAGGCCCAAGAGTGGCTGAGCCGTCCACCTTTGGGGAGCCTTTTTAGTACCAAATTGCAGAGGTGAGCCGACCCGCAGTCCTTTCCAGTTCCAGGATAAGTCATTCACGCAGCGGTTACCTCCCTCCGCTCACAGCATCGCCTTTTGAAAGCCCAATCCTTCACTGGCTATAGTCTTCTTGTAGATCACATCATGATCGTCTATGAGCACCCGAACCTCGAACCTTCATTAGTTGGACGTTGGGCCACACAGAACTCGAAGGCAATGAAGAGCAAGCCCCTCGGCTGCTAAGAAAACACTGTGAGGAGACAACTCTGGCGTGGAACTTCCAGCATTCCGGGGCTTTTCTAGTGTGGAATAAGTCGATGGAAATACGACTAAGTATACTACGTCAGGCTTGGTACGGCCACTGCGGAAATTTGGCCACAACATCTTGATTGCAACGAGTTAACCGGTTTATTCCCAGTTGGCTTCTGCCATATGATGCAACAGCCACTAGACCTCGACGAGAACTAGTATCACGCCCTCGGACATTCTCCCTCCCGTTTAGAAATACCCACCGTATTGAAAACTCCGCAATCACCTCATTGTTAATGCTGGGCGACTCGGAGCTAGCCAGAACCTAAGCAATCTCTTGTCCTCCGCGGAGGACTGCCGTCACCTTAACATCGCCCTGACCAGACGCCTTGGACTCTGATCTTTGAGGAGGTCTGCTTTTAATAGCAGCTCAGGCATACAGCTTTAACACATCAGATGTCTTCTTCCGTTGATAGATTGTCAAAAATTGCTTTATTGTATGCATATTTGTACTGTCCAGTTCACAAAAATGATCTCTCTCTCTCTTTTCAATGAAACACATGTTATTTCAAGTAAAAGTCGTCCTCGAACTTGAACTTTGAAATGTTGACCCATTCCACCTAGATGAGTAACAAAATTTGTCAGTTATTTATTCAGAGTGGAAAGGCACAACTTACCCCAATCTCAGATTGACGCAGCTTATGATCTTCATCACTAGTGATGATAACATACCTCCTGTACTCCATCATTATACCCAATTCTTTTTGCATTTCCTTGAGGTCGGACTCAATTGCTTTCTCAATAAGCCCATTCCACTGGAATACTGGTGCATTTTTGAATTTTGCTTCAAGACCCCCAATAGCAATTTCAAGGGCATCTCGAGCTGAGGGTGGTTGTAGCTTGAAAAAATCCTGGATCCAGCCATCATTGACCTTTTGGGGGCTGGTCAAGAGAGCAACCACTCCCTCCTCAATGGCCTTCAAAACCCAGGTGTAAGGGAAATGTAGACTAGGTGTTTACAGCTCAGTTTTTTTTTTTTTGGGAGATGAAGATTTCAAAAAACTTACTCATCATATTTTTTCAAAATTAGGGGATCTCCATCTCCAACCATACAAGACAATTTTGCTAGCATGCCAAGAGCCTGCGGAAGAATATAAGAAATCCACAATGGGTGCTTGTGAATTTTTCTCAAGGTGTCCATCACTTGAAGTGGATTTTTGAGGAAAGCACAGGGAGTAAATGTAACAACTCCTCCTGGGGAAGAAAATATTTTAGTGATAGAGCAAGCAAGATAAAAATCCATCATACCACATGGATAAATTTCTCGAATTCCCCAGAGAACTTTTGGTATGGCTTCAGAAGTTCCATAGGTATAGAACTGTACCCTGCGTGGATATCCCTGCCTTCTGTTGACAAGCTTGGGAATCATGTGAATAGTTTCAAGGCTTGAAACATGCACAAATATGACTCGGGCATTTTTTTCATACCCAACATGCCTTGCATATGTGGTCTCCAGGATGTCCTGGAGCCTTGAAGTCTCCAGAGCACTAGCTTCACTGTCATTGAGAGTCTTCCACCAGATAGAAAAGGTTCTATCTTTCACTGTATCATGAAAGAACTCATAGAGTTTATGAGGGAACCCCAGCATTTGGATGGCAAGAATAAGTTTTTTTCTGGCTTGAAGAAAATTTTCTTGGTGTTTGATTTTGGGGACGTCAGTGATCAGCCTTTGGGGGAATTTTTTGAAAGGGCTGAGATAAGGGGTACGGTGTTGAAGTGTCCACAGAATAATGGCTGCAGTCAAACTTTCACCAGTAACTCCATTGAAATTTGAAGGGACTTGAAGAAAATTGTGAATGTTGGCTTGTAAAGCCTCAGGAAGAAAAATGATATGCCCAATCAGGTGGCCATGAGATGTTAGAGGTAGCAAAGCAACCTTAGAGAAATAAGATATGGTCATTAGACTTTCCAATATTAGCCTTTAGATGATAGAGCTGACCTTTCTTGCTCTTGTCATCATCTTTATGACCAGAGAGAACAAGGCTGCATCTCTTGGAGTACGAGGGCCAAACTGGCCAAACTGGCAAGGAGGTTTGCAGCTTTGAGAGATAATGTAGAAATCTTCTACATCATGAAAGCTCATCAACTGAACCTTCTTCAGTTCTGATAGAATGTTTGCCATTTCTAGCCTCTTGAATTTGGGTGTAGTTTTTTTGAAAAGACCAATATTGCAGATGAATTGCATTGTTCGAGATTGGGTAGCCCCAGTATGATGCCTCAGTTCAAGTGGACCAGCCCATGAGCACTTTTGTGGGCTGCTTGAGACTATATTTTTTATGAGGGTGGGCACCAAAGCACCCTGGCTAAGAATTTGTTTTGTTGAGAGCCCAGAGGCCATGTGAGTGGAAGGAGAGTGATGGCTTGGTAGTTCATTTAACCTTGATGATGATAAAAACATTGTGGAAGGATGCTTTTTTTGAACAGGAAGTCTGGGAACTCTGTCAGAGATGATAGCCTGAACAAAGGGAGCCTTTGGAGAGGTTGATGTTGGTGGGTCATCCACAGCCATGTGATCATGCTTTTCTGGTAACAATCTTTCTGGTGAGCCATGAAAAAGAGAGCTTGAGGAGGATGGTGAGGACATGTCTTCAAACTTTTCTCACTATGAGTGATTGAATCAGCAGACAATCCAAGCTTCACATACCTCCTTGTTTGGAGCTCCTTCAAACAAACATTCAGCTTCAGTAGTCTTAGTCAAGGCCTGTTCATCCTGTTGTTTTTTCCATTTTGTAAATTCCAATTCAAGGTAAGAAAAAGTATTCCAATTTAACTCACATTTTTTCTTCTATTGACAACCACAGTTGATAGTGGAGAGGTGCTATCCTCAGGCTCATCTTGAAACATTTTCTTCAGAGTGAATTAACCAATATTGTTTATGTCTAGAGGGTGTTGAAGTTCTCTACCTTTCTTTTTTGTCTTTGTGGCAATGGGACACTTAGTTGTGATTTTGGAATCACAATTGGTTTGGTATTTTCTGACCTCTACAAGAAATTTTCAATATCAGTTGCTCTTCAGGGCATTTTAATTCACTGAAACAATAGGCATCACCTTTTCCAAAAGGGTGTCATTTTTGACATTTTCTTCCTGCATACTTTGGGCAAACAGCTCCTTCTCTTTCTCTAGAACAAATGACAGTTGAAGTAATGGGTCATGAACATATCTCACACTCAACTGATCCATGGAGGTAATGCCTTCAACTCTGTCCCCACCTTACAGCAATATGGATTGGGGATGCTGAGGTGCTTCCAGAAGCCAGCAACAAGGCGCTCACACCCCACAAGACCACTTTCTGGCTCCCAGCTATACAGAAAAAATGAGAAACCCTAGTAAATGGTGGAAGAATTTGAGTCAATACCTGTTTTCACTGCTATCATAACCAGCCCACTGAATGGCAATTCCATAAGGCAAGGCAGGATGTCCCGGGAGGAATATATTGCATACCTTCACAAAATATTCCTGCAAAGATAGAGATAATTTAATCTCATGAGGAAAGAAAATGAAGGATGGGTGACACACGATTGATTTTCCATCTTCTCGTCCTTTTCCTTGATCATCATGTACAATTCGAGCCTTTGTAATTACCTCTGGTCATGGCCTCTATGAAGAAATACCCTCTTGAATACTGAACAACAAATTACGCACCCACTTCATAAAGTACCCTTTGTCGCTTTGAGGCTTCTCTTGACTTTACCATTGTGAAGTTTGCTCTTGAAGTTGAACGTTGAATTCCCTGATGATGGTGTTTGCGATCAAACGAATGTTTTTGTTGAATTTGTCATTTTGCAACTTGCAACATGGCTGCCATGGCACCTATAAAGTTGGCCATCATTGGTGGAGGGCCTTCTGCTTTCTACGTCGCTTCTCGCCTTCTTAAACTCTTGCCTCATTCCAACGCAAGTCCTCTGAGGGTTCATGTTTTTGACAGGCTTTGGTCACCTCATGGACTCGTGAGGTATGGCGTCGCACCAGACCATCCAGAAGTAAAGGCAAGTCTTCAACTCGATCCCTAATTCAAGTTCGTCTAAAACACCTTTCAAATTTATACAGAGCTAATTTTTTTCTACAGAACTGTACCCACAAATTCGATGAGACCGCACGGGACAGCCGTTTCCGATTTTTTGGAAATGTGAACATCGGAGACGGAGTTAATCCTATCCCTCATGCGTTGCAGCTACCTCTGTCGTCAATATTCAAGATCTACTCTCATGTGCTATTCGCAACGGGTTGTACCCTTCCAGTTTTACATGCAGAGTTACCTCCCTCGGAATATTGTATCCCGGCACTATCTCTCGTTCATTGGTACACCCAACACCCAAACGCACCTAAACCGCCACCTCTACACAAGATATCCCATGTGTCGATCATTGGGCATGGGAACGTCTCTCTTGACGTCGCTCGTATGCTTCTGACGAACGTCAGCGAACTTTCAAAATATGATGTCCCCAGTCCTGTTTTGGACGTTCTCTCCAAGTCGGCCGTAAAACATGTTTCTATCATTGGAAGACGCGGTCCCCTCGAGGCCGCTTTCACAGTGAAAGAATTGCGAGAGATGACTAGTCTTCCAGAAGCATCCATGGTTTCCCTCGAGCCTCATCTTCTTGCACATAGTCCTTCCCTCCTTACCCGCCAGCAATCTCGCGTCCTACAACTGCTTGAGAAGGGATCTAAGAATGCTCCGGGGAGCACAGAAAAAACATGGTCACTGGATTTCTTTCGCTCGCCAACGGGTCTCGCTCTACCTTCACATAGTAGCAGCCACAGCAGACCGCACGCTCAACTCTCTCTATCCCATACCACCCTCAACCCTCACACACATCGCGCCGTGCCGACTGGAAAGTCATCCACTTTCCCAACTGACCTCGTTGTCACCTCGCTCGGCTTCCACGCAGAGCCCTCTTCTACGTTCTATGATCCCAGCCTTGCACACTTGCGCACGATGTCTGGGCGAATCGTCACATCAGAAGGTACCACGCTAAGGAACGTCTACGCTTCTGGTTGGGCCGCGACAGGTGCTAAGGGTGTCCTCGCCTCGACAATGATGAATGCCTACGATACAGCACGGACTATCGTTGACGACTGGATGGGTGGTGACGAAGACGAGGATATCCCCGACCGAGAGGAGGTTTTGAACGATGATCTTGCGTTGGACTTGGAGAAGTTGCCTGAGGAGGTGGAAGAGGCTATTGGGAAGGCCCAAGTGATGCAGTACGGAGATTGGAAGAAGGTTGACGATATAGAGGTGGAAAGAGGAAGGAAAGAGGGAAAGGAGAGAGAGAGGATGAAGTGGGAGGAAGCCCGAACCTTTTTGACGCACGTTTTATAGAATAGATTATAGACCACCCCGGAACGCCTGTATCTGCTTCCTCATCCCGCCGCATTCCGGATTCGCGGCCATGATTGAATATCCTTCGGGCAGAGCTTCTTCCAAATACTAATTTACGGCTTGTCAAAAGAAGGGGGTGTACAATGGCTCAAGGGCAAACCTTAACACGGCTTGCAGACGACGGATGAGTATTCAGGAAATCGAGATTAAGCTTGGATATCTTGGCTTCGATTTTCCCCAAACGATTAAACATCCTGTACGACTTGTTAGCTCTGGTGCAACCGTCAGCATAATGAACGCACGAGGGTGACGCAGCGGGATCGTAACACGCCCTTGACATCAGTCTGAGTCCAATCATATCAGCTGCAATGCAAGAGGTCAATAATAAAAAATGGCCACTAGTTCGAACATCAGCCCACTTGCCTTCACGTTCTTGTGTACGAGAATTGGGGAGCTCCATCAGGAATGTCTGGAATAATGAGAACAATCCGTAGTCAAGGCCAGTAATCTGGAGAAGAAACAACAAGCCCCATATGACTGTTTGAGAAGACATTCTCTCTGCAGTATGTCGAGCGACTACAATGGACAGTCAAATTTTTAGTGATGATTTCAAATGCTTCGAAACGTACCAACGTGACCAATTTCTATCGGGAGTTGAAGTTCAGCATTCGGTGTGAGTGGAAAAGATTGACAGGTAGGTCATACCATGAGCAACGACAGCTGCCAAACCCTCTTCGTCTTGGCACACAGGTAAAATGCCAGTGAACACGACGACCATCCCTGATCACGTTTAACTATGACCCTTGCCAGAAAGCTTTACAACAAATCCCAAGACGCACCAGGGACAGCCAGCGCATTTACCGTCTTCCTATCGTTTACCACCAGAACTTCCCATTCTTTGGTCGGACCGTACGTTTCTGAGGGGTGTGCAGAGGCGCCAAGATCGACATCTGAATGCGAAGTATCCCTACCAAATGCATCAAATCCTGCAAAGCCTGCAAGACCAGTTTCTCTTTCAAAAGAAGTCTCTCCTGAGAGTGTGCCGAGATTAGAAGCCAGCAATATTCGGGAGACAACGCGTCGGACGTGTCGTGTAACAGGATGGTTGAGGGGGAGAGCTTGCGCTCCCATTTCTCGGCGGGTCTGATCACGAGAAAACTCTCCGAGCTAACGTAGTAAGGAGGTGAGGATGCTCGTAATAAGCTGAGGGTGGCGGGTACATGCCTCTGCTTCCGCCTTTGAGCTCGTATTCATAAACCGCCACCGGCCTGTCTGAGGAACTTGTTCTAAGCTGCAAAGGTCTGATAACGAAAGACACCTCCAAAGCCGGCGTAGACTCACTGTGTAACATAGTACCCCGTCCCGAGAACAAGTATCACTGCTCCCAACTGGACTCTAGGCCCCCACTGTCGATAGTCCCAATGATTTCGTGGCTGGGGCGTTGGCTGTCCGAAACGGACATACCGTGCATTACGCCATGCGGTCGAGGAGATGGTTCTAGGATACGTAGGCGGCCATGGAGGTACCCTTGGAAATTTGGCTGTCCTACGCAGAGAGCGTTGTAATGTTGCAGGAAGAAAAGACATACTGTGCTTTCATTTGCGACTCAAGTTATGTTCACGAACACGGCCCGAGATGACGAATGGCTCCGGCACATATATTACATTCCCCAGAAAATCACAACAATGCAAGTTCTCATCAACTACTGCCCGTAAGTCCTGCAGGAAATCCAGAAAAATCTACCTGGTCCTGATAATTCTGACCAGAAATGGCGAACGCAATGCGTAAACGAAGACGGACGGCGCTCTGCAAATTGGTCAGATAATTTTTGTTGACTTGCATGAGAATAAAACTCACCCCTATGGGTGCAACGACCCTCATCTGCTGTGTTTCTACAGAACCGGGGTTTACACTGGGATTTGACATAGGAAGCATCTGCAGTTGCTGCGACTAGAATAGAGAGTAAATTTCATGGTGCACTCAATACGCATTGCCACCAACCTTCGGCACCGCCGCTTGGAAGCTAAGGCCTGTTGCAGCTGCTGCACCAGTCACCTGGAATCGGGCAAGAATCATTACGACTCCAGGCTTCGCCGCTGAAGTCTGGGGTGTTAGTGTTATCTTCAGGTCGTTCTTGTCATAAGCGGTATACGCCGTCAGTCGCGGTGCTGCATGTGTGGCGGGTGTGGGTGGCGTTTGCGTCTGCAGCAGCGAAAATGCTGATGGGACTGCGGTAGCGGGAGTTGGAGGAATGGAGGGAACGGAGGATCCAGTCAATGGTGTTGGAGCCGACGACCCAAAGAGGCCTAATATGTCATCAACTGTTGAGCGCGGTGCGGCAGGAGGCGGTGAAGTAGAGGAGGGTATAGATGTTGTTGAACCGAAGATTTCCGCAAGGAGATCTTGATTTGATGGCGCTGTATTTGTAGGTTGTCCATGGACTGGTGTATCTGTTGTAATATCCTCTCCCAATAGGTCCACCTAGAGCGAAAATTTTCGGATATAACAAAATGGAATATTTCGGCACGCGTACCTCCTTGCTGGATTTCGTCGAACCAACAGGTTTGTTTTCGCTGACTGCATGAACATTTCATCAGCTGAGCTTCACCGTGCTACGATCGACATACCGACACCCATGACAGTTGCTTTCAACTCTGGCGCTGGCATTTGCTCAAGAACGCCGAACCGCATGTCGCCAAGAGTGAAGAGACTGGCAAACTCCACCGCCCGCTGTTGCAGCTCTAGCTCTGGACTCGTTGTGAATTTGGCCAAAAGCTCAGCAATTCGATCTTGCTCTGAGGCAGAAGTAGTAGTTCGTGCAGAAATCTTGGTTATGGCTGCAAGCACAAATTGACGTGTGAGGTAGTTGGCGTATGGCGAGTCGAGGATAGAGATGATCAGGTCTATTAGTTCAGAGTCACGAACCTAGGAAGAAGCTAAGCCATAGGCAGAATTTGAAACCGTTCGCGCTCACCACCGTGGTATGATCGTCGTCAACGATGCCGCCCTCGAGCAAAACGTCGCTGTACTCGCCAAGAATCCAAGTCGCAGCCAATGTCAGAGACTCTTGTGAGATGTCTGATTTAAGAGCGAGGTAGAGTTTTGAGGCCGTATACGCTTGCAATTCTGGCGTGTGTGCGACAAGTCGAATAAAAGCGGATAAGATTTCTTCTCGAACAAAGTTTCCAGCCTGAATGATTGTCAAGTACAAAAAAAGAAAGTAAGACCAACGCCTACCAGCTTGAGGACCCGTAAAACCGTATCAATATGCCATCGTTTGTTGGGTGCAAAGCGCTCCGCCGCCAGGCAGATCTGGGTCGTTAATCCAAGCTTAAACTCGTCATTCGCGACCTCCAAGAAGGCAAGGAGTTCTCGGATTAAAATGCGGACATTTTGTTCGTTGATGAGAGCATATGAAAGTTCCAGAGCGCGACGACGGATAGAAATATCGCCATCGCGAAGACAATCAAGTATGATATTTCGATGACGTTGAACGGCATTTGTGTCCATTGAGACGACCTTGTTGAGAGTGTTCAAGGCAACATAGCTATTACAGAGGAGTAGATCAGCCAACCAAAATAGTAACCAAATCGTGTGAACAGACCGTATATTGTTATCTCTATTGCCCAAGAACTTGCCTAAGATGTTAATAGCCATTACCCGTAAGCCAGTATCAGCCTCGATTTCCAAAACAGTCAACACCGTCTCGTATAGGATAGAGTTGCCAACGTTCTTTGACGAATCTGTGTTTGTTGCGACCTAAATGACATGGTTACCAGGTTATTCAATACAAAGAGAGAAAAAAGTCGCAGACCTGCGCCAAGATGTCGTTCATCGTCTCGCTAGCTTGCTCGTCGCCCTTCCCAAGCAGGCGGAGCAGTCGTAAAATTTTCACCTGCAAGAAAGGATCCGTAATTCCTGAAACGTCGTGTTCTGGGCTGTAACCTGTGGTGACGAGTGACTTCAGATTCCGAACTAGAAGCGGAACAGCCTAGGGCAAAAGATAAGATCAAATCGTTGCACGGCATACGACAGGTAGCACGGACACTCCGGAATTCTTCAAGTATAGCAGGATCAACGATGCACATTTCAGTGACAAGGGTTATTGCTGAGAGCAGGACGCCATGATTGCGGTCAGTGAGGAGGTTCTTGGCTTTGCCTGTGAAATGGTCTGCGATATCGGGTACCTTCTTGATGACCCGCAGAGCACAAAGAGCAGCCTAGGGGCGTTTTTATTATTAGATCGGGAGAAAAGTATGACCACCATACCTTTTTACGTATGTACGTATTACTGGATCCCAGAAGCTTCTCAATTTCGTTAGCAAGATCGCGTGACATCTCCTCAGACGCGATGTTTGCAAATGTACACAGTGCTAGGCCGACAGCGTACATGTTCGAATGGTTCATATCGCTGAGGCGTCATCAGGGATTGAGAGATGCTAGTAGGGCAACCAAACTCACTTCTTCAAGGAGTTCGTGACCAACGTCAACACTTCCTGGTTCTCGTCCAACAACAGCATGATTCCAAGATAACCAAGACGCTTATCCGAAAAGCGGGGACTCGCGACGAGTTTCAAGCATTCTATTTGACCAAAGTGGGCAGGAGAGCCCAACATATGGATGTAAAGCAGTTTCGCGATATTATTATGCCGTTGGAATGAATCCTCTTCGCGAAAGGAGGCGCGGATGGCGGCCGACTCTTGCTGGATAAGTGCGCGCTCATCGGCAACGGTCTACGGTTGTGTATCAGATGACAACGTTGAGGTGTGATGGGTGTATGGAGAGAGACCTTGCACGACCTGATGCCCTTGATGAGGGCTACTCTGAGAATCAGTATTCGTTGTAATAATGGTCAAGAGAACAAGATTACCCTTGAGATTGTGATAGACCATCTTAGCAGCCTTCGAGTCTGCCCTTGAACGAAAACAACACTTTGCCAGTCACGTTTGTGACGACCTTATTACATATCTCTTGACCTTGTACTTATATAACGAACACAATGCAAGATTTATTCCTTTACAGGCTGGCCTTTCCTTCAAATCATGTCCTCAAAGTTCAAGCAGCTACCCTCTAATTGTTCATTAGCCCAATTTCTCACCAAACACGATGATCAGCTCCACAACGGGTTCATAACTCGTCTAGATCGTTCCTCTATTCATCTCAAGAGGTATTCGTTACAAATTGTATCGTTGCAACGCGCCTTTCTTACCTCTTCTTTCAGAATTTCATTCCTCAAGGCTTTGACTATAAACATTTTTCTGTTGGCTTTCATGGGAGGATTGGCAAGTCTCATCATTTTCAATGATTTGTCTTTCTCCTCCCGATTCTCCCTTCGACTGGGCGTCTGCATCACAAAAGATCTGCTCATTTCCTGGGCCATGATTGTTATGCTAAGCTCGACCACCGTCCCTTTTTTCTTGGGTGAATGCCGACTTCGATTCTGCTATGGCTTCCGCATCGCCGAAATCGTCATCAGAAAACCCCCGGCCTCATTACACACCCGCCTGTCCGACCAACGCATAGAAAAATATTGGCGCATTGCTACTCGTGCCGTCAATCCCAAACTACTCTATTCCCGTGCAGGCGCGATGTTGTCCAAAGACTATTGGACTTTAGAGTACGCCACTGTCCTTGATGCGTATACCAGCATTGGTAAGGGTGAATTTAACGAAGAAGACCTGGAGTTTTCCATTTGGAAGCAAGAGAACGGTGTGTGGAATGCCTGCGAGTTGTGGAGGACGCACGATATCATGACTGATCAACAAGAAGTTAATATGTTCAAGGTGCTCTACTTCCCCACCTGCCAAACTCACGACTGATTATATATGCATAGGCCTTCCTAACTCAAGAGGGGAAGGAACAATTAATTGAAGTTTGGCGGGAGATGTCGTGTGGCACAACGCCCTCTTCCGATAAATCAAGAAGATTTTTCTCCTCCAAGGCCTACCGTTCCATGGTTGACAAGTTTGCGCGGGAAGGACTTGACTATGAAACAATATGGAGCCAGGTATCCGAGAAAACCCAGTTCGTAATTTAGTAGCTGTGTCTGAGCTGTGTAGTAAAAGCATGTTTTCCCACATCACCTTTGCATCACCTCATGTTCAGTAGTCTCATCAACTGACAAAATGCTCGCCTTTGAGTCAGAGCTCCCACTGGGACGACCTTGACTTCACTTTTCATTTACTTCTCCAAAAGTCTATATATTGCTCGGCTCCAGTCACACATAATGAGCCAAGTATGCAAGTATTTCTCAACTGGCGGCGGTTGCGCGAAGGGCACCGCCTGTACCTTCGTTCATAATCGCGCAAAGACCCCCAAGGTATGCGAGTGGTTCCGCAAGGGAAATTGTGCATGGGGCGACAAATGTACCAAGTCCCATGAGAGCCTTTCCAGCAGCTCAAGCTCAAGCTCGAGGGATGGTGTAAAGGCAAGTTCCTCGAAAACAAAGCCTTCCGCCTCGAATGGCAACCCGAGCAACGGAGGCAAGAAGGAACCATTCGCACACGAAAGGGCGAGAAGCAACACTCCTCCCGACCCTTCCCCAGGATCGCGGGCAGAATCCCCCGTCAGCACCGTTAGCAAGGCTCGTTGCATTTTCTACTTCGAAAACAACTGCAAAAGCGGCGACGATTGCGAATATGCCCATTCCACATGGACGAGTCGCAAGGGTAATTTCCTTGCTACATTGTGAGGGTAGATATCGCTAACTCGGCCCCTGTTCTAGAGGCAACGAATGTTATCGACGCGTCTATGCCCCTTCCTGCTCACGAATGGGATGATCCAGGCACACCCACACCTTCCCGTCCAGATTCTCCCGAGAACGCTTTGAATAACGAGGATGGCTTTGAAGAAAATGTGGAAGAGGAGGAGGAATACAACCAACATTTGGATGGACAGCATGACTTTCAGGCGGCAGAAGAAACCGAACACGACAATGTACAGAGTTTCGACAACTTTAGTGGTCCATCAACTTTGTCTGCCAACGATATGCCCACGTCTGATCCAATTCCGGACAAATATCAAATAGGTGTTGAACCGTCTTCCACGTCGATTCACAGTCACCAACCTCCTTCACCTGCTAACCCTCCGAAATCGTCTTGGCACGATCCCAACAATGAACAACCCCCTCGTCAGAATGGCGAGAACACAATCAAGCACGGCCGGCATCATTCTCCGAAACCATCGTCTCCTGCCCACCAAACCCAACATTTTCCGCAATACGGTGGGTCTCCAAGGCAAGAAAGCCATGGGCCGCAGCATGGACACCAAATCGTTTACCCTCACGTCTCAGAAGTTGTCCCCCACTGGTCTCAGTTCGCGGACCCACACGCAAATCCAAGCATTCCTTTTTGCAAACTTCTTGCTCAAGGAAAGTGCAGCGAAGATGAGCTTTGTAGATTTCGTCACTCCCTCACTGTCGATGAATATTCCCTCCTATTCCATGACCAACAACCTAACTTGTGGACTCTCTCTCGGACCAATGCACCAACCGGACTTCACTTAGAACAACTATCCCAGCAATCGTACACATACACGGATCGAAATTATAACTCAGAATACGTTGAAGCACCACAACTGAACCCTACAACATCTCAAATACGGAAGGAATGCCTTTTCTTTTCATTGGGAAAATGCCGCAATGGAACTGCATGTCCATTTCAGCACGTGCCTTCCAAGGAACCTGCAACTTCCCAGCCTGAAGAAGTAGATGAAGGTTGGGATGGTCCACAATCCTCATCACGGCAACGGTCACAGAAACGATGCAATCACTTTGCCAAAAGAGGCGTCTGCCCCTACGGTTCTTCTTGCAATTACAGTCACGATTTACCCAGCGAACACCGTCCTTCGAGCCAAGAATCTGCCCCGGAACCTCAAAATGGAAACGACAACGGTGGCTGGGGAAATGACCAATGGGAGACAAATGGTAATTCGAACAAGGAAAACCTGTGGGAGAGCGCTCCAACTACATGGGGTCCAGCTCAGATAGATAATGATGCTTGGGGAGCTCCGTCAGCTCCGCGAAAAACTGGGATGTGTAGGGATTATCCAGAATGTGACAGAGGAGATCGGTGCCGTTTCCGCCACGATGACGAATATGGGAGATATCAAGGCAACGAGAAATTGTCAGCCAACGACGAATGGCCACCAATTGAAAAGGGATCAGAGTCAGCGCCTTGGGGGTTCCCCGAAAATAGAGGCCCGTGCAAGTTCTTCCTCCGAGGCCCTGGACAATGCAGGAGAGGAGACCTTTGCTCCCGACGCCACGACGAAGCAGACCGCGAAACGCATACTTCGACATGGGAGAATACCGATCGAGGGTTTGATGATACTTCAGCTGCAAGGGAACTTAACGGTGCAAACGAGGAATTGCGTAACGAGGAGGCAGGGGACAACGGTGAACCAGGAGGCAGTGAGATAGAAGAACAACCTTCCAATGAAAATGAACACGATGCGTCTTGGTCTAAGGTCTGGCCCGTCGAACCTGATGTTTCAGCTGGAACCCACAAAATTCATGCACCATGTAAATGGTTTGGGCAGGGTGATTGCAGGGACGGAGATCAGTGTCGCTATTTACATATCTCCCCCGAGGACCCCCCCTCGGAAAGCCAGGACCATCGAGAATTGGTGAGGTTTTCCGGTCTCGCGTGAGTGAGCGGAACGCTGACTTTCATAGGAACTTCATTCTCCCGAATTGGCTGGGGGTGATCAACAAAGCCCTCTTGAAGATGAAATCGAACCAGTAAGCCCTGATGTTGTGGAGTTCCCTCCTGTAAGAGTATTTGTTTATTAATTCCTTGTTCTTTTTTTTGAGTAATCCACATTTTTTAGATAGTCGATCACCCACAAGTCGAAAGATTCCTTCTGAATTGTTCCGTCGTCTTTGGCACGGATCTAACGCCAACGGAGGTTACTACAGCTTCGGATTCATCCAAAATTATACTTTCGAATCTTCCTCCTGATGTCCTACCTGAAGACATTGACCAGCTGGCAAAGGGATTTGGCGAGGTTCAGGAGATCGTGAAACTTGAAGAGAGCAACTTTTCAGCATCATTCTGTGTGGAATTCGCTAATTCCACGCAGGCCTTGGGGTCTGTACAGCATTTGAATGGCCAAACATATGGTTCGAGGGTTCTGGTCGCTCGTTTGGAAGCCCGTATCACACTATGTCCGTCTTCGCACTTGGAGAGCCGTTACGTCAGGATATCTTGGCCAAATCCAAGTCGGGTCGCCTGGATTCACTACAAGACTGTTGGATTGGCGAAATCAGACGCCAGTCGTCTGAATGGGATCACCTGTGATGGTCGTCAAATTAAGGCAACTTCTGAAAAACCCACTCAAAAATTTGGCATTGTCAAATTCGAGGGCCTCTCTTCCTACACCAGCCAACAAACTATTGAAGCGTTGTGCAAAGACCATTTCTTAATAACCATGGAACCGCCTACATACGTCGATCCCCCGACAGATGCAATCCGAGATACCATCATGCAGATCGAAGGCTTTGAAGATTTTAGTTCAGCACCAACGGACATGTCCCAATCAAGGTCAACTGCACTGGCCACGTTTGGTTCTCATTCATTAGCTTCAAACGCTCTCCAAAAACTGAACGGTGTGGACCAAGGATATCTTGGTAACCAATCGCTGAAGGCAGTTCACATTTACTGCTGTACCTATCAAATCACTTCTTCTCAAGGCGAAGCTCTTCAAGCTGAAATCAACCATTTGGTTGAGAGATATACGCCCCAATGCATCATTCGATGGATTCGCCATGGAAGCTCTAATTCCATACGCATCGAAAGTGCGATAAACCAACTGACAAAATTCAAGGAGGCCAACTTTGAGCTCCATACGCTTCTGGATGGCAGTCTGTTGAATACGGAGGAAGGGTCTGCCCTTTGGGATGAGTACTTCGATACTCCAAGCAGTGTCAAGGCTTTGGAGAAAGTCAACAATAGCGCAACATTTCTGATACATTGTGACAATCGGTTCAAGGCAATTCGTGTCTTTGGTACAAAGCCGAGTCGAGAACAGGGAGAAGCATCCATTTCCAAGCTTTTAAAGAAGGTTCATCAACTCCGCCAAGAAATTCCTGTGGAGCGTGCTATGTTGTCACACCTTCTCAATGGAGGGTTCAAGGCTTTAAAAGACGACCTGGGAGCCAACAAGGTAACACTCGATGTCGTACAATTACAGCTTGTTGTCAGAGGCGATGACAAAGATATCGAGAAAGCCAGGGCTGTTGTTCAAGCAATTGTTCCCGTCGCTGTTGATCCTCTAGTCGATGGCTTTTGCGAGATCTGCCTGCAGGAGCCAGTGTCTCCTCTCAAGTTATTTTGCAGACATGCCTACTGCAAGGCGTGTCTGCAGCATGCCTTGAGTTTCAGCATTTATTCTCAAACAGGCAAGTTTGCATGCATCTCGCGTCGCACTGATGATGAAGGCATTTCCGTCCAATGTGGAATGTACGTGCCCTATGTCGTCATTCGTGATATTTTGCCTCTCGCAGACGAGCCCGTCATTCTCCAATCCTCACTTCTCTCATACATTCGCACCTCCCCTGCATTCTTCTTCTGTCCGACCCTTGATTGTCCAGCAGTTTATCGTGCAGGGGATGGGGGCTTCCTTATGAAATGTTCAGTCTGCCTAAGCGATATATGCTGTTCATGTTGCTCAAGAGCTCACGACGGTTCGACCTGCGAAGAGTGGTCGCAAATGCAGATCGTTCCACAAGAAAACTTGGACGACACGAGCATGTGAGGGCTCAGTTTTGGACTTTCCTGTTTGCACTCGTCAAAAAGTTGGGCTACCCGACTTCTCTACAGCTAGCTCTACTTCAGGATATGTTGCACCGGAAACTTGCTAGATACATAGTGTGTGCCGAACCGTTCCATATATAATCTACCTGCCAGTACCCAATGTGGAATTCTTTACATAGTAATTGACTCGTCAGAATTGAGAATGAGAGTGGCGAAAAAGCGAATCATTTCCAAGAAGGCATCGATGTTGATTGCTATATGGCGCTCGTCAAGAGGAACCAGATATGTCACGCGACGCACTTACATTCGTTTACTGTGTGGATATTGCCCAGCGGGTGATCTTTGCTGTTTTTATCTCCGTTTAGATGACCATAGCGAAAGATATGCGCAGACAACTTCCAGTAGAACCGTGTATCTGAAAAAGTGGTGGTGACTAGAGGCCAAGAGGCAGGAAATCGCTTTACCTGTGTTCCCAGACATCATGCTGGGGACAACTGTGATAGTATCACTCCCAGTCAAAGATCGGTGGGAGTTGTACGCAGCCTTGATGGTTCCAGAAAGTAATCGATACGGGGCAGCGTCTTTTCCAGTTGGAGTCACTGGGGCCGGTTCAAGTCCACCTGCAAAAGCACCGCTTAATGTAAGAGAGCCGCTGGCAGACGCGCCCTCTTCCGAAATACGAGAACCGAAGGCGTTGTAAGTCAGATTGAACTTGTCAGCCAGCGGTTTTAAGAGAGCGGTGTCGTGTTCTTGAACCTCGGCAAGAGAACTATACGATCATGTAAACACATTCAGGCGATGTTGATCGTGAGTCTACGAACCTCACGACTGAGATGCGATGGTTGACAACAGCCCAAGCTTGTTCAGGAAGCGCGTTGGACTTGACACCACCGTGGATCAAATCGATGGCCTGAGTAGTTCCAACAAGGCTCTTCAATGTTCGATCGTTTGCCACAATTGGTTGGATTGCCTCGAGCGCCTTATTTGAGTAGGCGGATGCTTTTATTAATTTGCGAGTTTGCTCAGGCAGCGATTTCGCATACTGTGCGATACATTGTAGCGTGTCATAGACAGGCTCGTGTCTCCCCTTGATTGACGTAAGATGATTCACTGCGATTAGAATGGTATCTGCGCACCAGATGCACTTCATATGGGTTTGACTCGTAGTGAACAAGCAAAGCGGAGAGAATTCCAATGCTCTGTCGTGAATTTAGCAAGCCGTTAAGGAGAAACGAAACGCAGCTAGAACTTCACAGTGTGAGCAGGAGGGATGCTGGAATGACCGCCTGGAGCTGAGACTTCGACGAGAACGTCGATGTATCCCTTTTCTGCAATTCCCGGGGTCGCAAAAACGGAGCCATATTGATCCCCGAACCCAGCTAAGGATATCAATCATTCGCTGTTTCAGTTGAATGAATTAAGGCCTACATCCTTCGTCAACAATCATGGCAATGCCATCTTCGCCATAAGCTTCAAAAAGAACAGAGGCAAGATTTCTAGCGCCCTGCTCAGCATTCAGTAAAATGGAACCCGTAATTGCTCAGGACCTATACCTGAGAACCACTCGCTTCTTCATCAAAACCAAAGGAAAGAACGACCGGTCGAGTGGGCTTAAAGTCCTTTTCTAGCAAGGCTTCCACAGTTGAGCTGGCGACAAGTTAGTGATACGCTTTGAGGGAAGTTTCGCAAGCCACACAGAATGCCAATCAGTCCGCTCTTGTCGTCAGCGCTACCTCGTCCCCACAAACGCTCGCCTGCATTGATATATTTATCAACTTCTGAGAAAGCCATTGAGTATACGCACCATCAAAATAGCCCGAGTAAGGGGGGTGCGTCCATTGATCAACGGATGTTTGATCAACAGGGACAACGTCTATTCAAAAAAAATAAGACTCAGTTGATCATACTTGCGATGGAGGAACAAGAGTAGACACCTTGATGTGCGGCCAGAAGAAGTGGTTTGAGAGTGTCGTCTGAGCCCTTCCATTCATACAACAGCCCGTACGTATTGACTTTGGTCAACTTCAGCGATTCATGACTTCGTCGAGACATAAGTATCAAGTATTCGAAGAGCGGGAAAAAATCCCCTACTGACACTTTTGGAAAGGCATCCGCTAGGTATTCATGGAATGGGTTAAACGCATCCCAACGGGGGTCCTCTCCAACAGGCCCCATGTTGTCAAACGACTCCGTACTGACGTGGGTGGTTCAGTGTTGACTCGACGACATATCATTCAAGGAATTTACGGTATTCTGACAGCTCCCCCCAACCATTGCACTGCACGATCTTTGAACTGGTATGTCCCAATTACGGCACTCAAGTCTGCCCAAAGCTCTGCATGCTTTGTCGGGGACAGTACTTCGGCCTGAAGGCATATATTCACGTCCAACGCATCGGACGAGACGTTGATGTATTGAACTGTGAACTTGACAGCCAGCGACAAGGCGATGCATGTGATGAGCACCAGAAAGTTGCGAAACGAGTTGTAAAATTGAGGTTTATTGGGCTGCTCTGGCGCGGCAGCAGAGGGGAGGAAATCCTTCGATTTCTGGCTTGCCATGAGAGGCATACGGAAGTGCCGTCATGTTGATGGTTATAAGTAACTACGTAATTACAAACATAATTCATACTGATCAGTGATCACTCTTGTAATGGTACGTCCACCATTCGCATCCTGTTGTTTCTTCAATGTACTGAATTAATAAAGGCTGGACAACAATCTCAAGGCATACAAACCCTCCTCGAGGCTGAGAAGGAAGCCTCCAAGATTGTTCAGCAGGCCCGTCAATGTTTGGCGTAGACTTATCAGGCGCGGAAGAGTATCACTGAGACGCATTTACAGATCGCGTGCAGAAACTCAAAGATGCCCGTACGGAGGCAACGAAAGAGATAGAGGAGTACAAACAGGCAAAGGAACGGGAGTTCAAAGCCTTCGAGGCGTCGGTGAGTCCTGAAAGCACCTCTGCTCCCTGGCCTCATCTTCTCATTTTGTACTGCAGCACGCAGGCACAACGGTCAGCACGCAGACGGCAGTGGATAGGGAGACGGAAATCAAACTGCAGGAGATTACAAAGTCTTATAACGAAAACAAGGACGCAGTGGTCAAGAAACTGCTCGACCGCGTCGTTCTCGTGGACAACAAGCTCCATCGCAATCTCAGAAAGGTCGACGCATAACAGCTCTTCCCCGAATATCTCATATATTACCCATAATTCCCGCTAGAGACAGCAATCAGAACTGTTTGGCAATGTACTTTTGCTATTATGGCCTGGCACTGCGTGGATATGTACTACATGGCCCCGTACGCGTACAAGATGTGCATATATTCGCATACAATGACTGGAGGTAAATAAAAGAAAGTGGCGAAGATTGAGTTATACATACAAAGCTAGATAATGCTGTCATGAGAAGGGTTCAAAAGGTGGTATGTAACAGCAACGAAAAGGTAAAACTCCGCGCTGCGGGAATCTACCTGGATTCATTCGCAAGCCATTGCAGTCCGACGGGCATACCAAGAGTCGCCGGACGCATATCCGCGTCTTGATAAATAGGTGGCATTGGCGGTGACCTCTGCGGAGACGCCTGCGTCCCATTTGCACCGTGCCCTTGCGGTTTTTGCAAATCCATCCTTGACGAGTTCCATGAGTCGAGAAGGCCACTCGCCTTGAGCGATGGCAGGGATTGCGGGCCGTCAAGGTTCCGTTGTCCCGTATTTTCGTTCAGCCCACCGGCCACTCCTCCTGGTATACTTCCGCTACCCGACTGCTGCGCCGTCCCATTCATGCCACTGCTTCCTACGCCAACGCTCCCGTTCTAAAAGACTGGATAAGTACTAGAACCATCGACCACTCGCATCGTATTTACCTCTTTTTCTCGTGTGTATTTCTGGTTCTCGTTCCCACCATGCCCCAGAGGCGGGCCTACACCGGTATTAGACCCTGTCGTTGGCAGCGATGACCCTGTCCGTGAGTCTCTTGGGTCAGGAAGAGAGTGTGAAGACGGGCGGTTGGAGTTTGGGTTATTGTTGTGCAGACGAAGTTCATCCAGTGAGCGCCCAAGCGGTAAAGAAGTAGGTGAGGAGCTGGATGACCTGCAGTGACTAGAAGAAGCGTCGCCTGCGTGTTGATGGGGAGGCGGGCGCTGGCCAGTATTTGGTGGGTTGCTACCGCCGGGGTTCCGTGCTTCTGAAAGTCGCCGATGAGAATGGGGTAATTGTGAATGGTGGTTCGTTGGTTGCTGATGTTGCGGGAGTGGATTCTGATTCTGATGCTGTTGAGATGCATGCAAATATTGATGGGGAGGTGAGGGTTGCGGACGCCATTCTTGGACAAGGTCAGCAATCTTGGTTCCCCAGGATTCTTCATAATCTGCACTCCAGGCGCGGACCTGGGCATCGTCCCTTTTGCAATATTTGATGAGTGACTACAGGAAGAGCATGGGTCAATTGCAAAGATCGAGCGCAGCTCTACTTACCCATAGGGCAGCTCCCACTGAAGAAAAATATTTCAATTAGGAGGAAGGGGATGGGGTTTGGGCAACGTACTCAAGATACTGTTCTTTGCACGATCACCCAACATATTCAAGATCAGATCCAATGTTTGAAGAGCCCAGTGCGGTTCCGTCTTTGGCCCTCGCTGGGAACGTTGTCTGGCCTCTCGACAGAATGACGATCAGAAACAGAGAGGGAACCAAGATAAGATACTCACAACGTTCAGACCGAGCGCACAAGATGCATGATATACGTGTATACAGCACCAACACCACGCGCCCGTATTCGAACTAGTCTCGAACATTGATTGTTGGACCAGTAGGCTTTGTTCAGAGAATCGTAGATGCTCAGGGAGCGTGCGTGCCCAATCCTAGATAAGAGCAATTAGTGTTGGGTAACACGGTGAGGTGCGCGCGGAGGAATGTACCTCCATCTTTTGCTCAGCTTCGATAAGCGCGGCATTCGCCCGCAAATGTCCTTCTGGACCTTTGGGGAAGCCGTGTAAGAATGTTCTGACGAGAAGGATGTAGGGAGATGCTTACCATTGAGCTCATCGAGGGCCAACTCCACTTTGGCATAGATGGATATGACGCGGATAAGATGGCCGAATTCGGAGGCGTATTGGGTCCTTACCGCCGGGAGATAGAGGTACTCTAGGGATGGAAGTCAGGCAACATTACAAGGGGTTGGCATATGATCCCTCCATCAATGGGGATAGAAGTTTGATGGGGTAAGCCCGCAGAAGGAAGGCGAAACGTGGAGATTTCGGGATATCTCCAAACGGACGGAAAACTGGTGGAGAAACTCACCTGGCAAAGTGGAATGAACACCAAGCTCGAAACTTGTTTCGTCGACGGGCAAGCGTAGCCGCAGTTCGCTATCGGTAAAGGTGATGGGTTTCTTGAAATATATGGCCGCCATGACGTCCATTAAGTGGATCAGCCAAAATATACGGCGAATGGCCTCTCGCTCGATCGAAGCAAAGATAAATTCGGCAGAGGGTACGGGCGTGAGAGTTGGATGCTCGGGGCTGTGAACCCCGAGAGCGTCCACTATTTGTAACGCCAGATCTAGACGTACCACTCAGCTTGAGACAGCAAGTGGTCATAAGAGGCTTACCATGATAGCGAGAATTCCACAATACATTTTTGTCTTTGACCAAAATGTCATGCATCTGAAGGAGGGAGAGTGCTTGGGCTGTAGCGAGATTGGGTTCACACACAAGCCGACCTGCACCATCAAACATGAGGGAAAGGGCCTCTTGGGCGAAAGGTTTCCCTGCATAGCGGGATGGGGTGGTACGTATACGGGGTTGTTTGGAGAGAGGGGCCGCGAGGGCGCAAACGGCATGAAGAAGGTATGATGGGACACGATTGTGGCTGAGGGCGGCGGAGAAATTTGGTTTATGGATAATGGCGCGGGCAGGATGGCAGTGAGTGAAGAATACTAAAGGGGGTCATCATTTTGGCCATTGCGATTTGCAGATGGAAATGTCACGTACGATTTGTGAGTTCGCGGGTTAGGGAAGGATCGAGTTCCAGAGGAGCTGGGCGATCCATAGTGATGCCGGATATGGGTCCGTCGATGATCAAATCATCTTGAGCGACTGGGTTGCTCCTCTCATTTCTGAAGCGCTTGCGCGTGCGCTCTTCGTCGTTATGGTGTGGTTGAGATGAAGATGAAGCGACTGGTGGATACCCATTTGGTGTTCGATGTGGCGGTGGAAAGCGCGAAGTCTCTCCCGCAGAAGAAAATTGAGAGGGTTGAGGGGGATTGTAGGATGAAGTGCGGTTGTCTGACGAAGTTGATTCTGATTTGAAAGGACGGGGTGCGGGGACGGGACGACCCGAGGCGTCGGTGTAAGTGCATTGCTTGGAAGCATAGAAGCTGGATAAATTGTGCGGTGAGGGATAGCATGTTGTGACGGGTGTGAATGCCTACCAGTTGCTGCATGGTGCTGGAACGGTGATTAGGATAAGTAATAGATATATGAGTTAAAGTCGTATACCGGTGCCATCACATCGACGCTTGCTCCTATGGCAAGCATCGCAAGCCTACGCGGGGCTGTTAGATCGGTGAAGGATGAGTTGCTGGGAAGGTAGCACCTTTGCGAGTCGTTTTCGTTTTGGACCTTTCATGAAGAGAGCATTAGCGTCGTTCTTTTCTTCTTGTTGAGGAGGGTCGTGGCTGAGAGGGACGCGTTGAAGATCTGGCTGGTAGTTGTTGTTTGAAGAGTGAAAGGAAGAGACAGAGGAATGAGAGATTTGATTCCGAGGGAGGTCAAAGTGATCCATGGAGTGCAAAACATGCACAGGGTGGGCAGCAAGTTCAGCACGAGTAAGAACGGCGATAGAGGGTAAATAAATAGGATCCGAACCAACCATACCTGGGACTCTGTATCAAATACCAAGGTTACCAATTGTAATCTAGGTGCTAATCTAATACCAGGCTGATACCAGGCCAATACTGCTATAGATACTGATGAATACTCGTCTATACTTGTTATTACCGTTGGGACCACCTAATTATTGCAATGCACTTGTTGCCGGCCTAGCCGCCTTCCCTGACCTTATCGGTCCGCCGGCATTTCCAAAAGCAGAATCTCTACTGCCGATATCGCCCTGAAGGGTCGGTGCGGTACATTTACTCCGCCGGTACGGAGTTAAAATGAAGATAGCAAGCAGTACACTACAACATAATAAATTTCAACTCTCTAATCGAACAGACCAAAGCCCATGTCATCATCCGATTCCTCCTACATCACAAATATTAGCTTCCACATTACACATTGTGTTGAGAGTACAAACCTTCTCTTCCTCCTTCTCGGGCTTCTTCTCCTCGGCAGCAGGCGCCGCAGCAGCTCCACCAGCAGCTGGGGCGGCGGCAACGGCTCCTCCACCACCACCAGATGGAACCTGCATCACAGATTTAGCTGATTATCACTCAGTCGTGTGAGATAAACGTACGGATGCGAGCTTGGATGAGCCTTCCGCAATCAACTGTATCTCCACCATTACTAACAAGCGCTTGCAAAAAAATGCAAAAAACTTACGTCAGCAATAGACTTGCCCTTGAGCTCAGAGATAAGCGTCTCGAGGCGGCTTTCATCAGCCTCAACGCCTGCAACACCCAACAACTTCTTGATGTCGGCAGCGGATGGGTCCGCGTTGCCACCGGATTGGAGAAGGAGGTATGCAGCAATGTGACGCATCTAACCAACCAACCAAAAAAAATCAACACTTGTGCATTGTCCAATTCCATAGTTTCACAAACTTTGTGTTAATGGATAATTTTCGATGGGTTTTGATGTACGGTAGCCACAAATCACTGTTGGAACGGTGAAAGTGAGCGCAATCCTAGGGGTATCTTGAAATAGAGACTTACCTTTAATCCGTGAAGGAAGACCTGTGGATTCTATCCGAAGAGTTTTGACAGAGAGGACGTAGTCACGATTAGTTGCAGCGGTTCCGTTGATGCTACTATACAGTACCACGTGACACTCCTCAGCCACAACTTTTCACACTCCGACATCCTCCTCATCGTCAAGTTTATCCCCGACGCCGCCGCCCACGATAACCATGGTATGCATCCAGACTTTTCGTCAAGACCAGCATGCTGATGACCTGTCTAGGCTGAAGTTACTGATCCTCAAGTCGCCGCCGACCTCAAGAAGAAGCGTACATTCCGCACATTCTCTTACCGAGGTGTAGAGCTAGACAAGCTGTTGGACATGAGCAATGAAGATGTGCGTCCCATTGACCTTCATGTCGAAAAATCACGACTAATACCTTGCTAGTTCGTTGAAGTATGCTCACTTCTCTTTTGTGTCTCGTTCGCAATTTGACAAAAAACTCAGCTCGTGCATGCCCGTGCCCGCCGTCGCTTCCAGCGCGGTCTCAAGCGCCGCCCAATGGGTCTCATCAAGAAGCTCCGAAAAGCCAAGAAGGAGGCACCTCCTAATGAGAAGCCCGCGGTAGTCAAGACCCACCTGCGTGACATGATCATCGTGCCGGAGATGATTGGGAGTGTTGTGGGCATCTATAACGGAAAGGTGTGGACGAGCAATGCTAAAAGGAGGATGGAGACTCACCTCCTGGTTTTAGGTCTTCAACTCTGTTGAAATCAAGCCTGAGATGACTGGTCACTACCTCGCCGAATTTTCGTGCTCATACCGGCCCGTCAAGCACGGTCGCCCAGGTGTAAGCATTTTGGTTATATTCATTTATTCCTATTCTCATTGTCCTTGCGAACAGATTGGTGCGACACATTGTAAGCAACTTTTCGCTCTTTTTTTTTTCTCCGTCTCCTTACTGTGCTCCTCCCAACCCCAACAGCATCCAGATTGTACGTTACACCTTGATGTTATCAATATCTCATTGACCAATTTCCTTATCACAGCATCCCCCTCAAGTAAAAAGTACATACCGGGTTATATCATATGGCTCTTTCCCTTTGCATGTCTTTTTTTTTACGATTGTCCTACCACAAAATAACATCATGCATATGCGCATTGAGTCAGTGGTGTAAATCGGAATTGGCAATGATTACATAAGCTATCCCTGCGAATTTGCCATTCTTTCCAGCCCTCGCCGTTGTTGTCGTCGGTCACTGGTGTTCAGATGGCGGGCAATCCAGTCGACCCTCTGCAGACTCTTCAGGCGGCCTTGTCAGTGCAGGCAAACTCAAAGGAACAGGCAGATTTGCTTGCTACGTTGCGTGAATCACTTGAAAATCACCCAGCACCCATCCCCATCCTTGTCGGAACTCTCATTGGAATCGTTATAAACGCCGGTGATTCGCTCCTGAAGAGATGGGTTATTGACCTCCTCCATTTTGCCATATGTCGCTCCAGCTTGTCGCTGGAGCAACGCACACAGAGTTCGTTCTAATATACCTAGTCACACCCTCTTTCATTCATTTACTTTCCGTAGTGGCATCCCAGGCGTTGGACACCCTCGCCCAACTCGTAGACGACCCGAAACCCGCCATTGTAAAGGTCGTCATCCAATGCCTTAGTACCATGTACCCTCTGCTGTTCCGTCAACTGTGAGCATGACGCAATCTATTATATTCTACTAAATCCCATTCTACATAGGTGCACCAACCGAAGCAATCCTTCTGCATGGAACACTTTATCGGCATGCAAAAACCGGATCATTGAGTTTGTATGGTCGCAAACGGTCAGCGTCGGGGTGAAATTGTCGGCGATGAAGTTTGTTCAACGCGTTATTCTCGTCCAAACGCGCGGCATATCCGATCCTAGGGTAGTCCTCTACTATCTATCTTCAATAAAATTTTCATCACCTAAATTTCCTCGCGAACGTTCACAGCTTCAGAACAAAAACGACCCAAACATCTCCTTCTGCCCTGTTGACCACCCGTACATCTCTGTTGCTAAACTCGAGAGCGAGGGCCAAAAGTTGTTGGAAGGGGTAGTGGCGACTCTGTATTCCAGCCAGTGAGTAAATTTATGTCGTATGTCACAATTTATCCCACAACTGTACCTAGGGATGTTGATCTACTCTCCGCCTTACTTAATTCCTGGGTAACTCTGGTCAAGCAACGCCCCGCGACGCTGCCCTTGGTTGTCACGGCTTTGAAACAGTGGACACCAACAGCTCTGGCGGGGCTTTCTGCTTCGTCGGTGAAGAGTGTGGAAAAGGCCGTGCGGATTCTCCTCATGCATATATCACGGTACGTCGTGTGCAGCATCCTGATTAACTGGGGCTGACCTTGACGTAGAATTCCTGGCAACACGCAGTACGTCCCTCAAATTAACCAAGCTCTTGCCCAGCAAGGTACCCGCATGGACAAAGCTGCCGCGGAGGAAAAGAAGCGCAAAGCAGCCGCGATCGAGAATCGAAAACGCCCTTCTTCTGCACCCAACGAACAACCAACTGATCCAAAGCGCGCCAAACTCGAGCCTGAACCCCAACCCGCTCCTTCACTCCTCGCTAAAACCGACTTCACCAAGTTCCCTGCGCCTCTCATTGTTGATCTTATCGTCGCCAATCTTGAGGCATTTACTGAACCCGCTTTAATCGCCCTCGTGCAAGCATACCGTCAGAACAATACACTGGGGTCCTCGACAACACCCGTCGCACCAATACCCGTCGCGATTCAGTCTGCTGCTCTTGCTCCGACCCCCGGTCACACACCCTCACCGACTATTCCCACAGGACCAAGAAGGGCTGCTCACAATGTTGTGGAGAAACCCGCTACACCGGTTTCTCAGCAAGTTATTTCCGCAAAGGAAGAACCGGTGGATCCCCTTCAAATGGACATTGATGAAGAAGAAATGGAGTACGAGCCCTCCAAATTGAATGAAGAGGTATGAGCTGCCTACTCGTTAAACGTGCCGGGTTAACCGATGGTGGCAGCTGTCAGGCGGCACTTCTCTTGAAGAAAGTGATGCTTTAATCACAGACATCACCTCCGACGCCCTCAATCTCCAACTCGTCGATTTCAAGTTGCCACCGCCGAAGGAGCTACCAGAAGACGACAGGATCAACTTAATTGCTAGTGCTATCACACGAATATGGGACGGCGCGGAAGAGCTCAAAACAATGGGGGAAGCCATTCCGGCGGATTCCTCCCAAGCAGGGGGAAATTCGGCCGCCGAAATGTGGATGCTTCTGTTGGTGAGAATGATCACAAGAGTTGCTGAACCGCCTCCGACGCCGGGGGGCGATGATGCGATGGATGGATCGGGCAATGAGATGGTGGTACATGACTTTTATGCTCGGCAAGATCAGCTACGACAAACATTGTGCGACTATATCATGACAGATTTCCCATCTCGGTATGTTTATCATGATGCTCTCTACCCATTTCACGGCTTTACTGTTTCAATTAGAATACGGCTTGCGACAACGTGGATGAACGAAGAATGGTACAATGACCGAATACGATGTGAAAAAGACCCAGATTGGGTAATGGTGTTTCCATCTGTGACTGAAGTTCACTAATGCTTTCACCCTCTCCAGCGAACAAATTACGATACATGGTTAAACCAGATCGTGGCGTCATATCAAACGCTACTGGATGGGAAGGATAGAACATTTTCGCGCTTCCTTCTCGACCTGCCTACGATCCCCTCGGATGTTCTGGGTTTACTCCGCGACTTGTGTGTTGATAGCTCCAGGTAAAACTTCTTTTTGCGAAAATATAAGACAATCCTCATAGCGCTTGCTCAGCCCCGATCGAATGCACATCGGCTTTACTACGCTACGTGGGCTCGTCGTTCAGCGACCTTCATTACGGGATGATGCCCTCAAGATCCTGCTCGAGCTGACTACACATCCTGGTCTGCATTCATTCCTTGATAGCTTTTATCTTTTGCCGTTGGACTAACCTCCTCGTAGAGAGAAAAACTCGTGGGGCTGCGATTAACACCGTTAAACTCTGGGTACCCAGTATTCAGCCCATGGACATGATGATCCGAGCGTTCGCGCTACAAATGCTACGGAAGCTTCAACTACGACCGTCGGAAGTGGTGAAATCTCCATTATCTTCCCGTCAGGACCCTGGAAGGGATGATGTGGTTATGAACGGTGATGTCGAAAATGGTGAAGATTTGCAAGCGGAATCAGTGCACGTCAATGGCGACCACCACCAAGACGAGAATATGGAAGATGGCCAATTACCACAAGAGGATTTAGTGCACACACCATATTTGCCAGAACGCATCGAGCTCCCTGCTAAAAAACCTCACGTGCTACAACACGTTGAGTTGCTCTTCGCTTTATCAGTCAAAGTTCCAGAGTTTTTGGACGAGTCAGTTACTTCATCTTGATTTGCATCCGCTCATCTCAATCCTTGCAGGATTTTTGTTGCTTATGGCCAAATGGATATCACAGTCCAAGAGGCTATCCAAGACCTGATAACGGCTTTGATCAAATCGCTTGGTTCAAGTCATGGTAAGCTGCTCACGCTGATGCGGACATGCCCTCCAGGTGCCGAGTCCCTCGCTCTACGCGTTTTGACAATCTTCACGGAGCATGGGCGAGCGAGTGCGCAACTTGTCGCGTTGGTCAAAGCACTCATCAACGAGAGAGATCTCGATGCACGTTTCCTCATTCCCATTATCGCTGAGATGGACAAGGTATTGAATCTGTGGGTCTGTACTTTATAGACCCACTAACAACATTACAGGTGGATATTATGCGTCATCTTCCTAGAATCGTTTCCATCCTGAATGGCCAGCAAGAACCAAAGAATCTCGTTCGCTCAGTCTTTGGTTCCATTGTCACGACACCCCCGCAAACGTTTGGAAGCGTCACATCGAATCTACCACGAGTCCGGCAGAGTGAGTTGCTGACTCCTGCGGAGTTGATGGTCTTGTTGCACCACTCTGAAAAAGAGATTGGACTGAAGAGCGCAATTGAAGGTTTACATTCCCTCGTATTTTGGTTGTCCGTCTCTTGCTTATGCCTGTTTCCTTAGCTATTGGAATTTGCTTTTCGATGACAGATGTGTTCCGTTCCGAAATTCTTGCAGTCGTTATGCAACAGATTATGGACGAACCAGTGTTACCGGTCTTGTTCCTGCGGACTGTAAGCTCGTATCCATTGAAATGAAGAAGATAACTTATCGCCGTTCAGGTGATTCAAGCGGTGACGACCTATAAATCCCTTGTCGGCTTCGTCTCGACGACCCTTCTTTCTCGCCTCATCACCAAAAAAATATGGATAAATCCGCCGCTCTGGGAAGGCTTTATTCGCTGTGCGAAAGTCATTGCGCCAGCAAGTTTTGGAGCTTTACTTCAGCTACCGAAGGACCAACTTCGGGAATTGGTGGACAAGCAGCCCAGCTTGAAGTCTGGCCTACGGGACTATGTCACGAAGAAGGCTCCGAACAAAGCGCGGGTCGCTGGCTTTTTGGATATTTTTGGGGAACCAGACGACGCAAATAGCTCTGCCTCGACCCTGCGACCCGAAACACCACAGCTTGAGGGTGTATTGACGGCCACATCCTGAGGAGGATTCTATCGACGGTTACATCCTGGGGAGGATTTTACTGGGTGTCACTTTTATATCTTATTTGTAGTACTAGCGAGTAATGTGAAAAATATGACATGAGCCAATCTTCTGGGTCAGAGTATAAAAAGGAAGGCAAAAGCACGTAAAGTGGGTGTAATGTCGAGTCATTGCGCAGGTCCACACCCTCCTTATTCGAGTTTTTTTGTTCCATCTCTTCTATCGCCTATTTAATCGCGAACATTCCTGGCCACGGGCCTACCACGACTGCTCTGGAAGAATTCTTACATTCAAAGCCTGATAAGGAACACCGGCTTACTGACACCCATTCCATGTCGCGTCCTGGGTCGTCTAGAAGGTCCTCCAGAGGACATCGTCGTCGGGAAAGTCGCGCAGACGGTAAAGGCGAAGAACCCAAATCATCGTCGCCTGTGCCATCTCCTGGCTCCTGGAATGTGGATCGCGGTAGATCGAGGGTTCGGCGACCATCCAACCCTTTCTCAGAGGATAATCTGCGCAGGAGGTATGTCACATATTAGACAGAGAGGTCGCTGATGACAGCCTGGATTTTAGAGGCTATCACTCATTGTTATCCTCGTTTGGAAAGGTCTTTCATGTTGAACGCCGATGGAAATTAGTGCGGGAAATGGGTTCTGGGGCATATGGGGTCGTTATGTAGGTGAGTTCAGCTTTTTACGCCTTGTCTCTTGCTGATAGTTGGGCAATAGCTCAGCTGCTGACGAAATATCGGGAGAGACGGTGGCAATCAAGCTCGTCACTCGAGTGTTTGAGAAGATACAACTGGCGAAAAGGGCATTGCGGGAGATCACCCTTCTGCGACACTTTGCGAACCACGAAAACATTACAGGGTTGATAGACGTCGACGCGATATCCCCAGATTTTAACGAGATGTAAGTGGAACTGATTTCGCGACATGGATCACAGATAGATTATCCTCTCTAGATATATATTCATGGAGGTATGGCCAGAGTCACTCTCGGTAGGCAAGCCTCATGCTGAAGCAAGATTGCAATAGCCCATGGAAGGTGCGTAATCCTTTGGGACGTTAACTTTTACATTGACTGATCCGTCTGCACAGCGGATCTGCATCAAATCATCAAATCTGGACAACATTTGACTAACGAGCATGTCCAGTATTTTCTCTATCAGATTCTCCGAGGTACTTACTCTGCTCGATGATTTGCAACACCGGCGTCATTGGTCAATCTAGGCATGAAATATGTTCACTCCGCCTCTGTGATACACCGAGATCTCAAACCTGGCAATTTGCTCGTAAACGCTGATTGTGAACTCAAGATATGTGACTTTGGCTTGAGCAGAGGTTTTGATGCACGACCAGACGAATATGCGTCGCATCTTACCGAATACGTCGCCACAAGATGGTACAGAGCTCCAGAAATTATGCTTGCGTTCAGGTATGTGTTTTAGAGTCTCAGAAATTTACCTGGTTGATATATGAACGGTTCAAGGCGATACAACACTGCCAGTATGTCATGTCGTTATCATTTTATTTATTTCTGGCTAATTGGCACCTCTCAGTCGATGTCTGGTCAATAGGTTGCATCCTTGCAGAGCTTCTTCTTGGTAAACCGCTGTTCAAGGGCAAGGAGTGAGTGTGATGTGATGGTTGAGCCAAGTCCGCTCTAATTCTTTCGTTTTCAGTTACGGTTAGCTCGCGGAATAATGACCTAGACTCATCGACTTACAGTTTCTTTCGACAGTCGATCAACTCAACAAAGTTCTGGATGTCCTAGGTACCTTCTCGTGTCCCTTGTCGTTCGTTCCTAATTCCGTACAGGAACCCCCGATGAAAGTGTCATTCGCAAGATTGGAAGTGACAAGGTGGGATAAGAGCTTTCTCGCGCGCTGTCACGAGTGTTTGATTCTTCTTCGATAAGGCTCAAGCATATGTTCGTTCTCTGCCCTCCAAAAAGAGTGTGCCCTTGCGGAAAATTTTACCGACAGCAGATCCACAAGGTATGGACGATGCAAGGTTGTGTGATGACACTTACATACCGAAACAGCCCTTGACTTGCTGAGCAAGATGCTCGCGTTTGATCCAAGTGACCGTATCACGGTTCCTGAAGCTCTTGAGCATCCATGGTTAACATCATATCATGACATTTCTGATGAGCCAGATTGCCCACAGAAGTTTGAGCGATGGCGAGAGATTGAGAAGTTGAACACCCTCGAAGAATTCCGAGAGGCTCTTTGGAATGAGATCGAAGATTATCGCAAGGAAGTTAGGGCTGTTGATATTCATTCGCCTAGCCAGTTATTCCGCATACCGAGCTTGGGCGGAACGACAGGCACAGAATCACCTCCCCAGCCAAGTCAAGCGATGCTTCCCGCTGTTCCGCCAGATGTCTTGATGCCCACCGCCTCTGTGGAGGAGGACAAAACTTTCATAAGCTCTCCTGAGGTCATGTTAGAGAGGGAAGGTCTTTCTAGGAGACTGGAGGCCGCGAAGGCGGAGATTGAACGGCGGCCATCGATGAGCCCAGACCTTCCGCGACACCTTCCCACCAGTGATCCTGTGACTTCATATGTAAGGCGCTCAAGTATCTTGCAGCCGTCACGCCGAGGTTCGACATATAATTCTCCTGTGCCTTCATCGCAGCAGCTCCCATCCTTTGTGGAAGGGTATGTCAGTGCGGAACCTACACTTGCGCCTGGGTCGGTGGTCTTTCCCACCCAAGGGTTCGTTGTACCAGCACGATCACGGACAGGATCTACCGTAGGAGGGGAAGTCACCCGAAAGCTGCTACGAACACTTTCAACCGTCTCGATACATGAGAGCGTCGAGGGTCTTGCTGGAGGGCTTGCAGGAATTGCACCTATTGGAAAATACATCACGGAGGGGCGAAGTGAAGCTGATGCACCACCCTCAGAGATGCCGAGAGATTTTGGAATCGACGAGACGTCGGAAGGAGAGGAAGAGGACAACAATGAAAAAGAACAAGGGAAACATTCCAAAGAGAAACCTGGAGGGCGATTTCAGCTCAGGTAAAATGGTTGATATTTCCAGGTAGTATATAGCACCTTCTACCATCTATGCTGCTGGGGAGACAATGGAATAATCGATACAACTCGTGAAGAATAGACAGCTGGTATAAAATAACGATAGATTCCGATTATTTTAAACGTTCAGTCCCCAAGAATTTCTTTTATTCCTGTGAACAGCATCAGGCAAGTTGGGAGCAATCGGAAGAATAACTCACGGACAATGATGCCTATATAAGCTGCGGTAGCCGGACTGTCTGGATACTCATCCAAAAAGCTGACCCCATAATCTGCGCTTTTCCCTATACGGGGGTCGAGTGGGACCGCACCGAGAAGCTCAACGCCCATTTCTTCTGCCAGTCTTTTTGCACCGCCAGTGAATGGTTTAAATATTTGAGATTCCGTCTTACAACTAGGACAGACGAAACCCGACATATTCTCCACCAATCCTAGCACCCGGATTCCAACTTTTCGGCAGAAGTCAATCTCACGACGAACATCTTGCAGAGCAACTTCTTGGGGAGTAGTTATCAAAACAGCTCCATCTATGCCGCTTTCCTTGAGATATTGTACGATACTCAGGTGCTCGTCAGAAGTTCCGGGTGGAGTATCGACCAGTAGATAATCAAGATCGCCCCAGTCGACATCCTTAAGGAATTGAGATATTAGGCCGTTCTTCTTCGGACCTCTCCACATGATAGCATCTCTGGAGCTTGGCAGCATGAATCCAACAGACATTACTCCCAGGTTGTCTTGTACATATACAGGAGACCAGCCAGACGAGGATGAATGCACTTGCTCAGAGGCAATGCCAAGAATCAAGGGAATGGAAGGGCCACATATGTCAACATCCATAATGCCCGTCTAGACAAGGAATTCAAAAATAAACTGGTGATGGCTGCGAGTAACAACACACCTGAGTATTGTCGTCGGCAGCAAAAGCCCACCCGAGTTGGGCAGTGAAGGTAGATTTGCCTACGCCTCCCTTCCCCGACAAAATGAGAATCTTTCGCTTCACGTTTTTCATACGATCATTAATGAACGGTAAGGCAGGGTCTGGCTGCTTCGTAGCGCCTGATGCACATATTTCCTGGTTGGAGCAACCAGCACAAGCATCCGATTTTCCTGCGAGATCAGATTCTGTGCCCTACCGAATTCATCAATGTTGTCTTCGGTCTAAAAGGACCTACTGAGCGCACTGGACAATGTTCTGGAGCATCCGCTGGAACTGAGAGAGGATCGGGGACTGCTGACGGTTTCTGTACGGCTATCATGGTGGTTGTTGAGAAATGAATTTGCTTGCTGAGTAAAGCTTAGATTTCATGTTGATTGTTGTTTATTTTGGAGGCTATTATGTACTCATCTCATCCGTGATAAGGGGTATTGTAAGTACTGCGAAGAATCTTCGTCCATGCCATACTATAGATATATACTGAGAGCCGGTGTGAGGGATTGTTAAACTACAGATAATGGAATCAAAAATCATGGCGGAAAAGGTATCGGGATAGCACGGCACGTCGGTGCGGTGGAGGTATACGTCATGATCGCTGGCGAACAGCTGACGAGTAACCGTTCGGAGGTGTGCTGTTGTACGAATGTTGACTCTGATTCACGCTGTCTAAAGCGGTTGACCGTGGTGGTGGAGGTCCAACGAATGACGATGGGCGCGAGGAAGGACCGTTAGGATTCACCGGTCGAGGTGGGGGAGGCCCTGACCAATCCATCTGCGACCTTTGTTGCAGATTCTGCATCACGCCCTGCGGCAGAGACGGCGAGCTAGATGGTGGGTGGAATTCGGTGCTTTGCGACATACCAGGAGAAGGTCGCAGTGTCCGTTCAGATCCAGAAGGCCCAGCCAACGGCGGTCGCTCCATCACCGAAGAACTTGGAGGAGGATATCGTGGTGCTGTTCCATTGCTATTGCTTGAGCTATTGAAGGCACCTGGTGTCGATCGGCCGTTTGAGCCCTTGATCCGCATGTATGTATCACATTTTTTCATAAACTCTTTGCTGGGAAGTTCCAATGAGCTTGCAAAATACTCTTGATCATGGAGAATGGGAAGGAATTCTTCGGGTACTGTAAAAAATTCATCTTGGTTCTCGAGAAGAGAAGTCATCACTCGAAGCGCTCCAAATGTCTCGTCCCGCATGGCGTCTCGACCTCGTGCGTAGAGAATGCTAGGACATATCACAGTCGCCAGGTTTCCAAGATCCATCTTGCTCCCTGTCTCTGCATCCAAATGGGCAAAAGAGGCAACCCATTTGAGAAAAACGAATAAAACCTCCATAGTGTCTCGATGGCTTTTGGGCATGATAAGTGAAATAAGATGGAGATATCGTTTTCGATCTTCGTCTTGTGGAAGAGCTGGAAAGCACCATGAGTGTGAAAGATTCTAAAACAAAGCTCAGTCTTGACCCACATTGTGATGCGATGAACAGCCGATGTAGTTTAAAGGTCATCAAGGGATCAGGAAGATCACGGAGGAACTTCTTCAGCAATGCTGCCAACTGCACAGGATTATCCTGCGATAGGTCTACAGACGCAGGATCCCGATCAATGGCATCGGTCAAGTCTCTTAATCGCCGAATATTGCCGTTCTTCCTAAAGATGCCTTCGATAGACATATCTGCAGCGTTGCTTAGAGATTTAGGTTGGAGAACAGAACTTGAGCCACTTACCCATCTGCCGCATGGCCGAGATGACATCATCAATGAAACTTGGAACCCGCAATGTCGCTCGGGTTGCTCCAAGCAGCGAATCGGCACCTTCTCTCTCCACTAGAAGCTCCAGAGGGACGCCAAACACACCTTGATCAACAACAATGATTGAGCGCCGTTTGACACTCCCTTGATCTAGGACTAGAGAGACGGACCTTTTTTCTTTACGCTCTTCTTATCACCCTTGAACAGCTTGTTCCAGAACCCACTCTTCTTCACCTCAACCATCTCTAAAAGCTCTTCCAGGTCAAATTGGTCTTTGAGCGGGGATCGAGTCAATGCCAGCACAGCGGAATGCTTGACGATGGCTAATTCCAGAGCAGACAGCTCCGCGATGTACGGGATCGAATTCTCTCTGGGCAGCGACCGCTGTTGTTCTCGAGCTTGAGCAACTTCCATCAGCTGAGGAATATCTGCAAGTGTAATTCCGTCATCTAATCTGTTTCCTCGTTGTTGGTGTTGCTCTTCTCCAGCTGGTGAGTTTGGCGCACTCTCATCCACAATTCTGACCTCGGTATGACCACGAGACAAGGACGGCCTGATTACCTGATCCGAAGGCTCAGGAGGCCCATTTGAGTAGTAAGACCTAGGTGGTTGGGTGGGCGGCGACTGCCTCGAAGACTGATTCCCTTGTCCCTGATACGACATCTGACCTTGTTGGGCATGTTGGCTTTGAGGAATAGAAGAGCTTGACTGATGGGGCGCGGGTGTGCCCACCTCGTGCGGCCGTTGCGGTTGAAGACCGTCGGAAGGATGTGCACTTCGACCTGCAGGACTTTCCACAATGGTTGAGCGCTTCGGCAGGCGCGCTGTGGCGGACAACTTCCGGTCCAGGTGAACGGATTTCATCCGCATGATGTCCCCGGAATTGCGATATGGATCCGAGTTTGTGAGCGTTTGAGGGCTACTGACGCTACTAGACGCTACTAGCAAAAACCCGAATTAGTATACCTTTGAAGACGCATCACCACGAACGTAGTTTCACCTGGTGACAAGGGAACTACGCCTTGCTTCTTCAAAAGCAAGTAGAGGCGTCTTAGGGCAACATTCAATAGAAAGGCGTATTGCTCCAGCCGTTGAACTGCTTGGAACCCGCTTCGGCAACCAGGGTGTGCGTGATCGGTACACAGAATGACAGTCGGAACATCACCAAAGGAAGTCGTCTCCTTCAAATGTTCTGGATCGTACACAAACAAACCAACATTGGCAGGGGGCCTCCGTGCACTAGAAAGCTTGGGGGGCTGATCCTTGTCCTTGCCCTCCTTCTCGTCACCACTTTTCGACGACAGCTGCATCAGCTCCTTTGGAAGAGGGACGGTCGCTACCTTCCCACATTGTGCGCACTGCACACAATTGGAATGCCATCGTTGGTAAGTTCCCAACCGAACACAATCCTCCTCCACCGTCAGGCTGCACTTGACACACAGATCCGAAGGCGGACTCGTCGAGGTCTTATTGGACGGTGGGGCCGCAGAAAAGGGGGACTCGCCAGCGTTTTCTGGTGCAAGACTCCGAAAGCCATAGGTGACGCTTTGAGTCCCAAAGTTAGCGCCTGCTGCTGGAGCTAAGATTTCTCCATTAGAACTTTTGATCAGCCTTTTGGCAGAGGGATTGCCCCCTTGAACGGCGAGTAGGTGCAATTTGTCGAGGAACGATGACATGGCTTCCCGAGCGCTGTGCTCCCTTTCAAGTTTAAGAGCGCCTGTGAGAGCGATTCGGATCAAGATCTTTAAGTAATGGGCAAGACCGGTAACAAGTGCAAGCAGCTCCTGCGTCATACCCATTCTCCGTGCACCGGTTTCTTGGGTATGCGACAGCAAAGTAAACAACTCCACGGTTTTTCGACACAACATTCGGGCTTCACGAACATGTGACATCCCTGCAGGCACGAAACTAAGCACAATAGGAGTATCAAAATGAAAACTGGAACGGACCTTTCATACTCAAGAGGGCAAAATGGAATTCGAGGTCGTCGATGGTCGCAAATAAAACTTCGACATGCAGAATAAATTTTTCTGCCATTCGGATTGCGTCCAGGTACTGTCCGTTGCTAACCTGGCGCAACATATCGGAGATACAAGCAGCGCTCGATTCTTCGAATGCAGAGAGAACACTACATGTCTAGTTAGATGATTCTCCAGTGATCTGAAGCAGTATCTCACGCACGTCCAGATTCGGTAAACTTGCTGTTCCATCCGGACTTGTTTGTCCTTAAGGGTTTGTGGCGTCTCTCGCTGCTCTTCCTCTACATATGCGGGTTCCTCCGGTTCCCCTCCTTCGACGGAGGCGGAACTCGTCGGTCTCCGAGATACCACTTTGACATTCCAAAACTAAACCAACGCCGTTGGAGTCGATTCGAAATGACAAATGACTGAAGAGGGGCGTACCTTGTTGATCATGTAACATTCTGGATGCCAGCATTCGTCTCTCGAGTTGCGATTAATTTCCACAAACTGTTTGAGAATCGCGCTGCTACATCCAGCGCACTTTGTAGCAAAACGCGTCGAGTAGTGGAAATGACAAAACACATCCCCATCGTGTTCGTAATACGAGTCCTGCGGTCCGAATAATGTAGGGCATAGAGAACATGTAAAATGTTCAACATGAAACTTCTTGTCTGAAAATTTTAGATCAACACAAGTGCAGGTTGGAGGCTGATTAGAGACGCACTGCATGCCGTAATGTAGCTGCCCCGCAAAGCCATCCCGCATTTGGCACATATTAAATTTAATCGACGAAAATAGTCACGTTCACAGAGTGGATTTTGTTTGCCGTTCGGTCCTTCTAGAGGGAAGAATTTGGACGCGACAACGTCTCCGCAATCCTAAACACGAGGTTATGGTTGGAAGCAGAAATATATTGAAGAAGCATACCATGCACTTGAAGCAGTTAAGATGAAAGACGGTGCCAAGTGCACGCACAAACGGGCCTTGCATCGGCTTGCCGCATGCTGAACATGTTCTGATGAAGAAGAAAAAAAGTGAGACAAGATCGCGTGTTGAAGAAATGAATTACGTAGAAACGAGGCTGGTGGATGTGGATGAAACGGTTGTCGGAGCTTTAGGTGTGGTGGATTGAGTGGACGACTCGGAAGGGGCTGAATAGAGAGAAGAATGATGATTTGAGTCATCAGAGCGGTCAGAAGCAAAAGGCTGATTTGATTTGCTGGATGTTGCTGGGGTAGAAGGACGACTTCCTGTAGGAGGGGTGTTTACCGAGGAAAGGAAGGCAGGTGATGGCCTCGGAGTAGATGTTGAAATGGGTGGGAAGAATGAGGATGAAGCAGAGCTATGGTTAAGGTCTTCACTGCGAGAATGGGGAAGTGGACTGGGTGGAGAAAGGTTGCGATCTGGATCTGGTGTGCCAAAAGTTGAGGCACGAGTTGGAGGGATAGAGTGGTCAGGAAAGCGATTGATAGCCGAGGACGGTGCAGAGGCAAAGTTGCGAGACTGGGTGACTTGGTTAGAGGAAGTTTTGGAGAAGTCGAGATCTGTGGATATGCCTAGAGGGTTGCCATTCTGGATGGAAGACCAAGGCAAACGAGGATGTTCCTGTTCTCTGCGATCCTGTTCTCTACGATCGAATTCTCGACTCATAGTATCTGACCCAGGAGTATGCAGGCTGTTCGTCGCAGGAACCTGGCGAGAGATAGGTGCAGCGAGCGTTGAGTGGAACAAGGGAGCGTCGGGAGAGAGCGAGAGAGCGAGGTCAACGTCGAAGGAGGAGGGGACACCACTCGTCACGTTGTGTCACATACTTTATGTGACAGGTCTTCTGCAGCATTGGACCTTGGTACAGTAGCCCGAGTAGGCATACAAGTGCTACAGACTTGCTACTGAACAGTTCACTTGTGGACTACTTACTCTATACTCATTATCGGAATCGTTACTCGTATATCCCAGATATATCCTTGCCGACAAGCCAACGCGTCGAGCTCGGCTTACATATAAGCGCACTGCGTATACCCTTTCTGCCGATTCGACGCGCACACAACCACTACCGACGCAGAACAATATAAAATGGCCCCCCATCCAACTCACCCCCATCTCATAACAAAATGCCTTATCCCCACTACCACTTAGCTCACTGGCACCGACGCCCAAGTCGTTTTCTCTGGTTCTTCATCGGTGCTGGAACCGCTACCTGGTGGATACTTCACAAGGACGCCAATGCCTACCACCGACACGGCTTCTTTGGACATTGTAGACGTCCCCAGCTTCCCCCACCTGACAACGGCGGCACCATGAACCCAGATGCTTCTTGGCCTACGCCTGACTCACGGAACGAATCAAGGAACGCTCCAGCATGGGGCGTCCCATTCGAAAGGGCAGCCCAGTGGGATGCGCCTGACAAGGAGAAAATGGCACCCTTTTCTCGTCAGGCTGTTGACACAGTGAGTTCTTTCTTCAAGAGCCCCTACAACTCAACTGATATAGTCAGGCAACGGAATTAACCGAAGCTGCACTGGAATCGATCTTGAGCACCGCCGAGTCTTTAAAGGCGGTAGGGAGCTATTTCTTCGATACCACCATACCATTCTCATTCAATACCTTTCCAGAAACTTGTTGCACATCGTGTCCACCGCGAGCAGCAGCAAAACTTGTATGAACAACGACAACCCGATGACCAACCAGCAAACCCCTCCTCTCAGACCGTATAGCTTGAGTATTAAGGACGTAAAGCAACCCCACTCATATCCAACTCTTCGTTTTATTTTGTACACAGCAGATCCGTAAAGATACTATTTAATAAAGCATCCCACTTTCATCAACTTGACTCAGCCCTCCCTAGCCCGTCTCTGTCTAACGTAGGGACTCCAATTTCTTCCTCCTCGTCAGGAACAGTGCCTCCATGTTTCCTGTCAACGTATGCGGGTGCCTTTGGGTCCAATACTCCTTGCTCTTCCGCTAGATTTTTTTCAATGAGTGTGTCAACAAGAAAAGCAGTTTGTAGAGCTTACGTGCAGATGACCAAAAGTAGGCGATCAATCCAACGATGACAACAGCATAGGAGACAAAGTACAACCAGTACGGGTGGTAGTGCTGAAAGGAAATTGTAAACTGGTGTAAATTTTTTTCAATGTGAAGGCTTACGAATAAGAACAAGCCTGTACCATCCCGTCAATGAAATGAATCAACAGGAGGCTGAAAGCTTACTTACCAAAAAGAAGACCATAAAAGTCACTGGAGAGCAAGCTTAGATTAAAGTACGCCGACGACGCCATCCGGTACAACAACGGAGCGACGGTGTATAAGATCAACATAGCTGGAACTATATCAGCTTGGATGCCAACTTATGCATCGCAATACACTCACAGCAAGTAAATGCCATCAAGAGACCAACTGTTTTGCAAAATAAGTATCAGGAACCTTCGAATGCTTCCTTTAGTAGAGACTGACTGATATCTCCGGTCCATGGAACTTGCTTCATATCTTTCCATTCTAACGCCGACGCCTGAATGCCATTGATAATGAATCCCCACATTCCAAGCTGGCCGACAACCTACATCCATTATTTACCAATTGCCATCAAATTTAAAGAAAAAAAGAAAGAAACTTACCTCGTAAAGCGGACGTTTTCGAACAAAGAATTCTTCCGTTGCATTCGCTGCATGTGCCCTTAAGCGCTTTTTTTCATGAACAGCCAACTGAGAACATACTGAAGCCGTAAAGGGTTGCGCCTGCAATCATAAACCCATCCCCTTTTCCTCTTGCTATGGCGGTCCAGTCTTTCTTGGTTATCTCGTCAGAAGCAACGAGAAGCCCTAGACCCGCGATGCAGATAAACACACCCTACAGCAATATAGCTCATAAAGTTACAAGCCTTTCAACGCCATAGCTCACCAGAAGTTGCGTCCAGTGATACTTTGTTCGCATATACACCCAACAGAAGAACATGCAAACAGGGATTGCCCAGCTAGAGGGTGCTTTCAGAATAAAAATAACTGAAAGAAGTAGAGTTCTCCACACGCGTCAAGTAGCATGCACGACAAAAGGTCCGTATACTGATAAGCCTTTTAAGAGAAAACGGTCAGAATTGTTCCTCAGGCTTAGAGCGACAAACTGTTTACCCTGATCACCAAAAAATTCCCTTCGACGTCCGATGCTGCCAGAATGATATCTAACAAAATCAGTCAATCAAGGGATGGGTAACAGAAAGAGTGCTGAGCAAACATTTCCAGCCATCGCGTGCGATAACTTTGCCCCATCCTTTGAATCCGTCTGAGGAGAGAAAATGTATCAGCCGCTGAATCCATTGGAAGTAAAAAATCAAGCGCACATTGGTATATCGTGTAGGGGGTATAGATGAGGAATAAAACAAAGTACCTGCGCCCGCCAGCGTCAACTTTTGATAAAATGAACGGCAAAAAAGTAGGAAATGCACGTAAAGAACCCTTGGGTCGTCGACAAAGTCCAACCTCTGTTTACAAGTTCCGTTGTTGTGACATTCGTGCATGTGATACATAGCGAGACGACTTGTCCAGCAAGCAACGAGAGGAGAAACCTGCGCGTCCACACGCTCCTCCACCTTGCGGCGAAACTCTGGGCAAAGGCCTCTGGCGAGTTGTAGACGAGGGGGGGTCGAGATCTTGGCGGTGGGGACACAAGCTGAGGGCCGTCATCGTTTTCAAAAACCTTGACATCCTGGAGGTCGATCGAGGTGGCCATTTCAAGAAGAGGGTGGAAATACACACGGTCCAAACCCTCTTACTTATACTTATGAGCAAGAATAGATTTTGGAAGTGTCTTTTTTGCCATCTGCTTGGCAGAGCTTGGCAGCTGCACATTTAGGATTAGGCACCATCGATTGCTGATCTCCGATCGATCGCGATCACATTAATGAGGAGTATTTATGTTGGAATGAGTTATGGACTGGGATTGTAGTACCCAATTGCCAACCTGTTCAATGTTTTCTGGTGCACCAAAATCTCACCCTGAGCTGAGGTCCAAGAAGACTTGAACAGACTTGAACCCCTGCTAGACACCCCTCTGTCTCCCTCTGTTCACGCGCTGTCACTTACCAAAATTGCCCAGCTGCGTCATTGGAGCTTGGAGGTCATTGGCGTTGTCGACCCTGTCGGGGGGGTTCAGAGCATATGACCAAGGTAAACAATGAAATCTACCCTAATCTACTGCAAGCGCGATAAGATTTCGAAAACGTACATACTACAGTGCCTGACCAACAAACGTGTTTTACAGCAGGAAAATAGGTCAGAGAAACAACACTACTGGCTTCGGGTCCGAACCGGGTTGCCCTCCACATCCTCTTGACGATTTTTCTTCGTAACCAAGACGTAGTCGTCCTCTGGCTTGCTTGGGAAAATTATGAAGATGGTGGGCGGAATCACAGCGAAAAGAGTGATGAAAGTTGCAGTTATCTGAGTGGAAAGTGTCTCTTGCATCCAAACATATGTCAGGAGCAACAGCACGAGACTCCATATTCCAAGATAAAAGCATGCAAACCCTGCGAGCAGTTTGAAAACAAATCTTTCATATCGAAGCGGGACGGGTCCACAATGCCATACCATGGTTTCCCATCTGTTGCCCACTCCGTACCTGACAAGTATGTCGTTGGATGAGCAACTTAAAGACCCAGCTGCTGGCAAGTCCTTTTTCGCCGACGCGTAAAAGGGAAGTTCACCAAGCTTGTCAATGAGAATGAAGGAGGTGATCACCGCGCCGATGCTGAAGAGGAGAGAGGAATAACACAAAATCAAAACAAAAGTGCGGGTTCCATCAGGATTGGTACGCGCGCGAAACTTGCTCTCGTCCTTGAAAAAACTATACAAGCCGGAAGCGGTGGACGCAAGAAGGCCAGACTGTAGGAGCATATACTTGGGTCTAAAATGGATGATAAAAAAAAGTTGGCTCACAACTACGGCAGCACTCTGGAATGTCAACTGCCATCCATCCCGGAGAGACTTCATTGCATTTGGCAGGTCGTCTGAGGAACACCAGCAGAGTATTGCTATTTAACACCAGGGGAAAAAAAAAGAATGTGCGCACATTGTAGTTCGACCTCCCTCATTATGGTGGTGGATTGAGTTAAAAATTGAATGTGGGGGGGACATCATGTTCGGGGCGTGGGTAGTGGTGAATTGAGGGACTGGTTATTGCGTGGAGAAGGACATCGTGTTCGGGGCGTGGACTTGAATTCACATTACTTAAAGTCTTTCCCACAAAAACGTGGTAGTTACAATCAATGAGTGATTGATTCAGTATGGGAAAGGTAAAATATGTCTGGTAGACGTGTCTGGCTTCAACTCCGAACTCTGAGAAATGGTACAAAGGCGCTTACCTTTGCTATCATCGTGACCAACGTTCACCTACCCAAAAATTCTTTTAAACCACCCTTTTTTTTGTTGAGCCTGTTCTCGCTGGAAATTTTGCGATATTGGCCCCATATTAGCACCAATATAGTCGATCTCATGCGCAACAGTTTGAAGCTTTCCTTCAGGGTTTCGTTTCTTTTTTGACACAACATCTGTGTGCGGCGATCTGTTGGAATCCGAAGTAGACTCGTTCGGAGGACGTTGGTGCAGCGACCTGTTGATTGGCTTCCAATCCAAAGTTTTGAAGGTGGACTCGTTCGGAAGACGTTGTGACACAAGAAAGTCACAGGATTCATCCATTTCAGCTGCTTTGGTGACGACAGAGAACCATTCAACATCCACTTGCATTGTGACTTCCAGTGGGTAACTATAGAATGATACCAGCTCCCCGTTGCTGAACAGTTCACGGGCTGACTCCAGAGCCCCAAGCTTGTCTGAAAAACTTCAATCCACTGCAAGAGAAAAAAGAGAACATTGTGGCTCCACTTACTTTTTAAGAAGACCACGTCGTCTCGAACTTTGATGACATTTCCAAATACTTGGACCTGATTGGCTAGGTCGAGAACTACACGCCATTGTCGATCCACCACAAGATTTAGAACAAGCGGGTCGTTTGAAAGCGTAGTGCTTGGTCGCAGGTCTGAAAGCATAGTGCTTGGTTGCAAAGGTTCGATTTTACTAGGGAGCGGTTTGTTGAGGGATAAAAAAGTTTTGTAAAACTGTGGGTTCAGGGTCAAGGATAAAGTGAGTTTGTCGTTAGCAGCGAAGTCGAGAACTCGACAAAGGACATGATCTAGAATCGCATCTTCCTCAAGAACCACTAAAGATCAAGGTCTTTTGATATGATCTAGTATAGTTGACTTTAATCTTACCTTCACGTCGACGTACCCCGCTTTGGTTGAGATTTACCTCAGCAGGCCAAACCCACACTTCCACCTTTTTTTTTCGAGCAGATAGGCTCAGCAACTGCAGCTCTGTTAATACCGGATATCAACAGATGGGTGAGAATGATGGGTGACCTTGAATCTCAACCTCTCAGAAAGGTGTTGAATTTGCTGGCTAGCGTCCTGATCCTTTTTGCGCATTTCATCAAGCCTTTCTTTCGCAACGGCCACCTGGTTTTTTACTTTGCCCTCCGCATGAGCGTCGGTATCAGTTTGTGAGCCAATCAATAGCTTGTTGATGTCGCCCATCACTTTATCCGGCTGTGTACTGCAGCGTTCTGAATATTAACCATAAACGGTCGAAGGGATGACCGCCGTACGGATGATCATGGTATACGCGAAGATATTTGACAATACGGAGGGAAGCGGTGTTCAGTGCTTCCTGCGCTTCTGTATTTTCTTGACGCCCAGCCTTTCTCGCATATTCAAGTGCCTTGTTTAGTAATTCTATAGCTCTGAAATCTTATGTTAGTGGGCTGCTCAGATTTTTTGGCTACGAAATGGCCTTCGCTTACTGCTCAAGTTGATTCTCTCGGTCCAAATCCAATCCAACATGCGGTACTACCTGTCTGCAAATGGACACGAGCGCAATGCTTTGGTGGAAGTAGGCACGTCCAATGTGAGGAACTTCCTTGGATCCGTGAAACAGTTTCTCCATTAAGAAGTTGTGGAGCATGGCTTGAAGAACGACGTTGAGTGGAGGGTTCAAATGCTCTCAGATCGGCGTTGGAGACTCGAGATATGTGGAAGATACGCGCCAAATTCGTGGTCGCCAAACAGCGAACCTTGATCATCGATATGAACAGAACGTGGACACGAGGGTTGAGTAGAGAAACGGAGATTCTCATAAATGCCCACAGAGTATGGATCTTGAGAGGCGTTGTCAAAAGCTTGAGCCTTGAGGACATGTTGAGGATGCAAACAGGCGCCGGCAATCGTATGATTTCGCTTGATATAGACTTGGCACGCGTCTGTTGGCAGGTTTTAGTCAAAGACAGGTCAGCCAACCACACACATCGGGGAACTCATTTCCTACCGTCATATCGATAAGAAACTTCCATTTGGTCAACTTTGCGTCGAGTTGGGTGCGACCTAGCCAGACGTGGCCTAAACCTCTGAGGGAGCACCCCAAGTCGGTTTTCCAGGCCTTTTTAGTTTCACTCTTCCGCTTGAAAGAAAGCCTACGAGAACCTTTCTCGCCTTTGCGCGCGTATTGACGATGGCTTTACCAAGGGCTTCATCCACAACTACTGGTGATCAGCCATCAGAGCTTGTCAAAGAAATCAGCGGAATTCCTGAAGGCTATCCCGCTACCGACTTGGTAAAATACCTTCTCAAAAACATCGCCCTGGATATCAGCAAATTCAGACGACATATTCAATCATCTTTTGCGATCGTTCGCAGATCCCGAAACGTTTACGATGCGCTTCAACCGCTCATGAGTTCTGTGCAAACAGCACAGACTTCAGACTGGCGCGGCTTCGACAAATATACAGCAGCGATCGGCCCTTTGGAAGAGTCGGTAATATTTGCTGGAGCATTATCTGTATAAGATTGATTGTTGAGAATTTATCATTAGACTTCTCCTTGGGTTGACTATCACTCCAGGCGATGATCCGCCTGGCAACCTTCCCCCTGAAACTGACATCGCGAGTTGTATCACCTTCATCGAAAGATGGGCTACTGACAGAGGAGCAATCGTTTCCACCTTGAAAAAATTTGGCAGCGACCACTTGAAGGTTGGAACGCCCTTTTCTACCTTCCTCTTACAATCTTTCACGATCACTCATTTGCATCACAGACTTTGTCAGAACATCCGAGAGGCAACTTGGGAGTGGCAATCGAAGAAGCCCTTAGGATAGATGACGTTGCCGCTTTAAACGCTCTCTGCTCATATATCAAAAAGCAGGCATTGATGGACCATTACATGTCACCAAGGCAAGGACAAGCACTTTCCAAAGTATATGCGCTGATGTTCTGTTTCTTGACGTAGCACAAATCCGCGGGACGTTTCGGACGTCAGGGAGCTGGTTGCCTCAATACAAATCAAGCTGATTGGTGAAGCGAAGCCTCATCCTGATGCGCGTTCCCATATTTCAGTCAATACGAAAGTTGATGCGACCTGAATTTACACAGGACTCTATGGAGATTTCTATCAGGAGCATTATGCTTGTTTGTACCCCCTTCGCAGTAATTGGCAACCCTCAGACGAAGAGCGAATGGGTAGAGCACCTAACCGCGGCCAATATATGGGTGGAAATGAAGAGGTATACTCAATGACTGCATCGCCTCAGTAATCCTGATCGTCGATTCTGTCTCAGTTTTTTGGAAGCACTCGATCAGCATCTACGCCATGGGAAATACTCCATTCCGCAATTAAAGGAAAAGTACCGGGTGCTCGAAGAACTCCTCTCAAGACCTTTGAGTTCGGAATTGTTGGATTTAATGAGGCTTGCTGGACGAGTCCGCAGACCTTTTCATGGAAGGGCAGTCAGGATTGTGCACATGTGGCAATATTTGACTGCAAATTCTGATATGAGAGCGGACCGAGATATTGCACGCCGTAGTGAACTCCAAAGGCGCGCCTTAAACACTACCGCCCGACGTTGCTCTCTGATGCAGTTTTTTTTTTTGGTTCAGGGATATTAAAAGGGCCGTCTCCGTGTTTCAAGAAGCTTCCAAGGCAGTTGCCGATCTCACCATCTTGACACTAAAATCGCCTCAATCAATGAAGATGGACAAGGATTTTGGTGATCTTGTCGAAAATCTGGAGAAGCATTTCAAGACCTACACTGTGCGATAAACCCTACCAGCGGAACGTAGCGATTGGCTCACATTTTGAATAGGCAGATGGACTATGGGAGGAATATAAGAACACATTTGAGGAAGCCAAGAAAACAGATATTGAGCACTTCACTGGCGTCAAGACTAGACTGAATATCAGTGAGCTTGCTACAATTCCTCACAGATATTTTAAACTGCTTTAACTAATAGACGAGTGATGGAATATCGAGACTGTTCATGTGTTAGGTATTGGGTTAGACTTTTCCGTCAACCATTGTCGCGATGCTAGCCACCGACGGCTCACCAGCAGGTCTCAATGTGTCATTCCACGACTGAATGTCATGATATTTGCTACTTCTCTTTCTTAAATTCGTGAGCGCTGTACTCAAAGCCGTTGTGTCAGACCGAAACTTATTTAACGTCTCGGCCTAAGGGTAAGGGAGTTGCGGCAAATGAACGTTAGACAAACACACAACACACGTGCCACAAACGTCCATATTACGGCCTCGTTGACACGGCAGTCGCACGACCATGTACTCAATGGGAGCGCTCCAGCTCCCTTGGAGCAATATCAAGACTGCGTTGCTTCTGACGCCTCTCGCTGAAAGCTCTTATGCACGCTGCTGCTCGTGGTTCGTTTCGCGGCTTTTTGCTCTCCTCTGTCTCCATCATGCCTCGCGACCCCTCGTTGTGCGTGTGGCTGCCTTCGGCTTGCGGCTTGTCGCCTCTATTCTCTCTGAAATGTCGGTGTTCAATATCTTGCGAGGGGACGAAACAAGCATGACATACTCCCAACGGTCGGGCGTGGGTCATTTCCGAGCCCCTCATGAGTTGGAATCATGCAACGTTCTTGGTGTTTGCTTCTTGCTTCACCTACACTCGATTATGCGATCTACGGAACACGTAGCAGCTGGGGGGGCTGAGCCTACACGCACCCAAAGTGCTCCACATTCGTAACTTCCTGTTTGCTTTAAAAGCCTCAAAGTGTCGGTCAGTTTTCGGCAACACATTCTACCTTTATTCCTGCGAGTCACCTCAAGCGTTCAACATGTCACAAGGTTACCGGCAAACTCAGCTGGATTGTACGTGCACTCCGCATCAGCCGTGATCTTCAAGGCCGTTGAATGTTTGAGCAGATGAGCTTCCCCCGACAATCGAATCTATCAAGAATGGATGGCAAACAACATGCCAGAGTGGCGTCATTGTTGTGAGTTTGAAATTGATAGACCTGGATCTTGTACATGTTTAACTTGACTCGATAGTCTGGGCTTTTAGCAGTCACTGCAGCACAGCTGCTTACTTTTTTCAAAAATACATCCAACTTCAATAACGAGTCGACTGCTGGAGCGCACACGTTCCTCGTTCTCCTCTGTTATGGCTCGTTATTCTTCAATACCAGCGCCTCGATTAGCTCCTTTGTGCTCATTGATCGGTTGGGGGAGTTGCAATTCCGTGCCGCGCAGAAGGATCAGTCTATTCTTCCCTCGGGCGGGTTTACGTCTTTGGGCGCCGACAATCTCCTTATAAGATTTGGCGCTGGGAGACTCTGGACATGCATTGCATGGCACTGCAAGTTGTATTTTGTTCTGCCTTTGAATGAAACTGATTCTCTTCCTAGGGGTTTTATCGTATTTGGCTGGCATTTGGTGTATGATTTTGCAGGTCCTGACTTACATCTGGTTGCAAGAGTCCGCGCCTATTCGAATTACTATGACAACCCTTGCTGGCTTCTCTATCCTGCCATTCTTTGCATTTCTCGCACCATTGTTCAAGACGAGCTCCGCGATACGCTGAGTCGGTGTCACCTTCTCCACGCCAAACGAGGGGTCACATTATTGCTCTCAAGTCCATTTTTATATCTTATTTTAGAGTGGTTACTTACTACTAGTACTATTACTACATCTCGACGACTTTAACCTTTAAATTATGATTATGATTATGCACATACATAATAAAGACTGCTGAACGTTGAACGTAAAAGTAGCACTGGATTATGGCGGCATCACGTGGCAAACAGCAATCTCAACTTGAATATGACCTCTGATGGAAAGATTTTGGAGCAGCCAGTGCCGGCCCCAGAGGACAACGTGAAGCCTCTCAATTACCGAGAACAGTTCTCAGTATGCTGCTTCGTCGTTTTCGCTTCCGTTGACGTCTAGTTTAATTATGAGACGGCAGGGGCGACATGTCTCCTCAAAGTTCATCGAGTGCGTCTTTGAAGGTCGGATTCTAGTTCAGGAAGTTCTCAACTTCGTTTACAGCCCTTGCGCTGCGGCTTCAAAGGCTTCCATGGATTGTTTGAACCGAAATAACTACGATAGGGATGCGTGTCTCGATTATTTTCAGGCTTATAGGGATTGCAAGAACTCATGGGTACATTTTCCTGATCTCTGTCTGCAGCAGCAAGGGCTGACGAGTTGTTTCTTAGATCCAGCAAAGAAAGGATGATCGTCGTGCTGGGAGGCCAACAACTTGACCGTGTTCCGCAAAACATGCACATATGTAATAGAGGGAGCAATCTTTGTTTAACAAACTTATCGTTAAACCTTCGAGGCTTTCATATATTTGTCCCATGCGCCAGGTCCGAATCCCCGTTCTTTCCCCAGTGCCAAATCAACAATGTCCATCATAGCCAGCACCTTCTCTTCCTCCCATTTCCTTCCAACGATTTGAATGTTGACGGGCATTCCTTTCATAGCCTCAGGGTCATATAGTGGTTTGTTGTTTGTGAATATTCCACTTTCAAAGAGCTTTGATCCGTGTCCGAGTCCATCGATCCACTCCTGTGAAAGTTGATCCTTGGTGGGGTCAACTCGGGTAACCGGAAGGCATCCAACGGGGATATCGAGAATGTTGTAAAGAATTGTGGCAAGGGCAAGAGCAGAAAAATTGTTACATCCACTACGGAAAAGGCATTTAAGTCATGGTCAATTCCGCAATTTTGGACGAGGACGAGAAGACGAACCCATGAGGTAATTGGGGCAAAGCTTGTACAGGTGCAATTATTCCATCAATCTCAAATTTGTCCCACACCTACCGGAACTCTCGTTATCCTATTTGGTGAAATGGCATGTGAGTCAAGTACTTACCTCTTTGTCGAAATTCTTCACGAAACGATCGCGTTCTGCAGCAAGGGCCCAATATTCACGAACGGTTTTATTTTTCGCCGCCCGTAAAGCATCCGCGAATATCTTGTCATGGAGGAAGGTTTCGACGATCCATGCAGCGATATCTCGGAGAATAACTGAGATACATGTAAATTTCTTCTCACGTAACATTTCCAATGCGTACAGTTGAGCTTGGGCCCGAGAGTGACCAAAAATAAAGATTTTTCCTAAATCAAGCTTAACTTTCAGAGATGACTGCATAGCAAGATGTAATTTTGGTACCTTAGGATCGGGTCCTAGATGGCTGAGCATAGTCTTATATCCGTCGGCTGACGTCAGGCCAACAAAGATGTTGCAAGCAGCGGCCGCTAACGAAAATGACTGGTTGAATATGATCCACACGGTCGAGCTTTTTGAGTTTTGGTCTTACCATCAGGAATAGCGATTTCGATGCACTCGTGACCCTGCTTTCGCAGGGAGTCAACAGACTCTAGCACTGCTCGCTGGCATGCAGGAGATGCTTTAATGAATGAATCTCATCAAGTGTCAGGTAAACAGACAATCGGACAGTTTTTAGTGTATACAGGGACACACCATGGGTATAATAACCAAATCGTAAATTTGACGAGAGGGTAATGTCACGGAAAGGAAGAGGTGCAACATCGTGACTCCGACTTGGTAACCCAAAGGCAACTTTAGAGAGCAACTCAAGATCCTTCACAGATCTGCAAAGCATAAAGAGAAGATCATATAGAGAGGGGTAGCGGCCTACCGGCCCATGGGACCTGCAACTGATTTAATTCCATCGAACCCCGGAACGGGACCTCCAAAAAGTCAATGCTGACAATGTGCTATCACCTCTTCATGAAAGATTCTTACCTCGTGCGCCGCCGTATGAAATTCTGCCACTGGCGGGTTTCAGAGAAAAGACGCCACAATATGCGGCGGGTATCCGAAGGCTTCCTCCAATATCTGTACCAATACCCAAAGCAGACCCGTCCATAGCTAACAAAGCGGCTTCTCCACCAGAACTACCGCCACAGGTATATTTATCGTTATAAGGGTTTGTTGTGCGACCCCAAACAGGATTGGAACATTCAAAGGCGAACATAGTTTGCGGGATGTTAGTCTTGACATAGAGCACTGCACCAGCTGCGAGAAGTTGTTCCACAATCTAGGGGGAAAAGCATAAGGTATACTAACTTGATGAAGCCAAACTCGGTCCTTACATCTGCATTACTTTCTGCTGGTTCGTTGGCCCATTGCGAAAAACCGACGGATGTGTCAACACCTCTGATTTCAACTTTGCTCAAACTTATCAGTCGTGATCGGAGGTGTGAAGGGTGAATTTACATTGCTCTTTGATGCTCACCTGCGAAGCCAGAGTGAGTCCTTCGTGAATATTTCTTGGCCGTGCTATGGGAAACAATCACTCACGGGTACGCCATGGAGGGGACCTTTTAGCTCCTTGTTAGCAGCGAAGTGTTCATCTAGCTCCTTCGCGCGCTGTCTCGCCGAATCGAAGAAAACTACGCCGTTGCAATAGACTTTGAACACTCGGAGGAATGCATACAGGGAGAAAAAACACCTTCTGTCAAACAGTTCGTTTTGGCGTGCGCAAGAACAGCACGCGCAATGAAGGCCTCTAAAACCTGAGAAGCCGTCCACTTTCCCGTCTTGATACTTGAAACAATCTCTGAGGCTGAAGGAGAAGTCCAAGACGTTCGTTGGATCGACAGTGAAGGAGAGGTTTCCAACTAACCTGTAGCCCTTATAATTATAGCTTGATCGCTGGTCACGTCATGGATGGCAGAGTTCAAGTTGACTTGGGCGATAGCAGTGGCCCGCTGTTCACGTTTGGCAGCGACGACCGCCACATTAGAACCTGAGAAAAACCACATGGTTGAGGTGGAGGGTATTTTCTTGTGCTAGAACTTGGCTAGAACACTTTGGGCGAGTCGTAGTTGTCGCCTGATTCAATGAATGGCCTGCGTTCAGGAACCCTTTGATGGGAGGTCAATGCCAAAACAGCATCCACTAACACTATGGACCATATATTACCAGACTACATACAAGTTAAACACAACCCGCAAAATGTTTTCAGAGTAGCAAGAAACAAAGATAGAGCAATTATGAAGTAGGCAGAGGGGGAGGAGCATCGGGCTGAGGGGCGAAAATAATGTTCAAAGGAGGGGTCGTCTGACTATCTTCGCTGAGAAGAGTGGCGATAATAGAGCGACCAGCAAACGACCGTCCAGCCAAATTATTCAAAGCTGCGGTCGCGCTCTCGGAGTCCTTGTATTTAACGTAGACGCGCCCAACGCCAGAAGCCTCATCGAGACGGACGGCATCCTGAGCAGCAATTTGGCCACCTTCCCCAGGTGCCCACTTGGATTTATCCTTTTTCACTGGTCGGGGAATCCTCAGATCTTCCACCGCACCATAATTGGAGCACTCCTCTTTTACGTCTTCGTACAAGTCGCCATATTCTTGATCATCGGTCAAGTCGTCGGGTGTGACCATATTTAACATCAACAAGATACGCGAGTCAGTTGCTGGGTCCTTTCCAGCAGGCATGATGGGTCGAGGGATTTCGGGGAACTGATCGTATGGTAGATTGGGAATCATTCCGGGAGTTCCAGGTTTGGCCCCGACAGATGCGCGTTGCACGACGAGGTAACGATCTCCCAGCTCCATGCCATTGAGGCTTTGAATGGCGACGTCAGTGACACCCACGTCGACATATTCGAAGAAAGCGAAGCCCTGGAAATTGAACAGGTAAGAACAATGTTTTGTGACAAAACCGAAGACACTGACTTTCGAGGGACCGTTTCCGTTTTCTCTGACTAAATTGAAAGCTTTGAGATCTCCGAAACTCTTGAGTAACTCCATCACCTGCTCTTCGTTGAGGTATGTCGGGAGCCCGCCGACGAAAATCTTGTTGATGGAATCAGGAACATTAGTGGAAACAACACCTGGTACATGGACGCCAGGAGAGGCTATTTCCATTCCACCATAGTCCTTCGGTCGACGAATTTTGAGAGGCCCATTGATGAAGATGATGCCGTCGAAGGCCATGGCAGCCGTTGCATCTTCTGCGCTGCGGAACTAAAAGACGACATCAGTACATATAAGGTAAGGACAAAAGATGCTATGCGCACCTCAACAAAAGCGTAGTTCTTTTCGTAGTTGCACTGAACAGCCAAGACAGGATTGCCAGGCCCGCCGGTGCCGATGCTCATCTCAATCATTTTAGAATTGAAGAAGTCGGCAAGATTTTGTTCGTTGACTTCCGGCGTAATGCTGCCGATGTAGAGCCGACGAGACTGGCGTGACAGATTAGGATTTCCGCCAATTCCCATGCCGAAACTCTGGACGGGCATCGGGGGAGGAAGACCTGCAATTCCAAGAATGGGTGGGATTTGAGTACGGTTAGCGCCCGGCAGGTTGAATAACCCTTTGGAGAATGTGAGCAGGTACTTCTAAAATAAAGCAGAAATGCACACCTGTTTGTTTAGCCTGCAGAGCAGAATATTGCTCGTAACCTGGAGCGTGGACGTCCCAACCCGAAGCCTTGCGTTTCCGTTGGGACAGGGGGACGGCGCCTTCGGGAGTTGGCGACCTTCTCTCGGGCGTTCCAAGTCCGTCCTTCCCCTTACCTCGCCCACGACGGTCGCCGCCACCACCACCACCACCTCCTCTAGGTGGACCTCCATCGTCGCGACCGCGGGCGGGGCCTTGTTCGTCTTCGCGAGGACCTCGAAAGTCACGACGCCTATCATCTTCATAGCGGGAAAAATGTCTCGGCTGGTCATCATAATCCCGCGAATTGCGACTGTATCTATCACGCTCACGTCTGTCATCTCCCCCGCCTCTCCGGTGTCCGCCACCACGTTCTCTGTCTCCCCCGTACCGGTCACGGTCGCTGCGGTGATCGCGGTCCCCACGATGGGCGTCACGATCGTCGTGTCTTGAAGAACGATACCTATCGTCACGGTAACCTCCGCGGTCTATAAAGCAAAGGGGAAAAAGGTGAAGCTAGTAAGTAACCTTCGAGGCTGCTGCGTGAAAAGTTCGGCACTGGTGCTCAAAGGGCCTCGCTCGACACTCAGTGAGGATGCTAGCTAGCTGTAAATAAGACATGGTGCAAAAAGAAGAAGAATGCACCATGAGCTCATTGTCTAACGGAAGCAGCAAGAGGGGGCACACAGGGTTGAACAAATTTACCTCTGCCGCCGTCCATGCGGATGGAGGTTGGGGGCGCCATGGCTACCCGACAAGATGAAGAGTTTAGGATAAGAAGAAGTGAAAAAAAATGAATTCACCGTAGTCTTCGCCCATATTGTTGTGGTTAAGAGGAAAAAGTTGAAACTTGTAATTTGGTGAGGTGTTGAGAATGAAAGAGTTTTCGAACTCCGCACTTGCCCTCCCTGCGCTGCGCACTGACTAAGTTATCGACAAGATGCCAACAGAACTACCTTACGCCGCCGATGCTGAAGTATCACTAACATACGACGAACTTGACGTATATCGTCTCCCACCGCCCACTTGAATATTGACTCATATCATCCCAGGTCTTGCGGATACAATACCAGAAAGAACTTTCACAGACCCATGTCACTATCCAAACCAAGTTTAACTATGCTTGGGGACTCGTAAAGAGCCCAGTGCGGGACCATCAGGTCGAGGGGGTTAGAATTTTGCAAGGCGAGTCATTGACGCCCTTCTATGGAATAAACTCTCCTAACAGCGTTTTAAACAGACATCTATCGCGGAGAGCCAACGCGGCGGCGAGAATGTCTATACTATCTGGCGCTCGGTCACTATAAGATGGGCAACTTTGACGAAGCAAAACGATTCAATGGTGCGGATGATGGCTCTGTGCATTGCCTCACGCTGACCGTAGTTTGTAGCGCTCTTGCTGGAGAAAGAACCCAGCAACCTGCAAGCACAATCGCTTGCACAACTTATCGACAAAGGTGTCGCACGAGGTACGTCACATTGATTTCAACAGGCTTCATATGCTAATGGGGTCAAATAGAGGGTTACATCGGCATGGCTCTCGCAGGTGGCGTCGCGGCCATCGGCACGATTGTCCTTGCTGGCCTTATACGGCGAGCAACCCGAAAGTAAATTTTGTTGCACCAGCCATCAACACTGCTCTCATGATACACCTAGTTATGCCTGATACCGACATTAACGCTACTTATATGATCCGTACTTCTCCGTAACGTTACACTTAATTATTCGTAAAGTCAGCAACGAACGATCTTTCCCGTATTCAATACATGTATCCCTATTACCACTGTCACATAAGTAGTTGGCAAATGGAACCCATTTAGATCAAGCAAGTCAAGTCATAAGTAATCGGGGATGTGCAGCGGCCTTCCCCACCCTCCAATGTTACATCAATAATGTATTGTCTATTGTCCAGGAAGATGACAATGCATCATCGTCCCAAACTCCTGTTATGCAGTTTCAGAGTGCATAAAGCTCAGCGAGTTTTTCGGTGCTGGGGGCCTTGTCATGTAGGCAGGAACAGCGCTTGGGAGTAAACATATCATTGGCGTCCCGTCTATCCAGTTATATTGCACCTTACCTGCCTGAGCATCCATCTGCTCGTTTGTTAACTTGAAAGGACGTGAATAAGAATGAAGACGCGAATTGAAGAGACATGTATACCTTGAATGCATAGATGCCCAATATGGCAAAGCCTGCGAGAAAACCGAGCTGAAATAGAATCCAAAATGTTGCCCATACTGCGGAGACAATCTGAGAAATGGAGAACCAGGAAAGCCATAACCTCTTACTATGAGCCCCAATGCTTGGGTAGAGGATAGAGAATTGTGTGGCATCGGAATCATTTGTTTTGTGGAAGAATCGGTCATCAGCAACATCCCCTGATAATAAGTTTTAGCAATGAAATCGCAAGGATGGCGTGCTAGACGTACAAATAACGAAGAGGATGCTGGGAGAAAGGAGGTCAGAAACCAGTAGCGAACACAACAATGAGAGCACAAACTTCATTACGCCAACGAATAGGCAATACCAGCGTAACGCTTGGCTGTATGGATAATATTAGTTCTCTTCATTGAAATCCAACAAGAAAACTGACCCATGGTCAACAAACCAAAAGCCAATCAATAGACCTTCATAAAAAATCGTTAATACTATTGTGCTTGGTGCTGTTCAGAGTGAAATGTCAAGCAAAGAACATAAGGGGTTCTTACAGTTTATCTCGAACCAGTACCAGTGGCAGCACCAAACCAACACCCAAGACAAAACTCAAAATCTTGGCGACCAACGTATCCCATCCTGCAAGAATGAAAGCGCCCCCAAGCAGTGTGGAACCTATGTAGCCTGCTGATAAGGTGAAGCCTGGACTGCCACCTTCGACGATTGTAGCACCGCCAACATGCGGATCAATGGTGATTTTTAATATTCGACCACCAGAAAGTATTGCCTGTCAGCGTGTTTCAGCAACGAGAACATGTAGGGGGACATGGTATGGCCTCACTGCTGCTATGTGACACAGTTCGTGCCATCCGATCCTATGTACAGGGTTGCAGATCGTCATATGCCTTGATGCAACGAAATAACCCACATACGTGAATAGTTTGAGAGGATTGATGCAGTTACGGACAACGGGGACATTCCAAAAGCCAAATATGATGACTGCCATTGCGATTATCTGAGGCAAGTTGAGGGATGAGTGATAATACAAGGCAGCTGAATGACGCACGACATACAACACGACCACCTGGCTCGTGCATAGATTAAGTAAATGCAATTATTTCGTCGCAGTAATTATGCGCTCACCTGGTCGCTTGAAGGTGCCAGAGAACTTGAAGCAGATGTTGATATGGACGGCATTGGGGAAGCGATTGGTGGTCTGGACGGAGTTGCGGCTGCCATGGCTTTTTGAACAAAGCTCCGAGAGGCACCGGCGTGCACGATGGGTGAGAAAGGAAGTAATAGAATGTACTGTGACTTGACTTGAGCTTGACCGTCGCTGTCTCCCTCGTGGCCAACATTAACTGAGGCTATACTCAAGTTTCTCAACTTGGCCGGTCACAGCGCGTTCCAACCACGTGGGCATGGACGCGCTCATCACGTGAGCACCCTTTATTAGTGTTGAATCAACAAGCTCTAAAACTTGGACACGACCACAATCATCTCACTCTGAACTATATCACAATGGTACGTCAATTCTACTGCCAAACTACATCTAACTCAGTCCCATGCAGCCTGGCAAAGGAAAAGCGTATGGCTTCCACGCGTTATACGTAGTTTGGGCGTCTGCTAACTTGACGTGTATTTTCTAGGGGAAAGTCCAAAACTGGCAAAGCCGTCATCGCAAGTCAAGAAGGAGAAAGAAAAAAACCTCAAACCAGTTCCTCCAAAGCCGGCCTACAGTTTCCCGTCGCGCGTATTCGCCGCGCACTGAGGAAAAATAACCCAAAAAAGCGAATTGGTGCAGGAGCAGCTGGTATGTCGCGATATTTTTAAGCAACAGAGCGCGTCGACTTATAGAACAAGTATATCTCGCTGCTGTCCTTGAGTATCTTTGCGCAGAAATACTTGAACTTGCTGGAAATGCTGCCCGCGATCATAAGAAGCGACGTATCATCCCTCGTCATCTTCAACTTGCTATTCGAAACGACGAAGAGTATGTCCATTCTGTTCCATCATGGATTCAGCTAATTCCTTTTCGGGGTTTAGGTTGAGCAAGATGCTGGGGTCGGTGATCATCAGCCAGGGTGGTGTTGGTCAGTTTTCCTGGTTTTGTCGCAACTATTTCATTAATTTGATTGTCAGTGCCCCACATTCTTCCCGAGCTTCTTCCGCAAAGGTCAAAGGCCAAGACTGATACCTCCCAAGAGCTCTAATTCTTGTCTCGACTTTTCGGCCATGTGTAGGAGATTCACTGCTATCAGATATTTACTGTACCATATGCGTTTATTCCTAGTGTAACATAATAACGATATAGTTGTCGAAAAAAACATAAAAGTACAGACGACTGGGTATGTTGGGTTTGTATGTTTCTCACTCTAGTAATCTATCCTTGATAATTAGTCGTTTAACGGAGGAAGAGCATCCCCAGTAACTTTTTCCCCTTGAGCTACTCTCTTAAAAAGATCGTACGCGCGGTCGAGGTCGTCATTGATGATGACGAGATCATGTACGTTGGGCTCCTTTGCAAACTGAATTTCTTTCAAGGCAGTTGCAAGGCGCTTCTGAAGGGACGCGTCTGTCTCCGTCCCACGATTCTGAAGTCTGGCGCGGAGGACAGTCATCGAAGGAGGGGAGATGAACAGGTAGATGGGATTCAGATCTGTTGCTTTTATTTGACGGACGCCCTAAGTAGGTGGTTTGAAGAAAGTGCCGTTGAATCGCATCGTTTACGTACCTGCGCCTCTATGTCTAAAATACAGCGCTTGCCCTGTTGTTCTACCTGACGAACAGTTGCGAAGCTGGTGCCATAGAAATTGCTGGAAAATTCTGCGTACTCAATGAACGCTCCTTCTTGAATCAGATCTTTGAACTTCTGGTGGGTGACGAAGAAGTACTGCTTTCCATGAAGCTCTCCTGGCCGTGGACTGCGAGTGGTGTCTGAATGGGTTGTTAGGAGATGCAATGGGGCTTGAATGTGAGCATACGGGAGACGCTGAACCCAAATTTATCTGGAAATTCAGAAAAGAGACGATTCAGAAGAGTACTCTTCCCAACACCCGATGGCCCAGAGAGAACAAGGGGACGTAGAAAATCAGGACGAGGCGACATTTGAATAAGCGGGATGTAATCAATTCATCAAATAAAAGTCACAAAACACTGTCACAAGCATATCAAAGGTCACAGGTTGTGCTCGTTCTCCCCCCTTGCTCGTTGTCTGCTCCCCAACTTTCCTTCTTGACGCTGCCCCCGACGACGACACCCTTTCCGCCTCTATCTAATATATCTGTATAACACCCCACTCGTTTGCAACCTCTCTCTCGGCCACCCCCCTCTCTTGGACACCTTCTCCGTCTCTGTTACTACCACACCCTCACACCTCTGTCTACGAATCTTTAACGAACTATCATGGGCGCAGTCTGCTGCAGACCTCAGGTCCTCAAAATATTCTTGGCTGCTGCATAGATACTTATGCTTTCTATTCCTAGCCTATCGACTTTGATGGCGAGGTCAATCTCTTTCATTTCGTTCTCCTACGATGTGTAGGCAAAGGTGCTTTCGGAAAGGTGATTCATCTCACAAGTCCCTATGTTCACCTGATTAAATTCTCGCCATCTACCAGGTTCGAGTCGTGCAGCACAAGCAAACCCGCGATCTGTACGCACTCAAGTATATCAACAAGGCCAAGTGCGTCAAGATGAAAGCCGTCCCCAATGTTATACAGGAACGCCGATTACTTGAAGAGGTACCTTCCACGGCCCTTCCTTCCATTTGACATTCTTTTATCCTCACCATAGGTTGATCACCCATTCATTGTGAACTTACGATACGCCTTCCAAGACGACGAAAATTGTTTCTTCGTGCTAGATCTCATGCTTGGTGGTGATCTTCGGTGTACGTTGTTTCACTTTACTTTCATCTCCCTTGGAGCTTACGATACGTATCAAGTTCACCTTGAAAGACTGGGATCAATGCCGGAAGAAACTGTTCGATTTTACCTCGCTCAGCTATCATCGGCCCTGGCTTTCTTACATGAAATGGGTATCATGCATCGGTGAGTCCATGACTCATTCCCTCTTTTTTTTTTTTTTTTTTTTGCAGCTCATTCCATCATTTTCGTTCCTTTCTAGCGACCTCAAGCCTGACAACATTTTGCTTGATGAACAGGGGAACGCTCACTTGACCGATTTCAATATTGCTATTCATTTTAGTGAGCGCCGTTTGACGGGCGTTGCAGGGTCAATGGCATACATGGCACCGGAGTAAATTAAGATTACCCCGAGTTGATTGTTTCCGCTCATGCTTGATCACAGAATTCTCACAAAACGTGGATATACCTGCCATATTGATTGGTGGTCGTTGGGTGTCTGCGCGTACGAACTAATCTTTGGCCGCCGGCCCTTCAGAGGAAGGTCGAATAGCGATCTTACGTACAGCATCACAAAAGATTCACTGAAGTGGCCGGAGGACGCCGACAAGAAATGCAGTAGAAGTGGCATGCAGGTTATCAAAGGAGTGGGTATCTGTCTTTATTAAATTCCGGCTTGTTGGTTTATGTCCCGTTCTGTAATAGTTGTTGGAGCGCGATGTCCCAAAGCGCTTTGGTTGCAAGCCCAACGGAGAAGGATTTCAAGAGCTAAGGCGACATCCCTGGTTTAAGCCCATTGATTGGGATACGCTGGAAACCAAGGAACAAACCCCACCATTTATACCCGACGTGAGTGCCGGCATCTTATCGCTCATGAATGGCGTTCAACATTTTGTACAGAGAAATAAAGCTAATTTTGATGCATCTCACGAACTGGAAGAATTGCTTTTGGAGGATAACCCTTTAAAAGCAAAGGCACGAAAAGCAAATCAGGACAATCTTAGTGCTGAGATGCGTCAAATGGAGGAACAGTAAGTGTTAAATGTCGTGTATAGCTCTGTTGTCCCTTAATCATTGTCCCTCCAGATTTACTTCATATGATTTTAAGAAGATGCAACGGCGATCCTACTATCCTCATAATCAACATCTTATATCTACTGCCACAGCAACTTCGTCGGGGTTGGCGTCATCCAGACCAGGGACTCCAGCGAACGACCTTCGGGTGGACAGTGGAATCGTCGTCAATGGAAACTCCATGGATCTTCCGGGTGGCGAAGAAATTATGAGGGAAAAGGACACCTCGCGGAACGACAATTTGGAGAAAGAATATCCATAACTAGGATGTACGTCAAGTGAACTATTCTATACGAAGCCCTCTTCTCACTTGCGGTGATAGTGACTTTTCTGCTTTCGCCACCAGCGCTGTTGACCCACATACATCTTCCTAATAGTACTGCTGCTCTCATCTTCTCTTTATTTAGGATTATAACTTCTCATATTCGACGCTAGGCACCGGTGTGCATGCACTCTCGAATACGACTCTGCTTCGTTCTTTCACCGTTCCTACCCATGTTGTCTGTTTTTAGGGGCTTGTTCTTCTGGGGGTAGTCTAAGTTTATATCTTAATTGGCCGTAAGGCTTGTACAGAATACCCTGAATACTTATATGTGCGCATTTGTCACGACACGGGACTGTGACATGATATCACTTGACTCTTGATCCTAAAGTTTGACGCCCTTCACCTCGTTGCAACTTGACTTAAACCACCGTTGACTCGAATCACAGTCAGCGAAACTCATCATTTTGGACAAAAAGCGTGTTGTATTGCTCACTCAACCCATGCAACCGCAAGCCGATGTCGCAAGAGCCAACCGACGGGATTCCCTTCTCCTTGTAATCTCAACCCCTTCACCCTTCGCATATCCGTGTCTCACGCATCCTCTTGTAGTTTCTGCTCCCTTCTCCGCGAGATATCACAGGTTCCTCCTCTAAAGTCTTCCGCGCGCAACCAGAAGACGTTCGAGAAAGAACCAAACTATCCTGCTATACAGATCTTTCGCAGATGGTTTAATAAGCTTAACAGCGACTTTTCCCCTTTACCGAAGGGCACAACCGCGGCCTGCTTTAGGCTTTTATTTCCGGAAGAGGATATACGTCGGAAATACGACATGCAAGAAACAAGATTGGCTGAATGCCTCGCACATGTTTTTGGCGTGGACTCGGAGCAGTTTCGAGCCTGGAATGCGGAAGAAGCGTCGGGTTGTCTTGGACAGGAAGTCAAAATTGTGTTGCAACGGTCTTGCCATGTATGTTCTGATCAATTCATTTTTTCTCTGGTAGGGCTCAATTTGGACCTTTCGCAGACAACCGACGGTTTTATTAGTCCACTGACCATTGAGCAAGTCGACGAGCTCTTGGATGAGCTGGCATCAAATTCAGGATACTCCCATTCCTCCATCCACTTGAAGTACCCTCGAGGGCGCCGTCGCTCTCGCCAAGCTATTCTGCGACAATTGTTTTGCCCCTTACCACCCTTCGATGCTTCCTGCCTCACCCAAATTATCCTCAAAGACCTAAGGCCCATTATGTACCCTCTGTCCGAGACTCATTACGCTGCTTCTCTTAGAGATTTTAATAGTGCAGCAGTTAAGATGCTCACAAAGGAACACGCGATGAACGTGTGGGATCCCTCGGGCCTGATGCGCAAATCGTTTCAAGTCAGATCTAGCATCGATATTGCGGCTGGTAATCATGAGCTACCTCATCATCTGAAACGCAAGTTTGAACCCGAATTGGGGATACCTATCCAGGTCACAACGCTCTCTCTCTCCTACAAAGCGTCGCTAACTTTATTTCTAGATACCCAAGTCTGAAAAAGGACGACGCTGCATAGATGCTCTGGCCTACTTCTTTCGATCAAAAAGGGTGTGGGCAGAAACAAAGTATGATGGCGAACGAGCACAAATCCACGTTGTAGTGAATGCAGACGGTTCATCTCGAATAACGATATTTAGCAAGAGCAAGAGAGACTCTACGCATGATCGCCATGCTGTGCATTATATTATCCGCAAAGCCCTCGGTCTCCCTAGTGATTATACGCACTCTAAAATAACGGCCGGAAGTAAAATCAAACACAACGTCATACTCGATGCGGAAATGGTCGCTTTCAATGGGACCCAAGTTGATGGTATTATATTCTTGTCTTATACAGAAAGGCTCGTTGAATTCTTTTCTAGAGTTCTGGAGAATAAGAAGGCTGATCGAGAATACTGCACATGGTATTCGTGGAGTTGGTAAGGGTACAAGGGTAACAGAATACCAAGACGAGCCGTAAGTCCACTTCGACTCTTAGATGATTTTTTTTACAGACTCGCCACAGTATTTCACAAACCTCGATGCTAAGTGATGATTCTGAAGCGCGTCAACTTGGGCTCGTTTTCTTCGACGTGCTGATGTTGGACTCCAAGTCCTTGCTTTCCAAATCCTATTCTGAACGGCGCGACATTCTCGAATCTCTGATTTCTGTAACTCCGGGGGAAGCCAGACTGTCCGAGCGTTTTCCGATCGATATGAATGGCTCACATCCTCCTGCTCGTCTTCGCACCATTTTCGCCCGGCACATTGCCACCCATCAGGAGGGCTTGGTTCTCAAGTGCGATGAATCAAGATATAACGATTACCGCCTACCCTGGGTGAAGTTGAAAAGAGATTATATCCCCGGCTATGGCGACGCGTTAGACTTGGTTATACTCGGCGCTAGCTGGGATAAAAAGCGGGCTTACGAGTTGCGCGGTGGGCGGACATTTCTCGTTTGATAGTATGCCTTGGATTGACACGTTGTTAGTTTCGCCAACAGTACTCACTACTTTTTACGTGGGGACGGTTCAGAATGCTCGTGATCGCCGATTAAATGTCAGTTGTTGTTCGTGATGAACGTCTTTCTGACAGTACGACAGCCTTCCATCCGCCCGCATTTTCTCGTCTACTTTACAGTGTCGTATGGCCTAAGCCGTGCTCATCTCGAAGATTTAAATTTCCTCATCAGAAGCTTGGACCCGATATCCTTCTCACCGTCTATGGTACCCTGCCCCTCTGTCGCTCCCTGTCAGTTGCACTTAACCAATAAACACTATAGGATACCAAAAAACTTGCATTCACATTCACTCTCTTTCCTGGCCTGCAACCACCTCCATCTGTGATCTTCCCAACACCTCTCCTTGCCGAATTGTTTGGTGCTGGCTTCACAAAAAGCCCTGCTAGTCCCGTACGCTGGTTTCATACCTTGATATCTCTAACCTGACGCGTGACGCTACAGCATTACGAACTTCGATTTCCACGAATAACCAAAGTCCATCGGCCCAGTGAACGCGGCTGGGATGAATGTGTTGATTTGGAGACACTACACAAGATTGCCTGTGAGTCCGTCGGTAGAGATGGGACCGACAAGGAAATCCGAGATTGCGTCAATGCAATATGGGGGCAACCAGCTTCGCCCGGGGTAAAATCTTCTTCAACACTGCAGGCTCGGATAGACGAGTGGGAGGTAAAGCTGGCAATTTTGGATGGGGAGGAACCATCGGTGTCATACATTCCCGATTCTCCCACAAAGCCCGCGAAAAGGAGACGGACAAGCCCGGACTCGCTGGATGACGTTCTCAGTCAACCTTTGGGTGTCAAAACCAACGTGGTTGGCATTACGGAAGGGAAACATGCGTTGGATCCACCCAAATCTTCGTCTCAGATATCGCAGAATAGACGATACCTGCCAAGTCCTTTCAGCTCGCCTTGCAGGCCTGCTTCCAGAAATGCATTTCCATCAAGAGCCGGTGTGACATTTCCGATTAGGACGTCACTTGCGAAGAAACCGTCGTGCATGGAGGAACTATTGGACCAAGTGCTTGTGTGGTTTGTAGGTCGCAGGGGTCGCTGTCCTTCCTGTTCTTCATGGAAGAAAATGATCCCAAAGGGGCGACGAATACACTCCTTTGAATCTCTCCTTGCTGCGTGTGGCTGGAAGGACGGTGTACCTGGCGTACCCTGGATTCAGAGGGGCATCATCATCGTGGATGGTCACGATGAGAACGGAAAGGACGGGGTCCAAAAACAATTGGAACTCTGCCACAAGAGTATGACGAGCTCGCAAAGGGAGGACCGGAAAGGGGTTTGGATGTTCAAATGCGGGGCCATGAGGGATGCGATCTGTCTAATGGAATAAAAACATTTATCCTACACGTATTGTAGAGTACTATATAATCGGACTGAAGAACAATGTACTTGCATCGGAGAGTTGAAAACTTGCACAAGTATTTAAATAAATAAGCCTTAACTCAACGTCATGCTGCCCAGGACAGCACGTTTGACAGTGCTCAAGGCCATTTGCAGACCACACCCTCGTTCCCATGCGAGGTCTTTTGCATCCTCGAGGCCTTGTGCGGACCGTGCGGTGATCTATTCCGAGAACGGCGACCCCAGTAAAGTCTTGAGCGTCCTTACGTTCCCTGACTTGCCTCCTCCTGGATCAGACTCCGTGACCATCAAGTTTCTGCTTTCACCAATTAACCCTGCGGACATCAATGTGATAGAGGGCGTTTACCCCTCAAAGCCGATTAAAACTGGGGCTTTAGCCTCGTCAGGCAAAGGCAGCGAGGAAGAGCCTGTCTTCGTCGGTGGTAACGAGGGGCTCGCTCAAGTCACCGCTGTGGGCAGTTCTGTGAGCTCGCCGAAAATAAACGACTGGGTTGTCGTGACGAAGCAACAACATGGGACGTGGTCTACACGTAAAAACGTAGCTGTGACGGATGTTGCTCTCGTCCCAGATGCCCATAAGCTTGATGAAGCCCAGGCTGCTACCATAACCGCAAGTGTCCTGATTCCAATTTGTCTCTATCTGACTGTACGCAGGTTAACCCTCCAACGGCATATAATATGCTGAACGACTTTGTTCGCCTTGAAAAAGGGGACTGGGTGGTACAGAATGGGGCAAATAGTGCTGTAAGAAAAATCGGCACAGTCTTCTGGCTCGGAAGGATCTGACCGACCCCACAGGTTGGGCAAGCTGTCATTCAAATTGCGGCCGCTCGGGGACTCAAGACTATCAATCTTATCCGCAACAGGTTGGTCTTGACGGCGATGCTCGGGCTAGAGTGTTACTAATGGCTGCGACTAAAGGGAGAATGTTGAACTGCTGAAATTTCAACTAGGACAGCTTGGCGCGACTCATGTCTTGACCTATGACGATCTGTCGGACAAGTCCACCCGAGGAAAAATTAAAGAATGGACCGGGGGAAAGGTTCCTTGAAATTTTCGTCTGACCATTAGCATGCTAAACGAGGTCGAACAGGATATTACTTTAGGATTGAATTGCGTTGGTAGGTTTTTCAAGGGAGTTTTACGAGTCATCTTGATTGCAGGACCCATCCAGGCGGCAAGGAGACGACACTGATGTCGCGGCTTTTGGGTCAGGATGCGCACCTCGTTTCGTACGGTGCGATGTCAAAGCAGCCGCTTTCTCTGCCAACCTCACTGTTCATATTTAAAAATTTGACTTGTCACGGCTTTTGGCAAAGTCGATGGTACAAGGACAAAACATCCCAAGAACGGGATAAGTTGATGCGAACACTTGTGAACATGTTGGCGGATGGACAGGTACGTTGTTGCTCAGGATGATTGGGAGTCCCCAGTTCACCATGAACAGCTTAAGAGTCCAGAACATGAAATTCTTACCATCAAGGCGCAGGAGTCTGATATCGAGGCGAGCGAAAGGTTGCGGGCCTTGATGACCAAGATGGCAGAGGGAAAGTATGGTAAGAAAGTGATGTTGAAGCTAGAGAGCGCTTAAGGTAGCTTTCGCCTTTCATAAATGTATCATGTTAGATAGAATGGTACAGGTATCACGGTGGAGACTATCTCATTTTCCTGTCCTCAAAGAAGCGCTTATCGCAAATTGAAATTAGCAACCGTAGAACTTGTATTAGATTAAGCCCACCTTTAAATGTCGCAATTGCCAAGCACATGTCGCGACCAACACAATAATCTGCGCTATGCTGTACCAGACAGCTTTCGAGTTTGTAGCTTCACTCAAATCCCTGTAATCTGACTCGCGCTCTCTCTGGTATTGCTGCTCCCTCCGGATATCTTCAAGCTTCTGGTTCAAGTCGCGCACTTTGGAGGCCAGTTCTGAAATATGTGATCGGTCGTGTTCAACGTCCGGTTTTGTGGAACCAATGACGATGTCGAGATAGAGGCGGATGTGTGTGTGGCTGAACCATGACGTGTAGTTTGTGGAGAGACAGATGGAGTGGTCTGCTGCTTCGTGAGAGGTGAAGGTGAATTTACCATCCAGTGGGCCGGTTGTCTTTACAACGACGTCGCCCGAAGGTTCTTCCTGCATGGAAGGTGGTAAGCTTGAACTAGTTGATTGTGGAGGTGACAAGACGCACCTGGACTTCGACGATGATGCCTAGTTCAAAGTTCTCCATGTATTTTTGCTCATTTTCTGACCATTCGAGGGCACGGTAGTGACCTATAGGCGCGACATTAATGGGGAAGGAAAGAGTGACGGTATGACTGACCTTCGACGACGGTATCAGTGGGCAACTCTTCAACGAAACAGCGTTTCTGGTTTGCGTCCAGATAGAAATGAAGGGCATGGATGGACGTGATGAATGAGAGAAACAGCGACCAGAGCAAAAGTCGCATTTTTGAAGATGATGAGCACGTTCCACCGACGTATAAAGTAGTGTTTGGTTCCAAAGCTATACATAAACAAATATTTATCCAAAAAAGCTATTCGTCCTGTTGGCTGGGACTGCTCCACTTCCCAATGCACTGAGAAAGAGATCGCGACAACACCTCGCCCTTTCTCGACGTTGAACAAACCAACTCCCTGCATCGCATGGAACTGCCAAAGGAACTGCCAGGACACCATTGCTCTGAGCAACCCTGACCACCCTCACGAGCTCATCCACCTCTGCCTCAGAGTCGAGCTCATCCAAATCCTCTGGAACTTCAACGCCCATCTCCGTCGCCAATCGTGCTGCAGCGGCTGCAGCCTTTTTCCCAACCTTTTTCGATGAGGACACTCCCGACTTCTTTAGCACAGCGGCGCCAAGTGGATCTAATCCAAGGGCGATGGCAGCCTGTCCAGCTAATCGCTTCTTCTCCAACCTTTCCTTCTCTCGCTTTTCTTTCTTCTCAGCTTTGGATTCTCGTTTTACGGGTTCGACAAAGTTGGGTTTGTTTGCCCGTTGCCAGTCGAGAAGCAGTTCGTCAAAGTTGCGGGAACGACCCTGGACGGAACGCTTTGCGCCCATGGCATGGGATTTGCATGTGAGAGAGCGAGAGCATGGTAGACCTTTGTCGTTGATAACACCGCATTGCCTGTCGTAATCGACTGGCCCTTTCAAGCGACCTTTCGTAACCTTTGTTGTGGGTTTAGTCTTCTTTTTGGCAGGAAGGGAGGGATCGTCAGGTTCGGTGGAAGCTTTGCGTTTCTTTGATCCTTTCTTCGGATCTGCCAGGTTGAGGAAGCAGATTCTGCGTAGGAAGACTAGCGAACCTTACCCTCCATCTCAAGCTTTGCTTTCGCACCTTTCTTCCCACCGGAGCGAATAGTGGCACATTTCTCTTGAAGCGTGTTTTTAGATGAATGGCGCAAGTGTAAGCAAAGATAAATACCGGCGTGATCAGACATGGAACTCCTCAAGATTGGCTTGTCGCAATCCTTACACCGCGAGATGCCAAAGACTGATGCAGAGTTGAGGGGTTGAGCGCCAAAGACCTTCATGTCGCGTGCAGAGAGCCATGATGTTGGTGGCGATGGCAAAGTGGGTATTTCTTTTGGACTCAATAGCGGAGACGAGGCTGCCCAAGAGAAGGGCGGAGGAGTTGGTTGGTTGGCTGGCTTGAGTTTAAGCGTCATTAGTGAACAGAGTTGAGATTGTGACAATTGCAAGGTAACTGTGTTACATGTGACATGATGCATCTGATCGAAAGTTATGATCATGAAATATGAAATTGGATACAACTCCAGCTGCAACACGGACAGCTTTACAGCCCTTTGCATGTAACACTGCATCGTAGACAATTGCTCTGGTTTGGTCTAGGACTTGTCTAGGACTATTGCAGAGTTACTGCCGTGTCCAAGTGTTGGCAGGGGAAACGTGCCGGAAACTAAAAGCAGCCAGTATTCCGAGGCCCTGGTGGGAGCACGGGTCAACGTTTCCTGGGCTCGCTTAAGGCATTTGGTAGAGAAATCGTGCTTACCCCTCTTTTCTAAACTACCTTCACACACCTCATCACACACCGATGCCCGGCATCAATGCGATCCCCCAATCTGCAACTTCGAATGGAAGTTCAAACGTTGGTCTTCCACACAGTCTACTTTTCTTTTCTAAAAATTCACTTGTTCCCAGCTCTCTCCCTCTACTATTCGCCGCTCTGATCCCATTCCTATCTCCAATACCCACCACTCTGCAAGGCAACCAGCTGCTTCTTTGACTGGAGGTCGTGTACCCCGAAACCAGCGTTCTTTCTCGCGTACTCCTCGCCAACACGCCACTGGAACCACCCCTACCACTCCTACCACTCCCGCCCAATCCATTGTAAGAACACGAGCCATGAGCATCGGAAGCAGAAAGGCTCCGCTGCCAATCGATTTTATTATTGTTGGTGCAGGTCAGCATCACTCGCCATTTCATTTCTTACGCGCCATTTCATCGACTTAGGTATTGCCGGGCTTGCCACCGCATTCGCACTTGCCCAGAGCGGCCACCGCGTGCGTATCTTTGAGAAGCGTAGTGGTATAAATCAGGTGCGTAATATCCAAAAACCTAACACATCAATTCAAATCTTTTGATAGCGTGCGGTTGGTGTGCGAGTCCCGCCAAATCTCTGTAAAATTCTCTATGAATGGGGCCTGCAGGAGGAACTCGCCACTGCAACACGATGCCGCAAATCCGCTTTCCATTCCAGTAAGTCCTTGTTATCTTGTGCCCTCTTTTCGCGGCTCTGTGCCTGTGTGCCTATGTTTGCCACAGTCCCCCGATCATTCGCGTTTTGCATCCTTCCAGATTTTTTTTATCCATCAGCTGGAACTATTTCCAGCCCTTGCCTTCTGATGGTTCCGTCATTGAGCGCGCGGCATCATTTCTCTTGTCTGATTCCACTTTTCGCAACATTCTGGGATGATCTCTCTTTTTGGATCTCTGCTGTTATGTGACGCTGCTGACGATGGTCTCCAGTCGAGACCGGTAAGGTCATGGGTTATCTCGAGTGGCAAGAGGACGTTATCCAAGAAACGGGAGGCGAATTTCTCTTGATGCATGTACGTAACTCATCAACCTCTTTATTCCGTCAATTTATCCGACCGTCCGTAGTATGAAGATCTCTACAAGCTGCTGTATAGACTAGCCCTATCACAGGGGGTGGCGGTCCACTTCAACTCCCACATCACCTCTGTTTCTTTTGACGACGAGAAGGAATTACCTTCGATAACGTTGGCAGATGGCTCCGTTCAATATGCTGATTTGCTTGTTGGAGCGGATGGTTATCATAGTGTCGTGCGGGAGGCTGTCACTGGCGAGCCTGATCGGGGCACCGACAGTGGAAATACTTTTTTTTCGTACGTGCAACCAAAACTGTCTTTTTCTTCCCGCCGTTGACTCTTTTTCCCCGATAGAATTGTTATCCCTGCAGAAAAGATGAAAGCTGACCCTGATTGGGGTAAATGGTTAGAAGCATCCGAGGTTTGCCCCATTCTTCGTTTCACCCGTTCCCCTCTGACAATGTGCTCAAGTGGCCAATGTGGATGGGGGATAATAGGGTCATTCTCGGTAAGTCCCCTGATTTTCTCCGCCTTGATGCGATGTTGATATCTTTTCAGCATATCCTGTTGTAAGCGCTCCCCCAGGTGAAGAAGATGGGAAAACTTAGTCATTTTATAGCGGCAAAATACGGCCTATTGCGTTCATGCCTACTGGCCTGAAACGTGTATTCGTGGCGGTCCGGATGATAACGAAAGCTGGGATCGAGTTGCTCCCACGAACGCCATAGATTTTGGCACCGCCCATACAAGGCAAGTGTAGACGTCTATACGAGACTCATTTACTTACCTTGTGTTGATTATAGCATCAAGCGCCTGTTTAACATGGTCCCCGATGCATTGCGAACAAAGTATATTGTAAGGGAAATAGTCGAAGATTGGGTGGATGAGACTGGGTCTATGGTCCTGATTGGAGAAGCGGCACATTCGCTCATGGTATGTCCAAACGGGTTTCATCTTCACACTGGTTTACATAATTTTTGCAGCCCTGTACGATCCACAATCTCAGCCTCGCTGTCGAAGATGCAGCCGTGTTTGGTGTTTTGATGTCTCATCTGCGGTCACGGAATCAGATCCCCCAACTTTTGGAGGCATTCCAAGATCTGCGGTATTCAAGAGTCCAACAGGTACAACAATCAGAACTGAACAACGCAACGCTCGTGTGCCTACCTCCTGGCGAGTTCCGGGACATGCGAGACGCGGGAATGGCTCTATCGTTGAATCCATCCACCGAACCATGGGACGATGCGAGGCTACGAGAACAATGGGACGAAATCGGCGGGGTTTTTGGATACAATGCACGGGAGGCAGCTGAAGACTGGTGGATCAAGTGGGGATCCCTCGGAGATGGCACAAGAGGTCATGCTGCACATGAATCCTTTAACCTGGTCTTCGAAGTCACCGAAGTCGCTGTTTCGGAGGATTAAAAAAGGTGGTATGTCACACACATTATGATAACCTCTAGGATCATGTTTATACTTTTTTTATGAAAGCACAAGTAGATGTATATACCCAAACGGATGTCTGTATTGCAACTGCTACATGTAATACTCTGGTTTCCGACAGTTGATACCATATTCAGCGAGGGCAGAACTTAGATCATCCATCGTTAACGTTGTCCGTGTCTTGTCCTATAGAAAAGATGAGATAAAACTTAGGAAGGGGGAATGAAGAACAAACCTTGGCAGAACCAGGCCCACTGAAGGGCTGGTTGACGCGTACTCGTCCTCCAGCAGCATTCGTCCTGATGCGAGCGTGCTGGTAAGCGTCCGAGGCGATGTCCGAAACAAACTTTTGAGCCGCAAGGGAGAGAAGTCGTTTCCTACAGCGTGAATGGTGAGTAAGACGTGACAAAGGAGTGGCATTTGCCGCACAGTCGAACGTCTTCACACTCGAATCCAACGCGCTGCAAATAATAGTCGGTAACTTCGTTGGGAATCTGAGAGAATAGGGTTAATTGAATACGCGATAAACGTGAGTACGAGCCCACAAGAGGTTCATAGTCATCAAGCATCAACATGAACTCTGCGAGTGTGCGGTCCTTGCGTGCATCTTCTGCTGCTTGCCGCGACTGAGTTTGAGGTGCAGAGGATGAGGACGAGGCTGTTGCGGTCTGCTGCGTATCTGGAGACGGGGCGTAGACGGGATACGCAAAAGCAGGCGTTTGTTGCGACATTGAACAGTGAAGGAGATAAGAACTGCCAAATGATGCGTCGGAGTTTGCGGAGATTGAAATGGTATATATAGGGAGCAAAATATTTGTCGCCTTCTCAACAGTCGACACTTGTTGGTGAGTCTCTTTTCTTCGTTGTTATCGTCGTCGTTTTCGTCGTTCTATGATGTTTGAGGCATTTGGCTTTACGCAGGAGCGCACCCTGCACTGCAGAAAATTATCTCAGCTACCTTCGGCAGGGCTACTTTGGTAGTACTTGTCCGCTTTTTCTGAACTTTTCTCTCTTTGCGGTTCTTCTGTGAAAAAACCTTACTGATCCGTCCCTTTGCAGGAACTGTCTCCGTGTTGTCTGTAGATGATTTTTGTAACTTTTTTTATGTAATAATATCATTTTGCTTGTCCAATTCAGTCCGCGCCGACACGATTTGATGGAAGGGTCGGTACAACACAGTGAACAAAACGATTCCAACCTTGTTCCAAGCTCCTCTTGTGCCAGCATCACCTTTTTGCACCTTCTTGCTTGTCCCAGGATCCACCTCCATTATAGCGCACAACTGCCGCCTGTTCGCAGCCGCTGATGATGAGTGCTCAAGGTAAGAAGAATGCTGGTGGCATCACTGATACCTCCGCTGCTCGGAAGCTTGGGCTTTCTTGTGCAGAATGCCGCAGGTCAGATCTTCTCTCTTCCTCAACCCCACAAGGAGCTAAGAAGGTTGCTTTCCAGGTCGAAGCTGAAGTGTGATCGGTAGGACATGAATCAATACGGTTAGAGTGTTGCATTTACCAACCTTATCGCAGAGTTTTTCCTTGCCAGTCATGCCAAAGGTCCGTTGCATGCTTTCAGCTACTTGAACACCTGCTGAACTACTTCAAGGCGTGGATGTGCCAACATATGTCCGGACGGTTCGTCCGACCGTTTGCCGCCGATTCATCCATATTCAAAATTTTCCCCTCTTCCTCAGGAACATTGGCAGCTACCAAAGGCAACAAGTGAGGGTCTCTGGTATCTCTCTGTGTATTGATCGAGCAAGCCCACTCCATCAGAGTCCTTATGGCGCACGCACAACGGCTATCTGAAACAAACAAAACTTTGACATCACGAATCCACGAATTGGAATCAGCATTGGCTCAGGCTCATGCCAAAGACGATGAAACCCATCCTTTGCTGCAATCAAACCTGAACCTGAATCCTGACGGTGATCATGACAATAATCTTCAGCACGTCTCCGAAGCTATTGGATCGCTCTCTATCGGTCTCGATGGCCAGTCGAAATATCACGGGGAGTCCGCAGGGTCCGAGGTAAGTTAGATGTTACAATTGCTTCAATTTTGACAAGAGATCTCACTCTGTGTGGTCCAGTACTTTCAAGACCTCCTCCCGGTGACGTCAACTGATCTTGAACTAAAACGATCTACATTCATTCAATTTCTTCCACAGTCATCACAGCGAGAATGGCCCTCCAACTCTCAACAGTTTGACCTTCCCAGGGAAATCCTTGATCTTATGAATGCGTTTCCCTTTGGCCTCAAAGACTGTCCGCATAGCAAAAACGTCTTCATACAGTATATTCCGGCGAGAGACAGAGCTCAAGAGTTAGCTTCCCTGTATTATACCAATATTGCGTGGATGTAGGTTTTCAGTCCCCATAGACGACCAATTCTGACACTGTCTCAAGGTACGATCCCATCATAGAGCAGGATTTTACGACTACCATCCTTGACTCGATTTACGGCACTACCGGTTTTCCGAGCCTGGATACGTTACACTCCCACCGGCTTTCAGTATTCTTTATCCTCCTCGCCAATGGCATGGTCTTTGATTCTCATCCCTCTTCTCCAAATCTGGGGAGGCAGTTTCATGCACTCGCTCGTGCTGCCCTCTCACTGGACTCCATTCTCCTTGAAGCAACCTGTGCAACGGTCCAAGCTTTGTTCCTGATGTTCCGGTTCATTTATAATGCGGACCGGTCTTGCAACGAAGAGCGGTGGTTGCTGACAGGCCTGAGCGCCAGACTCTCCCAAACTGTAAGTCTCATATAATGGCCTCAGGACTGTCCTCATTTTCCTCTGATGTCCGTTAGATTGGACTTCGTAAGTGCCGATCCACCAGATTATAAATACCCTTCCTGAGGTTACAAGAACGCGACAGCGCCAACTGGAACCTGCCCGCTGACGAGGTACAGCGACGTCGCAGAGTATGTCACGTCTCCTCATTGTTGAATCCATCAATGATTTTTCAATGAATAGCTTTTCTGGGACCTGTTCACGTGGGACTCCTGGTCGGCAAGTTTTCTCCTTGTCGCTTGGTCAATTATCTGCCTAACTTCATCAACATAGGGCGTGGTTAATGGACGTCCGGCTGCTCTTATGATTCAGCATACTGATTGCCAGTTTCCGGATGATCTTGACCCGTCAATCAAACCAACTGGAGAGGTGGACTTTGGATGTATTTTCTTCCGTCCTTCTATTGCTTCCTGCCGGGCACTAACCATTTCCCATTCAGGGCATGCCTGGAAAGTTCGATACGCCTCAACGTGCCTAACTGCTTCAGCACATCATGTTTTCAGTCCTCGAACACCCCCTTACACAGCTCTTCTTGAACTCGATAAGAAGATTCGAAAATTTGCGATGCCCAGTCACTTGCGCTCTCCAACTCGGAATTCCGAAACTGGTCGATCGTGGTCGACTGACCCTTCACGGGCAATGCAGCAGTATTGTGCGTTGTGTCTGAGGGAATCAAGTTCGTTCTTTTATTCACCTCTCACAACACTCACGCGTGACTTGATGATGTAGACCTCCTCTATATACACAGGAGTTATTTCGTTCAAGCCATTCGTCAAGATCCAGACAACCCGCTGCGACACAAGTATGCTCCCTCGGTGTTGGCAACTTATCGAAGCGCCTGTCGGCTCATATCAAGCCTCAAAGGCCTATATTCCATTCATCCTCGCATATCAAGCTACTGTTGGTACTTTTGGTCCGGGATATTTTCCGCTTGTGTATGGAAGCTTTTCCCTCGACTTGTTGCCGGTCGTTTATATACGTCTTAGATCGTTCTCGGGGCCCTTGTCGTAGAAAGTCCAGGGTGTACACTCGCGGGAGACGCTTTGCGTGAACTAGAGGCAACAGTTTCTTTCTACGAAGAAGGCTCTCGTCCATGTCGGGCGCCCGCAACTATGGTAAGTTGCCATTCCCTGCGAATTTTCGATTATTTACATCGATTCTTAGGATATCCTCGAGAACCTTCGTCAACGAGCTTCTACCGCTTACAAAGGGGGCGCGGAGAAGTTTCCCCAGAAGGCCCCTACGGAAGTGGATGAATTAGAAGTTCTTGGTGGCAGAAAAAGTGTCATCACCCCTAAATCATGCAATAACTCTCCATCCAACCCACCACCAGGCTCTCCCGATTCTCTTCATCTCCCAGTTGACGAAGGGAATAGCCCTGCCAGTCAAGCAGGCGCTGCCGAAATGTTGATGGATTACTATGAGGAGCTTGGGCAACCCCCTTTCGATATTCACAAAGGTCAAGATTACGACATGGACCGAGGACCTTTGACATACACTTCGTCCTCGTACGGCCCCCATCCAAAACCTCGTGATCCTTCCGCTTTACCATCGTCACCTCAATCTTATCTCGGCCACTACATCCCCATGCATGATTCAAGTCAATATCCATCCACGAGTCGCCAGCTGCAAAGCCAGTCTGAGACAAAACCGACTCATGCATGGCACGCGTCGTACGCTGCGGCGCACCATACACATCCATCTCATGCATCAATACCTATGACTTTTGGAAATTTAGATGCCCATGGACATCAACATCATCCTCCATATCGCTACGTGTCTGGTCCGGAATCCAACCAGGAAGACATTTGGAGGAATTTCATGATGGAATTTCAAGGTGCAACTACAGGCTGAAATGATCAATGTATTTATTTAATTTCCAACTGCTTTTTGGGATATACGTATGTAAAGTAGTGTACTTTTTGTGTTTTCAAATATAACGATAAGACAATGAAATCGAGTATTGAGATGTAAGATGCGGTTCACACCAGTCGCTAGTCTTCATACTTCTTTGTTACTTTTCCTACTTTTCTCGACGTGCTCGTAATCAAACTAACTATCTAGGTAACATCCATCTTGATCAAACCCTCCTCACTTTCAATAGTCGATGGCGCGGCGTCCGCCAATTCCATCGCCGAGAGAAGAGCATCAACGTTGGGGGACACAACGAATTGTTTATTGACTTCACCGAGCACATTGAGCCTCTTTTCGTTCATGTTTAGAAAGACAGCCTGTTGGAGGAAGGAGGGCTGGGTGGCCGAGTTGACCTGGAACGAATATTAGGAGGTACGCTGAAACAATGAAAAATAGCAGTACGTCAAGGAGAATGCCGTTGTCTAAACGGATCTTCACAGCTCCGCTTCGATAAACCTCAAGCTGCCCAATGACTCCGTCCAGAGCTTCTGGTTTGGCCGGATCGGAAGCAACCACTGAGGGAGTTAATCTTGATGAGCTAGGAGTAGGACTGGGGGGCTTGACGTCTATAGCAAATGTGACGCTCTTCGCCGCGGCAGCATCTGGCATTTCCACGTCGACCGAAATTGGAGAAGGATCCACCAAGCCCGGCAAGTACGTTGGGAAGGGAGATGGGAACCGGAAGAAATATAATCGCTCTTCTCGTAACGCGGAGTCCTGGAAGCAGTCAGTTGGAAGGCACGACCTCACGAACCAATGGTTAGCCATACCGCGTCAGAGCTGATTTGAGCAGCAAAGTCCTCTATTATATCTTCTAGTTCTTCCTCCTGCTCACTATCACTGAGATCAATTGCGTTAGCAAGATTGACATCACCGGTGCCTAAGAAAAGGGAAAGTCAGCTTTGGCAAGGCAGAACCCTTTCAACTGCAAACCAAGTTCCTGTGATTGTTCCTCCTTTTTAACCTTTTTTAACCGTTGTTCTTTCCGTAAACTTTCTGGTGCCATAAAATCCATATAGCGGACATTTTCCATATCAACAATCTCGACACCCTCGTCAGGGTCGGAGTAAACTTCCTCATCATCGTCAACCTTGACAGATTTCCCCTTCCCCTTGGCGGAATCAGTTGAATCCTTCTTCAGCGAGGGTGGGGCAGTTTGAGAAAGGCTCGCTCCTATCGAGACAGACGCTCCGGGTGCAACAGTTGGAGTAAAACTTGAGCGAGGGGTAGATCTTCGAGAATTATTGCCAACAAGTGCTGGGCCCATGGCGAAAGGGCCGCTCGCAGTCATTTCTATTACAGGTGGGGCCCCCCTACCCCTCCCTCTACCTCTAGCATCTCCGCGTCCTCTTCCACGTCCACGCCCTCTGTCTGTGGAGGTCGATGGAGGGGGGATTGCTGGAGTTGTGGGTTCCTATAGTCACGTAAAGGGTGAAATCCTGACACAGGTTCCAAAAGGGTACGACACAAACCCCCTTAATTTCACTGATCAAGCAGACATTATTCGTGAGTCTACGGGTTGAGGGGCGCAACTTACATACCCTTTTTTGCGTCTTTGTGGCAGAGTCGGGACAAACTTGAGTTTTTGGGCGCCTTGCCTCGTTACATCGCTTTGCTTTTTCACAAGACTGCCGATGGCTTTTGACGACCCTGGGGTATCTAAGGGGGAAAAAAAATTAAAGGCAGAAAATAAGCAACCAATGTGTTCTCACCAGACATGATGAAAGTAATCGACAAAACAAATCTATAAAGTTATGTAAGCTGCGAAATCTCAGCTTTCCACCATAATCATGGTCGACCAAGTCAAGCACTGGCATGTTACCTACAATGATATTCACAACCTCATCCGACAAGCCACTCCTAAGATTGCCGCCGAATTTAATCCTGATCTTCTGATAGCTATTGGCGAGTATCCCTCAAACTTGAATCATCCATTAATCAACCCTTTCTTCAGGTGGAGGGTCAGTCATTACCCGATCTCATTATCGTCTATGATGTAAAATGCCAATAATACAGAGGCTTTTTTCCTGCGCGCGTAATGGTGAGCTTATACCCTTGCTCGCCAAACTCATCCATCATGCCAAATTCTCCGTCGATCGAAAGCGCACTTTCCTACGGGAAGAAACGGGAAATAAGACTCTCCAAATTCAAGCGATTGGCTTATCTCTATATGAGCCTCTCGAGGGCACCAAGGCAGAGCAATTAGGTCAGGAAGTCATCCGGACACAATGGCTGTATGTATGGAATTGCGTCTGCATGTCACATTCTTAGTCGTCCCCATCAGGGGCCCGGACTCTGGAAAGCTCCTTTTAGGAAAAAGAAATCTCATTGTCGTAAGTTGGAACTACCTCCAAGTTTGCTACAACACCAAGTATCTTTCAGGACGAGGTTGATGATACACGTAAAACTTTGCAGTGCGATTTTCTATGGATTCCTCGACTATGCAACTCACGTTTTCCCTCTCAGCTACGCCGTATCAGAACTTTGGAAAGATGTTGAGAAAGAACTCTTGTCATTCCCAGAGCCTGACCGTGACAGGTTGCGCGCTGCCACGAAGTTTGGCATATTTGTGGTTCATAATAAGACAAAGACAAAGCTGGCAGAACTTGTTGGTGACACGCCGTCAGTGACGTTTTCAACGTTCGATGCGGTTTCTGAGAGCTTTCTAGATATTTCGTGGGAGCCGAAGTTGGGGATGTTTGGTCGGTTGCTCTCCTTTTTAGTGCCCGTCTGTTTGATCATTTTCAACGCAGGTTGAATTATCCCTGGGAGGCTATGTAAGCTGTAGGACGGTTCCCATTTTGACTATGAAATTGACCAATCGACAGCGACATTGAAAACCATGATCGTCTTGCGTTACTTGACACAAATCAGACCAAGTAAATATTGACACCTGGTCGGATGGGTACGAAATTCTTTCTATAGAGTCCTCTTTAATGACACTATCGCATAGGTTACTTAAGTTGAATTACATACAATTTAACTTTTTCCCACCTACGTCTTGGACCCACACATAAAGGCTATCGTGCCATGTCTGGAACCAAATTTAAAAAGAATCAAAAATTCAAAAATTCAATCCATGGTGGACCACTACTCTCTGTTCTATACAGCCATTTAGTCTAGTGGAATTTACCCTTATTTTTTTTCCATTTTGCCTGATGTGCTGAGTTCAATTCCTCCGTAAGGTATTTTTTTGCCCTTCCTCTTCCTGATAGCTAATCCAGTCAGCTCTCCCTCTTCTTAAAACATTCATGCAAGGCATTGGTTATCTTTATTTACATTTTGTTGAATGATGGGCAGAGAGGAGTACCTGCTCAAGCACAATCAGCCATTCTAGAAAGACATTTGTGAAAATTATCATCTGTCTTTCCTTTCTTTCATGAATATATTGACATTTAACATCCTCCTCCACTCCATAAATTGATTGTTAATTTTCCTGTCATGTGCAAGAGTGTCTGGTGCATTTAAGGTACATTTTATTTGAAACTTCCATACCTGCTTTTGCATGTGGTAAAAGAAATTCCATGCAACTACCGAGATACAAAATTTTAGCCCATATTATGTAGCCATGGATATATTAGCTATTGAAGGATGGACATCTAATTGCAGCTACAGATGCTGCTTTACTATTTGCCTTTCTGCTCTTTTGATGCTAATTCTGCATCTTGTCATTGCAGAAACACAGCAATGACTCAAGAGCTTCTGAAACTTGTATACATTGACATTAATTTTTTTCCAATGGATTCCTCTCACAATTACATTGTCAGTCTTTTCTTTCTTACAATTATGCCTATTTTTGTAGAATAAATTTCAGACTGCTCATGGGTGCTATAGAAGTTGTTTATTATAAGATTTTGAAGCTTAGAGAAGGAATCATCTTTGAAATAGTCAGGTTTTGATTTTTTGGCAACCAAGTGGCATTACAGATTTCAAAAGGGTGACTGATATCATTTTCTCAATTTGAGCACCTTTTGATGGGGATTCATAACAATTTTTTTGTTTATTATGACTGTCATTGTAATGTTCTATTTTTTGGTTCAGTTTTTCACTTTAAGTGAAGACATTTGGATGTGGCAATGAGGAGAATGAATTTTTGAGTAGAGGATGTAAGCCGTGTGAACAAATAGCCAAATCCGTCAGCAATAGCCGGATTTGTACTAAATTCTAAAGTGGAAGGAGGCTGTGTGAACAATTACCACTTTCAGAATTAGTAGCCCAAATCGGGCTATTGGAGGTTCCAGACACCACACAATAGCCCACATAAATCAACGTGTTAACCAGTAAGTCTTTGTGTAACATATGCCTTTTTTGGCTATAAAATCGTACTTGTGTTTCATACTTGATTGTAACATTAATCGATGAAAGCTCATCTCCGCTATCAAGGCCATTGTACTGTGACCATCCAACAGAGCGCCTATCTGCCACCCATCACCTTCTGTCACGCACTCTTCCTGTGACTCGTGAAGGCTCCTCCCCTTGTCGTTCCCACCGACTTCACCTCTCATGGATCCTCGACGAGCCAAGCTCAACAAGTTATTCGAATCGATTAGCAGGGGTACACAGCAGCTAACCCCGAAGAACGGAACTCTCTTTCTGGAAGCCATCTGCGCCCAGGAAGATGCTGTTGCCACTCTTCACAAACTCAGCACCAGCAGCGAGGGAAAATCTGCCCTACAAGCCGCGATGCGATTTAATCTCTTACCAGCTTTTTTCAATGGCCAGGCAACTGGCCTCCTTCAGTATCTGCAAACGCCAGGACTTGCCGACATAAACGGAGGGGAGTTCTTAAACGATATCCTTCTCAAGATTGTAGATCCACCCATCTTCTGGGTCGCTTTCCGGAAAGCTTTCATTGATGAGAAACTCAATGATACAGCGCAAAAGTCATTCCTATGGCTTCTCGTGAAACTGGTTTCTATTCCAGGCGAGAAAGGTGCTCTATACCGTGAGCCTTCTCAGATATCTATCATTCTTCCCGGTCTACGTTCATCATCCAAGAATGAACTTAGGACCGCAGGATACAAGATCGAGCATATGCTCGATACATATGCACAACCAAATCTTGAATCCCTGGCTTTTGATGCTGCCCCAGGAGGCAGACATGACAACGATTTCTCCGACTTCCGCAAGATATCCATCCTTCCCACTCCAGACGAGATTCAATCAACAGAAAATGCTTTTCTCAGGACGAGTGATGTCCTTGAGGATCCCGGAACAGAGTCCAATCGAGTTCCCTTACACCTTGACAATCAGTTTCGCCTTCTACGTGAGGACATGATTTACGAGTTGCGGGATGAAATACAGGTGGTGCAAGGGAAAAAGAAGGGCCATCATCGTGGCATTAGGATCAGTGGGCTTGAACTTGTGGGGATCCAATCTGGGCCTGAGGACAAGCCTACGAGATGGGGTCTGTCCCTGAAATGTCACAAAGATCTGCCAGAGTTGAAAGCACAAAAAGATCGTAAGAAATATCTTCTTGAGCAACGAAATTTCTTTCGACACCAGTCATCGGCATGCCTCATTGCCGGGGGAGAAATCGTTGCATTTCCTACCATCGACCGCAATGAGGATCTCTTAGCCGCAAATCCGCCCATCATCGTGGTCCAGCTTGAGGGTCGGGAGAGCACCGAGCTGGCTCTCCGTAAACTCAAGACAGAAAACGATGTCGCGTTGATTCAGATCAATACGGCCATTTTTTCATATGAACCAATTCTAAAGTATCTTCAGCAGGCTTATTCCATTCCATTGTCCGATGAACTTCTTCTTTGGAAGGAGGGTAATGTCATGTCTCAGATATCGTGCCAATCCGTACCCGTTGTTGAAGCCCTGAAGCGTAATCCCAAGGTTGATCTTCAGACCCTCTTAGAGACAAATTCTACCATCAAGCTTGACTCATCCCAGGCTGCTTCGCTATATTCGGGTCTCACTCAGAAAGTTGCACTGGTTCAGGGACCTCCAGGTGTGCTTTGGTTGTTGCATATATCCTGCCTTGTATTTACAACTTGATTGCCACAGGCACGGGGAAATCATTTTTGGGAGCCCTTCTCGCTAAAGCAATTTATAAGTTCACCGAACAGACCATCCTTGTCGTCTGTTATACCAACCATGCTTTAGACGACATATTGACTGGTCTGATGGATATCGGCATCCCCCAAACTAGCATGGTTCGTTTGGGAGGAAAGTCGACAGCTCGAACCGAGCCACTGACTCTTCGGAATATACAGCAAACGCCTAGACCGCGACGTGATCAGACGGAATGGATGGTCATAGATGGATTGAAGTCCATGCTCAAAAAACTACAAAGGCAACTGCAACAGGCGTTTGAACGTTATAAATCGGCACATATAAGTTATCAAGATTTGTTAGATCATCTTGAGTTCGAAGAAGATTTGTTTTTTGAAGCCTTTCGTGTTCCGGAGTCTGAAGATGGCCTGACTCATGTTGGCAAGGGGGGTCGGGCCGTCAAATCAGACTATCTAATTGACCGATGGTGCATGGGACTGGACGCCGGTATTTTCAAAAACTCCTACCCCGATGTTCAAGCTACACACGACATTTGGTGTTTATCGTACCAAGCTCGCCAGGAGTTGATAACGAGATGGAAGGAAAAGATCTTTGGCGAATCCATCGCTGAAGTCTGCGTGATCGCTCAAGAATATAACTCCTGCCAGGAAAGGCTTGCTCGATCTTTCAGTGACAAGTTGGTCCATACTTTACGCAGCAAGCGAGTCATTGGTTGCACAACAACTGCTGCTGCAAAATATACCGAGGATATTCAAGCTGCTTCACCCGATGTTCTTATTGTCGAGGAGGCTGGTGAAATTCTCGAAAGTCATGTCCTTGCCGCACTCGGAAAGAAAACATCGCAATTGATTCTGATCGGAGACCACAAGTGCGCGTTCTTTACTTCCAGTGAATACTTGCTGACAGATGGAATTAGACAACTTCGTCCCAAAGTGAACAACTACGCGCTGACCGTCGAGAAAGGCGATTCATTTGATCTCAATAGGTCGTTATTCGAGCGCTTGGTGCTTAAAGGTTACCCACACCAAACCCTTTCTGAGCAGCATCGAATGCGCCCTGAGATTTCATTCCTGATCCGCAATCTGACGTACCCTGAACTCAGAGATGCGCCAAAAACGAAAGGTCGTCCGAACCTTGATGGTGTGCAGGACAACATTGTCTTTATCGACCACGACCATCCAGAGGATGAGAATCACCGGATCTCTGACCGGCGAGATATGGCATCTTCCTCTTCGAAGCAGAACTCACATGAGGTGGCCATGATCTTGAAGATTGTGCGATATCTAGCACAGCAAGGATATGGGACTGATAAAATTGTCATCTTGACGCCTTATTTAGGACAGCTTCAGAAGCTTCGTGAGGTGCTCATGAAAGACAACGATCCCATTCTCAACGATCTTGACTCTTACGATCTTGTTCGCGCTGGCTTAATTTCTGCTGCCACAGCGAAACTTGCTAAGAAACCCATCCGGTTGTCAACAATAGGCAAGTGATATGACACCAGAGGTGCATACTATCTAACCATGTTTGGACAAGATAATTACCAGGGTGAAGAAAGTGATATCGTCATTGTTTCGCTTACGAGAAGTAATGCCAATCATGACATTGGTTTTATGTTCTCCCCTGAGCGTCTCAATGTCCTCCTCTCTCGAGCCCGCAATGCCTTGATCATGATTGGAAACTCCCATACTTTCAAAAAATCTCGAAAGGGCGGTGAATTGTGGGGAAAGCTCTTCGAATTACTCGGGCAAGGAAAGCATGTTTATTCCGGACTCCCTGTCGTTTGCCAAAGACACCCGGATCGAAAGAATAATCTATCTCAGCCAACTGACTTCGACGAAGTATGTCCAGATGGAGGGTGCAACATTCCTTGGTGCGAACTACCTGGTTTATGCTCAATGTTGTAATGCTCATTCACAGCCTCTCCTAGTGATACAAAGCTCGGTTGCGGGACTCACCGTTGCCCATCAAAATGTCATCAGCTCTATGATCACAGCAAAATGTTGTGCGAGGAAAACATGTCTTGTTTATGTGACCTGAGGGGACACAAACAATCGTTCAAGTGTCATCAAGGGCCACCAAAATCCTGCAGAAAATGCGATCAGATCGAAAAGGCAGATAAGAAAAAGCGACAGGAAGAGTATGAAGCTCAACAACGAAGGGACTCAGAACTGCAAGAACACCTTCGAGAATTGGCCGAAATTGATGCGGAAATTGCCCGGGAAGTCGAAGCCAGGCAAGCGACTCGTCTGGCGAGAGACCGAGCTGATGCTTTGAGGCAAAGGCGGATGGATTTGGAGTCCATTCGTCAACAAGCCCTGATTCAAGCAGACCCTATCTCGAATTCCAGCGGCCCAGCAAACCCCCCCACATCACCCTCTAACTCGGATTTTCTGACGGGTGTTGTCTCTACAGCCAAAGCGCTGCTTTATGGCAAGCCAGACTCTCCATCCTCTGCCAATCAGCCAGCCTCTCCTAATCAGTCAGCACAAGTCAATCAGCTGGCCTCTCCTAATCAATCAGCGCAGACTCCACCTTCGCCTTTCCGACTACCAGATTCACCATCTAGAAATGAGTGGCAGCGCCAGAAGGACATGGAGGGTGCCAACAATGACGGGATTGATTCCATTATGGAGATGGTTGGGCTTGAAGACGTAAAGAAGCAAGTCTTAGAGATCAAGGCCAAGGTTGATATCTCGATTCGCCAAGGTGCATCTATTGCATCTGAGAGATTCAATGTTGTTCTGCTTGGAAATCCTGGGACAGGTGCGTTTCTCCTTTTGCTTTACAATTTTTCGAATGACTAAAGCCTCTTGTAATCTGTTCAGGGAAGACAACAATTGCGAGACAGTACGCAAAATTCTTAGTGACGGTCGGAGCCCTCCCTGGGCCCTCCTTCATCGAGACAACGGGATCGCGGCTTGCGAACGAGGGCGTGGATGGTATCAAAAAGCAGATCGAAGACCTGCTTAAAGTAGGTGGTGGTGCAATCTTTGTGGACGAAGCGTACCAATTGGCAAGCACACACAATCATGGGGGTCCCGTACTGGATTTTTTACTGGCTGAAATGGAGAACAACATTGGTTCGATAGTCTTCATGTTCGCGGGCTACAACAAAGAGATGGAAGCATTCTTTGAACACAATCCGGGTTTGAAGAGCCGTGTACCTTATAGGCTACAGTTCTCAGATTATGAAGACCACGAATTGATGACCATTCTGGAGGGTTTGATATTCAAGGCTTTCCGGGGTCGCATGAAAGTGCAGGACGGGATTCGAGGGCTTTACGGGCGCATTGCCATTCGGCGTTTGGGAAGACGTCGGGGACGAAATGGTTTCGGAAATGCGCGTGACCTCCAAACTGCCTTCGCTGCGGTTCGGGGACGACAGGCATCTAGAATCGAGAAGGAGCGAGCAGAGGGAAAAACTCCAGATGATTTTCTGCTCGTCGCCCAGGATCTCATAGGGCCAGACCCATCCAAGGCAATTTTACAAAGCGAGGCATGGTCGAAACTTCAATCACTTATTGGGCTCAAGGCTGTCAAAGAGTCAATCACCAGTTTAATCCATGCCATTGAGGAGAACTTCCAGCGCGAATTGCAGGAGAAGGAACCTCTGACGTTTTCCCTCAATCGGGTCTTCCTTGGTTCACCTGGGACTGGCAAGACAACCGTTGCCAAACTTTACGGCAAGGTCCTCGCTGACCTGGGACTACTTAGCAACGGAGAAGGTGACTGGATCAATCATTCGCCTTGCTCGGTTGTTAATGACTCTTTTTTTTCTAGTTGTCTTGAAAACTCCCGCTGATTTCATTGGCGCATATCTCGGAGAATCTGAAAAGAAGACAAAGAACATCCTGACGAACTCAATCGGGAAAGTCCTCATCATTGATGAGGTGCGTCATTCTGTTTTTCAGATACCCATGCTGGCGTGTTCATACTCCCACGTAGGCATACATGTTGTACGGGGGAGGAGGGAATAGCGCTGGGAATCAGTCTAATCAGTTCAAGACAACCGTTATTGACACCATCGTGGCCGAGGTACAAAGTGTGCCAGGAGATGATCAATGTGTACTTTTGTTGGGCTATAAGGACCAGATGGTTGAAATGTTCCAAGTGAGGGCGGACTTTTACTTGCTGGTTGATTTTGCTAATGAGCGTTCAAGAATGTTAATGAAGGTCTGGCGAGAAGGTTCAGGATAGAGGACCCCTTCAACTTCGAGGATTTCAGTACCTCTGAGCTAATGGACATTCTCAATAAGAAACTGAAGGAACAGGATCTCGGGGCAACTGATGCAGCCAAGAAAATTGTGATAGAACAATTGAATCGTTCTCGGAATCGGCCCAACTTTGGCAATGCGGGCGAGGTGGAAAACATGATAGGTGCTGCTAAAGTACGATCTGTTGCGCGCCGAGCAGCTATTCCTCTGCCACAAAGGCCGATACACATTATCTTCGAGCCACAGGATTTCTGTCCTGATTTTGACCGAAGCGCGAATGCGTCTAGTAACCTTGCAAAGCTTTTTGAAGACATTGTTGGCTGCCAGGACATCATTTCGCGTTTGGGCGAATACCAGCAGATTGCTGTCGTCTCCAAGGCTAGAGGCGTTGACCCGCGGGAACAGATCCCCACAAACTTTGTCTTCATTGGACCACCAGGTATGCGTAATGTTTGTTGCCATGTATCGGACTGTGACTCAGTTTTGTTAAGGAACTGGGAAAACAACGATAGCTCGGAAAATGGGCCAAGTTTACTATGATATGGGCATTCTTGCATCGGCAGAAGTAATCGAATGCTCAGCCTCCGACCTCGTTGGGGAATATGTGGGACACACTGGCCCAAAAACCAAGAAGCTGTTTGAAAAGGCCCTTGGAAAGGTTCTATTCATTGACGAGGCCTATAGACTAGGAGAAGGCCGGTTTGCTCAAGAAGCCGTTGATGAATTGGTCGGTCTTCTTACGCACGAATCATTCAAATCCAAGGTCATCGTCATTCTTGCTGGCTATGAAGGGGATATGAAACAATTGATGTCGGTTAACACTGGACTTGCCAGTCGATTCCCAGACTGGATCCCGTTCTCCAATATGGACCCTGATCATTGTTTGAATGTCGTCCTGAAGGAGCTTCGTCGCAAAGGAGTCAAAGCAGATGAACTGCTCGACCAATCTAGTGATGTATACCGAGATATGACTGCGACCATCACGGAGTTATCTCAGCTCCCAGATTGGGGCAACGCACGGGACATGATGAACTTGGCTAAAGAACTGATCAGCCTGGCCTTTTTGACCAACGACGAGAAACAAGACTCGTTGAGTTTGAGTGGGAATCAGATTGTAGCGTGCACCAAGAAAATGCTGGCGGATAAACAGGCACGGTCCAACATCCGTCCCAAGAGCCGCCATACTCTCCCAGCAATGCCGGAGCAGGATCTCGCGCCCTCCGCTCAACCACCCCCGCCTATTCAAACTGCTCAGAATGCAAAGAAGGCAGCATCCCCGGCTGGTCGCCCAGGCCCTTCGCGGCAAGGGGCTCGACCTGCAGCTCCCCCGCCGAAGCCTCCCCCGCCTAAGCCTTCAAATCTTCGTCATAACATTCAGCGGGACCCTGGTGTTAGTGATGATGTTTGGCGTGAGTTACAAGATGCCAAGCAGCTAATAGAGGCACAGGAGAAAAGAACGCAGGAAACGATCAAAAGGTTACAAAGGGAGATTGAGAAAGAGGCGAAACGTGAACGAGAGCAGAAACGTGAGGCTGAGAGGTTGGCCAAAGCTGAGGCAGAAGCTAAAGACGCGGCTGAACGACAAGAGGCGAAGCGCAAGCGTGAGCAGGCACGACTTAGGGAACAGGCAGCTCGGCAAGCTCGAGAAAAAGCAGCAGCAGATTTGAGAGCGAAACAGCAAGAGCAACAAAGACTACAAGCACAAGAAGCAAAGGCTCAGAGAAAGTTGCGTGAGATGGGAGTTTGTGTTGCAGGCTTTCAGTGGCACAAGATTGGGAACTCTGGATATCGTTGTGCAGGTGGTTCACATTACGTTTCCAGTGCACAACTAGGATTATAATTAGATCTGTAGATTATCTTGGGATTTACTGAAATAAATGTTCACACGAATACTCTGGTCCAATAATAGTATTCGCAAGCGTCCTTCTCTTTCACCTCTATGACCGAAGAGATAGATTACGAGTCGCTGCCTCCCAATGCTGGCCTCGCGGTAAGTAATTCCCAGCTTAGCGTATCACTTCCCTAATTTCACAAAAATTCAGGTGAATATGTTGGCTGGTGCCTTGGTAAACGCTCCATTTATTGCCTTTATTCCACACTTGACTTTCAAATTTCGTTAGGCTGGAGTATCTGAGCATGCGGTTATGTTCCCAGTCGATAGCATCAAGGTCGGTATCATTCCTTCAACCACTTAACATCCTATGCCAACTTGGTTTCCAGACACGTATGCAAGTCTTCGCCACATCACCAGTTGCCGTATACTCTGGTGTCGGCAATGCCTTTTCACGAATATCCTCTACCGAAGGCATGAGAGCGCTCTGGCGTGGGGTGTCTTCCGTCATTTTGGGTGCAGGCCCTGCCCATGCCGTACATTTTGGTACATTGGAGGCCGTCAAAGAGCTGGCAGGAGGAAATGAGGCCGGAAACCAGTGGGTTGCACACTGTAAGAATCTTGCTGACGCCCTAATGCAACCTTCACTTACAAACATATTAGCTCTCGCCGGTGCGTCGGCCACAATCGCGAGTGACGCTCTGATGAATCCTTTCGATGGTGCGTGAGGAGATTGCTCGACATTCACCTATAGCTCAATACCCCATAAGTTATAAAACAGAGAATGCAAGTACACAAATCTGAATTCCAGTCGGTCTTCACATGTGCGCGTGTTGTCTTCCGGAATGAAGGACTGGGCGCCTTTTACGTGTCTTACCCGACGACATTGGCCATATCAATACCCTTCAATGCAATACAGTTTACAGTATACGAACAGGTAAAGCGCTTCATCAATCCGCGACGCGAGTACTCTCCGACAACCCACATAACCGCCGGTGCTATCGCGGGTGCAGTGGCAGCGGGTGTGACGACGCCTCTGGATGTGGCAAAAACAATATTACAAACGCGGGGAACAGCACAGGATGCAGATATCCGCAACGTCAAGGGAATGCTTGATGCCTTCCGAATAATATGGCAGAGGGATGGTGTTCGAGGTTTTGGGCGGGGGTTGACACCTCGAATATTGACCATCATGCCAAGCACGGCTCTGTGCTGGCTGTCGTACGAGTTTTTCAGTGCGTCGTCTCTTGTTCTCGTCTCCTCTGCACTCAACCCACCCACCTTCTTTAATAGAGGCTGCCATTCGTTCTGATTAGAGACGCTTGATTAATGCTTATATGGATAAAAAGTACATGGAATCTAATATACAGCGGTGTGATTTGCGACGATTGAAATTTCTCGCTCGTCTTTGTTTCTCAACCATTGTCTGCCTCTCACCTTGCGAATACTTATTGACATCCTCTTGTAGGAGCTATAGACAGACCCAGCTGTGTGTGTGTGGGAGAGAACTGTTGCAGGTTCCCTGCCCCCCAAACTCGAAGTTGGTGCATATCATCCGCTTCCTCTCATTTTTCAAATCTCAAAGCGACGGAGGATGTGAAATAATGATATATAATCTTCCTGACAGTCTATCGTACTTGACCTCTATGTTATGTTGCACCTACTTACGCACTCCCAGCTAAGCCAGCTTCTTTGGAAAGACGAGCGAGGAGGTGAGGAGCGAAGCTCCGAGCTGACGAGCAAGGCGTTCTAGAGACTTTGGACGATTATGGCCGCGACGTAGACCAACGTTTCGTCTGTTAAAGAGACTCATCAGGCGGCGGGGTGGTCTTTTACCACCAAGAAGAACATTACGTAACTATCCCAGAATCACGGGATCACGTGTGTGCGCCCTCAGAGTTGCGGAATCCGCGATGGAACTCGACGCGTTTAGTTCACTCTCGAGGCCCTTTTGATTTCTAACCCCTCAATGGTAGAGTACTAGATTGTCTACCATTGCTTGTAGGTTGTTAGAGTGATAGAAAACTGAAATTTATCTTCATTCAATTCAAGGGGGTGCCGGCCTGGGAATCCCGTACCGGGACCCGGTTAGTTAGTCCAGCCACAGGCTGTGAAAAAAAAAAAAAGGACACCTTGGGCAGAGGGCCTTCGATCATTAAGTTGAGTACTTTGCAGCATAATATAGTAACTACAGAATGTACTGGGAGGAATACAGCTCCAATCAAGCACCATGATATAAGATATTCATCAATTCCTGCCATATTTGGGCATTTTTTTGACATTACTTGAATTACTGTTGACCAACAATATCCTAAAATCTACAGTATGTCTAACATTGGTTTCATTCTATGTATCACACCATTGAGACAGAGCCAGCTGTTCTTGATGCGGAGGGCTTCGCAATCTGTCCAGATTGTGGTAGCCGTGTATCCTCATCAAATTCTCATATGCAAACAAGGTGTGCGAGAAACGCTGGGTAAGTACATTGTATTATGAGAACTGAGTGATTTTCCAACTCACGTTATATGCCTAGTTCCATCTAAAAGTGTGGAACATGTGCAAGCACCCCGGAATTGTGCCTGCACGACTTGTGCAAAACGTGGGGAGAGCGCTCACAAATGATGTCATATTACTATATATAGACACGTTCCTGATTACGTTAGTTAGTTAGTCCACCTCAAGGTCACCTTAAAAAAAAAATCGACCCCGGGTCTTTTTTTTCAATGCCGGCACCCCCTTGATTCAATTTATTCTTTGGGTGACTCTGCTGCAGGCAGCTGAAAGGTGATTTAAAAGTCACGTATCACCGGTATCAAATGCATAGAATGAAGTGGAATAAAATTTCCGTCTCTCAAAAGGGAATGACTGATGGTGAAACCGGATTTTTATTATCAAAAATCGAATTTTTTACATCTACTCTCGAACCAGCTGCCGGCGGTCCACATCGTCTTCGAAAGCCCCGGCGTCGAAGAAAAAGGACAAGGAGCCGCAAGGGAGAGGAAACGGAAAAGGAAAAGGAAAAGAAAAGGAGGCATCCACAGGAGAGCAGGGAGGGAAGCCGAAATCGAAGAAGTCGAAACCCTCGGAGTCAAACGACACCGACTAGACGCTTCGCACACGCCTCCCCCAATTCCCCACCTCATCACTACTAGTGATGTGCCGGGCCCGGCCCAAAGCCGTAAGCCAGCCAGAGCCAGCCGTCCCAAAGCCGGGCCTTCTTGGGCCGTCATCAAGGCCCAGCAAAGCCCAAAGCTCAGGCTCATGACGCATGAAGCCTTGAGCCGTGGCCTGAGCCATGGCCTTGAAGATTGGTGGGACTCCTCTCCAAAGCAAGGTCGTACCTCACTTTGGAGAGGTACAGTAATCTTGCATGCTCATAATCATTGCCAGCACCACCCTGGCCAAAGTTTTCTTGATTAGAAATGGTGTAAGTACTGGTTAAGACTGATAAATATTGGAATAGAAGAGAAATGTTTGACATCTTCTCCGAAAGTCTGCAAAGTAGTGAGGTGAGTGATGAGTCCAAGCAAGTGTGAGATGCTTAGATACCTCATACGATGTTTCCGGATCGTTGCCTCAACCTTGACGTTCCCAATCGTCCCAATGCGATGAGCAGCGGAGATAGGGGGTACAGCGTTTGACACGGAGGCGTACTTGTAGAGATTTTGTTGTTGGTTCAAGACTAATTTGTAATCCTGGGATTACCACATCGGGCAGTTGTTTGGCATCGGCATCCGGACTATTTGGTTTCCTACATACACGCGATCCTCTCTTAACCACGTACCATCATCTACTCCTGCATACGCACCCCCTTCTTTTACCTTTACCTTCTAGATACCCTCAGAATCATATACTCGGTTAAATTCTGACGGTTTCTCTGTGAGTAGTGTTATCTGTCCTGTCTACACAGGACAGATTTCCACTTTTTTTGAATTTACACCGCCGTTATCGGTTCTGACATATCTTGACACGCGCATATAGTCACCGCCTTTGGAGGCCTGATTCAGGTCATCGTTCGGCGCGTGTACACGCTGTCTTGTACGTCTGATCGTTGTTCCTGTCGTTCACGACACATCAACCCTGATTTTCCGTCTGTAACAGTGGAGGGTACTTGTACCTGTATCACTTAACCGCCATCGCCGTAACTGTTTACCGCAACACTGGAACTCCCTCGTTTCACCTGTACAACCGCCTCTGTCCAACAATTACTGATTCTTGACAGTTTGGCTCCAACCACACATGTGAGGGGCAATCGTTTACCTTCACAACCACCGCTAGCCTCATCGGCTTCACCGGTTCTCCCAAATACGCATACATCGCCGCCCTCCTCTCCTGCATCGTCTTTCTATCTTTCATCGAGCTCTTCTGACGACGAAAAACGCGCATATACTCAGTCAAAAACTCGTAACAAGATGTCTACACTTGCTACAGTCGATCCTACCAGTGCCAAGGCACCTATCCTCACTCAGGGCGACATCTCTCCATCAGTTATGATGGATTTTGAAAATGCGGCACTTGATTTCTTCATGTCGAAGTCGATTCCAGCGGACAAACAGGTCACGATGGTTATCCCTGGTATCAAGGATCTTCGTATCCGTGATTGGATCGCTGCGGACCGCGCCCGCATTGTCGCTCTACCTTTTGACAAGTTTATGGTGGAGATGAGACTCAATTACCTTCCCCCTGACTGGGAAGACCAAGTTCGTAACAAGATTTTGACGTCAACACTCACCGCTTTGAAAACTTCCTTCTGGAATTGGTCACAAAACCTGCTTAAACTGAACTGCCTACTCCGGGGCACGGCGTCTGCTTTTGACGAGTCGACCTTGCGCAACCACTTGGAAGCGCATCTCGACGACGAGTTGAAGACTAAACTCCGACACAGTGATGCCCGCAAGGACAAGGTTTTCAAGACCTGGGTTACTGCTGTTCGTCTATTAGACGAAGCACATGCTGTCGAGAACAAACACCAACGTGAATTGATTGAGGAGACACTCACTCAACGTCAATCCAAACGCCAGAACACTAGCAATGAAGCATTGCGAGGTCCGTCGCGACGTGGCAACACATCACAATCAAACATGTCTGCAGGCGGCTCCTCCTCCACATATACCCGTCTACCCCCCCTTACCGACGCCGAGCGCACGCTCCTTAACGAGCATGACGGTTGCACCAAGTGCCGTCGTTTTTATACAGACCACCGCTCGCATTCTTGCCCCAATGGTTTTCCGGCAGGCAAGACCTACAAAACTCTGACTGCCACGGACGCTATGAATGCCAAGAAGGGCAAAGCTGTTACCAAACCGGCTACCAAAGCTGTCGCCGCCACTAGTGCATCCATTGAAACCGTTGACTCCGACAACGACATCTCTGCGGCTGCGGCAGTTTTACCTGACTCCCCCGGAGATTACTCCGATTCGGTTGAGGATCAGGATGTGTCGCGTCGCGAGGTAAGTCCACCATTCCGTGCCAAACATCTCGTTTGGAATTGTCAGGTGCACAGTTTGACTGAAGACTTCCCAGTGAAAACGCGCGCGTTGATTGATAATGGCGCGCACTTAGTCCTCATTCGCCCCGACCTCGTAGACCGCCTTGGATTGAAGAAACATAAACTGCCTGAACCAGAACTCGTAGACGTCGCATTCAACAATCAGAAGCAAAAAACGCAGTTGTATCATTATGTCAAACTTTCTCTCACTTCGTTAGACTCGTCTTGGACTTCGCGCACCGTTAGAGCCGTTGTCACACCGGGTCTCTGTGCCCCCATTATTCTCGGACTGCCCTGGCTCATACATAACTCAATCGTTACAGACCACGCTGCACGCACTTGTATAGACAAAAATACTTTGTATGATTTATTAAACCCCCCCGTGATCAAGCCGCCTCCTCCGCCAAAACCTAAGTTGAAAGAACAAATTAAAATCACAAAAGCAGATAAAAAGTTGGTTCTCGCCGAACTAATGATGGTCTGCAATGACAGGATTAACCATCTCAAACTTAAACCGGAAAAGGTTAAGGATTTTGACGTTGTTGGCGCTGTCCGAGAACGCATTGAAGTTCTAGCGATGCAAGATTCACTGCTACAAAAAGAAACAGAATTAAAAAATGAATACGGCGCAATCTTCGAACCAATCCCACATGTCAACGAATTACCGCATGAAGTGGTCGCCGAGATTCATGTAAAAGACGCAGAGAAAACAATAAAATCACGTTCCTACCCATCCCCGCGCAAGTATAAAGAGGCATGGCAGATATTGATTCAACAACATCTGGATGCTGGTCGTATCCGTCCATCATCTTCACCTTGCGCCTCGCCAGCATTTATCGTTCCGAAGGCGAACCCAAATGTCCTACCACGGTGGGTCAATGACTTTCGGCAACTTAACGAAAACACCATCACAGACTCCCACCCGCTTCCAAGAATAGATGACATTCTGACAGACTGTGCTAAGGGGAAGATCTGGGCAACGATTGATATGACCAATAGTTTCTTTCAAACGCGAATGCACCCAGATCACGTTCATTTGACAGCCGTGAACACCCCATTAGGTCTATATGAATGGCTTGTGATGCCAATGGGACTGAAGAATGCCCCTGCTATTCACCAACGACATGTTACCGCTGCACTACGCCATCTCCTGGGCAAATTCTGTCATATTTATTTGGACGACATCGTGATCTGGTCAAACACCGTGGAAGAACACGAGAAGAATGTTCGCGCGGTTCTACAAGCGCTTCGTGACGCTCGACTGTACATCAACCCAGATAAAACTAAACTATTCTGCACTGAAATCAATTTCCTAGGTCATCACATTAGTGCCCGTGGAATCGAGGCTGACTTGGGAAAAGTCAACCGTATCATGTCATGGCCAACACCAACATCAGCTACAGAAGTCCGGAGTTTCTTGGGACTGGTCCGGTATATCTCCGCTTTCCTGCCTGCACTTGCTGAACATACAGGTGTACTCATGGAACTTACGACGAAAGCCTCCGACAAAAATTTCCCGCTGTGGGCACCAAAATTTCAGGTCGCGTTTGACGCGATAAAGGCGATTGTAACAGGGTGGGAATGCTTAACAACTATCGATTTCAACAAAATGCCAGAAAACAAGATCTTTGTGACAACGGATGCGAGCGACAAACGATCTGGCGGCGTACTCTCCTTTGGTCCTACATGGGAAACAGCCCGCCCAGTCGCTTTCGATTCAATGACGTTCAAGGGCGCTGAACTGAATTATCCCGTTCATGAAAAAGAATTACTGGCCGTTATCCGTGCATTGAAAAAATGGCGAGTGGACCTACTTGGCTCGCCATTCTTCGTTTACACTGATCATAAAATGCTGGAGAATTTCTTATCTCAGAAGGATCTCTCGAGGCGCCAAGCTCGATGGATGGAATTTCTCTCCCAATTTGATGCCAAGATCGTGTACATCAAAGGGGACGACAACACTGTTGCGGATGCACTCTCCCGCTTACCAACCAACACCGATTCTTCAACGGCTAATGCGTCAGCTAGGCACCCATACGATTTTTGCGAGGACGACGACACCCTGTGCGCTGTAGCTTCAATATCCCTATCCTCATCACAAAACCCTTGGGAGGCAGCCAAATCGCTAGCTAACGTGTCAGCGATATCAAACAATGTCAGTGCAACATTGAAAATTACGGCGGACAAAGATTTCCTTGAATCTGTGAAATCCGGGTACGCCGAAGACGCTTGGTGTAAAACGTTACCCTCTGCCACTCTCAGTTTCTCCAACCTCGTCTTACGTGATGGCCTTTGGTACATAGGTGAAAGGCTAATCATACCGCGCACAGGTAACCTTCGCGAATTGTTGTTTGCACTGGCCCACGACACCCTCGGCCACTTCGGTTTCCACAAGACTTATGGCTCGCTGAGAACGGCATACTACTGGCCAAATATGCGAAGGGACTTGGAACAGGGCTACGTTGCCTCCTGCCCCGAATGTCAACGTAACAAGTCGTCAACAATAAAACCTTACAGCCCACTGCACCCACTCCCAGTACCTGATCAACGAGGCGATTCCGTTGCAATCGATTTCATTGGCCCACTACCAGAAGATGAAAACAAGAACTGCATAATCACGTTCACTGACCGCTTAGGTAGTGATGTCCAGTTAGTCGCAACACGGACAGACATCATGGCTGAAGATCTAGCAATCCTATTTTTCGATAAGTGGTATCGTGAAAATGGTCTACCAGCTGACATTGTTTCCGATAGAGACAAACTCTTCATTTCAAGATTTTGGAGAGCCCTGCATAAGCTGACTGGTGTCAAATTGAAACTGTCGACGTCGTATCACCCGGAAACGGATGGCGCAAGCGAACGGACTAACAAGACCATCAATCAAGCCCTGCGATTTCACGTCGAGCGTAACCAAATGGGCTGGGTCCGCGCCTTACCGCGAGTCCGTTTCGACATCATGAACACCGTAAACAAATCAACTGGCTTTACGCCATTCCAACTCCGTTTTGGTCGAAGCCCTAGGGTTATCCCACCACTCGTGCCTGCCAAATCTTCTGCAACAGTCGCTGACATCGATGCGTGGCATGTCATCAGACGTTTAGAAACAGACGTTCTCGAGGCACAAGATAACCTCCTTAGGGCTAAGATTTCCCAATCTGTTCAAGCAAATAAGCACAGGACGCTAACCTTTCCATTCAGTATAGGTTCACGTGTGCGGCTATCTACGCTACATCGACATAACGAATACAAGGCTAAAGGCGAAAAGCGTGTGGCCAAGTTCATGCCACGATACGACGGCCCTTACACTGTTATCGACGTTGATGAAGAACATTCCACCGTGACCTTGGATCTACCTAACTCCCCAAATATCTGTCTGACTTTCCACACTTCCGAGGTCCTCCCTTACGTCGAATCCAATACTACCCTATTCCCATCCCGCCGTTTTGAAGAACTTGATCCCATCATCACAGATGACAGCAACGAAGAATTCTACATCGATCGTATACTGGACGCACGTCGACGCGGACGCGGTTATCAATACCTGGTCCGTTGGCACGGTTATGGCCAAGAACACGACAGGTGGTTACCTGGTTCCGAACTTCAAGACTGCGAAGCGTTGGACTCCTGGCTGGCCTCACACGGATGATCTGCTTTTTATGTAGATTTTCTTTCGCTCTTGCCAGCCGGTAGCTTTTTCCCACAGGGTTTTGACGCACCCGGCGTTCGGATTTTACTTACTCTTCTTACTAACCTTTCCTGATTTTTGTTTTGCTTTGACGTATATTTTTTTTCAGAACATGGGAGGGTGTAATCCTGGGATTACCACATCGGGCAGTTGTTTGGCATCGGCATCCGGACTATTTGGTTTCCTACATACACGCGATCCTCTCTTAACCACGTACCATCATCTACTCCTGCATACGCACCCCCTTCTTTTACCTTTACCTTCTAGATACCCTCAGAATCATATACTCGGTTAAATTCTGACGGTTTCTCTGTGAGTAGTGTTATCTGTCCTGTCTACACAGGACAGATTTCCATAATTGACTGTTTGTACGTGTTTTTTTGACTTTCGCCCATGAGCCGTGGCTTGAGCCTGGGCCGGGCTTGAGCCAGCCTGAAGCCTTGCAAAAAGCTCAGGCTTGAAATTGGACGAGCCTGAGCCGTGCAAAGCCGGGCCATAGCCGTGGCTTTCAGGCCAAGCCGGGCCTGCACATCACTAATCACTACATGGACACCCCCGCCCGGGATCAAATTTCATCGCCTAAAGCCTGAGACCTACCCCCCCATATTCTTTTCTGCACCTTTAACTCTACAAAGCCGATTCGTTACTGCACGCATGTCCCCGTTATTCTATGATATGCGAATCACAAACCGTACATTCCATAACATGACCAGTGTGAAATTGAGCTATGAACAAGTCAAAATGCTGGCGCTGAACTCCAAATTTGTACCGAGGCCCCAAATTACCTCAGTCAAATCAGTTAGCTTTGCATTTGACGACTTTGAGCGACGGTTAAGACTTTCGGAAAAGGCCTGCAAATTGCGAAACCTAGCCATTATACAAGGACTTAACCCTGACCTTGACAAGGGACAACCACGCTATGTAGCAAAGTTCCACATCCCGAATCCTGAGGCGGAAGCACCGAAAATGCTCCTCCACGTCGAACTCGCTCTCCAACGGGCCCGTGAACTGCTTGAAGTACAAGTGCTTGACCGCCAAACACTTCACGTTCGCCCAAATATCAGCCAAAAAGAACTCGATAAGCTCTTAAAAATTCTCAAAGAGGAAAGGGTCATTGCCCTTCCATCCGACAAGAATCTTGGGCTCTGCCTTGTTACTGCTGACTGGTATCAAGAGAATGGTCTCAAACTCCTTCTCAACCCCTCATATATTGAGGAAGAACCGGACCATGAGTTGCTGTCCATGTCTCTTGAGACAATTGTTAAGAAGGCATCCAACCTCCTTACCCGACAACAACTCACATGGCTGCTTGATCCTATCATGAACCATGTCACAAAGGTCCCAGTTCTAAAAGCGATACCAAAGATCCACAAATTCCCATTAATTACTGCACGACCAATTGTCCCAACTTTTGGCACATTGTTGGCAAATGCATCTGCTTGGGTGGATTTTCGCTTAAAGCCCCTCCTACCCCAGTTTCCTTGGATCCTCCCAGATTCAAAGACATTCTGCCGTCAAATCCTTGATGTCAAAATGCCCACTGGAAAAGAAGTCTGGCTTGTATCTGGTGATGTTGTCGCAATGTACCCCAATATACCAATTGAGGATGGCATTTGCAAGATCGCATCAATACTAGGGGTCTCTCCAATGTTCTTCATGACACTGGAAGAGGCTGTTGAACTTGAGATTAAATCCCTCGATGAGCTTACAATTCTCCTAATGAGAATGGTTCTGCAGTTCAACTACGTAGCCTTTTCGGGCAAAACCTTCCGCCAGGTAATTGGTACTGCAATGGGCACTTCACTTGCGCCTGACTACGCGAACCAAGGGGGTACCGGGAATTGAAGCCGTGACCCGAGGTAGAGGGGGGGGGGCTCTCTCAGAGTGCTTAAAAAAATTTAGCAGTAGTCCTCTTAAAATATGTTTTTAATGGCACCTAGCAACGGCGCATCACATCCACAAGCTTCAGACGTCTCAGACAGGATATTCGAAGCACTATTTAGGTGAACAATGGATATTTTTTTGGTTTCTGGTTCATCTCTTCTGATTTTTTTCATACGGCTCATGAACAGCAACAATGGCAAAAGGAAAGGTCAGTAGTATGATGTTTAAGTCCTCTATAGTCTCAAATACAGTTGATCATTCTACCTAGAATAAATAGAAGTAGGAGAAGATCAACTATGATGTGTCAGCAACCGTGAAATGCCCCAAGTGTGATGAAGATGTGCACGTCGGAACAGCGGGACCAGGACCAAGAAAAAAAGCCCTGCATGAAAGGACGCAAAGCAAAGAAAGAGAAAGGAAGGACACAGACATCGTTCCAGGTTGGAGTGAAGAAAATCCCCACATCATCACTGGCAGCGGCATCGAAAGGCTTAAGCAACTCCTCCAATCAGACCCAATCACCAGAGACGGGGCCTAAAGGAATTTTGAGGTTGCACCGATGGGGTGGCGCTGTGAGAATCACGCCCGCACGCGAAAACGTGCGCGCATGGCGTAGAATATGTCTCAGAGTCTTACTAGTACAGAATTGTCGATTCACATGTAGAAATGAGCAAAATTTGCTATGTTTTTCTTGGAATAACATATTTGAAGATGGGGGGGGGAGGTACTCAAACTCTTAAAAAAAAAAACCGACCCCGGGTAATTTATAAATTCCCGGGGCCCCCTTGACGCGAACCTCTTCCTAGCCGGGTATGAAGGTCCAGCGCTAAAAGAATTTCGCCGTATACTACTCTATTATGGTCACTTCATTGATGACACCTTTGCCATCATTGAAGGAAACCTAGAGGACGTGCAAAAATTCCAAAAGCGTTTCGGGGAACTACACCCCAATATGAAGATGGAATGGACCCAATCACGGTACAAACTGCCATTTCTGGATGTCAGCGTCTCCCTGGAGGTTGCTCCTGGAGTACTATACCAGTCTACCAAGCCTGCTATAGTAATGCGCGTCTTCCAGAAGGCCCTGAATGCCTATCTTTATATTCCCTGGAAATCTTGCCACTCTGATGCATCCAAAAGGTCTTGGGTGAAAGGCGAACTCATTCGCTATGTCAGACTATCTTCTCAAGAAGAGGACTTCAAAAAGATAGTCAAGATGTTCTCATCTCGTTTACAAGCTCGAGGATACCCGGGGAGATGGCTTCGGTCAGTCTTTTCAGGTGTGTCATATGCCAACGAGCGCCCAAAAGCACTCACCCCTCATACTCCTATACCTGAATGGGAGAACAAGGGCCGGCTGTATGTCCTGAAACTCATTCACAATCCACTGTGGGACTCTGTAGAATTCGGTCCCATATGGAAAACTCTGCGTGATGCTTGGGAGGAAACTGGGCTTGGAAAACCCGATGACCGCTTCCTTGCATCCTTTAAAAAACCAGAGGCTTTGAATGACCAATTGAATAAAATCAACCGTGAGACGATCGAGGCTTACCAAGCTGAATAAGCAATGACCGTTTGAACCCGTTTTTTTACACCTACTCTCGAACCAGCTGCCGGCGGTCCCTGCGGGACCACCGTATGCAGCTGCTCCTTCGAGTAGATGTAAAAAATTCGATTTTTGATAATAAAAATCCGGTTTCACCATCAGTCATTCCCTTTTGAGAGACGGAAATTTTATTCCACTTCATTCTATGCATTTGATACCGGTGATACGTGACTTTTAAATCACCTTTCAGCTGCCTGCAGCAGAGTCACCCAAAGAATAAATTGAATGAAGATAAATTTCAGTTTCCTATCACTCTAACAACCTACAAGCAATGGTAGACAATCTAGTACTCTACCATTGAGGGGTTAGAAATCAAAAGGGCCTCGAGAGTGAACTAAACGCGTCGAGTTCCATCGCGGATTCCGCAACTCTGAGGGCGCACACACGTGATCCCGTGATTCTGGGATAGTTACGTAATGTTCTTCTTGGTGGTAAAAGACCACCCCGCCGCCTGATGAGTCTCTTTAACAGACGAAACGTTGGTCTACGTCGCGGCCATAATCGTCCAAAGTCTCTAGAACGCCTTGCTCGTCAGCTCGGAGCTTCGCTCCTCACCTCCTCGCTCGAAGTTGGTGCATATCATCCGCTTCCTCTCATTTTTCAAATCTCAAAGCGACGGAGGATGTGAAATAATGATATATAATCTTCCTGACAGTCTATCGTACTTGACCTCTATGTTATGTTGCACCTACTTACGCACTCCCAGCTAAGCCAGCTTCTTTGGAAAGAGCATAGAAGGTGGATTGCGGATTAGCAAGAAGATTTGCTGGCGAATCAAGTTCAGATATCTGAAGAAATGACCCGCCAGTCATGATGATGTGCAAAGTAACTGAAATGTATAATCCACATACCCTTCCCGAGTCCATAACAAGAACACGATTTGAATCCATAATGGTATTAAGTCTATGACTGAAACATGCGAAAATAAGTAACAAATAACACTTAGGGTGAATGGAGAGGTAGTTACGCGATTGTCAAGATTGTTACATCAGTGAAGGCTGGGCCATGGATGATTTCTTGAATTGCTTGGTCGGTATCAAGGTCGACAGCAGATGTGGCTAAGAAGTCATTAGTGAATATCTTCAAACTTGGTTGGGAAAGCGCAATAAACATACCTTCGTCAAGAACAAGGATTTTTGACTAAGAATAGGAGGAAGCTCGATAAATTGAATATGGTTTGGCAGACAGCACCTACTTTGCGTAGCAATGCTCTTGAGAAGCATAAAAGCTGGCGCTGGCCAGACGACAATGATGAGCCTCCTTCTCTAACGGGACTGTCTAGGCTTGCGGAGAGCCCCTCAATATATTCCTTTAAATGAACCTAGAAAAGACACATTAGAAGGACATTAACCTAGCAAAAAAAAATACAATGTACCTGCTCAAGTGCAACCCATATATCTGCGTCAGAATATACTCCAAGTGGGTCAATGTTATCACGTATAGTTCCCTCAAAGAGATCTGGTGATTGTGGCACAATTGAAATAGCTGAGCGCACTAGATGCATGGAATTCAGCACTGATACAATCGATGACAGGGAGAACAACTCACAGTCATGAAGACCAATCTTTGTGATATCAATAGAATCTATGTAGATTGCACCTTCTGTAGGCTCAATAATCCGGAAGAGGGCGAGAAGAAGCTAGAACCAATTTCTTGAGGAAAATGGCAAGTAGAAAGACGAAAAGAAGCCCAACCGATGATTTTCCAGCGCCGGTCCTTCCACAGACACCAATTTTTTCACCTGCGCCCTAATGAAAGCAAAATTGAGACCAATGAGACCGCCCGAGTGTCCTTAGGTTGACATACGATAGCCACAGAAACGTCCTTAAGGACCAAATCCAATTCAGGACGATAACGTGTGGAATAATTTCTACAAAAAGGTCAAACAGGGACGCGACGGTTATAACGGAAAAACACACTCAAATATAACTTTGCCCTTGGTTGGCCATTCTTCAGCAGGCTTCATCGCGGGTATCTCCCATGGAGCTTCTGGTTCGACTTCCGTCTGATGAAGGATACGCTCAACGCTTACAATGTTTTGCTCGACCTCGCTGGCTGAACGAACAACCCAATTCTATGTTGAACATCAGCAGATGTATATATCAAAAAAAGGAGAACCCACCAGTGAGGAAGTTGTATTCAATGCATATGACAAAACAAGGCCAACTAGACCAGCATCTACACCCGTCGTGATGAGAGCTGACACTGCAAGTAAAGCAGTAACCAGAATAATCATTGCGCCAACAAACTCTAGCCTTATTGCAAGCCACCGGTTCACTGAGATGCTTGGCAAGTAACAAATTTGATTGCGATCAATCCGATGGTGGTTTGTAGCCAAAAAAATCAACTGTTGGTTGAATGCTCGTATGGTAGATAGGCCTGAAAGTGATTCAGAGAACCACTCAAAGATCGGAGATCGACTGACAGCATCAAGCCGTTTTAGCTCTCGTGAAGTCGCAAGATAGTACCTATTAAGAGACAGTCAACGAAAGGCAGCCGAGGTAGAAAGAGAAAGCAAACTTTATAACTGTCGTGTAAAACCAACCCAAAGGGACGACTGCAATCAAGAACAGTGGAAAGCTGCATCCAATGACGACGGCGATCGATAAACAGACTGCGAGAGTACGCGATAAGCCTGAAATAACTCGGGCAAGAATTTGGTCGACGACATATATATCTCGCGAAAACAAGTTGAGAATTCTGCGCCAGGGGCTCAATGTTGACCGGGGGATCGATAAAGAAAAGCGCACCTTCCTGTTGGCGTTAACTCAAAGAAACTTAGTGGCGCACGCAAAAGCGAATCCAACATCTGGATTATGTCAGTATCAAAAGATAAACTATGTGAGGAACATACAGAGTCATGGAGATGTCGTGCGCTCCTGAGGGTGCAATGAACCCATAGCAAAATGGCCGAAATGGCTCCCAAAATGCTCGAGGAAAGCGAAAAGAGACCATAGGCGAGTAAGTATTTGAACATGCCTGAATTATTGCCATTCATTTGGTTGTGTTCTCCCCAGTAACGCAAGGTAAGCGTGGCAAAGACAGACATTGCTTGCTGAGCAACTGTTGCCATCAAGAAGAAAGTGAACCCAACTAAAGAAGCTGACAGGATATATTGCTTGTACACATGCATTTTCACCTGACCTCGTTCCTGATGCTCTTTTGACAAGCCGACCGAGTGGACTTGAAACCGGCCATCTTGCGCTATTTTTGCCTTAGTAAAACTCGTCCTACGATGCAACTTTTCGGAAATAATGCTTGAATCCGAAAAAGATTTGTCCTGGACGTCGTCGCTTGGAGTCGCGGGGTCAGCGGTAAATGGAGTGGAGTACCCAGAAGAGCTACTGAGGGTACCATGGCCTTTCCTAAATAAGTTGTGAGTCGTGCAGTTGTATAAAAATACTGACAGCATACACCAGTTTGGAGACTTCCCGGTCTGGATCAGCCACAAGTGCCTCATACGTCCCAGATTCAAGGATGATCCCTCGACGAATGAAAATTATGTTATCGAATTGCTTCAGAAATGCAATTCCATTTGTAACCAAAATGCGAGCTTTGCGAGAAAGAAGTCCATTCGGTCCAATGACATTATCTTGTCAACAACTCGATTAATCAATATTCAATGAAGCATAATTAAAAGGTTTACCAAACACATGGCGGGCTACGTGGCTGTCCACAGCTGACAGGCAGTCATCAAGGAGGGTCCTGAACATGATAAGTTTCTATGACCATGAGACAAAAAAAAACTTACAGGTCAGCCCTCGCGTACACTGCACGTGCAAGCGCGATGCGAGCTCGCTGGCCGCCGCTAAGCTACAAAAAACGATAGTGGAGGGTATATTATTCGTTGAAGCTGCACGTACAGTTATACCTGTTCACTTGATTGATGAGTGCATCACAAAAGGAATAACTGATAAGATATATACCCTTTTCGCCAACCTCCGTCAAATCGCCTCGAGCAAACAGCGCAATATCTTGGCTAAGGGCACATGCTATGTAAAATAACGTGAGTCCAGATCTATAATAGATGTATAGAAGTCCGTACCATCGATAACCATGTTGTAAAACGTCTCCTCATACTCGTGGGAGAAAAGAATGTTTTCTCGAACAGTTGCTGACATGATCCTAGGGGGATGTTTTGGGTTGAACAATTCGAGATTGATCAGAGATGCGTACCATGGATTCTGAGAAGCATAGGCAACACTACCGCGAACTATGACTTGCCCCTCTCTACGAGTCATGTCACCAATAATTGCAGATAATAGGCTCGTCTACATCTTCACGTAAGTGTGTGATGCAAGAAGGGTGTCGTCACCTACCTTTCCAGCCCCGACGCGTCCTAGTATTGCGACTAGTTCACCTTTTTTCACCAAAAGGTTAATCGCTTCCAAAGTTGGCTCAATCGCTTGACTGGACCATGAGAAATCAGCATCCTTGATTGTCAGCACCTACAAACGACACTTTAAATTGCTTATAAAAACGACAAGAAAAAACAATGCTCACCACATCATCAAATTGCAACTCTACCGATTGTTCCAACTTTCGAGCGTGCGGTTGCAGTTCCTCCGCAGTCAGAAAAGATGATAAGCGCTGAACGGAAACTATTGCTTCTATGATATTAGATGTGACTTGACTGAACTGTAATGAAGGGTATGTTCGGTTAAGTATACTTAGACAGAAAAATCAAACAGACCATAGCAAGGGGAAACTGTAAAAGCATAAAGAGTGAGATCGCAGGGAATATTACATCCGAAGTGAGAGGCTGGGATGACGTGATCGCAGCAGTGGCGAATGAGCAAAATGCTACCAGAAGAGGAATCCCACTCCACAGTGCCGAGTTACATGCCTTGATTCCAAGATGATTCAGCATCAAAACAAGTCCGCAAAAGGGACGCGGCTAACTGTCACAATACCAATCTTCTTTAACATTTTCAATTCTTGGCTATTTCGGGTCTGAAGGATCTTCCTGATAAAGGTATACTCCCAGGAATATAGTTTTATGCTGACATCTCCGATTAGCAATACTGGTGGAAGTGCTGATTGAAGACCTGCCTTTTAATGTTGGCGAGGAGCTCACTCATCAGGCGAGTCCGCTTATCCCGATTTTTCATCTGCTGCTCCTGTAACCCTTTCAATATCCGCGCGATAGCTAGATATGGTATAAGGGATAAAAACAACACGGTGAAGCCAGGAAGAGTTACGCACAAGTATTAATTGGGATCGAAATTATCATAATACCGACACCAACAAAAGCTGACCATCCGAGCAAGTTGTAAAGGGAAATGAACGCCAGAGTGATCTTGCCTATTGGGTTAATAAACAGGCGATTCTGTAGAACGCTACCTTTACCTGTATTGGGCCGGAGATCGAGATGAGACCGTAGGTACAAAGATCTTGCAACCTAGTAGCATCAACGGACATGAGGTTTACAATGTCGCCAGACGAGCGTGTTCGCTCGTCGTTAGAAAGCACAAGAGCCTTGGAGTATATTGCCGTCACGAGACCTGCCCGTACCCGCATTCTATGCGGGAGCTAAGAAATGTGTTTGGTATTATCAAACATGCACTTACCCAGTCTCGTAAGCTCGTTGAAAATACTGGGGAAGGGAGGGGGGTTAATTCCCATAAACTCGAGCAGAACCGGCAGTATTCACCTGATTGAGAGTGATAGTTTGGACAATAGACGCTATAAACATAATGCCCGCTATGGAGAATCCTTCCAAAATACTTGGCTTTTGGTCATCGTTGATCGGCAAAAATCGAGCCATTTGGTAGCGAGATATGTACATCAACAACAACCGGAGAAGTTGGGGTTGAAGAAATGCGAGTACGTCTTGGATAATTTTGAGGCCGGCTGCGACAGCATAGGGTCCTCCGTAAGCGACGAAGAGCGCTTTCCAAAGGGTGCTAATGGATTGTGAGTCCAAGAAAAAATTGTTTAGAAAAGAACTTAACTGATTCTTCAATGACTTGTTTAGCTCATTTCCCAAATTGATGGATTCATCGGCAGATTTCAAGGGTGGAAGGTCGTCTTCCGTGATGAATTGAGCTGTTCCCTTTTGCATAAGAGGCGTCATCCATGAAAAGAACTTTTACGTCTTATCAGTGAAGAGTTCTGGTATATGAAACGAAATGCCAACCCAAATGCTAAAAATATTAGCCGTAAGAATCGGGTTTTCATGGAAGTTTTTGGGGTCACTGTCGCGCCCTGGCCCCAAACATTCTATGACGAAAGAGATGAATCCGAAGCTAGCCGTTATGCATTTCAACGACAGAAGAAGTTGTATGTCGCTCTGATTCGTCAAAACCATGGTGCGGACCCAAATTGAAAGTCCGGCGAGATAAAGTGGCCAGAATAGTAATAGTATCGATGAAGAGGTCCGCATTCTGGTATGGTTGAAATATGTAAGAGCGACAGCCATGGCAAGAGCCGCAGGCTCGAGAATGTATGTTTGAAATATAGCAACATCTTCACGGAGATAGATGGCAATAGTGAGATTGCCCACACTACCCATAGTTGATATTCCAAGCGATGCCTTTCAAACGTAAATATTTTGCCGAATGAACTCGAAAAGATAGCGCACAAGTTTTGCCCATAAAAGCCACCGGCTGTTCCTGGTGTTCAGTTGTGGTTGCGAACAGGTAGTGAGGACTCTAACAAGACTCAAGACGAGTAGGCTTCCAAGTAGTGCGGCCAGGACGATGCCTTCTTCGAAACAGGGTGTTGAGTCGAACACTCGAATCCGTGATACAGCGTTCCAGCCCTCAGCATTGTGGCAAGTTACAAACCAAGTCATTGCCATAGGACTGGAGGAAAAGGCAATGTCCTCTTATACGGTATTTTATTTTTTTAACCAACATGCTGACTAACAAGTGCATTGTCAACGCCCCAAAACATACACAGGAAACTACCAAGCAACTACCAAAGCTCGGGTCATATAGAAAACTGTTCATAGCTTGCACATAAATAAAGCATATATCACATCGCGGTGATGCCCTCCTTCACTTTCGATCAACCACATCGTCTTCAGCATCACTAGCCATTGTTCGCCTTGAAAATGCCGCCGATCTCCCAACCACGCTCGAAGGTCGTCGGACGGGGCTGCCAGATAATCTGTTGATCCTCTGATTTGTGGATGGATTAGCGTTACTTGGCTGACTCCCAGAAACGCTTGTCCGATTCAAGTTCTGGACCAAACTTTGCACATTTCCACTCGACGGAGGTCTTGGTCCTCGTGCAAGTCTGGGACCCCGAAGACCAGCCGATGTTGTTGATTGCGCTGAACCTGAGCGAGAGATGGTTGATTTCCCGGTGCCCAGAACGACATCACCATCCGGTGGTGAAGGACTTCGAGATGTGACCTTAGGGCTATTGCTTCCACTGAATCGCTTCTGAGGTGTTGCGGCGATGATCGAAGGGGTCGGAGGAGGGAGAGGCGGTGTAAGTGCAATAGGGACCTCAAGTTCCTTGGTGGGGAGGTCAGCAGGCTGTGTCACTGGGGGAGCCAGCTCGTCGACTTCTGGAGGAGGTTCCTTGAAACTGGGCCGCGGAGGGAGATGATCATCTTCCGGTGGGGGTTCTTTAAACGAAGGCCGAGGTGGTAGACCTTGATCGATGTTGGCTACAGGCGGAGGTGGCGGTGGCAAGATGGGTGGAGGTGGTGGGGTCTTTAGCTTTTCCACGATCGACGGAGGGGGTGGCGGTGGCGGTAGCTGAGTGACCGTTGGAAGTTGTGCAGGCGACACGGAGACGGCAGCAGCCAATACCGGAGGTGGTAAAGGCGGTAGTTCTGGGGATTTAGCAGATTTAACAAGGGATGGATTCTGAGCAACTTGTTGCGCAGCAAGAAGTTGTTTTGCATCGGCACCCACGGAAATTCTGCTTCTACTCAGACGCATATCAACAGGCGCAGTGCGCTTCCTGATTGGAACTTTTCGCTCCGATTCCCGTTTCTTGCGTGCAATGGTTGGTGGGAGGAGTACGTCATAGTTCTTGACAAGATCAATAAACAAAACTGAGTAAATGTAGAGGTTAATAAGTGTTTGGAGAGAGCGAGCTATTAAACTTACGGGTGGGATGACGATCTTGAATTGAGATCTCGGACTCGGTTTTAGGTCTGATAAAGCCTGTTGATACGGAGAGCGTTAGGTGTTTTTCCAAAAATGGAGTTTAACACTCACAGCGACCAATGGAAAGAGCAAGCTTTGCGATATAAACATCGTCGGATTCCTCCGTGAAGGTGTCCTTAATCAAGCTTCAAAGTATTGTTAGTCGGTGTGGAGCTTATAGAGGCAAAGAGATCGCACATCTTGATGTGTTTTATGATAGCATCGAGAACATACAGATGAACTCTTGGCAACCTTTGCAAAGCAGCACCCAAATTCTGTAATCTTAACTCTTCCGACTCCTCGTCATGTTCCTTTGCTGTCGCACCCACTGTTGGGTAGAGCCTACGAAATTCTTCCCAACCCTCATATAAGGCCAAAGGGGGATCAAGTTCCAAGGTCCACAGTTTAATGGTGCCAGCGATAACCGGCGCATCAAAACGCTCTAAAAGGTCGTCAGGGAAGGGTTCACCAGGAGTCAAAGCGTTTAGACTCTCTCGAAGGTGGTGCAATACGGGTAGGGGAACCTCATATATCCAAGATTTGCGTTTCTCGTCATCGTTCGGGAGGCGCGCGTAAGCATTATTCAGCCCATTCAAAAGTGCCCCAAGGACCGGTGGAATTGTGTCTTTCTTTTCTTCTCCAGTCGTGAGGGCATACCAGCCACCCTCTGCCCATTTTCGGAGGTCAATACCGAAAACAACGTCCGACTCATCATGTGCGACGGATTCATAAACTTGAGGTGCTGGTCTAAATGGTCCCGTGCGGTAACGCTCAATTAAAGCTGTCAAGTCCGACTCTGGCTGATACGCGGCGATGAGAGTCGCAGATCGCTCTATCGAGGGTTCAATTGATTTAGGGAAGTTCGCTAGAGTTCCTTGATATTGAAGAAGGACTGTGAAACGAGGGGAAGGAATCAGAAAAGCACTTGTCGCTGCAAGCCGAAAACTTTACCTGTTTTCACGGCTCTTAACCTCTCTGTTTCCCATCTTTGTAACAGCTTTAGAACTTCCTCAATCCTTTCCTCAAGCCCAAGCCGTTGTCTGTCAAGCCTTCGTACAGCAACTCTGTACGTCCTGTCAGCTTCATCGGCCTCGTTCCTCGCCCGTAGGTAGGCTGGCTCAGTATTTGAGCTGTTATTCAACGCCTTACTTACGAGGCTGACGAAGGTTCCAGTCCGTTTGAGTAAGTTGTCTGGTTGCGATGCTTTCAAGGCAGTTTCTGTGCCGCTGGCTTGCAGGTCAAATGCCTAATTGAGGATTGTTGTCAATGAGAATTTATTTGTCCGAGAGGTTGTCAAGTACCTTTGGTCGAAATTGATAAAATGCATCATCAGAATGCTCGAAGTGGTTCCCAAATTCGCCAAGCCTTCGTAAAAGACCCTCCCGTTCCGTCAAATCTCTTGCCGCTTCTTCGGAGCGGTCGAGGCTGCCACCAAAGCCTTGAACATTCTCGTTTAACCACGCCACAAATTCTTCTCCCGTGAAGGCATCTTGGTACTCTCCGAGTAGGGGGAAGCGCACGGGTCTGAGAGGGAGCTCAGCCGCTGCTCGTGTAAGCAACTGGGAAATTGCGGCAACCGGAAGAGAAAGACCTGCTAAAAGGATAGGTGGCGGAGGCATGGGTGGAGTCGGAGAGGACGGGATTTCAACCCTGGGCGGAAGTAGGGGTGACATCTGGGGAGGGGATGAGATTTCCGGGATAGTGTCTACGGCCTTCGCTTTTCCTTTGTCTACCTTCGGGAGCGGCGTTTCGTCAAGCGAATCTGAAGAAGCGTTAGGATCTTCAGTAGAAGTTGCAACAGTTAGAGCATCGGTGCTCTTCTTTTGGATTTCCTTGAGTCGCTGAGCTATGCGCTCCGAAACGCTTGCCGTGCGTTGAGGAGGAGTACGATGTCCGTCTGCGGGACGTATTCTCGGCGAAGAAGTGTATTTGTCAGAAATTCCATTACTGTGGGGCGCAAACTTTGCACTACGGGGAGGGTAAGTTGCGGTGCCATTGGAAATGACGACGGGCGCACTCGTCTTCTGCTTCATCAGCACGGCGTGTCTTTGCAAGGTACTGATGTTTGAGTTTTGCGACGTCTCCTTGAGACTGCTCATACAAACGAAGCCAGTTGTCCATGATGGAAACCCTGTTTGCCCTGAGGCGTTCCTAAGAATTGGAAATCAGAACCACTCATATATATATATAATCATTTAAACCTTGTAATCTTGGGCCCATTCATTGAAGGGGTCTGCCACTAGAGTAGTAAGTTCTTTGGATATGCTCCTGTGAGCCTGGCCCTGGGCAATGGACTCGGCCTGAAGCCCCCGGAAAGCCATGAGTAAGGAAACACCATCATCAGCGGAGAAACCGGTGCCTATGCTAAGTGTGAGCGGTGTGGTATAAAGATAAGAGGCGGAAACACACCTGGTCGGCCAGTGAGAATTGGATTGATGAGACTGTTGGCAAGGTATGCTTCGATGTTCGCGCGAGCCTAAAAATAGGAATGAGTGTCCAGAGAGGTGTACAAGGATGATGTTTACTCTTATAAACGCGATGATTTCGTCGTTTTCGTGAACTCCCTTGTGTGAGAGGGTAAGTATGGTAGAAAAGCGTCAAAAGCCAAGACGGAGCTGACTTGTTCAAGCTTATCAAACAGAACATGTAGCCCTCCCCGGTAGTCCTGGGACCAAAAGGAATTTGTAAAAGTGAGGGGAAGTGAGAGGACTGCCATGGTTGTCGTGAGGAAGGCAAGGCGGGCCTTGGCAGGCGTGTGTCCGACGGTAGTTTGGAATACACGTGACTCGGGTATAGCCGAGAAGTGCACGACAAAATTTGGGACAGCAAAGGGCGCGTGCTACGCCGTACGCAACAAGTTGGCAATACTCAAGCAATACTCGCCGTTTACTGGCCTTTTACTCGCCGTTTACTCGCCTTTTACTCACAGTACTTTGCTGTGTACTTGCTGGTTTCTTTTCTACTCATGAGCCATGTTCAAAAGCGTCTTGTCACCACTGCAGCCAAGCTCGCGTCCCTCTCCGCTACAAACCTTACCAAATTTCCCCCAAAGCAGGCTCTCATAGTCAAGTCCGACGTCCCTCAATCAACTTTTAATCCAGAGATATGGGCTTCATTGCAACCGCCACCCCCACCTGCACTCTCCGCGTTCGCCCACAGAATAGGACTCGCTTCGATTCTCACCTCCACAGACCTAATACAACAGGCTTGCACACACCCCTCCTTCACCGCTCTCTATTCCCAACATTATCCACGGGAAACACCACCTAGTACCAACGCCCAACTCGTCATTCTTGGGAACTCTTTGCTTGGTCTCTTTGCAACCGAGTATCTCAATGCCAAGTACCCATACCTCCCTACCAGAGTACAGAAAGCAGCTCTAACAGCTCACGTGGGTCCTGCCACCTGCGCTAGTATTGCACAAGAAATGGGCGCCACTCCTCTGGTGCGGTGGCATCGTACAGTTCGTATTTTCTCTTGGCCGAGATATCTCAACCCTGATGAGCGTTGCCCAGCCGAGAACCTCAACCCGACCCAGCGTTCTACATACGGATGCGCTCGCCTCGGTACCAAGAGCACTCACCGCCCTCGTTTACCAGCAGCGTTCTTTGTTTTCTGCCCGAAAATTCGTGCATTCTTATTTCCTCAGTCGCCAAATAGACCTCCGCGGAATGCTCAAATTTCTCGACCCTAAAAAAGCTCTTCTGGAGATGGTGAAAAAATTTGATCGAGAGAAACCAAAATCACGGTATGCTTCTCAGCAATCTATCCCCGACCTGGTTGTTAATTTGTGTGCAAGACTGCTCAAGGAAACCGGCCGTTTTTCTAATTCACCAGTTTTTGTCGTGGGTATTTTCTCTGGTGCAGACCAGCTTGGAGAAGGTTTTGGTAGTTCATTGAAAATGGCTGAGTTCCGCGTTAGTCACTTCACGCTCCCGCTTTGGCTCCTCTCTGAACCATTTTTTAGGCCGCAGAAGATGCTCTTCATCGGGTATATCTTACACAAACACCGGATGATCTCCTTCAATTACCAACGTCGACCTTTTCTCGTAGCCCGGGAGACGTCTTTCACGACGATCCGGCTGATGCGGAAAACGATTATACGGCCCCAGACTTGACTATAGCTGAGATTATGTACGCGAGCTCAGGCAAGAGTAAGGTTGCGCCCATAGGACATTAATTTATCATGGAGTAATAAGCACTAAACCTTTCTTGGCAAAATTCCGATGATCCAGTGAAGTTGGTCATCGAATTCCTTTCAAACCTTCTCTAACAGTACTGCGCTCTCCTAAAAGTGCCATAATTTGCCATCTTTGATCACGAACCTCTCGGTCCTTAAGGACCACAACATCTTCACCTCCGTCATCCTGACAGTCATTTCTCAGTTCATCGTGAAATCGTCATGTGTTGATTGGTACATACCGAGGCAGAAGGTAAAATTGCAAGTCGCATTGCAGCTGCAGATTTGTTGGGAAGGTCAGCGGGTGACAAGGAAAACAATGTCTTGAAAGAGGACGGCACGAGCACAGGTGGTTTTTGAGGAGCATGGTGGTGTATTGTTGCAGTAGATGATGATAACTGTCTTGGAGTTGATGGCGAGATAGAGTTGATGGCGTGTGATGTCGATGTGAGGGTAAGGGCGTGGGTGATCAATTGCTTTAGTTTTGCCTCACAAGCAAGGTTCATCAGAGAAGGCACGGTCCGTGAAGGTGCACAAAGATTGTTCTGTGCACAGATGAGATTGATTCTATCCGTGATGTGTTGGATTGTCGGGGCATGCGTCGTTGCATGTAGTTGAATTGGGGGACGACCGCCCGCCGGGACTAAAACCTCGTGAAAATCATGATTACACAAATGATAATAGGCCACACACCTCCGCGTTCTGGGAGAAGTTCTACACCTCTCTCACAAGCGATCTCATCAAGTTCCTTGCGGGGTTGAGGGAAATCAGTGGGAGGCGCGAGATTTTGAAGGCTCTGTAGTCGTTCACGTTCGCGTTTGCCCATTGCTAGTGTCCAACGTTTCAAGCGCATAGATCTGAGGCTTCTAGCATCTTCGTGTGTATGAGGACCTTGATATGGCAGAAGTGTTCGTCTTCGTTTCCGTGGCGGTGGCTTGGGAGCGGCAGGGGCTGGTGGTGTTGGTGGTCGCTTGAGAGTAGCGGTGGCATCAAATAGAGAAATGATAAGTGCGTTATGAATTTGTACTGGAATTCAGTCATAAATCAATGACGTTGTGAGAGAATAAATAAAACGGACTAACGGAGACTGGGTGTGCTGAGGACCTGTTTAATCATTTCCTCGAACTCTGCTCTCGACGTTTTTCCTATCACAAAGCTGCTAAGAGCCTCAAAGTAAACAGGAGATCTCGAGCCAAGATTTGCGATAAGCTGCTGCTTCAACGTAGACGTCGATGAGAGTGACATGACTGAAGGAGTGCAATCAGAGGAGTGCTTATGTATGATTGCCATAGTTGGCGCGGCCCCAATCACGTCAAAACAAAGAAAGCCCTGGGAATCTTCGAACACTGTACGATTTAATGGGATCTCCCGGATCCCTACCGCTTTGGGAAGGTGCACGTGACCACGTGACCTGGCGCGTCGCGTCCTTTCTTCTTCCTTTCCTCCTCCCCCGCCACTTCGTCCCCTCCCGAAATTTCGCTTGTAGTACACTATTTGTATTTATTACATGTCAAAATACAATTTTTTTCTCAGTTCTGGCTTTTCCCTGGGCAAACATGCAGTCTTGTCCAAAATGGACCTCACGGTGCATCCTTGATTGGAGCCTGGGCACTGTTGAATTCTTGGGAAAAATACAAAACTTGTAGAATACCTTGAATGCACCTGCCACTACATGTTCACCACTTTTTTTGCTCTTCAGAGAGATATTTGGAAGGTGGTTTGCTGCAAGAGACTGAAAATAAGTCAGAAAAGCACACATAAGTCGACATAAGTGCTTATGTGTGATGGATTTAGCTTAAATCAAGTTCAATTTAGTGGATTTAATGCCCCGTGATGCTAACCAGCTCAATTTAAGGTGCATTTCCATGAGCTGGCCTATCAGGGCCTACCCCCTGCACCCAATTTAAGGGTCTTTCAGCTCAGGGACCTAACCCTCTGCTATATCACATTGACTGTATGTTTTTGTTCCTTCATTTTGGCCTTAAATTCATGTAATGCCCATAATATTGCAGGTAATAATATTTACATGAGATGTAGTATACTAGGGGGGCAAAAAAAGAAGTTTTAAAACTAAACCTGACCTTCCATTTCCCAAGATTGATGAGGTCTTCCAGAGGAGAGCACAGGAGTCCCAAATGTCACATCAGGTGTTGGGTGAGGTATGGCAGAGTCAGCACAATGGTGTTGAACTTCAGGCAACGTCACAATGAACTTGAATGGTGACTGTTGAAGGGACAAACACAGAAAAGTGGGGTAATGATGGGTGTGGAGAGAGAGCAGGTGATGGTAGCCTGGGTGGCAATGAAAACACTGTTGTGTGCACAGACAGTCAAGACCATTGAAAATACATGATATCAGTGAAGGCATTGTATCATGCAGACATACCTTGTAGAACCCCACCTCACAACCCTTCTCCTATGTTTCAGCTAATCCCCACTGCCCGATGTGTGTTGTGGCACATTGTTTCCCATTACAACTGTAAGAGGGCCAGAGAACTGACACATAACCGTTACACCAAAAGGCAGATAACTGAACAGTTAATTGTTCAGTCACACGGTTCTATATATGGTGTTGGACTCTGATCCTGTAGGTTACGGCACAGTAGGTAAGCTGACCAGGATTACAACAACATCATGTTCAAGCGCTTGGAGGCAAGAACCTGGTGGGAGCCAAGACCTGCGTGGCATAGTGTCAATCACGTCATGTAATGTCGAGCATGTTGAGTAATGCATAATATCAAGTGTGTTGCATAGTGTCAAGTGCGTCACGTGGTGTCAAGCACGTGGTGTAGTGTCAAGCGCGTCACATAGTGTTGAGTGTGTGGCCTGGTGTTGAGTGTATGGCCTGGTGTTGAGTGTGTTGCCTAGAAGGGTTGGCCACAGCAAAGAGGGGGTCAAGAGAGATAGAGGCAAGAGGAAAGGGATGGAAGTCAGGGTAGAAGGGCTTTGGAAGGGCTGGAGGAAAGTGATTTCTCATGGAACATGGAATCCGCTGATGGGCGCAATTTATCAAATTTAACATTCAGTACCTTAAATTGAGTGAAATAATTGTACTTATCATAGAGATATGATTTAGAGTGCTTTAGAATCGTCTCGGCGAGCTCTAGGTCACCCCATAGTTTATTTTATAAGAAAATGAAAATTACATCATATTGCTGGAGGGTAGGTTTCAACCTAATATTTGTTGAATAGCAACTTGATAGCAACTGAAGTTGCCTTCACAGTGTAGGTAAGAGCCTGTTCAGCAACCAGATTCTCTGACAAGAATCTGGTTCAATTCTTTCAGATTCTTGTGACATGATGTGACCTCTCTCATGACACTTCAGTCACCCACTACCAACTGACTTTTAGTCTTGCAAACTCCATGAATACTACGGGACTAAATGTCAGTATGTACAGTTGAGTGCAAAAAGAATGAAGGTTGGTTCATTTTTCTGGTTCTTTCTAAGAATCTATTGTACCTCAAATGTATTTGTGTATTCTTTTACATTATGTAGTTGTGTTACACTTCCCTTGGTATGGACTAATTTCAGTGAAAGCTGGAGCCTTGAGAAGGTTTTTATTCTGGAGGCCATTTTTGGCATCTGAAAAAAAAAATATGTGCTAACTGGGGAGGTAGCCAGAACATACCTCTGGTCAACCTGAATGAGCCTATCAAAGAATTAGTTAAAAATACTGAGCAGTTATGCTTGTAAAGCCTCCAGAAAATGGTCATTTTGTGCTATTTTGGTCATTTTTGGCCTGTTTTAGACAAAACAAGCCATTTTCCAAAGCGTCTACAGACCTAACCGCTCAGTATTTTTGACTGATTCTTTGATAGGCTCATTCAAGTTGACCAGAGGTATGTTCTGGCTACCTCCCCAGTTAGCGCATATTTTTTTTTTCAGATGCCAAAAATGGCCTCCAGAATAAAAACCTTCTCAAGGCTCCAGCTTTCACTGAAATTAGTCCATACCAAGGGAAGTGTAACACAACTACATAATGTAAAAGAATACACAAATACATTTGAGGTACAATAGATTCTTAGAAAGAACCAGAAAAATGAACCAACCTTCATTCTTTTTGCACTCAACTGTATATCTATATTGTATATATTCTGGGGCTTGTACACTAACTGGGAAAAAAGAATGTCTGGTCATTTTTTGGACAAAGTTGGTGCTGTAACACAAGAACAAAACATTTTCAGAACTAAGCTCTGGTGTATGAGACATAGCTAAGGAGGTTTAGATTGTACATACCAAGTGTGGGGATGAATGAATGAAAACTCAGGATAAGGCAGAGCATTCACTGTGACAACTTCCAAAAATGGGATTTGACAAAATGGGAAATTCTGAATGACTGCAACCTACTGGAAGCAATTCACAATTTGAAGCAGAAATATTTTAAACACTCAATCTCCCTGCTATTGTCATAAGCCCCATAAAGTCTCTGAGATATAAAATTCTATAGTCTCCCCAAAAAAGTGAATTTGAATTGATTCCCCTCCTTGGACATTTGCAGTTGCAAATATTGCCCAGGATTGATAGGAGAAGGTATCTATTGTCATAGTATTGTACATATACATAACTATTACTGTTCCATGATCTGATTTGACCACATTGCCAGGAATAAAGCATTTAATGGCTAATAAAACTTCAAGAAACTGTGAAAATTAAGAGACATATAGTCAATATGGTTCCCAGAAACCCTGCTTCCAAGGGGTTACAGTTAATACTTGTGTAAGAGGCCATTGCAAGCATGGCAGGAACGAGTCCTATTTTGCAAGAGTGGTAGTAACCCATTTCTGCTTTCTTTTTGCTTTTTTTCTGGATTTGTAGCTATATTTTTTACAAACTAGTATATCTTTCTATTTGAGTGTCACTCTGGGCTTCAAGCAGAGTACCTCAGTATCATCACCATCAATGAGCAATATTTCTTATTTGGAAGTCTATTTAAAATTGACATCATCACTATCAATCAGCACCATCCTCAATTTTCTCTGATTTCTCTGCCATGTTATGACTATTTTTATTAGCTTACCATATTTGGGTATCTACTTTAAACCCTGAACACATTATCTAATGATGATCCTACAATCAAAGAGTGCATACTGCAAGAAAAACCATGTCATTTGGACCAGAAGTGGCAGAGCTAGGTAGAAATCTTCAAGATAGATTAGTAATCATTCAGCATGTGCAAACAACTTTACCTCCTGCATGGTAAATTTGTTTGCATTTGTTTTTGACCATGTGATAACATGTGGGTTGAAGTTCGGTATACAGAAAACAACATTTCCTGAGAGTACATATGTCATTTTAGACTATTTATTTGTATTTACCTACATTTAGCCTCATTTCAGAATGATCCTACAATCAAGGAGTGCAGACTGCAAAAAAAACCATGTCATTTGGACCAGAAGTGGCAGAGCTAGGTAGAAATCTTCAAGATAGATTACTAATCATTCAACATGTGCAAACAACTTTACCTCCTGCACAGTAGGTCTGTTTGCATTTGTTTTTAACCATGTGATATCATCTGGATTCAAGTTCAGTATACAGAAACCAATCTGAGAGTACACATGTCATTTCAGACTATTTATTTGTATTTACCTACATTTATCTACATTTCAGAACAATCCTACAATGAAGGAGTGCATACTGCAAAAAAACCCATGTCATTTGGACCAGATTTGGCAGAGCTACATATAAATCTTCATTTTCGCTAAAAATGATGACTAAGCGATGACGTGCGCCAATGATCGTCTGAACCTGCGCTGGGGTTCAGACGATCCTTGGCGCACGTCATAATTTGGCATCATTTGGCTAACCCTTCGGCTTTTGCGTGCAGCTCATATTAGCAATTTTGAAAGAAAATACTGTAACTCTGTCAAATCTACTCCGAATTACATAAAATAAAATCCAGAAAAAAGGTAAAATTCCGCGCAATTGTATTACTTAAAATGCTGCACTATATATTACATAATTGGCATGTCATTGCCCAAGTTATACCTGCAATTCTGAAAGAAAATACTGCAACTCTGTCATATCTACTCCAAATTACGTCAAATAAAATGGATAAATAATATACAACTGCAAGCATTATAATCACATACATTGTAGTAGTATGCATTACATAATTGGTCCTCAAAAAGAAAAAAGCATCTATAAATGTATTCACAAGAAATGCTGCAACTTACTGGATACCACTTATACAACATCACAGTAAGTGCTCACAAAATGTCTCAATCCAACACTGGTGACTTACCTGCCTATGCCTCCTGAGCATACATCACATCCTACGGTTGTTGACATTCAGCTGATGGTACAAATCATGGTAAGTGTTCATGAAACCTCTCAATGCATTTTCAATGACTTACTCATGTCATAGACCTCTGAAGCATATGTCATGTCCATCGTCATACCTCGTATTGAACACTGTTGGCTTGGTGTAGATAAATCACAGTTGGTTGTGTGATGATGGTGGCGGATCTTGGTGGTCAGAGGTAAGTCACTATCGTTAATTGTTTTGATGGATCACACTCACCTTGACTTGGCTGGAGGGCATTGATGGGGAAGGGGATTCAGAAAAGACACAAGAAAAGGAGGGATGTACATACAATGTCAGAAAGGAATTTGGACAATAACATCTTCGCATCATTAAGTCCTATGTATTCCTGTAAAGATGTATAAGATTAGTAACATAGATATATGTCTGAGCAAATAATGCAGTGTGAAGTTCTATTCCTGATATATGAGCTTAGTAAAATAAGAAGAGGGAGAAGGTATACTTACAAGAGGATGGCTGTGACAAAAAGTAGAGATGGCAGTGGGCATAAGCATCAACAGCAGTGGATGCAAAGGTACATTGGTGTTGTGCCATTCGTTCATGTCATGAAATTCTATTTTGTAAGGACATACAAAGTTAGTAAGAGAAAACACAAGAGATGGATGAAATATACGTACAATCAACACATAAGTAAGATATGTACTTACGACACAAGAAACAAATGGAAGCAATTCGGACATTAACACGTTTGTGTCATTAAGTCCTACATGTTTCTGTAAAAACATATAAAGTTAGTAAAATAGGTAGTAGGCATTGAGCAAATAACGCCAAATTATGACGTGTGCCAAGGATCGTCTGAACCTGCACTGGGGTTCAGACGATCCTTGGCGTACATCATAATTTGGCATTGTTGCCCATCCAGACATCTTTCAACTTGAACAAACAAATCCACCATGCGTGCGGTGGATTGGTTTACATTTGTTTGAACCAGACACTGTTATCTCTCATTACCTTTGGTGTTCTGAGGTGGTGAGTTCCTCTTGTCATCTCCCCCCTTGCAGTTGAAGGTCTTTGGCAGTTGATGTGGATCAGCCCCAGCAGACGATGCATGATGACAATGACAATGCACAACGACAGCGGATGACACTGCACAACGATAGCAAATGACAAGGGTCTGAACTTTTCGCAAGTAAGTTCCCAGTTACCCCTACACATTCTTGAGTACCGCTGACTACCATTGATGCTCACGCATCCTCTGGTAGATTTTTGATACTCTCAACCCACATTGTACCAAGGACCTATGTCCATCACCTGCTCGTCATAGCTGACATCCAGTGGCATGAGGAACAGTGCAGGTAGAGCAGGGGCATTGGCACACTCATTGTCATTATCCCATGTGGCTATCTGCCAAGTTCCTGTGAAGATTACATGGGACTCAAGGGATGATGGGGCAAGTGTGCACATGCACTTTGTGGATAGCGGAAGGATGGATTTCAAGCTGATATCAACTATTTCGAGGGGGTGAGTTGTGCTTCTGTTCTCATTTTTGAGAGAGCAGGATTAACAAATGGGTTTAGGGGAGGGGCAAAGCTGTGCTATTTGTAGTTTTCACATCATTTTTGTAGTTGACAGTACAAGGTTTTACTGACCATGTGAACTGTTGGGTGATGGGGTGGATTCCCAGTTAACAGCAGTTCTTCTATGTTCATCAATTCTATTGCCTTGTTTTTGTCCATTGTATGGTTGTCACATTATATATAGTTGAATGGACTAGTGCATATGGCAGCAGTCATTTGTAATTTTGTATAAGTGGTATCCAGTAAGTTGCAGCATTTCTTGTGAATACATTTATAGATGCTTTTCTCTTTTTGAGGACCAATTATGTAATGCATACTACTACAATGTATGTAATTATATTGCTTGCAGTTGTATATTATTTTTCCATTTCATTTGATGTAATTTGGAGTAGATATGACAGAGTTGCAGTATTTTCTTTCAGAATTGCAGGTATAACTTGGGCAATGACATGCCAATCATGTAATATATAGTGCACCGTTTTACGTAATCCAATTGCGCGGAATTTTACCTTTTTTCTGGATTTTATTTTATGTAATTCGGAGTAGATTTGACAGAGTTACAGTATTTTCTTTCAAAATTGCTAATATGAGCTGCACGCAAAAGCTGAAGCCCAGTCAAAAATGACTCGGGTTATTCCGAGGTAGATCTGATTGCCTAGAATTGAAGCGATGTAAGGTGTCGTTTTATCGACAGAATTCTATACAAATAGATTTGAGTTCGATCCAATTCAATATTACATGATGTAAGCCATGTACGCAGTGCGGTTTTTAGTGTGGGTCAGCCTTGCAAATCGCCTGAAATATATCTAACTCGATTGATGCTCACACATGCCACTTCAGTCACCCACCTTGAACAAGCTATTAGCCTTGTAAAATGTAAGAATGTATCCAGGCTAATAGGTTGTGTGGCCATTTATTTTTCTTGCCTTGGGAGAAAATATAATATTGGATTGGGTAGAAAATGTTGACCT